ATCATTGAGTAGCTCCGACTGAAAGTAACTCAGGCTACCCTTCCCCTATACCTTTTTCCTGCTTTGCAGGTTTTTCATGACCCTCCCTCCCTTCGATCTGGCGAGAGCAATAGTCCCCATGCGGACAAGTGTTCATAGCCGCCTTTTATCCTTCTTTAATAAAACTTTAATCTACACCAAGAAGTCACTGGTTATTCCACTATTCATCACTTTTTTCACGGATAATAGTTTTACCGGATATAGTAATTACCTTGACGACAATAGAGAAAGACACAACAACCGAACCTCCCAAAAACTTACCTCCCAAGCATTGCCCAGCACCAGCTAAGCAAGTTCCATTAGAACCGACGAGCGAAATCGTGCATTTCCGTCCCGCGATTCCAACATCTGACCACCTGCTTAAAAATTATTCTTTGAACAAACGACGCAGGTCATCTCTGCTCCCGCTCCGCATTTCACGCTTACCAATTCACAAACGTACCCGTACTACTTTTCCTGAACTCCTTACTTCATCCACCGAACGCCAACCTCAGATGGGTGCGATAAAAAGCAACAAAAAAATAGAAAAAGCCCAAGACCCGGCTGGAGTGACCAAATCTCTTAAAATTTTCTCACCCAATGCCCTGAAAAAACTCCACTCCGATTTCGAGACCTTGCGCCACACTGCTCTCAAGTGCCCGAAATGCCTGGATCTTGGCCATATCAACAAGAATGGCCATACCAAAACGGAGCCACCCATGCCCATCTTCCTTTGCCGCTGTGGATATCGCTTCGGCCATATCGACATGCGATTTCTCATCGACCAACACAATGGTCGTGCTGCCTCTGTCTCCGCCTTGCTCCCCAAGGATTCCAAAATGACCGAAGCTGAACAGGCTTCTGTACCACCTTCTGCTCCCAGTGAAACTTCGATTTTCCAGCCGCTGTCTGCTCTGCGTTTTGAACACCATGAAGCCTTGCCTGAATTTATGACCACTATCATGGCTGAACTTAATCAAATGCGCACCCGCATGGACCAGTATGATGCACTAATTGCTGAAAATCAGAGATTGAAAAAGTCATTGGCTGCTGCGGAAGCCAAAATCGCCCAACTTGAAGCTCAGACCTCTTTCCCTGCTCTGTCTGGTGCCATGGCATCGAAATATGCCCATGACACCATTCCGCCGCCCACCCCTGCCGCCCCCACGACTGATGACACATGGGCTAAGCGTGCGCAACACGCAAAAAAACCCAAAGTGTCCCCTAAGCGCATGGCCACACTCGCCCGAGCTTTTGCCCCCACTAGTGAAACTCACGGATTTCAGTATGTGTACATCCCCAGCAAATTCCGTATGAAGACCAAGGCCCTTAGACAGACCTTACGTACGCTTGGTTTCGACAATTCTCGAATCCTTGATATCCACTATCCAGACCGTCAGGTCGTTGCTCTGTTGATTCACAACGACTACCACGATACGCTGCTTGCTTCCTTTGCCCATCACAACATCACCCCAATCAAAGACTTCAATCCCCGTGATCAATCGCGTCTGCGTGATCCCAAGTTCAATACTTTATCCTTGGAAGACCGTCAGCGTGAAGCCGATCAGATCCACCGCCAACGGCTTGAACGCGCTCTCAAGTTCATTCGTGAACCTGTGAAATTTGCTGTCGCCCGCTCCTTCCACAGCCAAAAGTGGATTGATGATGATATGCTCCGTTCCTTTTTACAATCCCGTACCCAGACAGAATCCAATGCTGCCACCTCCACCATTCCTTTCCGCACCACGGATGATGATGATGACAAGATGATTCTCTCTGGCAATAATTCCACCAGCACCTCCCAACACGAAAAATCTGATCAATGAGTGACCCTTTAACGATTACTCTATGGAATGCCAATGGGCTCCAACGACACCTCATTGATAACCTTCTCTCCTTTACTTCAGATTCCTCACTCATCTTTATTACCGAAACTTGGCTTCTCTCACCACACTCATTTCCCACCCACTGGACCCAACACCATAATTATGGCCAACGCCTTCCCAATGCCTACGTTGGTAATCTGGGTATCTCGCTCCTTATCAATCCTTCCTTTCCTTATCCCATCACAATCCTTCCGATCACATCACCCTATGTCCTTTCCTGTATTACCGCTGACCATCTCGTACATTGTTTGTACCTTCCTCCCTCTCTCTCTTCTGCCGACGCTCTCACTATCCTTAACAACCTCCCTTTCTCCGCACCTGGCACCTCAAATACCATACTGTGCGGCGACTTCAATGCTCGTATCGGTCCCTTTGTTGGTGACCATAACGTTAATTCCCGCGGCACATTATTTTTGGAATGGATACATGAACATGGTCTTACCCTATGGAATGCCTCACTGGCTTACGCTCAGCCCACCTACCTCCGCGGTAACGGATCTAGCATCATTGACTGGTTTCTCAGCACCCACACACTCCTTACACCTTCTATGCATATTGACCACGATATTTCCTTGGGCTCCGATCACAAACTCTCCCACCTTACCTTTATCCCATCAGCACCTCCTCCTTCCTCTGCCATCCCACATCCACGTCAATTATGGAACCTCAGCAAACTCGCTGATCCCACTTACCGCGACCGCCTCATCCACTCCTTTACATCCAACATACATTCCCTACACCATGACCTGATCGAACTCTACGATTCTCCCACCGCTCCTTCTCTTGATCGCCTCCACCAACGTCTCTGTGATGCAATTTATGCTTCCTTAGACACCACCGTTGGCCGCCGCACCCCTCCTCGACGATTTTGTAAATGGTTTTGGAACTCACAACTTCAAGACGCATTCGATTATCGTGAATCCTGTTACCAGAAATGGCGCCGCGCCGAAGGCGTTAGCAAAATGTCCCGATGGATCGACCATCAACGAGCCTCTGCCCAGTTCCGCCTTTAGTCAGCCAACGCAAGCGACAAACCTGGCGTGAATTTTGTGACAAGCTGACCACTGGCAACTTTAGTGATGCCACTGCCATGATGGGGAAATTACGGCGCAATCGTAAAACCACCCCTCAGTTCACAGGCCCTGCTGGCCCCACAACTGCCGCCAACCGCATCGCCTCTCATCTCGAGCAAATATATGCTGGTAACCTCCTCGCCCATTCAACTCCTTCTGGCGATCCGTCTCATTTTTCCCTTGTTCCCTCTTCTCTCGTTTGCCCCATCACTTCCACCCAGGTTGCCGCCGCTATCAAACGCCTTGCCTCCCGAAAAGCACCTGGTGTAGACCACATTCGCGCTGAGGTACTCCAAGTCCTCATTGATCCACTCTCTCCACTCCTTTCCCGCCTTTTTGCACTCTGTTGGAAATGGGGGACTTGTCCCTCTGACTGGCGAGTCGCACAGGCTGTACCCATCTACAAAAAGGGCGATATTACTGACCCAGGAAACTATCGACCCATCTGCCTCACCTCCATGTTCAGAAAAATTCTTGAATACTGTCTTATGCCCGAACTCGAACGCATTTCCCCTCCCCTCGATATCGCTCAAGGCGGATTCCGACCAGCACGTAGTGCAATGGATCAAGCCTTATGCCTCCACGAGCTTTCTGTCATCCACCGAACCATCCATGGACAAAGTCCTGTTATAGCTTTCCTAGATATCAAATCTGCCTATGACACCGTTGATCGGAACGTCATATGGCAAGAAATTGAGTCTACGGCCCTACCTCCACTCCTTTCTCTCCTCCGTAATTTATTTGACGACGTCTCCATCGAAGTCCTGCTCTCAGGCATCAATTCCTCTCGTTTCCAACCTAAAACCGGTGTCCTCCAAGGTTCCGTACTCTCTCCATTCCTTTATTCTTTGTACATTAACACCCTTCCTGGTGTCCTCCGTCTTGCCGAAGCATCACTTTTTCCCGATGATGATGACTTTGCTGCTCCCCCACACTTCCTTATCCGCGGCCAACGCATCAACTGCCTCCTGTATGCCGACGATGTTGCGATCATTGGTACTTGGAATATCATGCCTACTCTTCTTGCTGCCTGTGAAAGGCATAGCCAACAACTAGGCTATCGCTGGAATCCCGAAAAGTGTGTCGTTGTATACGATGGCTCTCCTTCGGTTCCTCCCTCCATTCCTTTAACTCTATATAATATTCCCCTCCAAACCGCCTCCACTTTCAAGTACCTCGGTATTCCTTTCAACAACCAGGGCTTGATCGATCCGACTCTCCTCATTCACCAGAACAGCAGCGGCGCCTTGGGTACCATGCGTGTCCTACGTGGCCTGGGTGTCAACCCACATGGTTTCTCTCGTTTGCTCTCCGCTCGCTTGTACCAACAATTCGTCCGTCCCAAGTTCGAATATGGCCTTGCCCTTCTTCGCCTTTCTGTGAAACAGCGTATTCAGCTCGATCGTGCTCAAGATCAATGCTTACGCATGATTTTTGGTGGCCATCGCACCGCATCCACAGTGGTTTTCCGTCACTTGACCCGCTTGCCCACAATGGCTGAACGATACAGCATTCTCCAAGCTAAATATTTATTCCGATCTTACCACCTTCCTGACGACAGTCTTCTGAGTGCTTTAAAGCCTCACATAAACATACTCCGCACCTTTGGCCTTCCTACTACAGGAATCAAATCTGGGTTAGCCTCCCTCGACCCCGCTCCCACACGTCTGCAAAAGACTTTACATCCGCACTCTGGACCTTCCGTCAAAACACTTTCCAGCATCGGCTGGATAGTCGTAACAGCATCCTTTTTCGCGCCTGTCGTCCTCGTCTAGGCATAGATCCCATCATGTTCCTACCAATGACCCGCCATGAACGAAGTCGCTGCATCCGATGGAGAATGGGTTGGCTTCCTGGCCGCCCTATTACCTGTTGGTGCAAGCATGATCACACAAGCCGGCGCCATTTAATCTGGTGTTTGAACATGCACCGTCGTCTCAACGTTCGCAATGATCCTGATCATGCTGATCCACTTTCTTGTATTTTGAACCAGCTCCCAAAAACCCGCCCCACCTCATCCCATCGCATTGCTTACTGGCGCTGTACCTGGCCGATTGTTTGTCAAATCCTCCTTGAGGTAGATCAGGCTTGTCATCCCGATCCTGATTTCATTGCTTACCGTGATCCCGCTCCTGGTTGTTCCCTCGTGAACTGGCTTTTGCCCCCACCTGTTTCTGTTTCTTCGGAATCAGACATTAGCTCCGTTTAGATTTTTTTTATTTTTATTTTTTATTTTTTATTTTTCATGCATTTGTTTCCTTTTTCGTTTTTTCCTGCTGTCTAGTACAGTAGGTTTTTTCATGACCTATCTCCCCCCTCGATCTGGCGAGAGCAACGTTGCTTCACTCCAGAAGTCTGTGCTCGGCTTCGCCTCGCTTTAATAAAACTTTCATCTACACCAAGAAGTCACCGGTTATTCCGTTATCCATCACTTTTCTCGCGGATAAACGTTTAACCGGATTTAGTAATTACCTTGACAACTAGAGAGGAAGATACAGCAACACAACCTTCCCCAAATTTACCTTCCACGCATTGCCCAGCACCTGCTAAGCAAGATCCATTAGAACCGCCAAGCGAAATAGTGAACTTTTGCCCCGCGATTCCGACATCTGGCCGCCAGCTGAAACAATATTCTTTAAGCAAACGGCGCCGCTCATCTCTGCTCCCGCTACGCATCTCCCGCCTACCGATACAGAAACGTACCCGAACCACACTTCCTGAAACCGTTACTGCATCCGCCGAACGCGAACTTCCAATGGGTGCGATTAAAACCACCAAAAAAATAGAAAAAACCCAAGAACTAGCTGGGGGGGCAAAACCTCTTAAAAATTTTTCGCCCACTGCCCTGAAAAAACTGAACTCCGATTTTGAGGCCTTGCGCCACACTGCCCTCAAATGCCCGAAATGCCTGGATCTTGGCCACATCAACAAAAATGGCCATACCAAAACTAATCCCGCCATGCCCATTTTCCTTTGCCGTTGTGGCCACCGCTTTGGTCATATAGATATGCAATTTTTGATCGAACAACATCTCGGTCGAGCTGCCTCTGCCTCCCAAACCATGGACTCCCAAATGGGCGATGCCCAACAGGAAATTCCCTCCATTCCCACCACCACGGTTACACCTGCTGCCGCTAGTGCAACCGCGACCACCAAGCCATCCTCTGCTCTCCACTTCGAACACCACGAAGCACTCCCTGAGTTCATGACCGCCATCATGGCTGAACTCAACCAACTCCGCGGCCGCATGGATCAGTACGACGAACTGATCGTGGAAAACCAACGGTTGAAAAAATCATTGGCCGATGCTGAGGCCAAAATTGCCCAGCTGGAAACTCAGCACCCGTCTTCTACCTCGTCTGGTGCCATGGCATCCAAGTATGCCCATGACGATTTCCCGTCCATCACCACCACCGCTCCCTCCACCATTGTGGAAACTTGGGCCCAGCGCGTTAAGCGCACCACAAAATCCAAGGTCTCCCCCAAACGTATGGCTACTCTCGCCCGCGCCTTTACTTCACCTAGTGAAAACCATGGTTTCCGCTATGTGTATATCCCTAGCAAATACCGAATGCGAACCAAGGCCCTTCGCCAAACCCTTCGTACACTCGGTTTCGATAATTCTCGCCTTCTTGATGTGCATTACCCCGATCGCCAGGTCGTCGCTTTGTTGATCCACAATGACTACCACGAAACCTTGACCAATTTGTTTGCTCGTCACAACATCTCACCCCTCAACGAGTATAATCCCCGTGATCAATCGCGTCTGCGCGATCCCAAGTTCGCTGAACTATCCACGGAGGACCGTCAACGTGAGGCTGATCAGATCCACCTCAAGCGCCTTGAACGTGCTCTCCAGTTCATTCGTGAATCGGTTAAATTTGCCGTTGCCCGTTCCTTCCACAGCCACAAGTGGATCGACGATGAGATGCTCCGTTCTTTCCTCCAATCGCGATCCCAACCCACCACCACCCCTGCCAATCCTTTCACAATGAATGATGATCATGACGAACCGATGCAAATCGCCAGCTCAGACTCCACCAGCACCTCCACCCCCGAAAATATCCATCAATGAGTGACCCTCTAACGATCACTTTATGGAATGCCAACGGGCTCCAACGTCAACTTATTGATAATCTACTTTCCTTTACCTCAGATTCCTCACTAATCTTTATTACTGAAACCTGGCTTCTCTCCCCACACTCATTTCCCACCCACTGGTCCCAATACCATAACTATGGCCAACGCCTCCCCAACGCTTACGTCGGTAGCATGGGTATTTCACTCCTTGTAAATCCTTCCTTTCCTTACCCCATCACAGTCCTTCCAACCACATCACCATATGTCCTCTCATGTATTACTGCCAAACATCTAATTCACTGCTTGTACCTTCCCCCATCCCTCTCCGATTCCGACGCCCTTGCCACCCTTAATGCCTTACCTTACTCTGCACCCGGCACCACAAATACCATACTGTGCGGTGATTTCAATGCGCGTATCGGTTCCTTTGTTGGTGACCACTATGTTAGCCCTCGCGGTACAATATTTTTAGAATGGATCCACGAACATGGCCTCACCCTATGGAATGCTTTGCTGGCCTATGCCCAATACACCTACCTCCGTGGTAATGGTTCCAGTATTATTGACTGGTTCCTAAGTACTCAGCCGCTCCTTACACCTTCCATGCACATCGATCAAGACATATCCCTGGGTTCCGATCATAAGCTTTCCCACCTCACTTTCGTTCCCAACATACCACCTCCTTCCTCCACCACTCATCATCCACGCCAATTATGGAATCTCAACAAACTTGCCGACCCCCATCATTGCGATCGCCTCCTCCAATCATTTACCATCAACATACATTCATTACAACAAGACCTGATCGAAATATCCGATTCCCACACCACTCCTTCTCTCGATTCCCTCCACCACCGCCTCTGTGATGCCATTTATTCATCACTTGACAGCACCGTTGGACGGCGCCGCCCCTCGACGATCCTGCAAATGGTTCTGGAACCAGCAGCTCGAAGATGCTTTTGAGTACCGTGAGCTCTGCTACCGTAAATGGCGGCGAGCTGAAGGTCTCAGCAAAATGTCCCGCTGGATCGATCACCAACGAGCCGCAGCCCAATTCCGCCGTTTAGTCAGTCAACGAAAACGACAAACGTGGCGTGAATTTTGTGACAAGTTGACTGATGGTGAATTTAGTGCCGCAACCGCCATGATGGGTAAATTACGCCGCAACCGTAAGACATCCCCACAGTTCACCGATCCTGCTGGTCCCACCGCTGCTGCCAACCGCATTGCTTCTCATCTTGAGCAAGTATATGCTGGTAACCTCCTCACCCAATCCGCTCCTTCTGACGATCCGTCCACTACCTCCCCTGTTCCATTTAATCCCGCCTGTCCCTTTACCTCCACCCAAGTCGCTGCTGCCATCAAACGCCTAGCCCCAAGAAAAGCACCTGGAGTCGACCATATCCGCGCCGAGGTACTTCAAGTCCTCACCGAACCACTCTCTCCGCTCCTTTCCCGCCTCTTTACACTCTGTTGGAAATGGGGGACTTGTCCCTCTGCCTGGCGAGTCGCACAAGCTGTACCAATTTACAAAAAGGGCGATACAACCGATCCTGGAAACTATAGACCCATCTGCCTCACGTCCATGTTCCGGAAAATTCTGGAGTATTGCCTAATGCCCGAATTAGAACGAATTGCCCCTCCTCTCGACATCGCACAAGGTGGATTCCGCCCAGCACGTAGTGCTATGGATCAAGCCCTCTGTCTCCACGAGCTATCCGTCACCCACCGCACCCTCCATGGACAAAGTCCTGTAATCGCCTTCCTCGACATCAAATCTGCCTATGACACCGTTGATCGGAATGTCATATGGCAGGAAATCGAATCCACTGCTCCCCCTCCACTCCTTTCCCTGCTCAAATGCCTGTTCAATGAGGTTGCTATCGAAGTCCTGCTCTCAGGCGTCAACTCCCCTCGTTTTCAACCAAAAACCGGTGTCCTTCAAGGTTCCGTGCTCTCTCCTTTCCTTTATTCGTTATACATCAATACCCTCCCTGGTGTCCTCCGTCTCGCCGAAGCCTCATTATTTCCTGACGATGATGATTTTGCCGCTCCCCCTCAGTTCCTCGTCCGTGGCCAACGCATCAATTGTTTGCTTTATGCAGATGATGTCGCGATTATCGGTTCGTGGAATACTATTCCCACCCTCCTTACCGCCTGCGAACGCCACAGCCAACAACTTGGCTATCGTTGGAATCCCGAAAAGTGCGTCGTTTTATACGATGGCTCTCCCTCGGTCCCCCCTTCCCTTCCTTTGACCTTGTATGGTGTTCCTCTCCAGAGTGCCTCTACCTTCAAGTATCTCGGTGTGCCGTTTAATGATCAAGGCCTGATAGATCCGACTCGCCTGATTCATCAGAACAGTAGCGGTGCTTTGGGCACCATGCGTATACTCCACAGTTTGGGCGTCAATTCCCGTGGTTTCTCCCGTCTGCTCTCGGCACGATTGTACCAACAATTTGTTCGCCCAAAGTTCGAATACGGCCTTGCTCTCCTTCGCTTGTCTGTTAAACAGAAAACCCAACTTGACCGTGCCCAAGATCAATGCTTACGCATGATCTTTGGTGGCCATCGAACTGCTTCCACTGTTGTGTTCCGACACTTGACCCGCCTGCCCACCATGGCTGAAAGATATTCCATCCTTCAAGCCAAATACCTGTACCGCTCCTACCACCTTCCCGACGACAGTCTCCTGAGTGCTTTAAAGCCTCACATTAAAAACACACCGCACCTCTGGCCTTCCTTCTATAGGAATCAAATCTGGGTTAGCCTCCCTCGACCTCGCTCCCAAACGTCTACCAAAGACTTCAAAGCTGCCATCTGGACCTTCCGCCGAAACACTTTCTCGCACCGTCTTGAAAGTCGTAACAGTGCTCTTCTGAGTGCATGCCGCCCACGACTTGGTATTGACCCTGTCATGTGCCTCCCAATGACACGCCAAGAACGTAGCCGCTGTATCCGATGGCGAATGGGCTGGCTTCCCGGCCGCCCTATTACCTGTTGGTGCAAACGCGACCACACAAGCCGCCGCCACTTGATTTGGTGCCTGAACATGCATCATCGACTCAGAGTTCGCAACGATCCCAACCATGCCGATCCGCTATCTTTGGTACTCAACCAGCTGCCGAAATCAAGACCAACTTCCTCCCATCGCATTGCGTATTGGCGCCGAACCTGGCCGGTAGTCTGTCAAATCCTCCTTGAGGTTGACCAGGCCTGCCATCCTGACCCGGATTTCCTCGCGTTTCGTGACCCTGACCCTGGCCGTTCCCTCGTGAATTGGCTCTTACCACCACCTGTCTCCGTTTAGATTTTTTTTTTCTCTTTTTTCATGCATCTGTTTCCTTTTTCGTTTTTTCCTGCTGTCTTATACAGTAGGTTTTTTCATGACCTATCTTCCCTTCCGAACTGGCGAGAGCAATTGCTTCAAACCAGAAGCGTGTGCTCGGCTTCGCCTCGCCCTCAATAAAACATTTCATCTACACCAAGAAGTCACTGGTTATTCCGTTATTCATCACTTTTCTCGCGGATAAACGTTTAACCGGATTTAGTAATTACCTTGACAACTAGAGAGAAAGACACAACAACCGAACCTCCCGATATCCTACCTCCAACGCACTGCCCACCACCAGCTGCGCAAGATCTATTAGAACCGCAGAGCGAAATAGTGCATTTCTGCCCCGCCATTCCGACATCCGGCCATCAGCCTAAAAAATATTCTTTAAACAAACGGCGGCGGTCATCGTTACTCCCATCTCGCATTTCCCGTATCCCCACGAAAAAACGTACCCGCGTCACCCTTCCTGAACTTATTAGCTTCACTACCAAGCGTGAACACACTATGGGTGCGGTCAAAACCATCAAAAAAATTGAAAAAAAAGCCCAAGACCCAACGGGGGCATCGAAACCTCAAAAAAAGATTTCTCCTGAAGCCCTGGAACAATTGAACTCCGACTTTGAGAACATGCGCAACACAGATCTCAAATGTCCCAAATGCCACACTCTAGGCCATATTCGTAAAAACGGCCATAATAAGAGCGATCCTCCCATGCCTCTTTTTCTTTGCCGCTGCGGAGAACGGTTTACGCATCTTACGATGCAATTTTTAATCGCACAATGCCGCGTTCGCCTGCATACAAAGCTTCTAATATAAAGCCTGAAATCCGTCAACAACTGGAATAGGAGTATGCGGTGAAAAAGTAGTTTGCATACTCTTGCGCACGTCTACGAGAAAATGGAAGGAGCCAATCAGCTGAGGCTGCTTCTTTTTATCGCACCACTTATTCCTACAGATTATCAATTAACTGTTGTCCAAATTGCATCAAACGATACATAACTAGGAGAGAGCAGGTCGTAGAGGAAGTGACTCTGAATCTTCACCGGTTCATCATCTTCCAAGCGCAAAATTCATGAGAAGAAAATCGACCGCGCAACACCAACTATGAGATTCGAAACCGACGTCACCTTGGCATATAATGATAAATTCAACCATTGCCGATCAGATAGAGTCTTTTTTTTTCCCCCGTTCAACACATCGTTACGATGAGTTATCAAAGAGTGGTTGTCCTCGTAAATGCCGTTACAGTCCTTTGCCTGTTTGTTTGTTTTTTTTTTGGTTTTCGTTCTTTTTCCTCTTTTTGCTATGCCATGCGAAAGTGGTTTACTTTTTTTTTTTAGCAGTCGTAGCATCGCCCAACACAGAATGGAACATCATCCGATAATAACGCAGTAGTCGAAAAGATCGCAGTAGACGAATATAACATGTAGGCCGAGCCAAAGATTTTCTTTGTTAAAGCATGCTACAGTTGCACGGAAGCTTTTCAATCAAGAGCCATTTCGACATCTTCATTCTAAAGATCGTTCAAAAGAAGGTGAGCAACGATCATCAATAGTGAATGAAAGCGCAAACTTGACTTACCACTGTGTTATTACTCTTCATGTAAGCATCCATTTCATTATCTAAATCAGTTGCACTCTTGGCGCTCCTGGCAGGACCTCGAGTTCCCAGTCTACCTCGGCCACGTCCTCCTTCTGGACGTCTATCGCGGCGACTACATATGAAAAGCATCGAAAATCAGCCTTGGAATTGATCCGTGCATCAAAATATCTCCCACCAAGCGTCCAAATGGTCGTCGCATCGATTTAAAACCAAACATGGGATTGCGATATTTAAACACTTGAAAGATTCACATGGTAGAAAAGAAAGAATGTAACGCACCCTGTAGAGCCTCTCATTGGTTGTCTATCACCTGAACGGAATGGTCTTCGCTCTCGCTCTCGCTCCCGCTCCGGACTCATTTGAATTTTCATGGCTTGACCTGGTCATGGAGTTTCGGTTTAGTTCACACAGTTCGCAAATTTCAATCGCTTTTTGCATCGGCTTACCATCAAGTTCTACAGTATCGTACTTCTTGATAGCTCTTTCAGCATCACGTTGACTGGTGAAGGAAATACGAGCCACACCGGTGGAACGTCCGGAACGGTCAAAAATAATGCGGGTCTTTTCCACAGGGCCAACCATAGCAAACAGATCCTAAGGTAGTTTGCTTGGTTTAATATCCAGACGCAACGCATTGAAGGTCTTTATCCATACTTTGAGATCATCTTCTGTCACGTTGTAATGAAGGTTTTCAATGGTTATTTCAGCACCAGCACCACGATTTCTATCGCCAGCACCACGATGGCCGCCCAGTCTGGCGGTAATGGAGCGATCTTGGTTATCCTCGAACAAATCATGTGCCCACTGCTGGTTTACGTCACGACGAGTGGTGACCTATTACTAAAGTCAACCTATCGTTGAGAATGAATCACTATTTGTATTGACTTACAGATGAACGGTTTCCTCTATCTTCGACTGTACGAATCGCTGATCGAAACATTCGGTTGGTGCGAATAGGACCTCCTGAGCGTTTACGAATACCACCAGATGGCGTTGAGATCGGACGTTGATTCGGTCGAGTCGTTCTTCTTCTATCTTCTCTGTTCTCTTTGATCACTTCGTCAAGTGCTTTATCTAAATGAGACGCCATTGTATGATAAGATTAACAAAATGGAAAAAGCTTCAAAAGTTTGATAGGGCGATGGCGGTGGGGGGGTTTTTTTTTTCCAAATTTTGCATCCGTCGGGCTTTCAATGCTTCATTGGGCGCATTGAAAGCCCATTGATCAACTATGATATGAATGGATTCCTTCCTTCCAAGAGATGATTGCTGCTGCTTGCTAACCGACCTCTGAGGATGAATACAAGTCTTCCTTAACTTAATTGGTGAGAATGAATTTGCGATAATTGCGCTTCCTGACTGTGGATATCCTGCCCAACCGATGCAGCTACGCGTTGTGCGAAACTGTTCGCATAAGACGCAAAGCCGAGGATAACCCCTTTATTGTAGGTGGGAAACAATCAAAGAAGTACATCCCTTTCTTTTAACGTTATTGTCTATGTAAACACTGTTATCATTCATTTGCCTGTAAAGCACGGTTGCTGATCATCTCACTATAGCAGCTGTTAGGAAAGGTAGCTTCACACATGCGATTTGTTGGTTTAATGCATTCTTGCAAGCATTCAGGCTAGTCTGTAAAAACTTCTTCATATCATTTGCTACTGGTTGCTTTATTAAAGTATTGGTTTGTGTTAGATATTCTTACATTTACACTTTTTGTCTCTAAGCAATATCAATAAATTTCTTTTTGTCATTGCGGCTGTAGAAGTTTAACCTGCTGTAACATGCTTATCTCTACCAATACATGGTAGCTTTTATTCTCATTTATTTCAAGTAAGAGGCGGCTTTAATGTTGATGATGCTGATGAGCATTATGATGTCTATCTGTTGCAACCTCCAAGACGGTCATCATGCCTTGCAACATATGACTGGTGATATGGCAGTGGAAGGCCCATAGACCTGGATTCGTCTAAAATGTCATTATTAACTTAGTATATCTGACTTTTTATACGGGAGTTTTGGTACAAATCAACTTACTGCATGGAATCGAAGCTTGGTCCATCCGCAAGGCACACCGCCACCTTGACCCATGGTTAACCTGCTATCGTCGGGGAAAATAAAGGAAGTGTCTCTTTCGATGGGGGTAGGGTAGGACCGAATGGATGCATCTCGCTTATGATCGTAAGCGCCTGGTCCGTGGGCAATTGTGTAATGAGGGTGTCCATGGGTGTGCCAAGGGTGACCAATGCAGGCACCGGGACCGAGTGTAGTTGTGTGAATAACAAAATCAACAATTTCGTCGTGCAAAATTGGGTAGGTTTGCAAGTGATCGTCATATCCGTCGCCCTTGTTTTCCATGTTGAGTGCAACGGCAGTCATGTTGAACGCCGGACGCGTGCCTGCTTTCAATTGATTAATCAGCGGCGTCTTCCAGTGAGGAGCGAGATGGTCGTTGATAAGCCATCGGGTAGTGTTATCCTTCATCTTTTTCTCCACAGGAGTGATGATAATGGTACGGTCAGGAGGTTTGTTAAAGTCCAAGTGGGATCGCTTCACGGGTTGAAGGTAGGGGAAGATCCATTGAGACGTACTTGCGGGGAACGTAGGTTGGTCAAGCACGGTGGCGTTTTTGGCCACAGCGTCAAACATACGGTCACCCAGCTGACGATCAACAGATGAAGCATGCTTGACATAGCGGAAGATGGCAACACCATTACTGGAACTGGCTTGCGAATAATAGGGCTTCGTTCCAATGAAGTAGCTTTCATGGGCTTGATCCGTCTTCACAAGCACCGAGAATCGCTGACCCGAGGTGACTTGTAAATAGTTGGTTTCATAAGGCTTCACCAGGTTACCGTCCACTTCAATGACGGTCATCGTATGCCGAGCGATCGAAATTCCGAGCGTCGAAAAACTTAGACCACCAATGACACGTAAGCGATACGTCTTGTCCGGCAATACATCAATCGCTGAATATTTCTTGCAGGAACCATGAGCGGTGGATGTATTATGGATAGTACGTCCGTTGATCAAGTAACTATCTGCTGGCACCGAGCCTTTATAGTTGTCTCCCATAACGTAGGCCACGCGAGCTTCGGCTGTTTGCTGCCACCATTCGGAAAGCATAAGGACTCGTTCATCGTCATACTTGTAGGGTCCGTCTTTGAGAGTGTGGTGGTGGTTGTCATGATGGTGATGATGGTTTGATTCCTCAGGCCAAGAATCGTCGTCGTCGTAAACAATGAAAGGTCCTTGAATAGTGTCTTCTTGTAATCCGACGTGAGCATGATAAAAGTAGGTACCACTCTGACCAATCACTTGAAATTCATGATGGTATTCATGGCCAGGTTGAATAGGGGCTTGTGTCACGTTTGGCATTCCGTCCGCTTCCAATGATCCAATTTGGTTGATGCCGTGGAAATGCATCGTAGTCGTTTCGTTGTGTACATGATTACGAACAATGATATGGACGTGGTCGTTCTTCTTGACACGGATTGGCGGACCGGGGAACTGTCCGTTGACGACCAATTTATCAACGCTGGTAGAACAATCGGGATTCACAGAGGCCCTGCTGACATTGAGCTCGAATTTGCGCACCTTGGCCGAGACCAAAGTGCATAGCAAGAGAAGAAGGATGATGCACTTTTCTCGCATGACAGATCGCCTCGTACACGGGTTTATTTCGTAAACAGGTCGTGTACCTTTATATGCTTTTTTATAACCTGAGAAAAATAAATTTGCCATTTGTGGCAAATAAAACTAGGTTGGGAAACCTTTAATGGTTCATTTACAGAAACTAACCTCTAGTTTGCCTTGAATCGTGGTTCCCAATCCCAAGAATTTCCTTATACTGAAACCTCTGTTACACGAAAGTAATAAAATCTGGGGGATGGTACACATTGTATTTGCCGTTAAATGTCGGGAGTTTCTTTTTCTTTTGTTTCCCCCTTTTTTCATCCCTTCATATGATAGGATGGGACGGACACAAGGCTTTTCCTTTACACAACAGAATCCGATGGTGACGGCCCATTTTGGGTATAAATTCACCAAAAAAGGACAATTTTTTCAGGGATTACTGTGTTTGTTTTGCTTCGAAATGCTTTACTTCCAGGCGTCAAAATCATGTCAATAAATCAAATCACCATTGCTGATTATACATCATTTGACGTATGTTGTGCAACATAGTTTGTAGTTTTCATACCGCTGATTCGTGTTACTTGATCTGAATTGGATCCGTCGGGTCCCGGGATACTGTCTTTTCCTGCGTCTATATTTTTCCCTTGCTGCAAAATCGGTTGCAAAACGTTGCTCAACTTGCTCCGGCCTTGCATTTATCAGTTTTTAACATAGCTTGTGGCGGTTAACGATCCGGAGGCTTGATCTTATCAGATCCGTGAAACTTAAAAAAAAATCCATCTCTCATTCGAAACAAACATCTTGGAACAGATGAAGTGAGTGGCACATTTATTGCGAGAAGAGAAATTTGTACCGTAAATCTAAGAATTCTGAAAAACGACTGAATATTCACGGATAAAAGTTGTCGCAAGAAAAAAAATGGTGATGAGAATTTTTTTTAGCCTAGATCAGTTGTGTTATTCCACCTCAACCATTTCTATAATCATATATTGCGAAATGACCGCCGTCGATTGTACTGTAGATGACCACGATGTAGAGTCGCCGATTCTACATGTATTTTTCAGGACACGAAAATCCCACGTCCCAAAAATCTAAGAAATCAGAGTTGACACATGACACCAGCCTAATACTTCGTATTTGGGGCCTTTCATGCTCCTGCAACACTATGACCTTTGTCCTCATCATGTAGCAGCGCAACAAATATTTAGACTCGGATCAATCACTCACAATATCGAATATGGGAAAGTCTACCAGCTATGATAAAAATAGAATGCTAATAACGAATGTATTTGATGTCACAATATCTGGTGTGCAAAGACACACGGTGGATGGATAGCTGCTTATCTTAATCGTCTACAAGCTCGCTCAAACATATAATATATGAGCTAGCGATTCATGACATTTCTTCTAATTATTATCGAGCATCGTATATCCGCGCGAAAACATCGTATAGATGAGATACGTTTTCTAATGGCTTTCCAAGAGCTAGAAAGGTGGTGAATACATAGGAATTGTGAGGAACCATTTGGCGAAAAGTAGCTCAAGAAGATATCCACAGTTCCAGTGTTTTAACTGAGGCCGTTGATAAGGAGCAGTATAATGACGAGCAATCGCTTGGTACAGTGGAGGTGCCTTCATGACTGTCGCTGAAATAGGTAAATCCGAGTCAAAGAAAGGAAAAATGACGGGTTGTATGTAACAACAAGCTCATTACTTTATTATTGCAGAAGATGGTGTTAGATGAGAGGATCAAGCTTCAAGCTCAATTGTCGAACGAACAAATAGACCACACTCTCGGATCTATGGCGCTGTCATTTCTTCATCGTAATGCGTATAGACAAAAGCAGAGAATGCTTGCAACTCTTTGATATACGCAAATGCCTAGATGATATACCATCAGTTTCAATGTTCCCCTTTTTAAAGCTAAATACTTTAGATACGTACATTCAAATATTCATTGCCAGCAATGACAAGATGAGCCTGTCGGCTAATGGAAGGTAAAAGATTGGCCAATGTGAGTTTCTTCACGGAGGGTTGCTGGAGGACACTATCAGCTGGAATCTCCTCTATCCGACTCGAGTTTGCAACCATGGGGTCAACAATCGGCGCTAGATTTTTGGCCAGCGCATGTCGATCAAAAATAGCAAACACTTCATCCAAACATGAAGTCAAGACAGACAAGAAATCAGGACTACACGATGAAAATAGGTTAAAATGCATCATAACAATGTGCAGTTTCCACCGTTTCCTGCAAGTACCTGTCAATGAAATCCCTCGTTTCATCTAATAATCGGCGCAATGCAGTCATATCTACGCCGGTGTCACCCTCTGTAAATCCTGCTTCTCGCAATAATTCAGCCTCTTCCTCTTCGTTGTCAGGAAGCATAAATGATCGGAAACTATCAATTTGGAGTTTTTAGGTGAGCGGTTGTGCTATGAAACAGAGATTGAGCAAAAAAAATCTTACTTGATAGGTCTGTGAGTTCTTTGGTCATACTCAATTCGTGCGCGGAGCTGGCTAATGATGGCGTCGGCATCATTATAAGAAAGAGTGCTCTTCAATGGTATGCTGCAACATAGATGGTAAATTTCACGTCGTATTCGATGAAATGATCCTTTCTTTTCGCCATTACCTGCCCACAATATCGTCTACTGCCTCTTTGACTTTTTCGGAGCAGCGTTTCCATCCTCGATGAATCAACCACCAGCTGGCGCTCAAATACATGCGTTCGGTCTGTGGATCCAGAAAACCGTTTTGTGGACTGTCCCTGTCAGGCTGAAGACGTATGCTTGGCTCGGTATTTTGCAGGACAGAAACAGACCACATATACATAAACCGTCCCAAAAGATTAAGTTGAATGTGTGTTAACAATGTCAGCAGTGTTACGGAGTAAATGGCTGTCAATGTACGAGTGAAACCTATTCAAACCATTTTCTCAGTGATTTGTTTCTCCTTGAGGTGAGCCATGACATTCAACCTACTGGTGGTTTTGATCTCTTCCCACAGCAAGTACTTGGCCTTTTTATCGAGGATACCAGGTATCGGTAACGATGCAGGGTCTTCGCCATGGAAAGAGCTGACAAGGCTACCGATACTGTTATCCAATTCTCCTCCGGTCGCAGTAGCACGGTCCCGCGTTTTCGCGTCTTGTTGTTGCTCGGTCATCTCTGTCGAGATATTTTTTTCTTTAGCAGGTGGATGCACTTCCGAATGGCTTGCTCCTTCTGTATTTATTTCGGTATTAGCTACTGCAGCATAAGAAGGCGCAGATTCGTCTGTTGTTGCGGGCTTTTCGGCTGTATCCGCTTGAGCGCTAGCTACTGCAGCATAGGATGGCGCAGATTCATCTTTTGTTGCAGGCTTGTCAGCGGTATCAACATTGTCGGATCCCTTGGGCTGAACTTCTGCTGGAGTTCCTTGTTGTTCACTTTCCACCGTTGGTCTTTGCGCTTTGCGTTTCTCCTCCAATTTCTCCAGTTTTCGAGATTCCTGAAGTTTGGCCCAAGCAGCTTCAATATTCATATCGTGAAGAATGTGATCGCCCAATGCTGGCAGTAAAGAAAGGACGGTGAAAACGCAATCATTCTGATTCTGGTTAAAGCGACGTTTGAGGCTTTTGCAATTTTAGGAGTCAGATGTGGTCATTTTTAATGTCGTAGGTTGCTGACTCACCTTTCCCTACTCATTCGCTCTGCTGAAGCCTTTTCTTGCAGATCTCTGATTTTCCCAGTGGCATAGCGCCCTGCAAGGTAGCCACCACCGGCTATCGTGGCCGTAATGAATAAACCGCGTCGATGTCGTTTGACATAGTCCTTGACTGAATTCAATAGACTCATTGCTATCAAGGAATACCCAAGGCGCCAATTCGCTTTTCATGTGAATATTTCCATTCAATAAGAATCACGTGCGCGTGAGTGAGGGGAGATTTTCGGATTCCGCGACCATGGAGCTCAGTGATTTTCCGAAAAGAAAAGTCGTCAATGGCCGAGATTGGGCTGTGGGGAAGAGAACTTATTGAAAGTTCACGCATATTTCTTGCCACCCGTGGAAGCCTGGCGAGAATCTTTTGCTTTATACAAAAACGGATAATCTCAACCATGCAGAGTGGCTTTAAGCTCTACTATGTTCGATGTGATCAATCCGTTTTTCCTACATTATCATTGCTTGCACTATACGATATCTCCCAGTAAATCCGCTGTCGTAATAAAAAGGATTTCAGCATACTTTGTTAACAATACTGTCATTTTTGGTTGTAGTGTAAAATGGGTCACTGTGTTGTACTGCGAATATCATACCTATAGTATGCACAAAAGGCGTAATCTCTCAGATACACATCACAGAGAGAGGCTACATAATCAAGCATTGGTAGTGTTAAAACAAGTGTTGGCCACTATCATGAGATACGTGATCATGAGAAAATAGAAAAAAAAATGTTTTACATAAACAGTCGCTGCAGAATTTTAATTGCGTGTATTATGATATTGCAAAAGGTGAAAACATTGGCATAAATGCTTGATGTCGTACAGTAAGAAATCATATCTATGCAGAGGTTACCTTTTTCATTTTCTTGGCAGACATAAAAAGACATGATCCGACTAATTTTACTGCCGAAATGGATAACCTTTCCGTCGATGACATTCTTACGTAAACAATCGGCTATGTAAAAAGTACAAACGAATCACAGGAAACAGGACTACCAATCTCTGGACTTGAAGTGCCTGAAGGATACAAAAGCAGTCGATCAAAGGACTCTGCTATGTCAACCTGGAAGAAGAGATTGATCACGGTTCTTGAAGAAATTGGAACCAAAAGTTGCTTTTTGGGAAGGCGAGAATGTTTCGCACGTCTCAATGGCTGCTTCCCGATTTGGCATCAACTGAGTCCTCTGGTTCATAGTCACAGCCAATAGGAGCCCGCTGAACGGGCTTGAAGCCTTCGACAGAAAAAAAGTTCACCTCATCCCTTCGATTCCGTCATCTTCCATCAATGCAATCGCAGCAGCCTGTCCGACATTCCCGTATACCTGAACAACAGGGCATAGGACAGACGCTTCCGCCGGTCCCTGTCGGCATCGATAACTTTCATGCTCAACCTCTCCCGGCAGGCGTCATGCCGAACGGCAGTCGTATACAAGTCGGTCGATACCAAGTCATTACTCATAATTTCATCGCTGAAGGTCACCAACGTTATTCATCACCTGCACCATCGTGCCACTCACATGCTCTATAGGTGGTTTTGCCCATGTATACCTAGCACGCATAGAAGGGAAGCAAGGCTACGTTGTTTTAAAGAGAGTAGCGGTACCTGATACAGAGCGGTTGAAGACTGTTGAGAAGGAAATTGCTTTTATGGTAATTCGGGTTTATCTTGTGTTCGTAATAATTGCAAATATTAATCGCATTCCCGTACAGAGACGATTAGGGGAACATAAAAACATTGTACGTTACTATGAATCGAGGGTGGACGCTCTTCGCACTGGCGGGTTCGAGGCATTGATTTTGATGGAATATTGCCCAGGTAGCTGAGATACTATGGTTAATCCCATAACAACAGATCTAACATTTTTTTCTAGGTGGTGGCGTGATTGATCTTATGAACCGAAGATTACAACAGAGATTGACCGAGCCGGAAATTCTGCAAATTTTTGGTGACGTTTGCGAGGTATGTGCAATAAAGCTCTTGTCGCCAAAGAGCCACGATACGCAACGTTGGACGCTTACTATTATTTTATTGTTGCTCTGGAAGGCGCTCGCTTACATGCATTACTGTAATCCTCCAGTACTTCACCGAGACCTAAAGGTAATATGTCTATTTGTATGCTTCTTCCACGAGATATTTTTTTTCGTACTCACGGTTGTCCCTTTTCCCCAATCGAATCAGGTAGAAAATATTCTCATCTTGTCGCAGAATCATTTTAAGCTTTGCGATTTTGGATCGGCGGCTCTGTCCAAAGGAGATTACGTACCAAAGACCTTGCAAGAAGTTCAAAAACTGGAAGATGATATTCAGCGCCATACAACCTTGCAATATCGTGCACCCGAGATGATTGATATTTATCAAAAGAAACCAATCAATGAAAAAGCGGATATTTGGGTAAGAACACATCGTGATGGCCCCAGTTATTACGGAATAGATTTTTGATCTGCTGCCCATGAGTAGGCTTTAGGTGTACTTTTGTACAAACTTTGTTACTATACGACTCCTTTCGAGGAGCAAGGACAACTGGCTATTTTGAACGCGCATTACACCATACCGAATCAGCCCATGTTTTCCGACAGTCTTATTCGCTTGATCCGATCAATGTTACAGGAGGATCAAACAAAGCGACCGAATATTTACCAAGTGGTACGATCGGTATCGCAGATGAAAGGTGTCGAATGCCCCATTCGTAATGTAAGCTCATGATAGCATGCTCTTTCTTAATTTTGTCCGGCTTTCGGCAAGCTCATGCTTTTTTGGACAGATTTATCACGAACCTCAAATCTCCCCTGTGCCGAGTTACCAGAGTCCAGAAAGCACGAAAAGCGAAAGTCCTCCCTCTATATTTGAGAGGTTACCGAGTCCACCTCATCAAGTTCCTCACATCACACCTATGCGTCGTGGACGGCCCATACGTCATGAGAAAAGCCCATCGGAACAGTTGACGGAAGCAGATCCTTTTATTCCTACGGCCAATGCCAAACATACTCACACCAGCTCCTTCTCCTCGGGTACATCGGATGTGCAGGATAAGAGTTCTAGAACCAGTCCAGTAGTTCAAGGCGCACGCGAGATCCTTGGTTTTGATTCTGATTTCCAACCAACGTTAACAACGCCTAGTAAAAGTCTTAATGGAAGTCCTAGGCCGCCTCCCGAAGAGAAGAAATTAAGTACAGCCACTGAACCTATCAGTGTCCAATCTACCCCAGATATACGCTCCGATACTAGTATCTCGCGGGTTCATCATGGACCTCGTATCTCTGGGCCGTCACCCTCAGCCGACTCATCACCCTTATTACGCCATGGTGTATCTCCCAGCATGGAGGCGCGCTTGCAAGCGATAAAGAATGGTGGTTTCAGCAGTTCACCTCAGCAACCACCTCCGAAACCGATGTTACCCAAGAAGAGCGACAGTCCCGTACAGAATTTGAAATCGAATGGCAGTGGTTCTTATTCACGCGACGAGAGTCTTCAGGGCGGAGAGCAAATGGTCAAAGAGGCGAAAACAAGCAGCGATATGACGGAATACAAGTGGGCGAAGTTAGAATCGCAAACACTTCCACCGATATCTATTCCGCCTACAGCATCACCATCCACATCTCCCAAGAGTGAGCCTGTGACCCAGACATCTCCATCTGTACCATATAAACCAAAAGCGCCTCCGAAACCTGCCCGATTCCGTGTTGCTCAGAGAATTAAGGTCTTTGAGAACATCTCCAGCCCACAAAATCAAGACGAGGATACCTCTTTGTCTGAGTTTGAGCACAAATTCCCATCCATGGAAGAGTTATCCAAACACCTTCCATCCAGCAGTAGCAGCTCCCCTCGAAGTTCAACGTAAAGGGACAAATCAGGTCAATAAAATATCTCCATTTTTTGATAGAGTGTTTTTTACCGTGTGCCTCGGCCGTCCTTTATAATACATGGTTAAAAGGAAAGCGTTTATCACCTGATCATGATGAAATTAGAAAGATACTTCTTTTCACCAAAATATCTTGGGACAATAACAAAATTAGATAGATGTTCTCCTCATCATACGGCTCAAAAATGACCGACAATTCGTTCCTTGGATGGGTTTTGATGCTTCACTGATAAACTAAATTAACAGGGTTGCGTCCCCATGCCACCAGAACATGGTGCCGGAGTTTGACACGAATTTTGGCATGCAATGTTTGCAGTATGATTAGGTCCTGTGTTTTGTTCCTAAATTTTTGCGCTTTATCTATGCTTAGCAAATAAAAAAAATAGGAACAAACAAGAGCAATAACAAAGATTGATAAGCGTTTTTGGCGTTATTCGGGTGATTTTTTTTGTCTGCAGGCCATATTTGATATTGGACTATGGTTACTAACATATAAAGTTTGGAAGGTGGTTAAATGGGTCGTAAATGTGCTCTTATTGATTACAGATTATCGGCTGGTAGTGCCAGCCAATAAGATTAAGGTATCACGATGATGCTTTTTTCACAGAGGGCCAATGCATAATATAGAACGTGTTCCCACGCTTAGAAGCCTCGATATATTTGGAAATAAGCTTAGAAGACCTGCAGCTCGCCAATTCTTAGTCGCTCCTTCCTCTCCTCGTCATACATTATCATGGAGTTTATCGACAAAGATTTATGGACCAACGCTGCTCAACGAATTGAATGGATCCAACCCCCTTCGACTGTGCTCGGCAGTCGTCGCGGCACCAATCCACATATTTGGTTCCCTGGAGGAACGTTGAATACGTGTTACAACTGTCTAGACCGTCATGTAAAAACAGACCCTCACCGTCCAGCATTTATATGGGATTCTCCTGTGAGCAACTCCAAGCGCACATACACCTATGAGCAAGTATTGGAACAAGTTCAGACATTAGCCGGACTTCTGTGGGACCACAAAGTCCGCAAAGGAGACGTCGTGCTGATCTACATGCCCATGGTACCAGAGGCTGCTTTTGCGTTGCTTGCTTGTGCGCGTCTTGGAGCAATCCACAGTGTTGTCTTTGGTAGGTACCGGTCACCTTTGCTTGCGTAGATTTCATTTTATTCACCATCTCTCTATCAGGAGGATTTGCCCCCAAGGAACTGGCCAAGCGTATCAGCGACTGTAAACCCAAGGTGATCCTCACCGCAAGTTGTGGTATTGAGCCGAAACGAACAATCGCCTACAGACGTAAGTAACGCATGGCTGAACTGATTAGATATAACCTTAAAAATACTTTCTCTTAGCTTTATTGAAAGCGGCTCTGGCCATGACAATGCATACGGTTCCCGTCACACTTGTCCTCCAGCGCCCAATGCTGTACGCGACAATGGAACCCAACGATTTGGATTTTGCTACTGAAATGGAACGAGTTCGGCAAAGTAACTTGCTATTCAAAGATTGCGTCGAAGTAGCCAGTGAGGATCCATTATATATACTTTACACTAGCGGAACCACGGGGCAACCAAAGGCAGGCTTTTTTTTTTTTTTTGGAAAATGATGGAATGGCATATTTTGGCTTACCAATGTCAATTTCAATCAAAAACAGGGCGTTGTACGATCGAATGGTGGCCACGCGGTGGTTATCAATTGGAGTGTGGAGTACGTGTTTGGCATAAAGAAGGGGGATGTCATGTTTACTGCCAGCGACATTGGTTGGGCTGTGAGCCATAGGTATGTAAGAAAAATATGTATGCATAGCAAGAAAAATGCCGATCTAATGAGACATTAAGCTATACGGTTTATGGTCCGTTGTTTGTCGGGGCAACATCCATCCTGTATGAAGGCAAACCTGTGCTGACGCCTGATGCTGGTCAGTTTTGGAGAGTGGTGTCGGAATATGGCGTCAAGACAATGTTTACGGCACCAACCGCCGTTCGAGCCATTCGAAGAGAAGATCCAGCAGGGTTATTGGCAAAGCAGTACGATATGAGGTCGCTTAAAGCGCTCTTCCTTGCCGGTGAGCGCAGTGATCCCGAAACACTGAGATGGTGTCAAGATATTGTGGGCAGTAGCTGTCTAGTCATTGATAACTATTGGAGTACAGAGCGTAAGTAGATAACGAGAGAGACGTAAAGCGTAGTGGATCAAAGAGAACGGAAATACTCATTCTGGAATTTTTATTTGCAAGAAAAGTGGGTTCACCTGTGACAGCCACTTGTATGGGCGATGTGAATCAGTCCATGAAATTAGGTTCAGCTGGAAGGCAAGTACCGGGATCGCTCATTCGTGTCATTTTGGAAGACAGCCACCAGGAAGCTACCGGTCCCAATCAATTCGGCAATATCGTTCTCAAACTTCCATTACCGCCTGCGTCTTTCCCTTGTTTATGGAACAATCCTGAGGGGTATAATAAAAGCTACTTTGCAAAGTATCCTGGGTATTACGACACTGGTGATGCGGGAATGATTGACGAAGAAGGGTAAGAATCCACAAAAAAAATGACGGATTGGAATTCGACTCTAAAAACGTGATATCTTCTTCTTAGTTTTGTGCATATTATGTCGCGTGTGGACGACATTATCAATGTGGCCGGTCATCGCCTATCGACAGGTAAATTCAAAACGATAGGCTTATGTATGTGAACGATGCAATAAATGATAATCATATTTTACATAGGTTCTATCGAGGAAATCCTGATTGCGCATCCGAAAGTAGCAGAGTGTTGCGTGGTGCCTCTACCGGACGAAATCAAAGGACATGTCCCATTGGGGATTTTGGTACTAAAAACCGACGATGACATTGTATTTGAAGAGCTACTGGAGGAGCTCGTCGCAAATACACGTCGTGATCTCGGCGCGATCGCATGTTTCAACCGAGCCGTCATTGTTCCCAAGCTTCCAAAAACCCGCAGCGGCAAGGTTTTGCGCCGTTGTATTCGTGATATGCTCGAAGGCAAGCCCTTGAAAGTTCCCGCTACCATCGAAGATGAAACCGCATTACAGGAGATCCAGGATATTTTAGAAGCACAAGAACTGCTGCCCAAAAAGATGTCGCTAGCTAAACTTTAGAATACTTCGGTCTTGATGCAGTGCGAACAAAGTTTTTCGTAGGAATCCATTGAGTCCACAGAATAAGAGCTCCATTCACAGTGTACCTTCGCGAGCTTGAATAAAGTCCCGTATGGAGGTAATAAAACGAGTCGACTCTACGACAAAGATATCCATATGGGTTGATTTTCTGAATGTTTGAAATACTGCCCGATCTTTTACGCGTTCACAAAGCTTTTGCATATGCGCATAGGGCACAATCTCATCTTTTTCGGATGACAAAAATAGAATGGGCGCTTTGACTTGGGTTATGACGGACTCGCTACGCCAGTGGTTCCACAGGAAGTACTTTGCAATTAACGGATAAGGCGTGTAACGCGGGTACATAGCTTTCACCATGTCCAGAATGCTTGTGAACGTGTTTTCCAGGATAACGCCACGCACAGAGATGTGAGATTGAGCAGCCAAATGGACAGCCACCGCTCCGCCGAGACTGTGGCCGTACAAATAGATCGATCGTTCAGGATAGCGTTGTTTGACATCGTTATAAATGGCCTCTGCGTCTATCAAAAGCCCTTTTTCGTTGGCGCGCCCTGTACTGCTTCCGTATCCGCGGTAACAAATGCCAACGACCGTAGCATTGGGTACAGCTCTCATCATTGTCTTGAACAAGGGGAGTCGGTGGATCATATTGCCAGCATTGCTACGCAGATAAATTGGTTCCCAGTTCCATCTCGATTCAACTTTTTGTCATGGTTCAATTTACCCTTGAAAATAGATAATGATGGGCCCATTATTCTGCACAGGGCCGTGAGCGATAAACCCGCGTAAACGATGTCCGTCGGGTGTGGACACAGCGTGTTCTTCCACTTGTAAATGGAGAGTTTCGTCTTTGACGAATCGCTCGTGACGGGAGCCCATGGGAATGTATCCCATGTAGATCAGTTTATTTTGAAAGGCAATCAGCATAAGACACTACGCAACGTTTTTGTTTTTAAGCACCTCGACCTTTGAATAAGCAGCGGATAAAAATGATACCTTGTAAGCATACAGTGCAGCTGGTACACCTGTGATGATCAACCCAGCAGTAGATAATGTAGACAAACAGCGGGGGCAGTATATCGGTTGGAGCTTGTGAACATGACGACCCCACTGACGATGAGCAATTCTGTAGAAAGACATGACAAAGTGAATTCTCGGTCTTGGAACAACAACAAACATAATAAAGTACAAATGAATTGCCCAGCTTAAAGCCCAGATTGAAATGGCACAATCCCTTTTTGTTTCCTCCACATTCATGTTTTCTGTTACGGTAATGACAAGAATCTCATCAGGGAGATGATGTATTTTCATAGAAGAATAAGGGCACCCTTCTTCTTTATGCATAATCGAAAGTATTCCAGCGTTTTTTTTTTTTTTTTTTCATGGAAGTTTGTCGTCGAAAAAGTGGCGATATGAAGAATCTTTGACAAATAAAAGTAGACCACAGCAACCTGACAAGAGCATAATTGATCATAACGTTCGGCAAGTAGAAGAGTATTATTAAGGTTAGAAAGGAATAGATGAACTGATGATCGAGGGTATCATGGTTGTTAGGCTTCCGCGCCTTCGAAATCAATCGGTGATACTTTGTTAGAGTGCGACAGTGGATCAATCAATTTCAGTTCCTCTTTGATCGCATTTCGTGCAATGGTATCCAGTTCTTTGGTTACTACCGACATAATTTTCTACGGCAATAAATTAAAATGAGACGGTGTCCACAGTAACCCGAATCAAGAGAGCAACAGTTTTACCTTGACCTTGGCGTCACATTTGAGAACCAGCTCAAAATAAGACTGTGTACAGCTCGAACTATCCATGCCCGACAGAAGCTTTTGGTAGGCTTCCACAATAATGTCACTAAAAGAATAGAATGTTTCTAGATAATCAAGCTCAAATGGCTGTAAAGCAAAAACATAAAAAAAAAAATGAGACACCCGAACCCTATTGGAAAAGCAAATTGTTTGATTTTTAACTCACAACATGAGGGAGCAACAAATGTGTAAAATCGTTACTTTCGGATCCTGCATTTTCGTCTTTGTTCCTTGCTTTTCGAAAGATATTTTTCTAAGCGCATTGACCGAAAAAAGAGTCAGTAAAAAAAAAGCCATCTGTAAATGCGTTGTATATATTGGCTTTTTAACTTACCATTTTTTGTTTGGAATGGTCATTTGTATAGCATTCAAATTCATTGAGTAGCTGGTGGAGTGCCTTCAAATAATCCCAAGTGTTGGTTATCTCCAGGATGGTTCCCAGTGAAACTCCGAGCATATAAAAATTGCAAGTTCTTCGAATAGCAATGTCAGCCGTTCCAGATCTTTCAAGACCTTTCAGAAAAATCTCGGTACCGCACGTTTACCTTCGTATCATTTTGGCATTTGGATATAGATTGTCCAGATCGTCCTTTGTCAGTAGAATAGTGTTAAACCAATAAGTGTTCCCGCCGTGAGCTCGTCGTAGATAAGTGATGGTAGCGACTCGTTTTGATATTAGCTCGTAAAGATATTCATACAGACTGGGTTGCTGTTGATTTTGATGAGGACTCGGACTGGATGACTGGGCATTGGTGGGGTTGATGACCATAATAACAATAAGAAGCAATAAAGAAACTCCTTAGTGAATGAAAAAAAAGTCCGATGAGTCCAATTTGTTGGAGCGTCGCGACTGACGTGCCAAAAACCCGCTATGACCCATATTTGGCAATTTCTTGTCGGCAGGGGACTACAGTGCTGAGATTTTCCTTCTTCATTCCTATATTTATTTTCTTGTTCTCGCTACTCCATTTACCAACGTCATAAAATTCCAAATCAAACATGGGGCAACTTCTCTCCGAGCCGGTTACTGAAAAAACCTCACATGAGGGCAATGATAAGTTTGTAATGTACGGCGCATCGTCGATGCAAGGTTGGCGTGTTCGTAAGTATGCACTGTTGTGTGATACGGACTTTCTCTGTCTCACCATGAAATTATTATTTGATTTTCCCCCACCTTCACACAGATATGGAGGATGCACACGCAGCTATACCTTATAATGCAACTACAAATGCTAGTTATTTTGCGGTGTTTGATGGTCACGGAGGTATTATATCGAGGATACGACTCACCCGGGCCGGGTAGTTGACTAAACTGATGTTACCCTATACAGGCTCCTATGCGGCAAAATACAGTAGCGAAAATCATCACAAGAAAATATTTGAATCCAATGCTTATAAAGCCAATCGTATATGTGAGGCACTGCGACGGGCAAATTTTGCTATTGATGAAGATCTTCGTCATGGTAAGTCATTCTCCGTTTACCCGAGTTGCGATTTTCTTTGGGTTGGGTATTGATCTGTTTTCGGGAAACAACTAGATGAAGCGTATGCGAATGACTGTTCAGGATGTACGGCTATTGTGGCGGTACTTACATCAAAAAACGTTCTCTATGTGGTAAAGCATCCTCTTTGTATTTGCAACATGTTGCGTCAGCGTTTCCAACCCCAACGATTCATGTGGATAGAGCAATGCTGGTGATTCTCGCGCCGTGATTAGCACGAGCAATGGTAAAGCCATTCCGTTATCCCACGATCATAAACCCACCAACGCTACTGAATCAGCACGTATCAGGAATGCTGGTTCTTACGTGGAATTTGGCCGCGTTAATGGTAAAAAAAAAAAAAAAAAAAAAAAAAAAAAAAACTCGAGATCAAGCAATTGATCAAAATGAAGGGATCCGCTTATCTGATGTATAAAAAACCACTTAGGGAGCCTTGCTTTATCGCGCGCTTTGGGTGATCTAGGGTTCAAGGACAATAACCAACTGCCACCTGAGAAGCAGGCGGTCACAGGTAAAAAGAAGATATAGATTGCATCAACACCAAGTAGTTCAACGATCGCTGACCAACCAATCCTTTCTCTCTTTTCTAGCTGATCCGGAAATTTCTGAACATGAATTAACCGACAATGACGAGTTTATGATTTTAGCATGTGATGGTGAGTGTTGGAAAAAGGCTTGGCGAAAACGGAGACAAGCCGAATAACATCCGATATACTAGGTATCTGGGACTGTTTGACGAATCAAGAGGCTGTCGATTGTGTTCGTTTCAAACTTACGGAGAGAAAGCAACTGAAAACCATCTGTGAAGAAATGATGGATCTCTGTCTAACCAAGAAAAGTGACGCTACTGGTATTGGCTGCGATAATATGACCATGATTATCGTGGCTTTTCTGCGAAAACGATCCATGGATGCATGGTACGATTGCATGGCGCAAAAGGAGGTGACAATGCCAAAATGTATGGTGCCGCCATCGTCCAATTTATCATCCCAAACAGGTCAATCGCCTGTGCAAGGTGAACCTGATTTCAAAAAGCCACGCGTCGATGACCGCGTTCCTCCCGCATTGGACGATGACACTAATATATCCGGTAAATCCACATAGAAAAGCAGAAGTACTCGGTTGAAGGAAAAAGGCCAGCGTGGGTTAAAAAGAACATCTGCATATCTGCGTATGTAAACTTGTACACATCCTATTTTTTTGCTGTTATTAGCAGCTTCTTGTGTCTTTGTAATTTTGTAATTTATTATCCTACTATGCTAGACGTTGAGCGTTTTGGCTTAGTAGACGGATATTGTTCACAAAGCTTTCCACCATTTGTAAATAGTGCGATGCTTCTCTCCTTTCCATTTTCTGTTTTTCAGTTGCCAAAGATTTCGCATCGATGAACTCCAGCTCCAATTCGTGTCGCATGTCTTCGTCCTTGTTCTTGGATGACCATCGATTCACATTAGCCGCCCCAATCCAGAAATATATCCCTCTCGCTTTTTGCTTACCGGAGCGCCTTTTACTTGGGTCAGATCGAAATTGAAACCGCCATGTTGATACGATAAGCGATCCTTATTACGTTCATAATTAGGCATGTTTGTAGGTTTATTACCTTGTTTAATAACAAAATGTATATTAGTATGGGATATAAAAGTGGAATGCAGTGAGTGGTACTTACGAGGCATTTCAATATTGATAGATATCCTATAATCCAGTGGTTGCATGGGAGAATGAATGTTAAGATCGGCTATACGAATCTTTTCAATGATGCCGTTGGGGACAATCTGTAAAAAAACAAAAAAGTCAATGGGATTGCGGTTGCATCAAAATCAGAGAGCGATATAATTCTACCAACTGACCTGTCCTGTTTGCTGATCTGTTGTGACACGAATCCTTGACCGTCCCCCTTCGTAAAACCGATCTGTTTCCTTTGTATGCTTGTATCTAATACGTTCACCCTATTTTCACCCGTTGAGCGTCACTTCCAGAAGGGTGCCCTGGCATCCATTGCATACTTTATAATCTCGTGCTTGCGTTTTATTTACGAGATCGTTCAACATCTTGTTGAAGTGCCTGTGCTGTTCTAAAGGCATATCCGATTCGAAGCGCACTGATCTACAGTCAGTTAAAACTATCAGGAATTAACAGTCAGTTTCAGTCACTAGCAGTCTCCATGCCACAATACGAATTACCAGTTTCTGTTTTTGCACCAATGTCTATCCGACGGTGCGTTCGTTTATCGACAAACACGCCTAACTTTGCTTCGATCTATGACATCGATTTCCAGACGATCAGTTGCTGATTTCGTTTTATTCTACTTCGAGTTCAATATTAAGCAGGAGTGCCATATTTACTTCAACGTTTTCTCTTGCGCAATGGTCCCATATAAAGTCACCAATGTAACGCACAATGTCATCCAATGGTTTTACACCAAAAATCGTGGGTTCCTGTAATGTATTGGTATGGCGTGCCTGTTTTCTAGCGGGCTGTTCTTCTGCTTCGCGAGATCTTTTCTGGGAATTTGATGGATCACTCATTTAAAATAACTACGGTAAGGAGCGTGACGGTAATAGTAGATGAACTTGCTTTCTCGATTCTTTGCAGCCCATTTTTTTTCTTTTTCTTTTTTTTTTTTTTTTTCCCTGTGCTGCGAAAAATAAAAGTCGCATTTCAGCAATGCACTGGCGGAGTCATAAAATGAAAGAATGTGGTCCATCTGAAAGCCGATGAAAAAGACTGAAAACGTGCAAGGTTATTCAAAAGCGGGCAATCAACAAATGCCTAACCACTCCTACATGTACAGTTTAATTGAAAAAATCTTGGGTAAAAATTTACAAATCAAAATCTTAGAAGAGGGAAGGTAATGTTGTCTTAAGGTATCAAAAAAGAGAGAAAACCAAAGGACAAGGACATACAAAAAAAAGATGGATGCATTAGACAAGCCACACTTACTGTTCTTTTGTTTTTACTTACAAAAAAAGTGTTTTCACCGCATTGCGGGAGTCGCCACCGCACACCGCCAAGGCATGGGCTTTGTTCATTCAGTTATTTAAACTAGGGAAGCACACAACAAGTGAGTGATTCGGCATAACATTCAAAAAGTAAGGAAGGCACTTGAGAGCACAAATACATTACCTTTCAAAAAAAAGTTTCATTATAGGCCACAAAAAAAAAAGCTTTCGGCGCCCAAGCTTATGTAGAGGTTCAGTCGTTTTGATATCACAGTTGTGGTCATCATGAGTATACGTACAGTGCAGTTGGGTTTGAGTAAATGTAATGAAAAAAGCAATGAAAATATATACCGCGATAGATGGATGGTTTTGCGCGAGAAAAGAAATAAGAAAGTAGATGTGCGATGAAGAGGAAATAGGGTGGATGGAAGATGCGTCGTCTTTTATAGACATGAAAAAGAGGCGATCCCTCGTACTGTAGCTAAAACCTTTATTGTCCAATAATGAAGCAGGAAAAAGACGACATGTGTCTTTTCTCATCGCTTCACGTCATATTTTATCCTTTGATAAGAGTGGGGCCTCATCGCATGAAATAGCTGCATGAAGTAGGTCTCAGATACTGGTAGAGAGAGATCGATCAGGATGTCTTTATTCAAGTGTTCTTATGTTGGCTGATCGGATACACCAGGTGCACATAACTTTGGTACAGACGTAATGCATGGCTCCTTAAACTATATTTCAACTTGTATCATACACTTTATTGAAAATAGAAGTCATCCTAATGAAGATGGCCTCTTCTTTTTGATGAACAACGTCGTCAGTTTCAGCGAATTTTCCCACCAGGATTACGCAGGCATTCTACAAGGCCAAGGTAATATGACGAGATCCCCCACACTCCCCGCCAATAGAAGACCAAGTCATGATTTTTGCTTCCTTGCAACTTATTTCATTATTATTTCTTCATTTCCCGAGAAAAATGAACTGAAAGATGAAAAAGACATTAGGGAAGTCAACAAGTTTATCGGGATTACAAAAATTTTTGCCAGGGCACTGTAATGGATTGGAAACAATCTTTCAAGTGAGGCAAGCTCAGAAAAAGCTCAATTTCAATTTCAAAAATGCCCATTTTTGCAATGTCATAGATGATAGTGTTGGGAACTTTTGCCGTAGTCCAAACTTGAAACAATCAATCCAATTTACAATGACATTAGGATATATTGCCACTGATAATATGCGTGTGTAAAAGAACATGTTAATGTGCCAAGGGTTCCCCATAACATGCCCGCCAGAAAGTGCGCACGTAAATTTTCTAAAAATGATTTTTTTTTTGTTTTTTATTCCCCAGGTCAAAGTAACCACATTTGGAGAATCCCAGAGTTCCCGTCTGAGCGCAAAACTGAGAATCCGTCATGGGCAATGAATGACGATCATGGGCGTCGGAATTTTATGTTTTACTTGTTTTGGTAGTTCGCCAAGAGTGGGATTGCCCATAATGATGTCTCTTGACGATAAGCACGGCTCAGCTATGGAAAAAGAAGAAAGAGGTAAAATGTGGCAGTAAAGATCAGTTTTTGCCCCGGTCTGTTGTCTGTGATATCATGCTATAAATATACAGGATGTGCTCAGCCAACAATAACCTGAATGCTGCTGTCGTCCTTTTTTTGTCCCGGTCATTTATTCAAGCTGAGCCACGCTGAAATGAAAGTAACCAGAATAGTAACATCGAGAGTTGGAAAATAGCATAACTCAAAGATGATGGCTGAACAAAAACAACTGTGATCACCTGCATTAGCTATCCATCCAGCATCAGTTTTCCCTTGCCATCGTTAGTGATTGAATAGAAGTTACACCAAAAAAAAAGAAACTATGAACAGAACCAACTTTGCAACCTTTTCACAAAAACGCACCCTCAGCAACTTTTGGCAGGCAAGCATAACCTTATAAAGTCGACCAAAACTTGATAAAAAAGAGACTCCCCACAATGCATGAAACACACAGTTAAGAATATGGAAATAAAAGGATGAGTTATAAAGAGAAAAAAGAGAGAGCAAAAAGAAGAAGAAAAAAAAAGACAGACAGACGAGTAAGATTAAAAAGGGTACAATCTGACAACCAACATACAAAAAGTGGGCAGTGGCGATAAGGAACAAGGCCACATTCCTTGTGGAACGAAACTGTTATAACAAACTATCCATCTCACAAAACAACACAGCCCTTGGATTTCTTCTTTTTGCTCACCATCAAAGCGGCTCTGGTGGCATGTTCGAAAACTTCACGGACGCCGTGACCAGTTTTGGCCGAACATTCGAGATACTTGTAAGCGCTGATTCTCTGAGCCACCGCAACACCCTGATGAAAAAAAGGAAGTAGGTTAAGACCACGAAACAAACACATAAGATTAAAACTGTTGACGATAGGGATCCCAAGTCTTACCTCTTCATAGCTCACGGGTCTCTGAGAGTTCTTTCTAAGCTCTTCGATGGTGCCGGGATCCTCTCGCAGATCCATCTTACAACCAACGAGCAAAATTGGGAGACCTTGGCAGAAGTGAAGCACTTCAGAAATCCACTATAAAGTTGCAAAAAAAAAGACAAAGTGTCAGCGCAAGATGTAGATGGTATATTTTGTAACAATTTCTCGAGTCATACCTTTTCTTGAACGTTTTCCAAAGAATCGGGAGAGTCAACGGCAAAACAAATCAAGATAACATGAGAATCAGGATATGATAAAGGACGCAAACGATCATAATCTTCCTGGCCTATAGATTTGGGTGAGATATTTCTGGGGAACAGACAAGTTGGGGGGGGAGGAGGAGGAAAAAAAGGCTTAATATTTTTTTAATTTTTTTTTGGTACTTGCCTGCAGTATCCCACAGAGCCAGTTCCACGTGTTTTCCGTCCACTTCAACATCAGCAACGTAGTTCTCAAAAACGGTGGGCACGTAGAACTTCCCGAAAGAGCGACGTTTAGTTATTTTGATAAGCATTTGGAGTGCAAAAGTGAAAGAAAAAACTCACCTCAGGGAAAGTTCCCTTAGAGAAGACAATCAAAAGACAGGTCTTTCCGCATGCACCATCGCCGACAATGACAAGCTTCCTTCTAATTTCGGTCATCTGTGTAGTTGAAACAGGCAATTAGAGTTCATTCCATTCATGGGCGCAATGGAACTTACCTTTGAATCAAATATTTGCAAGAGAGAAAGAGGAAAAAAAAAGAAAAAGCTAAAAAATGAGAGTGAAAAAGAGTAAAGGGTTGAGCAACGAAAAAAGAAAAGGGAAAAACTCCAACGGGTAAAAATTTAGATAAAAAAAAAGTATCCCACACCACTACACGCCTTCTTCCATCATCTCCTTTTGCAAAAACCCCTTCCCAAAATCGTTGACAATGGGAATGAGTAAACAGCATCAGAGATGATGTTCTCCCAAAACATCTAAAGCCGATAATGACATCTCAAAGGCCATTGCTTGCGTCAGCACGGCTTCCCATAACGCAAAGAAAACCTTGACCCAAAATGGACGTGCATCTGTATGTTATCATCCTCCCACGCCCCTCACTTGTTTATTTTCGCACTATTCCCCAAACCCAGCTACCGTTAAAGAGACAGATTACATACCTTTAGGGAAACAGAGATTGGAGAGAAAAAGAAAAAAGAGAAGTAAGGATTCTTTCGACATGGCAAGCTCAAAATTGATACCCACGTGATGTGCACGCACGTGACAAATCAAAAAGGTGGGCTCATCCCACACGATATGTGACCACCCTTTTTGGTGAAATGGGCTCATGCCATTTAATCTTGGTATATGCAGCTTCACCGCCTTGCTTGATAGATTTTATAATGACTGATTATATGTAGGGATAAGAAAGGTCTGAAAGTATCTTCAAATAAAGTGCCTTCTTTCTTCTGTTACATGTGTAAGGCTTCTTTTTTATCACTGTATCACACTTGTGAGACTCAGCATGCCTTTTCATACGATCCGTCTGCAATATGAGAACTAATTATACTCGAAGTTAGCTTTGATTTTATCAATCCTATATTGTTTTTATTTATGCATATCACGATATCCTTGACGACTCTCATATGTCATTGGTAAAGTCTTGACGCGCGTACAACAACTATGCATTGGTTTAGGGTTCATGATATCCTTACTATTTCAGAAAGTCGCCGAGCGCTGATGTGGATATTGGGTCATGATTTGTTGATGTTCCATATCGATGGAAACGTTGACAGCAAGTGAAAATGTGAAGTATTCTATCCTTAATTGCGTTAGTCCAAAAAACACATGCTGAACTGAACGTCGTTGAATGTTGCAGCTCAAATAAAAATTCCCGAAATCGGCTTATGATAGCTTGGAAATTTTTTGAAATATCCAGCTTCCATGGCCGATGAATGAAACAGGGTTAGGCAGCAGTCCAAAGTCCGTTTTACAGGTACTGAAAGTTTACGATCCACCGCGGTACAGTTGTCTGTAGATGAAGAAGTACAGTGCCAAATTTTAGCGAGATAGTCGATGACGGAGCGGAATGCTCCGCTGCCGACGCTGTTTTGTCAGCAACAGTCAGAATCGTTTAGTTTGGGCCTTTGCTTCCAGCTCCGACCGTTAAATCAAAAGAATCGACAAGTTTGACAGGGCAAGATAAGAATCAATGTCTGACTTTTTATCGAAGAAACAATCCCTTGGCAAACGGGGAATGAAAAAAAGTCAATCTCTGCAGCTGCTGTGGTTGAGCCGAAAATTCTTTGCTCGCACCATTTTTACCTGGAAGGTATGCTTTCCAAATATGGTAAAGATCCCTTGATTAATGGTTTTTCATACGCATAGTGGATCTAAAAAGAACAATATAACGTTTATTACTTCCCCTGATGTATTTAGCAAAGAGAAGTTGGATGTATATAACAAGCCGTACACCCGCCGTGCAATGGATGCCACCTGCTACTGGGATGTCACACTCTTACTATTGACTGACATTCGTCAGACAAAAAGCCTAACGCAATACGGCATAACCTGGGCGAGACTCTTGATGGAACTTTGGTATATTAATGTCAATACTCTGGCATAAACACTTTTAATGAACAAAGCACTTATTGACCCCCTCCGTCCCGTCCCGCCCAAGGTTATGATAGATCTAGAATGATGTGTGGGAATGTTGGGTATTAAAAAAATGACTTAGTAAGCTCTTTGATTGATTCAAATTTTGTCAAGATATTTTACCTTAGTTATGTGAGGCAGCAGATATCCAGAGCTTCCCGGCCGAAATAAAAAGAAACGATACAAAATATAAGAAAAAAAGTAAAACAATAGGTGCGTCTGTAAAACGCCCCTAAAAACCCTGTGGGAAAAAAAAGGAGGAAAAGACTGCAAGAAGACTATAACTAAAATACAAATATACATACTACAAACTACGAAATAAAATGGTCGGGAAGAAAATCGAACACGATACCACGGGAAGTATTCCAGGTGAAGCCAAGCTGAGGAGGACATGTAAGCGTTACCGATGAAAAAGAGAGTCACACCACCGACAATGCCATTTGACGACAGAAACCGGATTGGCCACATTTGAGCGCGAACAAAGTAGAAAGATTTGGAGGTATGGATGGCTTGCCAGGGCGAAAAGAAAACCGGAGAGAAAACCAAAAGCTAAAGAAAGGATAGAGAAAAAAGAACAGGTAAGTTTTTCCTTGTCGAAAAATGGATAGTCACATCACACAAAACGTACCTTTTTGATAATTAATCGACTTGACCGGTTATAGATACACGCGGGATAAACCATAGTCTGGATGATGGATGATGGATGCGAGCGGATGCAATGATAGTGATAGTTTTTCAGATAAACAGAAGATAGAGGAGAAAACCAAAGAAAAAAGAAAAAAATTGGGGACAGAACGAATATAATGAGTTCCCATGGATGAAACAATAGGCACCTTATTGATGCATGAATGATGAGCTACACAGATCGAAGCATATTATGTAAAACGACACACATATTACTGGCCAAGTCAAATTAAATGATGCTACAGAAGAACGCCAGATTGACATTGACAATAGCCCTTTACAGAAATCTCTGCAGTTTATTCAACTTCCTTGGTCACAGAAAAAATCGGTGTCAAAGACAAAAAAAGAAGTGGAGAAGCAAGCAGCGAGAAATCAGATTGAGCAAAACAAATTGAGGAAAAGAACCATTGTCAAAAATGTGATCAGACGGACGAAAAATGGAAAAAGAGCAAACCAGTATGACAGTAATAGCAAATATTGCATGTAGAGGGCTTACCTGTAAACATCTACAGGCCTTCGCCTTCGTCGCCCAGAAAAACCAACCCAGTGGGCCAGGACGAACTACTCAATACTGTTCAGCTCGTCGAACGTGGAGAGCACGCGCCGGAACCGTCGATGGACGGCCAGTTGAATAAACTATTATATGAAATCATATTTAGTATACAAACTTCTATCCTTTAGGATCATCATTCTTGAGCTCACCTTCAGTTCAATTCAGCCAAAAAAAAAAGGATCACCTCGGAGAAAAAGGCGAGCTTGAAAGGTATTTGGGAGGTTCGGGGAAAAGGAAAGAACTTTGGCAGACGCGGTGGATGCCTATTTTTATAGACTCTTTGATGGACTCTCGTCGAGCCGCTCACTTTTGGGATTCTGGTGAGAAGTATCATCGCATCATCTGCGATGTGCAGAGAAGAAAGGGGTGGTAATAGCAGAACACCAAAGAAGCAAATAAAGAACTTTCGATCTTTTCCAACCAAATGAGAAAGGACCGTAAACGTAGAGGCGGTGCTACAAGAAGCTTTTGTGGTCTCTTGCATCCGGATAAGGAGGCCTCAAGCATTAGCTGTAATGCATAGCAAACCAAACCCCCACCCCCAGGGAGCAGTATTCCACGGAAGACAGGAAGCAATCAAGAATCGTGATACCATTATTTAGGATAAGTCGAAGGATGAGAAAAAAATAGGAAGTCGGGTGATATCCGAAGTGAAAGGTGGCATAACAATTGATCGTGAACTTCTGCTCACTTCCATTTACCATTTTATTGTGGAGCTATATTATTATTTACGGTGCATACAGCTTTTTACAGGTAGTGACGACAAAACTCAAATGTTTCGAACGACTTGCCATCCTTTCACTACACCTGCTTGCTGCCATATACCGACGACAACTCAATTCAATGACTCAATTTTTATGAAACTGACAGTGTGTACACATGTTCATCTGGGAGTTGTAGGTGGCGCCGTTTTCTCTCAGATTTTCGACGATGCTCACTGGCAATGCACCCTTGGAATTTACTTAACTTTAGTGTCTTGAGTTACTTTTCTTGGTTTTCTCGGAACTACATGTAGACGGTCATTTACTGCTTACCCCTCAATGATGAGGTGTACATCTCAAAAATACAAACCGTTCTATCTGTCCTTCTCATGCTACTGATGGCTAGCAACAAAATTGTCTTTTGCCGTAGCTTTTCAAAAGATTGGTCGTGTGTACTTGATATAGTTGATCAAAAATAATCTCCCAGTATGTCCAGATCCTACATATTTCAGTCTGTTGGATGGGGTCGGGATGCGAGTCGGTTGTCTTCTTTTGGGTTTTGAAAAATTATGTGATCAAAGGCTGTTCAGCGATGGGGTTTTTTGTTCGGGCGTAAGTGCTTGTAAATTGAGGCTTCTGCAGAGCGCATGTTATTTAGACTATGGTATGAGTACGTCGAATGTTCCAAGAAAAATTCCACTAGGCGACGAATCTCATATCCTTGTGGATCCTACGTTGAGCTTTTCTTCCACACTGAGTCGACCGTGGATTACTGTATTTATATGATGGCATTTCCCATCGTATCAGAGCTTGATGTAATATGCACGTTGATCATCTTTCGAAGGAGTCAATTGCGAGGCTTCACTGAAACCCAGCGGACCTTCCTTTTTACGACGGTTTACAGAGTGGATAAAACGCGTTTCTTTCTTTGTTGTATATAATAAAATGTGCATTCTTTTTTATCGATGGCGCAAATCTGGATCCCAAATTCATTTCCGTTTCTCCAACCTCCATCTTATGCCGATCCACTGCTTGCATACCACTTGACGGATTTATCGTCAGATACTGAAACGAGCTTTGTACCCTCTGCATTCCATGCAAGTGACCAAACCTGCGATGACGCCACACATGTGAGCAACCAATATCCACGATCCCACAAGCTTCTCGATTTAAAAATTATAAACTTACTTGTTCCGTGTGGTTTTCTTGTGTTTCCAGCACTGATCTCATTGCCAAATCCCAGATTTTCACCTTCTTATCAGCACCACCACTGGCTAACTGTTGTTTACTGATATCAGGATTAGCGGCAACCGCCAGAACCCAGTTGGCATGTCCTGTTAAAGCTGACGCCAGCTGACCGTGCTCCACGTCGTATACGTGAATACATTTATCGTCACTGCCGCTGATCAGGGTTCTTCCGTCAGCCGCAAATGTAAGGCTTCGTACAGCCATAGCATGCGCTAATCAATGAAACACGGATTAAGTTATATGAACCGTGCAGCTGCATAGAATTTATCCGTACCTGAAAGTGTGTGCGCCAACTGATTGGTCTCAGTATTGAATACGAAGATGGTACCATCTTCGGCACCAGCAGCTAAATATTTACCATCGGGGCTCTGATGAACGATATATTAGAAATACATCAACCTCTTATCAAAGCAATTACACTCTGGCTTACATAAGCGGTGACCATGATGAACTTTTGCTTCGTAGTAAATGACGTGATTTTCTCTCCCGATTCCGCGCTGTACAGATTGATATCGCCGTTGTGTGAACCGGTCGCCACATGTGTACCATCGGGACTAAACTTTGCCGTCCATGCTTCGACTGGCGCTGCTGTTATAGTCTTCAACAGCGCCCCGTTGTCTTCCAGATTCCACAGGGATATGGTCGAATCGATCGAAGTGGTAACCAACCCTGTATAGACTCGTCAGCAGGTTGATTCGCTCCATTAGCCATTTCTCCATATACATTACGTGAACCATCTTGCGAAGCATCCACCGAGATAACCCCCAAAGTATGTCCTTCCAGTTCGTGTTTCAGTTCGCCAGAAGTACCGTCCCTGTCATTGCCCGTCATATTTCATCCATCAGCTGTAGATTTGCATATATAAACTTACCAGCATTTCACCATGGAATCAGCCGAGCCCGTGATAACCAAATTAGTGTTCTTTGACCATGCCACATCCCAAATGGCGTCGCTGTGGGCTAATGAGACAAGTGTGAGTTGGCGCCAACACGAACAAAAAGAATGACAACTGACTTACCGTTGTCATTTACAATGGTGGGAATATATGTGGTGGGCTAACAATTTATGAACAGTACATTAAGCAAAATTGACGTTATACATATAACTGAAGCATTCAGAGGTGTAGCTCGAAATAGGAGCTTACCATGTTGACGAGGTGGTGGAATATAGTATGGTGGAAAGTAACGAATATGGGCAAAGGTGGCTTGTATTACGGTTTGCGGGAATCGCAGCGCAGCGCAGAAATTAGGTCACCTGATTTCGTACCCAACTATGGCCTTTCGCAACAAGAATACTCTTTCGCCCTTTTCTTTGAACAAATCTTTGTGTTTCTTTCAAGTCATTTACCATGAAGGCGAAAACATATTAGAAGACCAAGTAGGCGTGCGTATGGCTCGCAGAAACCGGGCAAAAGTGACATTTATGATTATTGTACACAATGATATGGAATGTCACTTGCTTCAAGTCACTGAGACTACTGGTATGATACATTGAGTAATAAAAGGTTATTCCTTTTTGAAGATAATACGTGATATATGATAAGGGATTATGCGTCAAGAGGATCGTTCTCTATTTGGGCTTGATTCAACAATAAATTCTTAAACACGCGATAGTGGTGGTTTAGGCTTGGATGAGAGTGAATCTTGTGGATTGTGCCTAAACAACCATTTCTAGTAGTTTTGCAATAGAATACACGGGCGATCCGTGAATGCACCAAAGCCATCGCGCACCTAAGGGAAAACCATTCTTCAGTATACATGATACGTGATAACTCGAGCGTCGTTCAGGAGATAACTCACATGGCACATGGTTCATGGGTAATAAATATATCGTAGCCAGTGCACAGATAGCCGGTAGCACTGTTTTCTCCCTTTTCACCTTCATTCATCATTGCAGCCGCTTTTCGCTTCGGTCGTCCACCGTCCCCATGCTGTTCCCGTTCTCTCTGTGAAATCAAGTCAATACAATTCATCACAGCATGGTGGAGTGGATGACCATCCGTCCGTGTATCAGGCGCTTCGGAAAGGACGGTATTCGAGGATGGATCCACAATGCGAGCCCGAACTTGCTTCGAAGCCAAAAGCTCGTTCATGTGTTCTTTGATGGAAGAGATTTCTTCCGTTGTAAATTTTGGATTTTGTCGAGTATCTTCTCGGTAAGTCATTGGCCACAAATGTTTCCACGCTTCGTATTGATCTCGGCTAACAGGCGCATATTTGGAAACGGATACAACTGTATGATGGACAGTAGATTCAAGCTCATGCTCCTTTAAAAGCTGCTCCAAGGCTTCCAGGGATATCGCTTTAGCCTGACATAGGATCAATGTCAGTGTAAACCCTGTTCCTGAGCTTCAGCAACCAACGCGAAGAGGGGAAAATCAAGTATCAAGAACACCAACCTCCATCATTCACCGTACGTCGTATACGTTTGCAATGTTCCAGTCCCTGTAACGGTGGTAGATATTTTTGTACAAATCTATTGGGATTGAATGAGATGACGCTCAAATGCGGAGATGATGATTGACAAACTTTAAAACTGTACTGGTTTGACGTGGCTCTACATCGGTGACATAAACTTGTTCCGTCTGCAATTCGCGATCATATTCTTCGGATTGCACTTCTTCAAAAGGCCATTCGACAGCTGGAACAAAGTTGGAATCTTTTTTCATGGCGATCGATGGGCGGCGATTGATCGTGTAAGAAGCTATGAAATAAATTACCCTCAATGTCGCCGATGAAAATGACAGTCTACAAAAAGGTTGGAATTTTTTCCCTTCACATTTTTTAGAGAAACAATTTCCAATGATGCATTGGCCCTTACGATGTCCAAAGCTGCATATCAACGATTCTTTGTGTTGCATACCAATATATTACTGTTTAACTGATTGGCGACTTCAACTCACTGAATTTGTTGTTCAATAAAAATTCACATGTTCATTGGTTCCAATAACCCTATGGCAGCCCCCGATTCCGAGAGTAAAGCAGGAAAAAACAACACGCTATAATACGAGATATAATGAGATATTAAAATGGCTGCCGTTATGTTCCAAGCTATCAATGCCATGGTTTGTATACGGCGTATTTCTTTCCGTTTCCGGTAGCAGCGTTAAGTTCATACCATCCATACATGAATCCTAATTTGTGTTAACTACAAGAGGCCCGGCTTTCACCAAAAACGCAAAATAGTTTAGGTACATAGTGACCAGTAGAATATCCACGGTTTGAAGAAAGAGTGACACATGGTAATAAATTTAATGGTAGTTTCGAACTATACAAAAGGACTGAATGAGAGACTGTGGAAAGTTGCATTCAGAGGATCTATCGTTCAGTTGTTGATCTTTGGGATCGTCCGATAGAGGATAGAGAGTCTAGAGTTTGATTTAAAGACAACGTTTGATTTCGGCTTTCAATTGGAGGGCCTTTTCACTGAACAGATTCTTGTCTTTGGTTTCGAGAAGGTATTTATCGAGACCACCCTTTTTGTCAATGGTGCGTAAAACGGAAGTCGTCACTTTGAGACTGTAAAACTTTTGTGCTGCTTCGGAATACAATTTTTTGCTCTGCACATTGGGAAGCCAATTGCGTCTAGTCTTCTTCTTGGAAAAGGGATTCTACAAGCAAGGACCAAAAGAACGCATCGAATTAGAATGCCAAATGACGAAGGAACGATAAAAGGTAGAAGCCTTACATTATTGCCGAACTGAATGTGCTTGCCTCCAAATAAACCACGTTGAGCACGCTTGAAGGTCGCTCGCGCAAGAGCGTACGCAGGCTGAGCTGAGAGCATGACGAGCACAAAAGTGTGTTTGCTGATGCCAAGGGGATTCGGACCCACTAGAAGAGGCACCCTGGTCCAAGCCACAGTGACAGCTTAACCTCCGCAACCAAAATTGACAAGCGGCAATCAAATCCCGAATCGTTCAGTAAACACCAAGCAAACAACAGCAATCAGAGACACAAAATCAATTAGAGTATAGTCAACGCATAAGAAGCTCTGAACCGAATAAAGGCCATACAAAATTACATACAGATAGTATGAAAAATTTAATGGCGATACAATACTAAAGATCGAAAATTTTACACCAATAAGCCCCTCGACCCCACCGAGTGGGTCGACGCCCTTTGAGGGTTAGCCAACGGAGTGCATTTAATAGTAACTATACTTACGGTTGTTCAAATCCTGGAAATAGATTCCGACGCGAGACGATATGAGTGCAAGAAATTGCAACTGGAAAACTTTTCGAGCATACACGAGAAAGCTAAGGTACATTTCAAGTTCGGATAAGCAGAGCCAAGCATTAAGCATAGGCAGTATACTCCATTAGCGAAAATAGCCATAATTTCTAATGGAAAATCGGCTGAGTAACTGATTTAATATCATAAATGTATCCTTGGAATCATTATGATACTCATTATCTGTTTAATGCAGGTATGCTTTCTTGTTTCCTTATCTACGTTCAGCAGTACCTGCTTACACATGCATAAGGGAGGAGACACTAGTAGTTCGCTCATACGGGCTTGTGGGGCCGCGATGATACCTTAAGACTACAGTGTATGGCCCTAGTAGCCTGGCATTATTAACATTTCTGTACATTCTGTATCTAGAAGAAACTGTTATTTCGCCAACGCACTACATGTAACACCTATCTACAAAAAAGTTTTCTCATGTTACTCTTTGTCGTTTCTTTTTCTTTGATCTTATGCACGACTGCATATAAGCTTGCGCTTGAAGAGACTGCAGGAGCTTCATACTGATCGCGTTTTGCCGAATGTAGACGCGAGTTCAAGGTTGCCACTTAGGTATATTTGAGCTTTCATATTTGAAGATACGTTTCACGTGTTACAAAGCAGGCTAAGTTTTTTTTGATAAGAAGCGGATCATCTATCCATCTCACAGTTAAACGCTGTAATAAATATCATTTTCAAATCTGTGCGGAACTATAGCATCGCGGCTGTAAAATCCGACCTCTACAGTTGAAGCAAACAACGATATGCATCCATGCAATCAATTTCAAAGGTGAAGCCGATGACCATGAAATAAACAGCGAAGCAAAGAATCATAGGGTGATTGCTGTTCGGGGGGACCGACAGGTCTTTTTTGGCAATCGCCGCGCGGAAAATGACCACGTGATCTGTATCACGTGGATCAATGTCAAATCCTGAGCACTCAAATTTCCCATTGACTGAACGAAGGAAAAAAAAAACGAAGAAGAAAAAAGAAACCACCAGATTGTTGAACATATTTCCCCATTTTTCCTCTTCTTGTGTTTTTATATCAAGAAGGAGAGATCTATTTCATATTAAACGCTGATATTCATAATCTCACCGAAGTTTCACTGTCATTCCGGGCTAAAACTGATCACGAATGCCTTCTCTGGGCCATGATGACCACCGTCGGACAACAGCGGAAGATGCAATTATGAATTACGGAGACTTCAACGATCACTGCGTCCCACATATCATGCAGGTAAGGAAATGAACGGATGGACAACCTTTGTAACGTCATGTACTGAATACTCATGGTTGTGATCGCCATTTAGAACACGTATTGGGATTGTGGTTTGGCCAGTTTGGCTATGGTATTGCGAGGACTGGGCGTGAACTGCGGAGTTGATGACTTGGCCAAGCAGTGTCCAGTAAAAAGTATATGGACGATTGACTTGGCCTTCCTTTTACGCAATTACGTTCAAGATTTCACTTATTATACAAGCTACCTGGGTAGCAGAAAAGAATACCAAGATGCAAAGTTTTATCAAGACGACTTTGACGAAGACGAAAAGCGGGTGAACAAACTATTTGCTATTGCCAAGAGTTGTTCAGTACACGTTGTTAGAATGTAGGTTGCGCAAAAGGAAAAACTTTATCAATTTGGGCCCCAATAGCTGTTCAATTTCTCATGCCATTTTTTTTTCTTCTTCTTCTTTTATCATGCATTAGGGTTTTGCCATTGGACGATTTCAAACGATTTTTACACTGCAGACGCTTCGTTATTGTGGCATTAATTAACGCTCGGCTATTGGACTGTCAGCTTTGCAGGGTAACGTATACGACGGAAAGCGTCAATGAATTGAAAGAGTAAAGGTTCCCGTTTAAACCAACACTAACCACGCGCTTTTTTTTTTGTTAGACACGGCAAGGATGTCTCGCATCCATGTGCGGACATTTGGATTTAGTGTTGGAACGGTTTAAAGGTTATGATTATCTTGGTAAGATTTTGGCAATGATCATTCAGATTGGAAGGAAAGATATTCTCGGTCAAGAAGATTTTGCTTATTTTTGATTGATGCAGGCCATTTCATTGTCTTGATCGGATACGATCCTACGACGGATGTGTTTATATATCGCGATCCTGCTAAACCCGATGAATTTTGCACAGCATCCGCCGAATTGATTGATCGCGCCAGGCAGTCGGAAGGTACCGATCATGACTGGTATGTGCCCTGTTCCCGATAAAGAAAAAAAAAATTGAAGGAATGAATGACCGCCAAAGCTAATTTTTTTTTTTTTTTTTTTTTTTTTTTTGCGTCTTACAAATAGCATCGTCGTAAAACTGCCATAACATACCACTATGCATCTTTTTCCCCACTGTTCCATCTCCTACCACTTTCTTGTTGCCATTATGCATCCCTTACAAACTTACCTACCTCCCTCCTGTTATTTTTAGACGCCTTAATCTTCTGTTCCACGTTACAGCATCAGGACTGCCTTATCTTGCCCCGAGTTGATCGGCTGGCATTCAACTGAGAAAAAAAAATTTTGAGCACATCATCTGTGTTTCACCCAACCCATAAATAACTTGTTTTTTTTTCTTTTTCAGCGCGTTCGAACCGATAGAACAAAAAACTTCCATCTTATTCCCGTCATCTTCACTTCTTGATATCTTGCACTATGACTGCTACCACCTTTGAACACTACCCCGAGAATGTCGGCATTCTTGCCATGGAGATGTATTTCCCCTCCAGAGTAAGTGGCAAATAAACCAAGTCGAGATGGTGAACTTTTCGTGTTCCTGTGGTTTTTAACATCAGTCGTCAGTGTGTTGACCAAAGCGAGATGGAAACTTTTGACGGAGTCAGTGCCGGAAAATACACTATTGGTTTGGGTCAAGAGAAGATGGCGTTCATTGACGACCGCGAAGACATTCAGTCTATCTGTTTGACCGCGGTTCACAACTTGATGGAAAAGTACAATATCGCATACACTGATATTGGTCGCTTGGAAGTCGGCACGGAAACCATCATTGATAAATCTAAGTCCGTGAAGACCACTTTGATGACCTTGTTCGGTGAACACGGCAACTATGAAATTGAAGGTATCGATACCACCAATGCTTGCTACGGAGGTTTCAACGCTTTCTCCAACGCGGTCAATTGGATTGAATCCTCGTCTTGGGATGGTCGCTACGCCATCGTCATTGCCGGTGATTTGGCCCTCTATGCTTCGGGCGCCGCTCGTCCTACTTCAGGTGCCGGTGTGGTTGCTATGCTCATTGGCAAGAATGCTCCCATTGTTGTAGAAAGAGGTAACACGAATATAGCGGTTTATCATTTAGTGGATAAGATATTCAATTTACGCTGTCGGTGTAGGTCTCCGTAGCACTCACATGGAGCACGCTTACGATTTCTATAAGCCCGATATGCATTCGGAATACCCCGTGGTGGATGGCAAATATTCCAACACTTGTTATTTGGCCGCCTTTGATGCTTGCTACAACCGTTACATGGGCCGCCTCGGTAAGGCCTTGAATAAGGAAAAGCCCAGCATGGATGACATCGATTACTTGGTGTGCCACTCTCCCTATGCCAAGTTGGTGAACAAGTCGTTTGCCCGTGCTGTAAGTAGATAAGATAATTCCGGGGGAAATCCTATGGATGATAGCGCAGGGACTGTTTCGTTCATGTACTAATGACTCATGTGTCAATCGGATAGTCCTACAACGACTTTTTGAAGGATCCCGAGAATGAGAAGTTCGCACCTTTGGCCGGCTTCAAGGAGGTTAGCTACGCGGAATCATTGGAAAACCGTGATTTAGAAAAGGCTTGTGTCGGTATGACCAAGGCTGGTTATGCCCAGAAGGTCGGACCTGCTGCTTTCGTTCCCAAGCAAATCGGTAACATGTACACTGCTGCTGTTTGGTCCGGTCTTGCTTCGCTCATCAGCGAAGTCGATTCCGAAACGCTCAAGGACAAGCGTGTGCTTTTGTACTCTTATGGTTCCGGTCTGGCCGCTTCCATGATCTCCTTCCGTATCACCGGTTCCACTGATGGTATCAAGCAAAAGTTGAACTTGAGAGAACGTTTGGCTGCTCGTACGATTGCCAAGCCTGAAGATTTTGCCGAGGCCATGGCCATCCGTGAAAAGACCCACAATGTTCGTGACTATGTTCCTTCCGGCAACCTCGATCACATTGCTTCGGGTGTATACTATGTCGAAAAGATTGATGACAAGTGGAGACGATTCTACAAGCGCAAGGATTAAGCATTTGACAAACGTGCATGATTACATTCATATCTATTTCTCTTTCCTTGTTTTGTTTTTTTAATTTTATTTCCTTTTTGTGTTGTTTTCTTGTTTTACTTTCTTCTTTACTCCTTATCCGCTTCTATTGAAGATACTCTGTCCATTAATTATTCAAAAGCCAATAAAGCATACTTTGTGAGCTAGATACGAAAAAATACAAAAACAACCGACGGACATGGGCCGGTTGAGTCTACCATGAAGATCTTAGTCATGAAAAATTAAACTTTGGCAAGCTGCCCATCAGGGGTCATCGTTTTTAACGTAACGCCATTCCTTTTAAACTATGCGTGCTCTTTTATTTAATAAGCTTATAACATGGCATACAGATGTTTTCCAAGAAAAAAAAAAACCAGAGTAGCGGTTCCGTGACGCCCATAACGTAAATGCAATCGAGATCGGAAATATGGCATGATGTTGATGCAAGGTTCTTCGGCAATATGCGGCAAATGTCAGGAGGGATATGCAAGGGGGGAGATATTGTTATGACAGGTTCGCCCGTGTGATCCAATGACGGCCTTGCAAGGTAGAATTCAGTATTTTCTCGTTACGCTGATGTGAGAACCTAAGCGAGCCATGCGCTGAAGAACGCCACAGTTCGTGGTTGCCAGGGAGAAATCGCCGAGAAAAAAAAAACGGGAGGAAAATGAAATGCTTCTGGGTATCATTTTGGGAAATTTGCCAACGAAAAGGAAATTTAACTGGATGGTGGACACGCAAAGTCATCCACAAGGTCGGCCAAATCTGTCCCGTCACCAAATATATCATCAAAGTCATCTTCACTAAAATCTTCGCTAATTTCATCGCCCCATTCTCCAGGATCCGTAAGTTCTTCTTTCTGAACCATAGTCCTCGCCAGTCGATCATCTAATTTTTGGTCGCATGAATAAAAACCGAGTTGGCTATGCAGTAATTCCAACACTTACCCAATATCGCTTGCTGCACAAACTTTGAGTTGTAGGTCGGTTTATTCATCTCAATCCCTCCTTTGATGGGCGATTTTCGCGTCAGCATGAATCCTCGCATGGCTACAAGGCTTTGATATTGCAATCTTGCCGGTTCCTATATGTAGCAGTATTCAGTTGACCTATTCATTGATCTGTGTGTGGTTCACGTACTCGCCAGTCACCCATGGACGACAAATAATCCGCATCGCTAAACTGCTCCATTGCTTCAGCACAGCCTTCGATCGTTTGATGGCATTTAATATAATTTTCATGCAAGTAGGCAAGAAAAACATCGTGATCCACGGGCAGCAATTCCATGATCGTCTATATTCGTTACGAATCTTGGTGAGTCACATTCAGCTCTTCTCACATTTTTTTTTTTTAAAAAAAGTACCTCTGGCTCTGATTCCGGAACGCCATGCCGGTCTCCTGTAAGGCAAATTATCGCTGTCAATGAGATGTGCTGCGTTCATAGAGAAGAATAGCTTTACCACACAACTTACGTTTACAATAGAGCACCTTGCCCAAGGCATGGAAAAGCTCCAACGGCGCACCTCGTCCTAACAAGCTGACGATTGAAAAGTTGTAAGCATCATGCACGAACACGGTATTAAGCATATGATGCAATCTCTCATACTTTTGTCGGGTATCATTGGTCTTCTTTCGCTTGGATGGAACCGTAGACACTCGATTTACAGTCAATGAATAAAATTGCAGAGTATTGATCGCGCATCGAATGTCGCCTTGGCTGAGCTCGGCAATTTCTGACACTTGATTTTTGCTCATGATTTGGCTTTTCGCTTTCCCAAATTCCGCGTCGAGAATCCGATCCATGACTTTTACCAGCTGTGATTTGACAATGGGATTACATCTGTTAAGCAGTCAGTACCCACAAATAATGTCTACCGCATATCAACAGATCGCTTACTGAACTAATCGGCAATGTTCAGACTGTAGGATTTGCTGAGGAACCAGATCACGCAAGGATGTGAGCCGTTGATCATTGGACGAATACTTTGATTCGGTGTACATCCAGGCATCACTGATCACTAGAACTAGGAGAAATCGTTTCTTGATCCGAAGCGACCGCTGCAAGAGGTTCTGAAACCTGAATTTGTTGGTGTCGTTCAGAATATCCGGGATATCATCGAGTAGAATGATCTTCTGACGTGAGCAAGGTTCAATCGCGTCATCAAGAGAGTGAATGGACTGAATTGATCGCTGTAAAAACTCTTCGAATCGGGTCATGTTGGACTCGTAACCGTAATCAATACTGTAGCGTGTCTCCGTAGGCTGATTCGCCCAATCCACTACATCATACCCCAAAGTCGGTCCTAGAATACGTATCATTGTACTCTTGCCGCAACCTGTTGGGCCAGAGAGCACCAATAACTGTAGAGCAAAATTGTTAGTATTCCGTCGCTGATCCCGGTGCCTGATCACTGTACTTTATGATTATCGGGAGATCCCGCTAATGCAGAAGTCTGAATTTGGAACTTGACTTCAGTCAGTTTGGAGGGTCGAATAGCAAGTTGCGCCTTGATGCAATTTGTTAGATTGGAAGTACTCGACAGCAATGATCCGTTTCGCTGGAAGCGCTGTTACCTCTTTGTCTGGTGCATACTTGTCGGCCCAGAGTTGATCTATGTTCATAAAGTTAGTGCACAGTGGAACCCGTATAGTCTTGGTAAGTACCCAGTCAACGTACCGATCGACTGGATGCTGTCAGTTGGAGGCGAATCGGTCGCTTTCCTGCGCTGCGTCGCGTATGGTGGAAGGACGAAATTCTGGATCGCGCGATCTCTGTGTTGGTGAATTCGCACAAGCACAAGATAACAAGAACAAAAGGCAAATAACGTACCGATCCATCCTGTGAAGAAAGCGATTCGCCCATGATCAGATATCAACGGCAGATTCACAAAAACCAGCAAATAAAGATTAACGTCGACTGTAATAAATCGGGTTGTCAAAAAGAAAACAGCTTTGCACAAGTGTCAGATTCGCATCCCGCCGCCCGTGAGCAGGAAAAAGCTGCCCATCAAAGATGTGACAAACGTAGTATCAAGACTTTCAAAAAGTAGATCATGTTCATCAAGTAGTTGCCCGCGGCTCTCCTTGCTAGTAATTCTTACTGAATGGCGCATCATTAAATGTTGTACCGGCCTGCGGTAGCTGATTGTGGAGGTCATTCTGCAGCGTATGCGTAGGGTGCATCACTGATAAGTCTTTGTCCTATAAAAGCCTATACTCTGACAGCACTAGTAGCTTTTGATGTCTAATACAATTATCAAAGCATTGTACAAGGACACATTATGCTCCGATTAACTAAAACGCCATTCAGGGCCATCTAAGAGCGACCCTGCCAACAGAGTAACTCATAGTCTTTTTGCCCTTGCAAATTCATTTTTAGATTGGTGCTTCTCTCATTTTGGAAGGGCCAAGGACATTGGCTTTCATTATAGCCCACCCATTATTCGAAACGCCCATGTCTGGATGCCGCTTGACATTGTAGGTGACCCTTTTTAGTCAGCCAATCCCTCCCATGGATATGATGGGTATGTCACCGACTTTTTTTGTGAATTGCTGATGTTTCTGCGCTCAAAGGTGATCAATCTCCATATCGACATTGGAAATATCGCTGTCGTTGCATTGGAGATAAAACAATATCAATCAAGACTTCTCCACTGTCCAGTGGAATCATGCCTCATCAAAGATCGTGCTTGTCGGGGCCACTACCCATTACCAACAGCCTTCATTTCTGCTCAGTTCTCCGTTCCTTTTGCAATTCATTGTGGACAGTTTCCTAGCGATTGTCCCCTTTTTGCCTTTTTTATATATATATAGTATGAGTCTACTGCTACAAAGAAATGAGTCTAGATGAGATGGTATTATTTTAATGATGAGTAGGCTTGGATCCTGTAAAAGAGTTCATTAGCAGTCTATTTGTGCACGATCCTCCCACTCTAGCTTACCATCAACTCGCAGATTTCGAGTAGCCGATGGAATACGGACAGTGATACCATCCAGATCATCATTCATTTCAATTTGACAGCCCAATCGTGAACTGATGGATCAATTTCCAAACAAAAGAGCCCAGTCAGCAAACAGTGTGTTCCTGGCTCAGATCCCTATATCCTTATCGCCACTTACGTCTCTGTTAAACCAAATGCCAAGTCCAGCATGTCATTCTCTTCATCAGAGGGTTCTTCCATCTTGTCATAGTATTCGGGCTCGCAAATAACGTGGCAGGTTGAACACGCCAACGATCCTTCACAGGCACCTATATCCAAATCCTTGTCAATTACCTTGCAGCTGTTCTTCGCACATCCTCTCGACTTACATTCCAAATCTATATCGTAACGTTGTGCGAGATCGAGCATTGTATCGCCTTTGGTCGCTTTCACATCAATTTGCTCGCCGTCAGAAGTAATAAAATGCACGGTATATGGTCTAAAGAGATTGATGAGCATTCAACCCAGATCTTCCATTTTCTTGCCCCACAAATACTGTACCCGTCTCCTTTAGCTACACCGGGTTTGCCGTGAAGAAGCACTACGAAGGGCCAATTAGTGGATCCGTCTGATTGCAGGCAAAACAACAAACTTCACTTGGCGATATATACCTGGCGCAGTCGAAATAGAACGTCTGAATGAGGCCTGTAGTAAAGGTGCCTTGGAAGTGAAAAGTCGCAAAAGGGACATGGCCGATTATCAATGATCCTGGAAGAATGATTACACCTAATGCTCTTATAGTCTTTTTTATTATTTTTCTGCGGGGACATCCGGGCGGGTTCGAAAAATATGTCATCGAACCCATTATATCCAATCAAATTAAAACATTTTAACCAATCATCACCCAGAAACTTCACAAATCTCACTTCTCGGATCGCAAAGCCGTATGTGGCAATGGTTTGATTCCTGGTGTGGTGAGTGGAAATGCTTTTATGCACAAGGAGGAGCTTGGATCGTTAAAATGAGATAGGACTTTACAGATCGTCTGCCGCCCGAATCATTGATCAGTTACTTGTGATAGTCCCTGATGGCATCATTTTTTTGTAGAAATACGCTCGGTTCAATATGTCTGATCTACTTTGCAATTTTGGCTCATACGTTATCTCACGTTGATAAGCGAACGACAGCAGATTCAACGTTATTATACCGACGGTTCAATTATGCTATGAATCATTAAACGTAACTTGTATGTATACGGTGCAGATTTCGTATAAGCGGTGAAGAATTTGTACAATAAATATCGTATTGTATGGTGAGCGCTCACGCTGATTTGTGGATCTACCATGCACTGTGCAAAACCATTTTCAGAAATGTTAATTGGCGAAAATAATGTCATTTGCGACTCTTGCCGTTTTGTGCCTCTTTAACACTTTTGCCGTCGATGAGAAATAAATAAAATAAAGTTACTAAGTTGAAAGAATGAAAAATGCGTTTTGGTATAGAAAATCTTAACAGCAGCGCAGCATATCATCCCAGGAATATGCACTACTGCACTGCATTGATAAAGAAAGAACAGTTTTTGACAGCCGAGATCGTCAGTTAGTAGTGCTATTGCAAATTGTTTAGGGTAAAAAGTAAAAGAAAACATCCGAGAGTTTAAAAAACATCATTTCACCGGAATGATGTATTTTTTCAACTTTACAAGACCCTACAGGATGATATCAGAATTGCTTATTTAGCGTTGGCTGACAGATTTCCATCAAGACCAAGACGATGTTTAGTCATTTTCGGGGATTGAATCCGATTTCTCCGGTTTTTCCATCCTCCCCGCCAACAAACACCAGACTCTGCAAATGCTGTTTTTAAAAAAAAGTCATGTATCTGTATATTCAGGGCGATCACAAAATGACGTGTCATCGATCATGTAGTGGGGATTTGAATGGATGCATGATGCTATTTGCATCATAATTCCTACGCGTTACTTGGTGGTATCTTGTAATGAACTGCAATAGCCGTTGGATGAACCGTGACAGATCATCCGGAGACTGACGACTACTTCATGCAATGAACAAATCATTTGCAGAATAACAAGAATCTTACTACTGCTTGTCACAGTCGGCATCCTATAGACAAACAAATTGTGGAAAAATGAAGCGTGATCGACATATCGATGCAGACTTGCTTCGGATAAACTTAACAATGGGTCAATAATGACCACATGAAAACCAAAGCATGCGAAATGTAACCTGAATCATACCCAATCAACATTTTCAACAATTTAGTCGTCCTTCTGAACTTTGCTTCAAGTTCAAAATGAGATGATGATGATTTGTCACATAGCTTATGACTGTACGTGAGGATGAATTTGCATCTAAAGAAGCCTATTAGTAGCCAAGTTATGACTTAATGACTTGCCGGCGTGGGAGTAAATGTGTCAATCGGCTATGCCGTTTTTGGCTATTGTGATTGTTCGTTATAAACCCCCTTGTTTCTCCGCATAGAAGCCACTTCAATGTTCATGTAGTTGTCTAGACGGTAGCTAGTTCTATCGTTCAATGTAGGACCGTCCATGGAAGGAAGGCGTAGTTTCCGTTTTTTTTTTTTTTTTTTTTTTTTTTTTGGCAACTTCAATGCCAATGGTAGGCGACACGTGAAAGAAGTAATGCAATTCGTTGCTTTGCTCAAAAAGGCAAAAGAACTTGATTGAGACTCCGCGTCTTGCCCTTAAATACGTGCATTTTTTTTGGCCTCGTAGCTTTTTCAGTATTGTGCATTTTTTTTTATTCCGCATTGAAATGAAATTTGGCAAAACCCTCCTCAATAATCAACTACCCGAATGGTCGAAAAATTATCTCTCTTATAAAGGCCTGAAAAAGTCCATCAACGAGGCATCCCATAAGCTACCACCCTGTGAAGAAACCACCACCGGTAATATCTGAAATGATGAGGAGACTCATCCTTTACTATATCTTGTTGCATATTTCAATCCATTGGGAAAAAGAAGTCTAAAAAACAAGCTTTTTCTTATATTTTAATAGCTATCTTTTTCCAGCTGGACAGAGAACTCGAAAAAGTCAATACATTCTACAGCTACAAGCAAGCCCAGATTGATCGACGTCTGTGGATCCTGTCTGAAAAATACGAGCAACGTTGTACAGCCAATGCTGCTTTGACCACAGACGATGGTAGTAGTTGTGATGATCTTAACGAAGAGGAACTTGTCAGCGCTCTACAGGAAACGCGAGCCCAGATCAACAAGCTAATGTGGTTCGCCGAACTCAATACAAAGGGTTTCCGAAAGATTTTGAAAAAGTAAACACTGTCATTGCCTAATTTGAGCTACCTCACTCACGACAGGTTCCTTAGGTTGGACAAGAAATTAGGACTTGAAACCCAAGCAGTATACTGGGAGACAAAGGTACCGCCCTGATAACGGTTGCGTTGAGTCAGCCTAGCCGACCCCAAGTTCAAAAATATAGGTTGCTGTCTTGCCATTTGCTGCCCACGCTCAGATGCGTTCCGAGATCGATAAACTGACACAATGGATCGCCACCATGTCCATCAGCGATGATCGATCGCAGTCGCCCACCCATCCTGCAGCGGTCCATGTCAAGCTCCCTATGCAGTCCAAGATTGGCCGCCTCGGATTACTAACCGAGCAAGAACATCAGGATCTGAACAAAACCATTGAAACAGACAACAAAGAGGAACTGACGCATTTACTTGTTCAAGTCAACGGCAAACCTAAACATGAAGCTGAATTGGTAACGGAATTTGTTCATATTGATTATTTTTGGTGTTATTGAGTAACACAAGTGGAACGCAATCGTTTTACCTTCCGCTGCCTCCTTTTCTTTCCTTTTTTTTTCAATCTAGACACGTTATGCACTGTTGGAATCAGCAACCCAACACGGAGCACTCGACTGCTTACAATATCTGATCGAAAGTGGTGTCAAACCGCTCGAACACCGGGATATCAATGAGCGAAATTTGTTGCATAAACTGGCGATTCTTGCGGATGCCCTGGATGACAAATGTTTTACCGCCATCAAAAAATTGTTGGATCTCGCTCCCGCATTGGCGATACAGACTGACTTTGCCGGTCGTCGACCGTTGCACTATGCTGCCGAATCCAGCCATCCCCAAATGGCGCGTATTCTGTTGGAACATGCGATGAAACACGCCCAGTATGACAACTCGGGCTTCATGGACCCAGTATGGCAAGATCGTGAAGGTCACACCCCGTTGTTCCTGGCTATTCTTCATGGCAACCCGGAAACTTTAAGAACCTTAGTTGAACTCGGTCACATTGAAGACATCGATCGTACCATCGCAGGTATACCCCCCTATTTCTTATTGGTTCATACGTCCCGGACGGATTTTCTTAATTTGGGATATTAGCTGCGTTCCTGCAACCACGGTTCAGTGAGTCCAACATCTTGGAGGAATCTGAATCTATTCCGGAATTTGCTCGTTTGTCTCATCATCCGGCCCCCGTGGCCATGGCGTGCAAGCTTGGCAACCTTGACCTGCTCAACTTGCTCATCGACAAAGGATCCAGCGTAGACTTGGCCGATGATGATGGTGAAACGGCTCTCTTGTTAGCGATTCGTAGTAACTTTGTCGAGGGTGTCAAGGCTCTTATTGAACGAGGTCACGTCAATGTCAACTTGGCCGAGAAAGTGAATGACTGGACACCACTCATTGTAGCTGGTATGAGTTTTTGGTTATCTGGAACGACGGTGTACTGTAGTAAATATTAACGTGGAGATTGTTTTCTTTTTTCTAGCGATTGAAGGGCATTTGGAGATCATCAACCTGTTGTTGGATGCTGGTGCTGATAAAACACTTGTGGACTTCAATGGTTGGGCCGCGTATGAGCATGCTGTGTTCCGTGGATACCTGGATATTGGCAAGTTGACCAAACCGGACAATGCCGCTATACCGGTCGATCCGCCTGTACGTGCGGAATTAACAGAAGTGGAGAACAAACCCAATAAATCCTTGGCAAGAGCAAGTCGCCTATATGGTCACAAGTACTTGACAGATCAATCCATGATCATTGTTACCCTGGGATCCAACGATGTTCGCAATCCCCTGTCGAGGCGTTTCCTCAACGTCAACGGTCCTTTGTACGAGAATCAACGTCTGTCTATTGCGGTATCAGCCATCAATGCCACCGGCGAATTCCCGATCCTGGATTTGCCTAGCAACAACGAGCATCATCTACTCCATCCTGAACCGATCGTTTTGTTCGCGAGCAATCCCGAGGAAGTGGTCTTGCGATTTGACCTCATTGAAACCTTTGGTTCGTCTCCATCGAACAATATTTTGGCAAGAGGCACCTCGGTTTTGAAAGGAGACCAGATCTTTTCAAAGACCAAGGCATTCAAGGGTCGCGCCACGGGCAACTCTTCGCTTCGCGGACAACAAACGGTGCCTCTTGTAGACAGCACGACGCTTGAATATGCTGGATCGCTTGGCTTTGAATTTTTCGTCATCACGCCATTTGCCCACAAGAACATGAGAGTGGGTGATCGTTATACCTATTATAAATCCGTGGATACCAAGGTAAACTGACTGAAGAAGAACGCTTCGCATCGAGTAAAATGATTAAACAAAAGGTCGTTTTTTTTTAGGTCATTGGACATCGCGGATCTGGCATGAACAAGAAAGGTTCCCGTCTTCAAGTGGGTGAAAACACGGTGCTTTCTTTTGTCACTGCTGCTTCGCTTGGAGCTGAATATGTCGAATTTGGTAAGTTTCCATAGCAATAATCTACCAAGAGATAGATTGGGTCAGGAGATGTGAATCCATTCTTGGTTGTTATTTTTTTGGCTGTCCACTTACCAAAAATGATCTATCTTTTCTTGCAGACGTACAATTGACCAAAGACTTGACTCCTGTGATTTACCATGATTGGACCGTGACGGAAACGGGATACGATATCCCACTGAATGCTATTACGATCGAGCAATTCATGAACCTCCGACCTTCAGGACATATCAAAGAATACCATACTGGTGTCAGTGATGGCATCCACGGTGAACGCATGCCGACTATTAATAATCCTGATGCCGAAGATCTGCCTGTTCCTTCGTCCGTGGCTGCCAGTGGTATTAGAACGATCTCTGCTGCAAGTGCTTCAACTGGCAAGCGTGTCAGCCGCTCGCATTCTTTGAGCTCCATCGGTGGGCCCCCTATTAATAACCGTACCGATGCCACCAAGCGGCTGGAGCTGACGCGCACCAACAAACTAGGCAAGTTGAAGGGCAATGGTCCAGAAACCATCCAAGCTCCTTTTACCACCCTCGCCGAGACGCTCAAGGTAAGTGGACCTATCAATCACGTACTAGCCTACAAAAGATTCTAATTTTGACGTGTTCTGTACATCTTGTCAATATTGCAGAAAGTGCCCAAATCGGCTGGTTGTAATATTGAGGTGAAATATCCCATGATTGATGAAGCCGAAAACGAAGAATTGCACCAATTCCAAGAACTCAATATCTATGTGGACACCATTCTGGAGTGCGTTTATGAACATGCCGAACAAGACCGACACATTATTTTCTCGAGCTTCCATCCAGAAATCTGTTTGGCGCTCAACTTGAAGCAACCTAATTATCCTGTCTTCTTCCTTACAGATGCGGGTACTCTGTCCATGGCCGATGTACGTTGCAACTCGTTGCAAGGAGCCGTTCGGTTTGCCAAACAGGCCGACTTGCTCGGTGTCGTAGCTGCCAGTGAACCTATTCTGGCAGCACCGAAAATGGTCAAGGTGATCAAGGAAACGGGCTTGCTCCTCTTCACCTATGGTGTGCTTAATAACGAGGTCGAAAATGCCGTTGCACAAAAGTACTATGGAGTTGATGCTGTTATTGTGGTATGTTACCAGCGAATTTATGTCTAATGATGTCTGAAAAGAATTAACAATGGCTTTTTTGTTGTGTAGGACTCTGTGCTGGCGGTGCGAAAGGGTTTACGAGGGGACTAAATAGGCATTATTGCATGACATCTATTTCAATTTCTTTCTTCATTTGTAATACAGATATAAGCTTTTTTAAATCTATGATTTATATCATTTCCCAATCCACTGAAAACCATCTTGTTGAGTGTTTCGGTTTTGTATGCGACATCTAGTTGATCTTTATGCATGGGCACAGATGTTGAGCTTGAAATTTAATTCGTTGGCAAAACAGTTTAAAGTCATCGTCTGAGATCGAAAATTGGAAGATTTCGGCAATGGGAGTGCGCCGTGACTATTGCTGCGGTGCGGGCCGGGCTAATGGAGAATCCGTGGCGAGTGGGAGCAGCGAAAGGAAGCAAGCTCGTTGAGAATTATAGAGATTTCTCTCTCGTTGCCGATCGACAGTTCTCGCCATGGTACGTAGGAAGATGCAATCAATCGACATAACAGATGGATCAGGCATTGGATGGATCGATCGATGGATGATGAAAAACTGGAACGATACCGAAAAAAAAATATACCACGATTGAAAACAGGTGTATCACTCGTCGTCTCGTTTTTCGCCATTGAATTTGGAAAGACACTCATTGGGTGGACGCGATTTTCTTTTGCCTGCATCCTACGTTACGCTGATTTTGCATTCGACCTTCCCCTCATCAGACTCTTCAAATTGGAATGGAAAAAAGCTAAATGGAGTTCTTTGGATAGGTCAACATTCCCAAAACCCGCAACACCTACTGCAAGGGCATCAAGTGCAGAAAGCACACTCCCCACAAGGTGACCCAGTACAAGGCTGGTAAGGCCTCCTTGTACGCTCAGGGTAAGAGACGTTACGATCGTAAGCAGTCCGGTTATGGTGGTCAGACCAAGCCCGTTTTCCACAAGAAGGCCAAGACCACCAAGAAGGTTGTCCTCCGTCTCGAATGTACCGTCTGCAAGTACAAGATGCAACAACCCCTCAAGCGCTGCAAGCACTTCGAATTGGGTGGTGAAAAGAAGACCAAGGGTGCCGCTCTTGTTTTCTAAATGTGTTCACATACAGTTTTGCATTGTGCAAATAAATCATTAACATGTACCGCCTTTACAATCTTACAGCGTTGTGATTTGAGAAGACCGCAAAACAAGACGTGAAAAAGTTGGAAAAATATGTAGATGACTAGATCAGTTGGCGAAATATTGGATTTGTGCGTTTGTGCGTATCTTTATTATTGCATGAAAGAAGCAGAAAAGAGAGTGGGTTTTGTTTAGGCGGAAACGGTGGGATCCCATTCTGTGACGTGATGTTCGTCAAAACCGTCTAGGGTTTCCATATCTTCCTTGGATATTTCAAATGAAAAGACATCCATATTGCTCAATATGCGTTCCTTAGTGACACTCTTGGGAAGAGGCACATAGCCGTGTTGCACGGACCTAGCAAAATCCCAGTTTTAGAAATCCCGAGTTTCTGCTGATAATTTTTGCAGCCTTGCTTACCATCGGATGAGAATATTGGCGGGTTGCTGGTTGTATTTGTCCGCTATCTTTTTTAGTTTGGGATCTGAAAGCTTGGTGCCCATGGTCAAGGGCGAATAAGCTTCGATTTGAATGCCGTGCTTCTGACAATACTCCACTATCTTGGGTCGTGCAAGATACGGCGTGATCTACGTTGCATAGATTGATGAGGAGTGTGCAATATGCGTCGCGCGCGGGTTTTTTAAAGGTTACCTCAATTTGATTCACAGCGGGCAGACTGTATCCATTATCGGGCAACTCTTGGATATGGTGCACCCCGTAATTGGAAACACCTTTGAGAAGAATATGGTTAGAGTGATGGTTCAATCTGCATCTCATCAAGATGTAAACAAACCAATGCTTCTAATTTTTCCATCGCGTTGGAGTTTTTCCATAGCCTTCCACGTAGCTAAGCGTTTCTCCTTGCCCGGATTGGGGCTGTGAATGAGATAAAGGTCAACATAGTCCAATCCCAATTTTGAAAGGCTGGATTCCAACGCCTTGATAGCATTATCATAACCTTGCATGTTATCCCATAATTTCGTGGTAACAAAAAGCTGAGAAACACACATATTAGCTCCAGGGCCATCCTACGTATATCCATAGAGTGATTATAGGGAAAAAATCCTTACCTCTTCGCGCGGAATACCGCTGGAGAATGGCGAATTTGAAAACAAGTTGGAGGATTTAATAAATATTTCAGATAATGGTGTTCGTTAAGCAATCCTTTTACCTCTTTTTGATGGCGTCTCCTACGCTTTTCTCGTTACCATATATATTGGCGGTATCGAGGTGACGATATCCGGCCTAGTGTATCAAAAAGCTTTTGAATGAGGTGTGCTGAAGATCTGGCCTTGCGACGCAACGCCACGCCATTTTACCTTCAAAGCACACAATGCCGATTGCTCGGTTTCTTTACCGGGCCTCATATTATACACACCAAAGCCTACGCAAGGGATGGTGTGGCCATCAGTCAATTTGATTCTGCTCTGCACACTGGTCAATGAAGTCATTCTTGCGGAGAAAAGCCGTGCCATTAGAGGTGCGATGGAAACCGATGAAAAAATGCATGGTTTAGCGCTATCGGAGAATCAAGCGCATACCAAAATTTCCATGCATGACATTTTTTTTCGTGACGATGCCAATTCTAATCATTCTCTCGAGTCATCTTAAGTCGATATAGCTTTCAAGATGCAACAAATTTGCTCGACACATGGGCCTTGTCAACGCATAAATACTCATCGTTTGGTATCCTTATGCATTGGTGGTAAAAATGCTCGTCCCATTATCGCGTAATTGCCCCTCGGTTTTATTTTTATCAGTGGTTGCAAGTCAAAGACACGGCATAGATATGAAGAAGCAAACAACCTTTTTTTCATGATGTTTTGTACTCTTTAATATATCACCGTTTCAAAATATGTGAGATTCTATCTGATCGTCTCTTATTGGTGCATATTTGATATTCTGCAAACATGACATCCAATATTAGACTGTTGGATCACCGTTTTTTGCTGGTTAAGCAAAAGAGTAATTTGGTATCATATTATTGTTTTGGAAACTTTTGTTAATCAAAATTTGCAGGAACAAATACATTGAAAGAGCACGTTTCCATTGTGCGTTTGGATCGACTTAACAGAACAACCCAGATCTGTTCAACTCGGATGATCAATACACTGTTACCTATCTTTGTGGTGTCACGACTTACTTAGTTTTGGATATGAATGTCTTGGATAAGAGTTGCAATATTTTGCTGACGTCTAGTTTGATGTATTCGAGATCCAAGATCTCTATACTATCCTGTTGCTAAATCATGGGGAAAAACGTGAGCAAACAAACTTGCTTCTTCATCATTCGCTCCACACAGCACGATAACTTACCTTTTCTAAAAGATCATCTAGTTTTAGATCAATCTCCAGGATGGGCTTATCGCGTCCTGAGGTTGTCATGAACCATTAGGGAGAATTAATATAAATGAACCATCTTTTTGTGGTAAAATAAGACGTACCTTTGTAATGAATGGCAATGATAAAAGTGCCTGGCGTCGGCGAGCTAATGGTTATAAAGATATTATTGCGTCTACGAACAAGTCGATAGATTAGAAAAGCTTTGATGAAAAGAAAAAATGTTTCATTGAAGTGTCTCACCTGTATTCCGGTATATCGGTACCTGCAATGACCCCATCGCGTTCCAGTTGTTGATGGGTAAATTTAAAAGGTCCTTGAACGGACGGTTTGACCAGTTTTTTGCTAGGTTTACCGACCGCGACCTCGACACCTAGACCGACTTGCTTTTTATTCGCCTTATCACCGCCACCGCCACTTTGAATACGTACATTCTGGAGGTACGCTTTGTAGCTTTCTAGTTGACCTCTCAGATAGTTGTTGTGATCCAGGATTGACTGATACACAATTTCAAGTGAATGAATTTCCTCGCTAATGATATCCTTGAGATCGCCCAGATGGTCAATTTCTTGGAGCACTTCTTCCGCCAATAGCTGATAATGATCTCTCTCATCAACAACCCCAGCCTTCTCCAAATCATGCAATGTTTCTTTGATCTTGATACCTTTGCGCACCAATAACGGGTCTTTGGAGCTTGCCGCCGCTTCGGCAATGTAGTGCAAATCCAATGGTACTCCTGTCAAAGAAGGCAAATGACGAAGAATCTGTACCAACAGGAATTTGGCTTCTATATACAAAATGTCATTCTGAGTCACATTGTTTTCTGACATTAACGTTGTGGTTAAATCTGTTGAAAAAGAAAAAAGACATGAGATTCAGGAACTGGATGATCGAATGTTTTGGATCGTTATTTGACTTGCCTTGAATCGGGGTATCCCAGCGGCTGAATAAAGGAAGTTCGATAGGCTTATTATCTTGTCGCGGCAACTGGGGAGGTGGTGGTCCAATTTCATTCAACAAAATCCTCAGATGATCGGTATCTCTCGGTGCCAGTATGTCAACGTGTTTATACAGCAGGGATTGCATATTATAAATTTCGTTCAATGTGATGTTGATGATGATATTCTTTTTCGACAACGCCATGTATTGGTCCATCTCCAAAGAATCGTAAAAATCGCCCACTTCGCAGAGGCTGTTAAAAAACTGATTCATGCGTTTCTTGTTTCGTTCTATAAAGACGTTGGTCGGGATCATGTAAGCTTCTTTCGCATACACAGGCTTATTGGCGAGATTTTGCAACATTTTGGCAATCTACAGCACCATAAAAAAATTATTCGTCAGATTTCCCCATATCATTGGAACCCCAATGCAGATTGGTTGGAAAACTCCTTTCATACCAGAGTGAGAGTGGTGCGTGGATGTTCATCGGGCAAATCATCAATCAACATGTAGGCTTGCGGCGTCACGATGGCAGGATTGATGAATCTGAGCAAGAAAAACCCGCCAATCAAAGATGATATAGCAGAATCGGATGCATCAGGGTATTTTCGCTTGGCCAGCGATCGAATCTGTTTACAAATCCAACGAATACCATAGGGCACATGGCCCAGTGAATCGATGATAATGGTAAGAAATGCTTCGGCAATGGTAATTAGGGCGGTAATACGAGGTTTGATGATCGACTGTACTTCCGGATTAGCGGCTGCTGCTTCGGCGGTAATGCTTCGTTCATATTGAGGAGGAAGCGTTCCCTGCGCTTGCTCTGCTTTTTCCAGGATCTCTTCATATACCTATCAGCTAGAAATTAATGGAGGAATTTGGCGCAATAGGTCGAGCATCGTCATAATTACTTTTAATGGATTGATCTGCAGGTTGATGTCTTTTTGCTCGATAATGGTATGGATTTGATGGGATAAGATGGATTTAAGATACGTCTGTCCGGGGCCTCGTCGGGTATATGTCGTCAACATGCGAGATACGGGCGTGTTGGCTCGAAGTAATGAAGTGAATTCAGGTGTAGTCTCAAATTGAGCGGCAAGCACGTTCTACATTTTGCCCAAGAAACCAAAAATGTTATCGTCAAGGTGTGACGGTTCGTCAAGACAGAGGATGGGGGGACTTGCCTGGAACATGGTGAGCAGTAAATGCTCTTCTCGACTTTCATACTGATTACCATACAGGGTGAACATGACGGTTTGGAGTAGATTATCAATCTCCGAGAGACTAACTAGGCGGCAAAGGGTTGCGATATGACGTGATTCCCACTGTAAGAGAAAGAACAAATTGCTGTATTGCTGCATCTTTCGATCATCCGGATAATGATCGCTTGTATTATCGTCGTGATGATCTACATGGGAGTCTATTTCATGATGCTTCAAGAAGAAAGTAAGCACAACAAAGGATATGGTTGACAAGTAAATCAAGTTTCTATACCTCGTCCAGCGCCATTCGATTTTGGATCAGAAGCGCAATACGCGAATCCAAAAAACGAACATCCCGTTCCAGCATAAAGTTCTTTTTTGACTGAGCAGAGATTTTCGTTTTCAATTCTCGAAGGTTGCGCTGTGCTGTAATTCACATAACGTCTTGCTTTAGTTGCTTCGACAAAAAAAAAAAGTAGGGCGAAAATGTTTTGAAAAATACCTTGAGCCAAGTCGTCGTCGACTTCGACATCTTGTTCAGCCGCCATTGAATAAATCGCAGACACTGAATATCGTTTCGATCCTCGAGCATGACGGCGATTCGAGTGAAGACTGTTGGCAGCTGCTGCCGCCACGGTTCGGCTCATGGTGAAGTCGGCTGGCGATAAACCAATAGCAGAACTCATACTGCTATCGCGATGAAGACCCGATCTTCCCGGCATTCTAAGAAGAGTCGGTCTAGTGAATGAGGAAGTAAATAGGTACTAGCCCCAAGAAAAAAGAAACAAAAGAGGCAAAAGAAAAAACAAAGGGAATCAAAAGGGAAAAACAAGAAAAAACTGGATATTCAATGCCATCAGGTTACACATTAGCTTTGCTCCTTCGGAGGAGGAGTTTTTCATGGTTTTTTTTTTTTTTTTTTTTTTTTTTGTTGTTGTTGTTTTCTGGTCCGAGGTGCAAAACAATATATCCAGAGTGCAAGGCAGAAGCTGTGTTTAGTGGGCTGAACAGTCTTGTTTTTCCTTTTCTTTTGGTTGCTCTTTTAGAAAGTTCTTTGATCGGGCAACTTTTATTGCTATGACAAAATGGCAATAAAATCAAGTTGCAATGCAACGTGTGAGGCGGATTTGGTGCCTGGATAGGGTTGGCCTTGCAACCACAAGATTGTACTCCATGAAGATAGAATTCTTGTTGGAGAGAGTTTGTTGCTAGACATTGCATGCATTAACTTTGAGGAATTTTTGAAGGGTAATATAAGCAAATGAACAACCGTCAAAAGTTTTTTTTGAAGCGTGATCTGGTACGACAACAAGAAAAAAAAAATATGGCATAGTACACGTGCAGGGGGGGGGGGGGGAGTTATTTCATATTTTCATTGCACACATCCAAATACGGTTTTTGACAACACATTTAAATCATTCGCCCACTCACTCCAAGGCAACAATCTCACTGATAACCACTTGTGCTGTCTCACTGATAACCACCTGTGCTGTTTAAATCGGATGGCACCTGAGTTCTAGCGACAAACTTATGTCGATGATTTATTTCTTCCGCAGCAGTTAATTGCGGTCTTTTTCAATTTTGAAGAGCAATAAACGACGCCGCGGCCGCATTTGCTACCTTGGTTCTGTTAAAGTTCCAATGCCCCTCAAGCGAGGCGCATCATTCATGCATTTGCAACCGTGTCTTGGCCTTTGTGCTGAGAAGCACCACCGCCATGCTTTCCAGCATGGTGAACTGTCCCTTCCTCAGCAAGAACTCCTTCCCCTTTACTTCCTCTTTTTTGATGGTTTAGCATAACACACCTTGCGAAAAATATACACCTAGCGTCCTGTTGATCAGATATCGCCAACATAGTACCTCATTGCTCCTCGTGTATGCAGGTATATGTTTTTGACGATAGTGACGCCAAAAGTGGCCTCCCTCAATGAAACGAAACAACCATAGGCCACCTTGACGTTAACTGAGCCAAGTGGTCTGGTCGAGAGTGAGCTGCGGCAAGCAGAAAAAAACATGAGTAAGAGGGGCGATCTTTGGACAAGAGTTTATCGAACGTCTTATTGAATAGAGAACAGATGAATCAAGCCAAATAAAAAGGTCTTTTCTGTTGTGTGTCTTTCTAGGCTAAGGTAGTCGTTTTTCTTTATTTATCTGCTTTTTTTTTTTTTTTTTTTTTTTGGCCGGTCCATTTTCTTGTAAAACAGCCCGCTTTGACGTCGCTTTGGGCATCAAATGAAAATGACCGTAATATAAAGGAGAATTAAAGTGTTTTTCATTTATTTTTCTTTTATATGGTGGCATAGTTCGTCCACAGGACATTAAGCCCACTTTTTATTTTATTATTCAACCCACAGAGTTGAGAAAAGAATAATAATAAAGGCGAAAGCCTTTTCTTTTTTCATTTACCTTTGTTGCGATTAAAAAGCAAACCCACCGACATACCTTCCACAATGACCGCGCTGATGACTAGTCAGGCGCCCAAAGGGAAGAGCCGACGGGAACGAAAACAATCTTCTTCAGAGGATGGCCAATCCTATCATTAGAAGATGGTTTTCGGATTTTTCGCCATACCCCGAATGCTTTACCAAAAACCGGAGCGTTCATCATTACCAGTAACCACCAGCCTAGCAGCCCCTGATTCCGAACTGGCGCACAAAAGAAAAGAAGAGATGAAAAAAAACGCCCTCTTTTTATATCTTTTGCGGACCTTCGATTTGTGACCCTGATCTTGACTGCGAACACCTCATTGGCTCGATTCTCGTAACAAAACTCGCGAATTTCAGCGCCTCACACTTCTTTCGCGTAAGGGATGCAAAGAGGAGCTGCGCCATGTCACTCATGCTGCCTTCAGCATCTAATATCCACTATAATTAATCTCTTAACATGCAGTATAGCCTATGTTGAACGCTGATGCGACAATGCTTCAGACTTTTAGCAGTATTTTTGATCTTGTTGTATGTTAGAAGGTTTCCCCATTTGCCCTGCCCCTTTTGTGTCAGTTTTGTCTTGAAACCGTGGATTCAATATTGCTGTGGCAATAAGCGCTCACATATTACTCCACGAAACCAGGATGTCAGTTTCAGTGCGCCATGTTGCAATGGCGACAGGACAAAGAGAGCGCAATGACCAAGACCGATGCGAACGCATGTGAGCAAGTGCGCCAAAAAAATATACTTGCAGGCTACGTCAAAAATGTCCTTGTACATACGTTAGCGTTCGGAACAGGTAACATTGTAGTAACAGCACCTGTAGCTTGGCTTTTCCATTTCCAATGTGCATAAACTGATTTGATCTGCAGGCCAGTGTTATCTCCACTTGAAAATTGAGTTCTCATTCTCCGCTTCCCTCCACGGGCCCGTTTTGTGATCGTAAAATGCTGCTGTTTGTGCGTTGATCCAAAGGATCTAAGAGATAGAGATTACAGATAGACAACCAGTAGAATTTATAAATGATCAAAGCAAAATTGACCCACCTGCATGTCTGGACATCGGCTTACGTTGGTCAAACTTTCTGAGGGGTCCAGTGATCCAAAGACGATCACAGAACCCGCCCATTGCGGCGATTTTCTTTTTTGTATTTCTCTTTTTATGAGACCTCGAATAATATAAAAACGAACCACGTATCGCTCGAGAATCTGCATCTTTGACATTGTAGTGCCATATACAGGATAATCAAGCAACCCTTTGTTAGTCTTATCCGTCCATGATGATGCCAATTGTAAAGCAATACGAAGCTTTCTCGGCACATTGATTTTCTAAACGGATCCATCTTTCGTTATCCTCATAATCCGAAATTCGATTAACGTTTTCCTTTCTTTTTTTTGGCCGGAAACCTTTTTTCTTTTGACAAAAAACGGATGGTGATTGGATGAGTTGGTTTGCTTGTATTTATTAACACAAAACGATGATCTGCAGAAAAGGAAAAAGGACAGCTGTTTACTGACGAGCAGCAACTTCTCTGGCAGCAATAGCGGCACGCTTGGCCAAACGGGCGTTGGACTTGGGACCGTTGATACCTCCACCCCAGGTTCTGCGGTGTTCTTCCCACTTGTCGGCAAAGTTGGCCTTGACAGCAGAGACGAGGTTGGCCAATTCAGCCTTGTCGGCATCCTTGACATCGGTGAAAGCCAAAGCAGTGGCGGTCTTTTGGTGGACAACGGTACCGAGACGAGCCTTACCCTTGACAATGCAGTATGGGACACCCATCTTGCGGCAGAGAGCGGGCAACCAGATAACCAACTCAATGGGGTCGACATCGTCAGCAATGACAACCAATTGAGCCTTCTTGGCTTCAATCAAGGCGGTAATGTGGTTGATACCGTGCTTGATGACAACGGGCTTCTCAGTCTTGGGCTCCTCCTTCTTCTCAGCCTTGGCAGCGGCAGCCTTCTTCAAACGCTCACGCTTCTCAACCTTGGTCTCGGGTCTGTACTTGTTGGCAAGCTTGAACAACTGAGTGGCAGTGTTCTTGTCCAAGACATGGGTGAATTGGTTGATGGCCGGGGGAACCTTCAAACGCTGGTAGATGATCTTCTTCTGGCGCTGAAGACGGACATAAGCGGGCCACTTGACGAAACGAGAGACATCACGCTTGGGCTGGATATCCTGACCTGTTTCCAATAAAAAGCAAAAATAATCACGGTCAATCAAACGCGTTCCCACTCCATCGATCCAAAAAAAAGATATTCATTATGCATACCAATGCCAAAGTTCTTGGGAGTCTTTTCAATCAAGGGGTTGGCAGCAGACTTGGTGGTCTGCTTACCCTTGACGGGATAAGGAGCGGGAGCAACCTTCTTGCCGGTAGACTTCTTGGCGGGAGGCTATTATCAAGGTTTTCATAAATCGTTGATTAGATCGTCATGCTGCTTGATAATGGTTGCGATGTTTCTATTCTAAGTCCATAGCCGTGACCGTGTGCAAACGTATCGACTTCCCAATACCGTGTGCTTTTTGATCATCCTTCTATTCCATCCATCCATCCATCCATCCATCTGCCAATGTATCTTCCTTTTCTTTCATCCATCCATCCGTTTCTCGGCACTGTCCCACTCTCTATTGATAATCTTTTGGATGCTCACCATGTTTAAAGATGCGAAAAGAGGAGGAAATCCCAATGGCTGGCAAAGCACCCTTTGATACACGATTTTTTTTTGTCAATTTTGGATAGATTTGAAACACCGAAAAAGGGCCGCCACTTCGTCTGTCGGTGCCCACCTCACCAAGCCCATGATAAAATTGCAACAAGTCCTCAAACGGTTAGGCTTTGATCACTCCTAATCACTGTAGACGACTTTCTAGGGTAATTCACAGTTTCATGCGGCATGTTTTAAGATACGTGCGACAATAATGTTATATGTCAAAGAATGAGGGCTCTGTTATTAATTTAACAAGGTATACGTGATTTGATAGAAAATTTATTACATTAAGTTGAAAGGGTCGATTACCATGTGCTATCCAGGTCGCATTCCGTCGATGAAGTGACCGGTTCATAGTCCATATCACATGGATCAACCCCGTCATTATCGCTTACGTCGAATAGCACTTTTATATACTGTGGATCATTAATGTCAATGTTGAGCCAGCGTTGGGTCGTCCGTTCTTCGACTTTTGTAAGCCTTCGTGTTAATTCTTCCTCTGTCAATGTCTCCCAGTCAATGTTGTTCAGCGGATCATCATCTGGACGAATATCTTCTTCATCTGCATCAATGTCTTCAAATTCGTTCGCAGGATCTCCAATACCGAAATAGTGACGAAGCCTGTTTTTTTTCTTGTCGTCAAAGTCATCTCCCTCTTTCGGTGCAAGACAAATAGGTTGATCCCAGCCATTGCCTGTTTCTTCGGTAACTACCGGTTCCACTTTGGGAAATTCTTTTTGCAGTTCTTCTTCGTACAATTTATTGATCTCCTTGGCCAACATTTCTGGAGACAGATAATCCACCGGTGTGGATGGAATGGGAGTCCCAATCCCGGGATGTTGATCTGGATCGTCGTCTGTTGTGGTACTGTAAACTTCGTCTTCCAACCATTGTTCGTAATTTCGCATGAACCCTTCGTCCAGATCGGATTCCTGTAATATGTAATCAGCGTTATTCGTAAATAGTTCTTCAGCGCTCGAAAATCCAGAATCCGGCTCGTCGTATTGAGGCAGCATCGATGGCAAATAACGCTGACCGTTGTATATCTTGATCAGCATCCGCAGGTTAATCTCCTGGGCCTGTACAATCTCCAGTTAATTTCTCAACCAGCTTCACAAGGATTCACGAAGCCGTTCCCCCTACCTTGCCATCCTCCAAATCATCATCCGTATCATTTTTGGACAGCCAATCATCGTCCAGGTTGGTGTAGCAATGAAGATAAATGGCAGATATTGTTTTCATATTGACTAACCTTGCATTAGATCATGGGAACTCACATATGGATTTCTTTTTTTTTCTTACCTGATCGCCACCGACGTCCAAGGTACGGAACTTGGTTCTTTAGGTTTTTCAGTGCATACAGTTCCATGGTGACATTAGATATCTTGAGAATGCGCTTAAAGATGGCCTAAAAAAGAAAGAGCCACTTTTAGTCTCCAACGGTCGATCTTTTGTTCCGGAAAGCACAGTGGCTACAGTACCGATGATTTATATTGAACCAAAAGCATGATACGATGTGTCTTGCCCTTGCACAGCTTTTGCGATATTCGTAATAGGTTAATGATCCAAAACATATTTCGTCCGTTGGTGGGTAACTGCGATGTCGTCTTCATTGAGTGTTCCGTTTCGTCACTTTGTCCAATTCGTTTTGGAGCGATATGGTTGAAAAAGCTGAATCATCGAAGCAATCCGATAAGCGGTTGAAACGTACACCGAAAGAAAAGTCAATGATGGAGACGACTTGCCTGTGATCTTTCAAATCGGTTTGGCTGGATACGATTTTCGTCATATCCTGCAGTCCTAGGATTTTGAGAATCAAAAGCATGCACCCAGAGTCGACTAATATCTGTGAGAGGTATTCATATTTCAAAACATCTACAAAATATTTATCAATACAAAGTATTACACACTATAATGCAAGGATGCCATGGAGATGATACATTACGTGACACTTTGAACCATTTGAGAAGTAGTAAAATGACGGCCGAAGTCGCTTTGGAAATAATCTCGCGGTTACGGATCGCATCGACTTCTTCTGGAAGATCCTTGGCGGTGGAAGTTTGTCGAGCACTATTTTTACCCGAAGCTACAGTGGATAACAACAATTTCAATAGCACAATGACAATGGCTTGCATGTCAGGAACAATGAAAGCCTATTGTAACCCCACGAAAAACAAAAAAAAAAAAAAAAAATGGTGTGAGCCTTCGCTCCACTGACTTTTTCTGCATGCATCCCTGTCATAATTACATAAACACTTTCAATGTCGTCCAATAATCGCTGAAACTGATGTTCGGAAGATGATGGTGATGATGAGGATGATTTATCAGGTGAGATATGTCGTTGTTCGCTTCGATCCTGCCATTTGCGGATCGATAATTCCCGTTCTTGAACAATCTGGCAATTGGCTAGCGAAAGATGCATGTGGTTTTGATAGACTTGGCTTGCTTCGACGATGCTGCGCGGCACACTTGGGCTCGTTGATGACAAGGGTAATACCAAGGTTTGCTGTGATAGTGAATTTTGCATGGATGGTCTGGGATTATTGTTCGGTTCGTTGCCGTTGCCCTGTTTCGCATCTTTGGGAGGAAATAAAGTCTGGTAAGGGAGTTCGGTTTGCGCGCTCGCCGTAGCAATGCCCATGGCATTAGCGAGAGCGGGGGTGGCTTTGATGGTCAGTGGATTAGCAAAGGTGGCGGGTAAGTCGCAAGGGGAATAGGTAGGGTATTTTTCGCAAGTTCTTGCTTGAAATGCATAAAAGTCCTGCGGCGTGCATTTCCCAATGATAGTGTCTATGCATCATTTGTCCCATCAAAACCCGATTTCACATCACAGTCGGCACTCCTGCGGCTTTACCTCTGGAGGAAGCAGGTAATCCCCTCTTTACTCTCTCGTTGTTTTTCAAGGCGGCGACTTGATCTAATCCTCCAAAGGTGCATATTATTACTTTCCATAATACTAAAATAAGCTATACATGAGGATCAGCCATCAAGGACAATGAAGAGTTTTCCATGCATATCCCCTTTGATTTTTTGCACCGTCATACCTTTTTCACAGGAAATGTATTCACGCGCCCTTCCTTTAGTTCCGTCATGATGTTGAAGAATAATTGAAGGTACATAAGATCCAGCCGTGCTGTTTAATAGGATCCTGTTTTGTCAGTCACTGATCGTCGTTGCACGGACGGATCGCCCACTGGTACCTGATATGTCGCTGAACATTCCGTTTTGACGATTCGTCTCAATGACAACGTAGAAAATGGTTAAATACAGACTGATCTCCTTGTGGAGACTGTCGACAATCTCGGATGTAGCATTGCTGTTGATGCAAAAGAGGTTTCTTTATAAAATGGTATGAGGCGGACGGATGCCACTGATGTATGCTTACGTTTGTTGGTTCAAGGTACCCATGGTGCGTTTCAACGTATCGTAAAGGATGGATAATGTGCCAGAACTCATTAATCGGTTGTTGTTCTCTTTGACAAACGCAGAATGTTTTTCGCTATCGTCAATGCAATCACCAAAGTTGCCTGTCGTACGTTTAAATAATAATAAAAAAGCAAGGCACGGTCAAAATCGAGACAACATCGAGCAAGTGTGTGGTATAGAAAAGCAAATCGTACCCAAAGCAATGTAAACAAGATGCTGAGCTGTTTCGACTCTGTCATCCGAGGCAGCGTTTTCGAGTCTATCCAGTAACTGCTGAATGAGGGCGATTCTTTCGTCTTCGCTGTAGGTGTCCCATGCTAAGGTAAGAAAAGACGATCGAAATGTTAAGACGAGTGATGCAGTGAAAAGTATACGAAACCATGGTGATACTAACGCTGTGAGTATTGCTTTTTGAAATTACGTCGGTAAGTTTGTAGATCGGTTGCCACTTCCGTATAAGTGAAGAATTCGTCAATCTCAACCGTCAATGTCTCGGTGTCACGGTATTGGTAATGTTCATGAGGTAACTAAGGAAAGTAAAGAAAAAAGGGTTAGACAACGAACAACGAACAATCGTACAGTAAAACCTCACTTGCGTACTTTTTGTTTTCCGGGTAGTGCTTTGATGATTTGCTTCAATTGACCGGGATTCAGTAAAGGATCCTGATGTTGATCCTCAGCTGCTGATGGCGGCATAATGACAAGTCAAAACGAAAAAAAAAAAGGTGGAAGACAAGGTAGCACGAAAGAAAAAAAAGAAAAGATGTCCTTTCAGTGCAAGGACGGAAAGAGAACCAAGCTCTGAGGGAAAAAGGTAAGCGTAAAAAAACTTATTGCGCAAAAGACGGACAACGTAGCAAGTGGATAACTGTAAGGAGAACAGAAACGGCCACCGTGACTTGACCTGCCAAAGCACCCAGTTTTTTGCCTTCCGCCCGTTTTCAAGACACGCATATTGTCCTTTTGTTCAAACGCGTGGCAATTTTTTTTGTTGCAGCTAAACCACCATGTCCGATCTCATGGACGTTTCTTGCAAATCGCGAGATAACCAGCACGCTTCTTCCGATACCACTAAAGTCGCCTCTATCGCCGAGAGAACAGAAGCTTGTAAGCTAATAAAACACAACACCGAAACGAAACGACAAAACTGACAGCTTTTCGATCGACAGTATCCGTACCCGATGTCAATGCCATGCACGACTATGTCAGTCTTTTTTTTCACCTTGGTCGTAATATGTTTCGCTTGTCTGATATGCTTCCAACAGATCTCTCAATTCTTCAAAGACGGCAAGATCGTATTCCAAGAACCCAAGTTACGTCCCGAAAACCATGTGGAGATCAACGCAAGTAAGCCAACGCCGCAATTTGTCATGTGAGCCGGTCTGGTTTTATTCATATGTCAAAAGAAATTGTAAGATTTCGACAATTACGCCTCTCTCTTGAACAACGCGCTATTACCGAAGGAGACAATTTGTCACAGATATCAGCAGAATACTATGATCTTGTAGCCGCTTTGGTACAAGACAGGTAAACCATTTTGTGGAAGGAGCGCAACAAGATCATGCTATTTGAATGCTTACTTTTTTTATCATCTTTGTCCAGTGATGAATCGTTGTCTGTACTTACCATGCGACTTAACGATCTACTATCGCCATTTAATAGATATGAAGAAGGTAACGCCAAAACTTCTGGTGGATTCACCTAAATACAAAACTAAGAATGACTTGTAGCGGCCGATTGTTATTCCGAGTGGATTGAACGCACTATTAAGCAGGTGGCGCATCGAGAACGATATGGATTACAGGCGTCAATACTGAACGATTTGGAGGGTGCACCGGCGACTGTACCACTGGTATATTGATGATGGATTCAAAAACAGTGAGAATGAGGGCCAAACGATCATTTAACAATGAAGCCTAGAATTTATCCGTTTTTCGCTGGGAAAGCAAAAATATCTCCATATTTCCTCAAGATTTGCAAACAGCCATTGAAATGAGACGTTATGCCCGAAGAAGGGTACTTGATATTTTGAAACACTTTATATACTGCTTACTTGGTTATTGATGCTTTTCTTTTAGATGACCGAAACAGTAATGAATGTGTTTCATTCATTGCCCGCAGAGCAGCAAATTTCATTATTAAATACAAAGCATCGTAAGCCACATTTCACCGTAACCAAAGAACGAGTAGATGAACTGGTACTGCACCCTTTATTTTTGTTACTACTGTGGAGCTAATGTCCGGTCTAGGTGGTAGATGAAGCGCGGAAAGCAGCAGAAGAAGCAGAAAAGGAAGAAAAGCGCAAGAAAAAGGTAAAGCTATATGGATCAACGGTGCATACGTGTGACACGGATGCATTTACGAGCTTGGTCATTGTTCTTTAGGAAGAGGAGAAACGAAGGCGGGAAGAAGAACGCAAAAAACGAGAAGAGGAAAAACGGGTGCGTGATGAGGAACGTAAGAAGCGAGAAGAAGAAAAACGACTTCGAGAAGAAGAGCGAAAAAGACGAGAAGATGAAAAAAAGAAGAAGGAACAGGTAAGCTGAGGTCAAACGAGTCAGAATAAAAGCTTACAGTGTCTGTGCAGTCTCAACTACGCCTTACATCCCTATTCACGAAAGCAACCTTTGAAGACAAATCTTCATCTTCCAATATCCCAGAACATGGCAAGTGGACACATTGCAATCATAGCCATGCGAACCAATCATTTATTTGTATGCTAAAATTTTCCAACTATTACCCAGTTGCTGACAATGCAAAGTCGAATTATTTCCCTCCTTTCTTTGTGAAGGAGCACGTTCGTATGCATAAGCCTGTTGCAGTCAAAAGCGGCAGTGCGTATTTTGAAAAGTCGTTACAATACAGCAGCAATTACGACAGACTGCCACCTGGTAAGATTCGATGGATGAACAGCTTTTGCACGGGATCAGCAGCTCTTCTAATAACGCACTGCAGTTTCTTCCGAGGCTCGAAACAACTATCTCCAAGAACTGAAAGCAAATCATTTTGAAAGCACCCGAAAACGTGGTATCCATCGCAAAATTGATTTACGGACCTTTTTGTTACCTCCTGGATCGTCGGACAGCAGTGTATATGATCTTATGAACCGACAAAATGCCCAGCAACTGCTCCGAATGAAATTGCTTCAATTCTACGAAGATGTGAGACCAGCGTATTATGGTACAGCATGAAAATTGTACACTGCGACCGTTTGTACAAATACTTACAGGTATGCTTGGGATAGGTACTTGGACCAAAAAAAGCAAAGTGGTCACTGGACGAACTCCGTTTGCTCGCGATGAGCAGTCCATGGACTACGAGCATGACAGCGAAGCAGAATGGGAACCCGAGGGTGAAGGCGAGGATATTCAAAGCGGTGAAGAAGATGAGGATGATCCAACCGCAGATTTGGCTGACGGCGACGATGTAAGGCCCCCTGTTGTTATGTATACGAAAATTTGGGTTGACTAATATTGAACGCGAAATCAGGCGGGCTGGCTGGTTCCTGAGGGTTATTTATCGGACAGTGAAGGCGTTGATACCGACGATGAAGATTACAAGAAATCTCGATCGCAAGGCGTGACATTGAGACCCGCGTCTCGAAAGGTAAAATTTATCAGTGAATTTGTACGTCCTTGGATTTATAAAAACTGATTTAATGGCTGGTGAAGCATTTGACTATTCGTCAAGTTGTCATTGGTCCTCTGTACGAAGATGTGGATGGCCATGTAGAAGATGACGCACTTAAACCATACGAGACCAAAATGATTATCGGTAAGATGACGCTGTGGTATCTTGCAAATGTCCGCATTGTATTCATCGATTTGTTATAGACTGCGGTGACAGTTATGATCCATTCTACGTAGAACCTGTATCAGCTGCTGCCAACGCTGGCAAGGGTTCAAGCTTTACAGAACACCATACCACTGAATTAGTGAATGCAAGTGACGAGAAACCCATACAACCTCAAATACTCGCTGCTAACACTTGATTTTTCCAGATCATTGCAGGAAAGGCAGTGGAGAATATACCGGATCTCGTTTCCGAGGCAAAATCAAATTGGTAATACGCTGCTTTGTGTTGTGCTACGAATTTATTTTTCTGATAATATTACTCCTGCATAGGTTATTGCGCGATGTTCCTAAACGTCAAATTGAAGCAAGGATCAAGGATTTGGCAGTAAAAGAAAAGCGCGGTTCTGATACAGTAAGACAATTTTTTTCTATATCCTGCATTTTTACGTTTAATTTGTTCTACGACGGTGATGACTGAATGTGATCTTTTTTAGAAACCGGCTTGGTATATCAAAGAAACCAATTAAAAATACTAATTTCGAAAGTCAAGTTTAGTTTTTCTTTTTCATTCATCTTCATCCTCCCTTCTTCCTCCTCTTTTTGCCCATAATTTGTAGATGCATCGCTATGTTTTCTTTGCAACTCCCCGTTTTCCGAGCAAATGACAGAAAAAACCACAACTTACCAAACTAGCTGCAAATACAATATCTCGCTTGATATCTTCTTCCGCTTGTTCCATTTTTTTGTAGAGCGCTGTATCACCTACCATTCGCGCAGCCCCCAAAACCTCACGGCAAGTTTCGTCCAAGCGACTGATACAACGCACAATCGAGCCTACACAGTTACGCCATGATATTAAGTTGCTGAGTTACCGAGACTTTTTCATCCCCATTTCAGACAAACCTTCCAGTACGTCGGTCAAATCAGTAATATGTTTGAATGACTAGCAGAAAAATTAGACTCCGTCCTGACATTCCTGTCGATCCTGTCGATCCTGTCGATCCTGTCGATAAGACGAGGAAGAAATTCCTTACCAAACCGTGAGCCCATTCATACACGACTTCAACGAGACCGAATTGAAGACCGTTGACATAGTCTTCAACGGAAACCGGTAATCCGCAGTCGACCTGGACTTGCGCTACTTTACGTGCGTATTCCAAGACAATTTCCTTGGCTTTCAACAATTTCGGCGTCAATCGGGGCTCACTGGCGTTGCGTTCCTGGAAAACAAAGGCGGATAAAATAGCCACGATTTCTGCAGGTTCGTAATCAGCAAACACATTGTCCAGAAGCAACTCGGTCAGAAGCAATTCATCGGCGGAATTGATCTCACAGGCAACGCGGCCCTTTAGCTGCACGGTGCCCTGTTCGTCAATGTATTGCATGCGTTTCAGCACCTCGATACGTTGATGGTAGTCTGGCAATAGTTCTAGATTTTGGTCAGAAATTGTCAGCTTCAGCATATCAATTTGGCTCGATAATCGTTTATGCGCATGAATTAATGCATACTGTGGCGAGAGAGAGTGGAAGAATTAGACCTGTGAAATCTCGTTTCGTTTTTTTCCTCGCCAACTTACATGTTCGTTGAGGTCAGGGCATTTGGTACATTGGAAATCAGATTTTAATTGCTTCATCATGCTCATTTTGTTTCGCAGCATTTCTTGGAATTCGATATCTTTGATTTTGCCCCAATCGTACTCCAGCACGCCATCTAACGCACGATCAGATATCGTTTGCTCTTGAATTCTTTTCGAATAAAATTTGGCTACTTACTTTTCTGAGCTTCAGTGGCAAATGTTTCGAGATCATGCGTTACTTTGGTTACTTCCATTCTATTTTGTCCGGTCATCAATGCATCGATATCCGCCTAGTAAAGAACAATTCGGGGGGGGGGTTATCAGCCAAAAGAATCTTCCTTTTACTTCCTTTCATGTTTACCTTGATCACAGTCCGGCTAACAAGTAGAATATCGGAAACGCTAACAATGACTACCTCTGTTCGGCTGTTGGAGGCATCGACGGCATGAATGCTTGTCAAAGGGAGCGGTGCCAATTCATCTAAATAGTAATGAATAGTCAGCCTATTATTACATTGGGTCTATGATCTGCTAATACTATTTCATCTTACCAGAAGAAATTGCAGTTTGTGCACTAGAATCGAATTCTTGCGGCACCACAACGAAACAGTAAAAGGATTTCTGCTGTTGCTGTGCTGCGGAACCTTGTCCCGAAGGCAAAGGCTTCAGCAACATGGCGGGCGAGTTACGGAAAACCTAACATCCCCAAGCATTAGTGTCCCAGAGTTTGATTATCTCAAGCGGGAAAGAGTGGATAGCTTACGTTTTTATTCACCAAGACGACGCGACCGGCCGCCAAAGCCCGGATACCGGCAGGGGTTCTTGAGATGAAATCGACCATCATTTTGCGGTTCAATAACAAAACCTCTCCGCACACATCATAGAATTTGCTTAGATCCTGATCGCAAATAGTACAGTCGAGTTGTCGAAGTGCATTCATCTTTTCTTCGTTTTCATCCACCAAACGTTTCGTGTCTGGAAGTAATTTCTGTGTACTGTTCTCGGAGAAACTGCGTTTGATCATTTCTTCCACTTTGAGGGCCTCCACACGAAGCAGATTCAAAATCATGTTGTAGGTCAAACGGAACTGGGATTCCAATTTCGTAGGTTTACCCAAAATCATGGTCGCCAGAGTGGAAGCCTCGGGTACTTCGTCACCACCACAGGCAATAATGACCATACCTGTACTGTCAAGACCACGACGACCCGCGCGGCCAGACATTTGCGTATACTCGCCTACCCCCAAAAAAAAAAAAAAAAAAAAAAACATACACTTAATTATCATTTTCACCCCTGATTATTTGGTGAGTGTATCAGCATACCAGGCAGCAGATCGCGGAAACTGCGGCCGTCATGTTTTCTTAAACCCGAGAAAACCACGCTACGCGCCGGCATATTGACACCCTATATGAATGCAGGAAAAAAGAATTTAGCCGTCTATTTCATTTCTCGTCACGAAGCACTTACCATAGCAAAGGTCTCTGTGGCAAACAACACCTTGACCAAACCTCGCGCAAACAAGATCTCAACCATCTACTTGGACTGCTTAGCCATGAAGTGGAAAACAAAATCATACTCCGATTTATACCTCTTTGATGATAGGTAAAAGACCACCGTGGTGCACCGCAATACCACGGCTTAGCAGATCGCGCATCCTCAAGATTTGTGGAAGTTCCTTGTCAGTGCCACGCAATCGCACCAAGCTTCGTTCAATAAAGACATGGATTTCACTCTTTTCCAAACTTGTGCATAAATCGGTTTTCGATAAATTGCTCGCATGCTCTTCGCATTTCTTCTTGGAAAACGTGAAGATAACAACAGGCAACAATTGCTTCTTGTTGAGAAAGCCAATTAAATGCACAAACAGATTTCGATCCTATTGATTTATTCTCAATATCATGAATCATTTCCAAGCGTCGTGGTTCAGAATGGACACTTACTGTTTGCATAGCGGCTTGATAACTTCGACCAAGTGGTTTGACAGGTGTGCGGGCAATAGCTTGTCCACCACGGCCACCTCCTCGTCCACCTCTTGCACCGCTAGGTTTTTCAAGTTTTTCCTTCTTCTTGCTAATAGCCTCGTTGGCGTTCTTGTAACTACAAGACCTACATGAGTATCCTATTTCAAAATTCTCTTTTCTGACATACGCTGTGCTATTTAATTTGGTTTCGTGGGCACCGACGATCTTGAACAGTTCCTTGTTGGCGTACAGATGATGTTCCAAGGGGACAGGTCGCTTCAATGTGCTGATAACATAAATGTCCTTTTTCTTGGTTCGTCTGCAAAAATCAAAAAGGATGAGCGATCTTCTTTGAGTATCTAATAATGTGATTGCTTGGCATACCCGACCCAGTCGGCAAATTCTCTCGTGTTGGGCACCGTAGCAGAAAGAAGGATAATATTGACATGTGCAGGAAGCATGATAATGACTTCTTCCCAAACCACACCTCTCTGAAGGATCATGCCGAAAACAATACATTAGCTATCCATAAAAATGACCATTTCTTTTTGCATATACCTCCAAATCATTCACGTAATGCACTTCGTCAAAAATTACAAATTCAACGTCGCGAATCAAATCCGCGCCACGATACAACATGCTTCGTAGAATTTCGGTTGTCATGATCAAACAGCTTGCTTCAGGCCGGATCTGGACATCGCCCGTGAGAATACCAACATCATCTCCGAATGTATGCTTGAAATCCCGGAACTTTTGGTTACTCAAAGCTTTGATAGGCGATGTATAAATGGCCCTTTTCGAGATATATAAAAAAGAAAAGGTGTTTAGTCAGTGAGAACGCATAACTTCGTTTCCGCCTAGCAACTACTTACTTTGTCATGTGTTTGGAAGCTAATGCAATAGCGTAATCAGCTACCACGGTTTTACCGGCCGAAGTATGAGCGGCAACGAATACAGAGTCACCAATTTCCAAATGGTACACAGCATGCTTTTGGAAAGTATCCAACTCGAAAGGAAACTAGATTATAGAACAAGGATGCTTTAGATGCCGCAAAACGTTCCACAACTCTACCTAAGTCGATAAACGTACGTGAAGAGCCATCTCTGGCACAAGTTCATGGAAATCATCAAAAGGCTGATTGACATTGATTTCGTGGGCCCACTCTCGTCGTTTATACGCTTGTTTAACACTTCTGAGTTTCTTGGGTGCCGATTCCGCATGAGGAGGTGGAATATCTTGAGCCGGTAAAAGCGCATCAATATCTTGTTCCTTTGCTGCGGTCTTTTGGTTTAAAGAAAATATTAGCAATATTCCTACCATCACTGTACCGGTTCATACGCCTCAAATGGATACCTCTGTTTCATTCTGCTTTTCGTCTTTTTTGGTGAAGTCAATTGTTGTTTTCATTTCCAAGAAATCAAATGTATCATCGGTGGGTTTCATCATTTCTTCAATATTGAAAACAAATGACGGTTGTGCAGTGGGTTCTTGCTGCTCCTCTTCTATGTGGGTTGACAGAGATTCAACAGCTAACCTTTTTTCATAGCAGATTTCGAAAGCTTACCTTCAAAATTGATGCCACGATCCAATCCGGGAGGTATAACATTGAGATCTGCAGGACTGTGTTAATTTGTAACGCAAATAGTCATATAAAAAAGGTGCTTAACCGAACCTTGATCCAGAAAATCCAAGTCTACATCCACGTCTATTTGTTCATCTTCCTCCAATACTTCGACTTCTAAACCTCCTGGAGCAAATGGAAACTGAGTCGCTTTGCCACGCACGAAATCCTTGGTTCCTGCAAAAGGACGCATAACACTCGTGGAATTTGTCGAAGCCAGATACGGTGAATCGACGAGCGCTTCTTTGTAGCCAACAAGATCGCCGTCAAAACCATGGCGAACAACTTCGATCGTCGTGTGAGGCTTGGATATTTGCGCATGCAGGAAGCCAGGAAAGTTGGGGGTTTCTTCCCAGTGTCTAATGGAATCGAATGAGTAACAGTAACAAGGAAAACATTCAGGCAACATGAACCTACTCTTGGCAATTGGACAGCCAGTTATCCGGAAAGTTCTGTTGAGGCGTTAAAAATGTTTGCTCCAATTCTGCCTTGATATTTTCATGCGAATGGTCAAGAAATATGGCCTTTTTCTGTCAAACAATGGTTGTTAATGGATGCACGCGCATGTATTGATATGAATCTAGCGAAACTCACCTCGGCATTCTGCTGACGCAAAATACCAAACACCTCTTCCAGCTTTTCCGAATTTACTATAGTACGAATAAGCCATGAGCCAAAGTGTTAATTTGCTAGAATGAATTGGAGACCTACAGTTGTTGGACATGGCCGAATGTAGGAACAAAATGACAGAAAATGAGTGGATATTTCGCGATGCAAAAAAGTGTGTGGGCTTTGAAAAATTTCGATTTCGGTGAATCTTAGACTGTTGGAATTCTCAAAGATATTGCTCATCCATCATTGTGTTTAACTGTGGTCATGCTTTCAGTCGTTCCTTATAATTTCTTAAATCATAGATAAATTAACACTTTATTTAACAGAAATGCGATCAGAATCTGTAGGACAATAGATCTGTGGAATAATAGGTAATGGTAAGAAGATGCTGCATTCTTTTTTCTGTAAGTGATATTGCTTATTTACCTGTTGTTCTGCTTCAAAATTGATCTCGGAAGGGATAAAGTCAGTAGGAACAAACAGATTATTCCAGACAGTCTAAGAAAAATTTACGCATTAAGGATATGTAAACGCATGATAGTTGATGAAGCTATTATACCTTTGCGACCCAGTTGTGACCTTTTTGGCTTGGATGGAAGCAATCCAGGTTACTAAAATTCAATTGATTAAGTTTAGCCATCAGTTATCCATGCCATTCCATGCTTGTTCGCACCTTAAAGCGTCGATGGGGAAGCTTCCAATGTTAATTGGCATAGGACGATAAACCACACCAAAAGTGGCCCCATCTACTGCCTTGTACTTTTCTGCGATAGCTCGTAGTTTTTCATTGTATCCTAATGGAATATATAGCAACTCGGTCATTGACATTGCGTATATATGGAAAATGAAAAAAAATTTATACCTGCTGATAATTCATCCATCTTTCTCAAATTCTCCTCCGAGTCCGAGCAAGAGCACATGGAACGATTGAGGATGGTGCTACTGTCATTGTGTCGAGGTCGACAATAAGCTTGACCTTCCGTAAGTGGAAACACGGCGGACACCTCAAATGTGCCAACTGTTTATAATGGGTTATTTAAAAGGATTCAAGTCATGAGTAGCAAGCTTTCTTTTGCACTTACGCAGATTGACGAGTACTTTTGGAATGTTTTGTTTGATGCGCTCAATAGCAGCTTCTACGTAGGCTCCGTATTTCTCTACAGTGACATCGTCCTTTGTACCGCTGTTGCAATATCCGCATTGATCGTTGCCTAAACACATCAACCGTTAATACGGCTATGTCTTTTTTTTTTTTTTTTTTTTTTTTTTTTTTTACCAAGATTGTTCTGTGCTATACTTACTCCCGATTTGGATGGTGATAAGTTTCCAGTCATTTCGGTAATTGATACCGAGGTACGTCTTCATGCCTTTAACGCCCGACCGGCAATCAATATCAGCAACGCTATTTTATCACTAGGGATCATCACAATAACACCTACGTGAAATGAGATAATCAAGCTCAGTTTGCAGGTTCTTGGCAACAGCTCCACTTTGTGCAGCATTGAGGTTATCGCGAAGCGGTCGATACACAGCCAGGCAGGTATCAGCTAGGTATTTTGTGCTTAGAGAAGCGAAACCAACCTCTTCGACTATCCATGATGGCTACTTTACCTCCACAATAAGAGACAATATGGCTGCCAACGGAGGCTCCCTTTACACTCTTCGAATAATGCTTCAGAAAATTTGGCACTGTCACAGCTCCTTTGTCACCGCCAACAGCATAGCTGTGGCCTCGGAATTCCGTCACAGAGCTAAAGTTCACAATTCCAGTACCGGCTTCATTAATTCCCATCATGGCGAATCCTGCCATAATACTATAACCAGTATCACGTTAGAAAACAAGTGCACTTGTCAACAAAAAAGTCCACACACGAAGACGAACCTGTCACCCAATCCACCAATGACTTTGATATCATCTGCACGGAGATCCGTAACACCTGTTACTGGTGTTTTGCGTGGACTCAGAGGCGCGCATTGATCGATACTGGACACGTTGAGTGCCGCATGGAGAGGTAATAAACAAGCAGCTATGACCAGCAATAGCAACTTTTCACGAGAACGACGGTGCACCATAGTAATTTAGAAAAGAACTACTAAACAGTAAATCTTGCTCTTATCAGTGTGGCAAAACCAATCTTTATATAACCGCAAATTTATCATGCTCAAAGCATCAATATCGATTTTAATTTTCAAATGTTATTGCCGTACCTGTGAAATGCATCAGCGCGAAATACTAAGCACGCCAAGTCTTACACCAATGCGCATGTGGTCGTATATTCTCTCAAAACACGTATAAACCTCCTCTTAATGGTTTCCTGCTATTGCACAATTTGTCACGAGCAATCCTTGTCAAATGGGAACTTTTTTGGCGAGCGAGAAAATAGCGTGATTGCAAAGTGGCGAACCCCTTGTTTCGCTCAAAGGGCCGGAAAAAAAAAGATGGTAACTTTACCGGTACCTGAATCTTGCTAATCTGTTTTTCCACTATATTCCGACCAGTCATGTTTGCTTTGCTGCTATTTGTACGGAAGGCTAACCAGATAGACAAACCATTTTCCATGAATGAAATTCTGTGAGTGATCAAGTTAGCTGTAGCGTATTTTTCTCAGCATATTGTTTGCATAAATATGAGAGTAATCATTCTTGTAGGTAGGCGGTATACTTTTACCGAACGGGTGATGAGGTTCTGTATTACAGAAAGGTATTCTTTTTATTCGATGCATTGCATTATTTTTCTTTTTTTTTCAAATGGTATGAACGCGGAAATGTTGTGGAGAACAGAAATAGGGTCAGATGATGTGGGGTGAATGTACAATGGATAACCTGTGTTAGCCTTCCTATCATACGATTAGAGTTTATGGGCTATTAACATCAGGCAGAAATGAGACAGGAAGTGGGTGGTTCTTTTGGTTACTTTGCGGATTTTTAAACGGAAATAATGATAAACGACGCCATCATGCTACGGATGGAACTCCACACATACAATAAATGACAGTGCCAAGGAAAAACATGGTCATAGCGTCTTTCCAAATTTGGCAATAGAAAGACTTACAGCTCAATCTTCCAACAACTGATAGCCACCATTGGCAGTAAGGAATAAAACATCCTTCTTCATCCAAAAGTCCAGACCAGCCATGGTTTCGTCCATGGGGACGCCTATTGCTTCGGCTATCTCTGCACCAGAAAGTACTTGATCTAATTAATCGGTTCAATCAATACATGCATAAACTGGGTTCACTCACACAAACATGTCACAGTACCTTTGCTGTGGAATAAGGAGATGATCAGAGCGGCTACTGGTGTAACAATAAATTCCTGCGTCCTTGATCGAAATTCCAATTCCAGTGTGACCGTGCCGTACGACGGTAACCATTCCAGCCTTCGTGATGCTTTGATATTTCGATACTCCGTCTCGTACAATGACATCAGATCACCAAGCTGCGGTATTAAGCGTACGTTCCCAGGATCCTTTTCTGGCCAATAATGCTTTGATAATGCAACAGCGTGAAAATCGTCCTGAAGCTTCGTGTTTCCGTGAATATATCGATCCAATCGTCTTCCTTCACCAATGTCCTTGATCATGACATCGCAGCTGTTCATAGTATGCTCTGGAAACCTTTGTTTCAATAATTCTAGTTTGATCATCTAATTGAAGAGAGAAATTAAAACATGTCATTTTCTTTATCTTGAGTTGGTGTCTCACCTCTTCATCCACGTTAAAATCGACGCTAGCTAGCAATGCTTCAGCCAGTTTCTCTTTATAGCCTTTGATAAATGATTGTATATCGCCGCATGCGCTGATCAGCATTACAACGAGATCAGTGGACTTTTGCTTCAGTCGATCTGCGACAGCTATAGACTTTTTTTTAGCTTTACGTTCGTTAAGCACAGTCATCCTATAAAAATACTTACTTGAACTTCGTTCTGGGATCACTTGATATTCGTCATTTAATCGTCGATCTTTATCCAATTCTTCTTCTTTAAATACATAAATATTTTCCTCCTCTTGAGCGAATAAGTCGTCTTCCTCGGTACTAGAACGGATCATATCGACAACAGCAGGTACCACATCCTTGCGACAGTCTCTACGGCTCTATGATTTAGCGTCTTGCCCATGTAACGACTAGTATTCAAACCCCCCTTACCTCATATAAGTCTGCACTTCTTCGACAACCGGGACCAGAACACCACAACTGGGGTCTGCTCCTTTCAGAAACCGTATGCAGGAAATATATTGCTGCAGGATATCGGTCGCTGAGGCACCTTGGTGCAATAACCTCTCTCTGAGCCTATAAACGGTCGCAAATACCAGTGAGTCTTTGAAAGCTGGACAGACGGCGGTGTTTTTGACTCACGCTTTCAACAAGGCATCTTTAACATTCTCCACGCGGTTTAATTTTCTTGTTGCGATCTACAGAAATCGGATAATCAAGATTTTCTGTCTCTATCTCTGTCTGCAGAATTTATAATGAGAAATGGATGTTTACCTGTAATTCTTCGAAAGCAGGCAGAGAGGTTGGGTACTCAATAAAGATATCAAACAGTTGTTGCACGCTTTTAATAGGAAATTAAATGGGATCGAATATTCAGCAATGCAACAGCAAATGATAGAAAAAAAAAATAACCTACCGAGTTTCGTAGAATAATTTATAAACCAAGTATTCGCATTTGATTTTGGCTCTCAATAATTTAAACCAGGATTCCTCTAGACTCCAAATATGTGATTAATTTATCTAACCATGAAGGATAGCTGATGATTATATATTTACCTTTGCCATCGATGAGGACATGAGATAGCCATGGAAGAATCACATCTCGAAACCATTGTAGCATAGGTCGTAACACGGGTTCGCTCCAGCAAGTATCCCAGGTTTGCAGTCGTGCTTGAACGATTTCTCGAACAAGCTGAAACCAATCCGGACCAAGTTGTATTTCGTTCGCCTCTTTACACGCCTTACTGAATGTATCCAAATGTGATTTCGATATGTCCAACTGTATCTCTGCTCCCCAGTCCGTTCGATCAATTGACAAGCTCTTGTCCTTCAGAATTGCATCACATTGTTTGCGGAGCAGTTCATCGGATATGGAAAAAGGATCCAACACGTCCGTTATTTGCTCTTCCAAGCCGATTTGCATGATTAGTTGGAGATCCCTCCCAGTGTAAGCAATAGAAGGGCTGTACAAAGTGGATAGGCCGTTAATTTCAGCTTGTTGTTCGAGAGCCAGACCTTCGATCTGCCGATATCCAAAAATATAATGTTCTTTGCGCGTATCTGCAAACAATGCTGGAAGATGCTGTTGTAATAGGCGACAAAACTCATATTGCAATCTTGCTTTCAACTTTCTCGCTGCCAACGGACTGCCGCTGAAAGTAGAATGGCGTCAGTATCTTTGGCTGTAGTACTAGAACAAAGGCGTACCTACTCTGGACATGGCATATCCAAGGCAAGGGTGATACAGCGATAGACAGCATGCAAATCGGATATTAGTTGAGGATATTGAGTCAATTGCAGTTCCTGATCATGTCGCTTTTTCTGAAAATAAAAAAGGTGAAAATGATTTAAAAAAAGTCACAAAAAACTGCGGCAGCAGAGACTACACATACTCTGTACTGTGAATCCCATTTGGCCATGATGGACGGTACAGTTTCCTCAACATAATCGAGTGCAATGGCTAGGAGTAAGCAGAGCATGAGTCAGTAGATGACAAATGTTGGGTACTGAAAAAAAGTCGTACCAATATACCAATCCGCAACGATAGATTGAGGAATCGTGGGATCGTGTAGATCTTTCAGGGGTGATTCGCGTACTGTTGAAAGTGTCCATTAGTCGAATGAAATCCAAAATGTAAGCTGAATGCGATAGATACATGAAAGCGATCTTGGCTTTTTCCTTCCGTATTCGAGAATAGCATCAAACGTCGGTAACTTGTAACAAGAGAGAGAGAAAGACGAGTTTGAGACCCAAGTGTTTAGTCAGTACGAACGCGCAGCTACATTACTTGTTTGGATTTGCTGTTGATCTAACATTGCAGGAAGTGAGCGCGTGATCGTAGTAGCCATGAGTAAGCAATGTCTTACACCATGTTCTGATCGCCAAGAATGGTAGTTATTAAACTTTTGGATAGCTTCGTCCGCTCGCTTCATGTGGAATACAGAGGAGAAAAATGGTAAAAATTGGTTCAGACCGGTAAATTTCAACTCTTGTTTCCTTGCTCGTCAATGCAATTCAACAACCGCATGAAAAAAACATCAGAGTTTGCGTCAAATCAAAAATAATACTTTTTTTTTCCTTTGTAAATCGCAAGAAACATGAAGTACTTATACATAGTGAGAAATGCTATTGATGGAATAGTATCGCTCTACTGTCTTTTTTTTTTTGCCAACAGAGCGAACAAGAAGGGGATTACTATCAAATTAATTGTTCTTGGTTGATGATGCAGGCAATGGAAAGCCTACGTTCAGGTCGACCGTGTCGTGCCGATTCAAAAATTCTAAACTTCTGCGCCAATCGCTCAAGGCACCTGGTGTGTCGTGATTGGGATCTTGGCTGTGTCCATGACCGGGATCACTGAATTCCTTGGAGGCTGCGGTTGAAAGTACAGTATCTGAACTGAATGCATCCATCCGCTGCTGTAATCGAGATGTGATGGAAGTCGAACTCGGTGACGAGTTCGTATGTGAACTCGATAATTCGCTGTTTTGGCGTCGAGCTGCCAACATGCGCGAAGCAATAGGGGTAGCAATCGAAGCTGGCCTGTCCAGATCCTGCGATAAATCGGTGACAGAGGGATACTGTCGATAAGATAAAGGACGAAATGGAAGGGAAGAATTAAGGTCCATGTTCTTCTGTTGCACCATGCGAAGTTTGCGATCCCGCTCGTATTCGCTCCATTTTTTCATGACGATTTTGGAACTGTCGAATTCTCCTTCTCTATCTCCATGATGACTTTTATCAGCGCCTTGCACTTTACGCGTTTCACCCCACGTAAAGTCGTCAAAATGCCAGTATGCATAGGTCGGCAATACGAAATTCCATATAGGCAAACTGAACAGATAGATCAACATCCACCCGATGTAGACGAGTTTGCGACTTGTCATAACAATCAGCACAGCCGGTAGTCCCAGGATCAGCGCCAGTAAGATGAGAGATAAAACGGCCGGCTGACCCATGAGAGCAAGGATAATCAGGTACAGGGTAAACGAGATAGCTGCAGGCAGCGCCAAGGTACCCACAAGTTCCATGAACACTACAAATTGCATGGAGAAGCAGAAAGTGCCACACAAGTCGTGAACAAATAAAAGTTCCATGAGATTGTGGATAGTGGAATTGATCCATCGACGACGTTGCGACAGCAGTACGGAAAACGAGTCAGGCACCACCGTTTTGCATACAGCCTGAGGAACAAAGATCATTTTGCGACGCGGAAATGTCTTGAGCATCAGCGTAGACAGGTATCGGTCTTCACCCAGCAGTAAAAGATTTTTCTTGTGGAGGGTGTCGACGACATTTTCGGAATACCGTTCAATAATATCGGGATTGGCGAGAATAGGTACCCAATGGCCATTGTTCCCTTTTGGTGCTTTGATTCGATACATGCAGAAACATCCCGGTAAGCAGGTGACATTACCAAAAATGGACTCGAATGCCTTGCTCTGATGATGTGATATATAGTATTCGAACACTAAAAATAAAAATATAAAAGAGCAATCATGTAAGAGATGCATCTCACGGGTTTCAAACCTCGGATCTTCCTGCTTTTGTTTTTTACCTTGGATCATGGACACCCAGCTGTCAGTTTTATTGCCAATCTTGGTTTCACCACACAAACCGGATATTTCGGGATCATTGACCATGCAACTGACCAAGCGACTGAGGGCATCTGGATACACTTTGGTATCGGCATCTACCATGAGGACGATCTCATATTTATCCGGGCTATTTCCGGTGATCCGCCAGATATTGGTAAAGAGCTCGTAGTCAAGCATGGTCATGCGCTCGTCAAACATGACTTTTTGCAAAAACGACATGAGAATGACTTGAGAATCGCGTTTGCCGCGATTACCGGGCTTGCTTTCTTTGGCTTCTTCCGGTGCGCCAGTCTTGCTAATGATAATCATTGGCACCCGCTGTTGCTGGGAAGGATCCACCGTGGCGTCGTCGTATCGATAGAAACCGGAGTATATTTTAGCCATATTATGTCGGTGAGCGCCGTCAGCAATGGCTACATACGAGTAGGGCTGCACTTGCTCAGGTGGAATAAGGAAATCATGCATCATGGATAAACAAATGTCCGGTGTCGACATTGAGTTTCCATGGCCAGTGATAATACCGTCAGCGATCACCATGATTAATTTATGTGAATTTGGGTAGTCTGTGGTGGCGATGGAATCCAGTGTCGTTCGCAAACCGTCGATGCCTTCCGAGTAACAAGTCACCAAGCAAATGGTATGAACAAGAGAGAACCCAAACGGCATGTAATCCGATTTGGGCGGTGGTATAGCATGGGCGGACACAGGATAAGGACAAGAATGCTGAAGAGAACCATGGCTTACACCCGAAGTTGAAGTCATGGATGAACGTCCAGAGTCAGGACTGGTTCCACTTTGACGTCTGGAAGAATAACTGCGTCCATTGTCTGAACCTAGAGGACGAAGTGAACTTGGTTCAGCCAGCGGCGTCATCCCGGAGGCTAATGCAACGGAAGAGTTGTAGGATGACAAAACACGTACTCTAAAAAAAAATTGTGATTGAAGAAAGTTAAGCGCTTAAAAAGATAACTGTCGATCGAACGGAAATCAATGATAAAAAAAAAAAAAAAAAAAAAAAAAAAGGTCCAAGAAAACCATGTGGAAAACCATAATGAAAACTTACTCGGGCGATTGCTTCCAAATGACATTGCTTGGGCGTTCAAGAGCATTAAAATGCATGGAGCCTGCTTCGGGTAAGGTGAAGCGAGAGGTTTTTGGCATAAGAGAGCGTCTATGTCGAACGGGATACGGTAGCACTTTCTCGTGAGGTTGGATCGCTTCAGCGGGCCGATGGATGCCGGATGTCCAGTTTTCAATTTCCAGTTCTCGTTTCATGCGTTCTTTGTAGGATCGACCTTCTTTAAAATTACCCAGTTTCCAGGAGAGACACCAGCCAAACAGCACGGCCAAGCCAAATTTGACGAGAATGACACCAAGAATAACGAGCAGCGAAGTATACAGTACGACATCCGAGGCAATGCATCCCACACTCTTGGTGTCAATTTCGCCCACTTTGATGATCTCTGTCAAGCATTTCGCTTCTTGCTTCCATGTAGAGCCATCGATGCGACGTGATGCCACTATATGTGTAATGTCCTGCCCTCCGTAGACTGCGGGGTTGTTCAATATACTGGCGAAGAGACCGTTGGGAGGGAGCCTGATCAACTGTTGTGGCAGTGCGTGAAGTAAGTTTAGATTTAGCACGTTACTATTTTAATCGAGTCTTTTAGTCAACAAATGGGTTTCATGGGATATAAAGTTGACCGTGGCTTACCTGTTATAGACGGCCAAGTAACTACTACTGTTGACATGCTTCCAGTCATAATATACTCGTCCGGCTTTGTCAAAACCGCCATTCGGTTTTGGAACGCCGTATGTCTTCATGGCTTGGAAAGAGGATCGAGCCAAAGATGAGGTATGACACCCTGTCGCATTTCCGTAAGTGGATGGATCAGGTACGTCGAGTGTATGGGTGTTGAAAAGTCTGCATGGAAAGTAGGTGGGTAGTGAACTGTCTTGGCCGACGGGTAAATTGGAGGCAGAGGTGATAACTGAGGCACAAGCTTTATTGATGGTCTGAAACAAGAAGGAGGCATCTTTTCCACCTGCATCGATAGGCGGATAAGTCGGATTGGTGTTATCTTCGGTTAACCCTGGAATAGGCGGATGGTCGTTCCATGATGCCAGTAGATAAGCCCATCCGTTAATGACTACGTAACCGTTGTTGAGATCGTCTATTCGATAGCTGAGAGCAGGACGTGGGCACACCGCTTGAGTAAAACCGAATGTTAGGAACCCCACAAAAGCCATGATCCACAGGATGATAGTGACCAATCCGATCTTTTCACGAAACGCCAATTGAGCTGCTTTATCCTTTTTTCCTATATGAAATAAGGCCAAAACAACAATATTAGTTATGGGATCACCGTTGGCCCACCCAATAAAAATTGTTATCTATCTGATCCTTTTTTCTTGCATAGTGTCTTGGCGTGTGAAGAGTATGACATGTGAGCGTAAAATGATGTGCTTATCCAGTCAACATATGCAGGGAAAAAAGTAGAGAAAGAGAAAAAAACAACAAGCAAATGCCAAAACGTTTACCAATAAGTCTCAAAATAGGTGGAGGGCAACAGCAGGTGACAAGGTAGCAAAACATTTTCCAGAGACCCGGTCTTTGATTGGCTATAGGTGCCCTGCGATCTGGTGTTTGATTTGCAATATCGATCGAATATTTTTCGTCGTCTCTTGCCAGAATGCCTCTCCTTAATAATGAACGTCGTGCCGGGGCCGATCGATCCCAAGCCGGTCGATAGGAGCCATGGTCGGTGTTGTGTTGTGCTTCCGTGAATTGGGTCGAATTGGCCAACCCATCGCCTGCAGCGGCCACTCGTCTTCTAGTATGATATTGCGGGTGATGTGGATCAAGAGGTTGTCGTTCCGGTCGCACCAAGGATGTTTGTCTTTTTGGACGCCCACTTAGGGAAAATTGTCGATTAATACGGGTATTAGTTTCCTGTAAGGTGGTTTCGGAAGGCATATGAATAAAAATAAGAAGGGAAAAAAAAAAGGACGCCAAAGCAATAAAGTAAAGATGTAAAAGAGAGAAAGGGTGATAAAAAAGCGAAAAGCAAGATTTCTGAAAAATAGGTGGAGTTTGCTGTGATCCTGCGTCTAACCATTTAATCATTGATTTATTGATGATATACTTTTTCTCTTTTGTTTTGGCTTCTATTACCTTTTTTAGAGGCGATCGAAATTAAAGGTTTTTTTGGACGCAAGTTGACAAAAAGAGGGCTCGATGACAGAGAGAGGCTCGACGCGAAAAGAGAAGCAAAAATCTCAAATTTTAAATAAAAGCATACAGTTTCGGTTTTTAGGAGAGAAAAAAGAAAATCCACTTTATGGGGAAAAACGATCTTCTTTTCTGGTGGCTAGGAGAGGAAGGGGTAAAGTTACCGAATAATATGGTATACGCCAAAATAAAAACAAGCGCGCCACAGCGGCATCGCAGGATATCTTTACAATGCAACGCATCTATACCATGAATCGCCAAAAAAAAAAAAAGTCAGCTCACGTGTGGCTATTACATTTATATGTGCGCTTATGCGGCTAGGTCTCCATCTTGTATACAAAGCGTGGTTTTTTATGTGTTCCTTCTTCTCTTGCTGCCGCTGCTTTGTTTGCTTGTGTGTTTCCAGTTATTGCTAAATCAACTGTACAATCAGATGTGATACATACTCTTTACTTTACATAACAGCAGAAACTCAAGCTCAATGTTCTTTATTCAAGCCTTTCTGCAAAGTATCAAGTACTATAAAGTGGATACCGTTGACAGACGAATATGCAGTCTGCCCACTGGGAGAATAAGCATGTAGAAAAGAAGAATTGCATGCAAAGCCGGGGGATCGATGGGTGATATATTTGCAGAACCTCGCTTCAGCGTACAGGTCATGTCTAATGAACAATGAGGAGACGAGACATGAAGAAAAAAATTTCAGAACTTGCGTGATTATGCTGGCCAATAGATCGAGAAGCAAAGGAGATCCACTAGCGTAGTTCGTTTGTGCAGTGGGCTGCACCTCAGCTGACGGAGTTAGGGGCTCATCAAATACTATTGAGACGCGGTTTCGCACAGAGGGGACGCGGACGATCGGGTTCAGTTGTTGTTGTTTGATGCGACCGCGTTTCACTGACATTGGTCCTTCAACTAATGATACGATATTAACTGTGCGACTGGGGATTGAAAATCCAACGACGGGTAATGTGGTGGCTATGGCCAAAAAGTCGGAGATTCTTCCTCTAGTCGTATGGATCGGCTTGCAGCGTCCTTGTATTTTTCAGCATAAATGGAAAATGCCATCTATCAACAATGATCTACTATGACAACATACACAAACCATGGATTTGTTTGTCGCTTATACAGTCAGAATATTTTGGTGTTTTGAACTTTATGGCAACGTATAAAAGACAGATAGGATGGAGTTATCTGCATGACGCCCATGAAACTTGCTCGTCACAGCGCTTTTGCGTTTCAACTAATTTTCTATAGCAAACAATTTGGTGTACAGTGAAATAAAGGCGTAAGTTGTTTTGATTCCCTACTTTCCAGCATTCATGATAGACACCTATGTCGAGCTTATGATCGACAATGGCCTCTGAATCTTGGTAATTTGCTAAACCAATAAAAACGTCACATCAGGGGCTTAAAGCGTCGAAAAATTAAAGAACTCTGATGACGAATGTTTGGTTCAAGAAATAAGACGGACAATGCTCTTTGCAAGATCAGGTAACATTAATGCATAAAGTCCAGAGATGGAGCTTTTATATCCATTCAACTGCATGTCAAATGCTCCTGTGTTGTTATACTGATTATTTGTATTGCACGTATTACCGGTATAAGGAATACCCGGGGAACAAGAACAGTAATGTTTCTTTGGCAGCAAAGGGAAAATTGGGCTATCCATTCTGCATTGACAGGTTTCAGAAGAAGAAGAAAAGGCATGTTTATGTATGAGTTTTAAGTTAATTAAAGACGTTGTTGCGACCACAAATGGATCCCTTCAAAAATCATGTGCAACGGTCGGACAATGCGAAATGTTCGCAACCGGATCGTCGGAGAACGAATAACGACCGGAGTGCCATCATTCAGCTTCTGCCAGTTCTATCCACGCATTCTTGGCTTTTTTTTTTCTACATATAAACTTGACTAAATTTATCATGAGTTGGAAGGTTAGTGAGAAGCACAATGATACAACTACTTTAACTAAGCTAAACTGGTGAGCGTAGGGTTTGCAAAAAGCGGTGAGCCGCCTGCCTCATCAGATGCTCGCCAAGAAATCCGAAGGTACAGCACAACTGAAAAGCGTGGCGTGCTTTATGTCTTGAACTCACACGGGCATGCATATAGCTACCAATGACCAAGAGTATATGGCACTAGAAAAGAAATTCAACGATTCTATCAAAGTGGTGGAACGTCTCAGGACTGATGCTCAGGCATTCCGTGACGCCGTGGCAGGTACGTACTCGAAAAATAGCACGCATAAATATACGAACAACTTGATACTTATCTATGAATTCATACGAACAAAGCTTTATTGACGCACCAATCACAAATGGCGGCTTATTTGGCGGTACTCTATAATGCACAGCTCGGGAATGAAGCATCGGAAGATACTATTCAGCGAAGGGTTCAGCAAACACCTGCTGTGTCTTTACAAGCAGTGAATGATGCCGAAGCAGCCATGGCCTATTGCCGCGACGAAATATTACCAGAATTGGTATGGGTTGGACTTGATTGATGTCGGCGATAGACAACTTATTTATTATGATATCACCTACAGGATACAGTGGATCAATATGTTATTCGACCTACCATGGAACTGTTAGAGCTGATAAAGCTGATTCAAAAAACAATGGTGAAGCGAAATCATAAATTGATCGATTACGATCGTTATCGAACAAGCTTGGCAAAACTCAAGGCAAAGGATGAGCGCAACTTTAACGAAGAAAAGCAGATATTCAAGGTGAATCCATTTGAATAGTGAATGTGTCATCGGGTGTTTACTCAAACATCAGCGGATCTCATTTCTGTAGGTGGAATCCCAACTAGAGACAGCGACACAAGACTACCAATATCTGAACAATATGTTGAAACAACAATTACCGCAATTCTTCCAATACCGGTTGCAATTTATCGAGCCAGTATTTCAGCAACTGTACTATCTGCAGAGCAAGATTTATGGCATGATCTACGCCCGATGCTATGAACTATTGAATGCCAACCAAGAGTATTTCGTTTCCTCCTCCATGACAATTCAAGAAGGCTACAATTGGCGAAAATCGCAACGCGATGTACAGAATGAATTTGAGAACCTGGATCTTCTCAAATCTGGTGGTAAAACCTGGTTGACCGGTAAGTCTCTGCAACTTTGGATGGCAGTTACCATGATCTCATTCATTTTGGTTTGTCTGTGCTGCTCAAGCTTCCGGCGGCGCCAACAGCTCAAAATTAACTCTAAAGGAGCGTATGGCTTTACGAGAAAAAGAGAAACAAGGCGAAACAATGTCCTATGGTGCACAGGCTGCTGGATCGGCGGATCGATACAACGATGAGCCACCTGCTTCTGCGGCTCCACCAGCGTATACACCGGCGTCAGGTGAAATAACATTGGATTCGACACCGATGAGTTACGGCAAGAAACCTAGTGATGGCAAATACGTAGTTGCACTGTATGATTTTGACGCTCAAGCGGACGGCGATTTGAGCTTCCGCAAGGATGACCGCATTGAGCTGTTGCAAAGAACTGCAGACGTGAACGATTGGTGGACTGGACGCTTGAATGGCGCCGTCGGAGTGTTTCCTGGTAAGATGAATGGTTCAGGCACCTTGGGGACATGACCTTCACAAGGTTGATCCATGTTACTTATTTGCAACTTCTTAGGCAACTATGTAAGAGAATTATAACGGGCTTGCTCTCGCTCGGATGCTCCTGGTGACCATGGATGGCTTCTCCTCTGGGACCAAAAATTGTTTTGTTCAAGCACACTAAAAAGCAGGATCTATGGTTGTATTGCGCTATCATCACACCTCTTTTTATACCTGGAATCAATAAGCAAATAAAACCATGGTGGTACTATCCATGCTTCATACGACAATATCTGTTTCTCTAGCTATTCAAGGAAAAATACAAACCTCAACGATCTTAACAAAAACTTGGATCAGAATATTTTACTTGCAACACGATGTCAACGAAACCGTTTTGCTCAGGGTTACAGTGCGCGAAAAAGTTATACTGAACAAGGGTTGGCCTATTTTCAGTATGACGGTCGATCCACAAAAGGAGGAAACACCAGAGATCCCAATGAACAGGATAGTAGAGCCGTTCTACAGATTGTTATTTAAACGGTTTCCAGGGAATGACTATAACTTAATTATGATACCCAAGTCATTGGATCAGAATGTTGAATTATTGTACTTGTAAACAGTATTTTGGTATCGGGCACTGCTGCAACTTGATGTAAGGATGCATTACATCAGAAAATTCAAAGATATACTTTGCTCGAGAATATATACTTGTTGAATGCGGTGCCGTATCATATATCACTTAGTACCGCCCTGTGAATGCTGTATGTGAATAATAAAAGACATGGGAAAATGGGAATAAGAATAGCCAAAATCATGGGGTGGAAGAGCAGAATCTGGATGATATGCCACAAGCGGAAGATCCACGGATTTTTTTGAGCTAGTCCGAGTTTTTTTTTTGCGTTTTGTTTGTCCGCTTCGTGTTCCGCCCTTCATCCTCTGGTTACTCTTTTTTCCCTTTTATTCTTTCTTTTCTTCTAATCCCGAACAAGTTCCGTTCACAAAAAAGTGATTGCTTCGCTTTAGGAGACTTTGCAACATGTTCACCGACGATGAGTACGACTACCTGTTCAAAATAGTTCTTATTGGTGATTCCGGTGTGGGCAAATCGAACTTGCTCTCGCGATTCACGGTAGGATTGTAGTGGAACCCACAGTTGGCTCTTACTCCAGCTCATTTTTCTATATGCTTGATGGTAGACCAATGAGTTCAATCTGGAATCCAAGAGTACCATTGGTGTTGAGTTTGCTACAAAGAACATTGAAATCGGTAAGCAAACGCTGAAGACAAAGAACGGCCCTGCGCCCCCGAACCTCAGCCCTCCCCACCGTGTGGATAGACTCATGTGATCCTCCCTTCTATTTTGTTACTGTTGCGATAGATAATCACACCATCAAGGCACAAATCTGGGATACAAGTGGACAGGAACGATATCGTGCGATTACAGGCGCGTACGTTGAAGCTTAAACAGAATGTGTTACAACAAGATGTACAAGAAATCATTAACGGCTTGTATTTTATCGATTTGCCCAATAGATACTACCGAGGCGCCGTTGGTGCACTTTTAGTGTACGGTAAGCGTTACTGAGTTCATATTCACCAATGGTATTGCACCGTTCGACTAACATGAAACCAAAAAAAAAAAAAAAAAATAGACATCACACGTCAGCAGTCCTTCCAAAATGCGACACACTGGTTAAAAGAATTGCGCGACCATGCTGATCCTAATATTGTGATTATGTTGGTGGGCAATAAGCTTGATCTGAGTGAGACCAGTCGAGCTGTGACGAGTGACGAAGGAGGTGCTTTGGCAGAGCAGGAAGGATTCTTGTTTATGGAGACCTCTGCGTTGGACGCTACGAACGTAGAAAAGGCGTTTGCTACTGTGTTCGATACAATCTACAGCCACTTGCCAAAGAAAAAGGAAGCGGAAGCAGAAAGTGGAGCTCAACCTGCACTTACCAACGGAGAACGTATCCTTTTGCGTCCTCCGAGCATACGAGGACGCAGTATGGACGAACAGAGAGGAGAAGCGAGGAAGTCAGAAGGCGGCGGATGTTGCTAAAGCCCGAGAAGTAGCGCAGGATTTGCTTATTGTATTTATCCAATTTTTGAAATGAAAATCATTGTATTCGATCGACATTTTTACTTGTTCTTCAACTGGCTGACGAGAGCTTATATGCTTACTATCATAGATGCGTTTTGGACAGGCTTAGTATACATATAAACATTCGTAGGAATCACATATGGAAAGTAAACACCACAGCAATGAGAAAACTGGGTTACACCAATGATTTGGTTGGTTTATATGAAATAAAAAGGCGGCCAAAAGTTACGTATTGTTAAAAAGTCGCGTGATGGAATCAAAAAAAAAAGAGTCTTATGTAATATTCTAGGAAAAATAAGGATGTTGAATGTATACAATGCTGTGAAAGTTTAAAGTTAGCTTATGTTGGAATGACGTTGAAAAAGTGAAAGACTTCGTCTTGATCCATCATGGCCACATGGGTATCGCAAGTGTCACAATGAACGCTGTAATAAAATTCGGTGTCGTCGTCTGCGGTGTCATCTTCCTGGCTTCGTACCATGGTCGATTCTCCTTTCTGTCCTTTCGATGGTTTTCCAAACCGGTATCGTTCGGTTTTTTTCACTTTACAGTTGGTGACGAACATGGCTCTGTACTGATTCTGATACTTGTCATGTCTGAGAGAAAAGGGTCAAAACTAAGCCTTTCTTAAGCTGCTTTTACGCGGTCACTTACCGTTGGCAATTAAAACATAGAGGTGAGAAGCACAGAGGACACGTCAGAATAGCATCGGTTTTCGCTGTATCTTCACTTTGTTTCTCAAGAGGTGCCGCTTCTACAGTGACATGAGCAAGAAAGCACTACAACCAGATCTAAAAATTTTACTTACTCAAAATTTGCTTCGCTACCCAATCCTCGTCCTGCTCATCAAGATCAGGATCATAAAGCAGTTCTTCATTACTCAACACACGGCGATCGGCTTTCTCTAATGGAATGCTTGAATAAAAAACCCAGAATAGACGTGGATCGACTGGACTTACTTTGAGCACCTTTGGTTCGAGGAGCGTCGGTCTCCATACTGTCGTCTATTTCATCTTCTTCTGCAGAGGAATCAAAGTACAAATTGTCATAGTACTGTGTACTACTGCTTGTATCATCGTTCTGCATAACGGACGCCAAACGATCGCAGATAATAAAGAACGTCAACCAAACGAAGGCGCCGGTGTTGAAACTAAAAACCTATAAATGACCGTTTGGTGTGACGTCGAAGTCATCCATCCGCATCTTGAAACGCCGCTTTGAACTCTCGAAACTCTCTTTCAGGACTCCTGCTTTTTCTTTTCTACCACCGTTTTTGCCCTCTTCTTTCTTTCATATTTGTACTCTTCGTTTTCCTTTTGAAGCTGAACATGTCAGGCGGAACATCGGTACAAAAAGATCGTCAGTTCCTTGCTGTGATTGGTGACGAAGTTTGTATCAACGTGTTTCGACTTTTGCCCGTTTGCCATTTTAACATCTTTTTCTGTTGCGCGCACAGGACTCTGTTACGGGACTTTTGCTCGCCGGCATTGGACATACAAATCAACAGCAAAAACGAAACTTCTTGGTCGTGGATGCCAGTAAAGTGACGTTTGCAAGAAAAGAACCAGGAACTTGACTCGTAACCCTTTTTTGACGCTTAACACTGGAAACATAGAAACGCCTTTGGCCTCCATCGAGGAAACATTTACAGAATTCGTACGTCGAAAGGATATTGCAATTATTTTGATTAACCAACATGTAAGGGAACGAGTTGCAGGCTTGAAGTTTTGAAAGTTTTGGAACTTGGCAAGTTGACCGAGAGAATTTGGGTTTTTTAGATTGCCGAAGAAATACGAGAACTGATTGATAGTCATCATGCTGCATTCCCCACCGTTCTCGAGATACCCTCCAAAGATCATCCTTATGGTAATATATCCAACATATGGTCGGCTGAGCTTGCACAATCTCACCACGATTTTCCGGATTTTTTCTTCTTCCACATCAATAGATCCCGAAAAAGATAGCGTATTGAAGCGTGTCAGAAGATTATTTGGCGAGTAAAATCGAAGAAATGGAGAGAAACAATCACAAATGCACTATATCCTTTCGTCCTTTTTCTTCTTCTTGATGATTGTATTCTATTGGATGGAATGGGTCTATGCTATATTGAATATGATAAATTTTGACAATGTCCTGCATTTCTATATTAATGATATTATACAATTCGCTTAATGGACCTGTGAACATAGATACCGTTCAGTCATTTGGAGCCATGCAACAGCATTTAGATTCTAGTCGAAGAGACATTTACCTTGATACATTATCGAAAAGCCGCTCGATATCCGGAGAGCAGTGCACAAACTCATAATTCCAGAACTTAGAATCCTTGATAAAAGTGATAAATGTGGCAAGTAAGCCCCAGGGATGCGGTCGATTGACAATCAATCGTTCCAATAGTACTCTATTCGATTACGTCAGTGACATATACTATTTGTGAACTATCCCTTGTTGATTTCTTACCTGGTCATCTTCTCCTTTATCGATTCAGGCATTTCCTCGAATAGAGACACCATCACCGTACTGAAGAAGCAGGTGTGACTATTTGGGTACCGCAAATGGTCCGCCATCGCACTCAACAAAAGATAAGATCCTGAACCAAAAAAAAAAAAGGAACCCACGTTAGTAATAGCGACCTTCTTTGTTTTCCTTTACAAGTGACATGCCGCACCTTCAACGTCCAAACACTCCAAAAGATTTTTATACACGCGGTAGGCCGGATTCTCCTTCAAGGGTACGTCTAACAGGGCACAACGGGCACCGAGGTATAAAACCAGCGCGCCCAGCATGTCAGGTCGATATGGTTCCTCTTCGGTTGATGGCCGCTGAATCAGTGTGACACAATCCGCAAGAAATGGGTCGTGTGCTTTTGTCGCGTTTCGTATATAGTCGTCTACTTTGGATACAAAGTGAGCCTGAGCCAGTGTGTCCATATAAGAAGAAGTGATGAGTGCGGGGTCTTGCTTCGATTCCAGCAACTGGTTCATCTGAAGGTCGAGTGTGAAGGGATCCGGTAAATGCATTGTACGCGGAAATGCGCTGAGCACCATATTACGAAGTTGGATACAGGAGTGCGGGATCACCTGAGCAAACGCCATATAATTTTCACAGAGAAATTCAGGAAAATCATGGAGCAGCACCACAAGGAAACGCAACGTCCCTTGATAAAAGGCTTTGGTGGCTTTTTGGAGCGCTTGTTTGTCCAGTAATGGACCGAGAAACTTGAGCAAGGCCAAGATAAGTTTACGACATATTGTCCAACCCTGCGGGTCTCCCGTGACAAGTAACTGCGGTATAAACGCGCGATGGGACAGCAACTGGAGCCAAGAGAATGCGAAACCAGTAAAGTTGAGAGGTTGCAATGTGTACAAAGCATCACTGCAGATATAACATTATTAAAACCATCGTCATCATCATTACCATGTAGGGTTAGGGCGGGGTTGGGGAACAGTAAACCTTACCTGAAAGCGACAAGGATACCTGCATTGAGTGAGGGTTGACGAATTTTGTTCAACTCCGAGTACAGTGCTGTCAGTAGACGCATAAATGGTTTCTGAACAAATGCCGGTCCTCTGCTCTCGTGGTGCTGCGCCAGCACTAGAATCACCACCGAGAAGGAATGTATAACAAGTTTCATCTTGCCCTGATCATCCTGATCACCAACACGCACCAAATACGCAACGAGTTTTCCGTAAGCGTCCATCAACTGAATAGCACGCCGCTGATAAGATGCTCCTAGGCTTTTCGAAGCTAGGAAACGACTGACGCACGTTTCTGTACATAACCGAAAAAAGAAACATAGGTTGTCATCATCGTTGCATATCTCCAAGATCTATGATGACAAGATTCGTAAGTTTGCGCACCCTTTGTGAAGTCTACCGGGAGGTTTACCTTTTTGGCCACAGTCTTATACATAGACTCGCCAGCTAGAGGATGCTGAGACAATCGAGTCCACTCCGCCAATAACAATCTCAATCTTAAGCAGTCAATGTCCTTCTTAATGTCGTGATACGGCTGCTCAACTGACTGCTGCAAGACCTCTAATAAGGCAATAACCCTAATAAATATAAAAATCGGAAAAACAAAATGAAATTGAAATTAGCACGGGCCTTGAAGCATCGCGTATAATCGAATTACTTTGGAGAAGCTTCATTGTTCTCTGCCAATTTCCTCAGGTTGATCATTGTGAGGATGTGATCCTCGAGAAATGTCATGGGCGTATGGGAGAGAAGACATATGCGGAGTAAATCGGCGGCGAAATCCATGACCAATGCGCGTTTTGATGTATTGAGTTGTTTGGCCAACTGAACATCGTATTCTTCCAGCGGAATAAGTTCGAATCGGATCATCATTGCCACCACTGGAGCGTTATACTTGCGCTAATCCGCGGTTGACCAGCAAATGAGAGATCAGGATATTTTGGGCAGAGATCAAGGAAAATACCTCATCATCGGCATACACGGCCCATGCCAGGGCTTCTTTTGCAACCGCTGCTGATTGTTCCAATAGGCTATGTAAGAAGTATGTGTACAGCTCAAGACCAAAGGATGTAGTACTTTTGTAAAGTTTGAACATGACGGTTTCGACAAGATTGGCTAAAGTCTGGATCGGGGCTGTGCTCTGGGAGATGAGTAAAGGGATTTGACGGATCAGCAAGTAGATATCGTGATTGGGTGGAATGGTGGCGATGGATATCAAAGTCGACTGATCCACGACTTTATCAATTTCCAATAGCATTTGCTTAAGTAAGAGCATTAGTGAAGAAAAAAAAACTGATCGATCGGGGGGAGATGTAAGCTGTCAGCCTTTCTTACCTCGAGTTTTGCGTTGATAATATCAAACGTATTTGGCATCAACGATGATGGTAATAGATCTGCAGGTAAGAAAAAAAGTGAGCATCCTAGAATTGATCCGATTTTAAGTGAATGCTTACTGGACTCCATGGTTAACGGGATGGGCGGTGTTTGCTGTGGTTGTTGTTGCTGTTGCTGATGCTGTTGCGGTAAACTGGTTGGCGTCGACTTTTGTGCAAACATTTCGTAGAGTCTCATTTTGGAGACAGCATAAGAATGGTGAGGAGACGACATGAGCAACTAAGACGCAAATCTCGCGCTGGGGAAGGGAAAGGTCGAACGACTTGTAAAAAAAAAAATCGAATGAAAAAAAAAAAAAAAGAAAATGCGAACCATCGAATCAGAGACAAAAATTTTTGTTTTGACAACGCAAACAAGCAAAAAGAATATCATCTACTGCATAACAAGAGTCATTGAACGTAATGATAAAAAAAAAGTGTTATGTTGCGGAAACAAAAAAAGACACATATAATCTCCAAGTTTGATTTTGTTCAATAACGAATCACTCTTTTTTCAATTATATTTGGCCGCCAAAAAACCGTCAATGTAGCTGTCATGCACACGTGAATTGCCATGTGCAGTTACGGTATCGATGAGAGCATTTTTTAACCTCACTACAGAATCCTACTATGGCGGATATTGCCAACCTTGCAAATCATAAGGAAAAAAGCTGTTATACAATGCGCATTCAAAAAGAAGCCCAATGGAAAACCTATTTTAGAATTTTTGGAGGACCAGCGGTGGTCCAACTGTTTCAGAAAGTAAAGTCGCTAATTTTGAGTTCTGACGTCGTGACAAAAAAATAGCCTGTCCCGACAACAATGTTGACGGATCCAGAAGACTCGTTTACGTGTCCTGTGCCTCGTTTATTCTTTTTGTCGCTTAAAATTAAGTATAGGCATTCAGAATAGATACGAAATTTCTTATGAAGATGAACAAGGGCACGTTGTTGGTGAGAACGGAGTTGACCCCATGGACCTTGTTTGCTGATGAGGATCTATTCGCTATTAAATCAATAAGTTCTGAATAACAGGACATTATTTGAGCTTTTTAAAGACGAAACTCAATTAAATGGACAAGTATCCCGAAATAAGCGACACTAGCTTGCGATGGATAATGCTCCTATCCATAGCTCGGCTGTTATAGGTAAATATATTCATTCTCCAGGATATCGCTACGTATATCTTCCACCGTGATCTCCTGAGTTTCATCCATTGAGCAGTTCTGGTCTGTTTGGCAAGAGTAAGGTGAAGCGAAATAAACTATTGGAAAAAGAAACATTAATGACTAGGATCAGTGAAGCAGGCAAAGCCTATATTAAACCGATTTCAAAAAAAAATTTACATTCTGTTAAATGTTCTGTAAGTGTCTCTACAATTTACTGTATATCTATATAACAAGCCGTACACCCGCTGTGCAATGGATGCCACCTGCTACTGGACGTCGCCCCCTTACATTGAGCGACATTCGTCAGACAAAAGCCTAACGCAATACGGCATAACCTGGGCGAGACTCTTGATGGAACTTTGGTATATTAATGTCAATACTCTGGCATACCGTACAGTCATGATTTCCAAACATGTGTGCAGCAGCACTTATTGACTCCCTCAGTCCCGTCCCGCCCAAGGTTATTGGATATTTTTTAAAAAAAGGAGTTAATAAGCTCTTTGATTGATTCAAATGCCGTCAAGATATTTTTACCTTTGTTATGTGAGGCAGCAGATATCCAGAGCTTCCCGACCGAAAAAAAGAAACGATACAAATATAAAAAAAAAAGTAAATACAATAGGTGCGTCTGTAAAAAACCCCTAAAAACCCTGTGGGAAAAAAAAAGGAGGAAAAGACTGCAAGAAGGTCTATCGAATAAAATACAAATATACATACTACAAACTACAAACTACAAAAATAAAATGGTCGGGAAGAAGATCAAAGACAATACCACGGGAAGTAACCCAGGTGAAGCCAAACTGAGGAGGACGCGTAAGCACTTCCCGATGAATAAAAAGAGTCACACCGCCGACGATGCCCTTTGACGACAAAAACCGGATTGGCCACATTTGATGCGCGAACAAAGTAGAAAGACTTGGAGGGATGGATGGCTTGCCAGAACGGAAAGAAAACCGGAGAGAAATCCAAAAGCTAAAGAAAGGATAGAGAAAAAAAGAACAGGTAAGTTTTTTCTTGTCGAAAAACGGATGAGTCACATCACACAAAACGTACCTTTTTTGATATTTAATCGACTTGACCGGTTACAGATACACGCGAAATAAACCATAGTCTGGATGATGGATGATGGGTGCGAGGGGATGCAATGATAGGGAGGGTTATTAATAAACAGAAGATAGAGGAGAAAACCAAAGAAAAAAGAAAAAAAAACGAAGACAAAATATATGTGGATTTCCCATGAATGAAACAATAGTTACCCACCGATGCATGAATTCATAGATCGAAGCATATCTGCTCCATGTATCACTCGATCATCGAAAACTGAATAGAATGAAAGGGCATAAAAAGTATAATTGACAGAAAAACCAAACTAAATGATGCTACAAAACACCAGATCGTCGTATCGTCAATCACCTTTCTTCAAAAAAGAGCTCCACTCACATTTTATGTGAACGGCGACGATGCTCTGTTTAACCACAACTGGCGCAAACGGCATTTGCTGCTGATTGTTTCGCCTATTACCGTGGAAGTGGGTGGCGAGGCATGGTTGAAAGATAAAAAAAAAAAAAGGTTTAACAGGTCCTGATAACTTGGTGTAGATCATGTGATTATTGTAGTGCTCTCAGTTTTACTTTTCTTGGTGTAAATTTAGACAAAAGTGTAATGAATGGCAGACGGGGCGCTTACTGCTTCCGTATTCATGGAAGTGTTTACCACTTGATGGGATCGCTACTTGCTGCTAATGGCCAACGATCTGCATTTGCACAAATATACGTCCATGATACTGACAACGAAATATCAAATCGACATGCAATTGCAAGCCATCTCGCGCGAGACACCTTGGAAGTACTTCAGCAATTAATGCATGAAACCAATCCTTTCGTCCATCTTTTCAAGACAATGGCCCAATACATAGAGGATAATGGTGGTGCTTCCAACATCGGAATGATTATTCGAGCTACTGAAACTTACTAAGCTAATCATGTGGGATGAAGCATCGATGATAAACCGGTTTGCATTTGATGCAGTAGATCGAACATTTAGAGATGTGTTCAAAGCTGAAAACCCACGTCTGGAATCCGTACCGTTTGGAGGAAAGTTGGTAGTGTTTGGAGGTGATTTTCGACAAGTCCTGCCTGTGGTTCCCCGAGGGTCGCGTTCCGATATCGTCAATATGTGTATCAACCGCTCTGCTTCTTGGGCGCATGTGCAAACATTACGCCTGATGACCAATATGCGAGTTCAGAGACCACAACAAAACGAAAGTCCACAGGAACTTCAACAGTTCAGTGAAATACTTGCTACGTATCGGTAATGTGACAGAGCCTACACGCTTGAATACAAGCTATATCAGCATCCCCCAAAGCATGGTAATTCCTGAAGAAAACTTGCAAAATCTGACTTCAGCTATATTTTATGACTTTTGGGAAGAGAATCTTTCTTCGCAGTACCTTACATCCCGCACTATCCTTACACCGAAAAACTCTGACGTTGAAACAATCAATGATCTCCTTTTGGAACAGTTTCCAGGAGAAGCAACAGAGTATCTAAGTGCAGATAGCGCCTGTGATGAAAGTCAACAAATGCTGCATACCGTGGAGGTTCTCAATTCGATCAATCCTGGATGCGTTCCACCACACCGACTCCTACTAAAAATAGGCTGGCCTGTCATACTGCTACGCAATCTCAATCCATCCAACGGTCTTTGCAACGGAACGAGGATTATATGCCGCTCATTCCAACAGTTTGTGATCGAGGCAGAAATTGCAACCGGGAAACATGCAGTAAAATTGGTGTTTATACCTAGAATCAAGCTCAAGCCCACAGAAATGCAATCTCCTGTTGAATTTCAACGACCCCAATTTCCAGTGGGATTAGCGTTTGCAATGACAATTAACAAAGCACAAGGTCAGACCTTGGATGCTGTTGGACTATATTTGCCGGCGTCAGTATTTTCCCATGGACAGTTGTACGTTGCTTTCTCCAGAGTCAAAAAACCATCTGCACTGAAGGTAATGCTTAAAAAAGAAAGTTCATTTTTACAAATTTCAAATGAACATTTCACCAAAAATATAGTATACCCTGAAGTCTACCAATAAATATCCCCAATTGTGATCTTGAAGATCACGGGCTCCACCTAGTCTACATAGTTAAAATCTTTGGGAAATTACCGACTTTGTAAATCACATGATCTACACTAAGTTATCAGGATCTGTTAAACCTTTTTTTTGCCTCGCTGCCCACTTTCACGATAATAGGCGAAACAATCAGCAGCAAGATGCCGTTTGCGCCGTTGTGGTTAAACAGAGTATCGTCGTCTTTCGAATAAAAATGTGAATAGAGCTCTTTTTGAAGAAAAGTGGTTGATGATACGACTGGCGTTCTTCTGTAGCATCATTCAATTTGGTTTTTTTTTGTCAGTTATACTGTATATGTCCTTTCATTCTCTTTCAATTTCCAATGAATCGAATAATACATAAGCAGACGTGCTTCGATCTATGAATTCATGCATCAGTGGGGTGACTATTGTTTCATCCATGGAAAATCATATATGTTTGTCTTCAGTTTTACCTTTCTTCTTTTGATTTTCTTTCTCTCTCTTTCTGTTTGCTTGATAAACCCTCACTATCATTGTATCAAGATCCCATCCGCATCCATCATCCAGACCATTCTTATCCCGTGTATCTAACTTGGTTAAATCGACCACCATCCTCAAAAAGGTAAGCGTCGAGTGGTCTACCATCGATTTTGCTCCGGCAAAACAGACTTACCTCTCCTTTACTTCCATCCTTCTTTTAGCTTCCGGTTATCTCCGTTTTCTTTTCGCCTGACAAGTTCTGGATACTACAAGTTTACTTCTCGCCATCCATCCATCCATCTGGCGAAACGGGATGACGTCAAAGGCCATCGTTGGTGGTATGACACTCTTTCTCATCAGAAAAACGCTTACGTGTCCTCTTCATGTTCCTCTCCTTTGGATTGCTTCTTATCATATGGTATTCGAGTTGTCTTCCCGATTATTTATTTTGTAGTTGATAGTTTGTATTTTGTATTTTATATTTCATGTACATATTCTTTTCGCAGTCTTTTCCTCTTTTTTTCCCACAGGGTTTTTTATGAGGTTTTTACGGACGCGACCATTGTTTTTTTTTTTTTTATCATCATGTACTTTATTTGTTTTTCTTTCTTTTCATTCGGGGGACTCTTGATATCTGGAATCCAACTCGAAATTACCGTCACTTCTGGCCACGTCAATATTTTTTGCCTGCTCAAGCTGACACCGCCGATCCATCGCTTAAGTGTCCCTGGAAGCAATTTTATTTTCCGCATCGAAGAAGAAGCTTACCTGGCGGTCCGTATTCATCGTTTTTTTTTTTTCCGGTACACCATTTGGTTCAAGGCAAGTCCAATTTTCTTTTCCTTTGCTATGATGTATAATGAACGTATACTGATTCAAAAAATTTTCAATGTCATATAATCCAAGTCATGTCAAGCGATCAATGGCTATTGCAAACTCAAATAACAAAGGTAAAATATCTTGACAAAAATTTGAATCAATCAAAGAGCTTACTAACTCATTTTTTTTAAATACCCAACATACCCACACATCTTTCTAGATCTATCATAGCCTGGGCGGAATGGAATTGAGGGGGTCAATCAGTGCTGCTTTGCGCGTGTTCAGAAACAACTCACGTTGCATGGTATTGCCATAAGGTTGTCATTAATATACCAAAGTCCGTCAGAGTTCTCGCCCAGGTTATGCCGTGTATGCGTTAGGCTTTTTGTCTGACGAAAGTCGCTCAATGTAAGAGGGCGGCCTCCGGTGGCAGGCGCATCCATTGCACAGCGGGTGTACGGCTTATGATTGGAATATCTTTCTGCGGGTTCAGGACGTCAGATTGACGACTTTTAGCACTGGCTTCAAATGTGTAGACGTGTGGAATAAGATGGTAGAGGACAGTAAAAAAAGTCACCTGTTGAGACTCAATAAAGGTGATTATTCGAAAAGAGAGAAATAGAATAAGAAAAAGGCCATCAGCAAGTTGTGGATTCATTGAAATTGAGAGTTGATAGGCGAGCCTAAAAAAGAGGTGTGGAATGACAGTCTGGTGACTCAGCGAACCAAGTGTCTGCATTTTAATTGGGTTGGCGAAACCGTGTCTCTGCATTAATAGCTTGGCGAACCACGAATGCGGAGCCCACCTCTTTTTTCTCTTCTGCTTTTTCTTTAAGTCTATGTCGTCAATGTCTGAATGCACCGATCTAAGCCTATCTCGGGCTGCCTGCATGGTCCTTGGTTTGGAACAAACAAAACAAAACCGGCTTCACACAGTCGCTAAAGTACAAGAGTGGGATGTGATTCCTGTATATGTTGCTGGTACCAATCCACTGCGGCCGACCTTGATGTCAAGAACCGTACAAGGGATATATCCATCTTATTATATCCAATACGCAGACGATAGTAAGTGTGTTTGTGGTCTCATTAATAGGCTTGTGGCTAACATTAATGTGTTCAGGTGACCAATGTGGCGGCTCCTCATCGTCTTTTCCATGAACTATATCGACCGTTGCTTCCAATGAAAGTCTGACCCATTTCGTCCAACGAAGATTTTGCAGCTACTAGTGAATTTCGATAGATGTTCCTTAGTACATCATTGCTAATACGGATATTATTACTTTACCTTGCAAACCTTAACTGGGGATCATGAAATACATTTTTAATAGCCGGAAGTGGCCAGTCGCTGATAATGCTTGAAATCATCGCCTCTTTGTTGTTTTTTTATGATTTGTTTTATTTTTTGGTAAATAATTGAATATAGCAAAAGGAAAGGAAAGGTCTGAGTCTGAGAAATTAGGTCGAACGTTTAACACAGCCAATCCTGCAGTCAAAACGGTTGATCGTTTCTTCGTTCGTCAGTAAGTCATGACGTGAAAAAAGATCAAATGTCAATCTGCGGTCGACGACTATTTGTTTGATTTGTGTGTACAATGTATTTTTTCATCAAATAAGTTAATTTTATCCACGGATGGCCTCATCATATGTCCACTATACCTGATAAATGCACGAATATAATTCGACTCCGTGCTTAACCCGGCAAAATCGATGACTACCAAACGGATGGGCTTAAATTTTGTTTTAAGCAACAGTAGCAGATCTATAAAAAAAAAAAAAAAAAAAAAAAAAAGTATCAATGCATTGAATAGAAATATCATTCACGTACTTGACATATCGCCATCGCAGCTTCTGATCAACCCCATATGGCGCGCATAATTCTCGTTGTTGTCACGAGATTCCAACGGTTGATTGGCGTCGCAATATGGTGACACGTAGACTTCCGTGCACAAGCATCTCGTGCGCAGACGATGCACCATTTCGTTCAAAAGTTTGCATCTGGTGTTGATGCGCTCTTTGCCCTTCGACTTCCTTGCATATCCGATTGTTGCCATCGGATGATGTCGACTATGTTGTTCGTATCTGGCAAGGTCTTCGATGACGTTGATTCTAAGTGCTTATCCAGCAATATCCACAGCCATCGGCCTTCGACCTTTTTGCCATTTGACTTCATGGTTACGCGTTCACCCCACGCGTTGCAGCTGTTAATCCAGTCCTCTATCCGTTTATTGACACCAGAGACGGCAACAACATATATAGGGACCAAACCCATATCTTGTAATCTAGGGACCAATCAAGGGCTGGGCAGCCTGCCTGAGATAAGCTTGAATCTATGCAATTCAGACCTTGAGGAAACAAGCCTTGGATAGTGCTTCCTCTGCAAAACGCAAGACGGCCTGCGCGTCGTCCACTTCGCACCAAGCCCGAAAGGACTCCCAGAGAAGGTTAAAGAAATTCGCATGCTCTGCTTCATGAACGTCTCCATGTGATCCAAAACGGCCTTCCTTCTTGCTTCAACGATAGACATGAGCTTCGTTTCGATCCTTCTTCGAAATGGTGCAGGTGCACAATTAAGCAGAAACGAGAAAAAGGAGACACGCGGCAAAGGATGACGTACGCTGGCAAATTATATTTCTCGAAAATGATGACGTGCGCTGGCAACTTTTTCTTTAAAGGCATTTAGGGAGTGTACCAAGTGTGTTGGCCAAAAAGAAAAGCGGGCTCCACCTTCGGGGTTCTCCAAGTCCTCAAAATCAGGACCGCTAGTCCCATACAAAAAAAAAAGACCGGTTTTTCTTTATCTTTTTTCGATCTCAGGAAAACGCATCCGGATTCACGCGGTGTGACGGAAAAATGCAGAAAAAATTGTCGGAAGATCGACATCAGAAGATCATCGACTTTCTTATTAGGTTTGGAACCGTTTTTATTTTCTCAAGATCTATAAAAAAGCCCTGATTCACATCATCATTTCTTTTTTCTCCACTGCTTCTCTTCACATCCAAATCTTTCATCGAAACAATATACCACAAACTATGACTTGTAAATATACACCATCCTCTTCCAAAGCTGTTTGCCATGGCGATAACTCGCACAACGCTCCTATGAAACCTACTCAATGTTTATTCAGCACAAGCTTTTGCAGCTGTTGTGGAGTCGACATTTCTCTCTTTTGCCATGAATACTGGTGCCGCTACTCACGATGATCGCCCTTTTTTTTTTGTCAACCGAAATATCCAACTTTTTGATATTATACCTCGCCGTCCTTTTCTTTCCTTTTCTGACACTTATTGTATTGTACACAATATCCCATGTAAAGATCGCCTGAAATGTCTATATACTTAACTTTTTCATGTACACATGCCCTTTATCTTCTTTTTGTTATTTATTTTACGTATTCCTATGATGAAAATTTCCACCTCTTGTAAATACGCGCCAACTAGTTGCTTTTTCTTTTCTTTTATGAAATATAAGCTTTGCCTGAAATGGATTAATTCACCGACATCATAACGCTGTATTTTTTTTATCAGCCCAATTTGCCACCAGAAGGTGGAAAAGGGCGGTTGGACATAAGAACTGTCGTTCTCCCTATCTTTGTCCAATTCACCATTTTTCCCCTTACAATAAAATGCAACCGATTAATAAAAATACAGATACATCTTATTGTAATAATTTCACTGTCATTTAGGTCTATCATATTTGCTCTTATAAATCCAGGAATTTCCCATAATGGATTGTCCTTGCTTGGCGGCCATGCGGTAGTACTTGGCTGCCATATACAAGTCCTTTTTAACCCCATGGCCATGATAATAACAATGTCCCAAATCATTCTGCGCGTCCGGATCCCCCAAATCGGCTGCGATCTTGAAAAAGTAAACCGCTGTTTCCTTGTTTTTCTTACACTACAATATGCGCAGGGTAAATTTTTCACACGCTCTTCATAGGAAAGCTTCAACTGCAGCACTTACCCCCCAACCATGACGAAATGATACGCCAAGCTCATAAATAGCCATGATCAATTCACCTTTCGCAGCCGACGTATTCACCGTGTTGGACAGTCCCTCCAGATCCATCACCGCATGTTCGGCCGCTTTCTGCAGATATTGAAACGCCAAATGCTCGCTCTTCTTACATCCCTTTTTTCGTGTTTCGTTTGATTAGTTTTCAAAAGCTAACAAGATTTCCCATGACTTTTCGTTTGATAATAATTTATAACCTTAATTTTTTTTGGTTATCCCCCATCATACACTTACCCAGCCATGTCGCAATGAAACACCATAAAGAAACAGAGCCATTGGGAAATTTTGATTGGCGGCCTGACGAAACAACTCAGTGGCCTTTTCTAGCTGGCCCGCTTCATGAAACTTGATACCACGATGCACTAGCTCTTCTGCCTCGCTGCCACCAATGAATGACTGTTTCTTGGCGCTAGTTTTTTTCGCCGCCCCGCAGGAGCCTCCGGGTGGTTGGGGGGAAGGTGACAGAAGCGTGTTGGATTGCGGAGTTCGTGGTGAAACACTGAAAGTGGACGCGCTACTCAAAGGCGAAGCTCCGCTGCGAGAGGACGCAGGCGTCGTCAAATCCTGAATAGACGACGATCGCGGTGTTAGCAAAGCCGCTCGGTTGGGTGAAGACGACGACCGAATAGGTGTGGGCGGAATCACCAGAGGAGGCAATGGTTGCGGATGACGAAACGACGGTTTGCTGTTGGATAGATTTGAATTCACGTGGGCCGATTTGGAAGGGACAGGTTGCAGCATGAAAGGTGCATCATGGTTGCTCACGGAAACTGTGCTAGTACTGATGGAAGCAGCCATTCTGGGGGCTGTTCTGGATACAGATGGTGATAGTCGTTCCATTGTGTGATGGTCGTTACTATGAGATGAAGAGATCACAGCAGCACTCGCACAGACCGGTTTGACGGGCACTTCGATGTACGCTTTTTGCATTGGTATTGTTTCCACGTATTGTACGCGCGATTTTACAAGAGTAGGAGGAGACATGGTTCGAATTTCAGGACGTTCTGTATCTTCGGTAGGTTGGAAAAAGTTGATATTGGCAATAGGGGAGGTCGGTGATGAGATTTTGGTTTCTGGAACGAGATATTGTGTGCCATAGATGCTTTGTGGAGTGACCGAAGTCTGCATCATGCTCGATACGTTCGGCTCTGCGTCATAATCAAGTAAGTTGACGATTCCTAGGAATTATTTTTTTCACATTTTTGTGTGTTTACCTATGTACGTCTCACGAGGCACATGCACATCGTAATTGTTTGTGTGGGGATCGATGAGCGATTCTCGATCGTGATATGTTGGATAATAGTCTTGTTTATCGAACTATATTACAAATCAATTAATATAAATTCATCAAAGACATGGCGTCATGAAATAAACTTTGTGGTGAAAATATAGATAAAGTCATTACTTGATATTGTCGTTGATGAGCCAAGTTGCTTTCGTACACTGGTTTTGATTCCTGGAAAGAATTTCAAATCAACGGCCTTGAGAAACAGAAGGAAAAAGACGACAGGTTCATCTTGGTCTTACCTGATCGCGATGAGTGTAATTAGGAATCAGTCTAAATCATCATGTCAGACGGCTGCAGGATCATGATGGATTGGCATTGAACAAAAAGTGGGTGTACCTGGAGCTGTAAGTTTCCTGAAAGCTGGTCGTTTGTTCCTGTGTGTTATAGATCGGAGGATTGTGTTGATTTTTAAACATTTTTGTATATGATGGTAGATAAGTATGTATGTAGATCAGTAAAGAGCTAGGGATAGCAAGGATTATCAAAGAAAGAAATAGGAAAGGCTGTGCAGAAAAAGAAAAAACAATCAGAAAAAAACACGGGTACAATTATTGCAAAGCCATGCTTAGGATGCAAGCAAGCAGTTAAAGTCTGAAAACCAGAACGAGAAGAAAAAGATGAAGGAAAAAAAAAAGGGTGAAAGAAGCGAAAGAACAAGGAAATCACTCACTCCGATCTGCTCCAAGATAACCTATTGAATGAATGAGAGGAGCGCAATGTGCCCTTTTGCAATTTCTGAGAACAGAGCGTGCGATCAAGCACCTTTTTTGGCAAACACGTACGACGCGCTGAAGCCCAAACTGATTGTCATTTATGAGCCAGATACGGTGAATTCACCAAAGCCGTGGCTGTGGCAACAACAAAAAGAACCTCTCCTCCTTTTCCCCTCTCCGGTGTTTCCCTAATCCAGCGAAAAATCCTTTGAAGCGGTTAATTTTTTTTTTTTTTTTTGGTCCATGCAGGTCTCTCTTTCGGCGTTTATCTATAGGAGATCATTGCCGTACCCACATTGTGAGAACGCGCACTTTCTGGAGCAGCCACCGCCCGCGATCAGTTTTTCTCAAAAAGAAAAAATATTTTTAAAATAGTCATTGAAGCTTTTCCTATTTTGGGCATCTCCAGCGAAGATCGTTTTCACTCTGAATTGTCTCCCTCTTCTCCTGATAAGCAGTTAAAACACGTTTGATACCATGAATCATGGGAAGTAGCGCTCACTTTCTATCCTATCCGCTTTGGATACCATTACTTGGAATTACAGCGACTGTTTGGAAATGTGCACACAGCACGTGTCCTCTGCCATGCACAGACAAGTGTCTCTGTCAAAAAAGAAAAAATCAATGAAATCTTTGCAACAATGAACAATAAAGATAGAAGTCTCCTTATTTCAATGGTTCACATTTCGTTCTGATTTTGGATGGTGCCATTCACTCATTGTATTTCCATCGTCCATTAGGAATTTCCGCCATTTGCGGGCTTTTTATTTTTCATGGTTCATTCTCAGTCGAATTAAGCGATTTTGTGCGAAAAAAAAAAATCGAATCAGCTACTTGAACCTCGCCTGCAAACCTTAATCTAAAAATACGTCATTTTTGATTTAATAAAGAAACTTCTTATCATTAGAAACCCATTCATTTGGGTGGCTAAATTAAGCTGTTTCCTCTGATTCATTTTATTGAACCGTACTAAAAGAAGATGAAAAGGTTCTATAAATATCCTTGCTTCAAATAGGCGCTTTTCCCGGTTCAGAATCAATTAAAGATGCAATCATGGAAAAAAGGGAAACGTAGTTTGTCTGATAGAAAAAACGGCAATAATGCCTTTTTACGGGCATTACTTATGTAAACAGCTGATAATGGATGATGGGTTACTTTGCACAAAAAGTACAAAAGTAGGCAATCTCAAATTAATGTAGCACCAAATGTTGATCACGGGCGCCTTTCGGTTCCGAGCCCTTTTGTCTTGACCCTGGATAATTTGTCAGTACCTCTGACGGGCTGTCATCACCTGCCGATAATCCATGATGTACATACAGACATTGGTCTTTTGAAACTATCATCCATGGAAAGAAACTGTCTCTTCTTCAGTGTTAAAAATGAACCGAGCAGCTGTGAATTGAAGGTGGACCATGTATTACTTTATGAATTGCATAAACTGTTCATTAGGACCTGATTTTCTATTTCTACGTGGTCTGCCGCCGCGTGGTTGGACGCACATTGTATGGATTCTTTCTTGACATCCAGTGTTTGCGATTCTCCCATTGTAAATGTATCCCAAATAACCGCATTTAGCAGATTTTTAAACACCATTCGTGCAAATGAATCAAACGCTCGCACCCGATCCGAGTTTAGTCTTCTACGACGTACGGTATTGTCAACTCGACAACAGTAGTATTGCGCTGTACGGTAAATGATCGTTGTTTGTCGCCCATCTTCTTTACCCGGACCAATGAAACGCGCATGAATGTGAGTGTTCAGCTTGTCCAATTCATGCACGAAATCCTCGAATCGCATATACGTTGCGTCCCAGTTGCCCAATGAAAAAATGGCGATATCCGGTCGTCCAGTCGACGTAGCATTTCCGTCTGTAAACGCTGATTCCCATGAAGGATTGTTCAATGCCGTCAGCCCATCCCATTTATAGCTCCTCAGTATGGCGCCATCTCTTGTCGTTACATCATAAGATCCGCTATCCCATTCCGTATCCCAACCAAGCGCATCAGATTCTTCTGGGGTATTTTCAAGCAGGACATTATTTCGTCGCGTCATCGGGTCAAACCACGCTCGGTTCCAACTTCTTTCCTGATAATCCTCGCAATAGCAAGCAACAGGCTGCATGTCGTCCATCGTCCACTTCCAGTCGGCAGGAGAGGACGCATACATTGGTGTGGTGTAATTCGCTGGGAAACTCCTGAGTGGTATGTCCATTTGCCATCGTTTGCTCCAATCGCGGCACCATCGACCGCGACTCAGGAATTTCTTGATTGAGCGCCGCATGTTGGAATCACCATAAGCTTCAATCCCGAGCGAATACTTGCGCGCTAAGCATCGATTGAACTGAGGATAGGTTATATGCCGATACCTGCAATTATACGGTGCCCAGAATTTATTATGCCGATTAAGTCCCGCTACCCGTTGTATAGCGTGCTGTGGATCGCCTGGCCATGATAGCCACCGACCGGCATGATCAGCTCCTTTGCAAAGCGGCAAATTGAGATGCTCGTTTAAAATATTGGTGGCGGTTTCCACATCCGTCGTGTGTTCTTCTAATGATTGCTTAACATGAAATGTGTCGGTTCCCGTTGGTAAAACTTGCATTGCAGTGGGTTTGTACGGCAATACAGGTCCTTTTTCAAAATTCCACTGTCCCCCGGTATACTCCAACAGTCCCTCCAGTGAATAAGTCCCTGAATCATGTATTTCGATTTCGCCTTCGTATATATGGATCGCGGTACGCTCGATCATTGTAAAATCGTAGCTGCTCCACCACGACGGATCGCTCCTCGCTTCTGCAAGGAAACTGTACCGTATCATTTCGTGTCCTGGCCATGGTTTCATATGCACAGGCATAGAGGTATCGGCGTCCTTGTGATTTAGGGAAACCATCATGGTGTCCCACCAGGGTCCTTCTTTCTTGAAAAAGGCGACATTATCGTAAGGTTGGTACAAGAAATGGAATGGATCGTTGGTTTTCTCTTCAACATTATTGGGTATAATGGCACGGATACAAATAGTTTGGCCTCGAATCAAATGCGTTGAGCGCTTGAAAGGTAACAGTAGAAAAGGGGATTTCAAACCTCCAAATGCGTGTTCATACGCGGTTTGGGGATCTCGGACAGGCAATGTCTGGGTGATGATGCGCTTCAGAATTGGGTATGGCAAATCTTGGTTGTCGCAGGCATATCGCTTTTTGGGATCCTGGTCATAAATAACTTCGTCAATCCATCTGTCTTCGTCTGACTGTAACGGCAACAAGCGACCGAGTCTTTGGTAAGCCGTCGTTTTTTGTGTGAGATTGGCAAGCGCAAAAATAACGGGAGCATGTACTGGAAAGATTTTCTCTATTCGTTCATTGATCGACGGAACTTTGGTAACATTTATTGGAGTTGCCTGAAGCGATGAAAGTACCCGCTGGGGTCGATCATTGCTAATATAGAACCATAGGACAAGTAGCAGGAAACAGTTTAAACATAATACGAAGTGCCAGTAACGGCGAACAATGAAATATCCGTATGTTTTTCCAGAAGAGAAGAACATGAAGAATGCTAATGACGGTGCATCTTCCTGGACAATTCTACTATAATCCACTTTTTTTTTTTTTTTTTTATTATTATTATTATTTGGGTACATAGAATGGCCGTGCTGGCTAATCTATCCAAAAAAGGCAACGATCACTTAGATAATTTATTGTTCACAAAAGAATATGTCTCCGTTGTTTTCGAGAATGCGACAACACCATGCTGTCGTTTCGTTGAGATGTCGTCAACAGATAAAGGGAAGGTAGATTTGAACAATCGGTCACGACAATAGCGTCAAAGAAGTATTTCTTGAAGATCTCCAATTTCATAGTAATAATGTCTTTTCTTGCCCCAATCCATTGGTATGGTTTGGAATCAAATATAATGCTTTACATTCTGCAAGTGAGAAAAAAATACTGCATTATTGGGTAGACTATGCTTATTAGCAGCCAACATCTACTTCACCTCTCTATCTGTGAACAATTTCGGCTACAAGATCTTTACAGCATGTTACCAGGTCTATCCTATTCTCTTCTTTTGACTTCAAATGAGGCCTCGACGAAGGATTTAAGTTTTCCTATAATAAACGTGATTTGTATCCGAAGTTGGGGTTTACATGAATTAATGTGGCATCAGCAGATTTGAGTTCGACATCCTACACGTTTCGTATCACTGACCAAAAATTGTTTAATTCACAACTTATGACGGCAAGGCGAAACGGAAAATGTAACTTGTAGACAGTTATGAATAAGCATCGTTCCGCATTTTTTCCCCTTTCGATGTAAAAAGAGTCATTCTTGAATTATATGACTTCGAAAGGGAATGCATGGAACGGTTGGTGCGATTTTATACGAAGGAGCGCTGACCTTGATTGCATGGTGCCCTTATGAAAGAAATGCGATAACCATTAATCCAAGATCTCCCTTTCCCTCGTCTATCTGTTTTAAGAAAATTGTTTTTTTTTGTTTTGTTTTTGCTTACATGCCTTTCCATCTTTGACAATGTGATTTTCTTTTTCTTTAATTTATTTTTATGTAACTAAGCATACTGTACATAAGCTTGCAAATTGAAGGAAAGTTTAACAAAACAAGGGAATGAAAAAAATAAAAATTCTATTGGCTAATTTTGATTCTCCGAAAAAACCTGACCGGGGCAAAAAAATTGATTCCTGCCAGATTCGAACTGGCGACCGTCTGTGTGTTAGACAGACGTGATAACCAACTACACCAAGGAATCACTGGTTATTCCGTTATTCATCACTTTTCTCGCGGATAAACGTTTAACCGGATTTAGTAATTACCTTGACAACTAGAGAGAAAGATACAGCAACACAACCTACCGATACTTCGCCTCCAAAGCATTGCCCAGTGCCCCGCCAACAAGTTCCGTTAGAACCGCCAAGCGAAATCGAGCATTTCCGTCCCGCGATTCCACCATCAGGCCACCTGCTTAAAACATATTCCTTAAACAAACGGCGCCGGTCATCTCTGCTTCCGCTACGCATTTCTCGCCTACCTATTCAAAAACGCACCCGAACCACACTTCCTGAACTCATTACTCCATCCACTGAACGCGAACCTCAGATGGGTGCGATAAAAACAAACAAAAAAATAGAAAAAAGCCAAGAACCGGCTGGGGTGGCCAAATCTCTTAAAATTTTTTCACCCAATGCCCTGAAAAAACTGAACTCCGATTTTGAGGCCTTGCGCCACACTACCCTCAAGTGTCCGAAATGTCTTGCGCTTGGCCACATCAACAAAAATGGCCACAGCAAAACTGATCCCGCAATGCCACTTTTTCTCTGTCGATGTGGACACCGCTTTGGTCATATCGATATGCAATTTCTTATCGACCAACATCGTGGTCGCGCCGACTCCGCTTTGCTACCATTGGACTCCCAAATGTCTGATGTGCAACAGGATGGTCCTGTGCCTGACAACGCCTCTGTCACACCTTCTGCCCCTGGTGAATCCTCAGTTTCCCAACCACCACCTGCCCTTCGTTTCGAACACCATGAAGCCCTACCAGAATTCATGACGACCATCATGGCTGAACTTAACCAGCTTCGCAGCCGCATGGATCAGTACGACGAACTGATCGCCGAAAACCAGCGATTGAAACAATCATTGGCTGCCGCTGAAGCCAAAATCGCCCAGCTCGAGACTCAGCGCTCACCTCCCACTCCTTCTGGTGCCATGGCATCTAAATATGCTCATGAGAATGATTCGACTCCCGTTCCAACCACCACCTCACCTTCTGACGAAGACACTTGGGCAAAGCGTGTTCAGCGCGCCAAAAAACTAAAGGTGTCCCCCAAACGCATGGCAACCCTCGCTCGAGCCTTCACCCCCACTAGCGAAACTCATGGTTTCCAGTATGTGTACATTCCCAGCAAGTTCCGCATGAAAACCAAGGCACTTCGCCAAACTCTCCGCACTCTCGGTTTTGACAATTCCCGAATCCTTGATGTCCACTATCCGGACCGTCAGGTGGTCGCCTTGCTCATCCACAATGACTACCATGATACACTGGTTGCCTCTTTTGCTCGTCACAACATTAACCCACTCAAGGACTTCAACCCCCGCGACCCATCACACTTGCGTGACCCCAAGTTTGTTGGTCTGTCCTTAGAAGATCGCCAGCGTGAAGCCAATCAGATCCATCTTCAACGTCTCGAACACGCACTCCAGTTCATTCGTGAACCTGTCAAATTCGCTGTCGCTCGCTCCTTCCACAGCCAACAGTGGATTGATGATGATATGCTTCGCTTCTTCCTCCAATCGCGCACCCAACCCACTAACACTGGCCTCACCAATCCTTTCGGTACCAATGATATTGAAGATGAACACATGAATCTCAATAACAGCACTCCCACCAGCACCTCTACCCCTGAAAACTCTCATCAATGAATGATCCTATAACTATCACTTTATGGAATGCCAACGGGCTCCAAAGACACCTCATTGATAACCTCCTCTCCTTTACACCTGATTCCTCACTCATTTTCATAAGTGAAACCTGGCTCCTCTCACCACACTCATTTCCCACCCATTGGACCCAACACCATAATTATGGCCAACGCCTCCCCAATGCCTACGTTGGTAATCTAGGCATCTCACTCCTTGTCAACCCTTCCTTTCCCTATCCCATCACAATCCTTCCGATCACCTCACCCTATGTCCTCTCATGTATTACCGCCGATCATCTAATCCATTGTTTGTACCTACCTCCATCACTCTCTAATGCCGATTCCCTCACCATTCTCACTACCCTCCCTTACTCCGCACCTGGCACCACAAATACCATACTGTGCGGCGATTTCAATGCTCGTATCGGTTCCTTTGTTGGTGACCATAACGTTAATTCCCGCGGCACTTTATTTTTAGAATGGATCCATGAACATGGACTTACATTATGGAACGCTTCCCTGGCCTATGCCCAACCTACTTACCTTCGTGGTAACGGATCTAGTATCATTGACTGGTTTCTAAGTACCCAACCGCTCCTTACCCCATCCATACACATCGATCATGACGTTTCCCTAGGTTCCGATCATAAACTCTCTCATCTCACGTTTATTCCCACTATGCCTCCTCCTCCACCCGCTACCAACCATCCGCGTCAATTATGGAATCTTAGCAAACTTGCTGACCCTACCGATCGGGACCGCCTCATTCACTCATTTACCTCCAATGTACGCTCCCTTCGCCATGAACTGATCGCACTTTCCGATTCCCCCACCGTTCCTTCCCTTGACTCTCTCCATCATCGCCTATGCGATGCCATTTATTCCTCCCTCGACACCGCTGTTGGCCGACGCAATCCCCCACGACGTTCCTGCAAATGGTTCTGGAATTCACAACTCCAAGATGCCTTTGATTACCGTGAACAGTGCTACCAAAAATGGCGCCGTGCTGAAGGCCTCAGCAAAATGTCCCGCTGGATCGAACACCAAAGAGCCTCTGCCCAATTCCGCCGTTTAGTCAGCCGACGCAAACGACAAACCTGGCGTGAATTTTGTGATAAGCTGACCACTGGCAATTTTAGTGATGCCACTGCCATGATGGGGAAATTACGGCGCAATCGTAAAACCACACCTCAGTTCACCGACCCTGCTGGCCCCACTACTGCTGCCAACCGCATTGCTTCTCATCTCGAGCAAGTATATGCTGGTAACCTTCTCGCCCATTCCACTCCTTCCGACGATCCGTCTAATGTTTCCCTTATTCCCTCTTCTCTCGTTTGCCCCATCACTTCCACCCAGGTTGCCGCCGCTATCAAACGCCTTGCCTCCCGAAAAGCTCCTGGTGTAGACCACATTCGCGCTGAGGTACTCCAAGTCCTCATTGATCCACTTTCTCCACTCCTTTCCCACCTTTTTGCACTCTGTTGGAAATGGGGGACTAGTCCCTCTGACTGGCGAGTTGCACAGGCCGTACCGATTTATAAAAAGGGCGATATGACCGATCCAGGAAATTATCGACCCATATGCCTCACCTCCATGTTCCGAAAAATCCTGGAATATTGTCTTATGCCAGAAATCGAACGTATTGCCCCTCCCCTCGACATCGCCCAAGGTGGATTCCGCCCTGCACGTAGTGCAATGGACCAAGCCTTATGTCTCCACGAACTTTCCGTCATCCACCGTACCATTCATGGACAAAGTCCTGTTATCGCTTTTCTAGATATCAAATCTGCCTATGACACCGTTGATCGGAACGTCATATGGCAAGAAATTGAATCTACGGCCCCACCTCCACTCCTTTCTCTCCTCCGTAATTTATTCGACGATGTTTCCATCGAAGTCCTGCTCTCAGGCACCAACTCCTCTCGTTTCCAACCTAAAACCGGTGTCCTTCAAGGTTCCGTGCTCTCTCCATTCCTTTATTCCTTGTACATCAATACCCTCCCTGGTGTCCTCCGTCTTGCCGAAGCATCACTCTTTCCAGATGATGATGACTTTGTTGCTCCTTTCCAATTCCTTGTCCGCGGTCAACGCATCAATTGCCTTTTGTATGCTGACGATGTTGCGATCATTGGTACTTGGAATACCATGCCTACTCTCCTTGCCGCCTGTGAAAGGCATAGCCAACAACTAGGCTATCGATGGAATCCGGAAAAGTGTGTCGTTTTATACGATGGTTCACCTTCGGTTTCCCCCTCCATTCCTTTAACACTTTACAATGTTCCCCTCCAATCCGCCTCCACCTTCAAGTACCTCGGTATTCCTTTCAACAGCCAGGGCTTGATCGATCCGACTCTCCTCATCCACCAGAACAGCAGCGGCGCCTTGGGTACCATGCGTGTCTTACGTGGCCTGGGTGTCAACCCACATGGTTTCTCTCGTTTGCTTTCCGCTCGCTTGTACCAACAATTCGTCCGTCCCAAGTTCGAATATGGCCTTGCCCTTCTTCGCCTTTCTGTGAAACAGCGTATTCAGCTCGATCGTGCTCAAGATCAATGCTTACGCATGATTTTTGGTGGCCATCGCACCGCATCCACAGTTGTTTTCCGTCACTTGACCCGCTTGCCCACAATGGCTGAACGATACAGCATTCTCCAAGCCAAATATTTATTCCGATCTTACCACCTTCCTGACGACAGTCTTTTGAGTGCTCTAAAGCCTCACATTAAACATACTCCACACCTTTGGCCTTCCTACTACAGGAATCAAATCTGGGTTAGCCTCCCTCGACCCCGCTCTCACACGTCTGCAAAAGACTTTAAATCCGCCCTCTGGACGTTCCTTCAAGACACTTTCCAGCATCGGCTGGATAGTCGTAACGGCACCCTCCTTCGCGCCTGCCGTCCCCGTCTGGGCATCGATCCCATCATGTTCCTGCCAATGACCCACCATGAACGAAGTCGTTGCATCCGATGGAGAATGGGTTGGCTTCCTGGCCGCCCTATTACCTGTTGGTGCAAGCATGATCACACAAGCCGGCGCCATTTAATCTGGTGTTTGAACATGCACCGTCGTCTCAACGTTCGCAATGATCCTGATCATGCTGATCCACTTTCTTGTATTTTGAACCAGCTCCCAAAAACCCGCCCCACCTCATCCCATCGCATTGCTTACTGGCGCTGTACCTGGCCGATTGTTTGTCAAATCCTCCTTGAGGTAGATCAGGCTTGTCATCCCGATCCTGATTTCATTGCTTACCGTGATCCCGCTCCTGGTTGTTCCCTCGTGAACTGGCTTTTGCCCCCACCTGTTTCTGTTTCTTCGGAATCAGACATTAGCTCCGTTTAGATTTTTTTTTATTTTTATTTTTTTTATTTTTCATGCATTTGTTTCCTTTTTCGTTTTTTCCTGCTGTCTAGTACAGTAGGTTTTTTCATGACCTATCTCCCCCCTCGATCTGGCGAGAGCAACGTTGCTTCACTCCAGAAGTCTGTGCTCGGCTTCGCCTCGCTTTAATAAAACTTTCATCTACACCAAGGAATCACTGGTTATTCCACTATTCATCACTTTTTTCACGGATAATAGTTTTACCGGTTTCAGCAAAACTTTGACAACGAATAGCAGCAAAACAACAAACCCTCCAACTGTAAAAACACTCTCAAGCTCCACTACCAACCTCGCAGAACAAGTTTCGTTAGAAGCTCCAAGCGAAAGCACCGAATTCTGTCCTGCGATTCCAACATCCGGCCATCCAACAAAAAAATTATTTATCAGTAAACGGCGGCGAACATCTATTTTACCAGCCCGCATTACTCGAATCCCCGCACTTAAACGCACGCGTCCAAACTTTCCTGAACAACTGTCCACCGTTTCTGACCTGCAACTGTTAATGGGCGCCGTCAAAACAGTGCAAAAAAAACCCGAGAAAAGCCAAGGAGCCCTTGGGCTGGCCAAGCCGCCCAAAATTTTTTCTCCTGACGCCGTGGCCCTTTTAGCCTCCGATTTCGCTGAAATGCGTCAGTCCCAACTCAGCTGCCCCAAATGCAACAAGTCCACCATCAGGAAAAATGGCCACACTAAGACTGAACCAGCCATGCCCATTTTTCTCTGTCAATGCGGCCAACGTTTTTCGCATATTGAGATGCGCCAACTGATCGACCAAACCCGCGCTCGTGATGCTTCTGTGGAAACGTTACCTGATATCACCATGGTTGAATCGCCTGAATCTCAGGCATCTACTCCGACCCAGAACCCAGCTACACCTCTTGCACTGACGGAACAACCTCTACCCTCCACCATGTTACAATTTGAGCATCATGAAGCCCTTCCATCATTCATGACAGCCATGGTCGCTCAAATGAATCAAGTTCTCCGCCGCCTCGATGAGTATGATCAACTGAAGGCAGAAAATCATCAGTTAAACCAATCGTTGGCTGCTGCCGAAGCTCGAATCGCCCAGCTTGAAGCTCAATTTGAAACCCAATATGCTGACCCTACCCCCATTGGAGCAATGGCTTCTAAGTATGCATCCACCTCCACAGACCCCCCTACAACCGACACTTCCCCAGTCAAGGACACATGGGCTTCTCGCACTAAAAAAAACCTACCCAAAAAAAAGTTCTCAACCAAACAAGTGGAGACCGTTGCAAGAACCTTCGCGACTAATAGCGAGACCCATGGTTTCCGCTATGTCTATATCCCCAGCAAGTTCCGGATGAAGACTAAGGAGCTTCGCAGTCGCCTTCGCATTCTTGGATTTAATAATTCACGCATTCTGGATGTTCACTACCCCGATCGCCAAATTGTTGCCCTGCTGATCCATAATGACTATTATGATGAACTTACTACCCTCCTTGCCAAACACACCATTCAGCAGATCAAAGATTTCAACCCACGCGACCCTATGCGTTTGCGCGATCCTAAATTCGAAACCTTGGCTGCCAAGGATCGTCAACAACAGGCTGATCAACTCCATGTCGAACGACTTGAGCGTGCCATTAATTTCATCCGTGCACCTGTCAAATTTGCAGTCGCCCGGTCTTTCCATCAACAACAGTGGCTCTCCGATTCCCACCTCCAGTCCATTCTTTCCCGCACTGAACTCACCACCACCCCACCTGACAATCCTTTTCTCACAAATGATGATGACACTAACGTCCGCCGCATGTCGATTACGAGCGACACTTCCACCCAGACTAACGCGAACCAAATATCCGATCAATGAGTGAGCCCATTACACTCTCTTTATGGAACGCCAATGGCCTCCAACGTCACCTCATAGATACGATCCTCTCCTATATCCCGAATTCTGCACTTATGTTTATCACCGAAACCTGGCTTCTCGAACCCCATACCTTTCCCACACACTGGATCCAACATCATACCTATGGAACACCACTACGCAATGCTTATGTCGGCAGTATGGGTATATCCCTACTTGTCAACCCATCCTTTCCTTACCACGTTACTGTCCTACCGAACTCCTCTCCTTATGTTCTCTCCTGCATTGTCACCGATACACTCATCCACTGTCTCTACTTACCGCCCTCGCTTTCTTCCTCTGCCGTCATGGCTGTTCTCAACTCCCTCCCCTTTCATCACGACAACACCACCAATACCATCCTATGCGGTGATTTTAATGGACGCATCGGTACCTTTATTGGAGACAATATTTATACACCCCGTGGTACTATGCTTCTCGCTTGGATACAAGAGCATGGACTAACACTTTGGAATGCCTCTCTGGCCTATGGTATACCCACGCTTCTTTCGGGCCACGGTTCTAGTATCATCGACTGGTTTATAAGCACGCAACCACTCTTGAACCCCTCTATGTATGTCAGTAGTGATCTCTCTCTGGGATCAGATCATAAAATCGTCCATATCACATACACTCCTTCTACCCCTCCTCCCTCAAGCACTTCTCACCATCCACGTCGCCTATGGAATCTCAGTCGTTTTCGCTACCCTAGTCGCTTAGACCAGTATCTCCAATCCTTCAACACCCTGTCCGCTCCTTTATCTGACTTACTTACCACCACTCTTTCCACTCGTTCGCCTCCTCCACTTGATGCTCTCAATGACCAATTGTGCAATGCCATTTATTCTGCACTTGACCAAAGTGTAGGTAAACGTAAACCTCCTCGCCGAAAGTGCAAATGGTTTTGGAACGATGAACTCCAGAAAGCATTTGACGATCGTGAACGCTGCTACCGACTCTGGCGCCGAGCTTCTGGTACAAGTAAACTTTCTCGTTGGGTAGATCACCAACGCGCTGCTGCCATTTTCCGCCGCCTTGTATCTCGAAGACGCCGCCTAACTTGGCGCGAGTTCACTGAGAAACTGTCTACTGGTGATGTTGCCACTGCCACAACCACAATCAACAAAATCCGCCGCAACCGTAAAACTAATCCTTCTTTTTCTGACCCTGCTGGTCCAGTGGTCGCTGCTGACCGCATTCTGACACACCTCGAATCAGTTTTCTCCGGGAATCTTCTTGGACCCTCCATTACCGAAGAACCCGTTTCCTCTGCTCCCTTTTCAACTCCTTGTCCGATCGATTATTATACCGTCACTCAGGCTCTCAATCGCCTCGCTTGCCGAAAGGCGCCTGGTATTGATCATGTACGTACTGAAATGCTCCTCCCACTCATTGACACACTCGTTCCACTCCTCGTAAAACTTTTCGCCCTCTGCTGGAAGTGGGGTCAAACCCCTTCTGTATGGCGCGTTGCTCAAGTGGTCCCAATCTACAAGAAAGGCGATCCATCCAACCCTTGCAACTACCGCCCAATCTGTCTGACCTCTGTTTTCCGCAAACTGTTCGAAAATTGTCTTGCTCCCTCTCTGGAAATTGCTGCTCCCACTCTTGATATTGCGCAGGGTGGTTTCCGTCCTGGCCGTAGTGCCATGGATCAAGCCCTCTGTCTGCACGAATTGTCGGTGATGCATGCTACCATTCACGGCCAAAGTCCTGTAATAGCATTTCTTGACATCAAATCAGCGTACGATACCGTCGACAGAAACGTCATCTGGCAAGAACTGGAGCCCGCCGCTGCACCGCCCCTGCTCGCCCTCTTAAAAAATCTTTTTGATGATGTTGAGATCGAAGTTACTCTCTCTGGTATCACCTCGCGCCGTTTTCAACCTGCCACTGGCGTTCTCCAAGGATCTATTCTGTCGCCGTTTTTATACTCTGTATACATCAACTCACTGCCCTCCCTCTTGCGTCTCACTGAAGAGGCGATCAATCCTATCGATGATGATTTTGACTTTCCCACGGAATTTCTTGTTCAGAACCAACGCATAAACTGTCTACTTTACGCTGATGATATTGCCCTGATCGGCACATGGGCAACCATGCCTGCTCTACTCGCGGCCTGTGAGCGCCACAGCCGTCAACTTGGATACCGATGGAATCCCGATAAATGTGTTATCACCTATCCTGGATCTCCTGCCATTCACCCACGACGACCCCTTACTCTGTATAACGTCCCACTTCAGAGCGATCAATATTTTAAATATCTTGGTATTCCGTTTAACAACAAAGGCCTCATTGATTCAGCGCGACTCATCTACGAAAACAGCCGTGGTGCAGTTGGTGCTATGCGTGTTATCCATTCCCTGGGTGCAAATCCCAATGGGTTCTCTCGTCTCCTTTCCGCTCGTTTATACCAGCAATTTATTCGGCCAAAATTCGAATATGGCCTTGCTTTGATCCGCCCTTCGGTGAAGGAAAAGATAAAACTTGAAAAAGCACAAGACCAGTGTCTACGCTTACTTTTCGGAGGCCACCGCACATCCTCAACCATGGTGTTTAAACACTTGACCCGTCTTCCAGCAATGGTACATCGCCATGCCATCCTCCAGGTAAAATACATCTTTCGTGTGCGTAATACCCCAGATGATAGCCTGCTCGCTGCACTTCGCCCATCTATCTTTACCACGGGCCACTTATGGTTCCAAATTCACAAAAACGAAATTTGGATTTCATTATCCCGCCCACGTGCAGAGACAAGCCCTCAAGACCTCAAAAAAGCGATCACTACATACAAGCAGGATCAGCTCGAAGCTCGACTGAACAGTCGCAATAGCATCCTCCTCCGCGCATGCCGACCCCAAGCTAGAATAGATCCCATCCTATTTCTCCCAATGACCCGACACGAACGTAGCCGCTGCCTTCGCTGGCGCATGGGATGGCTACCAGGCCGCCCACGCACTTGTTGGTGTCAAAAGGACCACACTAGCCGTCGCCATCTTATCTGGTGCCTCAACATGCATGAACGATTACAACTCACTGGATCGAACCGCCCAGATGACCCGCTCTCCTTTCGACTGAATCAGCTTCCCTGTTCCCGCCCAACATCTGCTGCCCGCATTACGTTTTGGCGTAATATGTGGCCACGTATATGTCGCATTCTTCTTGAGGTCGACCAAAGTTGTCACCCAGATCCACATTTTCTTGAATACCATGATCCTGATCCCGGTCGCGCTCTGCTTTATTGGCTGGAGAACTCTGCACCACCATCCACTCGTAACGAGTCTCAACAATCCCAGTAGTCTACCATAGCTACCTGTCCCATAGAGAACTGATACTCCCTTCCTGATTTTCCTTTCCTTTTTTGTTTTCCTGCTCGCAGGTTTTATTTTTCATGACTTTCCCACCACACTGACCTGGCGAGAGCAATTTGCTTCACACCCGAAGCTCGTGCTCGGCTTCGCCTCGCCTTCAATAAACCTTTAACCTACACCAAGGAATCTTGTTTTTTCTGTTGTGTTGAAAAGTATATATGTGACAAAACAAAGGAGTGCGGTCACATAACAGTCACGGACTGTTTTGAAGCGCATCACAGATTTTAATTAAGTGGGCAGACATTGCTTCGTCGACATCCACATGCAGGCCATCACCTGAGTCGTAGTGAGTTGTAAAAACAACATAAATACTGCCAAAATGAGCTTGTATGTATCACGCTTGCGTATTTTGTATTATGAAACTGCTGTTTATAGTCTTGGTAAGCCGTGTGCAGCTAAGCATAGCCAACTGCCTCCATTGACTTGGGCTCATTAGCGACATGAGTAAATGGTCAAGCTTTCACTTCGTGCTTTGACATTGGCATTCGAGCAATAAAGAAAACCGCAATAGAGTTTTTATTTCATCCAACCATACTTGAACAAGTGGGGTTTTTAAAACTCTTGTCTTGTTGATATCATACAAATTCAAACTATTTGACAATCATGTCGGCTTTGAGCAAGTGAAGCCGCAGCATTAATCCTTTGGCTGCTTTTTCGTATTCTGTGCCGATTTGCAGTGACTGATCGAACGCTTGTGTCCTTTGTTCCTTTCGCTTCGCGCATAGGATCTAACAAAATCAAAGTGGAGCGTCAGGTTGATGCACCGCACTACGTGCTCGATATCCCAATAGTACCTTTTTATGCGTATCGATGCGAGCGGGTATCTTGTCGCCGTGACTTATTAGGGTCACCAGTTCTTTTTCCAATTGCGAGACGTTAATGTGGAAAGCCGTGGCCATTTGGTGCATATCGACGGTGGAATAAGGTAAGCAATACTGGATCATGGCTCTTTCTCGGATCTGCTGGATTAAGGTATCGACGAGCGGGTGCAGGTACATATCCAAAAGTAAATCATTCTACACCGTGCCCCTTGTCAGATCAATCCGTACATGAATAAACAACCTGTAAAAACTTACTCGATAATCGGCCAATAATCGGAGACACACATTGTATTTAGCATCGTAAAATGCTTCCATCATGTTTCGAATGTGTGGTTCCAATTCAAGATAGCTTTTGAAAGAAGGGTTCTTTTGGAATAACGCATGCAATTCACGACGATTATAGGAGGCCAAGGCACACAGTCCACCGTAGATTGGAATATCATTGGGCGACATCACATCGTTGAAAGCATCGGCAGCCTCAAAGGTGATATCAGTTAATGCGTTGGCCACCAACCTGTATTTGTTCGGATCGGTCCCCGTCAAAGTGACTAGACCCTGACAGCATTTCAGCTTGGCCAGATTAATCGCTTTATCCGGGAGGTTCGGCGTCGCTTCAGCACGCGCGACATATGTTTGTACATGGGAGAAGTGTCCATCCGTAATATTCACCTGAATAAAGGTATTGCATTAAAAACCTTGAACGACCTTTTTCGTTTCTTTCTTCCGCCTAGCCCCCCAAGTTCCATCTTAACCCAGTCCTTACTTTGATGGCGTTGAGGCACATATCGAGCAAATGTTGACTGGTGGTACAATAATCGCGTGTGCGGACATAGTTTTTCAGAGCGTTTGCATAATCGCCAATATTGTAGTAATAGTCGCCCAACTTGACGTGTGTCAGCTTTTTTTTTTTTTTTTTTTTTTTTTTGGTACACAAAAAACATGTTCAGTCAACACATTCAGTCCTTCTATTCGCATTCTGATCAGCTTACTCTGATGTTTTCTTTGGAGAGGTTGCTTTTATGGTGCTTGAGTTCAGCTTCCAGTTGTTCCAACAACGGTTTGTTCTCGTTTTCAATTTGTGCGATCCATTGCTGGTCTTCAGTGATGGGTTCTTGCTGTTGTTCTTCCAGCAATGCATTGAGTTTGCCGAGGGATGTTCTGTACTGCTTGACATCGCGCGTGAGATTTTGTATATCGTGAAGTGCTGATTGATAGGCGTCAATGGCTAGGCTTGGGCAATGTTGAGCAATGAAGAGAGCTCTATCGATACGAGTACGTCCTTTGATACACTCATCTTGAGTATACTGTAAGCTGCAAGTTATGTAGTGATTGGGCAAGTACCTCTGTAATTGTTAATGTAGGCTTCAAAGTCTAAATTATCAGGGTTGTCCACGCGCATAGTTGACGTTTGGATAATGCACGGAAAAATCGAGAGCAACAATGAAGGCAATTGAAGTCCCGAGTCACGTCAGTTCCTCGATTTTTTTTCGCCCCCCTTTTTCCGCACCGTCGTTTTTGCATTCTCAACTGAAAATTTCGAATACCTTGAACTATAAAATTACGGTTTAATCTTTTTCATGCACCTTAGTTTATTAACTGATTCCACTTTCCGTTTACTGTCACCTTCTCATCCTTACCTTGACCGGTCATCCTCACAAAAATCTCCGTTACTGGCATATGGTAAGTTTTCCATGGCTGATCCAACGCCAGGTGGTTTATGCAAGTCAAGAAACGTATCATACTCAGGACCACATCCTACCGTTTGTAGACTGAATTACATCAAGATATCAAGGTAACCAATCAGAGCCATTTGTCCAAAGACAAGTCATTGAAACCGGTGGATGGTGTGCCTTGGCGAGAGTGGAAAGTCACCATAGTGGCAGTTGATAAGGGAAAGGAACAAAAGGGGAAGTTATCGAAAATCGTAGACCATGTTGAGTATATATTGCATCCGACATTTGCTACGCCGAGAAAAGGTTAGAACAAGAACGATACCCCCCCCTGCGTTACAAATGACTGATGAAATTACGAAACAAAAAAAAGTGGTTAAAAAGGAACCTTACACCATACAAGAAAAAGGATGGGGCGAGTTTGACTTACGCATCGTTCTCTATTTCAAGCATCATTGGGCCGATCCAGAAGCTATCTCCTTTGATATCAACTTTCAAAAACCCCATTATTCCAGCATCCACACACTCGTAGGTCACTCACTAAACAAATCCATTAGTACGCGAAAAGAAAAACACATTAACAATGCAACCAAAAAAGGTTTTCAGAGATCCAGCACCTGAACTGACTCAATTGTTGTCCAACGGAGAATACACCGGGCAAGTTAAAGATGATGCGACTGATTTATCTCCGACTGTCTCCAACACCATCGTCAAGGACGAAGATGCATCTCCAGAGCGATTATCGCCTACGCCGTCCTTGGATTCACCAGGACAACAGCCCTCATCTCCCTTGTCTGATTTCCGACCAGTCTCTCCTATGGCGTCACCAACGTTGCCTGAAATGCATCACACAAATAACACCCTCACAGACTTGTCAATATCTACAGAAATGGAGAATACTGAGCACGATGAAATGATGCAAAACAGTCAAGATGAAAATATCATTGGGGAGACGGCAGGAAATGAGAAAGCGCAAATATCTGATGATGAGCACAGTGTGGCGGAGAAGCTGAAGAATCTAGTGCCTGAGAAGCATGAAATCCATGTGCAAGACGAAGTGTACAGCGACATGGATTTACAACATTTAAACCCTGTGCATAGCATGGATATCGACGACACCACACGGCGCGCATGGGGAATACCCAAGGTATCTTCTTTTTAAGTAGTATTATGACCCATCGGTATGTCTTGCTCATTTTTTCAGAACGTCGACATGCTGGAGCTGGCCCGCCGACTTAGTAATATGACCCAGGATCAGGCAGAGGCGTTCCACGACATCATTCAGGAGAACAGCACAGACGATATGAGCATCGAGGAAACCGAAGGTAAACCTAAAGTTCCACTATCCATCACACACTCTGTATTTACGATGGTTTGCAGGAGAGATAGTCTTGGATTTGTATTCTTTGGGTCCCAATCTTTTAGAGCTACTTTGGAAATTTAGTGAATCCGTCATTTCTCGGTCTTCCAGTCCCTCAACGTCATCCGATTCAGTTACAAGTGTTGACGAATCTTCATAAATACAGATTTATTCCACTCGTTGTAAAGATAGCATTCATAAGATTAAATCTCGTTCGACACATACTGAATTCCTCTTCATTCAAGGTCTCGTGTATTAATGTCGTGGGTTTGGCTTGCTAGAAATTTCTGGAACCAGTATTTACAGTCTGTCTGATGTCACAAATGCATGATATCTCATGATTGCATTCACAGTGTTCTTATTCATAAATACGAGGCTTTTGTTAGCCAACGGAGAATAGGAAGAGAGTGATCACTCAACCGGTTCTCAATACATGCTATATCCTAGCGCTAATGTGTCTTGTCCTTGCTATATGGTTTAAAAGATTGCTTGGAGTTGTGACTTGATGTAGTAGATTAGTAAAGCAGCCCACTCTGGCGCAGCCAGAAGACCAAGGAATCAAATATTGGCCAGTTTCTCTCACCAACAGATTGGAATGAATTTTTTCCGCTGACTGGTGGGCCGAAGGGTCGACCAATGAAAAATAAGAAGAAAGAAGCGACGCGCGTACTGGAATCGATGCGCTGACAGCCAATAAAAAATATGGCTGTGTCATGGTCTGAAACCATTATGCAGTTCTTTTTCCTTTCTGATTCCACAGCAACCTCATTACTTGGCAATGCATCGTCTCCGACTACAGCAACAGCAAAAAGAGCGGCAGTGAATTTGCCAGCCGAGATTATTGATGCGATTGCCAATCATGTGCCACGATCGAGTTTGCCTACGCTTGCGAGAATCAACAAGGCATGGTATAGTGTGGTGATGCCCCGGCTCTACCAGCATATTCATATCTGCACTCGATTCCATTGGAATCGTCTACTGGAAACGTTTCGCCAACCTCAAAAAGCGCAGCGCTGGGGTCCGTGTGTCCAAAGCATTGTGCTTCGCAAATCGCCACCACTCGTTCCCGCCAAAATTACAAGCATGATCAGTGTGCGCAGTCTTCCCATTGATGACAATGGGGAAACTGCTCAAGGTTATGTCCGGATCCAAAGGATCAACTATGACACCAGTGGTCTTGAAAATGAAGAGAACTACGACGAAATTGATACAACCGAAAAGGAAGTGGAATGGCTAACTTCCGTCACCAACGATGAAATGGCCACTGTATTGCAGCCTTGTTCGCAGTTGGCCTACCTCGATCTATCGGCTTGTGAGCAACTGGGGGATCCGGTCGTGCAAACCTTGTCGATGCATCAACAGCGGTTAAAAATCCTGCGTCTTTGCCTTTTCCGGGAAATGACTCCCGAAGGACTGTATTCGCTGATCGCCGCCGAAACCAAGTTAACCGAGCCATCGCAGCTTCGACAATTGGATTTATCGTTCTGTCGCCATTTGGACGATAACGCTATCATCGCTGCTGTCAAATGTTGGGGATGCAGCTTGACCCATCTTCGTCTTAATTCACTTTATGATATTACTGACCGTGCCATGGCAGCCATCGCTCGCTACTGTCCGAATTTACGGTTGCTACACGTCGTTCGGTGCTGGCAAGTCAGCAACGATTCGTTACACTTGCTAAGCCGTAGTTGTCCCGACTTAATATACCTCTCGTTAGCGTTTCTGAATCGAGCTAATGAAGTCAGTATCGGGCAATTTATTCGTCACTGCAAGCATTTAAAGTGGCTCGACGTGACCGGATGTGGTATCAACTCATTATTCAAATCACTGATTTTGGAATCTTGGAAACGGGAACGAGAAGCGCTTGGTTACGAACGTATTCATTTTGAGGATACAGCCATCCATCTCTTGTAAAATGTACATTGATATTGATACTGTATATTAAAATCTTTGGGAGTACACACACGTTAAATCATTGTATTATTAAAAAATCATGATTAAAGATATAAATATCTCAACCTTATTAAAATGTTTGAATTTTAGTTCGCAGTCACTTTTATTGTCCGCTAATTTGGCGTTGTTGATTGGATAATAAATGTTTTTAAGGCTGCTGATTGGCTAAAACAAAATAGATCACATGATTTACGTGTTGTAAAAACCGGTCACTTGGAGTTGCTCATGATCTGCACTTCCTTTTATGCATGAGCGGACCGTGTTATTATATGATTTGTTTAGTTAAACCACGCTGTATTGTTTTATTATCTAGGTCCAATTCCTTTCTTTATTCCATTTCCTCAAGCTCAATCGCTTTTTCCCCAATGTCGTCTTCAACCATTTTCTGTGCTTCGTGTGGCCTGCCAGGTGATGCTCGATCAACGAATCGCAGCTGTCCCAACAATACGAGACGTGCTGAGGAAAGCGCTATTGTCTCATCACCCATCTCCTGTGTTTCTTGCGGTCTCCCAGGACACGCTCAATCCACCTCTAGAAACTGTCCCAATAACCCCAGACGCACCGAACAACCCAACGTTGCTACGATCCAAGGATTGGTAGAAGTCCGTTGCTCTTCGTGCCAGCAACTGGGACACCAGCGCAGCAGCCATCTGGCTTGCCCATTGAATCCAGCGAGGCTGGCTATGAGAGAAGCAAACGAAAATGACGCTGGAGAACACAGCCGTAGATTACCTGCACCTGTTGGTAACGCAGAGTCTGATGAATCAGAACTCCCCAGTAGACATACCTTGGGTCGCATGAATGTTGTCTGCAATTTCTGCCAGGCACACATGTGGCTCAAAGAGCGCATGTCTGGATCCATCTCAAATCCACAATTCCAGTTCTGCTGTGCCCAAGGTTCCATTGTGCTTCCGCCTTTGGAGCCTACACCTCCAACAATCGCGCGTCTCCTTCGCAGCAACACTGAAGAAGGAAGAGATTTCCTAATTACAAGCCATCTCGCGCGAGACATCTTGGAAGTACTTCAGCAATTAATGCATGAAATCAATCCTTTCGTCCATCTTTTCAAGACAATGGCCCAATGCATACAGGATAATGGTGGTGCTTCCAACATCAGAATGATTATTCGAGCTGACGATGCCCCAGATCCACGACGCTATAATGCACCAAATGCTTCTGAAATTGGTGTTATTATCGGTGAAAACGCAGAGTCCTCTGGAAGGGATATTGTGATCTGTACGCGTAGTGACCAACTGACATCAATCAGTGAGATGCATCGCCTGTATGACCCACTCCATTACGTGCTGATGTTTCCTGAAGGCGAGCCTGGGTGGAACATTGAAACTCGATCGACCAGAAACGACAGAGTCACCGTGATGAACTACTACAGTTTCAGATTGATGTATCGAAATGATGGACACCACTTGCACCTCTTTGGCCGACTCTTTCAGCAGTATATCGTAGATATGTATGCCAAGATGGAACAAAACCGCCTCAATCACCTTCGCCTCAACCAGTCCCGACTGCGTGCTGATGTGTATTCAGGCGTACAAGATGCTCTCCAACTTGACGACAACAATATGAATATGAATTCCATCGGTCAGCCTGTCATCCTTCCGTCGTCATTCATTGGCAGCCCTCGAAACATGCAACAGCTGTACCAAGATGCAATGAGTATCGTCAGATGTTTTCGGAAAGCCTGACCTCTTCATTACATTCACGTGTAATCCAAAATGGCCAGAAATTCGGAATGAGCTTCTTGCTTCACAGACAGTATCTGATCGGCCAGATTTGACAGCACGAGTTTTCAACCTCAAGCTCAGAGCTCTTTTGAAGGATCTAACAAAAAACCATACACTTGGAAAAGTAATTGGCTACGTTTATACCGTCGCTCATTCCGAATTTCTGGCCATTTTGGATTACACGTGAATGTAATGAAGAGGTCAGGCTTTCCGATCAATCAAAGAGCTTACTAACTCATTTTTTTAAATACCCAACATACCCACACATCTTTCTAGATCTATCATAGCCTGGGCGGGATGGAACTGAGGGGGGGAACCAGTGCTGCCCTGCGCGTGTTCAGAAACAAATCACGTTGCAACGTATGCCATAAGGTGTCATTAATATACCGAAGTTCCGTCAAGAGTTCTTGCCCAGGTTATGCCGTGTATGCGTTAGGATTTTTGTCTGACGAAAGTCGCTCAATGTAAGGGGGCGGCCTCCGGTGGCAGGCCTGCCATTCTAACCACACCCATGGTAGCATACCCTGAGTCTACCAATAAATATCCCCAATTGTGATCTTGAAGATCACGGGCTCCACCTAGTCTATATAATTAAAATCTTTGAAAAATTAGCAATTTGTAAATCACATGATCTACACTAAGTTATCAAGGCCTGTTAAACCTTTTTTTCATCTTTCAACCATGCCTCGCTGCCCACTTTCACGATAATAGGCGAAACAATCAGCAGCAAATGCCGTTTGCGCCAGTTGTGGTTAAACAGAGCATCGTCGCCGTTCACATAAAATGTGAGTGGAGCTCTTTTTTGAAGAAAGGTGATTGACGATACGACGATCTGGTGTTTTGTAGCATCATTTAATTTGGGTTATCTGTCAGTTATACTGTATATGCCCTTTCATTCTCTTCAGTAATCGAATGATACATGGAGCAGATATGCTTCGATCTGTGTAGCTCATCATTCATGCATCAGTGAGGTGGCTATTGTTTCATCCATGGATAATCACATATTTTTGTCCGAAATTTTTCTTCTTCTTTAGTTTTGCATCTCTTCTGTTTGCCTGGAAATCCCTCACTATCATTGCATCCATCATCCATCATCCAGACTATGGCGTGTATCTGATCCGGTCGATTCGATTATTATGAAAACAGGTACCTTTTGTGTGATACGACTATCCGTTTTTCGACAAGAAAAAATTTACCTGTCCTTTTTCTCTATTCTGTCTTTAGCTTTTGGTTTTCTCTCCGGTTTTCTTTTCGCTTGGCAAGTCATCCATCCCTCCAAATCTTTCTACTTTGTTCGCGCTCAAATGTGGCCAAACCGGTTTTTGTCGTCAAAGGCATCGTCGGTGGTGTGGCTCTCTTTTTCATCGGGAAACGCTGACGCGTCCTCCCCAGGTTCCTCTCATATGGATTGCTGCCCGTGGTATCGCCTTCGATATTTCTTCCCGACCATTTTATTTTGTAGTTGTAGTATGTATTTTGTATTTTAGTGAATAGTCTTCTTGCAGTCTTTTCCTCCTTTTTTTTCCCACAGGGTTTTTAGGGGGTTTTTACAGACGCACCTATTCTATTTACTTTTTTTTTTATATTTGTATCCTTTCTTTATTTCGGTCGGGAAGCCCTCGGTATCTGCTGCATCAAACATCAAAGGTAAAATATCTCAACGAAATTTGAATCAACCAAAGAGCTTACTAACTCATTTTTTTTAAATACCCAACATTCCCACACATCTTTGTAGATCTATCATAACCTTGGGCGGGACAGAACGGAGGGGGTCAATAAGTGCTGCTTTGTTCATTAAAAGTGTTTCATGGTATGCCAGAGTATTGACATTAATATACCAAAGTTCCATCAAGAGTCTCGCCCAGGTTATGCCGTATTGCGTTAGGCTTTTGTCTGATGAATGTCGCTCAATGTAAGAGTGCGGCATCCAGTAGCAGGTGGCATCCATTGCACAGCGGGTGTACGGCTTGTTAAAGAATTACAAAAAGAAATAAAGTATGTGCACGGTCTCTGATTGACTAAAAAGCAAAAACATTACATTGATTGGGCACAACTGTGTGAAAAAAAAACCTGTTCTTCGGCTGCAGAAAGCGTTCACCGGTTACTTTTATTTACTATACACTCTGAATATCCCAATGCTCAACGCTTGGCCATCCATTTGGAAAATGAGCAAATGGTGCAGTTTTTCGAAGACGAGAATCCTCAAATAGTGGCAGAACGTGCTCATGATACAACTTTGACAGATGGTTCGCCAAAAACAGAACGGATCCTCAAGCCCGAGCCTACCTTTACCCTAATTTCCCATCGCAATACGTATACACCAAAGAACACGAACATGGAAAAGACGTCAACGACGCTTTGGCGGTACGATCGGCCCGGATTTACGCTGTGTCACCAAGCAATCCGAAAAATATTATTTAAGGATGATGTTGTATAACATCACAGGTGCGCAAGTTTCCAAGATCTTCGCACAATTAACGGCGTCATCATGCCAACTTTCCAGGCCGCAGAACAACAACTCGGACTGCACTCAGATGACAACGAATGGCAACTTGCTCTTATGCATCGATATGCTATGTCCTGTTTTGTTTCCTCATTTATGTATTTATGTTCCTTTGCTTTCATCCTTATGCTATGTTTTTCCAAGTCATGATTTTTTTCTCTTACGATATCTCTTTTGTCCTTCCATTTAATGTTATATGATTTTTGGCTATTTCCGTTACTACTTTGCATACAAATTGTTGTTCTCTGTCGCGGATGAAAAAAATGATCATTATGTGGCGGTGGGGTCAAGGGGATCAGCACCTCTGGGGAAAAGGAAAAGAAACTGTGTTACTCCGTTGGCCATTGAATGTGCAAAGATTTATGCGCAAGATTTATGCGCACATCGACTAAAATCTCATCGAAAAATCAATGGTCGCATAAAACTTGAATGAAAGCTTATTGACAAAAGATTGGAGTTGAGAAAACACCATCAAGCGAGACCTTTGGATACACAAATTCGAATGTGGAGTTTTGAATATTTGCAAATGGAGGATCCCAATCCAAACACATCTTTAATCAGCTACTATTCCCACTTCCCTTCCTTAGAACTACAGACCGAAAGAGCAGAACTTTGTGATCTTTAAGATCAACACGCGCTACTAGCGACTTGTAAATCACATGCTCTCCAGATGATCTACACTAACCTATCAGAACCTCTTATTCTTTTTGTGTCTTTTTTATATCTTTCAATCATGCCTCTGGGTAAAAAGAGAAGGAGACTGTGGACAACGATCAAGTAAAATTTACACATCTTTTGCACCAGTTGTGGAAACAAGATAATCCGAATCCAAATGAAAACGGTAGAACAGTGTTATTTGCCAGGTGGCATTTCCATTATCAAACTTGATGTAATATGGACGAGGATTGTCTTTTAGACAAATGTACAAGGTTTGACTGTGTCTATTGTCGCTGTTCATCATCTGAGCACGCAGATTAATTCAATTTGGAGATCCACTTTTTACATGTTAAAAACCTGTTTGCAAGTCCATGGTGCCTGAAGCATAGCTGGAATATGATCTGGCATAAGATCGAACGTAATCCTAGAGACACAAGCTTGAGCCCTGAGTTTGAGTGTGTGTATCACAAGCACGAATATGGCACTTTATTTATCATCAAAGTAAAATTTATCAGTACTAGCTGGCCCGCATGTTTTGTATGCATTGATAAAGTGGACGTTGTTATCAGTCTCGGGTGGAAGATTTACCATGCATTATGGCAATTTCGAAGTCAGCAACGCCAACCGTCATAACAGCCCAAAAGCACCTTTAAAAGACAAAATCGACGTCTGGAACCAAACAAGTGTCCTTTCCAGATACTAGAATACCCCATGAACGCATTAAATCCAGCATGTTAGTTTGTCTTTAACGTCTGGAGGTTTACCGCTTGAAGCTCCATTGGCGTGAGCAGCACAGACCGTCCAAAAATTGCGAGCCACAGAATAGATATAAAGCATGAGAACGCTGTTTTTTTTTCTGGTAAACCTTCCTCTTTATCTTTATCTTTATCTCCTCATTTCCTAAAACTGTCTCATCATTTCTTTCAAAAAAAGTTTCTGTTATCAAACCTCCATCAAGGCCATCGGCTGGCGCGAAGAGTTCATCCAACCGTTGCGTGAGCTCGTAGCTCTCGTCCATAACCTCACCAAACACACTTTCCTATTCGCGAAATACACTTTCCTGTCAGAGTTGTCAAAAAACGATGGGTTCGAGCTTCACGCTTACGTCCAAGAAGGCTTTTTCGTTGAAGTCTTCCTCTCCTTCACAAACAGACGCACGAGAAGCAGCACTGTCAGAGCGGCGACCAGAACCTATCGCGATCTAATCAATCCGTATGTCGAATCGTTTTGCCGCCACGCATCGTTCACGCCACCAGATCTACCAAGCGCCCAGTAAATTGCACTATATCAAGCAAAGCAGATATATACCGCTTACATTAATAATATCAAAGCACGATTTGGACGTCATTTGCGGCGATAAATTTATCTGCTTCTTGACATAAAAAACCGGCGAAACAACCTTAAAGCACAATTGTAAAACGAGAAATCTACGAGCCCGCAAGGAAGTTCAAGCTTGATATCGCAGAAAAAAATTCGCACATTGATTCTCCACTTCAAGCACACCATGATTTTTTGCAACCGTTTTTCAGTTCCTACGGATCGACATATCAATTCGCGAAAGATAGTATTTATTACGATGTTAAAGCTTCCCCCGAAACCAGTTTCTTGCATTTTATCGATATCTTGCTTATTTTCTCCACGAGGTTGGCGCTCCTTCACTTGCTTTCTGATTCGTGCTGCCTGGTCGCCGCGGTACATGCAAATCGATGCGATGATCCTTTGCACACACATTCTCCAGATGAACCAGCGAAGCTTCGCAAAGTCCAGCAACCTCGATCTGTGGAGCCGAGTCGTAGATCTTGACAGCAGACCTTTCAAGCAAACGAAGGGCAAAGGTTTGTCATTTTTTGGAACTCTGCAGACTGATGGCGTAGGCGTGAATGTCATCAAACAAAATTTTCCAAGTCGCAAAGCAGGCCGGCAAAAAAAGGCGAAGGTTCTAGACGAAGATGTACCGTACGTTTACTCGCTTGCAATTGAGCAAAGATGCCTGGAGGGCCGCTGTGTGTTGGTCGACCCAGGACGAAGAGATTTGCTTTTCTGCATGCACGAGTACTCTGAACCAAACGCAAGGATCCTCTATCATTACACCTCCTGCCAGAAGACGAAAAAGTACAGAAGGATCAGAGAAAATTACTTAGCCAATTCCCAAATGTCAAGAACGCGCAGAAAAAATTATCACAGCATCCCATTTCAGTCAATGATCTCGAGACGTATTGTCGCAATCTACGGGAAACAGCAAGCGTATCTCCGGTACTATCGAATTTCTATGCGAACACGACGTCAAACCTATCACGATACCCTCTTTTCCGAAAACTGCGCCTCTCATCATATTTCAATCCATGCCAAGCAGACTCTCGATTGGCGAGAACCATAAATTTGTGCTTTGGGTGGGACCAGGCTTTAATCATGGGAAATTGGTCGGCATCAAATGTCAAGTTCCATGATCCGATCAGAGGTGTAGGCATGCGACGGATGCTCAAAAAACAAGGTTTCGAGGTGTACTTGCTCGATGAATTCAAAACGTCCTCGTGCTGTCCTGACTGCAGCGATCCGTTGGAAAATTCAAAAAGGCGCCCAATCCCAGGCCATACCGACGCACGAAGCAGCCAGAAGCATTATGCCATGGTCTGTTAAGGTAACCGATGAATGAAAGTAGATTTGATATTGAATGTGCTTGCTCGCGCTTATTCTTAGATGTACAAATCAAAAATGTAAACATGATCATGGTTATAAATTATGGAATCGCGACTTGGCTGCAGTCCTTTAATTTCCGCAAGATCTTGTTTGGCCACCGAGAGAATAACGAAAGGCCGACACTTTTCAAGAGGAAGCGGTCCGAAGCGGAGGCCTCGAGTAGCAAGGTTCCAAGAAATTCATGAACATTCCGGATCAGTTATCGCTGTTCCCACAGCTAGATGCCCTAGGGGTAAGTTGATTATTTATTTCCAAAGGTTGCCTCACATGATGACTCATGCCTTGGTTTTCTATTCATAATCAACTAGTAGAATGTAATTATGGCTGGATGCTATGATATCAGCAACATGCCAAAAATAAAAGAGGGCAGCAATAAAAAATGGTTTTACATGTGCTGTATTATATTTTTTCTTTTCGGAGAAACCATAAATGAGCATATGAATGAAAAGCGAAACTAAAGCAAACTAGCGTGATGCCGCCGTGGTATTTGAAGTTGAGCCGAGGCGCAGCCCAAAGGAGGTCCGGCCTCCGTCTCGTTTTCGTATGTGTCTATTACTTTTTCTCCTTCCTCTTTCTTTCTTGAAGACCCGCCAATCTGCGGATGATTTATAAACCTACGCGGAAAAGCACTTGTTTTCCCTTTTTGCCTTTCTTCTTCTTACTGTAGTCAAGCGACGGTGGTTCTTCAGTAACGGAACCACTGTCACTTCCACGATCGCTCCAAGCATTGAGTTGAGTCTCGGAAGCATTGCGTCGCATACTCAGTAATGTAGGATGCTTGGGAGCCGCCGGTGGTAACGAAGGGAAATCTCGAGCAGCTCGTACCGCTGATTCGGCGCGTTGCTCAGCAGCACTGGACCGACTCCACGCGGTTTTGTTCCTTGGATTGGCAAAGGAAGGGGTACTGTACGTAGCCGGAGAACTGGGACGGACCGGTGATGCCGCCGATCGATTGGAAGTGCCCGTAGAAGCGCCAGTGGCAGCTGACGCTACACGATCCCAAACACCCGCACGATTTTTGCTGGTCGTTTTCGTTCCACCGACACGAGTGCTGCCACCCTTGATAACAAGTACACGCGATGAAGTACCGTGACCGGTGGGGCGGGGATCGGAAGGAGCCAACATGGGGAAATTTTGCAACTGTATAAAGAAATTGAGCGTCGTCATCACGTAAGCAAAAAGGGAACCTTATCGAAATTCAAAATGGTGTAGCGCGTGATTTTCTTACCTGTGTTTGTGTGTTGCGCCACGTTCGCACAATTTCCCACTTTTTGTCTTCGCGGTCCATCAAGTCTTCGACGCCTTTGAAAACCTTGGAAGCGATATCGACATTGTTTTGACAAAGTTGAACAATTTCCTTGACGTAGGTTTCAGCATCGATACTGTTATTACGGTAGGCGGTGGTCAATGATCGGAAGCGGTCCACCTTGTCGTCCGTCTTGAGCATCTCTTTTAATCTCTCGAGGAATTGCTGATGACGAGTCACGGTATCGACCGGGGCACTCGTCGCCGCGGCCGATGATCCCGCCAATTCATTCGTAGCAGCTGATAATGCGCCGAATCCTTTTGGTTTCTCAATACCTTTCTTCTTTCCCTTTTTCGATTGGGACGTTTCACCAGACGAGGATGCTTGCAAGGCATTCGCGACAGATGTCATGGTAGGGAAGTCTTCGGATCGCAATTCAGATGTTGGTTGCGCCGTGGAAGCGGACGATGCAGAAGCTGACGTTCCTTCCCTGCTGTTGGCCTGATCATCGGATCTCTTTCCTTTGTTTCGTGTACGTTCTCGCTGACGGTAGGAAGCATCAGAGTACTGGAAATTCACATTGACTCGACGAGCTTCGGCTTGCTTCGCTCGTTGCAATCCAGCAATGGACGCACCGTGCACTTCCACCTAAAAAGTCCCAAGACAACAACCTCTCTTGATTAGACAGACCCGAAAGCGATTTATACTATCAAAAATTGCAGACTCACCTCATGGCCTTTCAGATCAATATCGGATTCAAACACGACGAACTTCTTGTCAAGACATTCGCGATACAAACAAAGATAATGGTCTCGCTTAAAGTGAGATTCCTATATAGCCGCCACCGTCGAAACCAGTGTTAAAAATACGGATAAACCAGTTTATTGGGCAATGACTTACCAATTCATCATAGTTCATGTAATACTCGTGTCGAATACCATGTCGGACGCAAATATGGCATTGTTCATGCTTATCGCGACAATGTTCATAGAGTTCATCGTCACCATAAAAACTCATCTTACAAAATTGGCATTCAGGATGACCGGTAAAACCTGTTTCATCGTCCTTGTTGAATGACAGGTCACCACTCTTGTAATGTTTGTGAAGCTGAGCCGCCGTGTAAAGTGTATGCTCATGAGCAAAAATTTTCTTGTACCGAATACAAAGGTCGCTGAAAGAAAGAATAGATGAAAAAAAAAAGTGAGTCGCCTGGATCGATCCACTTTTGTCATTCTTACTCCATCATTACCAAAGTAACAGATCATGCTCCTTTTTCGTATGACGTTTTAATTCCGACCATCCACCGTCGCATGCGACATCGCAACTTGGCTCAGGACAGTTGTACTGCAAAAGAAGTTTGCAATCCTGATAGATCTGTTCATCTTCGAATCGGGCATTTAATTTCTTATCAACAATGGGCACTTCTTCATTGGTGAACTGAGCAAACGGTTTCTCGGAATCCTTGGTGTAAATGACCGTCTTTTGCTCGGTCTGATATAGAATGCGTCAAATCAAAGAACGAAAGTATGCTTCCTTCCACCCGGTACTTCAAGACAATATTTTACCTTGCAATAAGCACAGTTGAAAGTCTTGTAAAGGCAACGTAAGCGAAGAGAACACAAGTGACACGTTCGATGATCGCAAGCGGATACGGCGTAGTTGACAATGGGCTCAGTACAAATGAAACAAAGTTCCCGTTCGTCTTCACTGTTACTCGACTCGGTGGCTTCCTTCTTCGGAGCAGGAGGAGCCGAAGAGGTTACTGGCTTTCCTTTATTCTGCGGTTTCTTGCGGGGATGTCTTTTACGAGGTTGGGACTTGTCCTCTTTATCGTCTTCATTTGTCTGTTGCTGCGGCGTGCGAGAGCGAGGTGGACGTCGGTGATCACGTCGTCGATGATCCCTGCGACGCGTGTTTCCCTCTTCTTGTTGTCGTTGTTCAGCAGAAGGGGCAGTGGCAGCACCAGACGTAGAGTCGATGGGCGCAGAGTCGGCCATGGTGGTGAATGTGACGAGAAAAAGAGACGCCTAGGCGGGAAGAGAAGAAAGAGGAGAAAATTTTCAATATCTTTGATGCAATTTTGAGCTCCGAAGTCAATTTAGCCCAAGTGGGGTCAACAACACAACTTGGAAGAGAGGGTTTTTGGGAAGAGGTGACCCTCTAACGGTATACCTCGCTCGTTTTGTGATGATTATCGATAGTTAGAAAAGCTGTCTAAGGATTAATTGCACCAGAAGTGCCTTCTTTTTTGTAGTCTTGGATCTGCGCTCCAAAGCCATTACGACGCTTTGGGTGGTTATTGCTTTTTTCAAATTGCTGAGTTTCATCTTGGTGAGCCACATCCAATGAACGGTAATTGCAGCTTGTGGTGTTCTTCGACGTCCTCCTTCTGTTTCTTCATGGATCCTCAACAGAGTCAAGGGAACGCTAGGACGGTTCCGGGACAACCGCCTACTATGCCTTCTCAACGGCCGCCGCATGCCATTCGTCCCAATGGCGCCCTCAACGTTCATTCCCAGTTAAACCGACCACCGGTTCTTCCAGGACAAATGGGCATCCCTTCACAGCTGAACCGACCGCCGCTTCTGCCAGGTCAGCCTGGACCACGACCCCCCATTAACCACGCTCCTCATCCTGGGGCACCACTGCCAGGTTCACCTATGCGCCCGCCATTTCGCCCGTCACCGCCCAACATGGCTCGACCACTGCCCAATTCAGCCGTACGTCCTCCAACCCCATTGACTCCACCGATATTGTCGCCGACCGTCAACAAAAGTCCTGGCGTCGACGGTTTAGTATCTCCCATGGCCAACATGAATATACAGCAAGTAGGTGACATTTTTTTGACTTTGTGTGTCCATGGTTGAAATGCAGAGAATCTAAACAATAGGTTCCAAAGCATCCATCAGCTCCTCCCAAAAGTGGACGATCGAGACGCGTTTATGCTCCGGCTGCCGGTGCCTCTTTGCCCTTGTCGCCCAACACACTTGCAACATCGACAGTACCGTCGACAACAGGATCGCCAGCAGTTCCACCTCCATCGTTCCCCAGTCAAGCCGCGACGCCTGCACCGTCAGCTGTACGACCGCCTTGTCCAAAAGCAAAGATTGATCCCAATCAGATACCCTCCCCTGTAGCCGCCCAGATGAGAGATCAAGAAACGTATGAAACGCAGCCTTTTGGCACATGTTCACAGGACTCCTTGCCGCTACCGACGACGGATTTCAGAGCCATTGATCAAGGTAGACCAGAGCTGGATGCATAAAAGGATAAGCGGAACATTCTTCTGAACGTGGTGTATGTGATTTCATAGGCAATTGCAACCCCCGGTTTATGAGAGCAACGATCAGTGCTATTCCTCGTCTTGAAAAACTCTTGGAAGATACCAGTCTACCCTTTGGTGTGGTGGTGAATCCACTGGCTGCGCTTCATGTAGACGATCAAAAAGTGTCAGTAGCCGAAGCTGGCTCGGAGGGTCCGCCTCGTTGCCGACGATGCCGCGGCTATGTCAATCCATGGTGTACCTTTACCGACAGCGGACGAAAATATAAATGCAATTTATGCGACTTTGTCAATGAGGGTAATCCCACTTTTTTTGACCACTCTCTTTTGATACATATTAACCGCCTTTCACAGTCCCCGACGATTACTTTTCACACCTGGACATGTCTGGCCGGCGTATGGATATCGATCAACGACCTGAATTGCAGTTGGGATCTGTCGAATTCAATGTACCTTCAGAGTATTGGGATCGTACACCGGCTCCTCTTCACATTGTGTTTGCTGTGGATGTCTCGGCCAGCAGCGTTCGAAGCGGCTTGCTATCCGTGTTCTGTTCAACTCTGAAAGCCATTTTATACAGCGGTCAATTCCCCGCCAACATCAAGATCGCCCTTATGACGTTTGATGACACGGTTCATTTTTACAACTTATCGGTATGAAAGCTTGATATTATGAGTGCATGGGACAGCGTGATATGCTCATAGGGACTTTTCCCATTAGCCATCATTGGATCAAGCGAGCATGATGGTGGTATCAGATATCGATGATGTGTTCATCCCTCTTGCTGAGGGCTGCTTTGCCGAGCCACAGGCATCAAAGTAAGAATTTACCGCCAGTGAAAAGAGCCTGTTGCCATATGTCTAATTAACTCGTGAAATCATTGCCAGATCTGTCATTGAAGGATTGTTGGACACATTGCCGAGCATGTTTGCCAATACTGCGATTCCCGTGGCGGTGCTTGGCGCCAGTGCCAAGGCATCCTTGTTGGCGTTGGTAAGGTTTTTGCTGCATCTATTTCTACTGTGATTGTAAAGACGTTAACGCGTAAATCAGGCTCAGACAGGCGGCAAACTGTGCATTTTCCAGACCCTCTTACCTAGCAAAGGTCCTGGGGCATTAAAAAACCGCGACGATCCAAAACTGTATGGCACGGACAAAGAAAATACCTTGTTCAAACCACAGGACATTTTCTACACAAACTTGGCCAAAGAATGCGTCAAGCAGGGTGTATGCGTGGATCTCTGGCTCTTTCCACAAAACACTTACGTGGATATCAGCACCCTCGGTCAACTAACGGGAATTACGGGCGGTGATGTACATTACTATCCCAACTTTGACAAGGACAAAGAAGGTTTACAATTCGCCCATAATCTGCAACATACTCTTCTGCGAGAACAAGGATATAACAGCGCTTTGAAAATCCGATGCTCCAACGGTAAAAAAATGTTCTGATGAGATACGGATTAAAATACTTCTGTCTCATGCATCCTATTTTCTAACCACAGGCTTGACCATTGCTCAACGGTTTGGCAATTGCCTTCCCAGTGGCAGCAAAGAAATCGAAGTCGCCGGCATTGACAGTGATAAATCATTCGCTTTCGAGTTGCTGCACGATGACAAGCTTACCTCACGGTCCGAGGTCTTTTTACAATGTGCTTTATTGTATACCACAGTATGCGGACAACGGCGCGTACGCGTGCATAACCTTTCGCTGCCTATTGAAGATACTGTGAGCGGTCTTTTCAGAAAAGCTGATCTTGATGTATCCATGAATTTCATTTGCCGACAAAGTAAGCTTTAACGACCTATTGGATTCGCAGATTCGCTTGACAACTGATGTTTAACGGGCGCTATTCTAGCTATTGCCGATCTTCCCAAAAGAGCACTGGCGGAGATAGCCAGTGATCTCGATAATCGTTGCGTGAAAATCCTTTCTGCTTATCGAAAGCATTGTGTCAGCAAAGCCAATCCTTCTCAGCTTATCTTGCCTGAATCATTCAAAATACTGCCGTTGTACGTTCTTGGATTCAAGAAGTCTCTCGTTCTACGAAAAGGTACATCTGGATTTTTTTAATCTCGTTTTTAATCCATGTTAATCCTTTTTTTTCATTTCCACAGACTTTAATATCAACAGTGATCTTCGAGCATACAATATACGTAAAATGAATGCCGTCGATGTCCCGCTGACCATTCAGTGGTTGTATCCACGTATGATCAAACTTCATGAATGGTTCCAGCAAGAAGGAAGCAATTTGTTACCACTTGAACGAATTTCTTATGAACGACTGGATTCTCGGGGGATGTATCTTGTTGGTATGCCTACTTATTTTTTCTTGCATCGTAAGGGTCGTCAGTTAACTTTCAAGTGATGTAGAAAATGAAAGCACGGCTTATCTGTGGATCGGTCAGCATGTGTCCGAGGACATTCTTCAGGGAGTATTTGGTGTATCACAGTTGGATCAAGTGAATCCTTCCACGGTAAACCCTAAAAGACCAAAAAGCGAAATGATGTTGGGTCTGCCTAACTCTTTGCCTCTAATGACAGCAGTTGCCGGACGTCAGTCATCCCATGTCACAAAAACTACGAAATCTTATTTATGGCAATTCATGGCTTCTCAAGCTGTGTATTGTACGACAGGCGTTGGATGATGAGCGGCCGTTCACCAAAGAATTGGTTGAAGACGAGCATTTCGGACTCATGAGCTATGTTGATTATCTCTGCCTTGTACATAAAAGAATCCAAAGCGAGGTAAGCCAGCCGTGAAGCCATCGAAAATACAGCATCAATCACTTATACCCTTTTTGGACGGATATAATAGTTGGAAAGAGAGAAAAATGACGCTTTAATATCGTCAGCATCCTATTGGGCTTATAGATATTGATGAACATATTAATGTTTCTTATTTTGATTGCATGTCTTGTATCACATTGGCCTCATAAAATTAAAAACCGTAATCTGGACATTTGCTAGGTGTAGATAACCCGTCGCAGCCTACAGTGTAAAATGAAAGGGATATCTTCCTGCAGGTAAAATGAAACCTCATGCGCCCCTCAAGATATTGTAGCAAGTAAAAGTGGGTCATTTGTTCGCTCCTTCCTGTTTATACTTCTTTATACTGTAGTAGTGCGAGGTTTCATAGACGGTCGATGGTAGACCACTTCGCTTTTCTCTGCCTACGCTGTGTCCATTGCCAACATGGTGGCTATTTTCCAGCCAAGCTTCTATTTCTGGACCAAGTCATCACCATTCTTTTTTTTTTTTTTGTTTTTCCCAGGAATGAATTTAATTTAGACTCACGAGAACTTCGCAACTTTAAACATCCACGCGACAGGTATGATACACGACTTTTTACAGTTTTCCAGTGGAGTCACTGACTTGATATTAACAACGTGACTTGAATGGTTGGGTAGCGCGTGGGCGGTATTTTGCCATGTGCTCTCTGCCTGCGCATGGGGTTCCGGGTCTTGGATGATCTCTGAGTTTATTCTATTTTTGCCATATGAAATTCGGTGATCTACAAGGAAAATGACGCATCGCTCGACTTATTTTTTTTTTACAACTCCGTAGCGCAGGCACGATCTTTTGACGGATGTCAAAAAAGATACCATTGTCGAGAACATCGCTTCATTTTGCAATCCGCGATTGGATCGGCTCTCAAAAAGCTTGGAAATTTTTGCGGTGTCCATCCAGGCAATGACAGCTCAACCAGCTCGTTAGTCGAAAATAAATCTCACCAGAGAAAAATTTATGTGCAATAGCTCTGTATCACCATTAACTGAGCGTAATCAGGTCCACTAAACTGCATCATAGATCGGCATTTTATCTGTAAGTGTGTCCGAAACATCTCGTTGCCTTCATTTCAAGAATCATGAGCCTTTTTTTTTTTGAGGAACATCCATCTCCATGGGAAACCATAACCGTGCAACGGTACGCTTGCGATCTATTTTGCATTCAGAACATGGGAACCATACGAGCTTTAACCTGTCAAATTATTCTAGATGAGTTTATTTTGTTATGGTTTGACAATTTCTTGGCTTTCCAATGGAGGACCCGAGTTATATGAAAGACGAAATTTTTCTATTTTTGCAAGATTGCACGACGATGTTTTTTTTTTTTTGTTGACCGTCCGTTGATATAATGGGTAGGACAACAGTTATTCGGTAGCTGCATTCACTGAATGTAGTTCAGCCCCTTGCCGTTTCTGGTGATTACCCTCCCCCTGAGGCTTCTCATCCTCTAATCTTTTCCCTATATTCATGCTTCCAGCCCGCGAACTGCGCCTCCCCTGGTACGTTTTTGTTTTTGTTTTTATCCTTTATCACTCCTGATTTCTTATTCTCATGGTTGTCAGATGCGTTCACCTCATTTTATCCGATAGATCGACCAATATTATCCCATGACATTGTCCCGTCGCCTTTTGTGCTCATCATGGAATAAGGCAAGATCATACGATCTTATTCCTAGCTGTTCCCATTCATTGAGACCTATACTCTATTGATTTCAAAAATGAATCCGCGAGTTTTGTTTATTTTTTACAAATAAAACAAGATCTTATCAATCCGTGGTGTACACCCCCAAAATGTCTGTGCCAGTCATTGTCAAATATGGCAAGCACTTACCTAACGAGGCATGCTGTGACATTGTTTTTCTTTTTCTTTTTTTTCTGTTGTTTTCTTTACATGGTATTGTTCCTTTCCAGAATTCTTTCTCAGATGACGTTGAGCTCCATGGAAATCTCAGCTAGCGGTTTATTTCTACGAATAGTATATACCGGTGTATCAAAACTCGGAAAATAGAATGATAGTTTGTCTAGATTGACCTTTTTATCGTCAAGACCCAATTTTTTGTAACGGTTGTAAATTTTTTTAGATTTGCTAGTTTTGTTACAAATCCAATAGTTGGATATACTTTTGCAATATGCTAAAATAACCGAAAAACACGAGATGTGTAACTCAACATGCAGCATGTGCTCCGGGTGCTTCAATAACAATCAATTATGGACTCCTCCTCCTCCTCCTCTCTGCCCTTCTACCCATTTGCCCGTCATGGCAATGGTCTTGAAGGCCCAGGTTGCCATCCTTCTTTCAAACGACGAAACAATCAACTGCGTCCCTGGAAACTCATTCGTGGAGTTTATGGCGGATTCCCTACGTTCCTGAAAAGTGGAGGCTTGTACCTTGCATGAAGGGTTTAGTTGACGGAAATAGAATCGCTGTGTCAAACGCCGAGCCAAATACCTCCCAAATACAGTACTATTATAAAATGGCGCTTGGAATTCAGTAAGATTTGCGCCCAATGCTTATTGCTGAGAAAATCTGTCTCACCTTCACCCATTTCCTCTCCTGACCCCTTCTGAGACGATTAACATCCCACCCCCAAAAATAGACAGTTACATAAACACCCCCCAAAATTCCTCCTGCTTCTGCCCTTTTTTTTTTTTTTTTGTAAACGTCCCCTTGGTTTCCTATTCTTTTCTCTGTCCTTTTTATAAATATCAGTGTTCATCTCTTTGATCTCTCTTCTTGCTTTCTTCTTCTCTCTCTCTTGTTAATACGTTTTTATATTTCTATAGTATTACTCTTTTTCCTTTTTTCGATCTTAATAAGCCGATGAGTCTTCCGCGCATCATGCCCTTCTACTCCCAAGACGTTCATACAACTCCACTAGATACCACACAAGGTCTCCTACCGGGATATTCATGTTCCTCTCCATACGTACAGCCGATAACAGGGACCAGTAAACTAGAGATAAACGCCGTTCGCAAAGATAACCACCGTGGATCATTAACGCAACACTCCATGGTGGTCCCTTCCATGAACGCCGTGGCCGCACCAGCAACCTTAAACTATTTCCATTCCACTTATTTCCATGTTCATCCAACTCCACCAGCACAACAACAACGTCAAACACTGTTATCAGTCGTAAGTGTTATACTCCAGATAAGCATAACCTGGAGGGAAAGGGCAACTTTTTTTCCCATCCCAATTACAGTATTCTCATCTCCGCTTTTATTGTATAGCAGCCGTACTCATTCCCGTACTACTTGCCGCATTCACCGGTGGCAGTGTCCCCTATTCATCACACACTGGGAAATGCGACGATCACTTACGATACCATTGCGGAAAACATGCAAAAAGATCTGGTCAAGGATGTCTTCTTTTCTCCTGCTATGAATCACGACGATGACAAGTTGTCGTCTTCCTTCGCCACCAGCAGTGACTCTGAATCGGACAGTGTATCGACCCCACCGAGAAGTGTGACGGAAGAAGATTTAGAAGATCTTCCCGTGACGCCCAGTGATCTCTTGTTAGACGCCGAAGAAGAGGACCCTCTCTTCTTTTTTGGTTTTGATTTGTCCGAAGAAGACACGGTGTCTGGCCAAAAACTGGATCTCTCACCACTGAGCTCGTCCCGTCTCCAAGATCATGCTAGTCGGTGCAACTCAGTTACGGAGTGTTATGGACACAAACGCCGACGCGACACTGACATGTCCACGGCCACGTTGAAGAAGCCAAGGAACCACGATTTCCCAGCCTCGTTCTCCGATATGTATGACTATTTCAACGAAGCTTCAGGAGAAGATACATCGGACGAAGATGACGAGGACGACAAAGCTTCATTCACTCCACGTCCTGAATCTCAATGGTATGTTACACGTTGGGCAATTCTTTGTGCGTATGGATGACCTAATTTGGATATCCAGCACGCCTGATCTGCTCATCACGTGCCGTTGACCTGGGAGTTTGGATTCGTTCTATTTTAACTCACCCACTATAAAAAAAAATCTACAGCCAAAATTATGAAGCCGTTGATCTTTTGCGATATGACGTATTTGGCAATTCGACCTCATCTGGGTTCCAATCTCAGGCCTCTTTCGAACCTCTGTCTGCGAATGAAACTTCGTGGGAAGATCGTTATCAAACACTCTGTTCCGACGACGACGAGAAAAACCAAGGAGTTGAACCAGTTGAAGAAGAAGAAGGGGAAGAACAGGACGAGGAAGAAGTAGAAGAAGAAGAAGAACAGGAGCAAGTGCCTGCGCGTGCGACGGCGGTTCCTACGATTTATCAGCAATTAACGGAAGCGAATGTGGACTGGTGTCGTTATTGCGGTACCACGGAAGGAGTCAACTGGCGACCTGGCCCGTGGGGTAAACGAACACTATGCAAGTAAGTAATGGAAGAGAAACGTGAAGAAAAATACAAAACTGACATGGGTGTCTTTTTTCTTGTTTGTAGTAAACATGGATGTGACTACAAGGGTTATGGTTTTGCTTGCAAACTGCCGCGACTGGATCTGACTGGGTTTGCCAACGAATCCATCAATGAGCGTGATCGGCCCGTCTTGCAGCTGTATTGCTCTGTCTGTCATCGAGAGGAGTCATGGGCTCATAATGTGCTTGTACGTTGCGAAGGATGTCCCAAGGCAGTTCATCAGAAATGTGCCCAGACTGTGTTATCAGATGTTTTTGTGGCGGGTGATGAACCTTATTTCTGCGATTCTACTTGTCGCGACAACATCGTCCGGAAACGGATCGTGGTTGAATTACCGCGTAAACATCTCCCTCTTATGTGCGCACCAAAGAATCTGCCAGCACCCTCCGTTGAAGGCACTCGGATACGGTCTTTGCGCGAATTGCGCTCTTAAGCATGCCTTTTTTTTCTTTTTCTTTATCCATATGTTCACCTTACTGTGTTTTTTCTTCTTCTTCGGGTTTTTGATTTCTTGTATATACCTTGCCTTTTTATCCTTTACTTATTGACTTCCTCTATGCTACAACTCAACACAAATTTAATTTAACTAGTTTTCTTTATGTATGAAACAATGGGACATTGTTTTTTTCTGTTACACATCTAGACATCTAACTTTCTTACATGCACGTTTACAGCATTTCTCCCCAAAAAATACATAATCTATACACATACCGTTTTATTTTTGTTTCCTTTTTCCTCTTTGCCTCGTCCCTACTTCACTTGTACAACATGAACGAGATGAATATTACATACGACCAAACTCATTATATGCTTCTTTTACGAGGAAATTTAACCTAGAAATGTTCATAGATCTTTGAGAAACCTGGAGGATATAGGCAACGTGGAACTTTGCTGCCTCGACGACCCAGAAGACCCCGATTTCTAGCATCCCTTTCAAACAGCATCGCTGTCACCTTCATGTTCAAACAGCCGATCCGCTAGAGGAGAAATTAGGAAACCAATAGCAACCAAGTAGCATGGTCCTCAATGTATCTTATTTATCGTATGCAACATCCTATAAAATAAAAATAAAAGCATATGTCTGTTTTTATTTATTTAATCAATGATACAGAAAGCAGGTTAAAATTACTCTGGTGCATCCAGATCATTAAGTTCACTGCCAGTTTTCGAAGAAGTTGTGAGGTGCACCAAGCTTGGCGCAGGTTATTCCTTGCGAATCGCTTCGGGTCGGGCAAAGACCTGCGCCAGTCACAAACTCCGTGCCTGATTTTTTGCAGGAAAAAAGCGTATTCGAGTCATGTTGTCCCGATTCAACCATGAATCACATTGATCCGTCAACGCGGTTGTTTCCTCTTTACGATGAAAAAGTACTGCGCGGTCAAGCAAACAAGATCGCATGGTGTCCTACGACCGATCTCGCGGTGATTGCATTTCAGGACCATGTTGCGCTCTACCGCGGTGGCGTCACCAAAATATGGTCCATGGCCATTCCCGAGTATACTACTATTACGTCGCTGGTGTGGAAACCAAACGGTAGTGTTGAGTTTCTGAAAGAAAGATACAGTAGCGATCAACCCAAGCACTGACAAATGAACGTAGGCAAGGAATTTGCCATGGGATGCGGGGATGGAACGGTGTACAAGGTGGCTGTTTCTTGGGCTGAACCACGCTCGGTCGTTTGCTGGCCTCCAACGAAAAACGCACAAGCTGCTGCTATCACTTGTTTGCTTTGGGTTCCTTACACGCGAGAAAAAACCGTCAATGCCAACGTAAGTACGGTCTGTCGCACCTTTGTGCGCCCATGGAACGAGTAACCACTATCAACATAGAACACCTTTGATCCCTTAACTGGGCGTCTTGTATCGGCCATACCGGCTTTAAGTATGGTACCTCCGGATGAACCAGCGTACGAACATTATCAAGAACGTTATATCTGTTACTGATTCTCACCCACACTTGCCCTTAGACCACTGCTACCTCGGAGAACAAAGAAAACGCCCTTGCCGCATGAACCTACCAATGACGGCGAGGAACAGACGTTATTACTCATAGGCGACGCGAACGGTCATCTTTACTTGAGGTAAAGCGGCAACGACCCAATTTAATGCTGACGGCTGAAGGTTGACGCTGATGTGTTTAGCTTGAACGGTATTTATCATATCGGTACGGTTCCTCTTTTACAGGTATCATTTGAACAGCAGCATTATATATTCGCGTAGCCTTCCTCAACTGATACAACATAGAATGCAGCGGTTCGTCGCATCGATGTGTTGGGAGACATGGACGCGATTCAGGTGCTGGTAGACACGACGGAAATCGATTCAGAGCAACGGTTCTACGTTATGATCGTGGACAGCAGTATGCTTCAGGAACGGATGGCGGAATTGTGCAATATTGCTACAGCGCAAATTCACATCGATTTCTTGCTTCGATATATGGATCACTGCGCTGCCATAATGGAAAAACATCACGAAGCGTACACAAAATCAGCTCACAAACATGCCGAGAATGTTTCAAACGTTTTTCGTGATTTCAATGGTAAGTGGAAGCATGGGAAAACTTGGTTATCTTATGCAGGGTAATGACTCACGGTGCTGGTTGCCCAAGAACGTACGGACCCTCTGCCAGGCATCGAAATACTTGGTTTGTTAGCCAGCGGTACACCTAGCGAAGCAGTGCACGAATACTTTGCAAACTATCTCAGCGAGCAAGTAAATAATGTGTGCATGACGAGTGGAACGGAGTCATGGATCTCATCTTTCCTCAATAGCAAGTAAAACAATGGGAAACCAAGTCCAATACCAGCTATGCGGCCGTTCAAACCATTGTGTGTGAATATTTACTACCTGCATGTGAACGCCTGTTTCTGTACCTGAGCGTGTTGGTAAATTATAATCATTGGTAAGGACTTTTTTATTCTCAGAATTTAGGGTGGTTCGATGTCGCTTGACGATATGATCTTCTTGCATGTGCCAGGACGGAACGGTATGGAGACTTGTTGGATAAGAAATTGGCCGAAGAAAGTATATCCCAAATCAGCTACTACATGAGCCGATTGCATAAATTCCTTTCCGCGGTGCTTCGACAACAAAAAATGTTCCATGAAACGATGCTGTGGTTTTTGTCAGGTATGCCTTTGTTTCGTTATGCGCAGTCTTTCTTGATACATATGCATCTAAATTACCGTCTCTAGTTATTCAACGGTTCTCCAATAGTCCCGATACTCAACCATCGGCAGACACTCCCGTGATCACCGATCATCCTCGTTATGCTGTCGAGTATCTGAAAACATGCTTCACCAAAGATAGCTTGAACCACTTTATTCAAACAGAAACCATTCCGGAGGGTGAAGAAAGGTCGATACCCACGCTGCGTAGTATGCTACAGACGTCGACGGATACCTGTCATGGATTGTTACATCAGCCATCACGAGTGATATCAGAGAATACAAAAGTATCACAACAATGGGTGCTTTTCTCAAGTAAAGACGGGATATCCATTACACATTGCAAGCTTGGCCGTCTTATGGCATCCCATATTGTGCAAACGGTAGTACTGACGTTCAAAAAGCTTCTCGCACCGTCTTATCAGCATACTTACCAAAAACACATTAGGCAGCTGAAGGCTATTGCTACTATGCGTTATTGCAATCGGAAGAAAATGAAAGACAGACAGGTAAACTGTCACTCAAAACTTGGACTGCCAATGAATTATAAAATTGACTTGTTCAATGCCTTCGTCAGTTCTTCTTTTGCGAAATGTTATCACGAAGCATACGGTACCACACGTCGATTATTGTCGCTTGGATCTTGGTCACGCAGCCATTACGGATATGGAATTCTTTGACGACACCGATCTTGGCGTGGTGATACAGTCCACGAATTACGAAGGTCGGTAGTGCACGGTATAAAGATCATACTGGGAGAATGCAACTAACCTGCCGTAACGAATAGGAGAGATCGAGTGTGTATTGGGAGCCATTCCATACCAATCGTTCAATTATCTGCCGTTTTCGGATCATGCACAAACATTAGGCATGGAGGTATGTGACGAAAAGTTCGCTTCCTGGTCATGTATTCTCATCTTTTCAACGCGGCGCACGGTAGACGTTCGTGTTCGAGAAAGCCCTGCCATTACCACACATGATGGATGTGGCTCTAGGCGCCAATGGTCGACCACGTCGTCGTCTGATAGCAGTAATCGCCAATAACGGAAAGATAATGGTCCTCGAAATGGATCCAGAAGAAGACGAAGAAGAACAAGATGACATCGATGAAGACCATCAATCATTACATGACGAGAGCATAATGGATACGGATTAATCGGTCATTTTACCGCGAAACTGTGATTTTTGGTAACATCTGCTTCGACTCGCTATTCATATTTCATACTATTTTCCCGCATAACTTCATTATTATCATCATCCTATGTACAGTCTATCATTTGTTTATCCCTTCGTGGTCGCTTCTTAAGTCTCAGATTCAAACTTATTACACGGTTGACTAACCGGAAAATCCTGCGTTTATGACATCTTTACAAGTACGACTGTCGAAACAGAACAACAGAAAAAGCATGGAACGAAAATAAATTACAAAAAGTATAGCAAAGATCATTATATCGGTACAAAAAAAAGAGAGAAGCCAAACGTGTAGGTGTATGGTATAAGAGGATAATAGGAGAACAAGCGAGTTCCTTCGGATTAATCACCGTAATAGACGCCACTCATAGCACTAGTCGTTCGTTCGGTTTCCCATCGTTGACGAAGGTCGTCCATACTACTACTGCTGTGACGATGGGACATTTTGGCCCGAGAGGCACGCGTAGGTGTTTGTGATAATCGATCAAACACGTTACCTCCCGAGGGAGTGCCGCATCGTTCCATTGCCGTCGACATACTGACCATGCTTGCCATGGCGGAAGGTCCGAAGGATGCTCGTTTGTGAAGTAGTCGTTGTTGCTGATACGATACTGTCGCATGAGGGGATGGTGGCTCGCCGTGATGCATATCGTATTCTGAATGATTGGGCATCATCATGGGTGTGCCGTTTGTGCCCAACAGAGACAGCTCACGCAAGGATGCGCGACGACGTGTAGGCACTGGCGGTTGTTGAAGTGAAAAGGATCGCTTACGCAACGATCCCTGCGATGCACTGGATAATGTTTGGTTCCAGGAATTTTGTGACGAAGAATAATCGGATTGAACCGAGGAACGCCGCAAGTGACTACTGCGGATGGAGGAAGTCGATGATTCACGGTCTGCCGTATATCGCGTGAATTCGGCGGGACTGACCATCGTGATGGGAATGGGGGATTCAGATCCGCCGACGCGTTGCTGCCACGACATGCGTTTCTGGATCATATTGTAGAATCGATCCGGTGAAGGGGTAGAATCGCGATTGGGGAGGCGCTTGTCGGTTAACGAAGCAGGCGCTCGCACACCGCCGGTCACGGTGGACCTGTTGGTAATCATGGCAGAGAGACCGGGTGAGGTCAAGGGGGATGCAGGTGTAGGCGGTTGGTTCAAATCCTCGTTACTGTGGCTGCCAGCACTGCCGGTGGTGCCAAAGGACACGACAGATGAACCGGGGGAATCGATGTTGTAGTCTAAACCAGGTTCAGGCGTCGTAATAACGCCACGGATCCCGTCTTCATATATTTTATCAAAAATGGTGTTTCCATTGTTGATATACTCTTCGATCTTGTCATCGATGGCACTGGTTTTATCCGACTTTTCTTCTAACTTGCGAATTCGCCGTTCGTTCTCGACGGTGGTGGCAATCGCCGCTCGTTTCATAACAATCAGTGTACGGCGCAAATCTTGCACTGTCTTTTCAAGGCTTTGCATGGTCACTTGACGATTGCATTCGCTCATGCGAATATTCATGATATCATCCACCAGAGCTTCTGAAATCGTTCGACATTCATCGGGTTCCAATGATCGCAACAGTTTCAGCGTAACGTCATACGCAATTTCGGGTGCGGCCGCGTTCGGTACGTTGTATTGTTCCTCGAGAGCATCCATATCCGCCCATTCATCGTTGGCAGATGGAGCAGCGGTGTCCGTGGTAACAATTTCATCGGCAAAGGTGACGCGTTTCTCAGACCGTTCGGTAGTCGTCACCGTGGCTTCAGGAGCATCGTCAGCAATCACTTCACCCGCCGCTTCCGATTGTAGAGCTCGAATACGTGCCGACAAGTAGGAAATTTCGGCTTCTATCATGTCAATACGCTCATCGGTAAATTCAATGGCGGTGGTATCCATGGGCTCGCCGGTACTCTCGGCGGTTTCCTTTTCTGCCAGATAGATATGCTTTCTTTCCTCCACGACTTCCAGCTTTTCGGCGGCCAGACGTTCACGACGGAAGAGTAGTTGCTCCATTTCCACCACCGCTTGTTTTCCCTGAATATACTGGTAAAGAGCACGATCCAATAGCTGCTTCTTGCGTGCGGCGCGCACTGCAACGGGAATGGGATTTTTTTGACGGCTGGTTCGTCGTGAGAAACTTCCAAGATTGCCTTTGGCCAAAGCCGCAAAACTTCCGCCCATGACATGAGATAGTTTACCCAGCAATCGCTCGTCCAGTACACCACCCTCGCGTACTGCTTTCTTGAGAATATTGGTGAGTTGCTTCAACTGATTGTTGTTCATGATCACTTCTTCGTTGCGACGTTTCAGTGTCAGTTTTTGGGCCTCATGTTCACGTTCAAGACGACGTCGTGCCATGTTGGCTTCGGCGTTCAACCGTTGCAATTGTTGGATCTTACGATCTTGCAACGACATTTGCTCCCGTACTCGTTCGGCTTCCTGCTTCATCCGCTTCACCATACGTTTTTTCTCGACTTTCAGTGTCTCGACATTCACACGCAACGATCGCAATAAAGACTCATTCTGGTTGCGGGTCGCTTGCATGGTCATGGTGGTTTGCGAATATTTACGCTTCAGCTCGGAGATTTCCGCAAGCAAGCTCTTCATCTTGCCTTCGTAGGCATGACGGATTTCAATCAGTTGCTGCTTCTCACGCATTTGAGCGGCTATTTCTGATTTGTTGGTGAAGGCCGATTTGGTACGCGACAAAGCAGTGTCCTTTTGCTTCTGCAAATCCGCCAACTGCGACTGCAAATGGCTGATCTTGTCATCAAACTTGCGCTTCATGAAAGCGTATTCCGTTTCGGATTTTTCAAGATGCTGGACCAATTCCTCCTTGACACGAATATCGGATTGAATCTGATGAAACATGCGGACCAGTTGAGGATTGTATTTTTGCGCATCGGCATCCAAGGACAAAGTTTTTGAATCCACAGACGGCAAGCTTTGCTTATCTTGCTGGGAGGATGACTGAGATTGACCATCTTCGTCCACCGGGCGTTTAGGTTTGACCGGTTTGTTCCATGAAGGGACCGCCTACATTTAGAAAACAACATAGCAACACGTTAATGCGATCCTTATTTGTTTTTTTCGAGCGATACACGCAGACAAGGTACGATATTATACCAGAGCTTCAATGTCATCCAAAAAGTCATTGTCGCTGGGATCAACACAGGAAGAGGTCGCTGTGAAATTGCCTTCATCGGATCCCGAGCGCTCAATTTTTTCTCCTCCATACAATGTTTTTTCGGCTTCCTCAAAGGCCTGCAATGAATAAGATCAAAAAAAGTAGGGGGCAAGGAATGAGAACACACAATTAAAGAAACATGACAGTTGGCCTTGTACGACATACCTTTAATTCCTCTTCCCATGCATTTGCGGTGTCTTCAAGAGGCTATAACACGCGATTCACGAGGTGTTAATCGATAATAACAACAAGAACAGCCAAGTCAATAGTTTTTTTATGATACTTGCCTTAATTAATTCAAGCATCTCCATACCCTTTCGAATTTCGGCTCGAGCCTTGGCGATACTTTCTTTGACATCTTGATGCATGTTCTCCTGATCCGGGGCCTCGTCAATATATTCATCATCGAGACCATCCATGGGATCGTCCATAATAGACGATGACTCTCGAACTTTCTTGGCGCCCCTAGCTGACCGTCTGACGGTGCGTGATGAACGAGCTCCAGTGGTTGTACTACTCGAACTGTGAGTCATACGGGCCACACGTCGACGTCGATTAGGTTTGCGGCGACGTTGACTGGTAGATAGACTCGGCTCCAATCGAGGTGTCTGACGTTGTCGAGAGAAAGTGAGAGCCGAATGGGACGGCGTAGACACATTTGCCAAAGCCATAGCATGGATGGACGAAGGTTTAGTAGTTTCCAAAAACGTCAATCGATCCTTGGTATCGGCAAGTTCATTATGGAGATCCTGAATTGTCTTTTGATATTGAGCAATCAGGGGATGCATCTGAATGCGGTTTTCATCGTTGGCGGTGTTGGCGGCGTCTGGTGAAGCGAGGGATGATGGCTGGTCATTGTTTTCCAAAAACTCGCCCAGTTCACGTTCCATCACCATGGTGTCACGTTCGCTTGTTACTTGAATGAGGTTGGTAGAAAGATCCTGAATACGATCGCGCAAGCGTACCACCTCTGCACGCAATGCGTGTGCTTCATCATTTCGTTGTGAAGTATAAGGATTGTCGGCCCCATTGGCGCGTAAAGAAGCGATTTCCATGCGTAGTCTTGTGACAAGAGCACGTAATTGGTTGACTTCAATGGAACTACCGGCAAAATCTTGATTGATCGTGACTCGATTCTTGATATTCCGCGCTCGATTGGCATATTTGAGAGTATTCAATGTCTCCATAAAATTGGAATCTGCAGGGGAAACGCATGCCAGCATGAGAGTTTGACTGTTGCCTCCGAGTGAATCTTGCAGCAGACGTGTCAATTTACTGTCTCGATAAGGAACGTGGGCCGTCCGTCGGCTTTCGTCTCCCAGAGCCGAGATGACATTGCCAAGAGCAAGTAAACCCGAGTTGATAGCGATGCCTTCTTTGGCACGATCACCCTGAGCATTGGTTCTTTTCAGCTAATTCATGGAGAAATAAACAACTCGTTGAGCAATGGCACCATCTCATACAAATAAAAACAAAGGAAGAAAAGCGCTTACTCTTTCTGATCCCGCCAAGTCAACAAAGTGGAATTTGCTGGTGATTGATGTGATTGAGTTTTCGTCATTGTCATCTGGACGTTGTTGTTTTAAGATGACTGAGAATACGGCATGTGATCGAGAAGAAACCGAGTTCATGTCTGTGGAACCGGTTGTTCTGCATAGTGATCCTTTGGCAAGGAATCTAATAGGTTGTTAGGGGTTAATATCTGGATGGTGGGTGATCAGGCGGACGCGCGCATATTTGTTGACAAAAAAGGCATACCCTAAAAGCTCTTCTGGGCTGTAGCAAGGTTCTTCCTTGACGCCACTCCAGTAAATGTTGCCAGCAATATCTTCGCGGATCGTGACCTCGGTAGGAGGAATTGACATGGACCCACTTTTACGTCGTTGCGTTGTGGGTGAATTGAGCAAATCGAGCAGTTCTTCATTGTAAAGTTCAAGGAACGATACAAAGATCTCGTATTTGAAATTAGGATTCGCCTCGGCCTTCTCCTGTAATGTGCGGAAGAGCTCGACGATGCAGCGAGGCACAATACCTATGGGTCGGACATATATGGTTAGTGCATGTAGCTAAGCGACAAAAAATTGGACATGCACGAAATGAAAACAAAAAATCTACCTTCGTTTTCTGGGTTGGCACCGTTGTCTAGACCAGTTCCCATGCTATATGTCTTGCCTGAACCGGTTTGACTACGTCGTTGTGCATTAGTCACTAGGCCATCTCATTGTTTAATCTTTTGCTTATTGTTTCCTTTTTGCATACCCATAAGCTAAAATGGTGGCATTGAACCTATCAAAAGCAAACAAAGAAAGAAAAAAAGAGAACGAAATTAGCTTCTATTTCAGAGACCGCAAGCTCTGTGCGCAAAAAAGATAAAAAAAAATAAGGGGGACGGGAGAAGGGCGCGATTAAGAAATAATGTGTCATTGGACATGTGGGGATGGAATCACAAGAAATGGGATTTTTTTTTGCCCCGTTTTGTTTCGTGGCACAAATGAAATTTATATGATATTTCATGTATGGAAGTTGCCACTTACCCTTCCATGAACTTGTGCAGTAAGGGAGCCGCCGCGGTTGCGTATACTTGTGCTTGATGGGAATCGCTATCAAACACGTAGTCATACGTAAACGACTTGTCGGTACCGATCAGGATTTGAGGTTCATTTGGAATGAATGTAAGACATTCGGCACAATTGCTGAATTGTTCTTTCTGGGTCAAAGGACGAACTCGTAGACCCACCCTTCACAGTTGGAGTAATGTGAGTCAAAGTAACGAAAGCGGGGTGGATATCATTGTCATGGTAAAAAAGCGATCGATTTACCTCACTGCCGTTGAACTCATGGTGGCTGTGAGAAGAACAAAGTAAAAAGAAAAGAGAAAGAAAAAGTAGACAACATGAACTAAGAAAACTAGGTAGGGAGTGGATACACAAGCTTGGATCGGGTTTTGTGACACATAAGGTAGGTGTCTGGTTGGTTGCACTGACCTAATGTGGGCCGATTTATTTCATTCATCGGTTTCCAAAGTGGCCACTGCCACTTCCGCAATGAGATGGATCGGCGGTTGGAGTGCATTTACGTCTTTTCATGCCTTGGCCTTTGTGTTGCTTTCTCACATTTTCTTGGCAATGAATTGTGATGGTTGTATGAGATGATTATGCGGACTTTTGTCGGTGGTGATCCACAGGATGCGTTCTGTGCAACTGGATAAAGGAACCCATTCGCATGATAATTTGTTTAGCAAAACAAACAGGTGCATATCTTTTGCGCATCAGTATCTACACAGGATTACTTATCAAGTAAGAAGAAAAATAGAGTGCTTTCATATTTTATGTTGACATGTAGAAAAAGATCCATCTCTTTTGCCTCATTTTTTCCCCGTCCTTATCATGGTGTGACAATCCTACGGACATCCTCCGAGCACCCGCCCCCTCCCAAGAGTTTTCCAGCACCTTACGAGAGACATCAATTAAAAACCGTCTCTTTTTCTTCAGACTATCTTTTCTCGCAACATCGTAATCGGATGAGGGAATAGAAACAGCGCGATCGCTTGTAAGGAAACAGGCAAACGAGATCGTAAGCAAAGCTTATCATTATCAGAGTCCATACCGGAATAAAATGAATTGTTCTATTGCTGCTATGAACGGGCGAGTCCGTCGGTTACTAATGCATCTGTAGTGCTTTTCTACTATGCATTGTTATCGTTTAAAACAAAGATTTTGCCTCTTTTGATAACAGTCTGATGTCATTGATACAGGGTGCGTGCCACTGAAATAGCATCGAAATTTTCATGGCTGGGATTTGATAGTCACAGACCATGGATTCGGGTCAATCACGAACGGTGGTTCATCGCGTTGTTCAATCCACAGACGCATCACCATGAAAAAGCTTGAAGTACAACAACCCAATGTTGCCAACAATAAAGCTCCCGCGCCTGTTCAGTCCAAGTGTACGCTTCGATTCAACTACGCACCAAGTCAAGATGGCATTGATCTCAATCTCCTGATCTTGTTGCACGGACTCGGTACATTCATCTTGGTATTCCTCTTTGTTTTTGTTCACTGACATGGTTTTTAGGAGACACCATGCAGCCCTTTGCCAATCTTGGGGCCAAGTTAAAGTTACCGCAAACTGCCATACTCGCGGTACAAGCTCCTGAGCCTGTTCCTTATATGGAGGACAGCTATCAATGGCACGCCACATTTGATTTTTTGACGGGCGAATGTATGAAATTAAAAATCCATGCGATGATTGGCCTGCATCGTTTTTTTTCTAAATATGGCTTTCTCGCTAGTGTTGCCTCCTGCCAATCCAGACCGTATGAAAACCTTGATGCGCACCCGGAAACTGATGTCGGAATTACTGCACCATTTAATCGACCATAGCAGTTTCAAACCTCCGAATATCTATTTTTTTGGCTTTTCTCAAGGCGGCACGGTCGCATTGGACACGGTGCTTTTTGGAGATATCCGTAATCTCGGAGGCGTTGTCAGTATCAGCGGCTATCTTTTAGAAGAGCAGCGCTCAGATAAACCTGTCGGCGAAGGTTATCCGGGCTACATTTTAATCACACAGGGAGAAAAGGACCCTGCCATTGGCAAGCCTGAGATCGCCAAGAAAAAGGTAAGTTTTCTTTTTGGATGCCACATGTAATCCAACAAGCAAAAAGAGACTCATCCTATTTTTGGTATTCAATATAGTATCAAGTGGTTCAACGTCTATGTTCCAGTTCTGCGCAAACGTCTCAAGTGTTTATCAAGAACAAAGGTCACACAATGCCAAGTAGCGAAGGCGAATGGCGGGTTATACACACATTTTTTTCGGATCACATGGCACGAAGAAACATCCAATTAGAGAACATGTCGGACGTCTATCTAGTAAACTCTTCCTCATCATAATCCACCCCATCCATCGCCAAATGCTACACAACCTCGTTTCAATGACGATGAATGGCCGCACCAACGTCCATGAATCAGTTTGACTGCGTTCTTGGCAGCAATCGTTTGTGTTTCCATGGTCTAAAATCAGTTTTAATTAGCTGTACTGTATATAAAAAAGAGAGAGATATGCAGATCTTACCGAGATCACGTTCTCAAATGCATTTACATAAACGATGCCATGTTCGCTGGAGCCTGTTTCTTCTTGGAAACCATCCAGCACAAAAGATGGCCATGTGTCGGGGGTATTTTCCTTTAATGTGACAGGAAACAGTTTAGGAAAAGCTTCCCACCGATGTCGATAGACCCAGCTACGGTCGTAGAACAACTTGTCAAGCTCATCATCTGTCATCTGTTTCGATGAGAACATTTTCACCACGCTTTCGCCCGTCTCGATGGTTCGGTGAACTACAAATGTAGTAAACGGTGGATTCTCCGTCTCAAAATGACCTATCAATCCACAACAAAAAGAGTGAGATGGCGCATATAAGACTCATGGAATTTTGGCGAATCCTTCCTGGTGAACATTTGTACCTAGAGGATGACCTGTCGTCACAATAAATGACGGGATAGTGTCTTTGTCGCGGTTGAAATATCCGGGATTGGGAACGCCCGCAACCAATGTGACATGGACCGTATGGTATGTACGGTGCGTATCTGTATTGGCAAAAGGAAGCTCGATTTGAGCATTATGCTATCAGCAACCGTTAGCCTTGCTGTAGTGCTTATTACAGTTTCAGTATCCCATTACCAAAGGTGTGGCCAGAATTACTGCATCGTAAAGTTCGCTTTCGTCGTTTGCGGTGGTGACAATGTAGCGTCGTACGGGAAGACCATGCTCATCCACATCAGTCACGTTTTGAATGCTGGTGACCGAGGTTTGCAAATGCAATTCGGCATTGGCGCGTCGCACGAATTCTTCAAAGATAAGGAAGTTGCCGCCTTGCACTGACCAGGCCCCCTTTGCCGCTGCCATTGACACCTGTACTTCACTGAATCGCTGAAGTTTGCAAATAGTGTTGAAATTAACTTACCAAAGCACCAAAGGCATGCAGAAGGTGAACATCTTGTCCGTAATTGGCCCGTGTGGCGGTTTGAACAATTTCTCTTACAAATCGTTGATCAAAATTTTGCCCGTCTTCAAGATACTCGGCGGCTGTGGCATTGATTAAATGCTCCATGTTCAGCCTTTCAAGCACGGTAGGGATATCTCGGAAAGGCGTGGCATCATTATCGTAGATGGCCTTGAAATTCTCAATGATGATAGGGACTAGGCGTTTTAACTGGTGTAACGCAAAAAAAAACACAAAATTCCATGAATATCATTTCTGCTTCATTTTTAACATACAGAAAATACTTGCCTTCATCGGCGACAAGCCATAGCGCCAAATGATTTTAGCTACATCCCAGTAATAGTTGCCTGTCTCTTCAAAGATAAATTCTTCACCGTTCCAAAGTCCAAGCCCGCGGCCATTATCGTCCTCGGTTAGCACCTTTAGCTTCAATCCAAACTTTTCGGTAGCATTCATCAGGTTATAATTGTCCTCTATAAAGATGGAAGCGCCCAGTTCAATGACTCCCAGGGCAGGATCGTCCTTGACAGTGACGACCGTGCTTCGTCCACCAAGGTAGTCATGACGTTCGTAAATGTCCATTGACACGGCGACACCTGCATCTTCCGGGAAAGCATTGCGAAGCCAAAATGCGGCTGAAGTTCCTGCAGCACCTCCACCTTTACAGATAAAAGCAAAAGTTAGAGAAGAATTGCTTATCAGTGACGACAAGCATGCGTGCATGCATGGCTTCAGCATGAGCATATCGAACCTATAATGGCGACCCGTTTCCTATGAGTTGGCGCTTGAAAGGTGACTTGCGGTACTTCACATGACTGAACGGTGAACAGTGCCGTGAGAAGGCATGCCAAGACAAGGTAGAGTGTCATTGTCAAAGCAAGAATTATGCCGAAACGTTTGGTGGCCACAGCTTTGAATGTTTTTCTGTTCAAGGGCCGACATTTAAAACAGGAGTCGGTTTCACAAAGGCAATTGTTGCAGGAATTCTGATTATGTTCATTATTAGCCCCACCCTACCCAATAAGACACTTTAAGCCTCGGTGATCCTGTTTCCTGCCACAGCTTATTGTTCGAGCCATCTTATGTTAGTATTATTAAAGATCATATCCGAGATAAATCGGCCTCGCTCCTTTATAGGTAATTGATGCATTGTTCGTGGAGTACTCCTCGCGCTTAAGGATCCGAGAATTGTCAAAAGGCGCAAAGTTGTGTATCAAAACATTATCATCTAACGTGTGCATAACCCCTTTCTTTGTTGCTCGAGGATTGACATTTTACTTTGATTTGCGTTGATGCAAGTTTTGCAATAATCTATGCCGCTGATCATACAGTACATCATTCCGGGTAGCCGCAACATTAAACCATGGTTCAAATGATCCCATCAAAATCATCTACAAAATCCGGTTAATATTTCGGATATATAAAAGGAAAGAGTCATTGTAATATCTTACCTTCAATACCATTCATCATGTGCGAGATAAATACCATGATATTGGCTGCCAACTGCATACCAAAACCTCTGTATAATCCACGAATACCCCAGGCACTCGTGTTCGATTTCGGTGGTGCCGGTCGATCGAATTCCTCTTCTTCACTGTCACTGTCAGACATCTCCACCTGTTTCGGTCGGGTACTTCGCTTTGTCTTGGTGCCTTCTTCCTTCATAATTTTGTACAGTGCGTCTAGCACTCCTTTATAAGGCACAGTGCGAATCGCTACGGCGGTTCTAAATCGTCCGTCCTTTGATGATACGGGGACTTGACAGTGCAATCGTTTGCGAATGGTCTCTAGAGGTAATTTCACAATCAATCCCATGGTTTGAAGGGCCAACTCGGCTGCACCATAGAAAATGGGGGAATCGGATGCTGAAATGTGTAGTAAGCGGTCAACAATAAGAGGGGTGCTGCTCGATAACAGCGGAGTGATGATGTGATATAAAATGGTGGGAATGAGATTGATGGAAAGGTATACACTGCGAAGACCGCCCTCCTCCGAACACATGGTCCGTAACGCGTGAAGAATGCCCTTGTACTTGTAATGCAAAGGCGAAGCTGATTGCACAATTAACCTATGAACCACATACAGGTTTAAGCTCGCAGTACTCCGCAGTACTTTTTTTTCACGTTTAGGCGACAATTACCTTGTTCGAATGATTTCCAGAGGACTTAACAGCACGCCTACTACGAGATGACTGACTACCAATGTTGCAACATTGGCAGTGGCACTGTCGAGATGCATCAAAGGAATAGAATCGTCGTATAACCCGAATATATCGTTCAGAACACTTTGCAATGTCGGTTGTAGTAATGCACGCAGAATTTCATAAATCCAAGTGACCCGTTGACCTACCAATATCGATGCTCAGTTAGTATGTGCCTTCTTTTTGTGGCGATTATTGCTGAACCCACCCTTAAACAAGGATTTCCAACCCTCGGTGGGTTGCTTCATAATATGTCGCAGTATCTCCAAGACGCCTCCATCCATGGGCGCCATTTGGTAAATTGGACGGTGTTCCTCGTCATACACGCTTCTCGCTACCAAGTATGCAATGTCGCTTGAACTTTTGTATTTCTTTCGGCTCGAGGCGATACTTATTTGCTGACGGTCTTGCATACTGTAAAATGCCGCATCATCGTCCGTATCCTCGCTTGACGATACGTCTGACAGAAACTGCGACGCGCTCTAATTTTTCCAAACCATCGGTTAAGAAGGTAAAAAAAAAGCGTAAAAAGAAAAAAAGTTTTGTTCGGAAGAGGCCCTACTCTGGAAACTGTGGGTGTCATGACCTGTCCGTCAGTCTGCGCAATCACTTCGACGTCTTCGTGGGGCGAGTATTGCACCTGCAAAAGAGTGGTGCCCACTTCGAATGGACTTGTTAACATGGTCATGCAGTATTTGTAAGTGGCAAAGCTCGTGAATCGGGTCGTGAAACTCTGCATAGACGATTCCTTGGCGTCCAAGACATCCGCGGTTAACCCGGAGATGGTGTCATTGGAAGATATTGAAGTGTAATTGTGTTCATGATGTAGTCCCGGTGTGTAGTAAGGACGATGAGGATTCACGGTTACTGAGGCGTGGCCCGAACCCAGTGAAGAATATTGCGTATCTAAAGTGGCCATGAAAGAAGAGCTGTGTTATTTTTTCCGCTCTTCTTTGTTCAACCCCTTCCGTTCGGTTCATTTCGGACACGCTTGAGTCGAATCCGCAGTCACTACGCCTTACACTTTTGACCTCTCCACCGAAAGTTTAATCTCACCCTCTTTCTATTCTCTAGACATCCTCTTTTATCTCTCCTAGGGTGCATTGCTTTCACAGCAGCTATGGTATTCTTCCTTTTTTGAAGAAAAAAAAAAGAATAGAAAAATAATAGTGCCAGTCATAAGTCAACAAATCAGTGACATCTTTGGAGAGAAAACGTCATCCTTCTTTCCAGTTGATCCAGAATACAGTAATGCAGCTCAAGTTTTTCGATTTTATCATGGTCCAAATTCTGTCTTGATGGAAGGATGGTATGTAGTTTTTTTGTCAAGGTGTGAAGAACACAGCCCTTTCCAAAGAATCGATACGTGAGAAGTCTCTGATTTTGTAAGCCGCCATAAATTTGAGCTAAAGATTTAAGACCGGGTGTTGGTGGTCATAGTATGAAAAAGATCCATAGTTACTACATATCAACGGATATCATCATCGATATAAGTTAAAATGATTGCGGCTGGTGTATGCTTTTAGAGCTTTCATATCTAGAAAGCACGCATGCGTGCGTTTCCCATACAGCTATGCGTACTATTTTCGAGGTAAATACTTAAGTCGATGACCAATAATATAGAATAGTCCATGGTTACTACATGTCAGATGAGTCTTGTACGGTCATTCACAAGTTTATGCATTGGAAGTTTTCTCTCACTGAGAGAGTGAATCGATGGGTATTGACAAAAGGGTCATCTAAGCCACTCAGATGACGTATTGCATTGCACACATGTTTTTTAACACCACGCATTCGATACTTTGACTTGCGCTTTTTCCAACTTAACTTCTTGTAGAAAGATGAGCGATATTGGTAACGCCGGTAAGCAGCCCAACTCCAACGCAGCCCCACTATCAGCGTGCCCATCTTGTATCAATGGCATTAAACCAGTTAAATAATGCAGAGCCACGTATGCCTGAAGGACGGGGCCGCAGCCCACCTAGCCGTTCACGTTCCCGCTCGCCTCCCCGCGACCACAGAGATAGCAGAGAAACTAGAGAACCCAGATATAGAAGCCGTTCGCCACCTGGCGATATGTAAGTGGAAGAAAAAAAAGAGCCCATCCTTTGCGTTGCCATTAGAATTCTCATCCATTGCTTCCATGACAGTCGTGACGATAACGAGCAAAATCCTGGTGATAACTTGTTCATCACTGGCCTTTCCATCAGAACAAGCAGTGCTGAACTAGAAGAACTTTTTAGCAAATATGGCAAAGTACGAATAATGCAATGACACATGTTGTTCCCCCGCAACAGAATGCTTATCTTTTTGACACATATCAGGTGCAAAAAGCCGAAGTCATGTACGACCCACACACCCGTGAATCCCGCGGTTTTGGATTCATTCGTATGCAAACAGCCGAGGACGCCGATAGAGCCTTGCAAGCCGTTTCGGGCACCGAAATTGACGGTCGAACTGTCACCGTGGAAAAGGTACAGTCTTTGATAAGGAGGTCCGGAAGAGAAACGACAAAAAATTGATAACATGATGGCCTTCAGGCACGACGTGCTAGACCTAGAACACCAACACCGGGACGTTACTATGGCCCACCTAAACGTGGTGATCGACGCAAGTATTCCATTTTATCTCAGTCTGAAACATGTCTTCTTTTTAACACATCTCTTCACTTTTTTTAGCGAGATATCCCCGCAATGATCCCAGATACGATCGTTATTACGATCGCTCGTATATGGATCGCTATGATCCTCCTAGATATGACCGCTATGATAGAGATCGTTACGATCGCTATGGTCGCTATGATCGTTATGAGAGAGATCGTTACGATCGTTATGATCGCTTTGACCGTCGCCCACCGCCTCCCCGATACGAACCCTATCCCCCTCGTCCACGCTCGCCTTACTAGATGCGAGTTCCTCCCGCTGGCCGCAGTATGGGTTGTTTGATCTAGTTCTTAAGCTTTTATTTTTTCGTTTGTTCTTCCTCGATCCCGTGACAACTTTACACAAATTTCTCGCGCCTTTTTCACGCCATATCGACAAAAAGAAAATTCATTTTCCAATTTGCGACCAGTCCACAACTCTGTTTTCCCCAATGTTTCGTTGCGACAGCACTACAGCTCTTAAAAAGTGTATTCAGCTCACATGATATTGATTTTGTCTGTCTTTTGTACACCTTCGGTTCAGTCATCACTTGCATGAGACAACACTCTTGAGGAAAAAGAAAACAGGTAACGTGTGTGATTCTATTTTCCTGTGAATTTGGAATAAAAAAAAACGATACCCAGTGGTTATGATTTTCTTGAACCCTTCTTTTTCTTTTTGGGAAGAAATTTTGGGAGTATTTTCTAAGAGATGGGAAATCTCGGACTATCCATGTACGATGAGCCTATCATTCCAGACACGGAGCAGAGATAACAAGTTACTTGACGAATAAATAAATAAAAAAGTAATTTATCATCATACTAGCTTCTGCCTTTCTTTTTTTTTGGGGGGGGGGGTGAGTGGGGAACAATATAACAGTACTCCAACGATGGAAGACAAAACCTTTAAACCAGATCTCGGTGATTTCATTTCTAATCCTCCCAACTCTTAGCAGCAATACCTACCATGTTTGTAAATGTATGGTATTCAAGCTTTGTAATCCAGCGGGCTTTTCAAGTTGCGGAATGAGTGGGCTGAGCGCAATATAAACAAGTCGATCTGCACGACCACAGCAAAAATGCATCAACTTCACAAAGAAAAAAAGAATGACGCCAAAGCCAAAAGCGACAGCTCACTGTCGATTCGTCTGATAAACTTATGTCTTCCCTCTTTATGAGCCTTGCGATATCACATAACGCATTTGTGTCAAGTAGTCAAGTTTCGGCGAGCATCATCTTCATGAGATCTGTTCTGAAGTAGAAGCTATTGATACTACTGCATTTTGCCAACTCCCTAGAGTCTGAATAAAGTAATGGGTCGATTATTTTTTTACTGCTTCAAAAAGTGTAGGTTGTTTTATATGACGAGTGGGAATGTTTCACAAACGATCAATTTGACGGACACCAGGCTGTCGTTCCCGCGATCCGCAAAGCCCCCGTGCTGTACAGGTATAATAGCCACGCGTTGACATATGAGGAGAACGTAAGTTGACTATTAAAAAAAGATGGACGACATTTAAAAACATGAGGAATTGAAAAACTATAAAGATAACAGCATCTTTCGATACTCGGTTCAATTCTGTTTGACTGGAGGCATCTTGTTAACCCCTATTCAATTTTTACCACGCGGGTGTCAATAAGCATGTGGAGGTGGTGCTAAACAGGTTGCAGCTTGGGGGACGATTGGCAAAATTTTAAACACCCTGTGTTACTCTGCATCTTTGGTCTAGTGAAGCACAAATAACAATGAGCTTCAAGGCAAAAACCCGATACTTGATTACTGATAGAAAAAAAAAGTTGGGAAGAATACACTGAAAATGTCTATTGATTGAGCATGGATGAGTGCAAAAGTTCGGATAGACCAAAATGGAAATTGCGGATCATCGGAACGCACATGGCCTTAAACTTGGACTCGAGGACCAAGCACAATTTCCACTTGAACGCCCATTATTTTGACCCCTTTAAACTGGAACAATGGGCTCCGTGACTAGAACCATCACTTCATCGAACCAGATACCGAACTCAACTTATGATGTTCGTGCTACTGTTGATGCGATATCGGTTTAACTTTTCAGTCGCAATAAGCTTGCAGGTGACACAGAACAAGTGGAAGGATTAAGGAGCTCACAAGCATATCGCCATTTTCGGACGTTAATCAAGTTTGATGGTGCACTCTCTGTGTAATTGACATTCTAAAATTGCCACTCGTATTCTGAAGAGACCAAGGCCAACAAATAAGCTGCAAAGGTCATTGTACCTATTTTTGTTCTTGTCTCTTTATTATTGCCACATTTTTTTTGTCGTTTTCTACCTCCTATCCTCTTCTTTCTAACCTTTTCCTGTTACTGCCAGCAACACAAAAACGAGGCATTTGCATGGATTCGCATATTTTTATTGCCACTGCTCAACCAGACGGTGGAGAACTGGCAGCTCAGCTCGTGTGTTTATTCTCTGTATCCATTTTATCGACTCTCTTTGGGGTAAAGACCTTCAACGTCCAATTTACCTACCTCAGTTATTCGCGATGGCTCGTTTTGGCCCTGTATGTTTGCTCTTGGGCCTTTTGCGTTTCCAGTATTGTCCTTATATCGACCAACAACAGTAAGTAATGAGACACAGGATGCAAGCGTCCATGCACTAACAACCATTGATCATAGACAATTATCTATCGTGCATGTTGTCTATCATGGCATGCGATATTTTCTATTCTGGAACCAAGCTTGTGATGTATTCATGGTAAAAATGTGCCCAATAGTATCTACAGGAATGATGGCCTTTTCCATTTATTCATGCGATCCTTTATACCACTGGATTTTAGGCTGACTGAGAAAGTCTGGGTTGTGTCTTCTGTTCGCCAATCGCGCTGGAGAACCAAATCTTATCGATTCCATGTCATCCTAATGACACCTTATATTGCCATTTTTACTCTGATGGTACAGTGTTGGCAACGACAATATCTATCCGATCAAACATTAACCGTTTCTTGGAACCTCAGCTTATCTTCCATATTGCCGAAATTACCGAAACCGGAATCTGCATCATTGGTCTACAGCCGGTTGCCAGTATACCATTGCTAGTATACGATTTCGTAAGTGTATAGCCTCTGTATGAATGGCAATGGGCCACTAATTTCGTGCGGTTGTAGGTGTTTAATTTGTACATGACCATCCTCTTCATCAAACCCCTCGTAAGGATTGGCAAAGGCGCGGCTATTGATTGGAGAAATTCTCGATTGCACGACGTGGCCCAAAGAACGCTGGTCGCTTCAGTGGTGTGCCTTGTCGTTTCTTTTGCAAATGTGTTTACCTTGATCCTCTTCGGAGGCCGAGAACGGGGACTACTGTGTTTGACATGCTGTGCTGTTGATGTTGTCATTAATGTAGCGACCATTCACTGGGTAAGTCGCCATGCTCTGACGTTTGCTGTGCTATGACTCATTGAAAAATCCGTAGGTCACCACCAATCCTGCAGGCAAGACGGCCAAGGACAGCCAGACCGTCGATGATTCCAACCACTATACGGCCCAAGCTGCAATCACTACCACGCACTCCACCGCAGCACCGACCAAGCTACCGCCACGATTACGACAGGATTCCACAGAGTATAACTTTACCGGCGACATGGATCGGACCTTTGCATTAGACTACGCCTATCCCCAATCCTATGATCCCGTCTCCAAATACGTCACTCGAAAAGAACAGCTGCGATTCGCATCAAAAGAATCCGATGCCATAAACGAGAAAGTGCAAGACACCGATGATATGGCTGAAGAAAATCGATCTTCCTTTTCCCGGTCAGGTTCTCATAATAGTCGATTTTCCTTGACGAAAACAATTATCCCAAGCTTCTAGACATATCGTTTTACTATTTTTTCCCCCTATACTTCTTGTAATGACTAACGCTATCCACCATGGTTCCTTCCTTTTGTCCCTTATTTCCTTCTTCCGCTGACTCTTATCTGTAACATATGATTAAATATCTTTTGTTTATTTCCATGTTGAAAATCAATCTATCATCTTGATTATGCAATTAAATAATAGATTCTTGATAGCATGTAACACCCTCTGAAAATGGTGCCACAACCTATTTTATGTGTATCGCTGCGGTACTCGGCTCTAAAGGAAAGACAACGAAGAGAAGGGGGAAAGAGAAAGAGACAAAGAGGACGACTGGTTCGTTATTCGTTCAAAGGACGTGTCGGAGGTTGGTCTCTTCGGGGCCCTTGTGGCGGATAAGGATAGCCATTCATGGGCGGTAATCGATATTGAGGAGGTAAGTTCTGAGGAGGTAAGTTTTGAGGTGGAGTTGACATTGGGCCATATGAATGATGCATAGGATAAGGTGGAGTCGGCGAAGTTGAAGGAGGTCGAACAATGGGAGGCAGCATGCTCGCATGAGTCGCCGTTGGCAACCCATTGGGAGACCTTGCGGCAGGTGGATAGGGTGCGTAATAGGGTGGCATCATCTTATTGGGTTGTGATGGCGGTGGAGCAAAATTGGGTTGACTGACAGGCGGATACCACGGTTGCAGAGATGGTAATCGTGCTGCTTGGGAATACCCATTCACCACGTGAGCTGGATAAGACATGATGGACGGCATGGTTGATGGTGGATTGACAGCTGGCGGAGGTGCTCCGAAAGGCATGCGCATTCGATTATCAAAGTCCCGCTTTACATATTTCGCAGCATATCCTTCTCGAGGGGTGTCGTCCATACCGTCAATATCGACTTCCTGATCCTCCTGTGATTCCTTTCGTTTCTTGCATTGAGAGCAAACAAAAATACATTTATCCAAGCTTTTTAAATGCGGATCAATTGCACCTGCTTTTCTCAGACAGTTGATGTGTTGCCACACCCCGCATCGTTCACAGGCGATCATAGGAGATCCGTCATCCTAAAAAAAGTAAAGAAAAGAAACTGCGTTAGAAAACAAAAGCAAAAATGATTGGATGCCGTGTTGGGATACACTACGATATTTTGTCCAGAGACCCCGCAAACGCAATTGAATGTCCAATTTTCTTCGTCTTCTCGTCCTTTCTTTGCTGCTTTTGGTTTCCGGCCACGTTTGCCTTTTGTGGGGACGGGCGGTCGATCGCCTGACGGTGGTTGTAACTGTTTCTGTTTTTTGCGCTCTTCCGCCGCCTCCGCTGCGGCGGCTTCAGCGACGGCTTGTTTTTCCAACCGTTTTTCTTTTTCCTCTGCCGCTCTTGCACGTTCGAGGACGCGTCTTTCACGTTCAAGCAATCGTTCTTCGCGAGCTTTGGCGGCCATTTCTTTCTGTTGTTCCTCACGTTTGCGAGCCATTTCTTCCCTACGAGACGAAACGCGTTTGGTACCCGCGGCTGCAAGTTCGGCTTGTTGAATCTGCTGACTTCTTTCGAGTGCTTCCAATTCCCGAATCATCAGTCGTGAACTTCGCTTTCGGTGGGCCAGGGCTTCCTGTTTTTTGAGCTCTTTCTCGTGCTCTTCCAATACTGGAATGACTTTGGGCAAAACGTCATTCACGAGCACTTGGTAAAACTGCTTCTCATCCGGATGCGCGCTTTTCACAAATTTGTTCGGAAGCTTTTCCCAATCTTCCCTAGTCAAGCAAACCTAAGCCCGAAATATATTTCAGTCACACACTCTGATCAAAATTAATTGTCTATGTCGTAATTATACCAGTTTCCAGGGTTTCCAATCCTCTTCGTCTTCGTCTTCCTCTTCTTCTTCTTCAACGGCAGGCGTTTCGGTGTGCGCACTTCGGCGGGTACTTCGTCGTGTAGGTACCACCTTTGGTTTCGGTTTACGCGACGCTTTGCTCTTTTTCTTTTTGGGAGGTGCAGGAGACTCCTTATAGAGCCGATTATCTACATTTCGCTGATGAGTGCATATTCGATGAGGTGACGGTATTCAATCTTTCCATGTACCATCAAACAGCCAGAAAGAATTGCCTTTGGCATCATAACCGATAGGATCTACGCGCTAACCCATATCATAACAATTAGCTCCATTGGAACTTTTCTATCATTGCAAACCAACAATTGACTCACCCATTGAATCGCATCGAATTCGCTGGCCAAATGTTCGCGGAAACGTTCGGGATCCTCTAATTGCCACTAATAGTCATTTTTTTAGTTGGTGCATCGCTTGAAAACTCCAGGAACCATAACAAGCAACTAGCGTAATGAGGGCATCACTTACTTCGCAAAGGAGATGAAGTAAATGAACACGGACATCAAGTGGAAGTGTGAAAAAGTTGTTCAATTGTTCATTGGCTGATCGTGAATTTGACAGTTCGTGATTAGCTTCTTCTTCTTCGTCTTTGGTGTCCTGTTGTGTAGATTCCATTTTGTCATCGTGTTCAAGTTGGTCCGTGCGAAAAGGATTATCTTCACTGTCCACGCGCTTATCGAAAGCTCGTGCAAAGTACATTTGCCAAGTGGAATCACTAATGTTCCTCACGGTTTAACACTTTGATAACAGTAAAATAGATGCGAAAGACAAAAAGGCATACTTGATGAAGCGATTGCGAGTCAATAAGCGAAGCATGCGTACAATGAGTTCTTCCAAACGATGGCGTTCTTCAGGCTTTAACAGCATGTGTTCCAAGTCCTAACAAAATAACAAGCATTATTATTTCCAAACTTTATTTCTAGTTATCTAATTTTCCTTCCATTATCTTATTGTTATCAACGACAGCTCGTCACACCGACTATGCCTCGCTTTTAAACAATAAAGTCCACGCTCATAATAGGAAATGAAATCATGCAGTGCAAAGAAATGTTGCACAAATAGAGGTAAATAAAATAACGAAAAAACTTGACCTACCTCTGTGGCAAAGGCATGGACTTCTTCCGGTTGTTCACTACCACGTCCACTACGAGAGGATAGCCGCGTCAACTGACGTTGAAAGTCATTGGCGGCCGGCCACGGCTGAAAGGCCGATTGGAAGGTGTGGAAAAACTGAGCAATAGCAACAAACTCTATATTATTCCGTAGTTCATCGACAGTGGGAATGGGTGTATGGGACATGGTGGATGACATTCTCAAGTCCTTGGGTGGCAGGAGAATTACACGACGCAGCACTAGGTGAACCTGAGAATTCCAGAAAAAAAAAAAGCAAAAAAGGGCACCCTTCCCCCCAATTGCCGAACAGGAAATTTTCCTTCAAATTACACAGTCCGTTTGAACGTCACATTGCGCCCTGGCCAAGTCACGTGAACATGAAATTTCCAAGTATCAGCGCTCTTTTTCCACTGTTCCCCAGTTCACCTTTTTTTTTTTTACTTCTACTTTTTGGGCCAAATTTTTCCAAGTCGAAAGGGCGGGTTTTTAGCATATATTCTCCTGTTCTTCTCGTACTATCGGGGTTGTGTGGCTCTTACAGTTAGGAATCTTATACCATGACGACCTTGCAAGTTTATGCACACCGATTGGGAGATCCTAATCTAGGCACGTTCACTTCCAAATGACTTCTATTTTTCTTTACCTCTTGGTGACCTGTCACACTAACATGTTCAATATAGGCATCGGTCTCAAGGTCACCATTGCAAATGAACTCAGAGACCAAGTGGAAGTATTCCAGACGCTGGAATATCCTCGATTTCTGTCTACGCTTATTCCCGTGTTCCTCGATATTCTCCAAAACGGAACGCCTGTATTCGTCAGTAACGCGCCGGAACAAGTCAGTAACCCGATATCGATTTTTTTTTTAATACGTGGATGTGTCAAAAAAAAAAGAAAATCCAACTCACCATCTATCGCATTATGTTATAGAAACTGCGTAATATTCTTTTGGAAATCATATTCCGTCTACCTCAAACCGAACCTTTGAAGCAATATGCTGCCGATATATCGCGAACCTTGATGCAATTACTTCGTGTTGAGAATGAAGACAATGCCGTTGTTTGCGTAAAGATCATTATTGATCTCCATCGATCCTTCCGACATGTCCTCGAAGACCAAGTTCAGCCTTTCTTGGATATTGTTCAAGAAATCTTTCAAAATATGGAACAAGCCGTCAAGGACGCTTTTGACGTACCATGCACGCCAGCCGGATCGGCGGTGACGGTAGGCATCTTCATCAAAAGAGCAGCACTCAATAAGAATAAACCGGTCACTGATACTTTTTTATCTGTAGCCTGGTCCTAATCCATTGCTAGCCACCTCGCCACGGCCCATGTCTCCAGCTTCCGATGTCCCCGAAACACCTTCCAAAGTCTTGGCAAAGAGTTTATACAGCTTCAAAGTACTGACCGAATGTCCAATTATCGTTGTCTTGATGTTTCAATCTTATCGACGTTACGCAAGCGATAACATTATGAAATTCATCCCTCTTATTTTCTCGGTAAAGAACAAGTGTGCGGATCTCCTGGATACGGCTCATTGACTCATCTGTCCGCCCTTTTTTTTATGGTAGACTCTTAATTTACAAGCCAAACCCCAAGCAGAAGCGGCCGAGGCGGCTCGTGCTCGAGGCGAGGTGTTTGTAGGCGTCAGTCCAGAGATTCGCAACCGAAGTGTATACAATGACTTTATCGTTGCTCAAGTCAAGGTATATTTTATACAAAGTTTCGACCAATGCTGATAGTACAACACTCATTCGGAATGAGTAGACCATGTCTTTTCTAGCCTACATTCTACGTAGTTATACTGCTTTATTAAGGCCATATCAGAATCAGATTCCCGATTTTGTCATTCGATTATTAAGAGACTGTCCACCGGAATCGACCGCCACAAGAAAAGTACGCTGATTTCATTGATTATGCTTTCACATGTGTCAAGTGCTGATCCTCGAATTTTTGCAGGAATTGCTGGTGGCAACAAGACACATCCTTTCAACCGACTTTCGCACTTCCTTTGTATCCAAGATTGATATCTTGTTGAACGAAAAGGTGCTCATTGGAAACGGCGTCACGTCTCACGATACTTTAAGGTAAGATATTCAATGTGGACCGACGATGGTAGATGTATCAACTAACAATTCAATACCAGGCCACTTGCTTACAGCATGCTTGCTGATCTCGTCCATCATATTCGATCTGAACTTACGCCTGCTCAACTTTCACGTACTGTGCACATCTATTCACGCAATTTACACGACCCTACATTAGCACCGAGCATACAAACGATGTGCGGCAAGTTGTTATTAAACTTGATCGATTGCATTATCAAGAACCCCAACAAGATGGAAGGTGAGTTTTGCATGCACAATATCCACAATAGATGGCTTGCCCACTCACTTTATTACTCGCGATTCCTTAGCCCGAGATCTGCTGATGCGAATTTTGGAGGCTTTTTTGAATAAATTCGCAGCGCTCAATATCCAGTTTGACACATGCTTGCGTGAATATAAAAAGAGGAAGCAACAATCCACGACGGATGAATCCGATGCTGCAAAGAAAAGTGATGGAGATATTCTTGAAGTTTTCGATTTTGAACGCGCTCGTTCAATTCATACAGCAGGCTACATTCCAGATCCATCCCATGATGGTGTAAAGGGTATGGTTTTGTTGAATGGTTGACTTTGTGAATTTTCTTACTTATTGTTTTTTTTTTTTTTTTTTTAATTCTAGATGGTCGGTTCATGTTCAGAAATTTCATCATTGGCATGAAACCGCTATTTATTGGCTTGCGCCATTGTAATTCACCTCCACCTGCTGGGCAGGATGCCGTCAACTTGCAAAACTATGCTCAATACGCTCGCAACTTTTCGCAATCGGATATCGATATTTTTCTCGGGCTGTTCCGCGAAGGGCTCATGTGCTTTGAATATTTCAACGTGGACAATTATGACAGCGACGGATCGTTACCAAACTTTGCATCGGACCAGCAAGATTCAGAAGAAGGCTCCATAGGGTCCAATGCATTGTCTCTCAAACTTGGAACTCAAGTCAACGGAGAGAAGGAGTTACTAGATATGTTCTCCACCGTTTTTACCTTGTTGGATCCGGCCATTTTCCAAGAAATTTTCGCCTCTCAGATCGAGTTTTACTTTAAGCAAACGTTGATCAACCCTGCACTCGTCAACGTGGCTCATTACTACCTCATCAACGAGACCTCCACCCAGGGATTCGCCGGTATTCTCCTCCGATTCTTGGTAGACCGTATCGATCGACTCGGTGACTCTGATATGCACTATTCCGCCGTCTTGTTACATTTATTCCGCTTAACATTTATGGCCGTGAATCTTTTTCCCGACGCCAACGAATCCATCTTGCAGCCCTATCTGGCGAATCTTGTCATGTCCTGTTTCAAATTATCGTCCAAAGCCAAGGAACCTGCCAATTATTTCTTGCTTCTGCGAGCGCTGTTCAAGAGTATTGGCGGAGGCCGGTTTGAGCTTTTGTACAAAGAAGTGTCGCCGTTGTTGCAGGTGCTGCTCGAAAACTTGAATTCGTTACTCACGTTGGCCCATAAACCCGAAATGCGAAATCTATTTGTGGAGCTGTGTCTTGCTGTACCTGTGCGTCTCAGTACTCTTCTTCCTTACCTGCCTTACTTGATGCGTCCACTAGTGATTGCGCTTCAGGCCGATCAGGAACTTGTATCTCAGGGATTGCGAACGATGGAACTGTGCAATGACAATCTGAATCCCGATTTTCTCGATCATATCATGGCGCCCGTAATGAAAGATTTGATGAATGCGCTGTGGAGTCATTTGAAACCACTGCCGTACAATCAGCAGCACAGCCATGCAGCGATGCGAATTCTTGGCAAACTCGGTGGACGCAACCGACGCATGCTGCGAACGCCTCCACGACTGGACTGTAATTTACGTGCTGAAAGTGGCGTGTCCGTGGAAATCATGTTTGATCCGAATACCACCCCGCACGTTCTTCCTTTGGACAAGTGCTTGGAAATTGCCATCAAGACCATTGATCAAACCAATGCCGACGACTTTTACAAAAAGGAATCCTACGTGTTCCTCAAATCCAACATCATTCTCATGCTCGAGCTCGATGAAGGATCGTCAGATTTGGCCCAATCACTCTACCAACGCATCAATGGCGTCTTGATTTCTTCAGGGGATGAAAATGGATCTCGCAAATCGACCGCAGGAGAGGACGAGGCGGCCAATGAAGCAGGCGACAATACGGTTATTGGCACGGCTTTGGAAGAAAATGGACTGAAACCCAAACGGTTGTCCGGCAACGGCTATACAAAGTACCTGGCGAAACGGGCCGCGCAAGAAGATGCGTTGCGCACGATTCTCGTAGCCATCATCAAAGCCTCGACGATCCCCAGTCTAAGCGATGACGCGTGGCCTTTCTTCCAGAACATTTGCCGTCATTTCATGCTTTTGCATATTGGCGAAGCGATTGAGGCGACGGAAAGTGGGACCAAGCCACTCTCGGATATGATGGACGAACGTTTGGCCGTACAGAACCTGAACACCACCATTCTTGTGGATGCGATTGTCGAAATCATTTCATCCGAAGACAGCAAATTGAGAAAACGAGCCGAGCAAGCGTTGCAACTTTGTTTCGAGACGGCCGTGACCATGTTGGGCGGCAAGGATTTCGTTTGGAAATTACCCATCTTCCGTGTATTTGCGTCTCAATTCTGCTCATGCTGTTACAAGCAAGAATGGTACAAAAAGCGGGGCGGTTGTCTGGGCATTTCCATTTTGAGTGCGCAGATTGACATGGGCACCAAGTGGATGAGGGAACATGAACTGGAATTTATTCGCTCGTTACTTTTCGTCCTCAAGGACGCCTCTCCCGAAATGGCCAATGTCAATACAGCCGAAGCGACACAGACCCTCTCGCATGTTTTGAAAGTGTGCAATCGACCTGAAGATGATAAATCGCAAGAAGCGCAGCAAAAGTTCCAAAATCTGATCGCATTGTTATTAAGCGAACTTTCCAACTCCAACAGTGCGGTCCGTGAGACCATTCAGTCGTCTTTCCAGTTATTGGCGGATCTTACCGGAAACGAAGTCACCGAACTGCTGGCACCGGTGCGCGAACGACTGGTTGCACCGATTTTCGCAAAACCGTTGCGTGCACTCCCGTTTGCTATGCAAATTGGTCACATTGATGCCATCACTTACTGTCTTACGCTGCGACCTCCGTTCCTCGAGTTCAACGATGAATTGATCCGATTGCTTCATGAAGCGCTTGCGTTGGCCGATGCGGAAGATCAAGCTCTCGTGAGCCGTAGTTCTCAGTATAAAAACGCGACGTCATTGATGAATCTTCGTATCGTTTGTATCAAGCTCCTGTCGGCGGCGATGGCATGCTCCGATTTCTCCAACCAACGTCAAACACATACTCGTGCGCGCATAATTCAAGTGTTTTTCAAATCACTGTATTCGAAATCCCCCGAAGTCGTGGAAACTGCTCACAAGGGATTGAAACAAGTCTTGTCACAGCAACATAAACTGCCCAAGGAACTCTTGCAACAAGGCTTGCGGCCTATCCTCACCACACTGTCCAATCACAAGACACTCAGCGTGGCCGGTCTGGAGGGTTTGGCGCGATTGTTGGAGTTGTTGACCAACTATTTCAAAGTGGAAATCGGCAAGAAGCTGTTGGATCATTTAAAGCAGTGGGCTGAACCCAAAGTTCTTCAAGAAGCGGCGGGTAAACCTCTGAGCGATAATCATGAAATCAAGATTATTGTGGCGATTTTGAACGTATTCCACTTGCTGCCGGCGGCGGCTCACATCTTTTTGGATGATCTGGTGACCGTTGTCTTGGAAATGGAAGGGCACCTTCGTCGAGCCATCTCCAGTCCGTTCCGTCCGAACCTTATCAAGTATTTGAACCGATATCCCTCCGAGACGATCACCTACTTTTTCGACCGATTGAATTCCACGAGCCACAGTCGATTATTCATTGGTATTCTAGGCAGCGAGATGGCACCACAGTTGTGTGAAGAAGTCGGCAAGCAGTACATGCAGCTGGTGGAGAAAACGCTAAGCTCTACTGATAACCCTGTCATGTACCATCAGGGTATTCTCATTGTCCGCGAGTTGATCAAGTATGATCCTGAGTGGCTGACGGGTCGGCGCGAGGTATTGGATGGTCTGCTAAACATCTGGCGTATGCCGAGCCGGTTCGAGCTCATGAAGAAGGATGATCAGCACGGCACCCATGTCACTCGTGAAACCATGTACTTGGCCAATATATTGATTGCCCACTTGCGATCGAATCCCGACGAAACCGACTTGATCTTTGAACTCGTAGTTCTCTTTGCGCAAGAATCGGCCATGGATTTGACCTTTTTGCGAAATTTCCTCATGAACGATGTGGCGCTGAAATATCCTCCTTCTCGAAAGCGCAAGATTTTTGATAAATTTTTGCAACAATTCAACGACACTTCCATCACCATTGCTTTGAAGATGCTGACGTTGCGCCATATGGTGAATCCGATGCTTTTGGTGGCGTTGGTGCAGCAGCAAGACACGAACAACGAGCTATTTGATGCATCAATGATGGAACGATTGGATTTCAAATCGTGGACTAACATCATGTCCGACTCATCTGAGGAGAAACAGTACATTGAAGACTCGTTGCGTATTGAACTATTGCAACTGACGGCCATGATTGTGCAGTACGCCTCATCTTTGTTAGCCGACCATCGTAAGGAAGTCATCAAGTTTGGATGGAATTACCTTCGTTGCGAAGACGCTACCACCAAGCAAGCGGCGTATGTTCTGATCGCGCGATTTATTTCTGCCTATGAAACACCTAGCAAAATTACCATCCAGATTTATGCCGCGCTTTTGCGTGCTCATCTTTCGGAAGCGCGTGTACTTGTAAAGCAAGGTCTGGACGTTCTTGCGCCGGTGGTGCCCAAACGCGTTCCACTCACGGGGTCCGAGAGGATCCCTACCTGGGTCCGATTGACGCGCAAGGTCGTCGTGGAAGATACACACAGCATTTCGCAAATGATCAACGTTTATCAGTTGCTGGTTCGTCATGCCGATCTGTTCTATGATTACCGTGAACACTTTTTCCCACACATTGTGAATGCGTTACCGAAGCTTGGCCTGCTGCAGAATGCGACTCCCGAACAAAAACTGCTTACATGTGAACTGGCGCAACTCATCTTAAAGTGGGAAAGGACGCGTATTGCGGCCGATGAGACGGACGATCCAATGGACATTTCTCCCGACAAGCGTGGATCTGAGACACCGGCTTCCGAGTCGCCACGAAAGAAGGTTCAAGTCGAAGGATCGTCGGGCGAGGTGAAGGCTGTGGCGGCCGAATCGCCCAATACAAATACCAAAGAATACGTTCCCAGTTTGACCTTGCGAGAAAATTTGGTCGGCTATCTGGTGCGTCTGGCTTGCAGCATGTACAACCCATCGGACCTCGCACATCAAGCCCTGGTTCAGCGCGTGCTGGCTTTGATCAAGGAATTTTTGAATTTGTCGGCCTGGTCGGATGTCCATGTCAAGTTTTCTCACCTGGAGCGTACATTGACTGTAAAGGAGATGAACGATTTATTGATTCCCAGCGTATGCAGCGCGCTTGAAGTGCTAAATATGGATATGGCTCACAAACCGGCGGAATGGTTTATTGTCAACATGAATCAGCTGTATCGATTGTTGGAAACCAGTATCAAGTCCGACAACGTTCGCGTGCAAACTGCTTTGAATCCAGTGCTTATTCGCGTTTTCCAGGCCATTCAAAAGACAACGCCCGTGGAAACGGCCGAACAAGAATCGCAAAATCCCGATGTGGCCAGTTTCGTAGCTTTGGTGGATTCCACCATCACCGATGGACTAGCAAGTTTAACAAACAATTACGCGGTGATCAAACTGTTGCAGGCAGTGTCCAGCGGTCGTAGCGAGCACTTGGATGGCTTCCTTCCGGGCATCGTAAAGATGTTGCAAAAGCTGACCAAAGAACATACCATGCCCGTGCAAGCCATGCCGAATGCGAATGTAGACGCTCAAGTGAATTTGTTGATCATGGGATTGAATTTGCTGAGGAAACGAATCTCTCATTTGGGAGATCAACGACGATGGTTTTTGACGTGCTTGATCCAACTGATTGAAAAGTCACCTCGCGTAGACCTGTTGCGCACGATTTTGGATATGCTCAGTGAATGGACGCTCGGAAAGACCGAAACATTCCCTACGATCAAAGAAAAATCGGGATTGTTGGTCAAGATGATGTCTGTGGAACAGCGAAACGATCCCAAATTGATCGAAGATTTCCTGCATCTGGTCATTCAAATTTACAGCAATCCGGCCTTTGCACGATCTGAACTTACGGTGCGTCTGGAGCAAGCGTTCTTGTTGGGCACACGAAACAGCAACCCGCGTATTCGTACGCAATTCATGCGCATTTTTGACCGCAGTGTCAGTCGACCTCTGTACACCCGTCTCAACTACATCTTTGGCGTGCAGAATTGGGAATCGCTGGCCAGCACTTTCTGGTTGCAACAGGCGCTCGATTTACTGCTAAATGCCGTCAAGGCCAGTCCGAATTTGACGTCAACGCACAGCCTAAAGATCAAATCCATTCGTACCATTGCCGATCAAGCCGAAGCTAGCATGACGCTGGATGTCCCTAACGATGTGAATGATCTCATTCAACAGCACCAAGCGTTCCTGAGAGATCTCAAAGGATTTGATATCAACCATATCATTGAAAGCGTCAAGCAACTTCAGTACGTCGATCCTTACGGCACGTATAATCTGTGGGTCGAGTTATTCCCTCTGTGTTGGTCAAACCTCACGGCGACCGAACGGCATGACCTTGTCAAACTGATCACCATGCTTCTGGCCAAAGACTACCATATCAAGCAAGCAAACCAGCGTCCGAATGTGATTCAAGTCCTGCTCACTTGCTTTGCACGCGTGAACACTGTGATTCCGTTACCTCCTCATCTGATCAAGTACCTTGGCAAAACACACAACGGATGGCATACAGCCATTGAAATTCTTCAGCAATCAGCATCATATGGTCGAGTGTCGGACCTGTCCAAGGACGACCAAAACCGTCGAGAACGGACGTTGGATGCTCTTGCAGAGATGTATTCTGATCTAGGCGAAATGGATATGTTTTACGGTTTGTGGAGACGACGCAGTACTTACAGCGAGACCAATGTGGCGGTGTCATGCGAACAGAGCGGAATGTGGGCTCAAGCGCAAAACATGTACGAGAATGCGCAGATCAAAGCACGAAGCGGGGTGTTGCCGTTTACCGAGTCCGAGTACATGTTGTGGGAGAATCATTGGATCTCGTGTACACAAAAGTTGCAGCAGTGGGATATTTTGACAGATTTGGCCAAGCACGATGGTAATGTGAATCTGTTGTTGGAGTGTGCGTGGCGACTTTCGGATTGGACGGCCGAACGTGAATTATTGGAGCAATCGCTTCAGCAAGTAGTCGACGAACCGAACCCGCGACACAAAGTGTTTGAAGCGTTTTTATCCTTGATCAAATCGCAAAGCAGCGAACATTCGGAATTCAATCGTATTTGTGAAGAAGGCGTGCAAATGACATTGCAAAAATGGCATTCGTTACCTCCGATTGTGTCTCAGAGTCATCTGCCTTTGCTGCAAATATTCCAACAGTATCTGGAAATGCAAGAAGCGAGTCAAATCTTTAACAGCTTGCTGACGACGACGGCTCAGAATTTGGATCAACGATCGGCGGAATTACGAAGCATTTTAGGCACATGGCGCGAACGATTGCCAAACACGTGGGACGACATCAATGTGTGGAGTGATCTTGTAGCGTGGCGTCAGCACATTTTCAGTGCCATCAACCGAACCTATTTGCCTTTGATCCCGTTATTACCTCCGCAATCGGGCACGGGAAATGCCGGTGCTGGAAATTCGTTTGCGTACCGTGGATATCACGAAACAGCATGGATTATCAACCGGTTTGCCCATGTTGCACGCAAGCACCAGCTGTATGACGTGTGTATCAATTACTTGACCAAGATTTACACGCTGCCAAATATCGAGATCCAGGAAGCCTTCTTGAAATTGCGAGAACAAGCCAAGTGTTACTATCAGAATCAGTCGGAATTGTCGGCGGGTCTGGACGTGATCAACAACACCAACTTGATGTACTTTACACAGCAACAAAAGGCCGAATTCTTTACTTTGAAGGGCATGTTCCTGGCGAAACTGAACCACAACAACGAGGCGAATGAAGCCTACGTGAACGCGGTGCAAATAGATCTGTCTTTGCCACGAGCTTGGGCCGAATGGGGTCGATACAACGATCGACGATTCACTGACAACCCCAAGGATCTGAGCTGGGCGAACAATGCGGTGAGCTGTTACTTGCAAGCAGCAGGAATCTACAAGAACGCCAAAGCTCGCAAATACCTACTCCGTGTGCTGTGGTTACTGAGTCTGGATGATCAGAATGGTACGATTTCACGCGCATTTGAAGGATACAAAGGAGAATGGCCAGTCTGGTACTGGATTACATTTATTCCACAGCTATTGGTGGCCTTGCAGCATAAAGAAGCGAGACATGCACGAGCGATCCTCATTCGAATTGCCAAACAATATCCTCAAGCGCTCCACTTTCAACTTCGTACGGCTAAGGAAGACATGACAAAGAAAGCGACTATGGCGCCTGTCGCCCCTCCGGAACCGGCTGCCGCGCCGACCACGGCCAATACCCAAGGCGAGAAATCACCGTCTGTGAAGGAAGAACCGGGCACCCCTGCCACGGCTGCGACCGATGCCAAGTCTATGGACGCGTTCAAAACCGCGGCGGCCCAGGTCGGGGAACCCTCTGGTACGACGGAAGAAGGCAGTCGCAATGATGATGCTGCTGACGCCAGTGAAGGCAAGAGTGATTCGATGGATGTGGATGTAGCTGAAAACGAGACGGCCAAGAAGGAATCCGAAGAGGACGAAAATAAGGACACTGGGGATGCATCGACAGCCGCTCAGGGTGATTCATCTCAACCGGCGTCGGCGACTCCCAATCCCGCTTCGGATGGTGGTGAATCGAAAGAGGAATCTGCTCAAAAGACAGAAGAATCTTCTTCATCGACTGCTCAGGAAAAGTCCAAGACTGAGGCTGGTAAGCCACCCCAGGCTCCCGCCACGGCGACACCAGGCTCGTCTGCGGCTGCTCCTGCCAAGGATCAAGCCGCAACGGCCTCCAATGCGCCTCATCCATTGGATGAAATCATGGCCATGCTGAAGACCGGATACCCCTTGTTGGCGCTTTCAATGGAAACCATGGTCGATCAAATCCAAATCAAGTTCAAGCCCCAAGCAGATGAGGATATGTATCGCCTAGTCGTTGCATTATATAATGAAGGCGTTACGGTAAGTATCATTGGAGAGCTGCAATCATCATCATTGTCATCAACTTAATGGCTCACGCTTTTTTTAGCAATTACTAACGCGACTGCTGAATCCTGGTGATTCGCTTCAACTGGCACAAACGACGATGGCCAACATTGCGCGTCTTGCCGACACCCTGTATCCCGGTCATATGAAGACGGCGTTTATCAACGACTTTGCGAAGTCCAAGCTCAACTTGGAGGAATATGTTGCCAAATTACGATTATGGCGCGATAAATTCGAAGCCATGTTGGATGCTCGTCCACGAAAACAAAAACTTGAAACATGCAGCCATTATTTGGTGGAATTCCAGCATCAAAAATTCGATGATGTTGAAATTCCAGGGCAGTATCTGCAGGTAAAGTCAATTTGTGATATTTTTGTCTTGTTCTCTCGAAAAAAAAAAAAAGTGAGCTCACTGATGTTTTGTCCGGTGTTATTTGTAGCTTACGGATAATGCCAACGATTTCCTGCGTATTGATCGATTCTTGCCCGAGGTGGAGGTGGTTCGAAGCTATGGCAATTGCTGGCGTCGTCTCAAGATTCGTGGTCATGAGGGCAGCATTCATCCGTTTGTGATTCAAAATCCTGCTGCACGTCAGTTCCGTAGAGAAGAGCGCTTGATGCAGCTCTTCCGAATCCTGAACAACGTCCTTGCCAAACGCAAAGAAAGCCGGTCTCGTAATTTGGCATTCCACCTCCCTGCTATCGTTCCCCTGGCTCCCAATGTTCGCATGGTAAAAGATGATCCATCCTATTGCACGCTTTACGATATCTATGAAGATCATTGTGACAGCGTCAATATGCACAAGGACGATCCTCTCGTTTTCTACATGGATAAGATCAAGTCTAATACTCAAGTTAAGAAAGATGTAAGTCACAGAGGCCAGTCTGCTCATGGTTGGATATCTAACGCCTTTTTTTTTTTAGATCCTCAATCAAAAGACCGAGTTGCTCAATCTAAAGATGGAAATCAACGACGAAATTGCAAACAATATGGTGCCTTCCAATATTCTGAGCAAGGTAATTTTATTCACAGCAACAGCATGGTGCATTTAACCTGTGATTTTCTTATGTTCTAACATTTTGATCCTTTCTCCTGCGAATAGTATATGTTACGCACCATGGGAAGCTACACGGATTACTGGATGTTCCGTAAACAGTTTACGGCTCAATATGCTACGGCGACATTCATGAGCTACATATTCAGTGTGGGTCACCGAAATCCTCACAAGATTGCTATCTCACGAAGCACCGGCGATATCTGGACGATGGAGTTCTTACCTGGTGAGTACTGCAGTATTATTTGGGATTGGTGGTAAAATTCTGGCTTAACTAACGTTTATTACTATCTGCAGGATGGAATTCGAACCAGCCCATGTTTGGCAATGGCGAATCTGTTCCTTTCCGATTCACTCCCAACATTCAAGATTTCATTACTCCCGTATGGCTTGAAGGCCTGTTCACCAGTTGCTTGATGGCCACGGCTCGCAGTCTTACAGAACCTGAACTTGAATTGGATCAGTACCTCAGTCTGTTTGTTCGCGACGAATTAATGATATGGCACATGTCCAATCATCGCTCCGTCACGGATGCTCAAGTTCGCGAACGCATCAATACCAATGTTCTGCAAATCATGGCTAAAGCTCGATTCTTGTCTTGCAAATCTGAACGTGAAAAGGTAATGATCAGTTTTTGTGTGTGGATATGATGAAGAAACTGTGAATATTGATGTTTTTTGTTTGACTCTTTAGACAATTAATGCAAATAAGCCAACCAATCAAAATGTGATTGATCTAATTTCGCAAGCCAGCAATCCTCAAAAGATGGCACAAATGGATTGCACATGGATGCCGTGGTTGTAAAGCTCTTATTATCCCTTAATACTCGTTTGTTCTTTTTCCTTTTTCTTGCGTATTTCTTCTTTTCACTCTGTACAGTTTAAATAAAGTTCATTCAAGGAATGATTATTATCCTTAATCTCGATTGAAAATACCATCATCTCATGAATCGCAAAAGCGATAAATTAGAAGATGTCTACTGTACTTAACTCGAATGATTCGTGCCGGACTATATGAACCTGCATTGAAGAAAAAAAATGCCAAAACTCACAGACGAAGCCAAAAGAAGTGGTGAATACCTCGTGGGACTGCAAAAGCCGTTTCCAACATTAGGCCCTATCACCTTTGAGCTACATTTTTTAACAGTCTTTCTGGTATCCCAATGTATTCTTTTTCCCAAGACGAGAAAAAAGGTCCGTGCGCGCATGAAACAAAGAGGTAAAAAGTCCGCTGTGAAAAACAGTTTGAAGTCCATCGCGATGTATTCAATGATCCGCTGTATCTTTGATTTTGTGACACATAAAAAAGTAGGAATGTCATTAAATTGGCGCAATTGCCTACGATTATTGAATGTGGTTTGCAGTGTAATGATAAAGTAAAGGAATTTGTTATTCACAGGCGACATGTAGGACAGCTTTGTATTTGAGAAATGATCGATTGGGAGAGAGACTGCGTTAGGAAGCAGCTATGATGTTCGTTTGATGATGAGTGCTTGGATCACCGTGTTGGGTCGAATGCGAACACTGTTTTTTTCAGCAAAAGCATCTTGGAAGGCGGCTGCCGGGGTTGCCGGGTCGCACATAATGGATAGATCGTCCTTGAGAACGTGGGCTAAATAGATGAAACGAATAAAGTATGTTTCGCTCGAGAGACCAATCTCCGGGTGAGCGTAGATGCGTGACCGCAGTGTCGCGATGGTTTCATGCTGTGAATTAATGTGTAACTTGATATCTTTGCCGATGGATAATCGCACGGTGATAGGGAAGTCGGCCGATGGATCGGGGGTTGGCATTGACTCTTCAACAACTTCATGCTTGCTAGTTGGCATTGAACCGGAGGGTGTGCTATGGGAAGCTCCCGTTGATCGCCGCATGGACAAACTTGTGGACGTGGATGTGGACGTGGAAGGTTTTCGTTTCATGTCGTGATTGGAGTCGCCACCATTGCTGTCTTGTAACAAATTGGTGGGATCGGCAAGACAGTAAACAGGTATTTCATAGCGATTGCCCAGTTCTAAGAAAACAGCTAAGAAAAAGATCACATAAAGCAATGTCCTATCTATATTTTTTTCTACCGTCAAAGCAACCATCGGACAAATCACCAGTGGGCAAGGTGATATTGGCGGCCTCGAGAATGGAGCGAGCCAGTTGTACATCGTCCGAGGTCACAACAGCATGCAATGCTTGCCAAATTTCCGGTCGACCCTAGTAAGGTTTCTGAAAGTTGAGAATGTAGACTGCAGAAACGGGATGAACTTGATATGGATCTACCTCGTAAGTCGGTGCGGTTGCCCAAAATGTCTCGCGTTGACTTTCCAATTCACTCCGAGTCATGGATGTATCGGATTTCCATTTAAGCCTTGAACGTCGATATGGTTTTCCTTTTGATGGTGAATACTGGAGTGAGTCAGGTGAAGGGAAAAAAGCGCATAATAATACGATGGTCAAGTACCTCCAGTACGGGTTCCTCCTGAACCATTATGAGTTGGACGAGATTCACAGCAGCCCATCAAATCGGTGTATCGGATGTTGAGATGAAAGGGTTGACTAAGGCTCTGACAATAAGGCTTTGTCCGGTTATAGACTTGACTCGATTCGCTGAAATTGCAAGGTCCGGTCGCAGTGATCGACAAAATCGGGCCAGTTTCATGGAAATTTGAAATCCATTTTAATCTATCATATTACATTATCTGTATTTCAAAGTTATTGCAAAGGATATTAGAGGTGACACGGATCTTTATTATAGATTGTTCGCTTATTACCCATGTAAGCAACAGAAAATAATGAATTCATTTCAAGCGTGCCACTCACTGGAGTTTAGTTGGAGCACGTGGCATGAGCACATTTTGAACCCCTAAATTCCAGGACGCTGCAGGTTTCCAAGCCTTTGCTATTGATCCAATCGTCAGATCGTGCTGTTGCGTTCCTTATCTGAATCCATGCAATTCTGGTTCTCTGGTGTGTGGTGCTGTCGTTTCTCGGAAATGATGGAACTGCCACATGTACAGCACTGCCCCACAGAATCCGCCAGAATCCGCTTATTGGCTGATCGTAAGTAATACAATGCAATCGCTTTTACAGAGTCCGCTTGAAGGTCCAACCTTTTTACAGAAGGAAAGTCAGAACAATGCACTCAGGGATCATTGGTGCGCTTGCATTGTCTTGCTCCAGAATACCAACAACCTCTGCGTGAACGGAACGCTAGATGAACAGTGCGTTTCACAGCAAGAACATATGGTTACAATGTTAGTAACGACACTATATTATATACCTGAATTTGTCTCTGTTTATGTTTTAAGCGAGTGAGATTAGAGTTTGGTCGTGTTTATAAAGAAAAAGGTGGGTAGTTCCTTGTCGTACTATGCGGCAGAGACAAGGTTGCGGATGGCAGCCAATGATCCTAAAACGCGTGTCGGTGATTCAAAAGAGAAAAAAGAAATGACTACCGAGAAAATTTTGGAAACGCGCAAATACGTGTTTCTTTGAACTTGTGTAATCATGGATCAAGCGGTTTACGAGACATTGCTTCAAGTCGTCGACAGCGATGGACATGTACGTTCTGCTGCCGAGCAACGCTTGAAAGAATTGGCGGCTTCTCCAGGTACGATCACCGAGTAATGATCACGTCTTTTTAACGCAAACTCATTCCTAATCAATGTACTATAAAGAATATCCAATCACCCTTGCCCGTCTCGCCGTCTCTCAGGAACTCGCTGTTCCTCAACGTCAAATATCCTTTTTCTACAACCATGTTTACCTGAACGCTTCTTAAGGCTATCACTCACTCTCGCCAATATCCTTAACCAGTTTTTGTTTTTACTTGGCAGCATTGACCCTTCGATCGTATGTCAGTACACACTGGTCGTCAAAGAACAGCGAAAAGTTTCTTGGTCCTGAACCACCACAGGAAGTAAGAATGACTCCATTTCGGTCCAGAGCGAGAATAGTGATGTCAGCAACTAATGTGGGACGGCTTGTAGAGCAAAAAAGCTGTGCGTGAGATTATCGTCAACGGTTTGGCCGACAACGAATCGAAAATCCGAGTTGTCAGCGCTTATGTCGTTTCGAATATTGCCCACGATGATTTTCCCGAGGACTGGCCCAATCTTTTCGATATTTTGTTGAGTTTCCTGAAATCCAATAGCGCCAACAGTGTTCACGGTGCGATGCGTGTCTTGTCAGAAATGGCAAAGAAAGATATCAGCATCCAACAGTTGCCTCAAGTCGGCCCTCTTTTGCTTCCGGAACTATTTAATATTCTTACATCGGATAATGTAATTATCTTTACGTCAACACGATGTATGTATCCATGCATTTTTACTCACACCTAAATGCAGGTCTACTCCTTCCGTACCCGCGGTCGCGCCGTGAATATCTTTAGCAGCTTGGTCCAAATGCTTTCTACCCTGCGTGAAGAAAATCCGGCATTGGCCGAACAGTTTATCGCTCCTGTTATTCCGCAGTGGATGCAAGCATTTACTACGATTTTGAATCATCATGTCCAAAACGATCCCGAACGAGCCACTGAAGAGTATGGTCTCAAGATGGAAGTTGTAAAGGTACTGACAAGAAATTTTCTGTGGATCGATGGTTCAACCGTTTCGTGAAACGGAAAAAAACTCATCGCTATGCTTTTTTTTCAGTGCATTTGTGGTATCAGCAGTGAATTCCCAAAGTACATTAGCAGCAGTTTACCTCAGTTATTCGAACCCATTTGGAATGATTTATACAACCTTCGTGAGCACTATGTGCAAGAGTTCGTCAGTGATTCAGGCGATATTGGCGAATCGTTCCAAGACTCTGACGGCAATGCGATCGGTTTCCAAAGTTTGCTCTATGTCTTGTTCGATTTTGTTGCTGCCGCTTGCAATAAGAAGACAGTTCGTTATTTGTTCGTGGCAGACAATGCGGCCACCGGTTTCTTTGAGCAGCTTTTGTACGTCTACATCGTGTACATGCAAATTACCCAGGAACAGGAAGAGACGTGGATGTCCGATGCCAATCAATACGTTGCCGATGAAGAAGATGGTACCTTTACGTTCAATGCTCGTGTGGCTGCCATCGATGTCCTCTTGGTGAGTTATTGTTGATTTATTTCCCTCCTTGATTTTATATATATCTTGGTTCATTCAGACTCACGGGGCTTACGACATGATATAGGAATTGCAAGATTGTTACCCTGCACCTTTCTTTAACGCCCTTCAGGCTGCCGTGCACCGCCATATTTCAGAATCCAACGAAGCCCGCAAAACAGGCAAAGCCGATTGGTAAAGATCTCTTTTATTTTATGCTTGAATTTTTGTATTGGATTTTACTGTTCTGATCACGACGTACTTTAGGTGGAAAATTCAGGAAGCTTGTTTGTTGGTCATTGGACGTTTGTCGGAAGAATTGATGGAAGCTTTAGAAGATGAGAATCGAAAGGTTCAGTTCGATTTGAAGAGTCTTTTTGACCATGTTGTTTTGGAAGACATGAAAGCTGCAGGTAAGCAAAGACAGCGTTTGATGATTCAGGAACCTTTGCTGAGACATAGGGTCCCGTAGATTTCCCTTTTTTACAAGGCCGTGCCTTTGTTTTCGCTTCCGAATTTGCTAAAATCTTGCCTGTCAACATGGCAAGTGAGTATGTCGCAGTTGCTGTGCATGCCTTGAAATCACCTGTCAGCGGCGTGCCAGTCAAGATCTCGGCTTTGCGAGCTCTCAACAAGTAAGCTTTCACATTGGAATCTTTTCAGGCTGCATGCTCAAAGACTGATGGGCGCTGTGTTATTTATATTTTACTAGCTATTGCAAGTATCTGAACGCAGAATACGTTGCTCCCTATCAAGTGGACATTATGGAAGGCACGGTTCAACTGTTGCCTGCCGCTACCGAGGAATCGCTCATGCTTTTACTTGATACCCTGGGATCCGCTGTAAAGGTAAATATCAAGTGACACCGTGCCAAAATCCTAAAACCGTTCATGCTGATTTCTGCCAAAATAGATCAATGGCGAAGTGACCGCACGGTACGAACAGATTTTGACGCCTGCTGTTCTCGAAATTTGGAAAAAGTTCCCATCGGATTCCATTATTACCAGCTACATTCTTGATGTGTTTGAAGATTTTGCAAAGAATCAACTTTACTATCCCGCGTTATGCGCTCGTGCCCTTCCATTTATCAGCCAAGTGCTTACAACGCCTGAAACCGATCCGTCCATTCTTAGCGTAAGTGCAAGGCTAACATGGAACGAGCGGTTGGATATTTGGGATGTCTTATTTTCTCGCTGTTAGTCTGCTATCGATTTATTGACAGCCATGATGGGCTACGGACCATCTCCTTTACCCAACCAATTCACCGAGCAAATGTTCCCCTGTGTCATGCAGTGCGTATGGAATGCCACTGACAGTGATCTTCTCCAGGTAACTCTGTACAGCTTAGCGTGTCAATTGACTATATCATTCACACCAAAACCTCCAGAGCACCCAGGAATGCCTAAAACAATTTGTGATTAAAGATTGCGAACATATTGTTCAGTGGTAGGCGAGCGATTTTACCGATAAAGGTACTCGAGGACTCATCATTTGTCGATCCTGTAGGCGCGATCCTTCTGGAAAATCAGGATTGGATTATGTTATTCATTTCGTCGCCAAACTGTTGGAACCTACCAACTCTGAATCGGAAGCTTTGTTTGTCGGTGATCTTATCGTCACATTGATCCAAAAGGTAAAGCACCAAGATATGCATGTGGGGTCATCACAGTCGTCTAAAACAGGAAATAATGTTAGGCTGGTAACAACATTGCCTCTGTGCTGCCGGATCTGTTGAATGCAGTATTGGCTCGTTTGCAAACCACTAGCTATCAGCCATTTATTCAGGTAAAACTCATAAAGTTGACTTGTTTTCCAGCATGGATGGCTATTAACGAATCGTGGTATAGTCTTTGGTCATGGTATTTGCCCACCTTATCATTCAGCAGCAAGATACCGTCCTTCAGTTCCTTAGCAACACCGCCATTAACGGTAAAAGCGGGCTGGAAATTTTGATGCCCACTTGGTGCGATTACTACGACAGTTTCTCGGGTTACTATTCTCTTAAAGTCAGGTAAGGCAGATGGATGCACAAGATTCTGGAAATAAGACCAATCGCTGATCTATCCCGTCTGTGCCAGCGCTATTGCTTTGTCCAAAGTCTTCCTTGTTAATGATCCGCGATTGCAAAACTTGAACGTCAAAGGCGAGCTTGTCGTCAACCCTAATGGTAAATGCATACCGTGACTTGATCGCTTATGGAAAGCTCACCTCCACCAATAGCTGGGATCGTCACTCGTTCTCGCTCCAAGAACAGTAAGTGGATACGCACATATCCTGCCAGAGGCTCGAAATTGACAACTGAACCTTTCTGATCGTAGATCCTGATCAATACACTGCCATTCTTCTGCCTACCAAAATCATTAAACTGCTTGTGGCTGATCTCAGCAATACCGTGACAAGCGAGCAAGTGCCTCAGGAAGAAGTCGAATCGATTGGCGATGAGGTAAGCCATCCGATATTAAACATGTGGAAAATTTGCCAACACGTTCTACTAGGATAACGAATGGGAAGATTTGGATGATGAGATCGCCTCCGCACATAAGGATTTCAATTTCTTGTCAGGTATATATTTTACTATCTCTAAATCCTTTGGTCCATGTACTCATTGTGCGGCATAATTTGTAGAAATGTTGGCGAATTTGCCCGAGGATGAAGATGATGAAGAAAATAACCCTGACCTGAAAAACGATCCGATTTACCAGACTGATATGAAGGTAAAGTATTGATGGTAACAAAAACGAACAAGGGATGGCAAGCTTACCATGCAGGTGTAGACCTATTTGACCGAATTTTTCCGCAACTGCTCTGGTCACAACGTCAATCATTTCATGGATATCTGTCAACACCAGCTGAATGATGAAGAAAAGCATATGTTGGACTATGTTCTACAGAGCGCATAAGTCTGTACTATACATCATAAATAACACTTTGCGCTTAAATGGATAATATAATGATAAATACAAGGAACAAATGCACCATTACTGATAGTATCGGTACATTATGCCATCATTTATGAAGATGTCATCTCCATGAGAAGGATTTCCTTGAACACAGCATAGCATGAATATGGAATACTTGTCATCATACATTTTACTGGATTAAGCCAAAGATATATGTTGGTTTGCATGCAGCGGCTTCAATTTGGTATGATCATAGGATTTTGGGTGCAAGTGGTATAAATATGAGGGGAAATTTCACTATGTACATATGAGAAAAGGGAATACAATAAAAAAAAAACGGAAGGGGAGAAAAGGAAAAACAAACTTCTTTTGCAGATGTGCATGTCGCATGAACTACGCATCAAATGTCCACCCCCATGATAGAACATAACTACCAGCAAGCATACCGATGGCGCACTGACACAGAAAAGTAAATCCTTCTCTGAAATGAGCGTCATGTGCATGCATAACAAAGCCTGCAATCAATGCACCGAACGCGGGTCCTAGACTGCTGTATAAAGCTGACATTTTCGCTCGTTGCAGCATGAGTTGTTGATCGGTTCGCATCCATGCCATAATTCGGTTACTTGCAGTTAGCCAGATCAGATGCATACCGATACCTAGAAATGATGGTAAATTGATAAAAATGAGGACTTTGTCGCTGGAACGAGTGGAAAAAATGGCATACCTTGACCTGTCTGCAGCAGCACCATGGCAATTTGTGTACCGATGGAATCCTGTCGCAGCCAAGAAAAGCCAAAAATAGATATGATCAAGAGGCTATGGATGAAACTGGTTACAGTCGTCAAACTCCATCGATAGATCCACTGTGATATCGCAGATATGGTTATGTTAATCTCAGCTGACCTCTCTCAAAAAAGGACCTTAATTTCCATCTCCCGCGGAAAAGGAAAAAAAAAAAAAACTAGATGATAAAAAAAGATACCTGTTGTGCACTTGCTCGAAGCAATATATCTATTGCCACAGGAATAATGATCATGATGCCAATCTGATACATGGGAATATGGACTGTATCGTAAAGAAAGATCAATAAGAAGGTGTTGACCATGGACCGAGCCATCCCGAGAAGCATCATATTGATAAGCAGGGACATGTTTTTCCACCCTGTGAGTGTCGTGGTTGTCCATTGGAGGGATTCGTCCGGTAAGGAAATTGACGGAATAAACAGTAACACGAGAGCAATCATTGGCATCGTGGGAGATGGTAAAGGAAGCATCGCCACTTCCATCGAAGACACCACCGTCCGTGACATCCTCGTATAAGGGCCGTGTTCGGCCGCGAGATCGTCGTAGGCAAGGTTGTTGTAAGCGCCCGTCGTGGTGGTATTGGACATGGCGGAGTGCGTGCTGGATATGCTCGTTTGTCGATACAATGAACTTGCCGCATTACTTGTCATACGTCGGAGCATACTTGCGTCTTCTTCGGAAATGTGGGATAATTGTTCGCCAAACAGGCTGTACGGTTTATACAGGTTGTTCGTCGCGGTACTATCGGTATACTGGAGTACAGCGTTTTTTAGGAATAACGGTGCTTGATCTTCGTTTATGTTCAATTGATTCGCATCAGCAGGTTCGACATCAATACGGAACGAGGTGATCACCAATACTAAGGCGCCAATGCCAATAAATATCAGAGAAAAAATCATTATCCATAAGTTGTCGGTGATCCATCCAAGAGCAAATACGCCAACAATAAAGGCAGATTTACCCCAGCGTTCATACGTATCTAATAAATCCATTAAAACAAAAGTAAAGATCGACATGCTCGTAGAACTTACCAAAGAATAGTATTCTGTAGTCGGCCAGGACTTTGATGAGGATACTGTCAATGACAGCACTGAGTGACTGAAAGAAGAACTCATGGACGGTCCAAGCCAAGATAAGCATGGACATATCAGCCGAGATATCGGCCTGATTCACGGAATCGTCGGCCCAAGGTGAAAAGTAAACTAGTGAGCCGAGCGATGCGCCGCTAAGAATGGCGAGAATAGCCAGCAAGCGGGTATGCCATTGCGGCTGTTTGTCGATCCATAACCCAGCGATTCCCATGCATAATCGTGATGCATACATGAGAGCTAGGATAACACCGATAATGTGGTATGGCAGTGATAACCATAGTGCAAAGTATATCGGGAGGAAAGGCTTGAAGGTGGCGGAAATGGCGCGAGATACAGCAACAAGGATAAGTGAAATCAAGGTCATGAAGACGAACAAAGTAGTTCGGGCAAAGCTGAAAAAACGCGCGAAATTGAAAGGGTTTTTTCTTATTATTTTCTTTATTTTTATTTTTTCGGTGGCCAAGTTGCCGTAATCATTGGGTGACCCACTTTTTGGTCTCTTTGTTTGGAAATTGCGAACCCGGGCTTCTCATGCATGGCCGCAGAAAATGAGAGATCACTGGGGGTTCCAAACCTGTCGCTGACCAACCACAGCATTATCCGTCGGATGGAACTCCATCCGGTCACACAAAGAACCGCCTGTTTCTTTTTTCTGTATGCAGCCGAACAATGAAAATCTTGATTGCTTCTTTTACCTCCTTCCTGCTTATAACAGGATGAGCGTCATCCGTATTAGGTTATTCCAGCCCTGGCCCTTTTAAGATACATCGATAGATGACAGAATTGTCAGGTTGTCGGCTCCATGCAGTTATGAAATCATTTTACAGAAGCCAGTTTGCAGATAAACAAAGGAACAGACGATAATTTTGCTCCCCTAGTCGTCGCTTCATCTGTCGCACTGACATAAAATCGGACGATGATACCGGTGAGAAAGATTGGAAGTACAATATACGGTAGTTTAGACCATCACTTGACTTGCAACTCTAAGCGCACTGTGAGAAAGATGCCTAACAGAAACCCGGACATCCTATTTACATAAATTACCACGTAACATGCATAAATTAGAGTTGTTTGTAGTAATTATTTTACAGAAGACATGCGTTTTGCGCTTGCCAAATCGGTTTGGCTCGGATATTGGAAGCCTCGAGCGAGCATGGTTCTTTTAGTTTTGAAACTCCGCTATCCTAGCAACATGGACGTTATCAGCCTGGTAACCGTAGCAACTCCAGCATTAAATTCAAAAAATACATATGCATATGTCATGTTCGTATTCATGAGTACAGGTCAGTAGTTGATGAGAAATAGGTCCTAAAATAGGGGTAGCCGATAGAAAAACAGTATAAAAAATTTGAAGGGAATTTTGACCCACAAGTTGAGGTCAATGAATTTCCAATGGATTAATAAGTTTAAGAACTCCGTATGAAATTGACCGGAAAGTGCAGCGACTTTCTGTAAGCCGAGCGGCGGTCTTTGGAGGGATGAATTCATTCATTGGTGGAATTAACAGGTGCTGGGTTGCCTTGTCGAAGACAGTGTCTTGCAGAGTTCAGTGTTAACATTCGGGCTTGGGCGTAAGCTTGGGTTCGGAGGTTATTAAATACCGGGGCACCGCCCGAGGGTAGCAATACAGCAGGGAAAACCTGGAGCACTGATACGGCTGTAAGATGGCACGTTGGAGAGGACTTATCAAGTATCTGCCACCGTGGGTGGGAACTACCCCTTTTTATTATTTTGTCGGATCCTTTTTTGGTAATGACGCTTTGATCACCTTCAAGTAAGCGTTTCCTTTACGAACAGCTCGGCCGAAAGGCTGAGCATTCAGAACCAAAATACCCTGCCAAGCCTTATTACGAAATTATTATAGATTAACCCAAAAACATATAAATATCCCCTCGATCAAAACGAATAAAGAGCATCAATTATCTATCCTCCAATTCTATTTTATTTCTTCATCTACTGTCCGTGGAACCAGTATCCGGAGTAGATTCAGCAAACCCCGGAAACGACAATTTTGGTGTGTTGTTAGCTCTTTTTTTATTATTTTTGCTTGGATTTATCGGTGGTTCTTGTCGCATCCCTTTTGAAGTTTCTAAAACGTTCACGACGCCACTTTACTGAATGGCTGAACCTTAGCACAGAACACTTTGTCAGACACTGATTCATAAACAAGCATAGAGTTGCCATTAATTAGCTATCCTCCATTTATCTTCTATATCAATTTTCCGTGGAACCAAAAGATCCACAATAAGCGCACGAAAAAGTAAAAAACGATAGGTTCGCATTTTTTACAAAAATAACACAAAGTGGGCACAATATACAGTACGATACGGACTTTTTGCTCGCCCAAGCTCTCATTTTTTATGGACGGCATTGTAGGGAAAAGTTGGAGAATCTGTAAGAGGATGGAAAGAAACAGATTTCCTCGTCTTGTTCCTGTTGCAATTTGATAAACAAATGATGCGTCTGCGGATTTGCTCATTCAATAGTGCGATTGAATCATTGGCGGGAAGAAAAAAAAGTCTACTCTTCTATATCGGCAGGTATCCGAGCATTTGGGACTTCATCTTTCAGGTTTTTGCGGATACACATAACATGATAATGATGCGTCAGGTGTTGTTAGTTTGGTCATACGGGATAAGAGCAGTTACAAAGATGAGAGCTTATTTTTCCCAAAGCGATAAGCTGCTGTGCAACATAGTCATCCAATAAAAAAGTATCTTCATCCCTTCGGCATCGCCTATTCTCATGGTTTTGTTGTCTTCTCAGGTGCAAAAAGTGAAACGCCGCAGAGTAAGGGGTTCACCCTTCACCGCTTGTGCCAATGTTGCGACATATAAGGCTTCAAGGCGACTATGACTGATGCACTCCACACGTGAAATAGCTGAAAGAAAAGTGCTGTTCCGAAGGTCCTAACACGATGATGGTGCCAATGTCAGTTCATTCGTAATATTGCGTGCTTTTTGTGTTACATCCGGTCTGAAAGAAATTGGCGCGTAGGAACAGGTTTCTTGGTGAGCCTTTGAAAATGAGTACGAGAAAGATTTGATAAAGGTACGAGTGAATGGGTGTTTGCTTCGCCTTGGCGACGAGCCATGTTCACACGGTTGCGCCATCTTATATTGCTCTTTCTATCGTTTTTTTTTTTACCTCAAAACAAAAAAAAAGGAAGTTGTGGACATATCATGTTCATGAATCGTGATGGCCAATCATATCAGATTGACCGTTTTATTTATCCCATTGAGAATTCTTCAGTTGATTTCATCAGTAAAAACGGTTACACGGCATTCGGGCCGACCATCACTTCACTTGCTGGGCTCTTATCTTCGTTTCGAACATCTAATTTAATAAATTATACGCGATGGCCAACGATCCAAATGTCGCCCCTCGGTTAGATAATACTAGATGATGAACCTCTTTCAGCGTATAAGTATTTACTTCGCGATACGTCAATATTTTGTTATGGTCTCTTTATGGCACTATAAGTAGAAGTCCATCATGGAGTCGCTTTTTCCGTGTGAAACCTATATGGCGTCAATTTCCTTTTCACGGTTTTTGTGGCGAAAAGAATGATCACTTTCATTTTGCCTAATATGCCAACTTTCCACCAATGTCTGGGATTTTTTCGTGCGGAAACTGATTCACTAGACCAAATAGGTTGAATGTCCGTAGCGGTCGGTCTTAATTTATAAGCAAGGAAACACCTCAAGTCGGTCACTTTTTACACCCCTTTTTTCTCATGTTTCCCCCAGTTATTCTTGAAGATTACATCAAAAAACTCTTGGATTCGCTTCCTCCAGGAGATGTAACGAAGTTACCTCAAGAGGATTTCAGAGACCTCTTTTGGCATACTCCGGCCGGTACGGTATTGCCAGATGTGCAAGTTCGCGATACTATTTTGCCCACGTCCAAAGGCGACGTCTCCGTCACCATTGCCCGACCTACGACCAATGATACCTTGCCTTGTATTGTATATTTGTAAGTAAAAAAATGAATGGATGGGTTTGTTGTACCAGTACAGAGGTAGATTTTTAACTGGGTTGATGACGATCCATTTTAGTCATGGTGGAGGATGGTTTACAGGCAACAAGTACTGTCATGCCCTGATTATGCGTGAGGTACCTATGCATGTTCCGATCACTGGGAAATGTCAGTGGACTGACGAATTTTTGTGCAATTCTAGCTGGCTGTGCAAGCTCGAGCTGCTGTTGTGTTTGTCAACTATTCGCTCAGCCCCGAAGTCAAATACCCGGTCGCCATGGAGGAATGTTATAGTGTGGTAGAATGGTTGGCCAATTCGAAGAACGCGGCGTCTCTTCAAATCAATGCGCATCAGTTGGCAGTTGCAGGCGACTCGGCAGGTGGTAATTTCGCGACCGTCATTAGTTGTAAGTAATAGGCAATGGCAGGTTGCGCTCTTTTATACATTTATGAATTGATCAACCATGTCTTTTTGTTTGTAGTACTTGCGAAAAGACGCGGTTTGGGTAAAGCTATCAAATATCAGGTCCTGTATTACCCTGTCACAAATGACAATTTTGCCACCGAATCCTACGAAACCTTCCAAGATGGCTTTCTCTTGACTCGTAATATGATGAAGTTTTTCTTTGACCAATATACCACAGAGGAAGATCGTTTGCTGGACACTGTGTGTCCGCTCAAGGCTTCCACCGAAGATCTCCTAGGTTTGCCGCCGGCTCTCGTTATCACGGCCGAAGCCGATGTGTTACGTGACGAGGGTGAAGCTTATGCACGTAAACTGATGCAAGCCGGAGTCAAGGTCGTGGCCACTCGCTATTTGGGATTAATTCACGGATTTTTTACCATGTCCGAATTGACAACGCAAGCTCAAGCGGCTTTGACTCAAACCGTCGTCGAGTTACATAAAGCTTGGAATTACAAGGCGTAACCAACCCCCCCAAAAGAATAAAAATAAAGTAATTCTGTGTACACATTGGTTGATAATGCAAGGATCAGAGACTCATTGTTTCTTTGGTTGTGGGCTTTTTAAGTGGGCGCGTCATCAAATTAAGGAAAAAAGGTTTATGTAACTGGGTTTTCACATGAATCGTGAAAGTGCAATCACCACGGCACCCTCCAGCCTCGTTCGTGGAACTGTGTTTTTTTTTTTGCGTTACAGCAATCCCCCTGTTGCTGCTCTCCGCCTACAGTTCGGTTGGACATGCATTATAAGCGATCCTGCTCAAAGATAATTTAAGCTTCCCATGTCACTGGTCTACTAAAGCAACCCATTTTCTCTACCTCTAAAATTAATCTCCATGACTAAAATAAGAAGCATTTTCTGTCTGCCTTTTGCGCTTCATCAACAAAGAAAAAAAAAGTTCCATGAACTTCTTTGCTTGAAACGTAGTTTCTCTGTGTAGGTTTCGTTCATACATTGCGGAAAACGGACCACAGTCCTTCATCATAGTTGAGTGAAATAAAATCTCCTAAATGCTTTATGTAGAATGCTATAATATCGAGGAAGCAAGGTACAGGATAAGTATGATGGGAAGAGGGTAAAAGGGTCGCCTCAAACGATGGCCAAATGATCTGATAGATGGAGATAATTTAACCAGATTCCTATTGGGTAAAGTACTGTAGTACTCCGAACCGCACACGGAACCTTGGTTAAAAAAGGTTAGCACATGGCTTATCTTTGTAGTAATCCTGCAGCACAGTTTCTGGCAATACTCATCACGGAACCAAGTGTTTTTATTAACGTGACGACTTTGTCCTACTGTTACCAATAGCTGGCAACCGGTGGATGCTAAATTGTTTACCGTGTCTGGTATATCCGACTATGATTAAAACCATTGATTATACACTGAAGAAAGTAAGACTACACAGCTTTCAGATCGTCCGAGAAGGATAAGAAGCTGCTAGCTGTTTGCAAGAAGTTATAAAGCGATGACTTCAGGGCTAAGAGCTAACAGAACTACAAGGGAATGTTCGTGAGACGAATGTTTATATCCTTGCCAGCGCTTGACCGTCCGGCCCGCAACAATGATGCTGGAAATTATAATTAAGTGATTTTTTTTTAGGTTGCTTTTCGATCTATCCGTAGGAATGAGGTATGGAGTTAAAGAGAAGCGCTGACATAAATGGAGGCTTCTTTGAACGTTGCAGTTGTACCATCAATCTTTTTTTTTTTAAGCTTTTTTGATTAAATTTTCGATGAAAAAGTTAGAAAGAAAAATCAAGGTCCGGTATTTTCTGGATATAGACAGCGGAGGGTCCAGGATCATACACAGTTTGTTCTGAAAAGTTTGGAGTTCCTGAGAAAGAATTCCGGGCATTTTTCCCCGATTTCAAGATCCGCCTTGGAGGATAATCTATAAAGGACAGAGCTAAACCGTATCCGAAAATCTCGTTTCCACCCCATTATACCTTATACCATGACCAAGCCTGCTATTCATCCTGTATATGCCGCTGCCTATCAGAACCGCAAGGCCGTCGCGCCTCCTTTAGAGACCATGCCACCTCAAGTGGTTCGTGCATTCTTGCATGACCGTGCCCTCACGGCCAAGGTACCCTTACCGAACGTTCTGGAAGAAGACCGCCAGATCACCATGGACGACCAACAAGTCAACATTAACCTGATTAGACCTGAAGGCACCCAAGATAAGATTTTACCCGTTATTATCTACCTGTAAGTATGTAACTCCTGCATTCTGTTCGTTGATCTGTACTGATGTTGATTGCTACATAGCCACGGTGGAGGATGGGTCTTTGGTAACAAGCACACACACGCAAAGATCATTCGTGAAGTAAGTATAATACAGCATGGAGCAAGACAATTTGAAAATGGTTGGTTGCTTGCTTTCCTGGAAGATGATATTCATCGCAATGATTGTAGTTGGCGATACAAACGGAGGCTACTGTACTTTTCGTTGATTACGCATTGAGTCCCGAAGCGAAATTCCCCGTGGCTTTGGAACAATGTTATGCAACGGTAAAGTGGGTGCTCGCTAATGCTGACTCTATCAAGGTCGATGCAAACAAGATTGCTATTGCAGGCGATTCCGCAGGAGGCAACATGTCGGCCGGTGTTTGCAGTAAGTTATTCAGGGCTAAGAGAAGCGGATGGGTTGGAGGATAATTGGCCAAATGATGACCGATCTTAATCAATTTTACTGAATCATTGGTGTCCGTTTTATCCAGTCATGGCGAAGCAGCGTGGTTTGGTTCCTAATGCCATCAAAGCACAAGTGCTCCTTTATCCTGCACTTGCTGCCTCTCACGAAGAATTCCCTTCCTTTGAAATTTTTGGTCAGGGCGATTATAATCTTTCAAAGAAGGAAGCAGAGTACTTTTGCGAGCAGTATTACTCTGCCCATCCTGTTGAAATGAATAACGTCTTGGCTACTCCTATTCTGGCCACTTCGGAAGAACTTGCAGGAACCCCATCTACCCTCATCCTTACTGCTGAAGCAGACATTTTACGTGATGAAGCCGAAGCTTTCGGACGTAAATTACAAGCAGCAGGTGTCGACTGTTTGGCTGTACGTATAGTTGGTGCTGTGCACGGCTATATCACAGTACCCGTCGAAACACCTCAATACCGTCATAGTTTATCTTTAATCTCTAAGCATATCACCGACACATTCGCCAAAGTTCAAAAATAAATCCGCATCATATCATTCATTAGACTTTTTTTTATATGGTATCTTGAAAATTTTTTTACTCAAGCTATAATCATATGGAGGTTTGCACCATTGGTGTATCAAGTCAGAAAATCGTGTGCAACACAGAGCGTATCTCGTTGTGCCCGTACAACGGTACGCAAATTGATGAGAGTCACTCACTACCGTGATGCTCAGGTAACGAATGTCATTGTTCTTGATTAGGTGGGTGGAATGTATCCATGTGGCTGTTGCCCACCGTCTTTTTGATCAAAAAGGCGTACAAAGTTATCTGGGATAACGTCAATGGGTTACACAAAATAAGATGCAAGTCGTATTTAGATTGATGAAGCAGGAATGGTGTAACAGAATGCAGATATGAACGCAGCCACCAATGTAAGGAAAAAGATAACATTGTGTTACGAGCGAAAGATTTTCCCTGCAGCTACACGAAGCAACCGAAAGCCATTGACTGGCTTACTTTCTCACATTGCATAAGCATCTAGCATGTAGTTGAAATCATATATTTATGTACGGAAAACAAACTGTGTCATGCGAAATTGCGCTACTTTCCATCTTTGGTATGTGTTTTCCGTTTTTCATGTCAGGGCAGAAAGATGGTGTAACCTTAAAAAGGTACATTATAACTCCCGACAATGTGTCGTATCAGCTTTTCAGTTCACGTCCTTCTGTACGCTTTTAGACCGCAACTTTCTTACTATGGAGGTGGCCAACAGTGATAGATATATCTGAACTGGTACCTTTTTGGCTTGGTTAACAGCACCTGCTGATGGTGGCGCAGTTTTGGAAGCTCAAGCGAAATTCTTCTATGTAAATCATTCTGTTTTTCTGGCCAACTGCGTCCATGGAGTTTGCTATTAAGGAGACATCAATGAAAAAGTACTGGAAGGATGATTGAATGTTACTTGAGAATGAGTCCAATGCGAGATAGAAAATAGCTGTTTCAATTTCCAGCTAGGTTGTCTTGAAAAGTCCAGTATTAGTGCTTGTATCAACGTCTACAAAATACAGAGGACATGCCAATCGCAGCACAAGGGAACCGTCCAACAAATCAAGCCGTCAATGAAAAAAATAACTGATATTATTCAAGTCATTTGAAGGTTGTGATCCAGACGACGGATCATCTCGGTGTCAAATACCGGCATGCAACTGCAAAGCCGTTTGCCACTGCTGGATAAATAACAGAGCGAAGCAAAACAAAGTTTGCATTGCAGCAGATAAGCAGTTCTGCAATATCTTGGCGAAAATAACGCCATTTGATCTACGTTATTAAAATCATCACCATTTTATCAGCATAGCATAATATGCTCGAACACGAGTTGATATGTTATGTTCTGTTTGTTACCTTTATTAAAAAAAATCCTTGAAGTTCGTCCGTCTGAACAGAATGCCCAACATAATACATATGATAATGATGACAAGGACGATGAAACGGTTGCAAGAAATCGTGGTGCTAAATTTGTTGCGCAAATGTGTAATATGTAAGGGTGATGGCGATCTCAATGCTGCGTCGATAATGCTCCATACTGAAGCCTCTCACACGAAATTAACAAAGATATGAGTCACTTCCCTTGAAGTTCTCTATACTAAAAACTTCAACGTTATACTTGCTACGAATTATGGACTTGATGATACATGAGGAAGATAAGATAGATGCATGCAAGTAAAATAAACATGATTGTACTGTAATGTTAAAAACACTTTCGATATGATATATTTATCCAGGAATAGTGCTTGAAAGCTACGCGCAACGGGTGTCGTAAATTTCATCAAACCGCACACATGGGAGAGAAAACAAAACTCGAGCTAATTTTTTTCTGCGTATGCCGAGATTTTAGAATGCATTTTCTGCAGTTTTGCCGGGTGCTACCATTTCTCCAAATCCAGCAGCGGGATGTTTTGATGAATGGCTTGAGGTTAGCTGCGCAAGCTGAGTTCCGGTATTATTATTTTTTTCTTTTTGCTGCGCACGTCCGTAAATTTGGAATCCTTCCATGTCGCTACATCATAACATGCAGCCGAAGTTTTATAGTTCAGTCCATTTGGAAATTTAAACTATGCTGTCAACTCATGGTTGCCATAGGAAATACACGTTTCTTACGATTGTTTTGGTTCCTCGGTACATAAACAAAAACTGGTTATCGGGCATATATTATTGTTACACATATTGTCCTGTTTTCTTTTGTTGAATGTTATGTGCCATTGCGCATATAGATATCAAAAAGTCGAAAACATGTACACACTAGACGCCAATTTTGGGATCGCTCGTTTAATTGGCGTTTCAATAGTGCATTTAAAATCAATAAAGAACTGAGATCTGATCTGAGTCGAGTTTGATCCTTCGTACAAGCCCTGGCGGAACTAAACAAATTTGCGGGACTTGATCATCTATTCCGGTACTGTCTGCCATTGAAGCTGCGTAAATAGCAACTAGTTTCTCCTTTTTGATTGATGGATCTATCAACACAGTGCCATTGATGTTGTACCTAATGAAGCATTTATCAATCAATCCATCATTTAAATAAGCAACCATTTTGATTCTCATCAATCGCGATTTTTAGTGTAGTGAGTTGACGATTGCTTCATGTGTCATTGGGCCTTTTTTTTTGTTGCGCAGAGAAAAACGGAAAGTAATAAATTCAGGACACGTGAGAACAACTCCACAGTATAAATATAAATCCTTGAACCAGGAAACGCTGCAATCCTGATATTCTCTTTTTTCTTTTCCTTTTTTATTCTTATTCTACTCTTATTTTTATTTTGCAGATATGTCTACACTTGCTGCAGGTGTGGTTGCGACCCTATTATCTGTCGGTGCTTCAGCCGCTACAGCAATTGCAACAAGAAAAGTACCGTTTTTCCGAACTCGAGTGGTCGCCTTTGGTGCCTGTACAATGACCCTTATCGAGGGGTTATTGATGTGTGCCATGGTCAACAAACCGTTCGATAACACGTATTTCACAATCAACGCCGTCGCTTCGTGGATGCGCTACTTGTCCAATCTTTTAGCATGGATGATACTTTTTGACTCGATGCTACTAAATAAGCAAGCAAGAACGAATCACGGTAAACGCGAACCATATACAGCCATTCTTGTTGCATGCGCATTAGGTGGGCTTGCAACAGCGAATCTCATCGTAGAACGCACGAATCCTGATCCTTTCCGAAGCGAAGTCGTGGCTCAACTGAGCTTAGCCACTTTATTTACACCATGGGCGCTCGTGTTGCTATTCTTTACGGCCTTTTTCTTTCGTCGACACGACATTGCTCAACGTATACCATTTCTCGTCAGCGGCCTTCTCCTCAGCATCAACCCATTCTACATATTCGCTTCTGTCCTGGTCGCCGTATCACAAGGGTCTTTTAATGTTTACTATGTCAATGTGTTTAGATTCATTTGTGGAACCATCCTCAGAGACGTTGTGTTATTTATAGCCGCCTTTTATAATCACTCATGGCTTATTTCTCCCAACACCGAAGCCATGATTTTGTCCGATGGCCATTCGTCTCCGAGGGCAGGTTCAGGAGAAAAAATCTTTTCCTCGTAAATATGTACCTTTGTTTAATCCACTATAGCCAATGAAAATTTTGTATTTGCGCATGTGCTGTTGCTGTACACCTAGACCATACTTTCCGTTGCTTGCTACATATATGATGGCATTTCTCATTACAGAAAAGAATAATCAATGCAATTGATTTTGTGATCTTTCATCTATAGTAAACATTGCCGTAACAGGAGTTTTATACACCAAACCACGTTACAGTCCTTTATATTTCCTTGACTCCACGGTCTTGATAAATACCTACCATTATTAAAATGTTTGGGAGTTATGCGCGCTAATTTCAGTCACAAGGCAGTCACATTAGGTTTTTGCTACATTTGTCGGCTTTGATTGGGTAATTTTTGAAAAACAAATATTTATGATTGGTTGATAGACAGCTGTTGATCGATCCGACCTTTGCGCTCGAATTTTTAACATGATGGAAGATCTAAAGAAGAACCATGTTTTGGAAAGAGACGTTACCCATGTACACACGGTCGAGTTTCAGAAGCGAGGCTTACCGCATCTTCATTTGCTTTTGGTGCTACATCCGGAGGAAAAGCCGAGAACACTTGATGACTATGATCGTATGTGTGTGCCGAACTTCCGGACAGAGAGAGATTTCCTGATCTTATTGACAAAAGATTAGAGTACCATCAAGCGAGACCTTTGGATACACAAATTCGAGTGCGGAGTTCTGAATATTGCAAATGGAGCATCCCATTCCAAACGCATCTTTAATCAGCTACTATTCCCACTAGCCTCAGATTAACAAAAAACTACAGACCGAAAGAGCATAACTTTGTGATCTTTAAGATCAACAGGCGCTACTAGTCTACATAATTAAAATCTTTGGGAAATTAGCGATTTTGTAAATCACATGATCTACACTAAGTTATCAGGACCTGTTAAACCTTTTTTTTTTATCTTTCAACCATGCCTCGCTGCCCACTTTCACGACAATAGGCGAAACAATCAGCAGCAAGATGCCGTTTGCGCCAGTTGTGGTTAAACAGAGTATCGTCGTCTTTCGAATAAAGATGTGAGTAGAGCTCTTTTTGAAGAAAAGTGGTTGATGATACGACTGGCGTTCTTCTGTAGCATCATTCAATTTTGTTTTTATTTGTCAGTTATACTGTATATGTCCTTTCATTCTCTTTTATTTTTCAATGAATCGAATAATACACAAGCAGACGCGCTTCGATCTATGAATTCATGCATCAGTGGGGTGACTATTGTTTCATCCATGGAAAACCATATATTTTTGTCTTCAATCTTATCTTTTTTCTTTTGATTTTCTCTCTCTCTTTCTGTTTGCTTGATAAACCCTCACTATCATTGTATTAAGATCCCATCCGCATCCATCATCCAGACCATTCTTATCCCGTGTATCTGACTTGGTTAAATCGACCACCATCCTCAAAAAGGTAAGCGTCGAGTGGTCTACCATCGATTTTGCTCCGGCAAAACAGACTTACCTCTCCTTTACTTCCATCCTTCTTCCAGCTTCCGGTTTCCGTTTTCTTTTCGCCTGACAAGTTCTGGATACTACAAATTGACTTTCTCTCGCCATCCATCCATCCATCCATCCATCTGGCGAAACCGGATGACGTCAAAGGCCATCGTTGGTGGTGTGGCTCTCTTTTTAATCAGAAAAACGCTTACGTGTTCTCTTCATGTTCCTCTCCTTTGGATTGCTTCTCATCATACGGTATTCGAGATGTCTTCCCGATTATTGTATTTTGTAGTTCATAGTTTGTATTTTGTCTTTCATGTACATATTCTTTTCGCAGTCTTTTTCTCTTTTTTTCCCACAGGGTTTTTTAGGAGGTTTTTACTGACGCGACCATTGGTTTTTTATCATCATGTACTTTATTTGTTTTTTTTTTCTTTTATTCGGGGGACTCTCGATATCTGGAATCCAGCTCGAAATTACCGACACTTCTGGCCACGATTTTTTGCCTGCTCAAGCTGACACCACCGATCCATCGCTTAACTGTCCCTGGAAGCAATTTTATTTTCCGCATCGAAGAAGAAGCTTACCTGGCGGTCCGTATCATCTTTTTTTTTCCAGTACACCATTTGGTTCAAAGGCAAGTCCAATTTCTTTTCCTTTGCTATGATGTATAATGAACGTATACTGATTCAAAAATTTTTCAATGTCATATAATCCAAGCCATGTCAAGCGATCAATGGCTATTGCAAACTCAAATAACAAAGGTAAAATATCTTGATGAAAATTTGAATCAATCAAAGAGCTTACTAACTCATTTTTTAAATACCCAACATTCCCACACATCATTCTAGGTCTATCATAAGCTTGGGCGGGACGGGACTGAGGGGGTCAATAAGTGCTGCTGCACACATGTTTGGAAATCATGACTGTACGGTATGCCAGAGTATTGACATTAATATACCAAAGTTCCATCAAGAGTCTCGCCCAGGTTATGCCGTATTGCGTTAGGCTTTTGTCTGACGAATGTCGCTCAATGCAAGAGGGCGACGTCCAGTAGCAGGTGGCATCCATTGCACAGCGGGTGTACGGCTTGTTATATATATAAACCGGTTACACGCTAGAGTGATTTCAGTTGTTCTGCATTTTGAACAGTTTCTGATCCAGTTGCTTGACGGCTGTAATATTGATTCCCGCCAACGACATAGCTACTGAAAAACGTCACAGAAGCAGAGTGACTCATCACGTACTATTTTGTATCCGATCTTCTGCAAGTCAAGGTGTATTTCGAGACAGAGATGCGATATAAAGCGTTGTAGCTCAGGTGGATGTGTCAGGAAAATTGCCGATTCTCAGAGGCTTATGCACCGTTGGTATATATCAATGTTATTAGACTATGTGACGGTATACCTCTCATGATATTGCGTGCATGGGGACACAAATATAATATGCAGTTTTTCCGTATAATACGCACTGTCTTGTAGGTAACCCTTGTCAACCTCAAATATCATAGAGCATATGAGCTAACCCTTATCGTCAGATAATGGGAACATATATTGGTCCAAATCAATGCTGAGCTCCTAATCTGCTGTGTTTCAAATCAACAGTGGAGCTAATGAAGCTAAAGGAGCATGCAGTTATCTCGAACATTCTATGAAAAGTGGGATATATGTTTACAAACAGTCAATATTACAATGACGGACTTCTTCCATGTGCGCCCCGTGAGGGGCGTTACATTTCTGTGGAAGTACTGATCGGTGAGATTGCTACATCTGATGGATCTCAAAATATGTATATGCATTGACGAATGTATTGGCTCATTTTTTTTATTTCCTTTAACGCATCGCGTATGAACCAAGTCGGCCCGCCCACCGTTCCAAAACTCTTCCCGTCACGGCAGCACACTGTATGTGGTCAACATCGTTGATATTCCATAGGACTTAGTATGATGAAAAGGAGCCGCTCTTTGCATCGGTAGCACGTCATCTTGAATACACGACGGTGCAGTGCAGGAGAGGATGTCTTTCTATAACTAAATAAGACTTGGGGTAAATTCAATGTGATGTATGACTTGCATACCCATGTATTGGCCATTGAGGAGATAAGACTTTATGAGCAGGTAAAGAGAAAGTCTCTGAATCTTGTATAACTTGGGGATCTCAACGCGATTCGTATTATTACCATAAAAAGTATTTTTAGCCGTTTCGAGATTTCGCAGCCAATTCTTTCAAGAAACGGAGTTGGCTTACTTTTCAAACTATCGCTGGTACTTCCGTAATACGGTTATTCGACTTTAAAGACATTCGAAACATATTGTAGGCGCGAATCAGCATTGCCCTGAGTGTGACAGATTTCTCTGTTTGGATATGAGAAACATGATTCATGAAGCAACTGTAGGCGTATTTGCGCTGTTTCGGCTTTGTTCGCTTTAACCGTGTTGTTAATGGGATTCTGCCCAAATACTATCGAAAGGGTGGTCCGGCCCTTATGTAAAGTATTCTCGCACATCACTAGCGCCGGATCTACTCTTGGGATCAACAATTCGAAGTTGTAAACGGGAAACCGAAGCTATGGTGGATCAGATTTCTCGGCTGACTCTTGATGCATCGATCTTGTTATTTATCGGATGACCTAGACTGATCATCTGTAAGCAAAGGCAGCGCATGTAAAAGAGCATGCCTAGATTAGAACGCATGGAAACGGTTATGCTTTTCGGGTTAGTTATTTAAGTTGGTGATTTCGAGCCTAGTATTTGATTTTGCTCACGGTATGTTATTGAATGCGTAAGTTATATGTACAAATGATAGGTGATAGGTAACAAAAATGATACTAAGAGGATGAGGTGATGAAATATGAAAGGGAGATGAGATACGCAAATCAGCCATTTACGCCCATTTGCCAAGAAGGGCCATAAGGCCTGCACCTGCATACATAGCCAGGAAACTAATGGCTTTGCGTCCCAAAGAAGAGCGTCGGAAAGCCTCGTTTTGGTTGATTTCAAGGCTCATAAGTGAAACATAGCCATTGTACAACAAAATACCGGCAGATAAGGAATCAAGAATTGCACTGGCGAGAATGGACGAAGAGGAATTAGGGTTGAAGGATGAATGGATACCAATACCGATGGCTGCACCAAGAGGAGTCATAATGGTGAAAACAGTTCCCATAATGAAAGGTTTTTTCCAGTTGCACGCATGCATGTCGTTGACCCTTGTTCCCAATGCGACGCCTTCGAAAAACTGCGAGAATTATTGGTAAATTGAGTTTTTGCTGACATTGTAACATGACTTGTTGATTTATAATTTACCTGATGAAACACAATGGCGATAAGAAGCGTAACAAATTCCTCTTGGCCTGTGTTGGATAAAGTGATGCCGATGATGATAGAATGCATGACGATACCCAGTTCAAGAACAAGGGTACCGATGTTTTTAATTGATTGATCTCCCTCCAAGAGCCCGGCGCTATGCACATGGCCGACATGTTGTGGAGTCTCTTCGACGTTGGCGGCTGCAGCGGTAGACAAGGAGGATTCGGAAGCGACGGAGGCATAGCTGGCTTTTTCAAGGTCCATTTGCGGACTCGCTAACGCTTTTTTAGCTCGAACTCGTTCGACATTGGCGATGGCGGCTAACTCCAAAAGTTGCAAGGCAAACGATGCGAGCATGCAGAATACACCGGCAAATGCTGAATACGATTTCCATCCGGCGCTCAAACAGGGACTCTCGAAATTTTCCAAAGCCTCGGGAAGCATATGAACAAACGCTGTGGCAAGAATGACACCCGTACCGAAAAATCGTCCAAACGTCAAAACCCAATCGCGGATCGATCCTTTGCTGTAAGGGCTGATACGATGAAGTATCATGGGTGCAAAGACACCAATAGCGCTCGTAGCGAGGATAATGAAAATCGCGCCGATACGTAATGGCATATTATAATCCTGAATCTGTTCAGCCGAGCACTCGGCTCCTTCCTCACTGTCGGGAGCGAGCTCTTGAGCTTTCACGATTCCATTCCATACAAAAAATAATAGCCATGACCACTTCAAAGAGACCATGATCGACAGCGCAACAATAATAAATAAAGAAAAGGTATATAAAGTGGGGAGAAGAAAGTGCAAGGGAGAGTAATAAAGAAAGCCGGTAGTGCAAACGGCGGTCTTTTTTTAATGAAGCTGCCAACGTGCGTTTCAAAAATGTACCCTCTCGGTCATGAACCCATGATCCAATCAGAGAAAAAAATTTCTCAAAAATTTTTGGAAGCGAGTCACATCCTGATTTCTTCTAAGCGTTATCAATTTACTTTTCCCGAACATGATGCAACCCTGAGCATAAATTCAGTGGTTTGCCTCAAACAATAACGACAATGATGATATAGTATTGACACATCCACTACGCTTGAACAGGGATTGTAGAAGGATGTCTCCTTTTTTCCAGCTGATACTCTATTGTTATGTATATTGTTATTAAACCTTGGTGTCGCATGACAAACCCTGTTGGCAAGTTGCAGTGAATGATACACATTGAGTCGGAGAGCGTTTCTTGAAAACCTCTAAATTTTTTTTTCTCCAAGGAACCAACTCCGAGAATAAAAGATTCACAGCTCGTGCACGTCCAATGCTTCCCTTTCAAAAATCGATCCACTTTTCCCGTGCGCGGCACTTGAAAAAGAGTACTCCAGTGCAACAAAAAGAAAATTTCATTCTTGATCAGAATCAGATGTCGTCAAGAGCCAATGGCAAAGTCACAAGTGACAACAAATAGTAGTCGTTGTAACTAGAATGTCTTTGCGCTTCATGGTCCGTCAAAGTGTTGCACAAGACTCAACTGCATCAGTTGCTGCACGACAAATCGAAACTCATATGGTGCAGTACCAAAGATATGCCCTCCAATATACGACGAAACCTTTTTATAAAAAGCGTAGAAATCGACAGTCGCCCGCCAAAGACCGTGAGCGAGCTTTAATCTATATTGTCGACAGAATATGGATGTCCGGAAACAACTAATGAAGCAAGATGCCGAAGCGGCACTTTGCCAATATTTTGGAAAGCCTTTGTAGTCTGTAGATGTTATCAAAGAGTTCAAGGTCCGATAACGCCTTGATTGGATGCTTAAGCAGGCCTTCGTCGAGATGGCCTTTGGAAAAGTCTTTGCCCTATTGATGATTACTCGGTTTCATATCGACATGAAACGCAGTCATGATGTGGATCATCTGCAATTGTTATAGCATCACAACTCAGAGCTAGAGCAACACAAAATTAAGGAGCGACATTGACAGTGTGGTATTTACCTAAGTGCAGATTGAGAGCATCCTGCCAAAGAAAAGAATAACTTATTAATACAAAAGAGGGACTGAGTGGTAAAAGAGAACGACTCGATTCATGAAGTCGTGGACATCTTCAAGTGTATTTGAGAAAATGAATGTATATGTTTATCATCACGTCCGTTTGAACTCAAATGTGTAAAGGTAAATCGCGTTAGTTTTTGGAAAGCCAGCAATGTAATGACAACATTAAGGAGTCCCTCTCTCACCATAAGAACGTTGGATATTATTTAAGCAAGTCTTGAGGCCTACATACTTACCTAGTCAATGCTGTAGAACTACAATGACACCAATACAATGGGTACGATTGTCATCGATATATATTTGTAGTCTAAGAGAATAATGAATGCCACCCTTTTTCCTTCTGCACTTGAATACGGTACGTGATTACGGTACGTACAATGCCGAAGGTGTTGCTTTTTCTTTCATTTTGAAGACTGGATATATGACAATGTCATTATCATGCATCATTTCAAAAAGATAAAACGATAAAAATCATTTTTCTTCCATGAAGGGGAATCGTGTCCGTATCATTTATTGCGTGAGACCGTCGTGAGTAACTTTTTCCACCTGTGGGTTGTATGAATCAAAGAATAGATTGTTTTTCAACATGAATTTGTTAACCATAATATATAAGATATTAAGGACGAACAGGATTGATCAAGGATTGTCTGCGAGAACTTATGACCCCGCTGACGAATGGTCCTTTATCAGCAATGAGATCCACTGACGCAACTCTATATTATCCACAGCATATGTTTGGCAATAATAAAAAAGGGAGAAAATGTGTTTTAAATTCATCAAAGATAGAAGCGGCAGTTTTCGAGCAATCGAAAAAAAAGGAAAAAAAGGAGACTACTTGGTGCCCGTGCAGGGCAAGAGAAAAAGTGAGTACGATTTGGGTTCATGTTTCAAATGACATCATTTGGCCAAGAGAATGTTTGCACGACATCGAATTAGAGAAATGCACAACTTCCACTTTCTGGAAACTAACAAGCCACTACCGAGGATGTTACATTGGCTTGTTTAAGGTTTTCTTCAATCAAGGATACTGCGCCGTCATTGTACCTTTTATTTATGTTGCACAAAACCAAGACTCTTTTTGGCTTCCACTTGATTTTCTCCATTCAAGAATGACAGTCGTTGCCCAGCAAGGTGATGTAACTATGAACAGCAGTGGAGTATCATGCATCCGTGTGTCTAAAAGGTTTAACATGTGAGATATCTAGAGAAACTTACAAATGTGATAGAAGTGCAATATCGAATGACGTCCTGAATTGACAAAAACGATGTAGATGGATGCAAAGTGAACTTTTTGTGTAGGCTGTGAAATACATAACAGATATTTGTCACCTGTGCTCTCCGCTTGGATTTTCAGCAACTCAATTTGCCAAGCCAAGTTGAATAATTTCCCACAGCAAGGCCTGTCGCCAAAATGTGTCCTATTTTCCCTTCACAGCCACGTTGATGAGCAAGGGATAGCGAGTTCGGGCCATGTTTACAATGACTTGTGTTCTGAGTTATCGACCGAAAATGTGGTTTTATTTTCGAAACCCATAGTCCATCCTTCTTCTTTTCAGGGAGCCAGTGCTCGAGGTTGGACATTATTTTTTTTTTTTTAATTTGCGCGCCATACCCAGAAAGAGTAAAAAAAGATTTCTGAATCACTATCAGGATGGTGATCGGTGACAAGAAATCCTGGACGACCGAATCCCGGTATGGGTTTCTGCCATTTCTGTAAACCCCCAACAGGTAAACCCGGATATTGTTTTGTCACGAACAAGCCATCAATAAACATGGTCGTCGTCATCATCTTCATCCTCAAGCATGCTGATCACTTGGTTATGTGTCATAGAAATACGATCATGTGCGATTCGATGAAAAAGTCTATTGGCAATAAAGTGGGTGGCATGCTGCTTCGTCCGGCGCTCTAATTTCGTGTGATTTTGACTGCGCGACGAAAAAGGCGTAGTTTCAAAATGCCCGGAGCGTGGTGACCGCGTCGTTTGTGCCATTGGACGGAAGGTCAAGCCACTTGCTATTCGAGGTGAGGCATTTTTTCCAAGATTAGGTGCGCCCACCAATTTTTTTTTTATAATTTTTTTTTTTTATTTTGAAACTTAAAAGGGAGACGTGTATAAAAAGGTTCGGTAAAGATAACGAGGGGTTGGGAGTGAAAAAAAAAAAAAAATACGTCTGTCCAGGGGCTGACAAAAAACTCGGATCCCCAGGTTAAAACACGCAACACATAAAAAAGCGCGAAAAAAAAGAAAGAGGGCAAGGGAAAAGAAAACACCTCAATATAACACTTTTTGTACTAAATTGCACTTCCTTGTATTCATATCCCGTCGACATTCCTACATTTGTACGCACCGGTGAAGCGATATCTATATTATCCTATTTCTCTCCCTCTTTTTATTTTTTTTTTTATTTTTTTTATTTCTGCTTCTTTCTCCAACTTACACATGTCTTTATAATTCATCATGGCTCATCATCCTCTCCTATCCTCCGTCGATATTTGGCTCCCTCATAAGAACGCCAGTCAAGCCATCATCAAAGACGTTGCTCATCAACTTGCCAGCGCCTCCACCACCAACGCATCTATTAATAACCCTCACTACTGCACAAACATTACATCAACCCCTCCATCCAGTCTTCTTACACGTGGAGCTTCCGCTAATCGACGCTTCTCCTCATCCACCACCAACTCATATTCAAGCAGTATGGTAGATTCTGCCTATATCAGTCCCACGTCCACCCTGGATAGTAGTCAGTCCAGTCAGAAAAACAGTATACGGAAAAAAAACTGGTTCTCTAGACGCCCGCTAAAACAGTCATCGCCACCAGCACAAGCACCGGCACCGGTCGACACCGATTTTAGGCCCCCTTCACCCATCAAATCCTCAACGGCAACTCCCGTCACACCACAAACCCTTTCATCTGAATCCGCTTCCTCACTGCCCCGTCGCCACCGTGCCGATACTGCCAGTCTCAAAGAATACGGTGAATGTTATCGTCGCTTAGGCGAAGGCACGACCGCGGTGGTCATGGTGGTCCGGAAACTGGGCGACGACGGTCGAAGCGAGAAACTTTATGCGATAAAACAATTTCGCAAACGTCAAAAGTCCGAATCCGAAAAAGAATACATGAAGAAACTCACAAGCGAGTTTTGTATTTCATCCACATTTCACCATGGCAATGTCATTGAAACTATTGATCTAGTTTTAGATGACCGTAAACGTTACTGCACGGTCATGGAATACGTAGGTGTCTCCCCCCTAACTGCGTTTATATGCCCGTTCGTTTAGTAATCTTTTTGCTCTCTCTTTTTTTTTTATTTCTTTTTCTATCGCTTTTCAGTGTCCTGGCGGTGATCTGTTTTCATGTATTATGTCTGAACGCATGACGGAGCGCGAAAAGGCTTGCTGTTTCAAGCAAATAATGCAGGGTCTGGCTTACCTTCACTCGGTCGGAGTCGCTCATCGAGATATCAAACCTGAGAATTTATTGTTAACCCAAGATGGTCAAGTGAAAATCACTGATTTTGGCGTGTCTGATGTGTTTCGTTTTCCATGGGAATCTCAAGGTCATAAAAGTCGCGGTCTCGTTGGCTCTGAACCTTACATTGCGCCGGAAGCTTTTGAACAAAAGGAATATTCGGGTGCGGCCGCTGATGTATGGTCTGCAGGTGTGGTGCTCTATTGTATCTGGCTCGGTGGACTCGCCTGGCATAAAGCCAAGAAATCCGACACTGCCTATGCCACCTATGTCCGCGTGTATCCCAGTCGAACTTTTGAGCTTTTCAAAAAGTTTCCCATGAATGCCAAACAACTCATCTACAAAATGCTTGATCCTCACCCTGAGACGCGAATATCCGCCCAAGACGTTCTCAACGAACCCTGGGTAAAATCCATCCTGGTCTGTCACGACGGTCTTGACAGTAGCGGGCAACGCCATCATCATACCTCCGCCACCCTGGCTTCACGCAAACGCTAGAAAAAGATACTGTTTTCTTCATATCCCTTGCATCAGTTACCATATATTTTTTCGCTAGACCTCGTCTACTTTTCACTTCTCCTTTTCTTCCCTCATCTTTTTCTCTTCGTCGTCATGTACAGTATACCCATTAACCTTTTTTCGTGTAATCATAGCTAACCAAAAAAAGAAGAAAGGAGAAATCAATTGAAAGAAGAAGGTCCCACCGGCTGTGAAAATGACATTCATTCGCTATCCTGCTGACTTGTTTAGTACAAAAAGTGATCAAGAACTGTTTATTTTCTGGGTTTGGTGAATGCATCATGACCGTGGTGGTTGGGAACCAATTTAGGGCAATCGTGACGCTAGATAACTGTGTATGCCAAACGGAGGCAAGGATATATTAATTGGTTTGCCCATTGTTTTGTAGAGTGATGCATCCTGCACATTCAATAGAATTTCTCGATTCATTCTTTGTGCCTTCAAAAGGCAGTATGCCCGTCTCCCCACAGTTTTGCATCTCAAAAGGGTCATTCCCTGCACAATAACGCTATGCACACAGGCACTTGTACATACTATATTTTCATGGATACATGTTGGATTTAATGCACGTGAAACCCCAGAACAAAAACGACAACGGTTGGCAACGTGGTTGGTTGTATGTGAGAAAACAGGAAAGAGAAGGAGAAAATGTTATTTATGTTATTTATGAACAGTATCTTGATATCCGGTTCCGGCGTCCCAGTTACTTAGCGATGGATCTTCCACATCCCCTTGGGCCTTTTTAATTGGGTTGGATGTCTCGTCATTGATGGCTGGATCAATAGGTCGAACTTGGTCTTCTTTTGTCAACGAAGACGATACATCGCTCCACGGAGAGTCGGTGAAAGATGTATTTTCTGGAGTGCTCATGCTCGGATCTTCGTTTACCAAGTTGGGAACCTTGTTCAAATTCTCGAGTTTTGGTTTTCCGGGATCCATAGTTATCAGTTATCAATAGTAGGGTATGGGGACAAGTCACTGATGTGCAAATTATCGACATTTTATAATGGGGGGGGGGATTTCCAGAGTCATTCAAAGACCGCGTACTGACCGACGACGCTGCAATGATGCAACAGTGGTTTCATTTGTCCCAGAAAATTTGCCGATACCTCTATACATTTTATCTCTGTGCTCAAGAGCAATCTATGTGAAGTACATCATCATCAGCAACGGGAAATGACTGAAAAGCTTTTCACAGTGCTCAAATCCAATCTGCAGTGTTTACCTGTACTCTACAATTGTGCAATATTTCCATTGGCAATAGGTCATATGCGCAATTGGACACAAATTTTTGATGGCACTTTTCCCAAGTCGGCAGCTGATAACGTATCTATTCAAGTCTGCTTCCGATCGTGAGTAATCCGAGTAAACCATTAATCGCGGATGTCTTATTTCCAATGGCGTTTTTGTTAATTTAATTAGATAACCGAGCAAATCGAGAAAATAGGTTCATAAATTATACCAACAAGCAGTTTTTAGATTGAGAGTGAGGATATTTATTCAGAACTGCCAACAGATGTTACAATGGCATATACAGACTATTACCATGGAAACTTGGCATGAATTGTTTTCATTCGATGCCATAAATCAGATCTCCATGACAACCGATAAATGATGGCAATGAAAGAAATTCGTTTTTATGACCCTATGACACAGCTTGTAGCAAGGCTGTACGGCTCCATGTATGCTTGTTTCGTAATATCAGGTGATGCAGACATGATTATAACCACGCTCTGACAAACTATAGTTTATCGAGAACTGCCCTTGCAAACCATGGCAACGAGATTTGTGATTATTCGCGAAAATATGGAAGATCAGCGGGATCAGCGTCAAGTTGAAGCACAGTTTGTTTTGCGGTCACTGATTGTATTCCGTCGTTTTTCCACTCGACGATTCGGTTCTTAAACGCAGTTTCACTTGTTCAAATATGCTATTTGGCAGCCCATCCCGGAATGGGGTGGACAAGACTCCCATATATACGAAACGAAAGCATTACCGTCAGTCGTTTCACGCTAATCACATTACAGACCGACTACAACTAGCGCGACTAGATCGCGCACCGCGGATTATATTACTCCTTGCCGGTGTTATCTTAGTGTGCATGCTACTACGAAGCTCGGTTTCTTCCACTGCATCTTATCGACAATTGCGTGACCAGCCTACATATAACACAGAGCTTTCACTGTGTAAAGCCCGACTTTGTAACCCTGCACAAAAGTGTTCAACATGGACACCAGGCCATTACACGTGGTCCGAGTTGGCGGAACAAAACCTGTATCGTGATGTTGCTACGATTGATGTCGATGTCGGTTGCGATTTACGAATAAAGGTGCAAAGCGAAGATCCTCGTTTAGCGATGGATGATGTGGAGTGGATGACGGTGGTAAACCAAGTGGATTGTCTGGGTGGAAAACAGTGCCGCAACCTGATCGAAATGGATCTTCGAGCGGATATCTATGCTTTGGCGTCCCAGTTCAAACACACACCATCTGGTAACGATTTGGATGATACCTGACGTTTTCGTGACAATGGATTAAACCTTTTATTTTCTGTACTTGTCCTTTTTGCGCCACTGATTTTGCCACAGATCAAGAAACCGTGATATCGCACGCTATTCCATCGTCTGTCGCCGACGATATCACTTTAATATCTCAATTTTCTGTTAATCGATTATCAGTATTCGCGGAAGTTATTAAGATTTGGGAAGGGCCTATCTCTATTGCAATGTAAGTAAGCAGTCAAAAGGTCCGCATGATCCAAAAACTGATCCTTTCGATGAACTCATTAACCTTAGCTACCTGACGGAGCCGGAAGATATCGATACGTTACAGTCGTTTTTCTCCAATGTCGAAAATAGGGATCTTTTTTCTCGTGTTAGTTTTACACTTCTCAAACCCGACTTTACGAACCTTGATCGACTACGGTACCCTATCAATCATTTGCGCAACCTTGCCATTTCGGCGGCGTCTACCGGTTTTATCTTTGTTTTCGACGCCGACTTTTTACCATCGGAAAATCTGTACAACTACGTGAGAAAGTTGTTACCGACCATGGATTCGAAAACTGCGCTTGTCGTGCCATGTTATGCTATCCGTGAATCATACCGTCATCTGCCATTCCCTCGCACCATAAACGATTTGCGTTCGCTGGTCGATCAGAATATAGCTTATATTACGGATCCCGGGGCCGGCCACGGTCCTACCTTGGCGAAAGAAATTGCGTTGGCTTCACCAATGAAACAATCAACCACAGGATACGAAGTATGCTTTGAATCTCAGTGGGAGCCGTATTACATTGTTCCCAAAGCTTCACCACTTTACGATGTCCGATTTCGCAACCAGGGCGGTGATAAACAATCACACGCACTTCAACTCAATGCTGAAGGCTATCGATTCATGGTGCTGCACCATGTGTTTATGATTCACAAAGATCACTCAAAAATGGTCTGGCCTGGCGGCGGTTTCGAGAAATCGCAAAAGGCGAAAAATCAATGGAACTATTTTAGCGAGTTCATGCAGGAAATGCAAGCAATCTACGGAAAGAACGTACGTTGGCCACGTGGATGTAGTGCACAAGCCGTGGGCTGGCAAGAACAACGAAGAAATATACTAGGTGTTGCTGCTGGTGCTGCATAAACTAGATATCCCTTTTGAATCGATTCATTTTTTTTATCAATGGTTGCTCTGTAGATTTGACCCTTTTACTTATTTGTCATACCGTTTAGATGCGCGACTGTATCATTTTGCCACATTTTATTAACGTATATCCCCCCCTGAAGCACCCAAAAACGCTTCGTTGTACAGTGCTTTATGTCCTAGTAAAAAACATTTCATCTGTCTTTAACATCACAGCAGGACATTGTAGACTAGTACATTTTTCTTTGTCTTCCGTTGCAAATCGCTTCTGCTCTGTCAAAGCCAGGTTCTCGCCTTGAAGCACAAAGTTATCTGTGTCTGAAAATCGTTGATAAATAGGAAGGGCCTGGGACCGAGACCCATTCAGGAAGGAAAATTAACTCCTTTGCAGAAAAAAAATTACCATTCAAGGTAAAAAATTTCGGAAAATGCGACTAGATCAAATCTTCCAAGAATTGCAGAAATATAATATGTCGTGAAGAATAGTGCATCATTATATTCTTTCTTTGTGTCTTTTTGTTTGCTTGATTGACCGTGCAGCCAGGTTACCGGACTGTGAATACCGTATTATGCAGCAAGGATTCAGGAACGGATACTGGGCGTCAATCTGGCGATAATTATGATGTTTCCTTCTTTAGCTAGTATCATCATTACTGGAATCAAATGCATGCAGTGAATGTAATTAATTGTGGACATTTACGGTGGTGCCCGATCCCGCCCCGTTGTAGAATGATATGACCTCGGATCAAATTACGAATCAAATAAGGTAAATTTGACAGAAGTGGCATCCGGGAAATATGTCCTTATTCACTCTTTTTGGCAAGTCGCTCGTAAAACTCCGTCACTGCCAACCTGGCAATGTTGTCTAATCCAGTGGCAACTAATTTAGCAACCCATCGCCGTGTAACCAGTCCAATTTATTTTTTCAAAGCTCCTTAAGCTTCATTGTATCCATTATATCCAAGGGTCTACAGCAAATCCGGGTACCTGCGCCAATGTCATTGTTCACAAAGTATAAAAGGACAACGTCTGGCAGACTCTGTTCAGTACTTTACTCATAGCAGGCTATTAGTACTCAAAAACTCATTTTCATCAATATGATTTCCTGTTTCTGGGCTTCCTCGTTGACGATCTTCCTAAGCATAATGATGCTATTGACTGGCACCCATGCTGCATCCGACGTTGTTCCTGGGAAACATTTCGACAGAGTGTTTATTGTGGTTTTTGAAAATCAAGATTATAAAACAGCCGCCAAAGACAAATTCATGTCCTCGCTCGCTGATCGCTACAACGGTGTCACTCTGACCAACTACCTTGCAACAACTCATCCGTCGCAACCCAACTATGTAAGCAAGACAAGCTTTTCAAGAATCTACAGAATGTCCCATTAAAACTCTTTTTTTTTTGTGGCTGCTGATAGATCGCCATGATCAGTGGTTCAACCGATGGTACCAATGAGGATGATGAGTCTAATATCAAGCGAAAGACGATTGTCGATCTGTTGGAGAAGAAGGACATCTCGTGGACAACCTACCAAGAAGACTATCCTGGGCATTGCAATAAGGAAACCGACATCAAAAACTATGCACGCAAACATAACCCTTTCATGTCTTTCACCAATATCTCGGGCAACAAAAAGCGATGTGCCAAGATCGTCAATAGCAAGCAATTGGATAAAGATATCGCGAACAATGCTGTGCCTCAATTTGCGTTCTACACACCGGACGTAAGTAACACAAAAGAGGTCATTGACCACCGACGCTGATTGGCTGATTTGTTTTGTCGTTTCTAGTTGATGAATGATGCCCATGATTCGAGTATGAGTTATGCTTCTCGATGGTTTAAAAAGTTTTTGCAGAAGCGCATCAATAATCCTGCTTTCAGCAAAAACACCATGTTTGTTGCCACCTTTGATGAAGACGATGGAGGTAGCGATGACAACAAAGTTTATACAGTATTGTTCGGCCCCGATTTCCATCGCTCATCCTCCAAGCGGAAAGACAATAAGCGATACAACCACTATTCGTTGCTGCGCACCATTGAAGATAACGTAAGTATTCATAAATCTGTTGTTTTTTTCATAAACATTTGATCAGAGGCTAATTTGAGCAATGTTTTCAAGTGGGATCTGGGTGACCTTGGACAACACGATAAGAAAGCAGTTCCAATCAAATTATAGATTATTTTTTCCCACAAAAATAGATACCCGTGTTCGTCAGCTGTGCTGATCGTGGTTGTTCTCATTATAGAGAAGAAGATTAAAATATTTTGATTTGTCGTTGTCTTCATTTCCTACTTTTTTTTCAGTCATCCATAACCGTCGTTACATCTGATATTATCATATTGAATCAGATTTATGTTAGAATGATTACTTTGAACCGTGCGAACATGCCAATGTACGCACCGAGACTTCGTATTCAATGGCCGTTTCTCCACGAACTCTTTTAGAACAGCGTCTGGTCTACAGGAATTGAGCATACAATAAGAGTCTTCTTTTACTTCAGCCATTTATTGAGATGTCTCATCGCAAACGAAGAGACAAGTTGCTGTAGAGGGTGATAAGTGATTCCATGTGTGCTGAGAAAAAAAGTCATTCTACAAGAGACATGCTGGAAGTAGCAGAAATTGTGCGACAAGGTGGTGATTCTTGAGCACAGCGATGTTAGTTGAGTAATTCACAACAACTCGCCCTCAAGAATACTCTTAAAAAATGATCCCTTCAATAATGTACACAAAAAGGATCGTACGATACTGCAATGGGTCTGCAATAACAGGGAACACGGCAGTGTGACCATTACCTGGACCAGTCATTGCCTGTTGCCGCTAGTCACTGGCTATCGTGATACCATAAAAGAGGACAATGCTTCGATTATAATTCTGTCGTTGCCAACCATCATCACATGGGGGTTGCAATTTTTAAAAACACAAAAAAGCTGGAAACTTTAAAAAGCGGGTTATGTGTGACAAATCCACGTGGAAAGTTACCCAGCCAAGAATGATTGGCGCTGACATGATAGTGAATGTACAGAAAGAAGGATAGATAATAGTCTAGTCGGAATCTTCTGCCATGTATTCCTTGCTTGTATTTCTTTAAAATTTTTAACCGTAAAATGCAAACAGGTGCTGGTTTGATCATGATATCAAACGGCCGGATTCTTTTGTCCATTTGCATCCCAGCCGTATAAATAAACTGGCCCATCCTCTTTAAGAGAATAGTTTGACTCATTCAAAGTGTCGATAAAATGTCGAAACAGCACTATGAGTAATTTTTTGATCCGGGGTTCAACGATCTCACTGATATGGCAACAAAAAGCGTCTGTATCACTCCTGTGTCACTGACCTCATGTTCAAGTGGACCCTCCAGAAAGTATCTAATTCAATACCCGACAATTATTTTTGTCAGCAGAGATACTTGTGGGCCTTATTCGATGAAGGCAATGTGAGGTGAACGATCACCAATGTCTTAATGTGTAGCAGCTTGATTATAGATTGCAATTTGCTAAAGTATAGTTCTGTTCTGGTAAGCATAATAGTGGCAGTTTTGGGACGGACGGTGTGGCGGATGAAAGTGTGCCTTTTCTCACTTCTCCGCAGCCCTATGGCAAAACCGATCATCCAGGTTGCTCGGGGGTTCGGCAGTTGAAAATCGAATAAAAGAGAACAAGTTTATGATCCTGCAACAACGGTTTCACATACATTTTTTTCTTCTTCTCTAAATATTATGGCCCAATCAATACCATTAATCGTCGCATTGAAAAATGCATCAAACGTCGCCGAAGAAGGTCATATTATACAAGTGGGTAATGGTGCCAGCATCGATACTGTGAAAAGTTTGGCCGCCGAAAAACTCGCTACTTCGGCTCCTCTTGCCGATATTACCCTGGAAGACGCTTGCGGCAATCGTTTAACGGAAATCGACGCCGTCCGCAGTCAACAAGTCGTCTACCTATCTTTGAAAGAACAGATCAAGGATGTCATTCCCGGACCACGCAAGTTACCGTATGTCGGTAATCTTTACGATTTGGCTCCTGATTTGTAAGTCGAAAGAGTAATTTGCGTCGCGCTTTGTTCATCGACTGGGGAAACTCATGCACTTTCCCTATATGTAGCACGGCCGGCTGGATGCGCCTCTTCAAGACCTATGGTCCCATAGTTGATGTCAGCATCATTGGAAAACGAGTGATTGGCGTCAATGATCCCGCCATCGTCGAGCTGGTAGTCAAGGAATCAGAATACTTTACAAAGAAAATCACAAGCGCGTTGGTGGAAATCAAGGAATTCGCTGGACAAGGTCTTTTCACCACCGACACAGACGATGAGGATTGGGTTCTTGCACATAAGCTTTTGATGCCGGCATTCAGCCCGCGCGCAATCAAGGTAAAAATCCGTCAGTTACTTCCACAAAAAAGGGACTAAAGAAGGGACCACCCCATATTCACGTGTAATTTTGGTTTATATTTGTTGCCAGGCTTATCAACACGAAATGGGAAAAATTACAGAGCAAACCATTGGGATTCTTGAACAATATTCACCAGAAGAAAAAGTCGAGATCTTGGACTGGGCCACCAATCTCACCTTTGAAACCATCGGCCGTATAGGGTTTGGTTACTCGTTTAATCTACTGGAGAATCGCGATGCTCCTGCCCATCCATTTATACAAGCCATGAGTTACTGTCTTAAGCACAGTATCACCCGATTTCAGCAGGCCCAATTCATGAAATTATTGCCTATCGAGGCCAACCGACGTTATGACCAATCGGTGCAGTTGATGCGCGACGTGGTTGCGGAAGTCATTCAAGAGCGCAAGAAGAGTAGCGATGCCAACGATATGCACAAAGATCTTTTAGGTTTCATGCTGAATGCACGAGACGATAATGATCACGGTCTATCGGATGAAAATATCCGCGATCAAGTAGTGACGTTTTTGATTGCCGGTCATGACACAACAGCCAATACTTTGGCATGGACATTATATGAGTTTGCTCGCAACCCAGAGATTGAAGCTAAAGTACTTCAGGAAATTGTCGATTCCGGGATCCGCCACGATACTATGCCGACCTCGGAACAGATCAGCAGCCTCAAATATCTGCATCAGTGTTTAAAGGAAACGTTACGTATGCATCCACCCGTGAGAAACTTGAACAAGTATTGCCAGAAGGACTGTATCGTACCTGGCGGTTATCGTATTAAGGCCGGATCAGCCGTGAGCGTCAATCTGTATTCAATGCACTACAACGATAAGATCTACCCTGATCCTGAACGTTACGATCCGAATCGATTCTCCCCCGAAGAAGAACAAAAGCGTTCCCGTTTTGCGTGGTTACCCTTCAGCACAGGCCCTCGCGCATGTATTGGCATGGCATTTGCTCTCCAAGAGGCTAAAACCGTGTTATCCATGTTTTTGCACAAATTCAAGTTCAAATACGGTAAGTGTGAAAGAACTGTTGGATTTGGAATCAGTCAGCTGACGATGTATCGGCTGTAACAGACGGTCCACCTGTGAGATATGATCCCAAGCAAGCCACTACAAAGCCTTTGGATTTGTTCATGACCATCCATCCCCGTACCGATCTACCCGAAGTGTCAAGCAAAGCAGCCAATATGAAGGCCAATTCAAAGAAATCACCTGAAAAAGGTTTGCCGGAATTGGCCGAGCCTACGAAAATGGGATCTACCGAGTTACCGCCGATCACTTTCCTCTTCGGCACACAGACCGGTACGGCTCAGGATTATGCTTCGCAGCTGGCTGGTCAAGCGAAACGGTTCGGATTCCCAACCATTACCATGTGCGAAATGGACCGATGGAATACTTTGCAGAGCATCAAGCTGAACAACAGCCAGAGTGATTCAAAGTTGCCGACCGAACTTGTCGTCATTTGCACGGCCACCTACAACGGTCAACCCCCCGATTCCGGTGAGCACTTTGACAAGTTCCTGGACAAGGCCAAAGAGACGGGTAACTCGACATTAATGAATGGGATCAAGTATGCCGTTTTTGGTCTCGGCAATAAACAGTGGCGTACCTATCAACGCTATCCGATGAAGATTGATGCTTACCTGGAAGACCTTGGCGCCGAGCGGTTCTTCACAGCAGGTCAGGGTAATGCGGACGAAGACATGGATGCCGAATTCAACGATTGGTGTGCTCATTTCTGGACACATGCTTTGAGCTATTTCGGACTTGCTATTACGCAAGGATCCTCCGTTGTCCCCTCGGCTAGTGGAAAACCTGGAGATCGCTTGCCCGCCAAAATTCACTACATTGCCCCGAGCGACAAGGAAAAATGGTCCATTGCCGGTCACAACATGAACGGAGAGCATAATGTAAAGGTGCTGGCCAATATCGAACTGCAGCATCAAGACGAACACAACAAGCGCAGCACGCGTCATATCGAATTGGATGTGTCATCATTAACGCCGTTGCATGAAGGTCGGCCGTACCAAGCCGGCGATCATCTGGAAGTGATGCCGCAAAATAGTGCCGAGACCGTGGAAGCCATTGCTCTTGGGTTTGGACTTGTGCTGGATTCGGTCTTTGAGGTCGATCCGGAAACTTACGAATACGTTTCTCCCCGATCCATGGCCGCGGCCATCAAAGGTCCTTGTACCGTACGCAACGCATTGACTTATTATGCCGATTTATCGTCGCCTCCGTCACGTCGTCTCCTGGGTCATTTTGCTTCGCAATTACGTAAAGCAGCGCCAGAGACTGCGGATGTATTTGATCGTTTGACCATGCCAGACGCCAATAACGTGGACCGATATCCCGAATTTATCAATCAGCATCGAACCTTGCTCGATTTACAAAAAGCGTATCCTCAGGTGAAACAGTTGGATTTCGGTCAATTGCTGGCGGCGGTTGGCGTCATTCAACCGCGCCGTTACTCAATTGCCTGTTCTCCCTTGGAACATCCTGACAAAGCCCATCTTACGGTGGGTGTGGTAGATGACGTGGTCCATGGCAAACACTATCCTGGTCTCGCTTCGTCGTTCCTGGCTCGCATGCAAACCGACCAAGGGGGTGAACATGCACCTGTTTTCCGAGCACAATTCAAATCATCCAAGAGTTCCTTTGCATTACCGGCCGATATCCGGACACCCTTGATCATGATTGCAGCTGGCACCGGGTTATCACCGTTCCGAGGTTTCCTGCAAGAGCGGGCTTACCAGCGGAAGCAGGGTCAAGATGTTGGTGAATGTTTACTTTTCTTTGGTTGCCGAAGGGCTGATCAGGACTACATTTATCGCCAAGAATTGGAGCAGTGGGCCAAGGAGGGGGTTGTCACGATTCACAATGCATTTTCACGCGCATTGCCGACACCTCCACGCAAGTATGTCCAGCATCAAATTCTAGCCAAGGCGGCCGATGTCTGGCGGTTATTGGTGCCCAATGACGCTATGCAGACACCTGCATCAGTATATGTTTGTGGCAGCGGTGCCCTGAGTCGGGATGTTCGTTCTACCTTTTGCACCCTGTCCAAAAGCTTCGCGACGGTCGAAACCGACGAAGAAGCCGACCAATACTTGCAACGACTCATGGACGAGAACCGCTACAACGAAGATGTTTGGGGATAAAGAAAAGTGATTGTAACTTCCATATCAAATAGAAAAAAGCTATTATACCGATTCTTGGGTTTGCGTGATGCTTACAGTATGTCCGTTACACGGCTTTTCCAGAAAAAGACCCAAGAGGTCAAAACATACAGCCAAAGTGCAAAAAAAAAGTATCTTGTGTCACGTCATGCTGTGCAATGATGAAAACGGCAGCAGCACGATGATTTATGCATGTTCCTGCAAACATATATATAAAAGCTTCGAAATGAAGGGAAATGTTTGTAAACAATCACCTCTATCCTGCATATTATGCATCCTACCCAATACGCTTCATTACTTTTCTGCTTCCTTGCAGTCTTTGTCAACCTTTCGTATCAACAAAGGCCCGGACTCCCTAGTGGCAAAGACATGGATTTTCCTGATTGTCCGCCAAATTGCGACTGCATGATAATCACGGATCCTACTACAGGTCAACCAGTGGCCGTGTGTGTTGGTTACGGAGATAATCTTTCCAAAGGCGAACCAGCAGCTTCTCCATCGAAACGTCGTTTTGCCCTTGCTCGCCGTGATTCTCCAGTGCCAGAGACACCCGATGCCTCAGCCGATTTCCCAGAGAGTGTATACTCTGAGCATCACGACGACCGTTCGTCTCATAACGACGATAATCACATGTCCTCATCAAACTATCGACCTTCCCACTCAGATAACTCAAGACATTCATCTGCTTCCGTCATAGAGTTCCCCCGAATTGTTTATCTCCTTCCTGTAATGCTGGCGATGCTAGTGCTTTAGTTATCGTAGAATCTAGTTGTAATACGGAACCAGAATAATATAATCTTAATTTGAACAGAGTTCAGATATGAGAAGCATGCCACACGTCGGGCGTGCAATTCACAGCGGACTATATAAGTGTGCGTTTTATCGTTTCTCTTGCCTCTCTCTCTGGTTTTTCAGGTTACAGAAAGTGTCATGGAATAGAGTTTCAAGGGTTATGAAAAATATAGCTTGCATAACCGGTTGTCAAAAATTTTCTAGTGCCCAAATGCTCTTTTTTGATTGTTCGATTGATTACAAAAAGCAGTCAAATGAGATTGTCACAAAGGGAAAGAAAGCGGCCCTAAAACCTGATAACCTGATATACGTTTATTACAATACAGTGGAGTGCTCTCTTTCCGCGGTCCAGCATCTTGATGACGGCAAGTCTGAATGGTCGTCCACGACATCGACTCTTTTTTCACAACAGTTCTTCGCCAATGCCTACAATGATGATGAGAATATTCTGCTGCCTCATCTTTTGCCACATGACAATGGCCTTCATGATGGAAAAGCGAAGGCTTGAACTAAGGTAAGATGCTTGAACACGGTTTGTGAGGGTGTAACACCTATTTATTATATTAACACACCTTTTTTTTTTTTGTTCACGCGGGTATTCGATAGAGATCAAACAAAGGTAAAATTCGTGAGTGTATCTAGAAAAATATCAATCATCAATTAATGATGGTTACGCAGGAAATGTTTTTTCACGGCTGGGATAACTATTTGTTGCATGCTTTTCCTTACGATGAAGTGAGTATTTCTCAAGGGACAAAATAGTAGACTGTAATCACTTATTAACAACATAATGGAAACCGTAAGCTCAATCCCATCAAGTGTACTGGAAGAGGAAGTGATAAAGCCAATCCGTAAGTGAAGCATCAAGTGTTATACTATCTGAACATTTAGGCTCAAAGAACTCTGTCAGAGATAATATCAATGTAAATGATGTCCTGGGCGATTATTCCCTCACCCTAGTAGATACCTTGGATACTTTGGCGGTAATGGTTTTTGCACAAAGATGTTCTCGATGATGAATGGCACAATCTAAGACGGTGTGTAGATTCTGGGACCAAAAGAAGAATTTGAGAAAGCGGTGAACCTTGTCCTTGAGCATGTATCGTTCGATCAAGATAATAAGGTCCAAGTATTTGAGCTAAATATCCGTGCGCTTGGCGGATTGGTAAGTGGACAGGGCAGTTGCCATTGAAAGAGAAGCCGTTATTGAACACGATCGTGGTATCTCATTGTAGCTCTCAGCCCATATTCTAGCGACCGATCCATCGTTAGGATATTCGTTGAAAAATTACAAAGGCGGTTTGCTGCGACTAGCTATTGATCTCGCCGATCGCCTTGTTCCAGCTTTCCAAGCGACGAATACTGGCATTCCTTACCCTCGAGTATGTTATTCTATACGCTATGGAGTCCTAATTTTTCGTTGTTCAAAAAAAGTCATGCTCACACATGATGGTGTTAGGTCAATCTTCGACATGGTGTACCTCCGACAGAAACGGTCGAGACATGTACTGCTGGTGCCGGGAGTCTCATTTTGGAGTTTGGCGTCCTAAGTCGATTAACGGGTGATCCTCGATATGAGGTAAGATTGTTAAAGAAAAAAATTGGACTAAGTTGCATCAGTATTGATGGTGGATTTAGACATTAGCCAAGCGCGCTTTGATGGCGATTTGGAACCGACGGTCCAAACTGAATTTGTTGGGGAACGTGATCAATATTCAGACGGGACAATGGATTCATACGGCATCATCCACCGGGGCGGGTATCGACTCGTTTTTCGAATACCTCTTGAAAAGTTATGTTCTATTCGGGGAGCACGAATACCTTGATATGTTCGAAGCAGCTTACGATGGACTTATGCGTCATGTCCGCGATTCCACGGGGTATCTTTACCGCAACGTTCACATGAGCTCCGGTACCCTCATGTCGACATGGATCGATAGCCTCAGTTCGTTCATGCCTGGTATGCAAGTACTGTATGGTGATCTGGATGCGGCTATCAAAGGGCATCTGATCCATTACAACATTTGGCGTCGATACCATGCCCTGCCGGAACGGTTCGATTTTTATCAAAAGGTGGTCGATATTGGATTTTATCCTCTTCGGCCCGAATTTGTCGAATCCACCTATTACCTGTATCAAGCTACGAAGGACCCGTTTTATTTACACGTTGGAGAAATGATTGTGCAAGATCTGAATAACCGAACTCGACTACCCTGCGGTTTTGCTACGGTGGGCGACGTACGAACAGGACGTTTGGAAGATCGGATGGAAAGCTTTTTGTTAAGTGAAACGCTCAAATATCTTTATCTGCTTTTTGACACAGGTACGTTTCGTTGAATGCATGCACACAAAAGCATTGTGACTTAACGCAACTCGGGCGAATACAGATCATCCAATCAATAAGGTTGATTCCAACTTTGTGTTCACTACCGGTAAGTTATAAAAGATGATGAGATGGATTTTTTTTTTTTTTTTTTTTTTTTGTTGTTGTCTGTCTTGTCCTAATTGATATGACAATGTTCTTTAGAGGGCCATATTTTGCCATTATCAAAACAATATCTGTCGCCAACGTATCCTGAGGAAGAAGATCCTTTGGACGCAGCCAGTTCAACATGTTCCCCTTACCGACCTCACACCAACTATTCAACGTCGTACCTACTCCAACCTCAATCATTCGATTTGACATCCGTACCCTATCAACCGCAGACAGACTATGCTTCAGAGTTGGTCGGTAACGCAGAGAGTAGCATACGTGTTGCAGTGCCCAATGGCTATTGTGAGGCGGTTAACCTTAGGACCCATTTGTACGAATTGACCTTTGGTGAAGACACAAGGTCAAAAGATCGTCTACGGTCTCCGCGGCTTGTCGAACTTGTGGGAGGTTTTTTGACACGATCGTTATCAGGTTTGAAAATGGAACTCGTCAAGCGACCAAAAAGTGAAGGTGGAGGTTATCTGATCACTAGAGGTTAGTTTACCACACTTTTTTTCTCTTCATTCTTATCCTTTCCCTTCCATTTTATACTTTTCATGTCATATATACTCACACACGAGTATGTAACGTTGTACGTGTTTTCATTACCCCACTTGATTTCTTTCTGAACATTGCCCCCCTTTTCTTTTTCATACCGTTTTGTATACCCTCTTTCAATGTTGCTTTTTTTTTTTGCCTTGTATTATCTTTTTAACAAGAAATTGGAACGCTGTATCTTTATGTACTCATGATTTGCGCTCTATCATTCTTTTACATCTCCACTTACAAAATACAATCATGGTTTTCATCTTTCAGTCCATCCAGATATAAGGTAATTTTTGAGATGTTTATGACATAAAGTCATCGATTTATCCAGCAACTCGTTAATACTTCAAAACACTTTATAGATTCCAAGAAAATGATGTGCTCATGGTCACCATGGATGCCATTCTGCCATTTACTCAAGGGAATGTGTTGGAACTGGATAACTTGGACATCACTGATGATCATCATGTATACCCATTGATGGAAGGCGATATTGAGATTCGGGTGCATAGCAAAACCCACTCAACATCGTATCACGGTGTGCAATCTCAGTTTGGTTACTGGCCAACGTCTATTACGGGTCTGGGTGTGATAGCGTTTCCGAATGATGGTCGCTTTTTTGGTTGTGATCCATATTCCAAAAGCAATGCACAAGAGATGGATGGCAAGATACTAGTGATCAGCCGAGGAGAATGCACATTTTATCGAAAGGCGGTCCATGCGCAAGAAGCAGGAGCGAAAGCGATAATTTTTATAAATAACGAAGGCGGTGACACATCATTTCGAGCGTTGGCGATAACAGAACCCGATCTCCCGCCTGTGGAAAAAACGGTGATTCCCAGCATAACCATGACGACAAAGGAGGGTTTGCATTTGGTTAAATCGCTAGCCAGCATCATCAGCGTCGACTTAATTAAGCCATCTCATGTGCCAATCAGCGACTCTCGTGCCACCATGGTTTTGAAGCTACAGGGAGCTCCGATCCATAATCTGATTGTGTTGAGATCTCCATAGAAGGAAAGTAATTAAAATCACATTGACCTACCGTATAAATATACCAATAAAAACCAATATCTGAAACCTAATAACGGGCTTTCCAATGAAAAAGACTCATCAAAAACAAAAAGGGCCTGGAATCCCTGGGCATGGCAACATCCTTTTACTTTGATTATTCTGAAACCTGTCAATGACATTGAGGAGATAGCATTATAGCTCCCACATTGGAGTGTCAAGCTTAAGCTTAGTTAGCTTCAATTCATTGCATTTGTGGCACATCGTCTCGTTCTTTAAGTCGTTCAACACGATTTGCAGAAAGCACCGAAATGAGGAACGCATTATATTTATTTATTTTTTGTTTTTAGCAGCAATTGTACGATTGGGACAAGTATGGTTCTCAACTTGTTTGCATAACGTGGAGACAACTAGCCGTATACCGACTGTCAATCTATTCTGTTGCAATTGGACGATAGCATGGTTCAAAGAAAGCGTGCAATGGCGTAACGAAGAAGACTCAAAAAATTTTGGGGGTGAATATGGGATTCAGAAAATACTAAAAGTACATCATGCGACTTGAGGAAAAATCTTTTCTAGGGTCCACCGCGTATAATATTTCCAGCATTTGGCGGAATGGGTCAACTTTATCCCAGAATAGGATGATGGATGGGTCGGCTTTTATATCAAGCTCATGTTACGGTTGATTATGGCAGCAGGCGGAGGATGATCATATAACATAATGGAGGTTGTCGAAATAAGCAAATGTATATTGCGTACGTAACACGTGTGTGATGCAAATGCTCGGTATCACTGGGGTGCTGAGATCCCGGAAATGTCTTGGCATTGCCGTTTTGAGTGAATTTATTCATTTTGGACAATTGTAAGGTTCCGGTTTAGTGTCAGAAATGGCTGGCTTTGAACTCTGCGAATATTTTACCCAAAATAGTTCTTTTTGACGTTACGGGAATTCTCTTTCCCGCCAAAAGTTTTCCCTATGTCTCTTTTTTTTTAAGCGTTTTATGTTTCGATTTTCATCCCATCTTTTCCCTCGAATCCTTTTTATGCTTGCTTGCTGCATTCATTATTATGACTAGTAAATCGACCAGCGCGAGTTCCAACGCGTGTACCTATCGTTTCATTTCTAGCTCGTTGAACGATATTGCAGAAGAAAGGTACGGTAAAACAGAACTACCCACCTCTGACTACATAGATGAAAGTTTTGGCAAACAGAAAAGACAAGGACGAAAAACTCACCTTTTGAATATCGGTTAGAAACTATGATATTGTTATACGTCAACAACCCCAATGTGCCAAAATGAGCGTTGTCAACGAACGAGGTACGAATACGTCCCATGACGAACCAACTCCTCTCGTTCATCGAGTATCAAAAAAATTTATTTAATTCTTTTTCTCCTCCAACAGATCGACGTCCTATTGAGCCTCCACCTATTCTTCAAATGCAATGGCTGGACTGTTCGGCCGAAGAAATCAAGTACGTCGAGTTTTGTTTTTTTGCCAACTGGAATAAATCAGGATCGATGTACTGATGTCATTATTCTTTGTTCTCAAGGAAATATCTTCAAACGCCCTTTTATTTTATGGTCGCTAACCTGATTGCGGCAGATGATCCTAGCAACGCGATTTTACCAGCACATGAATATCTTTCGGGAACCACCGTTTCTTCTTTATACAGACTACGCGATATTGACAACACAGGTATGTGTTTATGCTCCCAATTCGGCTTCTGAAAAAAACATCCTTTATTTTTTTTTCTAACCTATACTTATTTGTAGATGGCGGCTTTTTTGTTTTCGGAGATCTTGCTGTAAAAAAAGACGGTCAATATAAGCTTCAATTTAGTCTGTTTGAAATCGTTGAGTAAGTGTTCCAGCCGCTACATTCAACGTAAAGGCGAACCCATCCAAGTAGCTGAACTTAGATCATTAGTGATGTTGTACAAAATCGCCGAACGATGCAATCCGATGTTTTCACAGTTTACGTTCCCAAACGGTTTCCCGGCCCATTTGAAGCCACCTTTCTATCACGCACTTTCTCAGACCAGGGCGTAAAAATGCGTATCCGGAAGGAACATCGATTGCAATCCAATTCTGGTCGCAAACGTAAAACAGACTCACAACATGCAAGCCATTCAATGAATGATGATCCTGATCGTTCATATAAACGCCACAATCGTCATCCTTCTTCCACAAGCACCGTCCATTCTGGACCTACCGAAGCACAGTATCTGCAGTACAAGTCGCACAAATCATCATCATCTCTCGATGCTAATAATAAACCGTACACTGCCATGACCACCCCCGAACCCACGCCAGCCAACTACAAGACCCTCACCAACAAGTTCCGTTGCCATCATCACCATCCCCCTTCACCGCCCTCCTCAATATGCAGTCCTTCAAGAGAAGTATATCATTCCGATCAGATAGCCTCCTTTTCTGAGCCATTGTATGATGCACCCACGCCCTCGTCTCGTCGATACTCAACGTGGACACAAGATGCAACCTTAATTCCTCCCTGGTCTAATCAGCACGAGCAAAGATACACAACGTCGTCATCCGCACCGTCAAGTTCATGGCCAGCGCCTCCCTATACGCACGTAGAAACAAGTAAACCTGTTTATCCACCGACTTCCTCCGTCCCTTATATGCCTTCATCTTACCATCCTTCATACACACCGTCTCCGCCATCTATGCCAATCGCTACCGTACAGCCTCCTTCAACCAGCTTAAGAGATTACCACATGTATTCAGAACCATTACGATTACCGATGAAACAACGCCCGTGCACCCCACCTCCCATGCTGGCTGATATCCATCAAGTTACTACCCATGAAAAGCATTGGGGTGAACGTCTTCCCCCATTAAGAGCCATCATGGCAGACGTATTGGACGACAGAGTATCGCGAGAATTACCAGCGCCTATTCCCTTGAACCCAGCACCCATATACCAACCGCACCACTTACCAGTCATTCCTCTCGATCAAGAACATCAACGTCATGAAGCAGCCAATACTATGCTGAGCATATCCCATGCATTTGCTGCTCATTGCTAGTCACTTTTTTAAATGCTCACCTTATTGTATATCCCTCCTTGTAATATATTAGGTGAATAAAGAAAAGCGAACACTTGTACTAGATTGCATACCTCCTGTTCAAAATCTTTTTTGCTTATCCTGTATATAAAAATGTCCTATGATAATTTCCATCGTTTAGTTCGTCCATGAACATGGCTTTGGCCTTGAGTATCAGACCAAAGGCTTTTTATGTGATGGATACCTAAAACAAAGCTAACCTTGTGTCCTCGTTTAAGAATCCCCAGTTGCAGTTGAGTTCATTACTCTGAAACAATGCACTTGTGGTTGCATTGGTACATATTTCGGAGAATGGTTTGCTCAAACCAAAGTGACGTTTCATTGATCCAATCAGATGGAACTACCCCGCCTCCAAAATAACCATGGATGTCGACTTTTTGGAGTATCGCTTGACCTTGGATAGTTATCATCAAGCGATGATGCATTGGTTTTATAGACGCTATATATATACTGCTGTTGTCAATGTATGAAGTATGCACTAGACAAGTAAAACAGAGTCGTTATCTCAGGGACAGACCGAATACTTTGATCTGATTCGTCAGTTCATGTTAATCAGTTTTGCCGTTCCCATATGGGGTTAATTTGGTTACACACGGGTGTGTTTTATTTTTTTATACTCTAAAGTTTCCCGACTATATCTTTCACTGTCTTTTTATACCTCTTTTATTCAACTCTAATGGCTGCCTCTGCTGCATCTCAGTCTGCTTTCTCGAAATTCATTAATTCGCCTGCAGGTCCCAAGACGGTCCACTTTTGGGCCCCTGCCATGAAATGGGTATGTCTTGGAATTTAATTCGCAACCTGACGCCGATGTCTCAAATCAAATCTTCTTTCATTAGGCACTTGTCATTGCCGGTATCGGTGATCTTCAACGTCCTGCTGATAAGTTGAGCTTGGGACAGAATGCTTGTAAGTTTTGCACTTGAAAAAAAATGCACTGAAGACATGAGGTACTGATGGGAGTCGGTAATAGCTTTGATGGCCACTGGTCTCATTTGGACCCGTTATTCGACTGTTATCATTCCGAAGAACTGGACTCTTTTCACTGTGAATGTGTTCGTGGCGGCCACTGGTATCACCCAAGTTGCCAGAATCTTGCAGTAAGTTGAATTTTAAGAGTGGCTTGGAATCTCAGATAAAATTGACGAAATCTCCTTAGCTATCGTCAATCCGACGAATACAAAGCAAAGCAGGCCGCTGGCGAAGTATAAGTTGAACATTATCACCTTGGAAGATCTTATAGATGCACACACACCACGTTTCCCTTAAAAGTTTCTCTATTTTTGTAAAATAAAAATAATTTATTTCGAGGTATCAAGCGATAAGGGTTCTGTCATCCGACCAGTGCGAACCTGTATTGCGATCAATTACTGCTCGCAGCAGCAGACGATTCTTCCCTTGTATATCTATCGAAAATCAATATAAATTGCTTTTTCAACAAGACCCGAGGCCAACAGCAGAGCAGGTATTGTTGCTTTTTATCATTCATTACCTCTTTCATCCTAGTTCCATCTCCGTTTTCCTTACAATATTCCATTTTCAATTGACGCAGACATACAATTGAAAGCAACATCTTTGAAACAAATTGCACGAATTTCATGATTCCCGACGTACTGTCCATTCGACCCTAACAGAGCTACTTTATAATTACATCGTCATCGAATGATATTTCATCAGCAAAACTCATGCATCGCGCACCGATGACATAGAGTCTTGATTTTTCATCTGATCGGTTACGGTATTTAAAACATCAATATTTTGGGACATATCTCAACAAACTCGTGCATCTTGAGAAAGAGCCATCGACATACCTCACAAGGCACAAGCAGACCCCCCAATGAAAGAAAGAGCCCCCGACAATCACAACTGGAATCTCGCACTCTAAGAACGCATATGAAAGAAACCGCTGCAAATCTGTAAAGCAAGCACATTCGTGCCTTTTGATGAACAGTAAACTAATATCCTGTGTTCTAGAGGCTTCTTCACATTGAAATAAAATTCGAAAGAGCAAAGGATTTCGTCGCTTAGAGAGCATGATACTATTTCCGACTGATATTATACACATCATTTAATGCGAAAATGAAAAATGTATTTTTTTATGACCGAATTTTATGATACAGGATGGATAAATATACAAAAAAAGAGGGTAAAAGTGTACAGGGATCTATGAAAAAAAAGGACGTTGAGAAAAGAGGAGAAGATGAAAAATTACGCGAGCTGCATGAGATGGACATGATGATGTTTCTGCTTGTGCTTATTTCGCTTTTTGTGCTTATTCTTGTTCTTCCGTTTCCGTGAATGTTCCAAATTCTTGGCTCTTTGCCATTCACTCTGCTTGTGCTCGTCGAGTTTTTCCAAGAGGGATTCCGCCCTTTTGACCAAAGACTTGCGTTCTTGACGGATTTCTTCATCACCATCGGATTCGACCGTATCCAACTTTAGCATGACCCGGACAATTTCATCTTCATAACCCAAGAACTCGCGATTGTTGCTAGTCGAAGCCGTCAAAACCAACTTGTTGGGCTCGGTTTGCTGGAATTCCAGTTGCGAACCAAGAACAGTAGCTTCATGTTGTTCTTGAATCATGCGAAGTTGAGCTTCAAGCTGGAGAAGGGTATCTTTCTTGGCTTGTTTCACTGGATCGTTCACCGTCGGCGGTACATCCGACTGCTCCTTCATTGCAATATCCTCGTGGGGTTCCTCCATGTTCAAGTGATCGTCCATAACCGCATCTTGTTCAGGGGTGGGCTCGTATTCTTCATCAGATACCGGTTGAGGAGGCGACGGTTCTTTGGGGGGGATGGTCGCCAGATGATCCACCAAATCCTTGACCGTCAATATGTGCTTGTCTAGAGGCAAGTAATCTTCGGCAACGCTGTCAGTGCTGCTGCCACTCTTTTGGCTCTCGGTATCAGAATCCATGTCAGCGGCAGACTCGTCGGTAGCAGGTTGGGTTTCCGAGTGGTTTACTTGTTTGAGCGCAACAGGAGCTTGAGATTCCCTGGCTTTTTCGACTGTCGACGGAACGGCCTTGGATTCATCGAGCAATTTGGTATGCTTATCATCTTCGGCAACGTAACGCATAAGGTCATCCCAGTTGTCTCGATAGTCATCGTCCTTGGTGGCTCTCTGAGACTCTTGTTTTTGCTGGACCGGGGATTCCTCGTGTTCATCCTCTTGCTGCTGCCCAAAAATGAGATTGACCAGGGAAGCAAGCTTTTGCGCGTGGTAGTCATCGAAGCCATCCGCAGTGTCGGGTCCAGATTCTTCTTCTTCTTCTTCTTCTTCTTCAGGGTACTGAACCCATGCAGAGTTGGCCGTCGACGGTGGTTGCTGTTCTTCTTGCTCACGAGCTTTCAAATACTGATGGTACAAATCATCAATTCGTTTTCGTTCAATAGCAGCGGCCAAGTATTGACGATACATGCGTTCGCGCTCTTCTTCCTTTTGCTGGATCGCTCGTAAAATGGATTGCTGATGTTCCCGACGACGTCGTTCAGCTAAGCAACGTTCAATTTCTCGAGCTCGTTCTCGACGATAGTGGCTTGTTAACAGACGAAGGTTATTCATTGCTTGTTGAAGGCGTAAACGCTCTTGGCGAGCTTGTTCCATGGCTGCTTGTTCTCGAAGTTGCCGTTCTCGCTCTGCTTCTTCATGGCGCAGTAAAGCTTGTAATTGCAGGTAGTCGTCCAAGGTCAAAGTTCTTTGGATGTAACGAGACCGAGGTTGAACTAGCACAGGGGCTACGGGAGAATATTCAAAATACATTGTTTTGTGTGGATTCTATAAAGAAAATAATTCAAAATAGAGAGGAAAGGGATATCAAAGGGTTGTACTCTTTGTTTCTTTTGTTTCTTTTCGCATAAAAAATTCTGGGCTATTTTATAGATGGCGGAATTTCGGGAATTGTGTGGAATCTTCCGGCACTTTCGCGCAAAAGCAGCCAATTTTTGTAAGCTTTTTGGGTTTATTCATCATATTTTAAAGACCGCCAGAAAAAGCTCGAAGCCAAGATGTGAAACGTCAAATCAGGAAAGAACGGTATATTTTTAGCATCATTACTAACCTCCAACCCATCCGAAAAGAGGGCAACTTTAAAGAATATAATGTTGGAAGGAAAAGTGGAGAAGTATCTGGAAATGGAACGAGCCGTTAGTAGACAATGGGGTTGTAAACTGCGGTTGTTCAGCTGGTCGCTTTTTAGAGAATTTTTGAGAATACCCTTGAGACCCCTGCAAGCAATTAGCTGTAAATGCCTACTATACTAATGGAATACTGCCAGCCCATTTCTTAAAAAGGTCCTCATATTGTTTTTGCTCAAGTTTCATTCCTTACACTCTGTCTGATAAATCTACTACCAGGTGTGCCTTATGCATTAGATGGGTCTATTTCTTTTCAATGCATATGAGTGGGTTGTCTGATAATCCGAAATTCGTTTTATCTTTCTAACGAATCTTAAATTTCTTCTAACATCTGTACTATCCCATAAAATCTTGTGGAAACCGCAGCAGCTCCAACTCCAAAAGCTTTGAAAATTAGAGACCTTGCCAATACATCATCGAATCGGCGAATCTGCTCCACCATCGCTGTCTGCTTACTTTGCAGAGAGAGAAGTATGGGCAATAAACAATGAGCGCTTTTCTTGGAGCCAAATATCTAAACATGTTTCAGGGATAAGAACAACAAATCCCAGAAAAATAAGCACTTTCCCTTTTTCAAAGTCTGTAATCCTCTGGTGAAAATATGACACTGACTCGTTAGAAGCACTGCATCATGATTATGCATCTTTTTTATATAGCCCTCATTCACTAACAAGCATGGCAACATCTTTGTATAAGTGATTTTGATAATAGCATACTATGTAGTAAATTCATTTACAAAAGTACCGTAGGGTGTTGGAATGAAAATGGTCTCCTTTGAAGACGATGTTACTGCGGCAAATTTCTGCTTAAAAGAACTGTACAAGGAAAGGAAAAAAAAAGAAAAAGAGTATTGAGACATAATTTACAAGGAATCTTTAACGGAAAAAAGGCGATCTAATAATACACATGTAGCACACCAAAAGATATGTTAATCAGCATGCCGGCGAGAATACCTGGTAGTGTTTGAAAGAAAATTTTAGCAAAAAGATTCCATGACCGATAATCGAAGAGGAAATACTTACCCATTTGGTGTCTTCGTGTGAACACGGATTCGCGGAACCAGAATAGGCACAAGACACCCAAAAAGAACCCAAGCATCAACCCCCACATCATTTCCTTATAAGTTCCTTGTATAGCTAGAACGAAAATCCATTTAGCATTGGAAAGTACAACGCCATCAACTTGTACTTACTGCCATCCGGTAATGTATCGCCCGTGTTATCCATCCATTGTTCTTCAAGTCGTCGAGTTTCCTCGGTAGATTCTTCAATACAGCAACAGAAAAAAAATCAGATACATAAATTCAGCCACATCATTGCGTCATAGAATACATTCATTGGCATTTTACCTCCATTAAACTCAGTTCCGTGCATACGATGAAACTGTGTACGAATACTCTGAATTTCTTCTTCATTAAATCCGGATTCTCGCAATCGATCGAAACCGGATGGTATAGTGAGCTGCGGTCGATTCTACGGTGCAAGGGAAATTAAAAATAAGCCAGAGGATCGATGCAATTTTTTCCACATGTAATGCACTTACATTATCCCGTTCAGAGGTAATATAGTCCGATATGGAACAATGGATATAGACAGGTGAAGGAGGTGGAATTTTGGCTTTGGACGAGCTGTTGGATATAATCTTGCCTAGTCCATAGTCTAACAACGTGGAGGCATCTTCGAGTATCCGTCCATTATGAATGAGACGAATCTTTTTATTGGATGTATGAGGTGCTGATTGCCGAATCTAGAACAAAAAAAGACAGTTCTGTATATAAGTGACCATGCTCAAAAGGAGCCTCATGTGCCTCGTCTCTTTACTTTTTGTTTGATGTCAGCTATAGTGTCGGTCGCAGGTGAAAGTCGAAAGACGAGATCTTGCCCTTCGGTCCAGCGTATATGCACATCGATCGATTCGTAGTGGTCCATATTGGATTCTGCCATGAGAAACGATTGGAATTTATATAACAGAGAGCAAAAAAAAACGAGGGAATTCTTGTGGCACCGTCCTTTCCCACTGCCAAGTGAGGGTTTTCAAAAAAAAATAACGGGCTTTGAAATCGAAATAGGCAACCGCACATAGTAAAAATTCATCCAGCTGAGAAGAAAAAGCTTCCTTTATAAATCTGTTATCATAAAAAATGGGGCATTTCTGTAGCTAGTAATTTGGAGAAGTAAAACCATATGCAAAGTTATAATTGAGAAGATGGAACAGTGTATTGTGCAAAATTATTGCTTTGTGCCTTGAAGGAAACAGAAAAGTAATGCAACCATGATCCGAAAGCCAGCGAGAATAGAGGCTAATTGTAAAACAAGCGCGAACGGTTCATGTCAGTTTGTGCTCTTTTTGCCGGTAGTTAAGGCGCTCTATTACATCAACGTGTGAATAAAGCTACTGTCTAGCTCCATTTAATTTTGAGAGAGAAAGCACCTCCTAAAGCAGACTTCTCCAGGAGGAAAAAAAAAAGAAGGCTCCTCAAAGATTTGTCAAAACTGTGCATGATTCCTTTTCACCGAAAATGCAAATCCTTGCGGTCAAAATGCTGGAAAGTTTATACGGTTCGGTAGAAACCATTGTCATGGTAGAAAACAGATAGATGAAAGACAACAATGGATGCTAGCCGTACGATATTTTTGCCATCGTTTATGTATCCCAGGGAGGAATGTTTTGAAGCAACACAAAGCTCTGCCGCCGTGAGACCTTGCATCAGTTCCCAGTTTTTAACTTGTCCTTCAATCGAGCATGGCAAAATAGTGTTGTCGACCAATCAAAGGATATGAAAAACTTTCAATGCAATGGCGCTACCTGTACTGCGGTTGATGATTTTTTTTGGTCAAAAAGTTATTCGATCAAACTTTTGCTTCAGCAAATAAAAACTTTTTCTGAACACTAGATCAAACCGCGCGCCCTTGTAACCCTTTCTAATTAGCTTCAGTGCTGGCTAATAGGTCTGCGCATTGTTTTCAGCGCAGCCAATGCGCCATGATTTTAATAATAGGAACCAATGATTGAAATAAAATCGAATTTACTAGCTGTTCTAGAAACTCAGCAAGACATTGCCGTGCTCTTAATTATCACGGCGCAGTGATTCTTTTATCCAGTCATTCAACCAAAGGCAGCGGCTTTCCATTTGGAATAAAATAGGCTGGTCGCAACGGATCGATATTGCGAACCGTAACGGAACCTCTTGCTACTAGCATTGAGCCACAAATCGGATTTTTAATAATAAATCCAATTAGGCTTACGGCGACTGGGAAATATATCTTACCCAGCGTTGCTATGAAAGAGGATGACTCGGAAATCTGGATTCGAAAGTCATATCAAAAGTTGGAACAGATGCAGCCTCAGGATTGGTCATAATATTATGATATGCCGACCAACCATGGTTCATGCTAGCAATTAAGTCGGTTTCCTACTAAAATCTTATCTCCTGGCCAAGATATGGCTCTGAATGCTGTATGTTTGTCTGACCCTTGACTGGGATATCCAAAGCGGGAAAAGATATTGACCAACCGGCTAAGCCTCTGTCCCACTTTTGCCACTGCTGGAGCATATTCGTGCAGCGAATTGTATTTTATAAAATTATTAAACCCTATGGTCATTGATAAAGATCGCTCGTCGCAAACGAATTACTGTTGTTATCGGTTGAAGCGCGTGTTTCTGCATGATCGCTTTGAATCATTAGCGTCGCGGTTGCGTCACGAATTCTAAAAAAAATATTGCAGTTGCCACTTTTAGTAATTTTGGTGACGTACTTGAAAAAAATTAGGATTGTGCTGTCCAACCAAAACCTTTTTTTTATTTTCCAGAGAGCGCTTGTTTGGCTCCTGACTTTTTCGCTTCTTCCACTTCCAGCGGCTGCCTTGCGTACTCATTTACAAGAGATAGGCGTATAAAAAACGATCAATTCATACATTACATGAATACTACCCAAACCTCGGCTACAAATGCTAAACCTGCCTTGCATGGTGTTAGAATAAAACAGAGAAAAGTAAGTTTCGAATATTTTTTTGCTGGATGTTTTGTTTATATTGGTCCCAGATGGTTCCCTTAATAATGATTTGCAATCAATAGGGCGCTCAAAAAGCTCAAGCAAAGCACGAACCTGAAAGTAAGTGTGCTTCATGTCTGTTTTGGATCGCCCATCTGACGATTGCTTGCCATTAGTTTTCAGAGATAATTTACTGAAGCAACTGAATAACGCAAAGACCGGCAATCTCGAAGACGTTTCCCAGATACTTGACACTAGTAGCAATACCCTTGATTATCGCAAATACGGAGAGGCTCTTTTTGAAATTCTTATCACTGGAGGCATTCTAGGTTAGACATGAAAAAGATGATAGGGCATATGCCTATCATACTCTCGTCCCGTATCTCATACAGTTCCCTTCGTTTTTTTAGAACCAGGAGCAATTATTAACGCTGATGCTGAACGCAGTCCTTTTAGCTTATTTGGCGCCGAGAATGATGCCGCGGTAATCAAGCGACATACCGATGTCTTTAGCAAGTTGATTCGTCGTTACAAGTACTTGCAACGACCCTTTGAAGAGACTCTCAAGAATATCTTGCAATATATCAACAAGTGGCAACCGGTTGAGAACAACAACTTGGCGATCGCCGTAGGCTGTTTCATTATCAACGGGCTTATCACGCCTTCGATTTTGAAGGTTATCTTCAAGGATTACTTGGTCAAAGACGGTAAGTCTTTTGTGCCCTTGCCAAACTCAAATAGGTAGTCACAGTTTGCTAAACACCTGTATGCTCTTTATACAGGCCACTCCCTTGAATTCTCGACCACTGTCTTCCGCACTGTTTTGAACGAACAGAGTATTGAACAATTTGGCAAATCCCTGATTGCCTCTGGGTTGGATAGCAAGTTGATCGAATTGTTCCCACCGAATAAGCGGGAAGACGAATGTTTGATTCGCCATTTCGAAGCTGAAGATATGAAGCAGTTGGTTGACTTTCATATGAAGAATCAGAAGAACTCCATGAAAGGTGATTTGTTGATCGATTTGAAGGAAATGATGCATGATGAAGCCAACGTTTCCGAGGTAATGTTTTATTTCCGTTTCTCTGTAAACAAGTCATATTGACACAGACATTTAACGCTTTTGATATTGATAGGTTGTGGCCTATGTGAAACAAAATACAAAGGAAGCAGGACTCAGCGAACAAGAAGTGATTCAAATTGCTTGGTCCGCCGTTTTGCTTACCGTGGACTTGATCAACGCACGTCCTGATCAAGTGGAATCGCAGGCTCTTCGTGCTGTGACGCGTTGGTCTCCCATGTTGGAGACATTTGCTACCTCTCCCAAGACCGAAATTGTGCTTCTCCAAAAGGTGCAAGTTACCTGTTATGAAGATGCCAAATTAACCAAGTTCTTCCGTCAAATCATCCAACTTTTGTACAAGATGGACGTTGTCTCGGACAATGCTATTTTGTATTGGGCCGAAAAGGCACACAAACCCCAAGGCAAGACCGTATTTTTGAAGCAAATGGCTCCCTTTGTTCAATGGTTGAAGGACAACGAAGACAGCAGCGAGGAAGAAGACTAGTGTTTTGCAATCAACCATAGGATTTTTTTTATGACAGACCCAAAGAATGGGCTATAAAATTTTTGTAAACGTCGAAAAGCCACCGCCATTATTACTATTGGATCATTGATCTGTATCATTTTTTCACTGATCACGAGAATTGCCCGCAATAGTCCTTGACGCTTCCATCATGCAAGCTATTAGGCAACAAGCGAACTAACACCATCTTAAGCGTGGTTTGAGGGTTTGAAAATACAAGCGGAACAAGACACAGAAGCGCATATTCTCGGTCATTATTCCCCATTATGTAGATCAAGCTTCAGGAAGCGCGTTTGTTCGAGAATAATCCACATATCATAGTAATATGCGTTTTAATGGCAGGTGTTGTTGGTAGGAATGGTATGGTTTTGTCTTTAGCGTAGTTTACCGACGTCGCTTTCCTGTGACCATTTCTTCATGTAATTCTTCTATCTTAGCTTTCACCTTGTTTGTCATGTCATGACTGCGAAGAATGCGCTGAGAATCTCCCCAGGGTTCATGATGTCCTAGATAGCTGTAAGGATCGCCTCCGTGTCGCCCATGTCCGAAAATCTTGCGCTCCAGTCGCAATTTTCTAGTGATCTGGTTTTCCCGGCACCAATGATGAAATTGCAGTAAATAAGATCGACAACGACCGGCAAATACCGTATAGACAGGTTTTCTGTATGCATCTCAAAATAAGAAATGTGATAATTTTTCTTGAAAAAATGGATTACTTACCGCTTGGAGGCCGCATGAGCAGTAGCGTAGTCCAGATCAGCTGTGAGAACGATGCGAGAAGCGCGATTGAGCATACCCTCATAGGTCACAATTCTTGACAAACTTTCGAGATTTTTATCCGCTGCATCCCAAATAGCAACCTGTTGTTCATGCTTGTCGATCTGTGTGGTTATCGCCTTGATCATCTTGTCTTTGACCTAAGGGAAAACAGGGTTTAACTATATAACTCAGGGAAACTAGGACATTGTCTTACCATATCGGTCGTTTTATCAGTGAAAACTAGTACAACTTTGCTATTCAGGTTCTGGATCATACGCTTTGATAAAAAAAAAACGAGAGAATAAGCTCAAATCAAACCCGTTTAAATGTTCCACCCTCTGCACTTACACGCATATTATCCACCAGAGTGATTGCATCTTCAGAGTACCATCGACACTGTGCATTATAACCTCCTACCACAACGGCCGTAACATTATCTGTATTGCTTAGGCTTTCCATGAAAGAGGTGGGCATTGCTTGTTTCCAGGTATCGTTATCTGGGATGATATCGAAATCAAGCAGTGGCATCTATCGTCAACATCAATACCGCCGTCTTGATTTTGATCCTGAGAATTCAACATACATTCGGTATAATACAATTCTTCTGATGCGCCAACGGTCCTAGTTTGGCTATACCCCCGCTTGTTAGACGCGAAATACGATTAGATTGATTAGCAATACATACCGAGCTTAGCATTTGCTTCGTACTTTGGCAGCACCACCTGATCAAAGCTAATAAAAGGAATTGTCGGCATGCCCAAATATACTAAAAATATCATCTGATGGTTATTGCCAAGTTCCTCGGTAAACAAACAATGAGAGTTACCTGAAAAGCTTCTCTTCTCCGTCTGATTAGCGTGCGCAAGATGTAAACAGGTCGGAATGGCATTGGTGCCACTGCAAATCACATAATCCGGCCGATCGCCTGCGATAGAGCCTTCATTATCGTTTCCAGACGACGTCAAATACCACGGTAACGAGTCGCTTGAGCTGTCAGACTTTTGCACATTCCATTCAACGATATATTTCTGGAAGATAGAAGGGAACATCTGTAGTGCTGTGAAAAAATAAATCAAGTGAGTGACAGGTCAAGCGATAAATTATCAGGTTACCATACCTGGTTTTGAAGTCACCGTCTTGAAATCAAGCTGGCCTCTGGCAGCTAGTCGCTTACCAAGAGCGTAACTCTGCAAGGTCGATTCAAGGCCACCATCGGTTAGGATCCACACACGCGACGATGTCCGACCAGCCGTGAATGCACGAATCGTGCCTAGTCCTTTAATTGTTATTCATTAAAGCATAGGTGTCTAGATAAGCAGCTACCTACGTTGGTTATATGAATATGAACGAGAAAGAGATCTGAGCTGAATACGTAACAGGAGATGGTTCATGATCAGTCGTTGATGCCCGTGGCTCGAGATCGTTTTTGAATCTTTTAACTCACTGTGACGGGGCAGGACTTATACTTTCATTCTCCGCACTCGTTCCTTGATAATCGTACATCCACTGGTTCCATTCCCACCAAAATGATTGACCCGAAAATATGAATTCCCTCTGTCATTTCATCAGAACTACATTTTCCAAAATGATTTGGTACATTTTATAAAAATAAGCTGGCGTAGTTCGGCACAAGGACTTTGAAGTAGAGCTTGGCGCAACGAATTGTGCAACTTTATCTCAGGATTTTAACTTCCAACGCCAAGCATGCTCTTTTACGAGTATTGTAGTAGTTCAAAGTATAACGACTAACGACGAGGTATCGATTATCCACAGAAGTATTATCAGTTGCAGTTTAATATTCTATAAAAAAACACACTCCAGAGCACATTGAACCCCTTATACAATTTCAAAGAATAGCGAAGCTGCAACGTACTGTCTGTTTGAATTCATGAATACGATTCAGAAATAATATCTCTTAAGACATACACTCTACATGGCGTTTGCAGCGCAAACGGATCAAGATTGTTAAATATTGGGACGAACATTACTGCGGCAAAAAAGGAGAAGGTGAAGCCCAATGTGAAGCCTGTGATGTCATCAGAAGTCACAGTTGGGCAAATTTGGCCCCCATGTTTTTTTTCGCCACCGAGCAATCAGGGCAAAAATTCGCTACACAACCTTTTGTTTCCTTCTCTCCGCCCACAACTGTCATCATGGTCAACCCCGCTGTGAAAAACGTACATTATCGAGATTCTGCTATCGTTTTATTTTTGTCATTCAGTTTTTTAATCGTTGGACATTTAGGTCGGCCGCTGGTCAGCACTCGCTTTTGGTCTCGTTTACGGTTACACGCACAATGCCTCTTTGAAGAAGCAGGCCGAAGAGAAGCAGAAACAGGCTGAATACCGTCATAAGGAAGAACTTATCGAAAAGGCAAGACTTGCCTATGCAAAGAAGCAGGCTGGTCCCCAGGAACCTTCGGCTCCTACCCCGGCCACCGCAGGTAAATCGGAAGAACCCGCCCCATTCGTGTGATGATAAATAGGGACAATGACTAATTGCAGTGAATTCACTAGTGGATTTCGAGAACCCCGATTTCGACTTTGACGCATACATTAAGCAATTAGAAGCTGAAGGAAAAATCTAAAGGAATATATAAAACACGTAGAGTGCGACCAGCGTCCATTGCAAAAAAGGAATATATTTATGTGCATTTTTTCAGCTTGAAAGTTTTTGACGTGAGATATACTATTCTCGATACGATCACCCGTTTCTTAGAGTCTGTTTTGGATGACACTGAAGTTTAATGCAATTCGTAGATGATATCTCAGTAGGAAGGGAAGAGATCCTGGAGAGGAAGGGTAGGAAACTAAGGTCCGCTACAAAGAGTAAAAAATGGGCATAATGATTACAGGAACATCACTCTCTTTTTCCAAGCGATGTAACATGCTAGTCGCCTAGTTTTTGAGTTTTCAACTTTGTCTACAGCAGTGAATTCATGCTTTTCATATTCATCACTGCAAACGACCATTTTTGCAAAGAAAAAAAAAAGGCCTGATTAACAACTTTCAAAAAATTCAATCGAAAAAACCTGCGTCATGTGTGACTGCATACTTGAGAACGACTTTTTGGAGTTCCATGAACGAAGAAATTATCTTGACCTTTTAAGCTTTATTTGTCATGAGTGGGAACAATATTGTGGATGAAGACGACGTCGACGAGTTTCTTTATGGACCCTCGGCCGCCTCAGAATCTCGTAAAGACGACGTGAGCAACTACGAATCAGGACCTGCCACTGAAAGTGACCGAAAAGGTAAGCGACCATGATCGCTTTTGCACGTCCTATCGCGTCAAATTAAATAACTGATGGATCTAGATACCTCCCAAGAATATGACGAAGACTTGTATCAACTTTACAAAGGAAGCACCGCCAATGAGTACGTCTTATTTTTTCCTGCCATCGATCTAATGCATGTGGCTGACCACTAACGATGATCCTTTCAAAGAGCACAGGAAATGGGAGAGTAGGTTTCCGCAGACGATAGAACACTAAAGGTGCATATTTTCTAACGGATTTTGATTTCAAACGAGCAGAAAACAGAATAGCAAGGATGAAAGCGAAAACGAACCTTCTACGAAAGAAGAATCAGCGCACGATGAAAATGAAGAGGAAAACAGTGACAGCGATGATGTAGGTTTGCATATATATCGGACGACCAGGCCTAAATTTTAAAATTGATCAATCCCCTCCCAAGGATCTGGAGATTATATTGGAACCAGAGGAAATAGAAGCCACGAGCTCTTCTCAACAAGCCCAAGGGTAATTTGCAACAAACAACGTTGGCGAATATCAATCCACGTAATCGAGTTATTCATGCTTTCAATTTTAGACAACAGACCAGCAGTGAGAACGGAAAAGGAACTTCAGTCGTGAATCTTAAACCGGGTCAGCAAGGAAAATCATCGTCTACACCCCAAACCAATAACGCCACAAACGAAACCAGCACCGGCACCAAGGGCACAGCAGGTGGTATTGATTTAGAGGCTGTGGGCGAATTTAACGGACAACCCATCACCGAAGTCGATCTGGATATGGTGGAAGATAAACCTTGGCGAAAACCCGGTGCAGATATCACCGATTTTTTCAATTACGGTTTCAATGAAATTACCTGGAGAGCCTATTGTGCGAAACAAAAGATGTTGCGAGAGAACAAAAAGGTCAGTTCTACCTATTGATCGGATACACCTGCGTTGTGTCTTAATCAATTTTTGTACACAGATGATGGGAGATATGGATATGGCAGACTTTATGCCAATGAATATGATGATGAATCCGGCCATGATGGAAGCTGCTATGCCTATGGGTATGGGTGGGATGCCTAATCCAATGATGGGCATGCCCATGGGAATGCCGCCCCCAGTGCCTATGCCACCCACATCAGGCGCCGGTAGTCCGGGCATGCGTGGTAATCGTCCCGGCAATTTTAACCCGAGAGCAGGCGGTCGACCAGGGATGCCCATGGGTACATATTCTTTTTTTCAGTATCGTATGTTGTTGATGAGAAAAGGCTAACGAGAATCAATTTTATTTCAGGTCGATTAAAAGGCTCAGGAGGCGATAATGACAGAGATGGAGATCCAAAGTATGTTGCAGGATTGACATTGTCCGTTACACATGGTCACTGACGATGGTTTCGTTCTGAGTAGTATGAATATGGAAGGCGATGATGGTTTCATGCGGATGGACTTTCCAGGTAAAAAAGAACTTGAAAATATATTTCACAGAAAAAAAAAAGGTTTTAACATTTTATTCAAAGGTCAAGGGGGTATGCCGATGAACATGTTCCCTCCAGATATGCCAGTCGGACCGATGGGTATGCCATTCTTTCCCGGCGGCGGATCGCCCATGAATTTTGAGGGTGGCGATTTCCGTGGTGGTCGCACCCCAATGCGAAACAGTGGTAGCCCTGCTCCCCGTGGATCAATGACGCGGGGGAGTCCCGGACATAGCTGGAACTCTCGTAACAACCAGCCATCCAATGCGCCATCAGATGACGGCCGTTCAGAACACCGTTCCAGCTCAAATGATTCGTGAGTACAAACAAATGTCGCCCATCTTTTTTTAATGATCTAATCAAACCAAAATGCATTTATTAGAAGGAAACGTCAAATGAATTCTTCCTCCAGTCATGACAGCAGTTATCACAAAAAATCACGTAACCGATAGATGCTCTCATTTTTTATACATATCCCTATCATTTCCCCTCTTGTTTCTCCTCTTTCTACAATTTTTTTGAGTCACCCTTTCTTGCCTCTTGACATTGACAGATTTATGTTATTCTTTTTACCTCCACACAGTTGAATTGTTTTAAAATATGGCTAAACCGGGCAAACTCAATGTTGCATTGGACGAATCAATGGTTCGCGTACATCTGCTGTATTGTAATACGTAACTGTCTATGGTTTTTTGACATCGAGCTTTCTTCCATGTAACCTTGATCGATGAACATGATACAGTACTGATAAAAAAACCAGAGAGTATTTGGATAATCCCATTTCGTTATTTTTTTTTTTTTATCTACAAGTTTCTTTCAAAGCATCAGATAAAGATACAAATTCAAAGAATATGATAGGTGCTAAATAAAAAAAAACTTTTACACAAAAGAACATCTGCTTCTTTTGGAGCGTCTTTTTTCTAGAAGCCTTCCCGTTTTGCTACGTATTCTTCGTATTGATACTGATTAGACCGAATGATGTGAATGGCTAACGATTAATTTTTTTCTCCAGTTTAACCCGTGAAGGAAATATTTGTCCTCGGCCGGCCGATTCGACTTTTTCTTCTTTCTGGCGCTCTTTTACCCTTGGAGGATTCGCCAAGGTTATCTTCCGGCAATGTATCACCTCCGGCACTGAACAATTGATCAATCGTTCCTGGATTTTGTGTGGAGCTCCCTGATCCCTTCTTTGCCCGTTTGCCAGTAGGTGTCGCCGGATTACTGCTTTCCTCATCTTCAGCTTTACGTTTTAATTGCTGCTGTAGTTTGTTATCAAGCTCTGTGTAGACAATGTATTAGCAAAATGACGGGTTCCAGAATCATTCCAGTAAAATTAAACCTACCTTCATCGTCCAAAAGCAATGAAACAATTTCTCTAGGCTTAAAGTCGACTTGCTTGAATTCGCCACCGGAAATAACCACTTTTTGAATCTGTAAAAAGTTCGACAAAGATTTGTTAGTACTTCGAAAAACACACGAGTATTGTCAGCATCAATTTTGATGCAATACTTTACCTCGTCCTTCTGTTTGGCACGCTGCAGGATTCGTTCCTCAATGGTTCCCTTTGTAATTAAACGATAGACAGTGACTTGTTTGGTTTGGCCCAAACGATGCGCTCGATCCATGGCCTAAGAGTTGGACATGTTTAGTTTTGGCAAGAAAAATGCAAATTGTTCGTTGTACGTACCTGCTGATCCACGGTAGGATTCCAATCGCTGTCATAAAAGATGACTGTATCGGCAGCGGTCAAATTAATACCCAGACCACCAGCACGCGTACTCAGTAAGAAGATAAAGATTTCAGGTCGCGTCTGCCAGTCTGTCACCATGTCACGACGTTCCGAAATCTTGGAGGAACCATCTAATCGTAGATATTTGTATTGCTTGTAGGCGATGTATTCCTCAAACAGGTCAATCATGCGCGTCATTTGGAAGTAAACGAGACAACGGTGACCTTCGGCCTTCAGTTTCTCTAATAAGCCGTCTAATTTCGCCAATTTTCCGGAATCCAGAATAAGATCGCTCATAGCTACGCAAAACCAATCATTAGCACCAAGTATCATCCCTTTGACTCTCTATAGTAAGGGCATATTTTTTTTTACCTGGTATTCTCATGTGAGAGTAGCCGTGACCTGATGCCGGCACCGTCATAATGCCTTGGTTATCCGTCGCAGACATAACATCAGCCAACTGTGCTGCATGTTCTCGTTGCGACCAATTGATATACTGCGCTTGACCGAACAGCGTGGCTCGAATAGTAGAGTCGAAAAGAAGTTCTTTTTGTTCCACTTCAAACGATCGATCAGAGCATACCATATCTATCGGGACGGCTTGCGCCTACAGACGATACCCATGCCTTAGTTTCACAATTTCTTATCTATGGCTTGTTGGTGAGATGGATGAAACCTTACCTTTGGCGAGTAACACTGATTAAATTTGCGAACCAAATAAATCACGTTGTCGGATATATGAGTTAACTGATCCAGAGGACTGTTTGGAACCATGGTCACGGGCGAAAGAATTGATTCGTTTTCCGCAATGAGGAAGCTGGCATATGTATTAGCAGCAGCAGTAGGGTAACTACAACATCAAGTTAGTCGATCTGTATTTTAACAGCTTCCATCAACTACTCACCTTTCATCACCATCAATGTAAAACTTTCGTTGAGCACGTTGCGCTAATCGACTCAGATGGGCAACCCAGCGCACAATGATGGATTGCTTAAACAGGAAACTGGCATCGTGAGCACTCATATCAGTGAACCGAAGGAAGGAAAATGCGGCATCTACACAAAGAACAAACGAGTCAATACTTTGTCTTTGGATCATCACCAGCAATAGTAGGTGATACTTGCCTGATTCAGAGGAGAACATGGATTCATGGATATAATCGCAAGACCAAATATTCATTAGATTATCAAGATATCTAGTCGTAAACCCTGCGTTGGACTGTGGGCCAGGCACGCGGAGGATACCGCCATTTCGATACAGTTTACGAGGAATATGATAGGTGATAGGACTGCGGGTTGCATAGGGAAGATAAAGATGGGCTTCTTTGACGAGCGACCCAGTCATACCGAATTGACAGAAAGACAAAGGTGCCTGAACATCGGCGCGCTCAAAGAGCTCAGGATGATTGCACACCTAAACGACATTTACTTGTCAGTCAAAAACTAGTCCATGCACTATAGTAATTACCGTCAACGTACCTTTCTGAATTGCATGACCAGGTTCATTAAACTATCCATGCTTTCCACATCTGTCAAAGACTTGGCCTTTTCCAACAATTCTGAAATAGAAATCTTTTCTTTCAATCCACGATACAGTGCTTTCTGTCTCGCCGTCAGATCGCAGTACACTTCCACTTCAATCTACACGGAAAAAAATCAGTCAGATATCCTCTTGATGAATAATGCATTCTCCAATATACCTTTTCACCCAGTTCATGTTGCACATTACGCTTGATACGACGAAGCATAAACGGCTTTAAAATCATGTGTAAACGTCTCAGCTGGTGTTCGTTTAAGCTGCCCTTGTTCTCCGCATGACTTTCGATATCCTTTGAAAACCATTCACTGAATTCTTCATGCGAGTCAAACAAAGTTGGCATGATGAAATGAAGCAAAGCCCAAAGTTCTAATACAGAAAACCTCGTAAGGAGCTGTGCTGTGATTTGGCATAATAAGGTAAAGCAGGGATATTACCTTGCATGCTGTTCTGGATGGGTGTACCAGTTAACAGCAGTCGATTTCGACAATGGAAACCAAGTAACTGTTTCCATCTGGCACTGGACGAACTCTTGATCGCTTGCGCTTCGTCTAGAACCATGTATTGCCACTTGACACGCTGGAAGTTCTTGACATCCGTCAATACCTATAAGCCGTAGTGTGAGTAATCTTCGTACGATCAAGTACTTTGGATTTGCAAAATATTTACAAGTTGATAACTGGTGATAACGATGTGGAACGGTGCATCGCGACCGTACAATTGCTTGCGATTCCAAAACTGCCGTAATACTTTACGATCCTTGGGGTTACCCCAATAAGGTAGAGCCTGCAATATAAAATTCATGGTTGAGTCATGCATTTCATCAAAACCAAAAAAAAAAAACCTTCATTCGCCCTTACTCTGAATGATGGTACGAATTTGGTAATTTCCTGCTGCCAATTATGCAGTGTGGAGGCAGGAGCAATGACCAAGAAAGGACCCCAAATATTATGTACTTCAGCAAGATATGCCATCAAAGAGATGGATTGGACAGTCTACATGCGTCAAAAAAGTTGAGCTTTCGGCATTCCATACCTTTCAAGATCCTCTCACACGTACCTTTCCTAGACCCATCTCATCGGCCAAGATACCATTGATGCCTTGCTCGTACAGATTGCCCAACCAGTTGAGACCTTTCAACTGATAGCTCTTAAGCTGACACATTAGAATGGACGGCTGCTTGATCTCTGGGCCTGTACCCATACTCGTAGGATCTTGGAAGTTCATCTCGTCCACTAACCAGCCAGTCATAACATTGAGTTTTTGTTGCTTTTTGAACAAAAATTTTGATAGCAAGAATCGACAACTTACACTGAGCTTGATTTACATTCATGGCTGAATCGCCGGCAGCGATGCGTCTTTCACGGGCTTTTTCATCAAACTGCCGCGTTGCCTCTCGTTGTTTCGCGAGCGCATTCTGAGCAGAAATTCGAGCGTGTTCTTTCAGTTTTTCTTCATCATCTATTTTCGTCAGCAGCAAAGAAAGTTAACAGTGAGCCATAACATACAACAGTATCAATATTTCAGAAGCGCATTTACCTTCATCAAAATCGATTTCGCCCAAAGGTTGCTCTCCTTCGGTCACGTCCAAATCCACACTTTCCGATTGAGCGGCAGGTGTAGCCCCTTCGGAAACTGGAACAGCGGTTTCGTCGTCTTCACCAACATCTTGCTTTATCTTTCTTCCGATAAAATGGCTGTAGAGTTCGGTCTGTGTGATCAAGAAATTCAGCTTTCTCGCTTGACGTTGAGCTTCTCTTCGTTCTTCCTCTTGCTTCAATCGATCTAATGCTTCCTTTTCAGCCTTCTTGCGCAATTCTCTCTCCTCCTTTTCGTTCTTCTTCCAGAAAATAAGCATCTGTGGCCGAAAATAACAACGACATTCGATTAGTATTAATAGGAACTTTAACATCTACTGACAACCTGTGACAGGCGCATACCTCTTTCATGGCACGCTTCGCCTTTAGCTGAACATCCCTGTTTAGGCGTCCGCCCTTGGTAGCTGCACGTTTGGCTTCCTTTTGACAATACTGAGCAACCTTTTTACAATTACCAGCTCTGGTAGCCTGCACACGAGTCAAGATCTTTGCCATCTGTAAAAAAAAAAGTAGAAAACGATCGCACATTAGTATTCCACATTCAGTCGAGTCTTCTCTCCAAAAAAAAAATAATTAAACTTACTCTTGGAATGTCTTTCCTGGCAATTGCTAGCCAGATCTTCCTTCGCTCTTCCTCCATTCTCTCTTGTGATGTGAGGGTGGGTGATTTCACTACAGTGATATCTTCTTCTGTTTGACTGAGATCTTCACTAAAACGTCGTCTGAATCGTTTTTTCTTGTGTCGTAAACGGTCTTTATGTCCCAGCGGTTCGGATATCACTTTGGGCATCGGCACTCCATATCGTTTCATGAAAGTTTGCTGCAACCGTTCATGAACTTTGCTGTGTTTGCTCTGCACACATGGTCGTTAGTATGATCATTGTGTACCATTTCATGCTTGTTACCACTTACGGATGATCTTTTTTCGTACGCTTCAATAACGCGTTTTCTTCGATTATGAACGTCGATCATATACTGGATCATGGCGTCACGTTGCGTATATAAAATATCTTCGTCGTCGTCATCATCCGACAATTGCAGTTCTTCCAACGTCCGCTCAGCTAAAGACTTTGATGTCTGTCTTGATCTGCTACTATGGCGGGCGAAATCATCAACAGAGGAATCATCACTTAAATGATCGTCGACTTCGTGATCAGCATGAGCAGGCTCCATCGGACGTTGATCGCTAGAAACAGAAACATTGGCACTGAAGGTGGAAGGCTCTGCTGACGGGATGGCGTGGAGTGCTAGTAGCAGTTACTGTTAGTGGATATAATTTCCTCGCAGTCTAAAAAGGGCATCTACCTGGTTCAGTCACCGGTGTATCATCCACCTAGGAACCATTGGGAGAAAAAAAAAAAGAGTATGATCAATTTCTGGGCGTTGTTCAGAACGTTTTTGTCAATTTCCCATGCGTACCTCTGTGACAATGGGCTGAGCGGTGGAGTAAAGGGGAATGTCTTCTGTATCGGTGTCGGAATCCGCCATTTCGAACGTATCTTCTGTGCTATTCAAAAGACTGTGGATACCATTACGGGACGGCTGATTTGCTGGAGGATTAGAAGACGCTGGTTGTAAAACAGGGGATATTGGATGCGCTGACGATGCCGGCTTGTCAGATGTATCAGACGACAGCATGTGTGAAATGGACATCACAGGCGAGTGGGTCTTTCGTTCTTTAAGGTAAGCTGGTGCAGAAGGAGCATTCTGTACACGTACGGTGGTGAATATAAATGCAACATGGTCAGACTGTCAATGACGTACCTGTACTGCATCGTGAGATGTTCTGTGCAGCGGTACGATCTGTAAAGAGGACATAAATGAGGAAGACAGTCTCTAACAAAGGCGTCACTTGTATACTATGCACGTACAGGGTCAACGTTCATTGCATTTTCGTGGACCGGATCGTAGGCAGTAGTATGTTGCGAATATCGGTCTGGTTGATCATACGACGTTTTTGGATAATCTCTGGCAGTTGCGTAGGTCTACCAAGAACAATGTTACTATGGCAAATGGAGCGTGGCAAAATTAAAGGAGAAGAAGGTGCAAACCTGAGCTGTTGCGGAGGGTCTCTCGTTAAATGTCGGATCAGTATAGTCCCAGGCAGAAGAAGCAGATGGATAACTGTTATTAGGCATAGAGTGATAGGGATATGGCGATGCAGACGAAGGCGAGGGTCGATACGGTGAAGTGTGTTGAAGAGGAGGCGCGGGTGGGTGCTCATTGGTGCCATAGGAAGAGTTGCTGTCGGAAGGTCTTCGTGTCAATTCGTTCCAATGGTCAGATGAGGGTGAATTATGTTGTTGGTCTGCTTGGTATGCAAGCGGCCGAAATCCGGGTGGAGAAGGTTCTTGCCCAGGGTGGCGTTGACCCTGCTGCTGCGACACTGAAGGATTAGTAGAATCAAAGCTCATCAAGTGTCAGCTTGCAAGAAGCAGAGAAAAAAAAAAGAGGGAAAAATTGAAAGGAAAATAAAAAATAAAAACAGCAAGAGCGGCGCGGACAGCGGGAAGAAGCCTTGTTTGCAGTCTGGCTTTCCAGTTGGTTCGCCCATCGCCAGTCACCTTCCTTGCGTTGGCTCAATTCTTCGGATTTTCTCGCCTGACCTCCGCTTCAAGTAGCCTTGCCAAATCAAACATTATTTTATTGTTCCTCATTTTCTACCCATACTCAAAACCTCATGGCTATCAACTATTCTGCCCTTAATTACCCCAACTGATCTTTCTTTCTTCAGTTGATGATTACTACTTCTCAAGGAAGTCAGCTTGACTATGACATTCATGTACAATCTAAGAATTTTTTTTTCAATTATTTATTTCAAGGCAAGACTGAACAACAAACATGATAAAAAAAATGCTTGAATATAGAAACATAAAGTAGCCATGCTACTCTTTTTGGCGTTGCTATGATTTCACTCAACTTACATTAGAACGCTTAAACGAGATGCATGGCGCAGTTGTGATCTCTAATTCAAGGACAGCATTCGCTATTCTAACACAACTCAATTATCCATGCTCATCGTTGATATTGTGTTTTGTGCCTATATTCATTCCAATCACGAATGCGTATCCGTCTGACAAGGCATCTATGGCAGCAATGAGGAGGCATTCACACACTTTGGTTCATGGATCTATTCCGCGTTTCAATCTCAGACAGACCGCGTCAGTGAATACAATCAAAGCGCTTGTCTCAGGTATGCTCTACTTCACTCTTGCCATATAATCCTTACACGAACCTTTAAAAAGAATACGAAATATCAACTAAAAAACAGATGGCACCATGTGAACAGTGACCAGTTCATGGCTGTGCGATGTCATTTTCTCTTGTCCTTTTTCTATTGCTTTATTTTTCCTCGAAACCAAAATTCTTTTTGCTTCATAAAGACACAGCCCTTGATCGACGACTGCAATTGGAACTGCGTCCCAATCCGATCATAGCCACATTTTCCTCCGTGTCCCAATGACATTTCCCGTTAAGGCTTGGCGAGTGTCGTAGAGAGCTTGATGCGACATCTGGTAAAGCCATGGCCGGCGGCGCCGCTTGACGTGCAATGCTATCAAGTAAATAAACGCCACAGAAAATAATCAAGAATCCACAAATTAGACTGATAGTGTTGACTGCATCATTCGTGTGCCACCCTTGATACATGATCGCGGAAGCAATAATGGTCGCCGTTGTGAAAAACACAAAATAAACGGGATTGACACTATCACATTTTAAAGAATTGGTATCAGCAAAAACTGTGCAAAAACGAGTCCACCACGGGTTTGCCCCATCTATCCCCCCTTCTCTCCATTTTCCCTTTCTTACACATTCGTGGAAAAGGTATCCAAAGCCTTATTAAAGTAGTTCACTTGGGTCAATACGAATATGACACACATAAAGGCGAAAACATAAGTAGATGGCTGCTTGAACTGGTTGTTTCCCGCAATCGTCAGGCGAACAGCGATGCCGAACGCTTTGATGGCCATAATGGACAAGGAACCAATCAACGAACATATGGCCACGTACACAATGACGTTTTCTTTTCCCCATCTGGGCACGGCTTTCCAAATCAGTCCAACAGTAACAATTATCACAAGAACTCCGTAAATCATGAAACCTTTCAGTCAATATAAAAAGATCCTCAGCTATCAGTATACCAATGATTTATCTTGGCGTATGTAGTCATCAAGTGATTTTACCTGGTTGTGTCATGTACTGAACAAGTTCTTGGACGCTTTGGACATCTGGATCTTCTGGGGCGTGCAGGACAATAATCACCGCACCAATAAGAGACAAGACACATCCGATAATCCCAGTAGGTCCCATACGCTCCTTCAAGAAGATGGAAGCCAAGATTGCGCTAAGAATGCATCATCACTATAAAATTAATTAACAAGGCATGCCGCACTGCCTGTCAACTTTCATTTGAATCACTTACCCAACAATGACACTCAAAGCCCCTAATGGCGTAATGAGGATCGCAGGAGCAAAAGTGTATCCTGTTGTGACAATCCGTCAGTTATCCTGCACCCAGGTTATGTCAGCGATATACCGCTTCCTTTCTTACCTATAAAGTTCAATAGTTCCCCGCCCACCATTGTCGTTAAACCGATCCACCAAATTGGATTTTTCAAATAGCGATGAGAGTCGGTGGCACATCCTACCAGATATCACCATGTTATACGGTTTATTGTTTACGCCCCTGTCTCCCAGAGTACGCATCCTACCATGTTCGGTCGATGATCGCTGAAGACCCTTCTTAGTGATAACAAACGATGTACCAATAAGACAACTGGAGCATATCGCTAGTATGAGGCCGATATACTTTCTTTCAAGCACCATGGGTAGAAGAGAAAAGAAGGGATGGGAGTGGAAAGAAGAGGAAGAGCGTGCAGCATATTTTTACTCTTTTTCATTGTCACAAGTGAAGGGAGGATAAGGGGTGTGCTCATAACCAATCAGTCGGTCAGATTTCAAGAAATGATGCATTAAATTGGTGAAGGTTCCAGACAAAACACCACATATTTTGAACACCTGCATGTGAAGTTTTCAGCAGGTACAATAGTTTAAAGTGGTCTTCTTTACGTATTACATAAGAAAGCTCGTGTAAACTAAATAATGGCACATACCAATTTGATAGTCTATTACTTTATTTTCTTACTTGGACCTTTCTTTTACCTTTTTACTTTTTTCTTTGTAAAATAGCGTAACGTTCTGGATCAAGTCAGTTGCAAATCGAACCTTTCTCTTCTTTTTTCTTCCAAATGGCCTTCAAATGTGCAGGTTCCAATCTCTTTCCATAAGCAAAGGAAGTTTACTATTCTGCGCGACTTTGTACGAGATGCACACATAAAGTGAAGGACCCTTTTAAATATGGATGACTTGAGGCGTTCAGCAGCAAGAAATCAAAAAGTCCAGAAATAGGTGGATTTACGCCAATTTCAACTATTACAGTTACTTCATTTGGTTGTATCTAATGCTTTCTTCATCAGAATGCGTTTAACAATGCCTCCACTTTATAAGGTTGTGTATCTCTGGCTATATTGGATGAGTTCCCTGGGGTAGTCGAGCGTTCGATACATGCATGTTGTCACTACAGTACCAGAAAATTTCACAAGCAGAAGGCAAATTACACTTTCTTCTTTACAGTGCCCTGGCAAAATTTCTTTCGTAATCCCAATAAATTTGTTGACTTCCCTAATGTCTTTTTCATCTTTCAGTTCATTTTTCTTCGGGAAATGAAGAAATAATAATGAAAGAAGTTGCAAGGAAGCAAAAATCATGACTTGGTCTTGTATTGGCGGGAAGTGTGGGGGATCTCGTCATATTATCTTGGCCTTGTAGAATGCCTGCGTAATCCTGGTGGGAAAATGCGCTGAAACTGACGACTTTGTTCATCAAAAGAAGAGGCTATCTTCATTAGGATGACTTCTATTTTCAATAAAGTGTATGATACAAGTTGAAATATAGTTCAAGGAGCCACGCATTACGTCTGTACCAAAGTTATGTGCACCTGGTGTATCCGATCAGCCAACATAAGAACACTTGAATAAAGACATCCTGATCGATCTCTCTCTAACAGTATCTGAGACCTACTTCATGCAGCTATTTCATGCGATGAGGCCCCACTCTTATCAAAGGATAAAATATGAGGTGAAGCGATGAGAAAAGACACATGGCGTCTTTTTCCTGCTTCATTATTGGACAATAACGGTTAGCTACAGTCGAGGGATCGCCTCTTTCATGTCCATGAAAAACGACGCATCTTCCATCCATTTTATTTCCTCTTCATCGCACATCTATTTTCTTATTTCTTTTCTTGCCCAAAACCATCCATCTATCGCGCCATATATTTTCTATTGCCTTTTCTATTACATTTGCTCACACCCATCCTGTACGTATACCCATGATGACTACAACTGTGCTATCAACGACTAACCTCCACAAATAGCTTGCGCACCGAAAACGTTTTTTTTTTTTTTTTTTTTTTTGTGGCCAACAAAGAAACTTTTTTTTTGAAAGGTAATGTATAAAGTGCCTTATTTACTTTTTGAATGTTATGCCGAATCACTCACTCACTTGCTTTGTGTGCTTCTGTGTAGTTTAAAATAACTGACGAACAAAGCCCATGCCTTGGTGGTGTGCGGTGGCGGCTCCCACAGTGTGGTGACGACAGTTTTTTTGTAAGTGAAAACAAGGAAGAGTAAGTGTGACTTGTCCTAATGCATTCATCTTTTTTTTTTGTATGTCTTTGTCCTTTGGTTTTCTCTCTTTTTTTGATACCTTAAAACAACATTACCTTGCCTCTTTTAAAAATTTTGATTTGTAAAATTTTTACCCAGATTCTTTCAATTAAACTGTACGGCAATAGTACCCCATCCCATTTTTTTTTATTTTTGGTAGTATGTACAGTGTCTTTCTCTGCCCAGTTGTCTTTACTCGACAAGAACAGTTCCTTCAATAGGAAGGTTGTGAAGAATTTGCTGCTGTACTGTGTAGTACGTCCCTGCAAGCGATCAAGAAGAGGATTGGCGGACTTGTTATAAGTTCAAGACTTTTGTTACTTGGTTCTTACCTTCTGTTCCTGAACGCCTAATCTTCTGTCCTTACCTCCCTGGAAAGCATTTGACACCTTTGTTCGCTCTGGGCTAAATCCCTTTCAGTCTTTGACACCGCGGAAGCTTAATGTAACCGCTGGAGGCTTAATGCAAACATCTGTTTGCAAACCAGTAGAAATAGGAATCAATAAACTCATCTACTTTATCCGAGGCCTTTTGGAAATTTTTATTACATAAGCATAATATCCTTAATGAGACAGACTTTACATCAGTTCTTCTCGATCAAAATGATTCTAACTTGTGGGCGTGATCGATTACAGCTTGCTTAATAGCCTCGGTATTCCTACAGAAGAGATAGAAATAACAGATTAGTTTGGCCATTGCTAATTGCTATAGTGTTCTAAATCTTTGAAGTACTGTACCTGATAAATGTATGGATATCAGAGGAGCTTGTAGAAAGCCCGGTAAAATCCAGGACAACCAATCTGATGTGATTTACAGATTTCCCAACGATTTAATTCTTTAGACTAGTTGCGCGTGTGATCTTGAAGATCACAAAGTCGGCTCTTTGGATGTATAGTTGGGGATGTTGCTCTGAGGAAAGCGAGACTAAAACTTGATTAAAGAGGAGGTTGGAGCGATTGTTCATTTTGTGATAGGTTATAGTCAAACTTCGCGCTTGCATTTGTCTGTGCAGGATAGTCGTTGTAAATTGAATTGAGCAATCAAAAACTGAATGGAGAGTATATTATTAAACATTTCTCATTATTGATAACTTTTGATCACTTTTGTGCTAAAACTTCAGTATACACTATATTGTTCGTATAAACCTCGTTGCCATTATTGTGGGACGCATGTGAGACATGACTTTGATGGTGTTCTAACTCGGGACATGGCAACATAGAGCGATCATGGGAAAATACCGGTTCCGGTAAAAATAAACCAATGGATTCAAAGGTTTGACCTTGGGCTTTGTTAATAGTCATAGCCAAGGCATGACGTACCGATTGTTACCCAATAGGGTTCCTGGCCACGGACTGACGGAACGACTTGCGATTAAAGGTCATTTTCATCTATTCGCCTTTCCCACCCACCAAAAAAAAGAAATTAATATCCATCGGTTTCGATCGTTTATCCAATTATAATGCCAAGATGACTTACCCATAAACTCCTTGCTTTGATTACTTTATGGCCTTGAACGCATGGACTTGGGAAGGCCAAAAGTTCCACCATCCTGCAGGACGGGCAACTGACCTTTCGCTGGTTGTAGCAAATGCCAAACCGAGGCTCTTGTCGAATTCCCGCCAATTTCTGGTGCCAATGACCATTACTCCACCGATGTTGACGTTTGGAGCATGGATGGAAGCGCCTCCTTGAAAATACCACGCTGCGGTTGAAGTCGAGGACTTAAATGAATGGCGTTTCAGACTTGAGTATGCTCGATTTTCAAAATGGTTGTGAGCTTCGTTTTGCGGATGAACTTTTCTGCCTTCCCACCGAATTGGGCTTCTATGGTTTGTTTTCTTAAGGCTTGTGGTCCGGACAGAGGTTTGATCTATTTAAGCCATGTGGGTTTTGCGCAAGAAACTCTGGTCGGAGTTTGTGCATGATCTGCATTTTCGGGTTCCCGACCACCTGGTCTTATTGAGGCGCTGTCGCTTTGCCTCTTGCTTTTTAAATTTTTCTTCGGCCGTTTGCTTCTTCAAAGGATATGCAGGCGGTATTGTGGGCTGCCAGCCCACCTGATGATATCTTTTGCATTTGGGACAATGGCTGTCACCGGGTCCAATATGTCCGTCTCGGTTATTGAGTTGACACCATAATGGCTCTTGACGCAGTTTGGTGGTTCAATCGTTAAGACGTCGCATTAGCAGCCATTGTCGGCATCATCCTTACGGAATCTTTGTTTTCCGGAATGCTTGCAGGCGAACCAGATTCCACGGTCATTCGATCGTTTGACTCTGATCATGGCGTTGAACTTCCGTCCGTATTCGGCGACAGCGGGAATGTTGGTAACTGAATGATGTTCACGAAGAGCAGACACCGCTTTTTCCACTTGCACTTGCATAAGATTGTTGAAAGTATCGACAGCAGCAGTAAAGGTTAGAGAGGCAGGTCATCTTGGTGAGGTGTTAAAAAGATGTGGACTTGAAAAACTTTAGGGAAAAAGGAGGTCTCTTTTTTTAAGGAGAAGGAACGTCTCGTCCTTCTAAGTGTGGTTCAGGCTCATTCAATGTACAGGCAGTCACGGATAATGAGAATTGGGAGTGCCCCAAGTGTTGCCCTGTGGGATCCAAAGCCAAAGAACGAGCATATGATAGTAGTCCAAATCAAAACTCAAAAGTTTATTGCTTTGTCTTTGGCCGGAAGCTGTAATCTTTACTTTACGGTAAAGATCAGCGAGATATCTCTGCTGATCGACAATTTCAGGTTCTTCAACGTAAAACCCTGCTGCGACAATCATGAGATCATAGGTTTTGGAGCCCGTAATTTGATCCAAATCAACTCAAAAAATTATTATCAAATTGACTGTTTGTAATAAACAATAGTAATGTCGCCATTGTTATCCTATAGATGTCGGTCTAGGTCACGCCTTCCAGAACTTTTTTTTTTATTTGCGCTTTTTTTTTTTTTGCGCACTCCATGGACTGAAAGCGGATGCAACAGAAACTTGATGGAAAAAAATAAAAAAAAGTTGAATTTGTCAGAAATGCAGTCACATAAACGGCGGGGTTTGGATTACGAAAAAAAAGATGGCATTTTTTAAGTCCTGGGACGATTGATCAACGATAATATTTCCCTTTCCTCTTTATCTACGATCCTCACTAAACCCTTTATCTCCATGCCTGCCGCTCATATTTCACACTCCCCTGCTATGCCAAGCTTTAAAAAGGTGGTACTGTATACAGGGAATGTCATGCGTACCAGTGTAGCTGGTCGCAACGCCAATGTTCACAAGAAATCCAACAAAGAGGTAAAAAGCAACAGACGAACAAGCCTATTACATCAGATCAATGGATTTATATGTTGTTGGGTTGGTTCATTATGTAGTTATATACGGCCATTGACGATACATTGAAGACTTCCATCTCTGCTACCACCACACCTTCCTACAGATACTATTCGGATGAGGAGCTTCTGGAGATACCTGACCTTCGTTTCAGCAGCGTCATTCCCGAGGACTGCCGTGGCGATGTTGAAGTCACTGGTAACTATTGCATGCTCTAGTTTATGCCGCTGCACATTACGATGAATTGCTCAATCATGTCGAATTTTATAGCCAAATTATTCTACTTGAATCGAGTATACCCTGCGTCTCACATTGACCAAGCCATTGAACACCTCCAAAAGATCCTGGCGGTAAAGTCTATTGATACATTTATCGTATCTACCGCAGATCAACAATTGGAAGATATCAAGGAAGCATGGCAGAGCTTGGAAAACCATGTTCAAAACGGCACTGTCAAGGCATTGGGTGTTTCTGACTATTCACATGCTCAGCTTGAGGCATTCTTAAACCACGAGGAGATAAAAGTGAAACCGACCATTGACCAGATCAACGTAGCTCACTGCTGCAATTTACCCACCGATCTTATTGACTTGGCGAAGCGCAATCAAGTGGAATTATTACACAATGGCGATAGCTTGGGTGAGTTCCACTGAGGGTTAGGGCATGGTGAACAAGTACTTTTCTGATACAATATTCTTTTTGCTCCAGATATGCTTTCTGACGAAGAGCTCACATCTCTGTTCCGTTCACACAATGTCATTGACAGCGAAAAGACTTTGAAGCCTCGATGGGTTGTGAAATACCATGTTTTCGTGAAATGCCGTAGTGTCGTTGCCGACAAAGGGTAAGCTTTTATCTCAGGCGAATGGCCTAACGCTCATGTTGCTAACGACATTTTCGACATTTTCTTAGTTACATTGTGCTTGGTGATTCCGCATGATGATGATGACTGCTGATTCCATTTTTTTCTTCCCTCATGTTGCGTTGCTTATTTAATTCATTTTTCATTTCGATAAACACTGTAGATCCTATCGTTAGACACCTTATTTGTACAGAACAGGAAATATCCATCACCCGAAAGGCTTTCGTTTGCTTTCCGATACAAGAAAATGCACATTTCAAAGTCAGACCATGTTTGGAAATAAGATGATCTCCCTTGCCCGCTATCCGTGTCACTAAATAATAATCATTCTGGAAAATGAGATTGCCTTTTTACATTGGCAGCAAATAAATATCAGGTTCGTCTGTAGAGGTCGTCTTACAAGCACCGCAATGGTACTCAATGTCTGGTGATATGAGTCCTGTCATCCAAAGAGCATTTTGAAACAGCATGCCGAACGTTTGGCTCAAGAATTGCTTTATCGCAAGTGTGCATCGGTTCCTACTGTAGAGATAAATGTATGCTGTTCTTTGCAGTTGCCATTCGTCCTCTGTGTTTCGCCACATTTTAATGCAAAAGAATCGACACTATATCTTGTGTTGATTTGATAAAATAAAATAAGAACAAAACAACAAACAACAAAAAGGCAAAGGCGGAAAAGTGTGAAACGAGCAAAATCAATCAATAAATAGTAAAATGATAATCATGATGTGGAAGAAACAAAGCTATTTTGGTTATTATTCTCTGCTTCTACTAGATGATCTCCTTTGTCTGGTTATATGGGGTGATTTCCTTTACAGAATTGTACATTTCTTCTGTCTCTTGGGCGGCGGAGCAGGACAGAGCACCGCACGGATAGCCTCATCGAATACATTCTTCAAACCTTTTTGGGTCAAAGCGGAGCATTCTAAGTACTTGACGGCGCCGATATCTTTTGCCATTTGCAAGCTCTGTGAATACGAAATAGGCGCCATGTGCTTTTGACGTAATTTGGCAATGGTTTCTGGATCTTCGCGTAAATCAAGTTTCGTTCCGACCAGAATCATGGGTGTGTTGGGAGCATGGTGGCTGATCTCGGGATACCACTGGAAACAGATAATTTAGAAAACACGATATTCCTGCGTTTATTATTTTTTCCTCCAATTCCCCTGAATTCCACATACTATTTTCTACCCAATCCCCTTCCAGCAAATGAATATTTTAGCTTGGTCCTTTTTTAACCTACCTTGGTCTTGACGTTCTCGAAAGATGGAGGACTGACCAGTGAGAAGCAGATCAGAAATACATCGGTTTGTGGATACGATAGTGGTCGAAGACGGTCATAATCTTCTTGACCTGCCGTATCCCATAATCCTAAATTGATCGGTTTACCGTCGACCATGACATTGGCAGAATAATTGTCAAATCTATCATTTGACTGTTAGCAAAAATTCTTATCGATACATAAAAAGATAGTATCCAATGTATAAAATGCACCGTAATGATAGGGAGATCACACGATAAGAAGAAATTCCAAGATAATATTCACCAAGGTAACTTACACTGTGGGGATATATTCACCGGGAAACGCATTGGTAGTATATGAAATCAGTAAGCAGGTTTTACCAACGGCACTATTCGGGAAAAGAAGAAGCGAAAAACAAATGAGCCAATGGTCTGATCCCGGGAACTGGTTTGTAATGTAATCTAAGGGCATAGTTCTCGATAGCCCCACATGTCGTGGATGGGTGAACATGATGACAACGGTGCACCCGATAACGTAGTTTGTTTTCGTACGCGTTCGCGGTGAGATGCTTCAGGGCAAAAAGCATTTCAACTTTTGGAGCAACATGAGCATGTCAAGCCATTAGGATACGTTTGAACGCTGCCCTGCCTTGGCACATCATCTCGTCCGTTGCTCTTGCTGGATTTTGCGTAGATAACAAGGTGTATAAAGTGGAAAACAACCTACCCATCGCCAACAACGACACATTTAATGGCTTGCATAGGTTATATAGAATTTCAGGAAAGGAATCGGAGAAAACAATAAAAAGGAATTAAGCAAAGGAGTCTATAATAGTAGAAAGGAAGAAGGAAACCCAAAAAAAATAGCAAGGAGAGACCCAATTCGCAACTGCTCCAAAAAAGACACTTTGACTATAGGAGTTTCAAAAAATTCACGGGGGTTGACAGCGCTGGAGGCGACGAAATACGCCCCTGTAGGCCGTTTATACGTACCTTGATAACCATTAGAAACCTACCTGTGCAAAATACTACGAAGGTGTGCACTCGATACTAAAGCGAGATAACTGAGTTGACAGACAATCGGATGTTGCACTTCACTTTGTAGACTACTGCTAAGGCGATAGAACGCTCACCCAGATGGGCTTGTCAGAGAGAATCTACATAACAACTTCAGTCAGTGAAAAACTCATGGCTTTACTTTTCTATGGGACTCACATTGATACCAGCAGACAACACAATAGATCTACTATACGAACTAGTTTAGAAAATTTATCGTTATTTGGTTATTATTTGCGAGAAACTTACGTAGTATAGCTGCTCTAAGATTCAAAGTAGCATTGAATAGCCATATAGTCTTTTGGTATCACGTAATGACTCGCTTTGGGCAGCAACGCGTCAGAAAACCCTACAAAGGGCAAGTTAATGTGAGCTGCCACGATGCTTTCAACATTTTTTTTTTCTCTTACCAAAGAATTATGCATTTCTCCAGTAATGGCGGACAGCATTTACTCGACTTACGCATCCTGCATAAAAGAGAACCAAAACGGCATCGTTAGGATGGAAGAAAAAGAAGTACACAAAAATGCTGAAAACTACACCAAAAAATCCCTCACTGTTTGAAAAGCGAGCAAAACCTCAAATACTGCATGCTTGCCATTCACCGTCTCCCAGAAGAGGTTGCCGTACAGTTTCTGCTGAAGCCAATAATTCGCTGGCATACATGACTGGAGAGCCTGATGCTCCAAACGAACAAAGTGTATCAGATAACGATGGCTGCGGAAGCTTGGGTGAAGGAGAATGACAGCAGTTATTTAGAGCAAGGATGAAGCCAAGTGACCGACGTTTTTGACGATGAAGATCAGCAAATGGTTGATGATGATGCCTATCGAACGCTCACCGATGATATGGCGTTTTCTGCATCAAACAACCATTCCACTTTTGACGTTGATGTGCGCCGTTTCCAAAACGTGATGCGAAATGGAACAGCTTAGGATAATTTTGTTTCGAATTATCACCTTTTTACACTCAAGCAATGGTCCTTTTGCCGTTGATTGATGGCGACTATGACATGGTCTGTAACAATAAAAATATTCTTCATTATACTTATGTTTTATATTGAGATTACCCACAAAATGCAATATCGATACAATCTCAAATTGATCTTTTTCACGTAGAATCCTTAAATGATCCTTTTTGTTTTGCCACTGTTGTTGAAACTCAACGATAATGCTGTGCAGAGGAAAGTTTTGTTCAACCTCCCAAACTGAATTATCTTTGAACTATCAGAATCGAAAGGAAAACAAACTGCCATTTTTGCATCGGAATTTGTCGACCTTCTGATTGAAGGAGAGGAGACAATTACGGTCTGTTTGAACTTGCCCTTCGAATACCTAAAGTCACTCATCGCCACTCCAAAGCAATGCGAATCGACCACTTCTTTGCCCGATCTCATTCCCGAGAGGCTGGCTGTAACAGTGTGGTAAATGGAAGGAGCAATCATACTTCCAGCAGTCAATGGGAGGGTTGATGGTATTGATTTCTGGTATGGCGACCTGGTGCACTCAAAGGAGGTCCTTGAATCGATGAGATTTTTAGTGGAGTCTTTATACAATACATCAATAAAACCACATTATTACAAACTGCGCCGTGAAGGCACCTTTTTTTTTGGTCAACTTGACTCCTCTCTCTTTTTTTCTTCCATTTTTTTTTTTCTTCCTTTTATTGACTATGTGATGGCGTCTTCAAGCCGCGCACCCATAGACCCTGATCTGAATTCAGTCTCCAATACTGAAGACGATGGCGATTTCTATTCGGATGACGGCTCCACCGAAGAAAATGCTGCGGATGACGAGTTTTCAGAAACACGATTACAGCAAAGTTATCATCATAACAAGCTCATTTTCTTGAATCACTCTATGCAACGTTTTGCTTTTTTTCCCTCGCAATGTGCAGTATATTAACAATATCAGAATCCAATTGCAATGAAAAAGCTGATACAGACTCACCAATAATCTTGCCAATGCCTCTTTCTGTAGAGCAAAATGCTCAATAAAAAAGATTATCGCAAGACCGACGCTTTCATTTGTTGACTAAACTGTATGTGATATCTTCAAGACAATGCTTTTCGTCTGCGATCTCGCCAATGTGTTATTTCGTGTCACTCCCTTAATTATATGTATATACGTCTTCCCTTTCTCTTTTTCATAGATGTTCTGCGACAGAGAGGATTTGTACAAAATGAATGACGTGCGTTCGCCGAAACGCTCTATCCTGTTGCAATTCGATTAGTAGAAATGATGCACAAAAAAATAAATATTGCGATTGATTCATTTGAAAGTTCAAAGATCCAGAAACTTCAATTCAGGTTCTTATCCTCGGAAAATGATCGCATAAATCACTATGTCTTCTTTGTAAGCTCGTGTTGGTCTCTGTTCCGGTCTCTCGGTGGTCTCTCGGTCTCTCAGTTTGTCTTCATAAAGTCTCTTTCGTTTCAATAACTGGGATCCAGCAAAAGCGATTGGTGGAAAAAAAAAAGACTACAGAGGTTCAAAGAGTAAGCTGTGCTTGACGAAAAGATAGCAGCCAGTAAGATCTCTCGCTTGTATTTATCCGGCATTTTTCTGAGCTTTTTTCAAATACGTCTTTTTCTCCTTTTTTTGAACATTTCTGCTCATGGTTTTCTCTATAGAATGGTGTGGAGACATGTATTAACTATTCGAAGGGGCATTACTCTGTCCTGACTCGAAAAGCAAACGCAGAAAACCGTTGATGGCGTCTGCGAAAAACCCTCAGCGCAAACCGTTTTTACAACTCCGCACACTAGAACAATGTTTTCACTTTGCTATTGTCTGGACACAGTTGGTGCTATTCTTCGCAAATAATATCATGTCGGTGCAGCTACTTTGCACATCGCGTGCTTTTAGAAAAGCAGCATTACAATTGAAAAATGCGAAAAGCTATACCACAAAAGGTATTGGTCAACTAATCTTTTTTATATTGATCGTGCAAAACTGATCCGGCAGTAATAGTGACGCCAGGCCAGCAACTGCATGGCTACCGTGTGCAGCAAGTATGTAGACTCGTACAGATCGCCCTTCTTCCAAACTCGTTCACTCATGATCCTTTAGGTGCGTTCTGTTCCGGAATTGGAGCTGACAGCCGTTGCTCTGCAACACGAAGCCACCGGTGCGCAGCACTTGCACATTGATCGAGACGATGTCAACAATGTGTTTGCGGTTGGATTTGGTACGCCTGTGAAAGATAGCACGGGCGTTCCTCATATTCTTGTATGTCTAGCAGTGTATATCTTAAGTTTGAATAGCACTCAACTGAATAGCACTCTTTCTTAGGAACATACTACTTTGTGTGGAAGTCAACAGTATCCTGTTCGCGATCCCTTCTTCAAAATGTTGAATCGCAGTCTTGCAACTTTTATGAACGCTTTTACTGGTATGTGATGGTTGCACATGATTCTCTTGTCGCTGATAGTTGCTCACAGGTTCTTTTGTACGTTTTTTTTTTAATAGCGGCGGATTACACTATCTATCCCTTTGCAACTACGAATCCCGTCGATTACGCAAACTTGCGAAGCGTGTATATGGATGCTGTATTCCATCCTCGTCTAGAAAAGTTGGATTTCAAGCAAGAGGGTTGGCGACTGGAGCACGAAGTACCCACAGGTGGGTTAGGAGGATATCAGTTGGTTTTATTGTACACGGATGCTTATCTTTTTTGTCGCTTTACTCAAAAGATGCCAGCACACCTATTCAGTTCAAGGGTGTCGTCTACAACGAAATGAAAGGACAAACGGTATTTTAGATATAGGGCGATGGAAAAAAAGGGATCTTTTTTTACTGACCCAAAAATCTTAGTCCGACGCAAACTATCTGTATTATTCTCAGGCGCAGCAAGCCATGTTCCCGGGAACTACGTATGAACATCTTAGTGGTGGTGACCCACCAGCCATCACCAATCTTAGCTATGAACAATTGCTCGAATTCCACCAAAGTCATTATCATCCAAGTAACGCACGCTTTTACACTTATGGTAAATATCTTCTCTTTTTTATTATTTTTCATGTCAGGCAATTTTAACTTTTAAGGATTTGTCTAGGCAATTTCCCGCTCGAAGATCATTTATCGGCTATTGGCAAAGAGTTACAAAACTATGCTGCAGTTAAACCACCTCATGTTAATAAGATTGTACAGCCTTGGACGGGTCCCAGAACTGTGACTGGCATGTGCGCCTTGGATCCCTGTAAGTGGATGGAATGGGGGAAATACAAGGCATGGAAAACCTTAACTCTGTATGACAATAGTAAGTCCTCCAGACCGACAGACCAAGCTATCTTTATCATTCCTGGCAAACGACTCCAATGTATGACCATCGTTTCACCAAACCACGTTTCCTTGGACTTACTGAGCTGACTCAATGGATTGTTACAGGATGTATTCGAGAATTTTTCAATGAAGCTACTGTCTTATCTGTTGCTGGATGGACATGCTTCGCCAATGTATAAAGCCTTGATTGATACAAATTTGGGCTCCGAGTTTTCGGCGAACACTGGCTACGATAACTCAACTAGGTAGGTGACGCACACTTAACATTTATGGAATGGTGACACTGATCATGCCGTAGATCGGCCTGTCTCTCGATCGGTCTGCAAGGCGTGAAGGAAGACGATGTTCAGCTGGTAAAATTGGTGTTTGAGCCCGAATCAATTGAGTAAAAAAAATCTCATAGCCCGCTTCTCTAGGTTCAAGAACGGATTCGCTCGGTGCTGAAACAGGTCAAGCAGGAAGGATTCGATGCCAAACGTATCGAAGCCGCTATTCATCAGATGGAACTAGGACAAAAGCATGCAAGTATCTAAACAAGATGCTGTTTTCTTTTCAGCACTTTTTGACATGAAAAAAGAGGAATTAACGAAAATGCATTTAATTTTTGCTCTTAGAAAACTGCTGATTTTGGTCTCACTATTATGCACGGTATTTCCTCGGATTGGTTCAATGGAGTCGATCCAATCGATTTGCTGGAGATCAACAAGGTGAGCTTTGGTTTTTGATAGATAGTTTTGACCTATGATGACTGATGCTAGCTTTTTTTTTTGTTCATAGAACATTGATCGTCTCAAACATGAGCTTAGCCAGGGCAATTTCTTTGAATCCCGCATCGAAAAGTATCTTTTGAACAATCCTCATACGCTGACGTTCATCATGCGCCCTGATGCACAGTATTCATCGAATCTTGTATCGGAGGAGAATGCACGTTTGGCCAAGAAAGTCAGCGCCTTGACAGAAGCTGACCGAAAGGAAATTTTGGAAAAAGGCAAAGAGCTCTTGTCGAACCAAGACAAAACAGAAGACCTTTCCTGCTTGCCTACCCTCCATCTTGAGGATATCTCCAAGACGGTCAAACGTACAGCTTTAGATCATACGGGGCTGTGCAATACACCCATTCAGTGGAGAACCACCGCTACCAATGGTATCACCTATTTCCGTGCCATCAGCACGTTGCCTCAGCTGTCAGACGATTTGAAATTGTATCTGCCCTTGTTCTGCGATGTAAGGGATATGGTGTGCTGCTGCGGTAGGCGGAATTCAATATTGATTTTCGGATATACGATATGATAGGCTCTGCTTTCCTTGGGCACCAAATCTCAGTCCATGGCCGAGATTGACGAGGAAATTCGCTTGTATACCGGAGGTCTCCGGGCTTCAACTACAGTATCGACTAACCACTCTGGTACGTAAATGATCTTTTTCTTCATGGAAGCATCAACGACTGACATAGCTGGTGAAATACGTAGATATCGACCATATGGAGGAAGGTGTTGCTCTCACAGGCAACTGTCTGGATCGCAACATCGATAAGATGTATGACATCTTTATGAAACTGGTCCATGATACGAATTTCGATGATGTGGAAAAGCTCAAGACGTTGATTGTTGGTGTAAGTCTTAACATTTGCTTATATGGAAAAAGAGTTTGAAAAAAATAACGATAATACGCGGGTTTGTATAGAACGCGTCGGGCCTTGTGAATTCGATTGCAGATTCGGGCCACGTATTCGCCCGAACCTATGCTAGCTCCATGCTGACCCCTGCCATGCAAAATGCGGAGATACTTTCCGGAATGAGTCAAGTCGCTTTCATGAGCCAACTGGCGGCCACCGAAGATCTGTCAAACGTAGTAGCCAAACTAAAGGAGATCTCATCTCTTGTTTTGAAACAGGGGTCCTTGCGTGTGGCGGTGACGTGTGGTGAAGATGCTATTTCAACCAACGAAAAATCATTGATCAAGTTTATTTCGAGTCTGCCCGAACAGGGCAAGGCATCTGTGTCGGAATCTGTAAGTGTTCGTGTGGGATTATCGAGATTTTTATTTTATTTTTCTGGGACGAAACTTTTGTATTCTCCGAACGGACTGAGTGTGTGGCTATTGCTCACCTATGTATTATTATGCAGAAGGTGTTTGTACCTCAATTTAGAAAGACATTCTTCCCGTTGCCGTTCTCGGTCAACTTTTCAGCCAAGGTCCTCCGTGGTGTCCCCTACACACATCCTGATGGTGCCAAACTTCAGGTGTTATCGTCATTAATGACAACCCACTATTTGCACCGAGAAATTCGAGAAAAGAACGGCGCTTACGGTGGCGGTGCTCGTTACGCTGGTTTGGGAGGTTTATTCTCATTTTATTCTTACCGAGATCCTCGCACGCTCGAAACCTTGGACACTTACAGTTCATCTGTGGATTGGGTGCAGAAGAGACAATTTACGGATCAGGAGATTACTGAAGCCAAGTTGTCTATTTTCCAAAGTGTGGATGCTCCTCAAAACGTATCGGAGGAAGGCATGTTCCAGTTTGTACATGGCATATCCGATGAAATGAGACAATGGTAAGTCTGCTGTGTTTTGGTTTATTTCTTTTTGTTACGCTACACTGGATTTTTTTTTTGTTGATTTGTTGGGGATGGTATTTTGACCATGTTACTCATATATGGTATTAAACAAAATATAGGCGTCGAGAAGAACTATTACAAGTAACTCAGAAGGATATTAAAGAAATGGCGGAACGGTATCTTGTAGGATCTGTATCTCGAAACGAATATTCTACCACTATTCTGGGCGAGGTTACTGACAAGATTAGTGCTGAAAATGGATGGGATATCAAACAGTGGGGCTCCCCCTCACTATAAAATAATCCTCGATTAACTAGGCCGATAGAGAGAAAAGCAGAAAAAAGAAAATTTACCTAAAGCATATTAAAAAAAGAAAGACAATTTTACAAGGCTGGGATTACCTTATTTCCTATTTTCTCAGGGTTTGACCTCATAGCTACTTGTAAAGGCACTCTTAAATTTTTTTTTCCTCTTTTGGTGGGTTGCTCAAAAATTCAAGGTCTTGCTTCTCCTACCCAAATGCAGCTGACAAATAATAGACGAGCAAAGGTCGGGATAGGGATGAGAAATATGCCCAATAAGCAGGTTGACCAATGAGATTCACATGTCGCTTTGACACCCGGTAGTGGGACGGGGATCGAAATCTATCACATGCCCACATATGATAGAATAAGGGAACTTTTACTCGGACTCCCATAATTGGGAAGCGCCTCTTTTTTGAACTCCAATTTCAAGTTATATAAAGAGCATCAAATATCGCTTCGTAGTTCGTTTTCTTTTTCTTTTTTACAGAGCAATCTATTCTCTTTTTACAACATGACTCAGGACCAAGAATACCAAGATTTCCTTAACGAAGTCGAAGAAGTGAAGAAGTGGTGGGCTTCTCCTCGTTTCGCTCACGTCAAGCGTCCCTACACTGCCGAGTCTGTTGTCTCCAAGCGTGGTACCTTCAAGCAGACCTACGCTTCGTCTGCCCAGGCCAAGAAGATGTGGGACCTCATCACCAAGAACAAGGCTACTGGTGAGACCACCTGGACCTTTGGTGCCCTTGATCCCGTCCAGATCACCCAGATGGCTCCCCACCTCGAGACCGTCTACGTCTCTGGCTGGCAGTGCTCTTCCACTGCTTCCACCAGCAACGAACCCGGCCCAGATCTTGCTGATTACCCCATGGACACTGTCCCCAACAAGGTCCAGCACCTCTTCTACGCTCAGTTGTTCCATGACCGCAAGCAGCGCAATGCCCGTTTGGCCATGACCCCCGAGGAGCGTGCCAACACCCCCAAGATCGATTATCTCCGTCCCATCATTGCTGATGGTGACACCGGTCACGGTGGTATCACTGCCGTCATGAAGCTCGCCAAGATGTTCGTCGAACGCGGTGCTGCCGGTATGCACAGTAAGTATCGTCGTCATTCTACATCATCATCATCATCATCATCACGATGTTTCGTCGTCATCAGTCATTAATGATTTTATTTTTTCTATCTTTTGACAGTTGAGGATCAGTCTCCCAGCACCAAGAAGTGCGGTCACATGGCTGGTAAGGTCCTTGTCCCCATCCAGGAACACATCAACCGTCTTATTGCCATCCGTGTCCAATACGATATCATGGGTGTTGAGAACTTGATCGTTGCCCGTTCCGATGCCGAAGCTGCTACTTTGCTTACCTCCAACATTGATGTCCGTGACCACGAATTCATTGTCGGTTGCACCAACCCTGCCCTCGAACCCTTGGCTCAGGTCATGACCGCCGCCGAAGCTGCTGGCAAGTATGGTGCCGAGCTCCAGGCTGTTGAAGATGAATGGATCGCTCAGGCTGGTCTTAAGCGTTTCGGTACTGCTATTGCCGAAGAGCTCCAGAAGCAGGGTAAGGCTAAGGAAGCCGAAGAATTCTTGGGCAAGATCCACTACAAGTCCAACAAGGAAGCCCGTGAAATTGCCAAGGAATACGGTGTCGAAATCTTCTGGGACTGGGATCTTCCCCGTGTCCGTGAAGGTCTCTACCGCTATGAAGGTGGTACCGAAGCTGCCACTTCCCGTGCCATTGCCTTCGCTCCCTACGCTGATATGTTGTGGATGGAAACCAAGAAGCCCATTCTTTCGCAGGCCGAAAAGTTCTCCAAGGGTGTCTTGTCCGCTTCGCCCAACTCTTTGTTGTGCTACAACTTGTCTCCCTCCTTCAACTGGTAAGTTTTTGATTAATTTGTGGAAGGATGGTTTGGCGAAGCTCCGTTTGAAGGAAAGGGATCAATGAAAAGTGAAAGCTGCATTGATATCTTTTTTTTTTTCACTCGGCAGCATTGGGAAACAGAGAAATGGATATTGAACAAGGTGTATCTAACCACAATCTTTTAATCTTCATTAGGGATGCTGCTGGTATGACCGACGACGACATGAAGGTCTTCATCAAGGAACTTGGTAAGCTCGGCTTCGTCTGGCAATTCATTACCTTGGGTGGTCTCCACGCCAACGCTTTGGCCACTGCCACTTTCGCCAAGTCCTACAAGGAAGAGGGTATGTACGGTTACGTCTCCAAGATCCAGCGCCAGGAACGTGAACACGGTGTCGATGTCCTTCAGCACCAGAAGTGGTCCGGTGCCACCTACGTTGATGAAGTCATCAAGGTTGTCACTGGTGGTGTTGCCGCCACTGCTGCCATGGGCAAGGGTGTCACTGAAGATCAATTCGGCAAGAAATAAGCGCTTTGAACCGCTCTTGCAACCCCTTTATTCCATGTTTATTTCTCAAAACTGTATAGTATAAAAATATGAGGGAACATTTTACATTAGATCGTTCTCAATTATTGTCAAAAAATTGCTTTTCTTTTCCCTGTTATCCTTTTCAATAAAATCAAAAGGTCAAAACAAATAGTTGCAAGTCGAGAGATGACGATGGTTACACAGAAATGTACAAAAGAGGAGACATTTAAGGAAAATTTTACGGTTCCAAGACAGCTGGAACAGATCCTTGCCCCAAAGCTTGACATGCCCCATCCTAAGCTACGGGTTTCACCAGCTTGCTTTTGCCGCTAATCAATAAACTATCGTGAAAATACCATCCCTCCTATTATTATTACCTTTTTACTTCCGTGGAACTCCCGGCGTTATCGGACTCCCAACACCTTGAAAGAAATGATATGGCCTGGGATATTATCGTTGCAAAAATGACGTGAATAAACGGTTCGCTCAGCAAGCGATAAAAAAACGGTACTTTCAGCGGTATCTTTTCTTGTGAGTATTATGCAAGTATGCCACTTACTACTAGAATACGGATACTTGTCAGCTGGACATGGTTGCAGTAGTGTCAGCCGGCCATTACCACTCAGCGTCCCAGCAAATTCAGTTCTTCGCAATTTTTAGTGGAATCCACAGGTCCATTCTAATGCAAAAATAACCAACTCCGTCACGGGAAAAGCATTAAGCTCTCTTCGGAGAAAGGGCTGTCCAAGATACAGCATGATATGGAAACAACATCTGATAATGGCATCGTTAGTAGCGCCGAAAACGACATTTTAAGTTGCCGCTCCTGTTATGCTATCTTCTCTCGTCACCAGTATGAATAGACGATCTGCTAGTATTGATCAAATGATAGTGATACTTTTACGTAGATTTTTTATCTGTGAAATCTACCATTAACGTTTTTGCACATCACGATGAGTTCTCAACCTAGTAAAGTTGGGAGGCTGACCGTCCGGGAACGATTTCTGCAAGCCAAGTCAACGATGACCAAACCGTCCGTCAGTTGATTATAAGATATTATCAAAAGTAGCGAACTAAAAGATGTAAATAAAAGGATTCCATGAAACGGCTCTTGGCTATTCAGCAAGTCCTTATAAGAAAGTGATAGGTTAACGACGTATCTTAACGACAGTAATGAGCGGATGGTTCAATGGATCCAGGTTTTTGCAATTTTTGAAAGGCAGCAAATTAAGCTCCCTTGGGATGTGGATCGGATGATGGATCTCCTGGAAAACTCTACTTTTGAATCTCCGTAGTCCCGAGAAATAAGCTTCGTTTCAAAAAGATGAAGTTTGTTGTTTACAGCAGTGCCATGTATCAACAATCTGGAAAGCATCAATATATATATATATTGAATTGCTGTAGAGAATTATACCGACGTCGCACGGAAATGATCAAATTTGTCAGTTACTCCCAGATGGCAAGTGGTCAAAAATCTCGCTAGCTGGCATGCACTGTACGATGATTAGCAGTATGTTTTATCTAGTGCCCGTCCAGTCAAGCTGCGCATAAAAATCTAAATTCTTCCGCTGCAAAATAATATATTTACTTCAACGGGTACGATAGATTACATGATCATAAGTATAGCATACTAGGTTCCATACCATCTCGAACGTGCATACATGAAAAATGGCTCTACATTATTACACAAAGTTTGCAACTCTTTTCATCGAACTAACAGAAGGAGTTTCCAGAATGCTCAGAAAGACCGAAGCGATTCAATGCAACAGGTCAAGGCATATAGTGACAATATAATATTTCAGGGCTTCCTCCAGGTGCTATGCTTTGGGACAGTTGAATGCTGTCAAAATTTGGGGCGTCAGGTATACAAGTCATATATAACGTAACACCTTCTGAAGCACGATGAATCCCTCAATTGCGTTCTCAACCATATTTGGCAGGAATATCGCCTTTGCTGTCCTGATATTGGGACAGTCATGTTCATCAACTTTTCAAATCAAGATATAGGCTGAAAAATGAGTTTCTGCCCTATCATGGTGTATTATATAACGTATGCCAATGCCGCCTCTCTGCTCATGTTCACTCTACATATTTTGTCTGGGACATATTTCGCTGTCAATAGTCTTTGCAGCGTTCCAGAAGCTTGGCAATTTACTACGCGAATTAGAATGTACTGGTGAAAAATAAGACGGAGCATGGCATAGGCATTCCATCAGTGTTCGGACCAACAGGGTCGGGCATGCCACAATCACGTCATTGGTGCATGGAAACACTGTAAGCACATCAGAAGCGAGAAAGCAAGCGAGTACCACCCAATGAAAATTATCGAATAACCATCAATAGACCACAGGAACGGGAAAACCATTAGAAATGGATTCACCAGATTCACCAAGTGGATTCGCCAGATTCACCAAGTGGATTCGCCAGATTCACCAAAAGGATTCACCAGATTCGTGAAAGTGGAACTCACAGATTCACCAAATTCACCAAGTGAAATTCGCCATCCATTTTGGTGAATCTGGCGAATCCCGCTTCAGTGAATCCAGTCAACCTGGTGAACCTGGCGAGTCATTTTGGCTGACTTTGCCATCAACTTTGTGCATATGCCAATGTTCTCCACGTCAATGATAGCCGCGGACTAACTACTGTAAATATGTTTTGATTAGAAGATCAAACGCTAACTTCATATCAATCCTCTTTGAATGGGAAAATCGCTGCGGTATCCTTTCCAGCAATCAAATACAAACGGAACTTCAAATATTCCAGCTAGCTTTCTTGTATGCTTCTTGGGATGTTGCCCTATTTTTCTTACTGCGCATTGCATGACATTACACAGATCGCAATGCCCACTTGGTTGGTTCCTCGGGGCAACAAAGGTCCGCCAGAACTTTACAGGACGCCACACTATCTTAGACTGTCATCTGCTATTATCGCATTTTTTCCCCTTTGACCCCCATGATTTTGACTTTTTTACTCATAACTTGCCTGTTGCTTCTCCTTTCTTATTGCCATTTCACCTTTTTTTAAGTTTTACTTCCGTTGGATAAACTGTAAAATAAGCATGACAATCTGTCAAATCGGGAAATACCCAATTTTGGATGTCAGCTCGTGAAGACAGTCATTGAATCCTGAATTGCCTCTGCCAACCTTGTCAGCCCGTTCCATTGCAGTGCCGCATCCGCAGCATTCTTCAACATGAGGATACTATGTGTAGCGGAAAAACCGAGCGCAGCAAAAAAGGTGGCGGATATCCTTTCGCAGTCCAACTATAGAACGGTATGCTTTTTGATTAACAAATATTACACGTTTAAAGCTGGGCATTGACAGTTCTCGATTGGGTGGGGGATCAGATCAGCACCAATGATACATACACGCGAAATTATACCTTTAATTATACGCACAACGGTCGATCAACCCACATGATCATGACTTCCTTACGCGGCCATTTGCTGGAGCTCGACTTTCCTTCCCACTTGAAACACTGGCGAGCCTGCGATCCAATTGAACTGTTCGAAGCAACTGTCCATAGATCAGTTCCTGAGGTATGACGATTCAACAAAATCTACTGGGCTTTATATTTTTTTTTTCGGACTAAACATTATATTGCTGTGGCCAGAATAACGAAGCTCTTGCGGATAATCTGAGGCGCGAAGCGCGTAATGTCGACGTTTTGTTCATTTGGACCGATTGCGACCGCGAAGGGGAAGCTATCGGTGCGGAAGCCGTGGAAGTATGTCGTGCAGTTAATCCCCGGTTAGAAATTTGGCGCGCCCGATTCTCGGCCATGGATGCAAGGTATAACGAAATGGAATTTAAAAATTCACTACACCAGTGTATGTGATTTTAAACATTTTTTTTTAGTGCTATTCATCGCGCGGCCCAGAATCCTACCACGATGGATGAACGTCAAGTCCAAGCAGTTTTCGTACGCTCCGAACTCGATCTACGAATTGGCGCCGCTTTCACACGACTGCAAACCTTCAAATTAGCAAACTTTTTCCAGGATCGCAAGGTCGTGAGTTATGGTAGGGTGAGACCACGCGGTGGCGCTTATGGAACATTGAACCGGTGGATGCTGATGATCGTTTCTTTACAGGAAGTTGTCAGTTTCCTACTCTGGGCTTCGTCGTAGATCGCTATAAAGCTATCGAGAACTTTGTGCCTGAGGAATTTTGGAAAATCAATCTTTCGTATACACAGACGCAAGATCGCAACTCTGATTGTGAATCAATCACGACTCAATTCAATTGGAAACGGGGTCATTTATTTGATCGCTGGGCTACTTTTGTTCTGTACGAAATGTGTTACCAGAATCCAATGGCTACCATTACCAAAGTCCAACGAAAAGAGGTTACAAAATGGTAAATTTTTATCATGGAAGCTGTGTATTTGTTGGATATTGGAAATGCTAATCCATATGTCGCTAGGAAACCACTACCATTGACAACTGTGGAAATGCAAAAAGTGGGATGCCGTGTTTTGCGAATGACCGGTGAACGCATCATGAAGGTACATATCTTTAGCGATTGGATCATAATCGACTCTTTCTCCTCATCCGACCTTTTTTTTCCATTATATAGGTTGCGGAAGAACTATATACACAAGGTCTGATCAGTTACCCAAGAACGGAAACAGATCAGTTTGATTCAAATTTCGACTTTCACACCTTGATTGAGAAACAGACTCGCGATAATCGATGGGGCCAATATGCTGTCTTGTAAGGAAGAGGGTGGACGATGTGGCAAAACGAGTGGTTAGGTCCACTAATATGACTTTGTCTTAGACTACGCGATGGAGAGTTTGAACGACCAAGAAATGGTCGGAACAATGACAAAGCCCATCCTCCTATCCATCCCACCGAGTATAAATCCGGTTTGTCGGGTGATCATCTTCGCGTGTATGAATTTATCGTTCGTCGCTTCTTGGGTTGCTGCTGGAAGAACGCAGTGGGTTTTGAAACGGCAGTGGAGGTCAAGGTCGCATGCGAGACATTTGATGCCAAAGGTAAACGAAGAGAACCGAAGAAAGGTCCATAAATATTGTAATTCCGGGCTGACCAATACTATCTTGTCAGGTCTTGTGATCTTGGAGCGGAATTTTTTGGAAGTCTATACCTATGACAAATGGAAAGGAAACTATTTACCGGAATTCAATGAAAACGACCAGTTTATGCCGACGGTTTTGGAAATGAAAAGCTCCGTGACCCAACCTCCCAAACTACTGACAGAATACGATCTGATCAGTCTTATGGAAAAAAACGAAATTGGTACCGATGCGACCATTGCAGAACATATTCAAAAGATTCTGGATCGACAATATGCATTCAAAAACGGGCAGTATTTTCGACCGTCGACGTTGGGCATTGCATTGGTACTGGGATATGATGAAATTGGATTCGACTCGAGTCTCAGTAAACCATTTTTGCGAAGAGAGGTAATTCATCCTTTTGCTTACTTGCTTGCATGTCTGTGTGGATTTTTTTTCCTAATGTTTAACTGTTTTCATCACGTCAGATGGAAGCCGATCTCAAGCAGATTTGTGAAGGACGAAAGTTGCAAAATGCGGTATTGCAACAAAGTATAGAGCGGTATCGACAAATGTTCTTCAAGTCAGTACAAGAATTTGGAAAGATCATCACTTCTATGCAGCTACATTATCGAGCGACGGAAGATCAATCGGGAGGTGCAGGTGCAGCAATCGGCATCGGAGTGTCCGAGGACGAGGACGAGGGTGGAGATGACGGTGATCATGGTGATAATCAGCGCCCCTCGGGAGGAGGAAACGCCAGACGGTCTACCGGAACACGTGGACGAGGTCGCGGAGGTCGTGGATCATCGAACCGTGGAGATGGAGGAGCTGGACGTCGAACGTCTGGACGTGGTCGTGGCCGTGGCCGTGGACGCGGAGGTGGACAATCATCGTCAAACGATCAATCATCAAACGGTCCACCTTGTGAATGCGACTTTCCCAGTGTAAGTCAAACAGTTCGAAAGGCTGGTCCCAACAAAGGTCGTGAATTCTTTGTTTGTGGACGTCAAACATGCAATTTCTTTGCATGGAATGATGACAGACGCGGACCGTCCTAAAGACCAGCCATTATTCATATTTTATTGCATGACAGAGCACTGCTTTGTCACTTATTATGTAAATACTTCTTTAATCTGTAAAACCTAACCTTATTTCCTGTGCATTAAAATTCTTCATACCATTCACTCACAAAATCCATGGAAACTTTCACTGCAGATATTTCTGGGTCTAAGATTGACAGACAAATATTACAAGAAAAGGATCCTATTACGTAACATGCACTTGCAGAGTTACAAAAGAGAAAATTGTTATTGAATGATATGCGACAAAATAAATTCAATTTGTAGGCAGCAGACAACATGTCCAAAGTTTAGTGTCAAAAAAGGTTTTACGAAAAGCTAATTACATCTTGGCCTTTTCGGCTTTGCTCATCCATCCAAACTCCTAATTGCCACAGAAAGAAAAAGAACAAACGTCAGCAAAGGCATGTTAATCAAGCAAATAAAATAGCCTTACCAATTTTGTACGTCCCCCAGGCGCGATCAAGGTGTTGATGACACAGGTCTCATTTTTAAGGGCCATTGCTTCCTGCAATGCTTTACGTAATTCCACCCGATTTTTCACAAGCCATCCTTTACCACCGCAAGCTTCGGCAATTTGCTCGTATCGTGTCTCTGGAGAAAGCGACGTCGTAGGCAAAGTACCCTTGTTGCGTGATTCTTCATATTCGCCCTTGTCCAGACCGTGGTAGATACCGTTATTGTTAATGACGATGATCAACAACGGCATATTCGATCTAATGGCGGTCTCTAATTCCATAGCACTTTGACAGATTGCAGTTGAGCATTAGCCACTGATCTCTCCCTTACTCGTGATGTTTATAATGCTTACCTGAATCCAAATGCCGAGTCTCCCACAATGGATACAATACGTTTGTTTGGATAGTATTGTTGAGCTACGTAGAGTAATCTTTAATAACATTATCATCATGGTTTTGCCTAGTACATTTTTTAAACATACCTGCAATAGCATAACCCATACCAACACCCATGGTTGCACCGGTACCCGCGTCCAATCGATGACGAGGTTCGTGAACGTCAAAGTACGATCGCGCAATATCCATGGTATTCGCACCTTCACTGACATAGATGACTTCATCGGTCGGTAGCAGGTCCTTGATGACTGTGAATGCGGTATGATAGTTGAGAATGGAGGTATCTGTTCCTTTTTGTCCATTTGCCTTCATTTTGGCGATATTCTGCTCCACTTTATCGCGCAACCCTTTAACATAGGCGTCTTGCGAGGACAATCGCCGTAAACGTTGGGTGAGTAACTGGGCAACAACTGCTTTGATATCTCCCAAAAGAGGAAGCGTAGGGGCTCCATTGTTGCCAATTTCCTCGGGAGAAATATCGATATGAATATAACGCACAGAGGAGGACCAACGAGGCGAATGGCCGTAATGCAAAATCCAATTAAGTCGGGCACCGATCAGCAGAACAACGTCAGCTTCTTTGAGTGCCTTGGAACGAGCGGCCGAAACGCACAGTGGATGAGTGTCGGAAACAACGCCTTTACCCATCGGTGTCGGCAAAAACGGAATTTGCGTCGCTTCCACGAGTTGTCTGATTTCATATTCAGCACGGGCATAAGCTGCACTATAAATCATATTTCCTTGATGAGCATGCTACTGTCGGGTCCCTTTCTTGATTTTTTCTATGAAGCTCACCCTTTCCCCAACACAATCAAAGGTCGCTTGGCATTATTCAGCAACGATAAAGCTTCTTGAAGATCGCTTTCGAAGGCTTGACTCATAGGTGCATTGGGTACAGCGGGCATTTGGACCCTTTCAATGGACTCGCGATGACGAATAGGATATTGGATAAAGTCCGCAGGGAAATCCACATAGGTTGCTCCGGGCCGTCCGTAGAACGCAGTGCGCAGTGCTTTCTCAATAACAAACGGGATGCGATCAATGGCTGTAGGGCGTGCTGCGTATTTGCAGTAGGGCTTGCAAGCTTCCACTTGATCGAGCTCTTGGAAAGCGCCCATATCAACTTGGTCAGAATCGCACGATCCGGATAACAGCACCAGAGGCCAACAATTGAGTTTGGCATTCAAAAGACCAGCAAGAGCATGAACGACACCTGGACCACCAACTGTCAGACACACTCCGGGACGACCGCTCAAATATCCATAAGCTGATGCGGCATAAGCGGCCGATTGTTCGTTTCGAAAGGCAATGAACCGAATACCGTGGGCAACACAAGCTTCGGCAATTTCAACTACAGGAATGCCTACAATACCAAATACAACGTCGACATTCTGTTTCTTCAAAGTAACTGCGATAAGTTCGGCTCCACTAGCGGCCGGTGCATCCTTGGCACTTGACATGATAATGGCGATGATAAAGCTGCTTTATCGAACCCCGCATCCTCCATTCAAAACCGGTTTGCACATAAGAGAGAGATTGGCCAATGAGAATCGATTGAACGAAAGAGTCGTCCGTTTCCGAATGAGTCAGACTTTCCTATTCCCGAGTCAACATCGAAACGTCTTTCTTCATCCATACGACGATATGCGTTTGTATACATCGCCATCTTCACCTGAAGTGATATGTCTTTATATCTTGTTTGCATCATCGTTTCATCACTGCTGTGTGTTATAAACAAACACAGTATCATACTAGTATATTTCCCAAAAAGGCAGAAAGTAAAACTGCGATTTCCAGTTGTAGTCCAGAATGCTGCTGCCTGAAAATGATGAGATGATAAATTCTTTGATTTGATGCTTTTATTTTTAAAATATATTTTCTTGCAAATGAATGTTCATGGCGAGCTTAACAGAAACAAGTGGCTACGCTAGAGGAACCAAGGAGTGGGGGAAAGGAAATGGGGAAGAAAGCAATGTTATTTGATTACAATGATAAAATGGGGAAACTTTTTTTTCTTTCTAACTTGAAAGGGAAGAAAAATACCGGATGACGTTTTTTTATGTGCTGAATGGGCATGCGCTGCGGGGGAAAGTGGCAATCAAGTAAAAATTTATGCGTGAATACCGAGATGATTCAGTTGACCTTTGAAGTCATGGACCACTCTGTTCTTCGAAGTGCGAGCATAGACGGTGTAGTAACGAAGTTGTTCTTGAATACCATCAATGGACGATTGCAGTAACGGCAGAACATAAGCGTGGGTCAACTGTACAATGTTGGATGCTTTCTGGAGCGGGGCCAATTCCGGTTTTAGTGCTTCGGTGCGAATAATATCGTATTCATGGCTTGCAAAATCAACTAGTGGCGTCATAAAACCTGGTATTTTCCCATGGCTGTGTTCTTTCATATATGCAGAGGCAGTATCCAAGCGTCCGATCAACTCCATCGTCAGATCATTAATGCGTTTGTTTGCGGTAGCTTGTGTTTGATGTAACTGTTCGTTGGCGAGGTTCTTACGATACGTGACCCAGTCGTGGAGGTGGCTGCTAAGCTGACCAATATTTGTTGCTGCTTCTTGCAACAAACGGTTGGTGTCAGCGAGGTGAGCCAAATCGGACTTGGAGTGCGGCAAATGTTCCATTCCACGATACAAACGATGTGACAAACGATGCTTGACTTCATTGGCCAGACGATAGAATCGAACCTTGGCATTTTTATCTTCTTCCTCTTGTTGTTGTTGTTGCTGTCGCTCATTCTGTTCCTTATCTTTGGTTTCGCGCTGTTGTTGTTCTTCTTCTTTGGGCAACCATTTATCGACAATAGACTGAATGTTATCAGCGGCATCCATAAAACGCTGATTGACTGGTGCGGTGACGACTTGATACATTTGTTGAGGCGATTGCTTGACGGCTTCAATCAGGTTATTCGTCGGTTGACAAACAGCGGGGAATTTTTGTTCAATCATATCAAGCGAGCGGCATCCGAAAGCGTCGGCTTTTCGGAGCTGTTGTTCGTATCGGCTGGTGTATGGCGACGCAATCTGAGTGGCAATATTCAAAGTGATCTCGGCTTGTTGTAATGCATAACGACTAAGCGTATTCTGATTGGCATAATGTTGAACTTTTCCCAGGCTATCCTGAACAATCGGCAATGAGCGCACGCGTGTCCAGAAGGAACCGCTGGTTGTGTCGGATTCAGGGTTTAGTTCCCTGGTGGAAGAAGTGTGATTTTCATTGTTGTTGGTTTCGTCTATTTTAATATTGAAGAAAAGTTAGATATCTGTAGTACTTCCAGCTATTTCTGTTCTCTCGAGTTACGTACCATTGACTGTAGCGTCATCATGACTTCGCTTATCAAGAGGGACATCGTCCTCGAGAACATCATACGCGTTGTGGGTGGGTACGCTTTCAATAGCGTTTTCTAAATGATATTGAGTCATATCTCGGTGAGAAAACAGGAATGAGTAAAAAAGATGAAGGTTTTTCTGGTGATTGGGGGAAAGAATTTTTTCCTTCTCACCTATTTATGCTCTTTGCGGTGAAGACTGTGACTTTGATTAACATGTGAAATTTGAAGATGAACAGAGCGCACGTGCCAGAAGGCGGAGATTGAACTGTGACATCATTGTAACTGCATGGTATTGTTTTTGCAGCCGCCAAGGGTCAAACAGCCGTCCGACGTGTCTGGTTTCGGCGTTTTCGCCAAACGTTTTTGCGATAATAAGCAAGGCCATAGATGGTAGGTTAATTGCCACCTGCAGAATGCAACTCAACCTAAAAATATGCACTGTTATGAGTCTAATATAGATGAAGATGGTATTTCGCAATGCTAAGCTCAAAACCTTGAATATTTCTTGAGAATTAGTTAGCAGATGTGATCAAATTCGATACATGTAACCATATTTTGTCAGTCAACTTTCCAAACGTGTCTTTGTTATTGTCTTACAGAGAATTATTTGTCTCGAGGCGAGCACCACGACGTAAAATGAAAATGACACCATGAAACTGTACGAAATAAAAGAATCTAAAGCTAAGGATCTCTCGGGGATATATGTTTTGGTAAGGCACTTATCTTTCTACTTCCGATGGATCATTGGTAATGATAGCCGATATAAACTAAGATTGGCAATTCAATTCGACTCTGACAACACTGAGCCACATGTCCTTCTTTCCCATTATACCCAGAGATCCTGATCCTTAAAACGACAAAACTACAAACAATGCTATGTTTGTGCACAAAGCCAAACGTCATTGTTGGAAACTCAGCATTAACCCAAAGGCCATGGCTTGCAATAATACAGTGGCTTTGATCCCTAGCTTTTAATGTTATCACTACACCCACCCAACGGACCGCCATCCAGGGTTTATGGATCATCAAATGTCAGAGAATAACTTGCATAATAAGCGCTAAATCTCGACAGAGTGATAACCGTATGAGATCATGAACCAATCCTTTGCTCGCTCTCAAACCAAAAAGTTGGATATTTTGTTTGGTAGATGGGTAGCCTTCACTTTTAATTTGAAATACGCTTGATGCGCTTTCTATACAGATTATCACCGTATATCGTTAGTAGGCCGGCAATGTTTTCAAATTTGAAAAGCAACAGGCGTAAAATCAGATAGACAAAAAATTGCAGTAATAACAAGTCAAATAATGTAGTCAAACGTAAAAGAAGCAAGTTGGTATGACAGTATAGCAAAATGTGTATATAGTTTACGTATCTGTAAACTTCTGACGGCCCTTTGATGCCCCCGAGGCACCGACCTTGGAGAAAAAGAAGCCATTGAGAAAGAAGAATGGGTTAGCGTTAACAAACTGTTAACGATGCCTTAAAAGTAGGGATAGTATCACAGGATTTACTGTTATTTGATTACCCCTTCAAAAACTCATTCGCATTTTATTTGCTTCTTGGGAGGGTGTTCGAGAATTTTCACTTTGGATAGTTTAGTCCAGATGTTTTTTCTGAGCAAAGGAGGAATAAGGTTGACCCAAAAGGTATCAGGATGCGTAAAGGTTGAACATTTCCTCATTTACTTTTAATTGATTGCTGCGAACGCGATGCCCGTAAATTGCTACCCTTGTAGTACTGAGTTACTGAATAGATTATCCCGGTGTGGTGTGACACAGGAAGAACATTCTTAGGAATATCAATCAGTACAAACAGTATTCATCGCGATCAATGTAACTATCAACGACACCAGTTTTATGAGTCTAATTCCTATAGTAGTTTATATTCAATAACAATATCACTCACCACCGTTTTGGCTCGGCCTTTGTTATGTATCCTGCCGATGGAGTAAAGCAAAAAACAATTGTACGTACGAAAAAAGAATGGAGCAAACCTTGCAAGAAGGTTAGATACATTTTGTGATATCTTTCTTTTGATATTGCGGAAAAGCATCCAACATGCATTGCGGAGCTGCCGGGTTCACATAAACATGAATTTTAGCTAATACCTTGATGATATCTTCTGTCAAACAATCTACATTCGTCGTAAAAGAAATGTCAACTAATTTGAAAGAAGAAAAAGACCAACAGACTAATTACGCTGCAAAACTCACAAATTGGGCATAGCATTACAATAACAAATCTCCCAGCATACACCTTCAAATATATTTCAAAATCAAAGCTTGCTTTCATCTCTCATCTTTTCCAACATTTTTTATGTGCATTATATTGAGAAATGGTGATTGATTGGTTTATGTGATGGAAAACGGCAAAAAAAATTGCAAGACACAGATTTTACATGGCAACGGATGGGACGAACCATCATGAATTAGTGGCCTTCTTCTGGCAAGGCTTCAAAAGCCATCTTGAGCTCCTTAATTTTCATGCCCACTTTGCCCTGCACTTCTGCACGCATTTCGTCCGTCGGCAAATCCTTCAAAAATGTATCAAAAGCATCGATGCAATCCTTCACCGCCTTCTCCGCTGTGACTCGATCCTCGTGGTAATAAACTGAACCTTGTGATTCCTCCGCATATTCCATCTATCACCTTGTAAGTCTCTCTTACAATATTATCACGGTCTCTGATTCTTTTCTTCACAGTACCTCGTCTTTGGCAGCAGCAAATAACTCTTCAATTTTGTTCATAGCAGCTTCCATTCTTTCTTTTCCCTGGTCAGCGGCAGGTACGGATGAAGAGAACGATCGCAACGGCACCGCCATGCCTTTAGCAAAAGCTGCCTTGAGGGGAATATCTATACGCAAAAGCATGAGTGACATTTTACATTTGGCGTATACGAAAAACCAGCAACGCACATGCGGAAATAGCGAAACGTGGACGATATGCAGGGAGTATTCTTGCACTTTTACAGGTTCTAGTGATGGCAATGACGCGATTCATTTTTTTGGGTGTTTAACAATGAGGTCAGATTCAGTGAAAAGACTTGGAGGCCCACCGCCATTTGAAAAATTGTATAAAAATTAAAGCGGTTGGAGCTCCGTGCAGCGCGGTGAATCGGACATGAAGTTGTCCAACACACTAAAGAGAATCGGCGGGAATGTGCTCTGCGTGAAATAAATCTACAGCCAGCATGTTTCATTTCTGTCAAAACTAAAGCCTCATGCACGGGACACAAGCGTGCTATAATGGATGAAAAACGTCTTGGTTTCAACGCTTCTCTGCCGTCACAAACGATTAAATTTGTCGATATGGCTTGAAATGGTTGAAAGATCGCTTTAAAAAATAGCTCAAGACGAAAACAACAACAACAACAAGAGATGGATAATATAACTTGTCGCCTGATACGCTGGGCATTGAATGTAGAGTAATCTTTTCGATCAACCTTAGAAGAGGCTTCTATATAATTTCGTCCATTGGTGAATTATTGTGCGGTTCCTGAAAAATGGCCCATCCAAGTGGTGCTGCGCAAAGCGGCGGCTTGGTGTGACTCGTTTTCCCGATTTTCGAGAAAGGGCAGTTTTTTTTTTTTTGGCATTTCGAATTTTTTTTTCCATATATCCTTCAACAATCCTTTAGTAAAGTCTTCTCGACCATGGGTCAACCGGATTTGAAATCACTCGTTTATAAATACCTTTTGGAGAATGGTCTCGAAGGCAGTGCTAAAGCCTTGAAGAAAGACGATCCCAACGTAAGTTATTCAGTATATGAAAGCTTTCGATCAGCCAACCAAAATGTGATCATATCATTTATAGATCAATGCCGATGCTTCCATTTCCTTGTCATCGATCTTTGAGAATTATATGAGGGAGTATGTATTCTACCTTTTTCCTGTACAGACTATAGGATTAACCCGAGCCTTTTTAACTAGTCATCCCGAAGAATCAGCTTCCAACAGTAGCGATTCGTCCGATTCCGACAGCAGCAGCGACAGTGAAGATGAAAAGAGCTCCTCCTCCTCCTCCTCTTCTTCTTCTTCTTCCTCGTCTTCCTCTTCCGAGAGCTCTTCCTCTGAAAGCTCGGAAGATGAGTCCAGCTCCTCCGATTCTGAGAGTGAGGATGAACAAGTGACAGCCATGGAGGTTGATATCAAGGTCCAAGAATCGTCCAGCAGTGAATCTTCAAGCAGCGAATCATCTAGCTCCGAGAGCAGTGATTCTTCTGATTCTTCCAGCTCTGACGAGGAAAGCAGCAATGAAGATGAAGACACACCAATGACCGAAGCCGCCGAGGCCACCAAAGCTGAGGCCGAAAGCAGTGAATCGTCAAGCTCTGACAGCGAATCCAGTGATTCTTCGAGCTCCGATGAGAGCAGCAGCAGCAGCGATAGCGAAAGTGACAGTGAGGACGAATCACCCAAAGAAAAGGAAGCCGAATCCTCGCCTAGCGCTACAAGCGACGATAAGAAGGAGGAATCCTCCAGCAGCAGCTCTTCCTCATCCGAATCCGAGTCCGAATCCGAGTCCGAGTCCGAGTCTGAGGCTGAGACCAAGGCCAAGTCCAAGTCTGATTCTGACAGCGATTCCAGCAGCTCTGATTCTGAAAGCTCCGACAGCGACAGCGAAGATGAAAAGGAAACCAAAGTCGCAGTGGAAGTGGCTATGGAAGTAGATGCCAAGGAAGAAAGCAGTGACAGCAGTAGCGATAGCGATAGCGATAGCGATAGTGATAGCAGTAGCAGCTCAAGCGACGAGTCCGATGAGGAAAAGGAAAATGAAACGGAAAAGAAAGAAGATGCCGAAAGCAGCTCCTCATCGTCCAGCTCATCATCTGACGATGACAGCGATTCCTCGAGCTCCGACGAAGAGGAAGAAGAAGAAAAGAAAGAAGAAAAAGAAGAGAAGAAGGAAGAATCCTCCAGTTCATCTGATTCCGATTCTTCCAGCGACGATTCCGATTCCGATTCTTCCAGCGACGATTCCAGCAGCAGTTCGAGTGACGAAGAGGAAGAAGAAAAGAAGGAAACACCCTTGAAACGTAAAGCAGAAGAGGAACCTGAGAGTAACCAACCCTTAAAGAAGACGAACTCTAGGTGAGTTCGTAGATAAATAAAGCATGTATAAGAGTATTAGTATTTATCAACCGCCTTGTCACAATAGCACTCAAGGACCTAAGAAGAAGCATGAGCGTAAGCCAGGTACTCCTTTTCAGCGCGTCAGACCCGAAGAAGTGGAATTTGTCGATGATCGATTAAGGGATAACTCGTACGTCGGTAAAGGTGGCTCGGATGAGAGATCTTACGGCTGGAAAGCTCATCAGGATCTGATCAAAGTCCGAGGCGATCGATTCCGTGCGGAAAAGAACAAAAAGAAGCGAGGTTCCTACCGAGGCGGAGAAATCACCTTTGAAAGTCACAGCATCAAGTTTGACTAAGTCTTTCATTTTCTCAAAAAGCATTTTTTCTTTTTTTATCCACCACATTTATCTATAGAGTTTGATATTCCTCAAATTTGTAACATTAGTAAAAACATGCATTTAAAACGCTAAACGTCGTCCATAAAAATGGTCCTTGCGCAGTTCACACAGGGTCATCTGGTATCAAAGTTATGTATCAGGATACAAAAAAATCCTGCCCCTTCTGCCACTGAGGGTCGCTCTTGGTTTCTGAGACATTCGTTTCGAATACAAAAAGTTTGTCAACCTGGAGGCATTTGCTCGAGTTTCTCACTGTGGAAATATGAAATGCGTGTATAATGCTGAGCTTCATATCAAAAGTTTTAGTGCGATGATTTTATGGCTCTATGGTTGTAGGGTGCATGTCAGTAAGTATTGGCGTTGTAAGTAAAAAATACCACTGTAAGCGATTGCAGAATGTGCGGCAGCATGAATGAAGCACATAAATTTCTCCTTGTAGACAACGAAATAAATCCTTGCTTTGGCCTCCTTGGAATTTTTTTTCCCTCCCACTTTTTTCTTGCTCCCGTTTTCTTCCCTTGACCTTTTGTTTTTCCTTTTTGCTTGATCTGCTTGTATTATTGTATATCATTGTTTCTTATCCTTGCCATAAAAATTAACAATTTAAAACTCGAGTCCTGCGATTGCAACAGATATGGCTACGACATATGATCAGTACTCTGCAAATGAAATTCAAAAAGGTGCACCGTCACCGCGGTTTTTTCATCCCGCAGAGCGTTCAAAAAGGCCACAAAGTTCATTTGTACCAAAATCCAGTGATAATCCCAAGTCTCCGCGGTCCTCGGATACTAAATCTGGAACTGCTCCGCATCAAGGTATAAAAAATAGATGTACACTACTGCTTTTTCCATTCTTTTTCAAAGTGTGCAACGGAGAGAAGTATAGAGAAATATTTTATGGACGATTTGCATTGATCGTCCGTCCAAGGATGATTGACCTCGTATTTTCAACGCTTTTTGTTCGTTTTTTTTCTTCTCTTACATCCACTAATTCATGGTTCGTTCACTAACTTTCTCTTTTTGTGTGTGTGATGTAATTTTTCAGGCACCAATTTATCGCATGTGCCCTGCAAATTTTTCAAGCAAAGAATATGCACTGCGGGCACCAATTGCATCTTTTCACATAACTTGGACCCATCGATAGGGCCTGCTGTATGTAAATACTTTATAAAAGGCAATTGTAAATTCGGAACGAGGTGCGCATTGTTGCACACCATGTCATCGTATACTCCTAAAAATCGCAAATTCGCTTTCAAGGGAGCCGTTACCATCCTTTCAGCAAAAATTACTGCAGGCAATCAACTTCCCAACCATCACATCAACCAATACGATGTTTGCCAACCGTTAGTTTCCAGCTCCATTTACAGCGATAATCTCAGCATTTCGGCCGATGAGTATTTCAACCGCTTCCATCACCTCGCATCAATGCTGCCTCACAAGCAAGACGCCCCGTTTCCATTTGTTGCGTCCTATCCCCAGCCCTCGTTCGCCAATGTATATCAACAACGGGCATATTCCTCAAAGTACGCGCAACGGTGTATAGTGACCGATTTGTCAAAAGACATGTTACCAAGCCGGCCCGTACTATGTGAATCCTCCGATGATTCTGCGGGTTCGTTACCATCATCGACCACTCCAGCCCCATTCGGTTTCTCCTCCTCTTTGACTTCTTCTCACGCGCCACCGTCACCAGCTGCTCATATGATATCTTGCAGCGATCGGTCCTCGGATCTGGTTCCTGACGTCTGTTTATCCAAATACCGCAAACTACCACCATATTACACTCCCACATCTTATCCCGACGATTGTTATGACGACAATAATGAAGGTTTTAATGATGCCATTTTACCGTCTTCGCTCAATGATCTCCTCACAGCCTCCGAGCTTGAATTGCGGGAACGCCAGGCACACTGTCAACAGCAGCGGCAACTAATGAGAGGCCACTCAACCCAGCGATCGTGCCAAAGTCACAGCCCACAGGAATCGGAAGCTTCCTTTTTTTATCCCATGAATAACAATCACACCATCTTGGTCCAAATGGCCACAGATGAGGGTAACTGAAAGCCAACGCATGACCATTACTATTCCTGAAAGCGCATGCTATCTCTTTCATTCATATGTAACTTGTTGTAGATTTCGGCGCCCCATCATACTTGATGATACGATCCATCTTCTGTTGCACCATGCTATTATAGACATCGTAAATAAACACATCATCCGCAAACAAATAGATATCATAATAGAAAAAAAAAGTTGACCAATAAAATAAAAGAGGATCTATTAATTGTAATTTGAGGATTGAAGTAATGACAAGAAAAAAAAAATGCTGGGATGCCATGGAATACAAAAACTAGACAAAGTGTACGAATAAAACAAAAGGGAATTTGATGCTACAGTGCTGTAATTGGTGACCAAAAAAATAATCTCTATCGACGAAGAATGACCCAAATCAATGAATTATATTTTACCCAACCCTAAACCCACCAGAGGAATCCATAACAAGATGCCACTCAATACGGGAATGATAAAGTTATCATCCAAACCCACAGTATCGGCCATGGCTTCCGACAATCCCGCCACAACACCTCCGTAAACCGACAACACACTCAACGGCACGTGCGCCTCAGTCATGTAGGACGATCCTCTCTTCTGATAGAACGCATATGTCACGAGCGCACCGATAATCATTGCTCCCGAGGTACCGGCCAATGATTTCTTGCCAAAGCGAGGGGTATACCGACCCCATAATCGTCCGCAAATGCTCGCTGTGGGATCCGCCCAGGACAAGTAGATAATGGAGAGAGATGCAATGTCCCTGGGGAAGAAATACAGGACAAACAAGCAACCTATAGTCAAAATAGATTAAGAACATGGACTTGTATACACAAACACTATGTAAAAAGCTCGACTTACCGGCCAGATAGTACACCACGCCATTCCATCGACTCTTGATCTCGGTTTGTCTCATGAGTGGACCCAAGATCCGGCAGTATAATACATTGAACCAATCAAAAGAGAATCGCAATACTTCGCCTGTCAGCACCAGTGCCAAATATGCTACGAGGTATGGTATAACGTCAGTTGTATCGTAACCATTCTCGTACAGATAATACACCAAGAAACCTAGATAGACGCTGAATAAGCAACAATAGGACTAAACCAGGCAAATTGAGAATCGATCCTTACCAACAGAATAATGGTAAACCTTGCGTGGAATCTCCCAGCTACCCGTCGGTTGAATGTGGGCAAAGCGAGAGTCCTTTGACTGTTTCTTTGAATCGACAGGCTTTTCAGCAACAGTGGACGATCGATTCATGAGCGCAGAAGAAATGGCAAAAAAATGAATAACCAAAAAAAGCGCTCTAATTTTCTGGAAACCCAGCTTTACGGGAACTGCCAATTATTTCAAATTCCGTTACCTCACCATGGTGCTAAAAAACTGCATACAATGGGTGACTTACTGTTTGCATCGTCACTCTTGCATTCCTTTTTTTTTATCCCACTCCATTCACGCTTTATTCCTTTTCTCTCTTGCATTGTCATCTTTCTAGTCCCAAAAGCTCGATAACGTGTCTAAAAAGACAGGACCTCGTTCCCATTCTATTGGTGCGTGTCTTGCTGAGTTGTAAAACCAGGAATTCATTGGTGGATTTACGATAAAAAAGAAAATGACATGTGAAAAAAATCCCAAAGCGTTGCCAAGGTGAATATGAAAAAAAAGTATAAAAGATCATTCACCAAGCCATAGTCTAACAAGATACTCCAATACTCTCATCTTGTTAACTGAGTGGTTTGTTGCATAGTGATGATGCATGATCCGTTTCACAAAAAAAATAGAATCCAAACGCCGTCCATCCACAAGGCACCGAAATGATGACCAATCTTTTCCATAAATGAGCACGTTCACGTTTTATTACAGAAACTGTCTTTCGTATGCGTCTTGATATGAGGGTTATATTACAAAATGGATTTATCGGATAAGGTTGTAAACGGTAGAGGCGGTGGTACCAAGGACAGCGAGGAAGCCAAGCATGCCAAAGATGCCGCGAGTGCGCTTGCTAGGTTCACCGGTGCAGTAACCATTGACGTAGATAATACGTCCTACTAAGTAGAAGGCACCGGCAGCCGCGGAAATTTCAGCGTGGCGCAAACCACCAATCAACAAGAGAGTGAGGAAAACGGGAAGCTGTTCGAGGGAGTTTTGGTGGGCGCGTTGGGTGCAGTTGAAGATGTACTTCTTTTTATCCTTGTCAGCCTCTTCTTGGGTGGCGTAAGCTGGTAAAAAAATCAAAACAATATTGATTTAGTCGCTGGGATGGTTAGAAATATTGGTAATAGCGACTTACGGTAAGGGTAAGGAACATTAGCGGCTTTGCGAGCACCACCGACTCGAATACCGATGGAGAACGTGTACACAGCAGTGACGGCAGCAACACCAAGGACCTATTTGGCTTGTTATTTAACGCTGTTCCAATTCATCACATACAGCGTGTCGAGTATACTTACGTAACCGTATTCAGAAGGGATAGTGAGAGCAACCATAATTATTTAATCAATTAGAGAAAGTTAATTGTATCAGAAAACTGGGCGTTAAGTGAACTCAGTATTTATAGTAAATTACGAAGCGGACAATGCTGCTTGATTACAAATGCATTGTCAAGGTTTTCTTTCGTTTTCTATTCCGCATTATGCTTGCTGACGTGGCAATCGTAATTTTGTGTCACTAGACCTGCCAAAAATGGAAGTCTATAAGCCACCATGTATCAAACAACTCATCGAAATTTCTCCCTCGCCGCAGAAATGGCTGCTCATTGGCTCACCACCCTCACCTCTTTTTGATGAGAGAAGCCTTGTTGTGTTATCCTCGTTATCAGGGTTTGTAAAGATGCTTGATGGTAAACGTCCCTGAGCTAGTCATGAATTGAATGCCCTCCCCAGACATTCTAGATGGGTTGCTGTTTCACCCAGAAACTACCACAAGTGTCTATTTTCGCTTCCGACACAAATTTCCTCTTCCATATCAAAGGCACAGTGTGAAGGAAACGCAGTTGCGGAGTTGGAACGCAAGCCAGAAGTGTGGATGGAACGCACTTGGAACGCAAGCCCCATGTTTGACCTTTTACCCACGTGACATGGCTCATCAAGGTTTGCAAATCCATAAGTTTTTTGCACGTCCTTCATCTATTTGTTTAAGAGTTGGTTAAAGATAACTGCAGCAAGCGATAGTCATCAAAAATCGATGCAAGGTAGGATCCAAGAACTTTGTCCAAACCACTCTGAGGCATCCTTGCATTAAAAAGGAGGAAAAATGACATACCAACGGAAACACAGCCCGATAAGCTTCTTCCAAGTATCCCCAAGCCATCTGTGGCTGAATATTACTATTATCACGGTTGTTAGACCACTGTCAATCTGGAATCGACGGATTCCAAGCCGATCGACGCTGATCATTTTACAGATTTGCAGTTATTCAACTTTATTCAGGATGACAGGTTTGTCATATCACCCAAAATGCTTAAGTCCATATTACGGTTTGCATGAGCCATAATATGGAGTGGGCATGATCGGATAAAAAAGGTGGCAATTCGCATGTGCTGACCAGAAAAGGAAAATTGGGGCGATGAGGAATATGGTTGCAGCCTATGGCATCGATATGTTTTTATTTTTCGCTTTTGGAAAAAAGAATGAAAATGTGTTGAACTGTTTACAAGAAAGATGTGTTGAACATCCAGAGAGTATATGTATGAGGAAAAAAACAAAGAGAGAGAAAAGAGAATCGGTATGAGATGGAAATTAAGGACAAGGTGCGAAAAAAAAAGAAACTTTTTTGTATTGTTGGAATTTTTCTTTTAGATGGTGGCAGTAGCCTTGATCTTGGTGGCATCAAAGCCAGGCATGGGGAAGCTGCGAGCGAATTCGACGACTTCCTTCTTCAATTGAGCGATTTCCTCATTGCCTTCAAGAGCAGCGACAAAGTCCTTCAACAACTTGCTGCCGCAGGATTCCTGGACCTTGAGAGCAATGTTGACGGTGCGGTGAAGGAACTCACCGACCTTGACCATATCGTCTTCCTTCATGGATCGGCTGGTAAGAGCCGAAGCACCCAAACGAACACCACCAGGAGTCACGGCGGACTTGTCACCGGCAATGGAGTTCTTGTTGATGGTGATGTGGACCATATCGCAGATACGTTCGACCTTGGAACCGGTCAACTTTTGGGGCTTCAAGTCCCACAACACCAAATGGTTGACGGTACCACCAGTGGCCAACTTGTAACCGTAACCGGTAAGCACCTCAGCGAGCTTCTTGGCGTTGGCGCACACTTGCTTGGCATATTGCTTGAATTCGGGGGAAGCGGCTTGCTTCAAAGCGACAGCAATAGCAGCAATGGTGTTGTTGTGAGGACCACCTTGGCAAGAGGGGAAAACGGCCTGGTTGACACGGCTTTCGAGATCGTCACCCTTATCGCGACGGAAGAAGATGAGACCAGCACGGGGACCACGCAAAGTCTTGTGAGTAGTGGTGGTAACGATGTCACAGTAGTCGAAAGGCGACAAGGCTTGCTGACCAGCAATCAAACCGGAAATGTGGGCCATATCGCACATCAAGTAAGCACCGTGTTGATCGGCAACCTTGCGCATGGTATCGTATTCCCACTCAGCGGGGTAGGCCGAAGCACCGCAAATCAACAACTTGGGACGGAAGAGAGCGGCGTTCTCCTCGAGACGCTTGTAGTCAATCAAACCAGTCTGTTGGTCGACCTGATAAGGCATGGAGGCGAAGTAGATGGAAGAGGAGGAGATCTTCTTCTTGTTGGTCTGATAACCGTGAGTCAAATGACCACCGGAAGGTAAGTCAAGACCCATCAAACGATCCTGAGGTTGGATCAAAGCCGTCAAAGCGGCAAAGTTGGCGGTACTACCAGAGTAAGGTTGGACGTTGACACCCCACTGTTCAGGGTTCAAACCAAAGGCAGCCAAGGCACGCTTCTGGCACAAAATTTCAAGTTCGTCAATGAACTCATTACCACCATAGTAACGAGCACCGGGAAGACCTTCGGAGTACTTGTTGGTCAAGGCAGTACCGTTGGCTTCAATGACAGCTTGGGAAGTGAAGTTCTACATACACAGACCAAAAAAGAACATATTCGAAGCATCCCGATCAGTTTCACTTGTTTCTGATAAATCATACTTCCACCCGTCATTCTATCTCTCCTTTCTTCTTGCACTTTTTATCTCCTTTGAACTCCCCATGTTCCCATCCTTTTCTTTCCAATATCTGCGCATGGATAGTTTACCTCTGAAGCAATAAGTTCGAGACACGACCATTGTCTGAGCTTCTCGTTTTCAACGATGTTGAAGACTTCCTTGTCCTCCTCTTCAAGGGAAGTGTTAAGACAGACGTTCCAAGAGTCAACGGGTCTGGACATGGTGTGAGAAATAGGCTGAGAGAAGCGAAAGCGCGACCAAAAGGTATGGAGTGAAGAGTGGGAATAAAAGAGGGTCGAAGCCGCTTTTTAAATGTCAGCTGCAAAGAGCGTCAAAATTTGGGTGGCTTTCAAACTAGACGCTTATTTTCCATCCCAAAATATTTTTTTTTCTTTCGAATCAGTGGTCACCAGAGATTGCTCACCATGTCTTTAATCTAATCTTTCGCTCCATTTCAATTCCCGACGAGATGTGGACGGCTTTGATGGGTGACTCCTTACTTTGTCCTGCCTTTTTGTTGGGCGTGCAACAGATCATCTCTTGTTTGAACCCATCACAATTGTTGTGTCCAATCACATCTTTTGCACCTAAAAGAAACATCTGAACATCTAATTTCATGTGTTGTTTGCCCTCTATTATTTTTTATTTTTCTTTCTTATTAGTCCATCCACTCACTGCAGCAATGCACATCTGAGTTGGAAAACTTTGAAGCGTCGATAAGAACGAACCCCCCCCCAGTAAAACAGAAAGGAAAGAGTAGAAAAAAAAAAGAAGGACCGCTGTCATTGTTGTGAAGATGACCAATAAGATCTTGATGTCGTGCTTCGCTTTAGATTGATGCATTTTATTCTCCGCTTTGAAGCCCGAAGATTTCCGCTCATCGTATCACAACTGACAGCGTGACGACCGGCTATCCTGGTTGCCGGTGTCGTACGGTCAAATGAACCTGTCAATTAAGCAGCTGTCAGTCCTGTCTGTTTTTCAAATACGTCCATCCTTATCCTCACTCTGAAACCAGAATAGAGCTTATTTTCGAAACCGAAAACCCGGTGTGAATTTAAACGTTTGGATTCATCATCTTCTTCTGTTACCGCATATATCATACTTTCTGCTATTATTCAATGTTATTCCGTAGCAGCATGTCATTTTTAAAGACAGAGATTAGAATACAAGAATTTGATTTCCAAGAGTCAATATGTCAATTGGCTTACACCTGAAAGCATGGCGTCTCAAAAAGATTACCATTTCTCAATTGCAATGTCCAATCAATTGGCAAGGACGCTTTAGCAGAGGTATGGGCATTCAGTTTAGTATATCTAACGGAAGGAGTCAATTCCAAATAAAGTCGGGTTTCCATGGCATATGTGTCTTACGAGCGATCTGACGCACGTGTGCAGCGTGAAAACAAAATAAAACCATCGCTGATGGTTGGTACAATAAGAGAATTATACAACACAATATACAGATGAAATCAGAACGATGATAAGCTCACGGACACAGTTGATGTATGATAATTTCGAAAATCAGGGGCAACTCATCTCTTGTTTTTTCTGCATCAAATTTTCTGTTGTCACTTTTTTGATCCATGCTGTCAATCAACGTGTATCCATGCCTACAAAGTAATGTACTGAAAACCGTAACGCGATGAGTAACAGCAAAATCTGAAAAAAAAAATTGATCGTGGAAGAATCTCTTCCCTCTGTGTCACGATTGTTGTAAGAAGCAGTTTCCCTAGGCTGACGATTTTGTGCTGCAAACACCTAAACCAAAAAAGAGCAAAAGAATGGCACTCAGTCGAGATTTGCTTAAGTATAGTGAATGCCTAGGGCCAACGATGATTCTGGACTTGGTACGATTCGTAGAACGACGATAAGACAAAAACTATCAACCTGAATGAAGACTGCATGTGCCTGCACGATAAAGTTTGAGCGGCAGAGGCGTGTCATGGGTTCCATTTGGAGTAAATAATGGATAAACTGATGTCTGAGATGTCGAGGCAAAGGGGACTGAAACTGATTTTAGTGGCTTTGATTGCAGATCAGTCAGGGATGATTCGAAGCATCCATTTTACAGACTTCTGAGCTGCGCTTCAAGGTTTCCACAAGTGCCAATCTTAAACCAGCACGACAATCTGTCTTGAAGCAAACGAGTTCCCTCTGTATTACAGTATGAGGCAATTTGATAAGATGACTTGGGATAGGGAGAGGGAGAGAGAGAGACCCAATTCATTTTAATAAATCATGAGAGCACTACAGACAAGATTGGAGATCTTGCATATAAATGAAAATAACTTCAAAAACAAGAAGGGAGAAAATATCTTCTGAGTTAAAAAAAAAGGGGATAAAGCCTAAGGCAGGCAGGCAGGAAAAAAAAACCGAAAAATAAAAAGGAATGGAGCATAATGGAATAATGATATTTGTGATGATGGAAAGCAAAAATAATAATAATAAAAAAGGTAAAGAAAAAAAACTTATGTGGCCATGGTTTCGTCTTGAGCGTAGTTCAGGATGACGCCAACGAATTCGTCCAAGATCCTCGCGGGTTCGACATATTTGACATTATAAACATAATTTAGGATGGTTTGCATGGGTGGCAAAACGGTAGTATCCTCTTGATTCTGCGAGCCGCTGGTGATGCTGCTCAAACTGCTGATACTGCTACTGCTAGTGCGTCGACGCATGCAGGGTGAAAGTGGAGGTAACATGTCGTCCGAAGACCAGCTGTCACTACGCTGGAAACTCTGAATCGAAGGTAATTCGATCTTTTGCTGTGGAGCACTGTAGAATGGCAGTTCCTCCAGGCTATCCAAAAGCCCTCCACCTGCCTCATGATGACTGGTGAACATTCGCCGCCCAAGGCGCCGAGATATCTCTTCACGTACAAACGCTTGCTTTTCTATAGAATCGTGCTCTCCGAATTTCTGACGAGCAAGCCGATACACACGGCATCGCAAATCGTTTTGTCGGTTTTTCTCTCGGTTCTCAGCGCGCCATTTGCGCATTCTATGGGTTATCACGAATTTTTATGTCTCAGTGCCTTTTTCTTCTGAAAACACGGATGAAAAAAGTACGTTAGTTTTTATGATTTACCTTTCTGTGGTTTCTTCTTTGGAAACCACCTTTTTCGCATGTCCTTTCCACCGTTTTTGATCGCGACTTCGAACATATGGAATGTTGTGAATATTCGGATTCTCCATATGCCTTTTCAAGTTTGATCGAGTGGCGAAAACTGACAATATGTGTCAGTATAGAAAATAAGGAGAAAAAAAAACCAAAAATTGCACGTACTTTTGGGACATTGCGAGCATGCGAAGATCCTTTCATCTTCTAGAGTCATTATGGTACGACGAACAAGGGGTGAATTTGAGGTTAGAAATCGCGACAAAAATATTATAATAATAATAAAAAAAAAGACACAAGTTTATGAAGAAAAAAAAAGTGGGTTTATTTTTTTCATCTATCCCATTTTATGTATTGGTCATAAATACCACTGCCCAAAACATATATATACATATCACTGCATATATACATCAAAAGTTATTCGCCCGTTTTGGCGGGAAAAATATCACCGCAAGGGGTTCTAAGCGATTCAGCTTGGCCAAAAAAAAATCCTTTGGCATGCGGAAAAGAGCAATTCCGTTGATCACCAACTTGGAACTGTAGTTAACCACCCTGTAATGAACCAATTTACGGAGGAAACAGATGCACAATGTTTCTACCCAATGAAAATAAGCATCTGGCTACGGTTGGATCGTAGTTTCTACCAGCAGTAACCATATGAAGCATCCTAGAGGAAGCACTGATCTCATTCTCGGAGCACATCCCGCATTCCGAAAATCATTGCAAATTAAAAAGCAACGCACGTACTTTCTCAATTGTATTGTCTTTTGGGAAGCTATGCTGAGCATGGGGATAGATTAATCTATGCATGATAGGATTGTCAAAATACGGTCGATGTGCTTCTGCAATGTGCAGCGTCGGCATTTGTTCCGATAGCATATTCAAGGGGGCTGTCTCTCCAAGAGGTAAAAAAAAGAAAAACTGTCCTTGGTTTAAACATTTTCTTCCGTCAAAAAATAAATCTTTTTACTGCAAAGCAAGTCTACTGCCTGGCTAAATTCAAATAAATAACATGTTTAAAAAAAAGTCGACAAAGATCAAGGCGTCTTTTGGCATAACACCGAACGTCCCTATAAAAAGTAGAGCGAGTATATTAAGCGAAACAATGCTTTTTGCTAATGTACAACAACATTGTTATCTGTTATGTATTTCGCCCCTTGACATGGGAATGAATATAAAATCCGCTAAATAGTCATCAATTTATTCAGATGACTGTTGTTCCCTGTCAAGTAAACAAAGAAAAAAATCCCCCAAATCCTTCTGTCGTTTCCCTAATTGGCTTCCCCGCATTTTCAGACAGCAAACTTCAGTTTGAAACACCGCTTCAGCTGAAGACACGAATCTAATGAGAAAAAGGGCAAATTTAACCGTACATCCATCCTCGTTGCTCTTCTTCTTCTTCTTCCTTGGCCGCTTGCTCGGTTTCTACTTCATGACGGCACAATGGGCACGTGTGATGCAACTGAAGCCACGGCACAAGACATTCTTGATCAAAATAATGACCACTGTGAACCATAAAAACGGGTTACTTGTCTTGATGAATGTGAATGAATAAGAAAACGTCGCGTTTTTCTTACCAAGGCATTTGCGTCACCTTACTACTGCTCGTCTTCAGGACATCTTTACATATAATACAGGTTTCATCACTTTGTTGAACAGCCGTGAGTGACTCTGCATGGTATGCAAGGCGAAAAAAATGTCTTTTGCTTTACCTATTGAGTTGCTGCTTCGGAACATTGGGCAGCATCTGAATGAATCGTTGGGATGCCGGTGGGGGACCTTTGGCATTTGATTGAGACTCTTCAAGAAGCTGAGAAACCAAGTTATCCAGGAATTGTTCCTGTTGCTGATCGCCTTCCAGCTGCATCTGTTGTCTGAATCGGCTGAATAACCTACACAGAATCAATGTTGCATATAAACCAGACCGATTCACGGAATCATAAGTGACGTTTTTTTTGTTACTTACTGAGCTGTTTGCGCTACAGGATCATTCAAAGAATGAAATGAACTGCTGCCAGTCGATGATGTCGGATTCATGAAATGGTCGAGATCCACATCGAAGGTTTTCTTTCGTCGTTTATCAACATTTGACTGTATGTTGAGCTCGTCTAAAAAGGCACATGAACTTCATTTGTCTCTTGTCATTGCTTTAACATGACTTTTTTTTTTTTTACCAAAGTAACTGGCCATAGTTGGTTTGATTGCGGAAGTTACGAAAGTCAACTTGACGTAACCAATGAAATTTTCGGTGCGACAATGTATCCCGAGGACTGCGGCAAATTAGTCATGCAATTTTTCCAAAGGGCTTCCCGATGCCGATACATTATTGAAGTAAAGTGCTGATGCTTTTTATCTCATTTTTTCGAAGAAGACTATGATGAAAAAAAAACTTCAATCCACATGGTGACACTGAGCGTTTGGTACAAATTGGCTTGCTACATGGGTGTAGGGTTATATATCCTTATTATGGAACCGATTTCGGCACAAAAATGATTTTCCTTATACCTTGTCTTGTTTGGAGATTATGATGGAACATTTAACGGCTTGCTCTTTAAATACAAGCTACTTTATTTCCTTCCTACATTTTGTACCCCAATATCTACAATAAGATGAAGGGAAAGTAAGTGAAGAGTGCGCGCGCAAGAGAGAAAATGATAGAGTAGCAGTGCAGGAGACAGGCGCGAAGCAGGGAATAACCATATATGGCAATCATAGCCCCTTATAAGCCTATACCAAAAAATAAACGTGTGTCCATGGGCCCAGTCCGTGATGGATTTTTGCTTGATCTGGTGGAAATATTTTGCGGCGTCGATCTAATGTAGCATACAGCGTTATATTCAGAGATAGAATGAATAAAAAAAAGATCAAAGTCAAGGAATATAAACCGAAATCTTTCCATATTTCGTAGTGGTTATTCTGATCTGATTCAATAATATCGTTGTCGGATAAGGAATCATCGCATTATACTATAAATACACAAACCACGTATGATGGAAATTCGATTCCAACAGTGGTTATCAACGTTGGACACATAAAGTGAAAGACACTCTCTGCAAGGTTAGCTTCAGTCAAAGGGCCGGTCGGAGGTGGATTTTAATGTCTTTTTTCGGAAAATAGGAACCGCAATTTTTGGCAAACTCCAGTTTGAAATAAGGATACGGAACTAAAAAAAAGGTCTATCGAGTCAACTTCACACAGATGCTTGGGAGTATACCCCTATTTTCGTCAATAATTTGCCTAAAACACAGACGATCTGTACCGAACTTGTCATTTTTTTTTTGTTTACCCGGAGGCACTGTCGCAATGATCAGCGGTTGCACACACTGCGGAGAAATAAGTCAAAGCCAGCAAAAGATTATACAAACTTCATTTGCGGTTCAGATACCGTTGCATTTTGTAGATAGCATTGGATAGAAATCCATCATTGATACCGTTTGTCCTTATTCTATCTCTACATACGAACGGTAAAAGCAAATAACCAGTTTTATATACTTAGCTATTAGTGCTCCTTCAATACCAGAATTTTGTCAGCGACGAGAGAATGACGGTTGCCATATTGAGTCCAAATGCTTTGGATGCAAATGTTCGCAGGCGCTTCTTCTTCGATAACACATTCGCTCAAGCATATATGTTCTGTGCAAGCACGGTAGACGTTCTCCGCTATGGCATTAATTTGAGGGACATATCTCATATTGGTTCCTCAAGAAGAACTGCGACTTTTTGCACCGGTTGGCCACTGTTCTTTATCGAACTGGTATTTCCACATAACTTCCTGGCACCTTTTTCAAGGTCCGTCTTCTGCCACTTTACGGTTGATGTTTTCCAGCTCCGCGAAGAATAACAGCGCAAAAACGGCTGTTGGTCTACATAGCCCACCATCAATTGATTTTTCATCAGAAAGGTAACTTGAGAGCAAGTTGCTCCAATAATTGTAATAGAATTTAACCTGCCATGGCTTTATCCACCACTGATTGCCGTTCATCCTGATCATCGCAACCTTTATGGTTTGACGGATCCCTCAGCGATAGCCTTTTATAGTATGGTCGGATTCAACAACACCTTAAAACACATTATCCATGGCGAACATAGCTAGCCTGAAACGTTATTTCTCAGGAAAAACCTCATTTCATCTTAGCCTATTTTCTGTCTCGTTGGTGAAATTACTAATTGCAATATAGCAGGAAGATACACTCAATAATGAGACTGCCAGTCAATAGAAAGAACAGGCACGTTTGCCGCTGGTATTTCAGTTTCAAATCCCGTCTGTGCCTGAAGACCAAAATGACGATGGGTTTTACTGCTTTTGGGGGAGCGACCTATCATGATCTGCGATTTTTTTTTTCACTAGTTCAGAAACGTTCATTGGAAAAAATATGAATCTATTGACCGCCAGCCTGTTCCTCTCCCCTCACCATCCCTTCATTCTTCCATGACAACCATGAAAGTTGGTTTGAATCGGCGTTCGCTCGGATTACTTGCTGCCCTGTTTACGATTCTGTCCTTATTGTGTCTTTATTCGATATCTTTTGGCACAACCACCGATCGGGCGCTAAAGAGCGAAGCGGACGGTTCTATTCGTCCCCTTTCTCAGTTGCCGGAGTATATTGCTAATACAGCTAATCATGACCACATCACATTGTCCAAAACGCAATGGGAACAATGTCTGGATCCCGGTGCCGAACCTGCCTATTACTTGTCCATAGTCATTGTGACGCGAATGGATGATTATGCCGGGTAAGATTTTGCCAAGGATCTCATTGTCACTGTCGCAGACTCATCAGTCCATTCTTTTTTTTCTTCATGTATTTGCAGGAACCAGCATCACCGTTTTCAGAACTTTATCGACAGCACGTACATTTTGGCCGAACGCACCAAGACCAAAATTGAACTGTTGATTGTTGAATGGAACCCGCCAAAGGATAAACGGAGAATCGTTGATGCTTTCGTAAGTTTTTAGCGAGCATGATCATCAGTGTACTTTCTACTGATCTTGGTTGTCGCTATGGATATAAAGAGATTCCGTCATTCTCAATACTTGAATCATCGAATTATCACCGTACCTAAAGCCATCCATGACGCTCTACCTAACGTCGGCAATGCGCCACTGCACGAATTTGAAGGGAAAAATGTCGGCATCCGATTCGCTCGAGGCGAATTTATTGTGTGCACAAATCAAGGTAAATGGTATTTACTGGAAGCCTGCGTGACATTGTCATATTAATGCCCAGGAAAACCAATAGATGACATCTGGTCACACAATTTCCATAATGCTATTCAATCGCGTGTTTTCGAAAAAAATGTCATTTATTTGCAGCACCAAGATCATCACAACATGTAAGACAACGCAAAAGAAAAAGAAGCGAGCACTGGGTGAATAACAGGCTGATTTTTTTTAACGATGTGTTGTAGTCATGCCGAAAAACTTCCTCCGTCGCTGGTCAAGGTCCCCATCTTTGCGGACGACGACATTATTTATAATGCGTGTCAGCTGGGTGATCAAGATTGGGGAAACTATACGTTGGCAGCTCCCATGAACGTGACGACAGAAAATATTCTTGACATTGCCGATCAAGCCGGCGATTTTACCATGGCCCACCGTGATACGTGGAAAATCCCTCGAGGTTATCGTGAAGCGGGTGGCGTCGCATGGTAAGCCCCTTATTTCAAATATCATTTAATCATTTTTTACTGACGTCTTGGCGATGATAGGATGGATATTGAATTCATTTGTACCGCGACTTGGACGTATGGTATCCCTGTGGTTTACAGCAAACCAGGTTTTACATGTCATCAAGATCATCAAAATATCTGGGAATTCATTCCGGAACGACATAATGACAACAAAGACATCGATATGGGGGAAATCATGCGCAAAGAAAAAGTGTACATCAACAAGGAGAAAGAATGGGGTCTTCAACAACTCGACATTTGGGACATGGAGTTGGAATGTCTTCAATTCCGAGGAGGACTCGTTTGGTAAATTATCCAGGCAACCCCAGAAACCGATCGGCGTTGCTACTGGTAAGCATCATGCATTGTTGTTTTCCCATAGAATCCAAAGAGCCCATAGAAGTCCACCGGGTCATGTAAAGCTCCACGAATCATCATGTAGTAATCTAGAATAAATCCATATACCATTTCAACCGTCATGCAATGAGATGGTTGCTCATATCGTTTATGATTAAAAACAAGAAACCAGGAGAAAAAGGGGAAGATCTGATTATCTGTCTTGGCACATTTATGGGATTGAGTCTGGAGACTGACCACAGAATGATCCATAGAATGGTCCAGAGGATGATCTAGAGGGGTCGAGGTCTTTTTGAAAGAACAATTAATCCACATTTTTGATCGCATTGATGTCATGCGGAAGCAAAACATCGGTGGATAATGTGATGCAAATGCATAAGCAATGAAACGGAGTCATAAACATGTTTCCTTTAGCATGAAAATATGAAAATAAAGAAATGTAAAAATAAAACAAAAAAAGGGACGAAAGAAAAAGAAGATTCGACGATCTTTTCAGTTGGAAAGAATAAAGAATACCATAAACGGCTGACTGGTTCCAACCAATGGTTCACGTGTTGTGCAACGCCGAAACGAGAAAAAGATTACCGCAACACAAGGTCGAGCTTCTCTTTTTTTTTACTCGCAATGGGAATCGCGCCCATGACTTGCTGGTACAGATTTAGTAACCGAGCTAGATCGTGACTTTTTTACTTCGGATTCATATCACTGAGCAATCAATTATTACACTCAACACTTTGTTTAGGATTGACGTACAAGTGCCATCGTGTTGTCATTCCCCAAGTTATTTTTGAATCGTGACGGACAATAAGATGACCGGTGCTCGAAATCTGTTTGGCTAACCCAAAGGTTCGTTTGCCGAGGCGGAAAGTGAACCGAATTAAGTAAGTCTTCCGTCAAATTGAATAGCCGCGGAACTTGGTTGAACCATTGAAAAAGCCAATCAAGAATAGTATTTATTTCCTCATTGTTTAGTACCGTTTCTTATTTCTTGAGTATTTTGATGCATGTATGAGATTATGTATGTACAAGCAGGAGCATACAGCAAGCAAAAGTTTTTTGGAAGGTTGAGGTAATACGAAAAATACGTGAATAGGGAATTGGAAGCGTATATTTACGTCCGTCATATTTTACAGTTTTTTTTTTACGTGTGTTTTTGAGTCCGTAAAAGGAAATGTGACATTGAGCGCTTCTAAGTTTTTCCCATCTGGGGTTAAGAATGGCATCGTTACACCAATCCGTCTATGGCCATCGACGCCTAACCGTGCTTAGCGGACCTCTTGAATATAAAAGTAGTTCATCTCCCCAGATTTTGGAAAAAAAATAATCCAATCTTTTTGACCCTCCATAGTAGAAGCTTTAGCGCACATACACACAAACACACACACACACATACACCTGTTTCGTCTCTAGACAAATGGCCACGAACGCTCCTGCTGCTGACCGTCAACATGGTGGCGATATTGAGACTAAGTTCCCTTTACAACACGTCGTTCCACCACCCATCGTGGCAACGCCAACCGTTGCTAATCCTGGTCCTTTGGGCCTCTGCGGTTTTGCGTTGACGACTTTTACTTTGGGCCTTCATAACGCTGGTATAGGAATTTCCCCCACCGAATCTCACGACGTCGTTTTGGGTCTCGCCATCATCTACGGTGGCCTTGTCCAAGTAAGTAGTCTCTTTTTTAATCACATCATGTGCTTATCACTGCATTCCACGCTGTAGCTTGAAGGTAAAGAAAACTGGATATTAAACCTCTTTTTTTTCCTTTTTTTTTGTTGCCAACTCTCAGTTGCTGGCTGGTATGTGGGAGTTCAAAACTGGTAACACGTTTGGTGCCACTGCCTTTTGCTCCTATGGTGCTTATTGGATGTCCTATGGTCTGATTTCACTGCCTGCCATGGGCCTGGCTGCAACTTACAGCAGTATGGAAGCTTTCAATCGATCCCTGGGCTACTTTATGTTGTCTTGGACGATCTTCACCGGTTTGATGCTTGTTGGTTCTCACCGCTCATCGATTGGGCTTGTTTCGCTCTTCTTCTTCCTCTTCCTCACTTACGTGATGACAACCGCTTCCTTGTTGAATAATAGTGTCTCTGCTCAGATTGCTTCGGGTGCCTTTGGCATGACCGCCGCTATTATTGCGTGGTATAACGCATTATCCGGTTTGCTCACTAAGGATTCGTCGTACTTCTTGTTACCCGTTGGCCGCATCGGTCATTAATGAAATTTATCATACCTCACATCTCTATTTATTTTTTCACTTCTTTTTCATTTTACTCATGGCACCAACGTTTTTTGTTTTTACTTTTCTTACTTTTTCCCATCACTCATCATTTATTTACTGTTTTATTCATCACTACTTTATAGGTTTCAATCTACATTTTTATTTCATCTCATGTTGCATCCAGGAAAACAGAAAAATAAAAAAACATGAAGAAACTAAAAAAGGCGAAGCAAATAAGTAAGCAGGGAAAATGACGAATGAGGTTGTAGTGTTTTTTTCATTTTCCATGAGCCATGAATAAACAATGAACTTCATCCCTGCCAAGCAGTGAAATTTCTTTATAATCACCTTTTCCTTTTCTGGTCGACCAATTCAAGGCGGCGCCTGTGCGCGAAAATTAAATTGGGGTTTTAGTGTATCGACCGTCCTACAGCCGTCGAAACCGCCAATCTTTTCTAGACTCATGTTGGATCCTATTTTGATGATGAACGATAATAACTCATAGCAAAGTAGCACAAACACGACGAACCAATAAATGATCGTCTGTTTTTTTCCCAAATAACTCCTCTTCAAACGGATGATCCCGACAAGACACCGAAAAAAGGTTTGTGGGGTTCACAAGGGGTATCTTGGACTAAACCGACTCGACCCATTGTACCCTCAAGCTCACAAAAAAAAATTTTTTTCTTTGTTCACACCGACCGTTCGGTTTTTGTTGCACCATCGATCAGTTATACACTTTTGTAGAACCCAATCAAGATTCTATTTCTTTCTTCCTTTGGTTTTTTTTTTTCTTTCATCTTTTTCGTACCTGGGACCATGTTGACATGAATATGATTCATTTCTTCGTTTCACGCCAAACAGTGTTGTGTAAAAGTGAAAAGAAAGCCTCGCAAAAAAAAAAAATTGCTTTGCAAACCGTATCAGATTTTTCATTTAATTCACATGAAAAAAAAAAAAAAAAAAATAGTTCCTCATCGCGCCGCCACAAACAACACGTACACATACAAAAAAAAAAGCCCCAAGTCATCGCGATGACGACGGAGGCCATCGTCGCTTGGTAACCAATCATTTACATTTCGTCATGGCCAAGCATCCATTTACGGAGATTTTTCTGCGGCTGGAAATAACTCCATGACGATGGTGATAGTGAACTTTCTCGATTCATCTATTCCATTGACCGTTTATGTTTGAACCTCCTGAAACCTACTAGTGTGCTTATGGCTATTTCCGCTGAGATTATACTTGAAAGATTTAGCTGATTGCAGAACGAGCCATATAACTACTTCAGGACCGTATTGCCCGTTCTCTCGGAGGATTGCCTTCATATTGGCCTCCATAGCATCTTGGCTGAGATTCTGCCTTCTGTTTTGTTCCGTGGCGAAATCTTAAATTCTACACCATGGTTGTAAATAAAGCTATCCAACAAACGCCATCTCCATAATCCAGAAAAAAACCTAAAAAAAAAGATTCCCAGAAAAGCGTCTTGTAGATGACACCATCTTCTACTTTTTTATCTTTTATAGAATTCTTTCATCATTGTACTTCTATATAGACACGAGAAAAAAAAGAGTGCAAATAAGTGCTTTCGCTTTCTTCCAGAGCAACGTGTTAAGCATACACCTACAGGACTTTCCCTAATACAGCAGCTGCACAATTGGACGAATCATCACAAGTATTATTACACTGCAGGTGCTTTGCTTTGACCTGCTTCGGGTCTCTAATTTGACCAAACTCTTAATAAACCGTTCAGCATACGTGACGGAAAAGCGCAGCCGTCATTCATATTAAGCTCACAGCATGCTCTTAAATATGGATGTGTTCAGTCTTTCGCTGTCTCAGCTTTCATGAAACATGGAAAGCCAGAAACATGACTCTGAGGTGCAGGTTTTTTGTCGGGAAACCATGAGTTCATGTTGTACTTCTTGCTTAGATTGGTCTGCATACTGAAAGAAGTAGACAAAGTAAATAAATACATAAATGCAAGTAAATAATGAAAACTCCCTTCCCAGAATGTTGTTCTCGATCCATCCCATCCTATGCCAGAAGAAATCTGGGAATGTTCTCTCCTCATCCGCGAGCGCCGATCATATATTGTGGAGAGAGATACATTCACAGAAATCATCTCTGCCGAAAACTGACTACATGAAAAACCGCTCCAATACTGAGCAAAGCTTGAACAAGGCTGTCAAGGACGACTGAGGCAGCAGCAGCGGTTGATGCAAGCAAAGGGAACACTGTGTGATAGTCATATCCATGGGCTGAGCAAACAGGACCGGCTACGACGTTTCATCTACAAGCATGCACTGAGCGACGGAAATACGATATCCGCATCCATGTTGATGGTCGCTCCCGTAGTCCTCGAGTCGGCGCTGAAAAATTACAACTACTACTTTGCCCGAGATTCCAGAAAAATTCATGTTGTCTGGGGAAAGCAACTCGATACAATGTAACGTCCACGTTCATATTACTATAGAAACGGGTTTACTACAGTACGAAATATATGGCTTTCTTCTGATGTGCATACTGTCAAAGCCAGAAATGACGACGAGTGCCCGCCTCTTGCATAACGTTTGTCTCAAACAGAGTTGACCATTGAGGGCCAAAATAGAAAGGATCAAAACATGCCGTTGGATATTTTTTCTTTTAGTAGATTTGCGATGAGTGGTATTTATTGAATGCAGACAAGCGTTTTCTTGGGGGCAGAAAAAGGAAACTGCGATCTAAAGGATATCATTATTTTATATTTTCAAGGTCATGGAGTTCGATGACGGTTTCGAGATAATCGTCGCAATTGCTGTATAGCCGCCTCTGCAACAGGACAACGGCTTTGCTGTAGATAAAGTCGAGCTTCCATACCGTCCTTCCGCCCTGCGTAAATGATCGTATGATGTTGCCTGTATGAATATCCCATAATTTCACTCTTCCGTCGCTTCCGCCGCTCAAAATACGTTGATCATCACATTGCAAGCTAGTGACCGAATTGTCATGCGCCTCTATACGGTGGGTGCACCTGAACGTATCAAGGTTCCATATGCGGACACAGCCATCGCTGCCAGCTGTTACAAGTAACGGCGTTTCACCTTGGCCGAGTGGTTGTAACCGTACATGGCCTACTAAGGACGTGTGCCCTTGTAATGTTGCTAAACAATTTCCCGTATCCGGACACCAAATTCGCACACTTGCATCCAATGATCCCGTAGCGATCCTCTGCCCGTCAAACGCGATAGCATAAATCTGCGAATAATGACCAAGTAATAAATGGATACATTCGCCGGTTTCCAAATCCCATAACCGAGCGGTGGCATCATACGATCCCGAAACGATTCGGCGGTGATGCACGTCTAAACATCGAATGCTGGCTTGATGACCTCGACAAACATGGCGAATACAACCTCGTTCAATGTCCCATACCCGGATAGTGGCATCGCGGGAGCCGGTAACGGCCAGGCGCTGATTGCACAGCCGAAGACACCGAATTGTGGAAGTATGTCCTCGGAACACACGGAGCGTTTTTCCGGTATGCATATCCCAAAGCCGCGCTTCCCTAAAAAGGAGATTTAGTCCCCCGATTTCTACATGACAGCAGCAGCCTCCAGCTTATTTTTATTTTTTTACCGATCACAACCGCCCGTCAGCAAAAGCGAGGTATCCTTCAATGTGATGAAGTGACAGCACCAAACGCCGCCTGCATGACCTCTTAATGTATGGACATGGTGACCCGTGGTGCTGTCATATATCTCCACACAATGGTTGTCGCTTCCAACCACAAAGTAACGATCGTCAAGCTGGAGACACGTCGTCAGATCACTGCCAATAGCGTTATCACAATAGGTGATGAGATTGCCGCCTTTAGTCCATCCCGATTCTATATGGTGAGTGCGAATAAAGCGACCGTGATACGAGTTGGCTTGTAGGACTGAGATGGGCACATGCGGGAAACACCGAAAATACATTTGTCTCCAAACAGCCTCGTCATTCAAAAGCGCGTGCCAGCAACGCGATACATGTGAAGCTTCGGCCAATGTGCGAGGATTGTCAAGAAAAGAAACAACGTGCAGTGCCAGTTCAATGGGTAGGTGCTCGAGAAAGTCGACGTGACATTTGGGCAGACACAGTAATTTCACAAATTGTAGGAGAGACCTGTCGCAACAACTCAGCAGCTCGAACAGGTAGAGCCGTCTTTGATGATCATCCAGTTGCAAAAAGTACTCTCTGATATGCTCTAGTTGCGTGGACAGCTGCGCCGAGGATCCAACGTGACCAGACATTGTCGGCTGCGGAACGCGACCACGGGTGGTGTCGTATTTCTTCGAGTGCAAGGCCGAAAATTCACCGTTGGCCAAAGGTGGAGTCATCATAGGAGATGGATTGTTCATCCCGCAATCGTCCATTGTGCAAAATCAAATGGATCTGAAAAGAGGAAGCTTACAAGGGGTGCTTTATTTTTTGCGTTGAATGAATCATAAAGCTTATTCATGCAAAAAACTCTGGAAACCCTACTCACAATTTCTGACCTTCAAAATCTGACAATGTCATTCGCTGGTCGGTTCAATGGCTTGACATTTTTTTCGTTCATGCTGGCTATTCCCCATCAACCCTTCACATACTATATGATCCCCCATTGCTACATAGAAACTAACACTATTCAAGGGTAAATCAACTCTCCTTCGATGGGTTCAGCATTGCAATAAAACGGTAAACTCATCTGTGGTAATTAATGTTCCCTTGTATTTTCTTGAAAATTTTTCTCCACAGTGATTGAGTCGAAAAGTGTCACGAGAAGATAAAGTCGTACCACCCATCTCCCGTTTTAACAACCTACCGTTTCATGCAAGACTTTTTGTATAATTCAGTCCACTGTATAGAGTAATGCATCGTCGTGGTCTGTAATTTTTTTTTTAAAAAAAAGGAGTCTACCGAGTTCATCCACTGAGGACGACTTCTTACTTTTTTGTCTGGGACGTTGTATTGTTTCCAGTGGCGCGTGGATCGTCTATAGGCTCAATGATTCAGTTAAACAAGGGAATGGCCGTTTTCACTGCTTAATACACACTGCATGTAGATTCACAATTTGTAAGGCAAGCAATCGCAATCATATTCATGTAGCAATATTTAAACCAGCTCCCCACGATCAAAACGAAGCATTCAACAACGTTGGTCAATGTCTTGTTGTCGCTGTTCACATGCTTTTGTCGAAAACTGTTTGATGAATTGACAGTTTTGTTCCGGTTCATATGATAAACTTATTAGTAGCTGAATGGCCCAATGATGGTCGCATTATGGGCATGGGTGAATTAGCATGAACAACGCGGATTAAAAAAAGCCGTTTGTTCTCTTGAGCTGGGCAAGCTGAATGCTCCTGGAGCGTCGGAGTGTGAATTATAATGACGTATCCGTTTGTGTCTGCTGCGAAGAGTGTCCGTATCCTCTCTTTTCTCACTCAACCCTTTCTTTTATTTCTCTCTTTTTTTTTTCTGCACGTCTTTTGCTTTCTTTCTTCATTGGGTTGTAAAAAGTTATATAGTTGCTGGAGATCTTTTAATACCTTTTTCCTTTTTTGATTTTCAGAGGTAAATTGGTCGTTTTTAAGCATTCGCCCTTTACGTTGTGTTTGCTGACGTGGAACTGGATCCACCGATTACGTTGTCTAGTCTACGATCATGAAGATCAAAAAGTCTCCATCAAAGAAACTGGCATCGCTGGTAATTATTCTTCATTCCACCTGCCAACTTGGGAATGTGAGCTAACTATAATTTTTAAAATCCCAAATCAAGCCTTCTGCACTAAGTCTTGCTGTGAAGCATCTCGAGCAAGATCCAGAAGACCAGATTCCTATTTGGACCGAGAAAGTCCAGGATTGGACTTTTCCACGAGGCGATCTATTTCATTGGACCCATGTGCTCAATCGCTTTGACTCGATCTTGGAAAGAATTTGCTCAGAGTACGATCTCGACAAATTCCAAACCAAAGTCTTTGACTCTTCCACCAAACGCTTGCTGTTGGCCATCACCAACTTTTCAAGGACCCTTTTCGAAAATTGCACCAATAGAAATATCTACAACTCATACGAGGTAACGTATACTGACTCTTTCACTAATCTCGTCTTGCAATCCAACTAAACACTTGATTTTTTTTTATTATTTCTTTCGTGGTTTGCAGCATTTAAATTCATTGCTTAATACGTCGGATATGGATGTTTTGGAAGCGGTATTGCGTCTGATGTTGCGTCCGGCGCAGCGTGTGAATAATCCTCGAGCTATTCGGTCGAGCTTCATTGCACCTCAAGATAAAAGTATTGAGCTCGCTCGTGGCTGGTCAGTCGACACGCATTTAGCCAGTCTCTGTGATGACAATATGGTCATTACGGAAGAAATGACAACATTGAAATTGCAATATTACCTCACGCGCACCGATAACAACCAGGAAAACGAGGGTGTCAATACAATTTCCTTGCAACTGGCGGGCGATACACGAGACGACAGCGAGATATTTGCCGATTTGGTGAAGCAGCATAGTATCCCCCTTGAATACCATTTCGAGCTGGCCAATCGTATCCGCATTGCCAAACACATCAACCAACCCACCGAACGCAGGCAGTTGCTCATTATCCAAATTCTCGCCATTGCCATCATGGGTAAGCCCAATACGAATTTACTAATGAAATCATTAATATTGACCTGGCTTTCGTATTAGCTCACACGGTATCGGATACAACGGCTCAGAATCGCGTGTTTGTGTATGAACCTCATCTTGTCAACTACCTCGCCGAACTTATACAACCTGAGAAATCCATTCCCTACGTGAGTGATGTGCAAAAGAATGCACTTGCACACCTTATAAAATGCTGGATGACTTACTTCTTTTTTTCTTCGCACCCCAGGATGTTCAAACATATGCACTCTTTGCCCTGGATGCCATTGCAAGACATCGAAGTAAACTCTCGGAGATACTCACCGCGTTCAACGCATCCGCGAACCATGGTCCTTTGCTTCACATTCTTCGTCACATCAACACCGACAAATCAGGTAGACAGTCAATTGCGAGAAGAACAATGATAAAAAAAAGGGAAAAAGGGAATACTAAAAAGAGAAAATCAGAACTTCCTCAAGGATTCTTGGATGCGCTTTTCACGCTATTGTCGTACCTGTTACAGACTCAAACAGGAGGTCAAATGCTGATGTCGGCCGGTATCATTCCCACCCTACTACATATCGTTGAAAATCAACAGTATATCCTTGTCAAAGTAAGTTGGTGACGAAGATAAAATCAATCTGGGATAAGGGTTGCAAAGCCAAAAACATCTAATGCATTTGGATGCAGAATGTAACCAAAGTGGTGGGCTTATTGGATACCATTGTGAACTCCGTATCCACTTCATTCCCAGCTTTCTGTAACGCAGGCGGATTGGATATCTTATTGGCGAGAATCAAGGTATGTACAAAAAAACCTCTTCTTTTTATTCCTTTACTGATGATGGATATTGTGTGTTTAGACCGAGGTAGAGAATTGCATTCAAGCAACGTTTGCTTCCAGCGATTCAATGGAGGTGGAACCCAGTCACCAAACTACTGAGGACATGGAAAATTCACTGGGGGCCTTGGCTCCTCACAACCGACTGTCGCTGGTGAAAACCATGTTGAAGTTTTTGATTCGTATGATGGAATCCTCAGGCACCGCCGATGGATTACGTAACTTGATCGATTCATCCTTGCCCAACTCTTTGAAACTTATCATGGAGAACCCAAAGGTGTTTGGCAACAGTGTATTTGCACTAAGTAAGTTAATGGATTGCAGCGCACACGGAAGAAAGAAAGGGGAAAAAAGTTCAGCATGACTAATGCATTTTGTCCAGCGACCAATGTCATTACTACGTTTATCCATAATGAGCCGACTTCGTTACCCATTTTGCAAGAAGCCAAACTTCCGCAAAGCTTCTTACAAACCATCACCAATTACGACAATGCTACTAGCGAAGTCTTGATCGCGGCAGTTCACGCGTTTGGTGCCATCTGTCTCAATCCTCCTGGTTTGGAAATGTTCAATCAAGTGAAACCGTTACCTCACTTCTTCGACATGATGACGAGTCACGAGTTCTTGCGACAATCGTCGGAAATCGATGCGTCTACCAATCTAGGCAGCACTATGGACGAGTTAATTCGCCATCATCCATCCTTGAAGCCCGAAGTATTTTCGTGCATTACTTGCATGATCAAGAAGGTGATGGAAATGGGTCGTAGCGATGTCGGCAAACCAAGCAATAACAGCCATCTACTGCAATTGACCAAGAAAGCCGGAACGATGGATGTGGAAATGTCGGATCGGGAAGATACCAAGACCGAAGACCCAAAGGCTGAAGAGAAGGTGGAATGTCTGCTCGTATCTTTTATTGATCTGATCTCCAGAGTAAGTGGATGAGTTGCCGTGGCTGAGGAAGAAAACATAAATGCTTATTGACGTACGGCGCTCTCTTTTATTTTTCTAGTTTCTCGAGGGGCTATTCCAAAATCAGTCCAACATTCGTGAATTTGTCAAAGAAGGATGCCCTGAAATGTTGTTGGATTTCTATTCACTTCCTTTCCTTCCCGCGGATTTCTCAGTTTCCATTGCTTCAGATTCGTTGGCATACCTCTTCCGTCTCATCACTGAAGTGAGCCCATTGCCCACCGTACTTGCTATCAGTGAAAAGGTCAAACAGTCCATTAAAAACACCCTCGGCAATGACGATACATCAAGAACCGAAAGCATGGTCAAGGACTTTATCGACATCAAAGGTTCGTATTCGCAAACTTTTTTTTTGTTGTCTATCGAAAAAGTTTTAGCAGAGAGACTCAGCCCTTTTTTTTTGGAGCAGACGATGAAACCGAAAAAATCGAGCGTGGAAACAAGTTGTTTCGTCAACTGATTGAAATGTTTGGTTATGTTGAGCTTCTTGCCAACATTTGTTGCTCGGCCATTCTAACCCATGGCAAGAATGGGATCTCTCTGGTCAACGAATTCGTGTCTCAAGACGATAATGACAATATCATTTTGCTTCTAGGTCATTTGCATAGGTATGTTAAAAAGCAGACAATGACGAGAAATCTTCAGCAACTCAATTAATGTATGCACATAGATCCATGGTGTGGGAAACCATTTTATTGCGTGAATCCGTACCGAAATCGTGGTATCAATTCAAACCCGCCAAAAAGGGAGTGAACAATCTTTCCACTGAGAATCCTTTGGGTATCTCGAGTGGTGGCGATGCTCAATCATCGACTTCCGAACCCTCGGCCAGTTCCTCTTTGACGGATAAAAAGCAAGACACCCCCGACGCCAAAGATCCTCGCATCATGAATATCAAACACTTTAAGCTCTTTTTCAGTGAAACGCCTCCTGCTTTGATGCCCGTATTCCAAGGTAAACCTTCTTTTTTAAACATAGCCGTGGATGTCGCGAACTGTGGACTTACATTATATTTTTGCATGTAAGGCTTGATCAAAGTGGCCTGTAGTCGACGCATGATTGATACCAATTTCCGACATCAAGCACTTCGATTATCGGAATTGATGACGAGGATCATGAAGAACAGTTTAACCTGGTCTCAGACAAAGGGGGAAAACGCACCTCCGTGCAAATACGATTATTTGGCGTCCATGTTCTCAATGATTTCCATGTTGATTCTTGATGACCGTGCTCAAGCGTCCTTCCAAACGCCGTTGGTGGTTACATTTGAGCGCCATGGTGCAATTGATCTTTTGCTGGAGATTTTGGATGAGAACTGGCGTATGGCTGAAGGAATTGAGTCGATTCCCGTGGATCAGCGTGAAGATAAAGACCAAGTCGATTTATTACCTCGTATTGATACCAGTATCGAGCTTTTACTTGTGGTTCTCCATCACATCGGGTCTCCCAAGTTACTGCATGATTCCCCGGTGACGGCACCTCTCATTTGTACAGATCAGCAATCGCCCAATTATTTTGATCCTCATGAATGGATGGTGAATGTCCATTTGAAATTGTCGGCATGCAAGAAGCATTTGAACAGTCCAAATCTTCACCAGTTCCCGAGCTTTGTTTTACGCACCTTGTTAAGAGTGATCATGCAGATCATGAAAGGTGAAGGGGAACCCCACACCGGCACCGAACCTCGCGCCTCCGGTACGACAACGTCCATTTTGGGTTCACTTGCTTCGCCCATGACCCTCGTTCACGCTCCTTTGACCCCCGATCGTCGTGGAGTACAAATCTTGGAAGATATGGGTTTCAATCGAACTGCCGCTGAGCAAGCCATGGTACGATGCAACAATCAAATTCCTCGTGCGGTCGATTACCTGTTTAGTCATCCTACGCCCATGATCACCAGTAATACCGAAGCTTCCTCGAATGGACAACCGCCGTCTCAAGATAATACCACGCAAGAATCAAATGACGGATCCAACGCCGATACTTTTGATGAATCAGGCGATGCGCCTTCAGTGCAAGATGAAGACAGCGATATGGAAGCCGCCGATGCCGATGAATTCAGAGACATGCTTTCATCCGCTTTTGATCTTTCAACTCGTCCGTTGCCATCCTCGACTCGGCCGTCACGGTCCCCTCAATCGGACGCCAACGACAAGGGCAAACAAAAGGCGCCGACCGCGAGGACGGTTGAACTCAATGATATTCGATCAGGATTGAAAGATGCACTTCCTTCCATTTTATTGGACTTGGTGGAAAAACGTGACGACATGGTCTTTGATGTGCATGACTTGTTGTCAGTCATTTGCAAAGGCGAAGGTGCGAATGCGACGGCAGAGCGAATCTTGTCTTCGTTGACAACGCATATTGAAGAAACACTGAAATCGGAAAAGGCGACTTCGACGACCCTGAGAACCCAACTTCGTTTAATGGCGCTCATGTTGAAAGAGCAGCATGTGCAGCCTATGGTCCCTGAAACCGCACTCCGTCTGTCTTTCCTGTTCACCGTCATTGAATCCTCGAAGGAAATTGCCGATCCCGACCAACCGACGCCAGCATGGTTGCCTGCCGTATTTCTTGTACTCGAAGCCATGATTTCGCAATCGGATGAATCGATGATTAACGCCGCGATTGAAAAACTGCAAAAGGAGAATAATGCTACATCGACCAAGGACGACAGTGACAAAAAGCATTTTGTCATGACCGATCACCAACGGGATGTGTTACTCAAGACTTGTATTCACATTCTCAAGAAGACCAATGTATTAAAGTCGGATGCCTATGCTGTGCTTCGTATCATTGTCCGTATCACCAAATACAATTCGGTTGCTTTGCAGTTTGTCGAACTCGGCGGTCTTGAACTCTTGTTCAATCGACCGCTTCAATCCATTGACGGGTTCAAGAGTCATCAAGCCTTCATTATCCTGATTCTGCGGCACATCATCGAAACCAAATCTGTCATCACGGAACATATGGAACAAGTGATTCGCAATTGGCTCACAGAACCTCGTCCTCGTCATTCGGAAGTTGGCTACTTCCTTCGCGGCAATGCTCATTTTGCTCTCCGCGATTTGGAATCGTTTATTAATGTGACGACCAAACTTTGCAAGCTAAGTCGATACAACGAAACCGATACGAATCGCCAAATTCAGCTAAAGTCGAAAGAAGAATTGGAGGAAATGGATGCTTCGACTGAGAAGACGACAACGGCGGTTGGACCCATGGAAGCCAGCAAATTCGAAACTTCCATCCATCACGGCAGCGACGCTCGTGCACGTTCGGAGCATTCCGATTTCGTCATTAACCATATTCTGAATGAATTATGGACCGTTCGTCATGAAAAATTGGAAGCGCCAGAAACCACCGAAGACAATGAAGAGACCAAGAAGAAAAAGGCCGACCTCAAGTACGGTTACACGGGCTTTTTGTTGCAGTGCCTTGCCGAATTGGTGTTATCATACGAATCGTGCAAATACGACATTTATGTCTACAGTCGTCGACGTCACAGCAATGTGGCCCGTCCGCGTCACTCGTTATTGAACATGTTGATCAACGATCTGTTACCTTACAATGCCATCAAGGCGACTGAGGAGAAATCGCGCAAGGAGCAAGTGCTTTCCATGTGGACCGTTTCGGTGTTGGTGGCCATGTGCAATGAGACGGGATCCAAGAACAAGTCCGAAACGAATACGAGCGGTAAGAATGAACTGACCCAAATCCGAAAGTATGTTTTGGAAAGTACCATCCGGTCTCTCAAAGACGCGATTGGTTCAACGGAACCGGTGGCGATGAAATACAGCAAATATCTCGTGTTGGCGGATTTGTGTCATCGTCTGCTGAATGCCGAACCCAACTTTTACTGGAGCTTATTACGTGCCAATAAGGATGATGTGTCGTTGGAAATGGCCAAATTGATGCTTGAGAAGAATTTTGTCGCCACGTTGACCAGTGCAATCAGCGATGTGGATGTCAACTATCCTCAAGCCAAGACAGTTCTCAACGCGATGCTGCGCCCCTTGGAACAGTTGACCAAGTTGGCCATCAAGATTGAAAACACGGCGGCCAAAGAAGATAAAAAGCGCGATGACATGCAAGCATTTGTACCGACCGATTCCGGTGAAGAAGATGCCCCCGATCTGTATCGTAACTCTGCCCTCGGCATGTTCGATGGCAGCGTCATGGAAGAAGATGACATGGATGATATGGGCAGCTCAGAAGAAGAAGACGGTATCAGGTAAGAGAAAAATCAAGATGCTGGACTAATCCAGAACCCTCAGCCGGTGCTAATTGACTCGGCTTTTCTTCTAGTTATGACGAAGATGATTACGATGAAGAAAGTGGTAGCGACATGTCGGACATGAGCGAAGAAGAATTGGATGACGATGACATGGATCAAGAAATGGACGTGGTGATGCATCGTCATCGCTACGATTCTGATATGGATGAAGACGAGGTAAGCGTAACTCAGTGCAAATTCCCTGGACGTTTTAAATTGAGATCTCACACAACATGGGATAGGATGAAAGTGATGAAGACGATCATGACCATGATGACTCGGACGAAGATTCTGATCATTCGCTTAATACGGACGAGAGTGATGACATGGATGACGAAGACGGTCGTGAAATGACATGGCACCTTGAAGATATTCAAGACGAAGATGGTCCCGTGTTACATGTTCGTACCGAAATCGAAATTGATACCGATGACGAACCCACTGAACATCACCGACATCGTCGCCATGCACCTGACGCCTATGATGACGAGGTAGGCGACTTTCACTTTCTTTCTTACAGTCACCATTGGTTTAACTAGGTAATTTCCAATTTTTTTGTATTGCCGTTTAGAGTCGGGATTACGATGTGCATGAACATTCCGATTTTGATGAAGACGAAGAATCCGAGGCGTTTGATGAAGATGACGGTGAATTAAACGACGGTGTACTCATTGATGAAACCGATCTGGATAATCCTTTGCTTGCAGACGAATTGGAAGCGAATGAAGGTGATGCGTTGGAAGATGGTTGGCGAGCTGGTTCACGATCCTTGGGCGGTATTGGTTACGTGCCTCCGTTTGTGGGTGGATCCGGTCTTGGATATCGACGACGTATGGGATTCCCTCGTGGTGGTCGACTTGCTCCAAGGGACGATTTGTTCGTCGAACATTTAGATGAAAATCACACCATGCCATTGTTTGACACAGGGTCGTATCAAGTAGTGAGCCGACCTTTCCGAGGTCATGGGGATAACCGAGCCAGTACCAACAACGAAGACGAAGTGATTACGCATCCTCTCTTGACGAACCGCGCTTCTTCCAGCGCAACTGCCGATCGTGGCATGATTCATGCGCCGTCCCGATCGCAGCGATTGTCGGGGCTGGGTAACCTGCAAGCTTTCGAAGATATCATCGGCGGTAGTGCGGTGCGAATGTTGGAGAACTTGTTGAGCCAAGCCCCGGATGTGGGTCACGGCGAAACATTGCGTATTGATATGTCGACACCGGCGCCTCACACGCATCGAAGTGCATTTGATCTCGAAGCGATTCCTCATCAACCTCACACAATGAATCGATCAACACCAAGAGACAATGAAACGATGCGTGACATCATTTCCATTCTTCAGGATTTCCACCCATTGACTACGTCGCAACGCTGGCAGCAAGAAGTCAAGATGCTGTACAATGACAACAACGAACTTATCACGGAAAAGATTTCCAAAGTGAAGGATGTTTTAGTGCAACGATTGATTCCTTACGCTAAAGAAGAGAAGAAGAAACTCGAAGAGAAGGAAGCTCAAGATCGCCAGCGACGAGAAGAAGAAGAAGATCGTAAACTAGAAGCATGGAAGAAGATCTTGGATGAAGAAAAACAGCGCAGAGAAGCCGCCGAAGGCGAAGGCGAAGCCCAAGCCCAAGCCCAAGCCCAAGCCGAAGCTCCAACTCAAACTGAGGCACAATCTCAGACGCAAGCTCCATCCCAGACGCAAGTTCCCTCTGAGGCTCAAATGCCAGCACCCGTTCCAGTTCAAACCGAGACAGCAGCCGAGAATTCAATGGATGTGTCACCCGAAGAAACACCCTCTACGGCAGGTGCTGAAGGTGCCACCACCGAGGAATCGACGGAGCAAGGCCGTACGACCATCACGATCAATGGTGAAGCTGTGGACATTTCAGGCACAGGTATCGATGTAGAATTCCTTGAAGCGCTTCCGGATGATTTGAGAGAAGAAGTCGTGAATCAGCACTTGCAAGAACGCCGGCCTTCCGTGCCATCGGCTGCTGATGATTCTATCAGTCCCGAGTTCTTGGACGCTTTGCCACCGGATATTCGCGAAGAAGTGCTCCATCAAGAAGCCATTGAACGTAATCGTCGCGATCGACAACGTCAAACCAGTCCCGGCCGTACCACGGCTCCTGCGACTACTCGACCGGAACCAACGACGATGACGTCCTTGGATGCTATTGTTCGCGACTTTGGAGGTTTCCTCGAGAGTCAGATTGGCACAATCAACGGTAGCGACGAACCAGCAGCGGCGCCTTTCCGTAGCCGTTTATTGCCAAGTCATCGCCATCCCTCTCGACGGGAGGGCGAGCCGTCTTCTTCATCGTCCAAGAAACAAAGCGGACATCGCGATACTATTCAGCTTGTCGATCGAGCTCAGTTGGCGACACTCGCGCGTCTCTTGTTTGTACCTCAGTCCGCTACCAAGTCGCTGTTGAACCGATTACTACTCAACCTGTGCGAGAACAGCAAAACGCGCGGTGATCTGTTATCGTTGTTGATCTGCATTTTGCAAGATGGAAGTACGGATCTGGCAGCGGTGGATCGCAGTTTCAATCAGTTATCCCTCGGATCCAAGGCGAAACAAGCGCCCAAGACGAAATCGGCGGTGTCAATGAACTTTGTTGGCGAAAACGTTCCGAATTTGATTACGCAGCGATGTTTGGACTTTTTGCATGTGGTTGTGTCATGGAATACCCAGTCGTTGACGTACTTTTTGACGGAAAATGACAGCCTGGCCAACATCAAGCGAAGCAACAGCAAAAAGGGCAAGGGCAAAGAAAAGCCGACCGTCCCTAGCAAATACCCGCTCCTCGTACTGATGAGTTTATTGGACCGTCCCGTGTTCATCAACAACTCGGCCCTCATGGAACAATTGATGAATCTTTTGGCCGCCATGTGTCGTCCGTTCCCTCTGCTGGTAAAGAAGTACGAAGAAAAAGTCGAAAATCATCAGCAACAGCAGCAGCAGGTGGAATCTCAAGACGCCGGCGATAAAGCGAGCAATGAACCTTCGGCTACTCCCTCGGTGAGTACGGACAAGCACGTTCCCAAACCGCCGACGATCCCCGAACACTATTTGAAAATGGTGGTCCACGTTCTTACCCACGGTGAATGTTCCAGTCGAACCTTCCAATACACGCTTGGTGCCATTTCTCACTTGGCCGCGTTGGACGGTGCTCTTCAGACGGTGACCAACGAACTGGTGGCAGCAGCCAAAAAGTCGGGAGAAAAGATGCTTCGTGATCTACAAGAACTGCTGCCTGTCCTTGAAAGCGCGATGAGTGGTACCGAAATCCAGGGTTCTTCGTTGGCCCATTTCTCGGCGGCCACATCTTATCAAGCGAAATTGCTTCGTGTGTTGAAAACGCTCGACTACATGTATTCTCGCAAATCGCCGTCCAATCAAGATGACAAGGACAGCGAGGAGGAAATGACCAAGAACGAGAAACAGGTTTTGCAAATCTATGAAGATCTCGAGTTTCTGCCGCTTTGGAAGATGTTGGGTCGTTGTCTTGCCGTGATTCACGAAAAGGAAGAACTGATCAATGTCGCGACGGTGTTACTGCCTCTGATTGAATCGTTCATGGTCGTCTCGAAATACGCGACAGGGAAGGGTCAAGTCCAGCGGTTGAGTAACGAAGCGGCCTCGCCGAACCCGGAACAACAAGCAGGTGCGGAATCGCCGGATGATTTCTTCTTTGCGTTTACCGAGGATCATAAAAAGATTCTCAACATCATGGTGCGAAATAATCCAGCGTTAATGAGCGGTTCGTTCTCTCTTTTGGTGCGAAACCCCAAGATGCTTGAATTCGACAATAAGCGAAACTACTTTGTGCAGCAACTGCACAAGCGCACGGAACCTCGTGAACATTTCCCTCCCTTGCAACTGAATGTGCGTCGTCAGTACGTGTTTGAGGATTCTTACCATCAACTGCAAGGTCGTACCGGTGAAGAGATCAAGTATGGCAAGCTCATGGTTCGGTTCTACGATGAAGAAGGTGTGGATGCCGGTGGTGTGAGTCGCGAATGGTTCTCGGTGCTTGCACGTCAAATGTTCAATCCCAACTATGCTCTTTTCATCACGTCGGCGGCCGACAAGCTCACGTATCAGCCGAACCGAGCGTCATGGGTCAATCCTGATCACTTGAGTTTCTTCAAGTTTGTTGGTCGTGTGATTGGCAAAGCCATTTATGACGGTCGATTACTCGATGCTTACTTTACGCGATCGTTCTACAAGCATATTCTCAATCGTGCGGTGGATTATCGTGATGTGGAAGCGGTGGATCCCGAATACTACAAGAGTTTGGTGTGGATGTTGGATAACGATATCACGGACATCATTGATCTCACCTTCAGTCTTGAAACGGACGATTTCGGCACCACCAAGACGGTCGACTTGAAACCGAATGGCCGTGATATCCCTGTGACGGAAGCGAACAAGCATGAATACGTCAAGTTGGTAACGGAGCACAAGTTGACGACCGCGATCAAGGACCAGATTGGTGCTTTCCTTCAAGGTTTCCACGATGTGGTTCCTGCAGCTTTAATTCAGATCTTTAACGAGCAAGAATTGGAGTTGCTCATTTCCGGCTTACCGGATATTGATATTGACGATTGGAAGAACAACACGGTTTATGAGGGTGGTTATTCGCCATCCTCGCCTCAAATCCAATGGTTCTGGAGAGCCGTACGCAGTTTTGATCAAGAAGAACGAGCGAAATTACTACAGTTTGCAACCGGCACGTCCAAGGTTCCATTGGAAGGATTCAACCATTTGCAAGGCTCCGGCGGTGTTCAGAAATTCCAAATTCACAAAGACTTTGGCGGCGATGCACGATTACCGTCTGCACATACATGGTAAGTTGCGAGGATTGCGAGGATTCAAAAAACTATCTCTTGTACAGTTCTATGTCTAATCAATGCATTATTTGAAATTTCTTAGTTTCAATCAAGTGGATTTGCCGGAATATGATTGCTACGAGAATCTGAGAAGCAGTCTATTCAAAGCGATTAGTGAATGTTCAACTGGTTTCGGATTTGTATAATAATTATGGCATTTTTTCTACCTTTTTTTTTCCTCTGTCTCTCTGTCTCTCTCACTATCTCTCTCTCTCTCTTTTCTTTTTATTCTCGACACCTCTACAATAAATCAAAAAGTAAGCAAACCAACCCATTGGCTTGGAATAAAGCAACATAATTGAAGCAGCTGTGTGAGCTATTATGACATACCAGTTTATCCGACCTTGCAATTCACGAAATATCATAAACACTAGATAAGAAATATGTCAAATTATGCAGTCTGTGCATCGGGCGACCTGGCGAAAACGGCGAAAATGGATTCGCCAGGTTCGCAAGATGCGCAAATTAGATTGGCCAAATTCCAAAGTTCGAATTCACCAGATCACCAAAGTGGAATTCGCCAGATTTACAAAGTGAATTTCGCTTTGTAAATCTGGGGAATTTCACTTTGTAAATCTGGGGAATCCAATTGGCGAATCTGGTGAATTCCACTTTGATGAATCTGATGAATTCCCATCATTTTTTTTTTTTTTTTTTTTTCGCTGCATAACATCATGAACGTTGGTCAGATATATTTCTTTTATTGGCTTCGTGTTTCCAATTTTACATTTCAGGAAAGGCTATGCCTCCATAATAATTACTATTTCTAGCTGATTTCTAGCTCTATCGATATCATCTATGTTTTTCCCAATTCCCTCATTCTGTTTCACTTGATGACTGTGCGTTGGGTATTGGGATGCTCGAACTTGACCTCGTTTTTGATTATTTTTTTGGATGACGATGGTGCACGCCTCGGCTAGATGATGAAAACCCGATCATATTTAGTATCATATTACAGCGTAACATTCCTGAGCTTCTTTTGCGTTTGCTTCTTTGATCCAATAAAACAAAGAAAAATAAGAGAACTCAATCTCGGATGGCCCAACTTGGAAAGTCTGTGCCATGTCTTTTGTCTGACTATGTAAGACGTGTAAAGTGCAACCATTAGCAAGTATGCGGTACGATATCCACAGTGAATGGACGTTTGGCAGCGTTTCATCAATATAATGATACGACGCTGACTCGCGTACGATACTCTGCTCTTAATCTGAAGCACATTATATGCTCTTCTTGATGCAGAGGTCAGGTTATTTCATAAACGATATAAGCCGACCGACGAACGATTTTATGTCATCTTCTAACATAGTAAATTGAACTAGATACGACTGTTATCTTTGCGAATGTACAACAGTATGTATGGATTATGTATGTTAAAAGCAATCATTTACTATACCCTTTTATAAACCATCAGGGAAGAGGATGTCGCACTCGAAGAAAAAAGGGGTTAAAGTGCACAAAAGGATTCTAGAAAAGACATTTTCTTTTTCTGTCTCAACTGCGATTTCCAAATGTATTATGCTTTGGTTCTACACGGTACAATATCATCTTTGCTTTCAACATTCTAGAGTGATTGAACCAAAATTTTATCCTCCTGGGTGATAACTGCGGTAAAGGGACCTATTCATAAGGCTCTATTTGAAATAGGATTCGCATGAGTTCCAAAACCAGCAAAACCGGTCTGCATGGCATCGTTTTATGATATCAATCACGAATATGTTCTTGTATAGCGCATTGGGAAAGGCAGCATAACATGGACTTTTGCATCCATTCTAGTTTATTTAAGAGGATGTCATTTTCCTCACGAGAACGGCAAAGAGGGATTTAATTCATATTGTTTTGAAGGCATGTTCTCCATAATGATCACTAGCATCTCGAATGACCTGTGGACTGAGAAGACGACAATCTGCCGCAAGGACTTCCACCAATTCGCACTCATCCATCAGCATACGTACGCCAATATCTGTAACCTGGGTTCTGGAAATATCCAACTGCGTCAACCATCCCAACTTGATCACTTTTTCTATTACGCGATCGTTCGTTTTGAGCACACCTAGGAGTGATAGAGCTTCTATAGAGGGCGCTTTTTCGGCAAAGGCACAGAGATGGATATCTTCAAATGCGATAGAGGCGTCCAGATTTACTTCGAGTAATCCCAGCTATCGGAACCGGCTCACATACTCGGGAACCCCTACTCGCGCCACCCAAATTTACTAATGCAAGGATCTCCAAAGTCAATTGCTGATTTTCAAGCGTTGCTATGATACATTCGTCCGGCGTGCTCTTCAAACCCCATAATGAGATCTCACGTAATCCCGGTTGCGATGATCTGTTTCGCCATTTCCTCTCTTCGTAAGGAGAAGTTTGAGGCATATATTCATCGCAGTAGATCTCTAAGCATCGCAACTGCGGAGTGTGTGCTTTGAGTATTTCGCGGGGCATCGAAAGATCAGGAAACAGACATTGTATAAAAATCTGTTCAAGCTCGGGACACGACGTGATCAGCAAGCGCAAATTGGCTTCAGAGTTGATGTTGCTTTTCAGGGATAGACTTAAAGAGCGCAGATTCAGTTGGGAAGGGAGTGTCAAAGGTCTGCTTCGAGGAGATAGGAGACGGGGACGTCCGAGAAATTCGAGCTCTTTTTTGCAACATGGCAATAACAACGACAAGATGTCCAGCAGTAATCCTGACGTTTCAGAGTCATCTTTGGACATCAAAGAGATACTGGAGGAATTTTCTCCCGAAGTACTCCACGAAATTTAAATAGATACGAACGACAAAGTAGACGCTACATCCATGAAAATTGGAGGCGAAACAATCAACAAGAAAATCTACTCCGAAACTTAAGAATACATACTGACGCAAACCAAATGGTCACAGCTGTATACAAGCATGCCGACAGTGCCACGCCTTACTGCCAGAGCAGCCACTGAAATATACGAACAACAACTATATCTTCAAACCGAACAGCAGCTTATCATCCCGGATCAAGCACAAGGACTCTTGGAAGATATCAGTGTCTTGGCGTCTTTGCGTAGACGACCGCCAAGCAATAGGATGACGAAACCCAAGATGTCACCTTCAAAGCCATACGGCTCTTCGAGTTTACAACGTCTGGGGAAGAATACCGAACTGGGAAACAAGAAAAGAAGCTTTTGGCCAAGAACCTTATCGAATAATAGAATGAAGCACGTTTCCGACAATCTATTATACGAGCAGCGGCTTTCTTCCATCCACTTCTACAACCCATACAGGAGCGCTCGTCAGAGCGGTTTCCAAGGCTTGACAGGATTCAGAGGTCTTCGTTGTCCAGGATTTCGCATTATCTTTTTGGTCAGATTATGGAGAGGTCTTGCAAGGGCGACAAATCCTTCAACAAATCGGCGGTAATAAGAAACCATGCCAAAAAAGCTTTCACTTGAGTAACAGTCTTCGGATTCATTTTCATTCCATCTCAAAAACTCGTCGTTCAATGTCGTCAACAGCAAGTAACAGTGTAAGTTATTTAGAATCGGATCAGACAATCACTCAACACAATTTTATTTCAGAGTGATGGCTTTTGTGATTTTTCTGCTAGTTTATCCATGGGTTATACCAAATTATTGACGCATGACAGCTTCCTAGCATTTGCTAGTTCTTACAGCGCGATGGATGAGCGGTTGAAGTGGAGGTTATCCTCCGGGAGGACCGTGGAAGGAGTGCTCAATAAATACGGCAGAGAACTGGAAAGAGAGGAGTAAGGAATCCTCTATATCATTATCATTATCTTTTATTTATTTATCCTTTGAGCAGTGCTCTGCATTCATTTATCCTTGATACATCTGATCCAGACATGAAGAAGCTGTTTACTGAAGAAGAATGGAATGAAAAAACAGCGAGAACAGGTCAAAAATCGTGGCTTTGCCGGAAAGAATACGTGCTTTTAATCAAAAAGTGAATAGGGTAAGCGAACATGTTCCGGTTTTTATATTGATAGATCCAAACAATTTATTTTATCATATTATAAACAAACATCAGAGAAATCAAGGCTGTCCTCTTGAGATACGGAGAGACAAGATACCGTGGCTCCACTCTTGATGACTTTCTTATCGATATGATATGCTACGCAGTTGTATCGATGTAAGTCAGTGTTGGTCAAAGGCAAGAAAAAAAATCTAATATAATCAATCTTTACTTTAGGTTGCATTTGTATGAGAGTGACCCAAATCCTCTCCGGATGAAACAACAAAAACAATGGGACATCTGCAACGTGTGGACCCCGATTGTTGACAAATTTTTCGGCAACCTTATCAACTGCAGTAGGTATAGCTAACACTATTTTGTATTATCGTCTATCTTTCTAACTGATGATTTTGCAGAGGCAGGACGGCGCTGAAACTTGCTGCGAGTGAAGCCGCATCCTTTTCCGATCATTCAACGGTGTCACGACTTAAACTTTCCAAGAATCTCAAGGACATGCTCTTCACTTTGTGTCAGAGCATTAACTGGAATAGAGAAATAACGAAGACATAGAAGTTCCATTTATCGCCGGTCAATTTGCAAGGCAGATAAAGAAATAGCGTTGCTAATGCAAGACGCTGGATATTTTTTCGTGAAATTGAAGTTCCGTTTTTGTAGGTTTGGTTGCAGAAAACGATAGGCCAGCATGGCCAACCAGCAAATAATCCACATCCCGAAATGGTAGTTGAAATTGAGGAATTGGTGTTCAAAAAAAAAAAAAGGCACGCAGTTTGTATCATCGCATACATCATCTGTCGTTTGTTCATCGTTATTACCTACCCTTACCTTTCCTTGCTTCCTTATATAAACGACATTGCTCTGTTCCCCTTAACTAGCGAACAACAATAGCCCACGATGAGCATGCGCGGTCTTACAGTGTAAGATGACCCTTGATGATATTTCACCAACTTCAAGTATAAACACAAACTAATCTCGACAATGCATCCATAGCTTTATTGCCGACATTCGAAATTGTAAAGTTTTGAAGCGAATACAAGTTTTTCACCTCATACAACTAAGTAACGAGAATGTTATCTAGGTCGAGTACGAGAATTGGAAGAGAAACGAATCAACAAGGAAATGGCCAATATCAGGTCCAAGTTCAAAGGTAATCCGTGACGGATACTCTGGCAGCCATCATTCTTTCCATGCTAATATGGGATACTATCCTAACAGAGGGCAATTTGAATGGATATCAAAAGAAGAAATACGTGTGCAAACTGTTATACATGTATATTCTCGGTTGGGAGATTGATTTTGGTCATCTCGAAGCCGTGAATCTCATTTCGAGTCAAAAATACAGTGAAAAGCAGATTGTGCGTATGCGACTCACGGGTACAGTAGGACCTGGTGAACTGACATGATTCTATTAGGGTTATCTTGCGGTGACTTTGCTATTTCACGAAAACAGTGATTTGGTGCGCTTGGTGGTGAATTCGACGAAAAAGGATTTGGACGATATGAACGAAATCAACAATTGTCTTGCATTGCATGCCATTGCCAACATTGGTGGTCGTGAAATGGCCGAGTCGCTGGCCACCGATGTGCATCGTTTGCTGATCTCACCGTAAGCAGAATTTCACCGTGCTGGGTTCAGGTGCCCTGACGAAAGCATGCTGATAAATGTTATCTACAGGACATCGAAAAGCTTTGTCAAAAAGAAAGCGGCATTGACTTTGCTTCGTTTGTTCCGCAAGCATCCCGACGTGGTTCCTGTCACAGACTGGGCGGATCGAATCATTTCTCTGATGGATGAATATGACCTGGTGAGTGGGCGCATTCAGCGACTCGTTCGTCGTGCAACTCTCTAACTAACTCAAAATGCAGGGAGTCGCTTTGTCCGTTACGACGCTGGTGCTTGCACTAGCCCAAGCGTACCCTATGGAATACGCTGGATGCTATGACCGCGCCGTTCATCGACTGAAAAGAGTAGGCTGGATTGACGTGGAATTAACTCAAGCACCTTTGTAACCCATGGACTGTGATAGATTTTAATCGATCGAGACTACAGCTTGGACTACATCTACTACAAGGTACCCACCCCTTGGTTGCAAGTCAAGTGTCTTCGCCTTTTACAGTATTATCCTCCGCCTGGTATGATGTAAAATCATGCACGCATTTGGAAACGAAAACTGAATTTGCTGCTTATTAGAGGACGCGAAGTTACGGTCGGATATCAGTGAACTTTTGCAGATTATCATTACAAATTCGCAGGACACGCCTAAAAATGTGCAACACAGCAATGCACAAAATGCCGTTTTGTTTGAAGCGATTAGCTTGGCGATTCATTTGGATAGCAACTCGACGATTTGTGCTCAGGCCGCCGCGCTTTTGGGCCGATTCATCTCATGCAAGGAAACCAACGTGCGATATCTTGGCTTGGAGACGATGGCCCATTTAGCAGCTTGTGCCGATTCTCTCGAACCTGTCAAGCGACATCAAGAAACGATCCTGATGTCTCTGCGTGATAAAGATATCAGTGTACGACGTCGGGGTCTGGATCTCCTCTACTCCATGTGCGACACCACCAATGCCAAAATCATTGTCTCTGAACTTTTACGCTATCTGCAAATTGCCGATTACGCAATGCGTGAGGAAATGGTGTTGAAGATTGCCATTTTGGCCGAGAAATTCGCTACGGCGTATTCATGGTACGTTGATATCATTCTGCAATTGATCTCGACGGCCGGTGAACAAGTCGGTGAAGAGGTGTGGTTCCGTGTCGTGCAAATTGTTACGAATAACGAAGAACTGCAAGAGTATGCGGCCAAGACGGTGTTGAATTATCTCGGATCTCCTCAATATAATGAAACCATGGTCAAAGTGGGAGGGTACATTTTGGGCGAATTCGGTCATTTGATTGCCAACTTTCCTGGTTGCAGTCCGATTGAGCAGTTCAATGCCGTGCACTCCAAATTCAATCTTTGCTCGCTCCAGACACGCGCACTTTTGCTGACAACCTATGTCAAATTTGTGAATCTTTTCCCCGAAATCAAGAGCCAGGTGCTTTCCGTGTTCAACCAGTATCGTTATGTCCTGGATTCCGAATTGCAGCAGCGAGCGTGCGAATACTTGGCTATTTCGACCATGTCGACCGACGACATGTTGCAAACTGTGTGCGAGGAAATGCCGCCTTTCCCTGAACGAGAATCGACCTTGCTACTGAAACTGAACCAAAAACACGGCGATACCGAAGACAAACGTGTGTGGGTGATTGGTGGCAAGGAGGCCAACTTGGAACGACAAGAAGGATTGAAACGGATGGCGTCGATGCGTATGAATTCCACCGATACCGCTTCCGCGAGTCCTGCATCGGCACGTGCGGTTCCTCCTGACGGTCATCCTCAACAACAGACAACGGCCACAAAAACCGCCAACGTCGAATCAGAGGCCGATCTTTTAGCTTTTGATAATCTTCAGATCGACAGTAGAACTATGACCAGCAACAGCAACAGCCGCAGCCCGTCTCCTGTTATCCCAGCCCATTTGCCTCTTGCTTCGGGCTACGAACTCGGTTTCAATCGATTACAATATCATAGCCAAGGCGTATTATATGAAGATCCTCAAATGCAAGTATCGTTGAAATCCGAGTTCCATGCTGCGTATGGTCGTATTGCTCTGTACCTTGGCAACAAGACGCAATATCCCATGTCGCACGTGTATGTCAAAGCCGGCAACCATCAGCAGCTGAACATTAATGTCCTGGATTTGCATGGACCCTCGCAAGAAGTGATTGGTTCCAACGGACAAATCCAACGCTTGATCCAAGTCGAATGTACGGATGCATTTACCGAATCGCCTTCCCTATTTATTGGTTTCCGAATCAACGGGGGCGATATGCAACATCTTCATCTCAAGTTGCCGGTTGTTCTAACCAAGTTTCAAGACCCCATCGGTAACATGGATGGTCCAAGCTTCTTCAGACGATGGAACCAAATCGGAGGTCCGCCAAGAGAATCGCAAATTATTTTCCAAAGTCGGGTGCCCATTCAGTTGTCGACGGTTTCTTCAATTTTGCAAGGCTATCAATTCGGCTTACTGCAAGGCGTTGACCCCAACACCAATAACTTTGTAGGTGCCGGCGTGATTGATGCCGGTAAGAATGGAGGCAAGATTGGCGCCTTGCTTCGATTGGAACCCAATTTGGAACAGAATGTAAGTGGCATCTTGAAGAAGAAGGAACCAACAAGACCCTTACCTTTTCGTTTTTGGATAGATGTATCGCCTGACTTTACGAACACCAAGCGAATCCGTTTCGGAGCATGTGCGCATCTTACTAGAACGCACTTTAACACACGGATTCTGATAGATGATAGCTCATTATACCTGATAGTATAATTTTATCGATTGTATTTTCTTTTTTATGTGGTTTCTATCACAAACGCTTTTCATCCACCTGTATAAAAACCTGCTCATCACATAAAATCACTCCAACTGCTTACTTTGTTTATGTCTCTTTTATATAATACTTTACATATCAGTCTTCGTCTGCTGAGATCCCCCTTTGCCTCCACACACCATCACTACTGTATTACATGCCAACAAACATTATCCCGTTTATTGACATTGACGCCCATCCATTTGAGACCGTAAAAGAATAAATGTGGAAAAAAGAAACTGAAATTGAAACCAAAAAATTAGGCAATAATGTGGATTTTATGTGATGAGCAGATTTTTATACAGGTGGATGAAAGTGTTTTGTGATATAAATCACATAAGAAAAAAAAAAAAAAAAAGGAAAATACAATCGACAAAAATTATACTATCAGATATAATGAGCTATCATCTACATTCTTTGCAAGGGCTTCAAGTTTAACAAACGCATGGCGTTGCCAAGCGTGACGCGAGCGGACCAGTACATCAAAAGACGAGCATCGGCGACATCATCGGCGGCGCCTTGGACCCATAATTGATCGAATACGGCAGAAATGTCGTGGGCCAACTTGAAAGAGTAAGTGACGACATTGCAAGGCTCATAACCGTTCATCAAGCTTCGGACCAAATCGGGGTATTGTGCCACAGTACGGAGCACTTCAATGGCTCCCTTCTCTGTCAGCAGTTCAATGTTGGCCTTGAAGTTGACTTCACGGCCGCTCTTACGTTCGATGGAACATAAACGAGCATGGGCATATTGAATGTATGGGCCGGTATCACCTTCGAAAGTGAACATGCGGTTGCGATCGAATTCGTAGTTCTTGATACGACGAGCGGCGTTGTCCTGGATCTTGACGGCGGAAAGACCAATGTTATCAGCCACCATTTCGGGATCTTCAATTTCCTGGTATTTCTTCTCGTTCTTGCGCATGACTTCGTGCATGATATCCTTGGCTTCGTTCAAGATATCTTCCAAGAAAACAACGGTACCCTTACGGGTGGACATGCCTTGAACCAAACCAAAGCTGACGTGCTCAACCTTGTTGGCCCATTCGAAGCCCATCAATTCCAGGGTCTTGAAAAGCTGCTTCAAGTGAAGTTCCTGCTGAGAAGCGACAACGTAGATCATCTTATCAAAGTTGTATTTTTCGTGACGTTCCATGGCAGCGCCGATATCGCGAGTGAGGTAAAGCGTAGTACCGTCTGACTTTTGTACGACCGTGGTACCCAATTTGTATTTCTTGAGGTCAATGACCTTGGCACCTTCGGATTCCTGAAGGAGACCGCACGATTCCAACACCTTCATGGCGCGTTCCATGCCTTCACCAACCTGGGATTCGCCAGAGTAAACATCAAAATGAATGTTCAAACGACCGTACACTTCCTTGTATTTGACAATGGACAAATCTCTGAAACGACGCCACAAGGCCAAGGCCGATTCATCACCATCTTCCATCTTCTTGAAATAGGCACGGGCCTCATCGTGAATGGCGGGATTCTCTTCGGCATCGCGATTGATCTGAACGTAGACATCGTAAAGATGCTTAATAGGATCACTCAACAACTTTTCTTCGCTACCGTGACGAGCAAAACCGACAGCCAAAAGACCTAATGAAAAAATCGCACAAATCAGCATCCCGGTTCCGCTGACCCCGACGCAGTACAGTGTAGCTTGTTACTTACCGTATTGCTTGCCCCAGTCACCCAAGTAGTTCATGGCGATGCTCTTCCAGCCGTTTGCGTCGTATACGTTGCGCACAAAGGCACCAATGATGGTGGAACGAAGATGACCGGCATGGAAAGGTTTGGCGATATTGGGGGAGGAGAACTCGACGATGACGGTCTTGCCGGCACCCGAGTTATTTCGGCCATAGCCTTCGGCTTTATCGGAGACCATTTCGATAGTGAGACGACGCAAGATACCGAGGTTCAGTTTGAAGTTCAAGAAAGGACCGACGGCCACGGCACCGGTGATGTAATCATTGGGAACAAAAGCTTCGGCGAGTTCCTTGGCAATGGCCACGGGGTTGCCCTTCAATCGCAAGCGGGGAATGGCCACGGCGAGATCACCGTGTTCGAGGGAACGAGGCAAATCCAAAGCATCATAGATCAAAGCCGCATCCACCTTGGCAAGTTGAGCCAGCTGAACAGCGATAAGGTTTCTAAAGACATCCATAGGATTACCGGAAGGATTGGAAACTGTGTTGGGAATTTCGGGAATCGCGTCGATCTTGGCAGGAGCCGCCGATTGCGACAACTGGTCCGCCTGCTTGACGGCTTCGGTAGCAGCAGCAGTAGCATTGACAGCCTTGATATAGTCGGCGACTTTAGATGAAGGCTTGTCGGCGGAACGCAAGACATCCCAAGCCAAGTAATCGACAATGCTGACGTCGTTGCCGGTCAAAAAGGTGGTCTGAGAAGCTTCGACCAAAGGAACGATGTTTTGACCGCTCAGGATGGCGTCAATAAGCTGAGCCTGATATTGGTTTTGAGGCAACTGTTCATCCAACAATTGTCCTTGACGAATGAGGAAACGAGCCACAGCAGGAGAACCGACAAGCTGATGACCTGCAACAGCGAGTTGAATGTCGGTCTGTCCGCTGACGACCTTGATGGACTCCTCTAACTGAGCGTTTGAATGAATAAGAGCGAGAATGCCAAAAGGCACATTTTTGACTGGCACACTCAAGTCCATTGGCATAATAGAAAAGGAGGGAGAGGAAATAGAAAGAATCAAAAAAAAAAAAAAAAGGAAAGACAAGTGTCAAAAATGGTTAAATGAGTCATGAGCCAAGCCACCCCACTGCTATTTCAGTCATAGTGATTCATACTCCGTCTTATATGTGATAAAAAGATGTGGTTTTTTAGCAAATCCCCAATCTGAAGAAACTGCAATTGCATGAAAACATACAAAAACCAACATAACACTTCCTCGTACAAAAAAAGTAAATACATAATATGCCATTACAGTGCCTTTTTTTATCCATTGTCAACTAAAAACGAACCGCATCAATGAAACGACGTGAGAATCCACAGCACACATACCGTTGCTGTACTGGGCTGCTATCCTTTATTGCTCGGTTCATTGGCGAAAGTGAAGCACAAAACTACACCTGAATCGCTCATGAAAAAGCTTATTCTATTTAAAAGTCAGCATGCGGCGCGCTTCCATGTCAACAGCTTTACCTAGCCAAAGAAATGAATCAATATCGAAGCATGCCTCACAGGTTCACTTAGCTCACGTGGTCCATAGAACCGTGAGCCTAATTGTATAAAAAGTTCTATTACGTACTCTACTTTATTCGCTCTTCATTTCCTCTGTGTTCATTTCGAGCAAATCTGCTTTGCGTCTTCCAGCTGTTGTTCAATAGATCTTCACGACAATAGAATGCATATTTATCTTGAACATGAGTTATATCCAATGGCGAATACAAGGATATTGTTGACGCTGCTGATTAAACTATGCTATACACTACTTTTGAAGACTTTGATGTGCTGAACAACTTTTTTTGTACCGCTGCGGGCGTTTTTTTTTTTTGTTGATTTCTCACTCTGTTTTCACAGGGGCATCATAACATTGGTATGCATACCATATATGTCAATTCCTATTGTCACCTTGATTGAAATAGTCCAGCGTTATACAGACGTCTTCGCAGATGTTTACTCTGATCGATAACAGATTGGTTGATTGTGCAACAGATGGTTCCTGAGAATGGGAATGCTTATTTGATCAACAAATGATTTTCGAGTGAAAAAAAAAAGAGTCGCATGTTTTGAGCGTGGGCGTGTGCACTTTGGCGAACTGGGCTGTCACACTGAGTCAAAAATTTGTTTCCCATTGACCGGAGTGGCTTTTTCTTTTCAGGCATTGTCGGGCGCAAATCCCGTTATTTTTTTGTCTCTTTTTTGACAGCAAAGCGAACAAAAAGAATGGCAGCAGAGAAAGCATTTGACCGAAGTGCGCTTGAAGTAAGCCAAAGCAACGCTGTTCTTTGTCTTAGGCGAATTGAAAACTAACCTTGTGTTCTTTTTTTTTTTTACCAGCAATTGATTACCAAGCGTTTCTTCTATGCTCCTTCGTTCCAAATCTATGGAGGTAGGTTTTCACGGGTTGGAGATGGGAAAGAAAAAGAAAAATGAAAAAAAGAGCAAGTTGTTAATCGTGGGGTTTTGTAGGTGTGGCCGGTTTCTACGATTACGGTCCATCAGGCTGTGCTCTCATGACCAACATCATCAATGTGTGGCGTAACCACTTTGTGCTCGAGGAAGAAATGTTGGAATTGGATACAACCATTATGACCATTCACGATGTGTTGAAGACTTCTGGACACGTTGACAAATTCGCTGACTGGATGTGCAAGGATTTGAAGAATGGTGAAATTTTCAGAGCTGACCACGTTGTCGAAGCGGTGCTTGAGGCTCGTCTTCAGGGTGACTTGGAAGCGAGAGCCGCCAAGGATGGCAAGGCCGTCGACCCTGCTGCCGTCGATCCTGCTAAAGCCGCCAAAGACGCCAAGAAGAAGAAGAAGAAAGGTACCGTTGTCGCAATCGAATTGCCCGAAGCTACGCGTAAGCTTTACGAGGAAACTTTGGCTCAAGTAAGTTAATCGTTTTTGGGGAATTTTTACGAGTTGGCAGGCGAAAATACTGATGAGTTCAATCACATCTAGATTGATAACTACAATGGTCAAGAACTCGCTGAAATTATGCAAAAGTTTGATATCCGTTCTCCTGAAACCGGCAACGAGTTGTCAGTTCCTCAGGAATTCAACTTGATGTTTGAGAGTCAAATCGGTCCTACCGGTCAATTGAAGGGTTACTTGCGTCCTGAAACGGCTCAAGGTCAATTCTTGAACTTTAAGAAACTCTTGGAATTCAACAATGAGAAGATGCCTTTTGCTTCCGCTCAGGTCGGTCGCTCTTTCCGTAATGAAATCAGTCCTCGTTCGGGTCTTTTGCGTGTGCGTGAATTCACCATGGCGGAAATTGAACATTTCGTCGATCCCGAGAACAAGGACCATCCCTCGTTCAACGATGTCAAGGACGTCGTCATCACCCTGTTACCCAAGGATGTCCAGTTGTCTGGCAAGACCGAAACCACTGAAATGTCCATCGGTGATGCTGTCGCCAAGAAGATCATTGATAACCAGACCCTCGGTTACTTCATTGCTCGTATCTACCTCTTCTTGACCAAGATCGGTATTAAGCGCGAACGCTTGCGATTCCGTCAACACATGGATAACGAAATGGCCCATTACGCTACCGACTGCTGGGACGCCGAAATTCACACCAGCTATGTAAGTGACGGGACGTTTTGTGGTTTTGTCTGGAATTTAGGGTCCTAATATGACGCATGATGTTTTTTTGTTGTAGGGTTGGATTGAATGTGTTGGCTGTGCTGATCGTTCCGCTTACGATTTGACCGTGCACTCTCGCCGCACCAAGGAAAAACTGGTTGTCCGCGAGCAACTGGCTGAACCCCGAACGGTTGAGCAATGGCAAGTGGAGATCAACAAGAAGACGTTTGGTCCCAAATTCAAGAAGAGTGCCAAGGCCGTTGAAGAAGCATTGCTTACCTATACCGATGAGTGCTATGCCAAACTTGCCAAGGATCTTGAAACCACCGGTACTTCCGAGGTTGAAGTCGACGGTCAAAAGTTTGAAGTGTCCAAGGATGATGTTTCCGTCAAGCGCGGTGCCGTCACTGAATATGGTGAGTTTTGTGGCAAAAAAAAAAAAAAAAAAAAACGATAACACCCCTCGTAAGGAAGTCTTCTGATGTTGTTTTGCCGGTTTTTCCTAGTTCGTGAATACACTCCCAATGTCATTGAACCCTCGTTCGGTATTGGCCGTATCTTGTATTCTTTGCTTGAGCACAGCTGGTGGGTTCGCGAAGGTGATGAAGCTCGTAACGTGCTTTCATTCCCTGCTGTGGTCGCTCCCTTCAAGTGCTGTTTGTTGCCTTTGTCCGGTAATGCTGCTTTTGAACCTTTTGTCAAGAAATTCTCTCGTCAACTGCGCCAGAACGGTATCTCGACCCGTACCGATGACAGCAAAACTTCCATTGGTCGCCGATATGCTCGCAACGATGAACTCGGTATTCCTTATGCTATCACTATTGATTTCCAAACCGTGGAAGATGGTACCGTCACCTTGCGTGAACGTGATTCCACCGAACAAATCCGTGATTCGTTTGAAAACATCTTGGCCAAGCTCAAGGAAACCGATACTCTCTGATTTAGTGTGTAGAGAACCCATTTCCTCACTTTTTCGCATCAAATCATCCTTCTCTTTTTTTTTTCTATTGCATAAAATCAATAATAAATGTGAATGGAAAAGGATACGTTCAATGGGCTTTAGAATGAATGCTCTTTTCCTTGTTGTCTCAAAACAGTTTGAACTGACGATATGCAGCCAATTTTTCAAGTAAAGAAAACGGTGTGGACGGACAAATCGAGCTCCAATTTTTTTTTTTCGTAACAAAGAAACAAGTTGAATTTTTTTTTGGGCAAGTTACAACTGAAGTTGGCTTCAATAAAAAAAAGAATGATAAATGACAACAAAGAAGTAAAAATAAATTGAAGGAAAAAAGGAAAGACTATAAGAAGAAGAAAAAAAAGAGATGTGAAAAATCCGAAAAGGTATATATATAACAAACAAAGAGTATAAATAAAAAAAAGGAATAAGAAAGTCAAGTAGTTTTTCAACATTCACTCAAACGGTATCTGGATTAGGCGAATGGATTGGCGGCCAAAACACGGATCAACGGTGGTGTTCTTACAGTTTCCACAGTAACGATGACTCGGATTTTATCCATCGCCTTGATGGTCTGTGATGCCTGTTCAAAGTTATATCCCGAACTCTTGGATAAGCGCACGCTAATAATGGATCGTCGCTTGTTCGCTTTGGATGGCGTCGACAAGGTAGCCGTGGGAGACGGCGAACGAACAGTGTCTTGATACTGCGATAATGGCTGTTGCTGTCGTTGCTGCTCCTGCTGTTGTTGTTGCACTGAAAGGTCAGTGACAATATGTTCAACGGAAGCTCCGGTAACCGAAGAGGTAGGCGATGCAGTCGAAGGCGTCTTCACGTCCGCTTGCATTTCAGACAGTAAGGCGTCTTCATCATAATCATCGTATTCATCATCCGACATACTGTAAGTATGCTGAACACCGGTAGTCACCACCTCCTTCTTCCAGAACATGGTCAATGCTCGTGAACGCTCATCAAAATCGTGACGCCACACGGGCAGATTGGCCAAATGGATGCGTTTCTCCATATTGATCTCAGGCACCATGATGTCAAAGAACTGGTCAAACGTAGCGACAACAATACCTTCGTAGTAAGCGACCTTGTTCGAGCTTTGGTTGATCAGCTTGTTCAAGTGCAACGAAAGGAACAACATATTGCTTTGATGACGTGCATTCAGAGCAGCTTCTTTCTTGACATTACAATGCTGAGCAAGTTTTTGCACAGTGTCACGATCCAAGTAAAACCGTTTCTCTGCAGAAGAAATTATGTCAATGATACGAGCCACTTTGATTCCTCACGGTCAAGTATTACCTCCGGACAAAACAGCATCCAATTGGCGATGCACGATGATATCGGAGAATCGACGACTGGGGGCCGTGAAGTGAGTGAAAAGCGGCGCTCCCAATGCATAGTGGGAATACTTGAGAATGTCCAAGGTGCCAGTGCAAAAGTATTTCGGTGGTTGCAAAGTCTTCAAGACAATAATAGACACCATTCTTTTGAGCATGGGATCGTCGATACGGTCAATGGATCGTTGAATTCCGCCCGCGCTGGAAACATCCATACCCACACCAAGATAACGCGAAACGTAATCCTGGAGTTCCACCTAGTGCAGTTTTCGTTAGGGGACCCATTGAGTAAGGTAATTTGTGCCTGTTTCTAGACTTACAATTTTTCGAGATAAAGGTGGTGCCTGACGACGCAGCAAGGCCTGTTCGGGGAAACTGCTGGACACCTTTTGAGCAACACTCAAATTGGCCAACAGCAAAAACTCCTTGATCACTCGAGCGCCTTCCTTCTTCTTGTGAATGGCAACACCGGTAGGTATCTCCTGATCATGCTCATCAAAGGTATACTCCAACTCATCTCTCATTTCGAACATGGTATCATCGCCTCGACGGGTTTCATACAATTGGTTGGCAATAGCATGAAGCGTACGGATATCTTTTTCTACGCCAATTCGCTGCTCCTCCACCTTGATGGCATGGCTCAGGTTGCCGCCCTCCACCACCTTCTGAGCATCATCGTATGTCAACTGGGCACAAGACCTGTACATTTTTTCACTTGGTCAAACCACCGTAATGCATCCAATCTGTATTCACGCTGATACTTACCGTATGATCGTCTTGCCAAACCACGTATCCAGAATTTTGCCTTCCGAGTTCATCTTCCAAATAACGGAGAAAGCAAACCTAGGATGAATCCAAAAATAAAGTCAGTATAACAGCCTATATACCAACTCCATTGATGCGATTAAATTACTTTGATTTGCCAGGCACCAAATTGGTCACTTGTTCGGTAAGCGATGTGGGTAACATTGGGACTGCTTTGTGAAGCAAATCAACGCGAACGGCTCTCGCACGTGCTTCCTTGTCCAAGGCGGAGTGGGGTTTGATAAAGTAAGCGACATCGCTGATATGGACGCCAATCTCATAAGTATCATCTCCCAACTGCTGCACAGAGATAGCGTCATCAAGCACTATTGCATCATGAAAAATGTGAGTATTTTATAAAGACCCAACATTTCCATTTTTTCCCCTTTACCATTTGAGCCGGCGGGATCCAGAGTAAAGGTGCGAACGTTGATCAGGTTACGACGATCGTCACTGACGGTTTCGCCTACTTCAAATGGCATGGTAGGCAAGCATTCGTTCACTTGCTCCGAGAATTCGGTATCGGTGACATTGTTATCGGCCAAGATGGCCATGGTTTGTACCGACAATTCATTGATATGGCCAAGCTCACGTTCCAATGTTCCAAAGGGATGAAGTGAAGTAATGGGCCAGCGCTTAATAGCACCCTATTCCACACACAGCAAGTCATTATTATCGTATCATACAATAACAAGGTTTGCTCGTCAACTTACCACAAACAATCGGTTGGCATATGCTTCATTATTTTCAACAAATCCTGCCGGAGCTTGTTCGATGGGAATGGCGATGAGAGGGACTCGTTTGTCCGCCGCCTTGAACCATACAATTCTTGGTGGATCTTTCTTGCCGTTCTGAGAGTTAGTGTCGTCGGCTGCCTTTTCTTCTTGGGCCCGTTTATTATTGGGACGCATGAGTGTAAGGGCGCTAGTAGGAAAGAGACATCATCAGTTTCCCTATTGGTAAATGATCATCACAAACCATAGGCGAGATAAAAGCTTACCCAGAAAACACTTGATTTTGAGCTCTTTCGAGAATATGAACAACGACACCGCAGTATTTCGGCTTCACAGCATCAATATCATCGTCGCCACCGAAAATGATTTCATTCTCATCCTCTTCATCCGGAAGACGGACACGAACTTGGCCGCCATTTCGGGCCAGTTTGGCTTCTTCTTTCTCTCTCTTTTCACGCAATACCTTTTCAACGTCGACTAAACGAATAACGACCACATCACCCTCCAAAGCTCGGTTTCGATCACGCGATCCACACACGTAAATATCGGCATCCAGCTCGTCGCAAGAGACATAAGCATCGCTACGGTTACGTTTGTTGACGCGCAATGTGCCTCTCAGTAGCTGGCGAGAACGAAGCAAAGGCGGCAAGGCCGATAATGGCAAGTGAGCAATGAACAAGTGGCGACGCTGATGGGGGTTAGCATCGTCGCGTGCAAAATTGACCCGAGTCGGAGTAAAAGGAACAAGATTGAACGAAGAGCGATTGCTGATTGTGGATGAGCGATTGGAAGAAAATGATTGATGAATAGGGGAAGCACCTGAAAGTCATCCGCAAAACAACAATGGGTTAGAACAATGATTACAGTAACACAGAGATGACTTTTGGGATCACTTACTGGCACGCCAATCATAGTCAAAGTTGCGAGAGGAGCGTCGATTTTGCTGACGTCGGTCTTCACTACCGGAAAGGTCCAAAGGCTTATTGAACTGAATTCGTCGACCTGTTCTTGACGCGGTGGATTCATTGCTGTTTTCCGATAATGTGGGCAACTGCAACGACATGCGTTTGCTTGTACTTTTGCTCGGCTGAGGTGGGAGGATGTGGGTCACATCGAAACTTCCAGTAGCATCCGAGAATCGACGACTGGTGGGGCGGCGGATCTCATCTTCGTAACCCAGGGTTTGAAATCTGGAGGATGAATGACGTCTGGAAGCCTTATCCATCGCATCATCTGAGTTTGGTGTCTCTTTTCTGTACGTTCCCATCAATTTGGCCTCAGCTTCCGCCAAAGCGGCCTCACGAGACATGTAACCTTCGTCATCAAAGTCGCCAATACTGCGAGCTCGGAGGCTACGACGACGTTCACTCTTATCATCCATGCTCCGGAGGTCATGGACGGTGTTTTGAAGCATATTGCCACCACCAGCACCGCCGCCACCACTTCCATTTCCTGCCCCATGTTGTGCGTTGAACGATAAACGTTTGGTTTGCGGACCAAAGTTCAGTGCCGACATGGATTGTGGCTTGCGTTGAATACTACTTCTGCGGTTGTCTTCCTTGGCCACAATCGGGGGAAGTGATTTCAAGGTATTGATGATATCGTGCAACGAGTCCACTGTCACAGGCTGTTCGGCATCTTCCCTTCTGGCTTTGTGGCTGTCATCATTTTCTTCCGTGAGTGTTTGCAATCCAAAATTCCGACGAGCATTCTGATTGGATAACATATCCGGAGTAATAGCAGACCTAGACCGTTGGTGGCCGCGCTGCGTTGGTGCCTGCTGTCTTATCTTTGTGCTTTCTATTCCGGGACCAAACACATGAAAAGACCGGCGTTTATCCGCTGCAAGGCTGTTTCTCAGGGAATTCTGATCATGTTGCAAAAAAAAAAGCCCTCATTAACACTCTTTCTCTCTGCTTCGTCTTTCTCTTTTCACTTTCGGTCATGCCGTGAGATTCCCGTTTGTCATTGTTACCTTGGGTTCCGGCGTATCAAAGAGACCGCGTGTGCTTTCAGGGGCGGTTTGTTGTTCCAGAGTCTCAAGGTTGTTGTCCATGATGGATATCCTTTGGGAGCAAAACGAGTGGTACAAGGCAAAAAGGATGCAAGGCTTGGGTCGAGTAGTTTATGTGAGGAGCGGAAGTTTGAATGAAAAAAAAAAACCAAGTTACGATATACACCAAGTTAAGGAACGACAAAATGGAATAGTATAACCAAAAGAAAGGGAAAAAAAAAGCTAAAAGGTAAAATGTGAAACGGTTAATAAGGGACCAGAAACACAAGAGAAGGGAAGCCAAAAAAAAAAAAAGGGAAACGGTAAGAACAAAAGGTCCGAGCAAAAGAGGTTAAATTGGGCGTTGAACGATCGGGAAAGAGAGAACGAGGGCTTGTAACAAAAAAGGAAATTTCCAGAGGCTAAACCTTGCCTTTCGAATCTTGGACTTCCTTGTGTACATTTCCCGCGATGTATGACCAATGTTCCCTGCCATCGAAACAGCACAATCATCCAACAAGTCATGTCGCTGGTCGGGTAAAAATGATGTCGTTTGGCAACGCAACAACATAATTTGCACCGTTACAATTGCTTTCAGCCTTCCATTATAATCGTTGTATGCCTTTGAATTTGCTATTTATTTTTGCAGCCATGAAGCGGATCTCCGCTCCAGACAGCTTAAAAATCGAAAAAAGGAAACAGGTACTCTGCCAGAAACAGAGAAAAAGTAAAGAAAGAGTGAGAGTAGTGAAATCTGTAAATAAGGTTGGAATAACAGAAACTGTTGCAGATGTAGTGTGAAGGCCTGGGATGCCTGGCACAGACGCTATATTTTAGTGACGAGTAGTCTGTACCGGCAGAAGGTGTCAAATCAAAAGAGTGCGCAGCGGCCAGGATTATCTCTGTGCCGTCAGACATACTATTTGACCATTTTATACAAGAAACAGACTGAAGGACAGGTGCGTGAAAAAAAAAAGCTGAAGTTAAAAAGGCGGCCCTGATTAGACAGTCACGCGTCGCGCCAACCCCCAATTTTTCGGTCACTTTTCCAAAACGCGTCCTTTTTTATTTTCATTCGCTTTGTGTTTTTACCGTCGCCGTCATGTCTGAACTTGTGAGCGATCAACTTATGACCAATGTGCTGGACTCTCAGGTCGCACCTATGCTTGATACCGAAGACCTTCCAGGTTCCACTCCGGCCAACATCAACATGGATGTCGATGCCATGGACGAAGAACCTGTCCAGGCACCTAGAAGAATCGGTTTCACCACAGACAGAGTCACGAAAGTCGTCGATCAAACAGCCGTTACATTGATGGAGAGCTTTGAAGCCTTTTTGGAATCGTAAGCAAAAATGGGGTTTTGCGGTTTTGGAAAAGAGAAAGGAAACTCAATCGCTGACGCACCGGCATATAGATTCAAGGACACCAGTGCCACGTATATGACGTCTCAATCGGCTTACCTTGGTCTTCCATACATGATGCAATTGGAACAACTCAAATATTCGGAAACACAGACTATTTACGTAGACTTTGCCCACATTGAGCAAGCTGATCCTTCCTTGGCCACGGCCTTGTTGGAACAATACTATCGGTAAACCACAAATGAGGCACCTGTCTTGTGTATGCCAAGGTGTCATGCTGACATTGACCTTTTTCTAGTTTCATGTTGTATCTTCGTCGTGCAGTCCAAAACGTGGTCAAGAAGCACTTCCCTGAATATATTCACATCAACACCACCTCGGCTGAAGCGACTCCTGGCGCTGTCATGAGAGAATTTACCGTTGCGTTTTATGGTGTGCCAGACTTGGCTCGTGTGCGTCAACTCAAGACAGACAAGATCGGTCGACTTATCAGCATCAGTGGCACAGTCACACGCACAACAGAAGTTCGTCCTGAATTGATTTATGCTTCCTTCACATGCAATGAGTGTCGCACCGTCGTGAATGATGTTGAACAACAGTTCCGATACACAGAGGTAGGAAATCCAATTCCACTAAGATCAGCGGCTAGGATCAAACAAAAGGAAAAAGGGATTAAATGGATTTTTTCTGTGAAATCTAGCCTGCCATGTGTCCAGGTATTCAGTGCTTCAACCGTCAACATTGGACTTTGAATGTCGAACAGTCCAAATTTGTCGATTGGCAAAAAGTGAGAATTCAAGAAAATTCTAACGAAATTCCTACCGGAAGCATGCCTAGAAGCTTGGACGTTATTGTACGAAACGAAATGGTCGAGCGAGCTAAAGCCGGTGATAAATGTGTTTTCACCGGTACATTGATCGTCGTTCCTGATGTCGCCGCATTCAGAACGCCCGGCACCTCGGTGGAAGCTCAAAGAGATACCACCACACGATCGCGTGAAGGTTTAGCCAATGAAGGTGTTACTGGCTTGAAAGCACTGGGTGTTCGCGACTTGACCTACAAATTATCCTTCTTGTGCTGTATGGTGCAACCCGATAATGTCTTCAAGGTATTATCCCTATAACTCAGTAGATCCGGTTGGTTTTTCAGTTGATAACGGGCTCCAACCTCTCTATCATTCCTTTAGACCTCCATCACGAATCTTCAAAGCGACGATAGTGGAGAAGAAGATCAGCAGCATGTGCTCAATGACTTTACGCCGTCAGAAGTGGACGATTTGAAAAATATGCTTAATGAGGATAAAGGCATTTACAGCAAACTTGTCAACAGTATCGCACCCAGTGTATTCGGACACGATACCGTCAAGAAGGGTATTTTGCTGCAAATGATGGGTGGTGTTCACAAGGTCACTCCCGAAGGCATGAATCTTCGTGGCGATATTAACGTATGTATTGTCGGTGATCCAAGTACAAGCAAGAGTCAGTTTTTGAAGTACGTATCATGAAACTCGTCCTGAACAAAACCAAGTATTCCTTGTGGGCTATGCTAATCATTGGCCATTAGATACGTCTGCGGGTTCATGCCACGTGCAGTGTACACGTCTGGAAAAGCCTCTAGTGCAGCGGGTTTGACGGCCTCTGTAATCAAAGATGAAGAAACCGGCGAATTTTCGATTGAGGCTGGTGCTCTTATGCTTGCTGATAATGTAGGGTTTTTTTTATTTCGCCTTATCTTTTCTGGGCCCACCGACCGTGCATGGAGCGATCGATACTGACAGTTGTAACAATTAGGGTATTTGTGCGATTGACGAATTCGATAAAATGGATATCAAAGATCAAGTCGCTATTCACGAAGCCATGGAACAGCAAACCATTTCTATTGCCAAAGCAGGTATTCAAGCAAGCTTAAATGCCCGCACAAGTATCCTGGCGGCAGCCAATCCTGTCGGTGGCCGATACAACCGAAAGCTGACCTTGAAGGTAAAGGAGTTTTCAATAGCCTACATTAAAAAAAAGGACCTTTTTCGCTTACAGTTTATTTTAGCAAAACATCAACATGTCGGCACCCATCATGTCCCGTTTCGATTTATTCTTTGTTGTGTTGGATGACTGCAACGAAGTCACGGATTACAATATTGCTCGCCATATTGTCAATGTCCATCGATTAAAGGATGCTTACATTGAGCCAGAATATTCGACCGACCAATTGCAGCGTTACATTCGTTTTGCAAGAACATACAAACCCAAGGTATGATTGGATTTGCACCACTCAATAGCACTGTGCGTAGTGTTATATGGCCGGCTTTTTCTTATTTTTGTTTCCAGATGACGCCAGAAGCAGCCAAAAAATTGGCCGAATGTTACCGCGACCTTCGACAAGGCGATGCTCAAGGGGTTGGAAAGAACTCGTACCGTATCACGGTCCGTCAATTGGAAAGTATGGTTCGACTTTCCGAAGCCATTGCTCGAGTTTACTGTCGTGAAGAGGTAGATGATACATTGTCATATGAACAGCAAGCAACAAAAGAGACTCATGATCTGAACTATATACATAGATCACGGAAAACTTTGTGGCTGAAGCTTATAATTTGCTTCAGAAATCTATTATTCGTGTGGAGCAAGACGATGTTGAAATCGAAGAAGAGGATGCCGACAACGACGTCATGTCAAGCGGAGAAGCTCTCAATGGGTTACGCGATCTTCGTATTGGAGATCACCCTGAAAACACGACGCAAGACACAACTGAAACCGATCAAATGCAAACAGACGAAGCAGGTCACCGAAAGATCAGAATTGAATACGAAAAGTACGAACGTATCAAGAAAATGATTGCTTATCGACTATCGGAAGCTCAACGAGCAGTGGTTGGACAATGTATGTGTGACAGTGGACTGTTTTTGTATGTGTGTATGGCGTAAATTAATCAGCGTTTGATTTTTGTTTTTCCTGTAGCTGCTGAGGATGAGGACGAAGCAGGCATCAGTCTTCAGGATCTTGTACTTTGGTACCTGGAACAGGAAGAATCCGAAGATCGATTAACGTCGGAAGAAGCTCTTGAAACAGAAACGACCATTGTCCAAAGAGTCATCAAGAAGCTCGTTAAAGTAAGTTGATGTTCATATGGCAGATTGGAAACAGAACGAGTCTTTACTCATTCTATCTCGTAGGAGGGAACTTTGCTTGAGGTGGTCGAAGAAGACCCAACAGATCCCAAGATCATGCTGCATCCTAACTATGTTTTGGAGGATTAGAAGTTTTCATCATCCATTATTACTTTATTTTCTTTTCATGTTCTTTTTTCTTCTTTCTTTTTCCTTCTGTGCTACTGGACAGAAACCTCATATTTCTCAATATTGTAAATAAGTATTACCGATTATCGTACTGCTACATTCAATTGAATGCTTAAATATAAACCTTGCATTTATCGCGAGCGGGTAATCAAAAAATTGTCAAGTTTGGAAAGGGATGTTTGTCATTGTTTCAGGTGCGGAAAAAGGAAATAAGATAACCAAATGTCAATGTTTATTGTGTCTTGAACGGCTTGACTTTTTATGGAAGTCTGTAATAATGTGCTGGACTCCAAAATCGGATAACACACGCTACCTACGATACATACGAGGGTTCACATCCTCTCCATACAGGCACTGGTCAATTCGTTGCATTGAATCGATATTTTTAATGACAGAGTTCGAAGAAGGCTTATTACCAAAACTTCAAGCTGCTAAATGTAAAGCTTCTATTTTGAAAGTTGTATCTTTCATTTACAATGTATAAATAATGAATGAACATAAAACCATGGGAGTGCATATGCGGTTTCGCTGTTTTTCAGGCAACCGTAGCCACGGCCAAGCCAGCTGGCGGGGCTGGATTGGCTGTATACTGGCTGTACCATACAGTGGAGGAGGTGTCGATAGGAGACGAAGTAGCCTTTTTGGAATTCCGTTTCGGAATGGTGGCATGAAATAGACGTTTGAGCAGCTTCCCAATGTGGAATGAAGCCATTTTGGAAGGCAAGGACCGGTGTCGTTTTCGATCCATCAGAGGAGGAGCGCTTGCCGCGCGTCTTGGAAGATTTGTCGCAGGTTCCTGCTTTATCTGCTTCAATTCCACATGGCTCGAATTATGCCATAAACTGGTGTGCGATCCACATCCGGATCTTGATAAAGTACTAGAGCTTGATTGGGAACCGCTTGTAGATGATTTATTGCTAGAAGGATGACTAAGCGGCGGTGTATGTTCGGCCAAGGGCAGAAATAGCGAGTCGTTGTGGTAAGGGAACGGCGATATGTGTGGGGATTCCAGTACAACATCTTGTCTACAATGCTTTCGCCACGAGGACACGGTCGAATGTCCAAGGCTGGAATAAACGCGTTTTTTGGGCGGTGGCTGCTTCGCTTGATGGTCATTAAAAACCATCAGATTCTCTTTGGTCAGAGGGAGTGATTTCAATCGTCGATGCTCACAGGTTCTCGCCATGTAATGATGCTGAAGATTGTCTTTCATGATGTCTTGAAGAAAAAAAAAAAGGATTAACGCGAGACGGTGGGTGGTCTTTTATATTGCTGTAAATATCGTAATTTGCCGATCCGTTCCGGAATTTCCTTCCTTGGCAAACGACTAACTGTTCTACCTTCCATTGTTGTATAGTTGCGAGCACCTTCCATATTGATCACATATGCACTAGCACCGCGACCAGCGTTCCCAAAACAGATGGATCCAGACATGGCAACTTTTTGACAATACCAGCATTCATGGCTTTACGTTCTCGAAAAAGGTGCAGGCCCTCATCACAATAGCCAAGCTCACATCGTAGCCAGCTTTCATACGTGCGAATCTTTTAGTGTCCTTAGAAGTAGACGCATGGAACTACAAACACGCGTCCCCGGATCGTGGAAATTGCCACAGCGTCGCACATGGCAACGAAAAAAAAAGGTTCCTTCATCGGTGTAACGATCGATTGTCAATAACGTCAGAAGAACAAAAAAAAAAAAAAAAAAGGAATCTAAGCATGTGTTCTGTATCTGATGAAGATCTTGCAAGTAAATAAGCAAGATACAGGTATTAATTGCAATTGAAAAGGAAACACTAAAAAGCAAAAGATGAGAATGGTTATAAACTCTGGTTTACTTTTTTTTTCCTTTACTTGGGTATTAGCCGAAGTATGGCACGGACCCGACTCCATTATTACCGGGTTTTAAAGCTTGGGGGTCTCGGCTCCTTACAAATCAGTGATAAACTCCTCAAGTCCTCCTCGCTCTTGTTTTTGAATGTTGTAAAAAGTGCCATCCATAAATAAAACGCCCATCACAAGTACTGCACTGTAAATGTTGTAACCAAATTGATCCATTACTGTATCGACCTGATAATTCAGACTCTGTTTACGTTGAGTGATGGAATATAAAAAATACTAATATAATGATCATGTGCAATCAGTGTATTGTGCGTTATCATTCAACGAATAGTAATAATGCAAGGTAAGTACAAATTTTCACCAGGTTGCATAATAAGGGATGACCACTGTCCCAATACGTGGGACATCCGTTGTTTGTCATCTCCGCTTAAAAACGCTCCCAATCGTTGGTGTGGCTGCATGGCGACCGAGCCTTTCACAATTTCTCGCTTTTTTCTTTTTTCAATGCACAATGACTAGCACTCAATGGACATGGCCATCGATTTTTAAAGCATTTGCCGTTGTTGCAGGTCTAATTGTTCAGTCAACGTGCGTTGTACTGGTACAGCTGCTGTCTCTGTTGATTCTTCCTTTTTCTGCAAAAGCATACCGTCGCTATATTGCACATACCATGCGCATGTGGTCGCTGAATCTAGTAGCTTTGGTGCAATTCCTTGCACCCAGCGATCTGGTGGTGACTTTTGATGAAAGCTGTGTGGACGATTCCAAGGCTACTGTCGACACTGCCATCGATGTAGAAAAGCTCGTTCAGCGCAATCACAAAGGTGAAGTAACTGGCTTCAATTTCCCCAACCGTATTATCGTCACAGCAAATCATCAGGTACAAGGCTTTTTCAAGGGGTTTCCGGCCCCTATTGACGTTGCAAGGCAACAGTGTCATTAAAGTATATGACTTCCTTTCTTTTGGTGCAGATATATGCTGACTGGATATACATATGGTGTGTTGCATACATGGCTAGTGCTCACGGTGCAATGAAGATCATTCTGAAGGACAGTTTAAAGTCGCTCCCCATTTTTGGCTGGTACGTGAATCTGGATGATGCATGTGTAAAAAAAAAAGTGGCGCGGCAGCTGATCATATGTATTAGGGTATGAAATTTCCATGTGAATATGAAAATGCTCGTGCGCAAACTAATTTGTCGATGTCACAAAAGGGTATGCAATTCTTTGATTTTATCTTTCTGAAGCGCAAACTTGCGGTCGATCAAAAGACAATTGTGGACAATCTCAAGCACTCCAGCAAGTCCGGTGATCCTTTATGGCTCGTTTTATTTCCAGAGGGAACAGGTAGCGTGAAAAGTCATCAGTGGAATCGATGAGAGCTTTCCCACTCATTCTTTTCAGTCATTTCCACCTGCACACGTGAGCGCTCTCGACAATTTGCGGAGAAAAACAAAATGGTAGGTGGGAGAGTCGACGACGGATTCGTTTGCTAACCGGTGTCTTGACAATAGGAAGACAATCGGTACACACTGTTGCCTCGAGCTACTGGCTTGCGACTTTCTACTTTGACATTGGATGAAAGTGTGGAATGGCTATACGACTTCACAATTGGATACAGTGGTATTCCGTCGGAGGCAAACCCTGAGGATGTCTACACTATCCAAGGGATCTTTTTCTTTGGCCATCGTCCAAAGAACGTGCACATTCACATCCGCCGGTTCCGTGTCAGCGAATTACCCAAGGATATGGACGCATTCAGTAGCTGGATATATCAGCGTTGGATAGAAAAGGATGAGCTCATGGCCTACTTTTATAAGCACGGAAAGTTTCCTTCTGGGGCGGACCATACATCTGCGAGCTCAGAATTGCAAGTTCCGATCCGTCTAACCCATTCCGTAGTAGACCTAATCCAACCATGGATTGCCCTACTTCCGTATATTCCCATCATCAAGTGGACGTGGCAACTTTTTGACAAACTTGGCCAGTCCTTTTCATTTTCACCGTCATCATCATCAATAGTGGCATAGCATTTTTTTTGTAAGTTACTGTAATTTGTAGAGTGGATAATGGCAGAAATAAAAAACATGTTTGAAAAAAGAAAAAAAAAAAAAGGGAACCTGACGCATTTGATTGGCTTGTTCGTTCCAATTCAGTAACTTGATTTGGAGGGTGCTCTCAGACCATGCTCATAATGACAGCATTACGAAAACTTGATTTCATGCAGTTTGATTGCCTATAAATAAGCACTCAAACGATCATTGACCCGGAAAACAAACTTTCTGTAACAATTTTTTTATTTTATCATGTCCAGCCATCATCAAAAAAAGCACACCGAAACTGGTCTCAAGGTAATGATTGTCAAGAGGCAATGGTGTCAACAAAAAAAGTTCTATTACAACTTGCTAACGATTTTTGCCTCGGTAGAACCAAGAAAATGAATATCTCGAAGATGCAAAGATGCATGTGAACGAGACCGAAACTGCTTTGGACGATATGGAGCGAGCCTCTCAAGCCCACGAAAAGCGTACCGGCAAAAAGCTTGAAGTGAACGAGGACAATGCTCTTCGCAGCCGTTTTAAGGAAGAAAATCAGTGATGTCTATCCGCTAAAATACCATGTATAAACCAGATGAATGTAATATATTAAAATTCTGCGTAAAACATCAATGTGTGTCATCAATCCGGGGAAAAAAAAGCGATGGAGCCATCATCTGAGATACAAATGCAGGTTGTGCCATTTTTATCCAATCAAATTTTGAGCTGGTGGCGATTGTCTGCTTTGCCTCATCTTGCGTGATTTTGATTTGTGGTATCCACTATTTAAGAAATTATCGTTTGCACTATGCTTGGTTGTCAACTTGCTTATTGCTCGCCATGTCTTTTATTCCACCACCGAGAGTACCGCAGCCTCAAGGAGGGGCATCGCTCATGATCGCTTTCCAATGCAAACGAAAACACATTCTCGTCATGGGCAACAACTCGATCGCTGCCAGTCGCGTATTGGCCTCCTTAGAAGCCGACGCTACAGTAACACTGGTCGGTTCGCAACAAGCGATGTGCTCTGAACTGTTGTATCGTATTCAAGAGAACCAGATCTCTTGGGGAGGTGAACGATTATATCCTGAACTGCTGGCAGACAAGGATTTAGCTTTTGTATGCGGATTTTCGTCCAGTTACGAAGTTAACCAAGAAATCGTTCGTCAATGCCGAACTCACCGAGTTCCGGTCAATGTCACTGACATGAACGATCTCTGCGACTTTTTCATGACATCTACCTATCGGGATCAGTCTTTGCAAATTGCTGTCTCCACAAACGGACAAGCTTCCAAGTTGTCCAATCGTATCCGTCGACATATTGCCGCCAATCTTCCTTCCCATCTAGGCGATGCCATCAATCGGGTCGGCATTCTACGAAGAAAAGTGCGCAAGACCGATCCCAGCTCAGCCGCAAGTAGTCGAAGAATGAAGTGGCTCGCTCAAATCTGCGAATACTGGAGTATGGAACGACTAGCGCAGTTATCGGATCAGGACATGGAGGATCTGTTGCAGGACTATCAAAACGATGAAGGTTATGAGAGTATGGAAAAACTCCCTAGTCTATGTGTACCATCACCAGCATCCATTATCAACAAATCAGCTTCGCAGGGTACCATAAGCTTGGTAGGATCCGGTCCAGGAGATCCAGGGCTTTTGACTGTGGCTGCTCAGGAAGCCATGGAAACCGCCGATCTCGTATTGGCCGACAAAATTGTTCCCGCGGAAATTGTGGCCCTTGTCAAATGCGAACTGAAGATTGCTCGCAAATTCCCAGGCAATGCCGATGCCGCTCAGGAAGAGTTCAATCAGATTGCATTAAAGGCGCTGCGACAGGGCAAGCATGTCGTACGATTAAAACAAGGAGGTAAAGTCTTGTGGAAAATAGTCGATGGTTGATCACAGAAAGAAATGCTCATCTTGCTTCATGGATTATGCATAGATCCATTCTTGTTTGGACGTGGAGGTGAAGAAGTGCTATTTTTCCGTTCCCACGGTTACTGTCCAAAGGTGATTCCTGGTATTTCTTCATCCGTCGCGGCTCCTCTCCTCGCAGGCATTCCCTTGACGCATCGATCTGTGGCTTCCCAATTCTTGGTCACCACAGGTACAGGGGCGAGAAACTCGGCAGCTCCTTTACCGGTATACGACGAGCACCGCACGGATGTGTTCTTGATGGCGATTCACCGACTAGAAGCTCTTACACAAGACCTCCTTACCAAGCAAAAATATCCCTCTGACTTGCCTTGTGCGATTGTTGAACGAGCCAGTTGTGCGGATCAGCGTATTTTGTGGGGACAACTGGACAACATTGTGCAAGTACTAGAAAGTGTGGGCGGAAGTCGTCCTCCAGGATTACTGGTCGTAGGAAAAGCCATTCACGTTTTAAAACACGACCATTTTCAGTCCACCGGCGTGGCCAACAATGTTATGAGTGGGTCAGGGGACTCCCACAGTAGCAGTATTCTACAACTACACGACCCAGATGCCGTATTCTAAACCTGCTCATTCCATCATCATAGCCCGTCGAAACCTTTAACTACTTATTTCATGTAATATATCATTTCCTCTCATCAGTTCTTCAGTTCACATGTAGAAAATAAAGCTCCAAAAACCTTGTTCAATTTATTGCAAAGGCAATCACACTCAACTGCATCCACATTATAGAAACAACAAAGAACTAGATATTACTAAATCCAAGGGAGTCGCTTCAGAAACAACTTGGATAGATCATTCCACAGTACATGATTCTGCAAATGCCTACTTTTTATACACTGTGCGACCACTAACCCCCTTCCATTTATTTTCCCATGTAGGATTTCTTTATTTCTTTAGAGCGTTTTTTTTTTCCACGTTGATCCAGGGCGAGCAATACTCCGAAACGAATGCGTGTTCATACACCCTTAATAAAAGAATGTCTTTTACTTTATACAAGGTGAGAGACGTTGGTTTATCGAATATGAAGAATTTACTCTTTATTTTTTGTCCAGGGGGAGAATAGCCCGTAAACAGCATACTTTCAAGTTTTCCTAATAAAAAAAAAACACAGCCTCTCCTTTACGCCTATTTTTGAAAGCTGGCATTATCCTTGAATCACATGGAAAGATCGAATGCATCAAAAATAAAATAAAAAAAAAACCTATAAAAAAAAAGGAAAATAATGTCGTGGCTGAAGCGGATAACGTCCGAAAATGGTAATCAGCTTAGCATCTTGCTAAGTACAACCATCCTTTTATCAAAGTTTTAGCCGCTCAGCCATTATCCTCTTTAAGAACATAGACCGAATAAGCACATATAAATATCTCCTTATAATTGACAAAAATAAAGCGTTATCTTTCCTATCCCTAATCCTCTTGTTTCCCACTCTGGTGATCTTGCCGGTATATCAGATCCGAGTGAAGTACGACAACTGGTAGCGGCTGTTTATGAGTTCCATCCCGTTAAACCTTGAAGATATCTCTCTGCTGACCGAAGAAGACAAAAACAAATTTGAAATCGAAGAACGTGTGCAAAAGTTATTACCGCCTGAATTATTTGAAGAATACAAGAAATACCGAAGCTGCAAGCACATACCCTCTGAAGCCAGACTTAAATCCACACCGTCGAGAGAAAAGCACTGGCAAAAACTTGCAACCAATCTTGCCCGCAAATTTGAAGAAACTTACACTGGAAAGATGATATCTAGTGATACACCAGCCACACCTGCTGCGTCCGTTACACCTGTAACACCTGCCGGACTTACTCCCCATTTTGATATCCCACCTGGCCTCCGTATTCCTCCTCCAGAAACGTACAATGGCGAACGCACCAAGAGCGTTATTGACAACTGGCTTCTTGCTGTCTCCCGTTATTTGGAATTCTACGCGGTTCCAAAAGAACGATGGATAACCGTTGCTGTGACACTCCTCCGAGGACGAGCTCTCACTTGGTGGAATCGACTTGACATCGATCACCGTGAGCCACGGACATGGGAAGACTTTAAGGCTCGACTCTCTGCCGAATTCTGTCCGGCTTACTCTCACCGCGCCGCCCGTAACCGTCTACGAGAACTCAAGCAATACGGCACAATCACCGAGTATGTTGACGCATTCGAAGACATTCGTCTGGAGTTGCCCAACATGACTGACGACGAGGCCATCGACCGGTTTATCTCTGGATTGCGAAACCCTGTTGCTGCCCATGTTCTGGAAGCCGACCCGATCGACTTTACCGAAGCCGTACGTGTTGCCCTCGCCTATGAAAGTGGTCGCCGCCTTGGCTATGGTGCTTCCTCTCATGCTTCGTCGACTCCAGAATATTTACGACACGAGGGCGTTGCTCCTATGGATCTCAGTACGATTGTCGCTGCTACGGTTGCCCAACTGAATGCATTGAACCACCCTAGCCAGTCTCGTCACCGACAATTGCCTTCGCCCTCCCGTTCTGCGGCTCCTCGTTCGTCCTCTTCTCGTGCCGTTCAATGTTACTGGTGTCGCCAAACTGGGCATTACCAACGCAACTGTCGCGAACGCGCCCGCGCCCATAAAGAGCTTGATGAACGACATCGTCGTGAGATGTCTGCCCGCCTAAATAGTATTGAAAATATCAAGGACGAAATAAAAGATTCTGATGATCTCGCTTATTCCAATGTCTCTCCCCCGGAGTACCCAACCATCTCGCCTGATTCTGATTTCTTCCAAGAGTTGAACGCTGCTTCCCCTGGTCGTCTTCCTCTGTATGACTTCGTTATTCAAGGTCAACACTTTCGGGCGCTGATCGATAGCGGCGCTAGTACCAATTACATTAGTCCCCGCGTGGCCAATCTTGCGTCCTCAGTTGCACATGAAACCCATGGTCAGGTCGTGGAAACAGCTAATGGTCAGCATGCCCCAATTAAAGGATCTGCCCACATCTCAGGAACGATTGGTGATTTTACTACCGGTTTTGACGCGCTCATTTTCGATTCGAAGTTCGATATCATTCTTGGTGATGCATGGTTGGTGGCTAACAAACCCATCCCCGACTGGCCAAACCATGTGTGGACCATTAACAACGATTCTCAATCGTTTATTATCCGCCCTATCAGCAGCACTTCCTCGACTGATGATGTCAACTTTCTCCTGTCCGCCAAACAAGTCGCGAAGCTCCTTGCCAACGATGACGCCCGCTGTTACCTGGTACATCTCCAAGCTAATACTGCCGAAGAGGTGAAGAATCCTGAGTGGGTCATCAAGCTGACTTCCAAATTTGCTGAGATATTCCATGACGATATCACCGATTTGCCCCCCGACCGCAATGTTCAACATGTCATTGACACCGAAGATGCCACGCCCGTAAACCGCACACCTTACAAAATGAGTCCTCTGGAACTGGACGAGCTCCAACGCCAACTCAAAGAATTACTGAAAAAGGGACATATACAGCCAAGCTCGTCTCCGTGGGGTGCACCCGTCCTCTTTGTGAAGAAAAAGAATGGTGAGATGCGCATGTGCATCGATTATCGCGCACTGAACAAAGTTACCGTCCGAAACAACTATCCACTCCCACGTATCGATGAATGCCTAGACCGCCTCCGTGATGCCCGTTACTTTACCTCCCTTGATCTCAAGTCTGGATATCACCAAGTACGAATCAAACCCGAGGATGTTCCAAAAACCGCTTTTAATACTCGATACGGTCAGTACGAATTCCTGGTATTGCCCTTTGGTCTCACCAACGCTCCGCCAACGTTCCAACGCCTTATGAATTCGGTATTGAAAGATTATTTGGACAAGTTCGCCATGGTATATTTGGACGACATCTTGATATTCAGCAAATCCCTTGAAGAACACCAAGAACATGTACACGCCGTTCTGAACAAGCTCCGTGAAGCCCAACTGGTTGTCAATCCCAAGAAATGCCACTTTGCCCAGACCGAACTATGCTTTCTAGGGTACGATATCTCCAGCGAGGGTATACTGCCGTCGAAAGAGAAAATCAAAGCTGTGCAGAATTGGCCGGTCCCTACTAACGTCCAAGAGGTACGCCAATTTATTGGCCTAGCCCAACACTACCGTCGCTTCATTCCTGGTTTTGCGAGCATTGCCGCCCCGATCACCGACCTCACTCGAGGCAATGGTCCCAAACAACGTGCTATCACCTGGACGCAGGAATGCCAGCACAGCTTCGATCTCCTCAAAAGTAAACTCGTCGAAGCGCCGGTTCTAAAGTCTCCTAATATGACAAAGCCGTTCCGAATTGAAACCGACGCATCCGATTATGGTCTTGGTGCCGTTCTGTTACAAGAAGACGACTCCGGAGAATGGCACCCAATTGCCTTCGAATCCAAGAAACTTTCCAGAACCGAAAGATCCTACCCAGCTCAAGAACGAGAGTTGCTTGGTGTCCTTCATGCCCTTCGTACCTGGCGTTGTTTTATCGATAGCCGTGAACGAAATTATGTAGTATACGTTGACCATTTATCCCTGAAATCGCTGCGAACTCAGAAGAACCCGACTCCTCGCCTAGTCCGCTATCTTAATGAACTCGAATCCTATGATCCCGATATTCAGTACAAACCTGGCGCCGAAAATACCGTCCCTGATTTACTCTCCCGTGTTGATGGCCCCTCATGCGAGCCTGAACCTTTCGAAATCGAGCCGAAGTATCTCTACAGTATCGATGAACCTGAAGAACCCCACATCGATCCCCGTAACGATTGGCCCCGCTGGTATGTGAAAGACCCGGAAACCTGGCCCGCCGAAATCAACGCAAAACTCAAGAAGTACCGTGACCATTTCGTCATCCGTGATAACATGATTTTCTACCGCCCGCAGAAGGATCACCCTAAAGAACTTCGATACCTTCGCTTCGTCCGTCGCGCCGATTTAATCCAAGATTATCACAAAGGCTTTGGGCACACTGGAACTGCAACCATGTACGACCTGATGAAGACCCGTTGGTGGTGGCCCGGAATGCGCGACGATATCCAAGCCTGGACCAAAACTTGTCCGTCGTGCCAATTAGCTGCCAACCAAGATCGTAATATTCACAAGGCCCCCATGCACAATTTGGAAGTTCCCGCCGCCTTCTCCCGCTGGCATCTGGATTTCATCGGTGAACTACCAACGACAAGCAATGGTAACCGGTGGATACTCGTTGCTGTCGATTATTCTACGAACTGGCCAATTGCTCGTGCGGTACCCGAGGCCACTGGCGCTGCCATTGTCCAATTCATTTATGAAGAAATAGTCCTTCGTTTTGGCTGTCCTGACGAAATTCTGACCGATCGCGGCCCCAACTTCATGTCTCAAGTGGTATCCAGATATATTCGCATGCTTCGTACTCATCACACTTTGACTTCAGCATTCCACCCCCGCACAAACGGCAAATGCGAACGGTTCAATCAAACGTTGAAGAAGATGTTGAAGAAGTACATCAACGGTGATGTTTGTTCCTGGGATATCCACCTGAATACTGCTCTGTGGGCTTGCCGGATCCGTAAACACCGCACTACCGGGTACAGCCCTTTTTATTTGACTTACGGCCGCCATCCTAAAATTCCTGGTGATGTTGCCTCTCCTTGGATTCAAGTTTCTGCCACCGAACCCGCCCCAGAACAATTAGCGGACGACGCATACACTTACCTCCGAAAGCTACGCGAAGCTCGAGATACAGCCGAATGGCGAATGCAACGAAACGCTGAAGCTGACAAACGCCGCTGGGACGAAGTTATGCGCACAGAAACCCAAACGTTCGATATCGGTGACCTCGTCCTTCTACGCCATGAAAACAAAAAGGGTCTTGAGCCTTCTTGGATGGGTCCATATACAATCATCGGCCGTAATCTCGACAACGATATCTATCAGATCCACGAAGTCAACGGAAAAGAATACGCCTCTTGGGTTCATACCGATCGATTGCGTCCTGCATATGCCACCGAGGAAACTCGCCGACAAGCCTGGTATATCCCACGCATTGCCCGTGCCCTGCCTTCTCCCAGCCCGTAAATGTTCTCTTCCGATAAATTTTTTCTCTCTACCCGTGCCGCACTTCTCTTTTCTCTTCCCTGGTTGTTCCCTAGTTGCTCGAGGTCGATCAACGTTCTAAGGAGGGAGTAATGTCGTGGCTGAAGCGGATAACGTCCGAAAATGGTAATCAGCTTAGCATCTTGCTAAGTACAACCATCCTTTTATCAAAGTTTTAGCCGCTCAGCCATTATCCTCTTTAAGAACATAGACCGAATAAGCACATATAAATATCTCCTTATAATTGACAAAAATAAAGCGTTATCTTTCCTATCCCTAATCCTCTTGTTTCCCACTCTGGTGATCTTGCCGGTATATCAGATCCGAGTGAAGTACGACAATAATTTGCAGAAAATCTTCTGAAAAAGATATTCCCCATCGGGGAGTCGAACCCCGGCCGTCTCGGTGAAAGCGAGAAATCCTAACCGCTGGACCAATGAGGACTTGTTGATGACACGTCCCAAGTTCTGTGTTGAGCCTCAAGTCTTTTCTGCCGGTTCGGCCCGGATTGTGACGTTGACTTACGGCAGTTCCGGACTTACTCCGAAAATGACCCCATGATTTTATCCTTATTCGTTGCTATAGATAATCCCCCATAGATTTTTGTGTTACTATATTTGCTCCGCCGTATATAAAAAGGAGAATAGAGCGAAATAAAAGGGGCAGTTTTTTTGACCTCATTGAAGAAGTACTATCCTCGTACCACGGTGTTAACTTGAGATCCCCGTCCAGTCAAATAAATTTTTATTTGACCGTATACGCTAAGCAAGTACCTGCAACTAAGAAATATCCCTCAACACGAAGAATCGAGCTTCCGCGATAATTGCAACAAGCTACCACGGCCGAGAAGTGGTAGAACTGAATTGAAAAACGGAACTACGAACTGGAAAAGGACTGCGTCGGTTGCTTCCTGTTGTCGAACGCCTTCTTAACTCTGCTAATTCTCTCGCTCAAGTACCGTACGTGTCATTGAAGTGTGAAAACCGAAGTTGTACAAGCCTCGGCCGACTGCCTTTTTCGGATTTCCCTTGTTCTGGTTAATTTCTGTGGTTGCCTGAATTCGTTGGTCTTTTCCCTTTCTTTTGGTGTTTCTCCCGTGGTGCTATGATGTTTGGGCGATGAAATATCGATCGATTTGTCGGTTCCTTCTTTTTCAGAAGCGGAGTGTGAATTGGAAGTTCCGTTCGATTTTTCGTGAAGTTCGTTTAACGATCTGAAATTATCTTATGATCATTACGCGTTCTGACGATGGCTCAAATCATGATTATTTCTATTGTTCTTACATATTATGTAATCCCTTAGTTAAGAAATTATAGTACGGTGAAAGTATTTAAATGTCTTTTAGATATTTCTGTATCTTCATCCTTAAGCTTTTGTCTTTTGATCTCTTATTCTGGGAATACATCTTTTCGAAGATACACTTTGGACTAGCGCCTACATTTTTGGAAGTCTCTTTGGAATAGTCTGATAGTTTTTACAGTCGGCTATCGCCCTATTCGGATTTACAGTAACTGAAGTTAGTATTCGGAGGAAGAACCATGGAAGTTCTGAAGCTAATCTTCTCTGTTCTGAATATTCTTTCTTTGGGTTACTCTTGCATCAATTTGGTTACCACTCTCCCACCACACTTCACATGAAAGTTTACAATTGATGATAAACACATCAACACAAATTAAAAAGGTCACGTGACTCTGGGTTAAAGCAAAAAGTTGGTTGTAAACAGGGTATACAGTTGTTTTATTCATGCATTTCATGCCGGAGTACCGTCTAGGAAGTATAATGGTTATTAAGAAGTTCTATCGATTCGTTGCTGACTTGAACAGCACATAACGTTTTATAACGAAAGCGGAGAGAAATCTGTTACTGATGGAACAGAACTGGCTTTGCCAGCACGAATATCAAATTACAAGACCAATAAAGATGGATAAAGCGGCTTTTTTTTTTTATTTAACAAAGACTTATTTTTTAGTGCTTTGTGTTGTTAAAGTCAAAATAGAAGTTTGTTGAAATTTTGATAGAAGGTGGCAATGATCTCAATACCAGTCAGTGACAGCAAGATACGTTGCATAAAAATATTTGAAAGACTTAATTATTATTTCTCTGTCTCAGTCTCATCAGTGTTATTCATGTTTGTAAAAATGGAGAAAAAGGGGAACATTTTCACTTTGATTTTCGGTCTTGCTGCGAAAAAGCAAAAAGACGTGATTTAAAGGGGTCACATCAAGCAATGGCACTTCCGTCGGTTTTTTTTTTTTTTCGGTTTTTTTTGTTCCCGCTTCATTTTTGAATACGACTATAAACTGACGAAAACAAAAACACAATGTTACCGAGATCCTTATTTTCGGCATCATCACTAAAGTCAGGCGCATCTGTTGATAACTCTCGAAGTATGGTTTTTTTTTTTTTTTTTTTTTTTGGAACTGTGATTACGATTTTTCTACATAGGAGATTCACATGACGTTATCTTATAGATCAGTCGACTCAGTCCTCGTCGTCGCGAGTATTGCCTACTGACAGATATACCGAACGTTCACCGGCCATGCCCTATTCTTCAAGAAGTTCCAAGCGAAAAAGCTTACAGCAAGAATTCCTGGCAGCCGACAGCGATGCGAGTGGAGGAAGCTACGACGTTTCTAGTAGTGACAGCGAAAGCGACGACAGCGGGGATGAGTATAGAATGTACAGGAACACAAGTGTCATAAAACTCCAGAATCAGCTTCACAGTCTTTTATCAAAGGTTGGTGCCAAGATCTCACTTCATCGTCGACTTTTTTTTTTTTGGTCAAGTACTAATCCTTTTCTAACAGTGCCAACGTCAGAGTGCGCGTCAAGCCAAGTATATCGAGAAGGTTCGAGTGCTGAATAAAACTATTAAAAAAACGCACCGACGTCTTGAACGTGTAATGACCGTTCTTGCCGAACAAGCGTCGATATCCGAGTCGCCCATTTTGCCTTTACCACCGACAGATAATCTGTTTGAGCGATCCACCATTGGCATCCCAGCGCAGGTTCGCAGCAGTCCATCCAATACCGAGATAAAAGCCGAGTCGCCAAAACTTCCTCACAACGACGTCAGAAATTGGAATTCATCAGCAGCAACGGAATCCTCTGCAGGAGCATCTACGCATAAACAAGACTTTTCATCATCATCATCATCATGCTCCTCCTCGCGACGACCTCAATACGCAAAACGTACAGGAGGTCCGCCAGGAAGCGATACCAAGCGGCAACGATTCGCTGAATCATCCATACAGGCTGATCTGCCTTCTTCATCACGATTTGTAAGGCAGCATTGTCACATTTGTGATCGGAACCTTGGGTTTATTGATTTTTCTATCATCCTATCATTGTTAGGTTCCGCCGCCTGTGGTACGACCTCCAGCACCGGAAGCAGAGATCCAGCTCGGTTCTCAAGATACTTGTGATTTATACCTCCAACGAAAACAAACGGTTGATACCACCAGCTTCATAAAAAAACCACGCAGCTTGATTTATAATATTGCCGCGGACGATGCTGATAATGATATGAAAGATCTCATGGTTGCCACTTCTTTGGAAGGGTTAGTACACATAAAAAATGACGGGTATAGAGTCTTTCTTGTTTTCTTATTGATTATTTGTCTTTAGGGATTTACAATTTTGGTAAAGCAGACGGTAGTTGATTGAGTTGGATACGCGGTTTTAACCATCTTTCTTTTTTACCTTTTTTTTCTCGATTATCAAGGAACGCATCCACTCGAAGGTAGGCAATCAGTGATAAAGGCCAAGAGAGAAAAAAGAAGGTCCCGAATACTGATGCATGTGTAAAAATTATAGTAACGTCAAGACGCTTGGTAAAGGTCATTTATACCAATCTTGGGTTGATGATTTGTGCTGGACTTCGCCGTCAACGCTTGGATTGGTTCCGGCTATTCGAAAAAATTATAGAGACGCCGAGACTATCTCGCTTGTACATATCAACTCGGTGAGCAAGGTAAGCAGCATCTACGTATCAACACATTTTTTTTTGTACAAAGTCAAGTTTTGCCGACCCAATGAGGACACAATTGTGTAGACAAGCGTCGAAGGTCGCATACAAAGCTTGGAACAGGATCCTCACGATAAAGGTGCCTCGACCATTGCATCTGTCGAGCTTGGTCGACGATCTGCCAATGGAGGACAATTGATGACCTTTGTTACAGGCGGTTATGAAAAGTCGGTTGTATGTATTTAGTATCTGGCACGCTTTTCTGGTTTCTTTTCTGACCCTCGATCGTTCTGCAGTACCTCTGGAGTTTAGTACGGGACAATTTGAACGACGATTTTACGGTCACTAGCGTGGATCGACTAAACATCAAGCACACCAACAGCATTCAATCATTATGCTATGATAGATATCATGGTACACTTTATTCCGGAGGCGCGGATGACCGATTTGCAAGCTTTGATATGAGAACGCAAACAGCGACTTCATCGCTAAAGTTCGCCGGAAGAGTAAATAAATGTCATTTTGTGGCTGTATTGTTACATCCTTTGTTAATCACGCGCTTCAGGTCAATAGTATTCACCAGAGTCCGACCACCCCCGATCTAGTAATGCTAAGGTAGCATAATGCAATTACTGAGAAACAACTAGGCTTCTATGACAACTCATCGTGTTTTTCACAGCTTGGCACAGACAACGGGACAGTTTGCGTTGTATGACAGTCGTTGTTCTGGTTCGGACGCTATTCAATTACGATTCGGTTACTCGGAGGTTGAGAATGTATCCCGATATATTCGACCGGACTGGCATAGAAATGGTTACATGGTCGCATGCGGTAGTCAATCACACTCCAAAATTCATTTCTGGCAAGTGACTCGCACATAAAATAGCAAAAGGGAAAAAATATCATGCGAAATGTTAAACCATCTTATTTAGGGATTTGCGGTACGCTAATGTGACGCACGGACCCTGCTTCAGCTTTGATGCTCAAGGTAAAGTTCGAAAAGGAAAAAATTTCAAAAAAGAAACACAGCATTCACCCTCAAAGGTCATTACACAGGCAAATCAAGTGTTGTTCGGTGTCTTTTCTTACCTCATCGTGATACACTGGTATCTTGCACGTCTACTCGCACAATGACATGGACAGATTATATGGTTGAGCACGATTCAAAATTATCTTCACTTTGATTCATTTACGCATGATTTCTTCCGGCTTCTTGGTCAACTTTGTGTCTGTTCTTATTTTGATATTGGGAACAATGCCGTAAACATCAAAAGGCGGTCTGTTGCTTGTCACAGTTTTTTTTTTTTAAAAAAAAACTACAGCTTTCACGGGTTATACTGTATTTGGTTTCCAGTTTAAGAGAGAACGAGAATAAGGGTGGACATATATGTTATTTGATTTACAAGTTGCAATGAACAAGGTTGTTTGGGAATGAAAATTTTCGATCTGTCGCTTTTTTTTTCCTCTTTCTTTTTCTCTTTTTACTCCTCTTCCAAGATATCTTCGTGTAATGCACCTCTTAAACGACGCTCCTTTTCGTTTTCGAGCTGGCCGTATAATAGGTATAATGCACGCTCATTCGCTTCGGGAGTACCTTGAATGGTGAACATTCTCTCGCCGGTTTCATCATGGGGCATTTTGGCGATGGAAATACGTGAACCAGACAAACGGCGAATTTCAGAGATTTTACAACCTCCCTTGCCTATCAAGAGGGGGACCAATTAGTTTTTTGGATGGATGTCTACACTGATGGCCGAGCTCAACTTACCAATGATACAACCGACCATGTCACTAGGAATGGAAATATTTTGAGTGCGGATATTGGGGTTATTAAGGAAATTCTGCGAGGCGGTGGAGGAACGACGTTGTTGTTGGTATTCGGAGGGATTACTGAAATCGGAGCCATTGCCAGTGCGAGTGATGGAGGTACGACGATCGTTGGAATTGCTGGCACCGACCTTATTAGGATTATACAAAATGGTGCCGTAAGCGCGTTCTTTATCGTCAATAAGACATTGGCCGATTTCAAGAATGGCTAAACGCACGGCTTCTACTGTTCCGCGCACTTCGACAACACGCTCGGTACTTTGTGGCAAAAGAGTTTTCGAGGCGATCATGCGAACGCCGGAGGTATCCTGGATATGCTTGATCTTGGCCCCTTGGCGACCAATCACGGTACCCATCAAATTATGCGAGATCAATAAGCGAATGGTAGCCACAGCGCCAGCTGCAGAACTAGAGGTGGTAGGAGACAGCGGAGGAGTAGCAGGAGAAATGGGATTATCCAGCAATGTTTGAGCGATAAGGAAATATGCCTGCGTTTACAAAAAAAAAAAAGAGTTAGAACGAATCTTTGGACCGAGAAATATGTATTTTTAGACACCAAAAATAATAATAACAAGAATCTCACCTTGGCAACACCTTCCAAGGAACCAGTCACTGTGAGAACACGATCATGAACACCTTGAACGACCTTGGAAACACCGGCTTTGACACCCGTGGATTCTCTCAGTTCAGCCACATTTTTACCGGCTAAAAACAAACAATTAGAATTTCGCACCGAATTGATTTGAATTCTTTTGTCGTGGTGAATGTTCGAACAAGAAGTCAAAGAAAAAACTAACCTTTTCCGATAATGACGCCAGCTTCTTTGGTCGAGACCAAGGCGCGTAAAGTCAAGGGACCGTCTTCTTCTTCAAACTGGTCGTTCTGAGAACCGTCGACGGTATACTGTTGGTCAACATAGGAATCTTCGCGTTCTTCAAAATTGGGGCTTGAAATATGGGACATGCTAAATTGAAAGAGAGAATGTCAGTCACCCGGTTTTTTGACAATGAGCAGTATTTTTTTTTCCTTAGCAAGGAAAACCCCATGCTTACATGAGACGGAAGAAGGAAAGAACGAGGGTTTAGAGTGGAAAGGGAGGTGACAAGCGAACGAGAAAACGTTGCAATGAAGAGACAGGAATGGAATGCGCGTTTGGAATATTCGTGCTCGGAACGGATTCCCCTTGGAAGTGTGAAAAACCACAGGGAAAAAAAAAAAAACTTTTTTTTTATTGAAAAAATGCCAGTGACGCAGCCCGAGTCTTTTTTTTTCTTTGGCTAAAAATGAGTTTGAAAAAAAATTAAAAAAAAAAGGTTTCATTCGGAAGATGAAAAGCGCGAATTGCCCCTTTTTGGCTCCCCCACACACCGTTCCGTTGTAACAAATTGCCAGTTGGAAGAGATATCTACAATGGCAAATTATCCAAAAGCTTGAATCTTGGTTTACTTGATACAGAAGTCCGCATTCAAGTTTTGAATACTTTTATTATGTCCTTGATGTATCAGGTCATAACAATACTGTCTCTAATTGCAACAAAAATAAACGCTTTGCCATCGCAACTGGGAGCCTTTTGAACTATGGATACGCATAATACACAGATGTTTCAATTGAGTGAATATAAACTTCAGACAGAGTATTTCCAAACGTAATATCTTTTTGCGTTCGACTTTTTACGACCAAATTTTTTCGCGAATCAGCAAAGCAATCACAGGCTCCAAGGTTGAATAAATGTCCTATTCTTGGCGAAGCTGATTAGGGTATCTTTACAGCCACGAGCTTGATGGATGCAAGCTTTGTAGTTGAGTCTAGGAGACAGCACGGTATGGGTTTATATAGTATAAAAGATAAATTAAGGGCTTTTATTTAGACAATGGTTTATTTACCTATTCAAATTTATACAAGAGGTATGATAGCGACATTTATATATAATGAGAAAGTCTCCTTACAAACAGTGATATTCCATACTTTTCCAACAATAATTATGTCGGCTTTCCAGCGATTAACAAAGTAAGGAAGTAATCCTAACGGACAAGTTTGGCATTTCGTCCATACATCTTATCCTACGTGAAGTGCATCAGCGATCGGCTACAATCCAAAAGGGACAGATATTTTTGATCAACTTACAAAGCATGCACAATTTCGACAATAGACAAGCCATTCGCCGTTTTCGCCTTCTGTGACCTTGGCGCCTGAATCCATTTGCTTGGAACATCCGGCACAGCGAAGACATTTTTTATGCCAACGGCTTGCTCGTGGACCGGGAGTATCATCCATAACCGCAATACTGTCTCGGCAGCGAGGACAAATCTTGGAACCACCGAGTTTGGGCAATGCGCGCGTTCGGTGACTCAATATCCGTGAAGGATGATCGCTTTCTCGGCTTTTGACTTCAGGCGACTCTTCAGGAGGAGATGGTTGCTTATGCTGGACCGTCGTCATCTTTTGGCGACTGCATGCTTCACAATGGGCTGCGTTATTTACTTCATAAAATGGTTGATCATATGGCAGCACAATGTGGCATTCAGCACATAAGAAACACTATATCGTACAGTTAATACGTTGAAAAAAAAACAAGAGCATGACAGATCCAGCAGATCGATTAACTGTACCTGAGGATGGAAAAGTTGATTGCCATTCTTTAGACACTTTTCAGTAATAGGCTTGCTACATGTGTGGCATTGATACGAAGGAGACGATGACTTTTCTTTTGGCTTGGCAACAGGTTTGCACTAAACATATATTGTGAGTCCAGCTTGTTTCATGCCAGCTGTTTGATCTGACGTACCTTGGTGTGATAAATGCCCTTGCCATCACTGACAAACTCGGACTCGGTAAAATGAAGGTGGCAAGCATCGCAAGTAAGACAATCGTAGTGATACCAGACATCACCTGTGGGTGTGGGTAACTTGACACGAGGCCCACTGAGCGGCTTCTGACATTGGCGGCAGGATCGAGAAGGACGAGAAGGAGTCGATGCGCTGCTACGATGTTCTTCTGATATGTTGGGCAGCGTCGGAGAAGACGATAGCCGCAGCGAACCCAAGTCATCATTCAGCGAGACCGACGAAGACCTTGATCGATGGGGTCTGCTAAGCAGAGGAGTGGAAGTGTTCTTTTTAATGGCTTCTGGTAAAGGCGCCACAGGCGAAGGCGTGTGGACGGACCGTGCTGAATCTTCATCTGACATTGGAGATGAAGGAGACGATAGCGGCGGGGTGCGGATCCGAGGCTTTTCAGTTTCTGTCGGTGTGGCACCCATGGATTCTGACGTTGCATTGTTTTGCAGTGATTTCTGGTAATGGTGAAACAAATGCGAGTCTATGCGAGGCCGCGACGATCGAGCCGCACGTGGCAGCCACGTGGATGACGTCGATGATAAGCTAGACATGGAAGATAAAGTGTCGAAACCACCACGAAGACTGAAAGTGGTACTGCTCAAAGTGGAAGTCGGTGACAAATTATGGGCGGCTCGACTCGAAGGCGAAAGAACAGGCGTAGAAATTGTGCTGGGAGGCGGGGAATGGATTCTTGGCGCTTTCGGTGCATGGACAATGGCCGCTTCATTGTGTGGTTTTCCAGCTTGGCTCATAAGGCACGGTTCACAGCAGGGACGACCTTTCAGATCCACCATAGGAGCATCCTTTAACAGAATGTGACATCCGTGGCACGAAAAGCACTCGTCATGCCATACTTGTTGGCTGTGTTCAATGTAACTGTCTTGCTGAGAAATGATCTTTGTACAGGCAGTACTAGAAATAGACAATGTTAATATCGAATACAGTAGGTAACATTGTATTGCTACTTACCAATTGCCGAGATTGAATGTCTTTTCGTGACAGCTTTTGCAGTAGTAGAGATCGTTCTGGAGATAGGTGGGAGTATCATACTGAAACCGCTCGTTGCATTGAGCACAGGCTTTAGGAAGTAATAAAGAGGATGGCCGGTTAAGCACCGAGGATGTAGAGTTTCGTTTGATTAAAGGCGTGCTGGTAGTCTTTCCAATCGTCTCATCATGACCTAAGATACTGTTGGCGTACTGTGTTTGCCATTTATCGACGATGGATACGGTGTCGGAGCCCAATCCGGTAGCAATGGAGGCTGATAGAAAAAATGAACAAGTCCAGTGTGAGCGAGAAATTGACATGGACACCTCTCCAGATTATCCCTTGAAAACAACGACTCTTTACCTACGGATCTACCGCCACAGCGACGGCATTTTCCACTGCTTGAAATTTCACCGCAACGGTTGCAAAATCCCATGTAGGTTGAATGGAGTTGAAAGATAAATAGGAAGGTGTAAAGAAGAAGAAGGAAGAAAAGAATCAAACGAAAGTGAAAAAGAAAATGGACGAGCAACGCTTCTTCAGGGGAAATGGGTTGTTTATGGTGGAACTGTTTTTGGTGTGCATCAACAGCTTACCAAAAATGGTAAACGAAAGTACTGGATATGATTGGCATGGCGACATTCAAATCACAGAAAACCTAGAGGAATCCAGATTCCATATTTAGGAGACACAAACAACCGCTTTCGGTAGATTCCTTCTTCTGAGATTCCTTCTTACATTACCCAAATGCTAAATCGCTATTTTTTTTTTTTTTTGGTTGATCTATCACACTAAGAAAAGCTAACAAGTTAATACTCTTTTACGCACCATCGCTACCACAGAGTCACGCCGTCGGAATCAAGTAGGAGCCATGTGCAATTCGTACGTAATGATCTCATATCTGATTGCGAGATAATATAACCTTTAAACTCATGTTGGTTCTGGGATCGACAAGTGGAAATAAGGCCCGACAATATGGTATGACCGCATTCCGCAAAGGCGGGAGCAGTAAATTGTGAAGGAATTTTGTGAAGAGAAATATGGATAAGCTCAAGTGTATATGTATATTCTGAATTCTGAAGAGATGTCTAAAAAATCATGGAGGTTGCTGTTCTTCCTTCTAATGAACTGATCAAAATCCAATATGCTAAAGAAAAAACTAGAAAGGATGATAATGCTTTTTTGGGAATGCGATCTACTTATTTTCGGGTTCGGGAACTCCTTGCTCGACATACTGTTCGTCCTCATCCATGGGGTCTTCCTCTGGCTGTTCGTCAATCATTGTTTGCAAGAAGAACTCGGCCACCTTTTCATGAGATCGCTGCTGAGCTTCGTAAATGGGAGTCTTGCCGGCCGTATTTTTGATCTGGTTTTTTTTGAGATCAATATTCATTGCACCAACAGGTTTTTTTCTTCCCAAAGGTAATCTCTTACCTTGCAATCAGCACCATTTTTCACCAACATTTCAACGACTTCCAAATGGCCATTGAGAGCGGCCCAGTGCAGAGGCGAGTTGCCTTGCTCATTGACAACATTGACATATCGCGAAAGTTCTTGCTCACCCGCGATCGTGGCTAACTGACCCAAGATCCATGCCACAATTTCTATAAACAATATAGAAGATTAATATCAGCAGTTATGAGCAAGTAAACCGAGAAGGCTACCAATGTGGTTGTTCGCGCATGCCATGTGGAGTGCCGTGTTTCCGCTTTCGTCTCCTTTAATGTAGTACTCGGGAGCGGGTTTATTTTGCTTCAAATCGTCCAATTCACCATAACGAGCACAGTAAATGACATCGTCCAATAGTTCTTGATTGTCTGCCATGGTAAAATTTTGCTTTTGTAACAAGTGAATGCGTGTAATGAACAACAGTCAAAAAAAATTATTCCAACTTGACATTGCAAAGCCAGTCCGGCGATTGAAATTTGGGGAATTTTTTTTCATTGGAGGTTCCTCCCTCAAGCAACATGGTGCGCCATATATACCAAAAGATAAGTTGCAATTAAAGGGTGTACAGGTCCGGGAAATGGATAAGTATAGAATGCGATGACGATATATAGCGATGGATTGTATCTTTCTACATGTAATGGTGAAAATCCAAGTATTTCCGCGATTGTATTTACCTCGAAACCCTGATTTGTGGGTCGGATATTCGGGATTCTCTTGGCAATTTCGGTCGGTTAAGTGGTTTCTCCAGTCGAAAAAAAAAGTGATAAAAAAGCCCTGAAAACTCAGTTACCCAGGTTTTTCTTCCCCTCTTGACCCCTTAACTTCACTTGTCATGAGTCAACGAGAGAACGCCTTTGCTAACCATGTTTTGACTTCGGTCAAAAATGATTTATCATTTTTGAAAGACAACTGTTACATCACCGGAGAAGCCTACAATGAAATCCTCAAAAATTTGCCAACCGATCTTCGCACCAACAACAACGTTACTTCTCCTGCACCGCAGCTCCCTATGCGTCAAATGGGTGGCGCGTCGCCCAAGAAATCTTACAATGAAATGTCAATGCCTGGCACTGGAAACGCTCCTCCACCACCAGCCTACAATACTGCCGTGAATTCGCCTTCCCTCGGCATGGCCGAAGCACTGTATGATTACAGAGCACAGAATCCCGAGGATTTATCAATTACTCGAGGTGATATCATCCAAATTACAGAATATGGTAAGCATAAACTATCCATTGCCGTGGTAACGTAAAATTTTTTTTTTGGTTCTCATCGCAATGAGTTGTTTCTGTCCGTTTTAGTCAATGATGACTGGTGGCGTGGTTCTCTTCAAGGACGTACCGGCATGTTCCCTAAGACATACGTTCAAAAATTACCGTAAGTTAATTAATGACTACTTGATTATGTCAATTTTTTTTCTATGTCAGCTGTTTAACATTCTACTTGGTTTTAGTAACCCACCAGTGGACTCGAAGCAGCCACCACCATTCCCAATGACACAGCCTCCTGCACCAATGGGACCGCCTCCGGAAGCTAACTCGTACGCTGGCTATGCCTCTCCTCCACCGCCTTCCACACCTGCCTCTATGCCCGGCGGTGATACCCGCGGTGGTTATGGTGTAGGCAGCCCTTACCCTCCACCACCTCCAGCAAACACTCCGTATAACAATTACGGCCCACCACCCGCCGCTTACCAACCTCCTCCTACTCAACCACCTCCACAATCCTACGCTGTGCCACCACCATTGGCTACAGCAGCGAGTACATCTTCGGCCCCAGCAGCTGTTGAACATCACGAAGAAAGCAAATTGGGCGGATTCGCCAAAAAGTTTGGAAGCAACGTGGCAAATGCTGCCACTTGGGGCTTTGGTGCAACCAGTAAGAAAAACCTTGAAAATAATTGAGTGTCCGAAATGCAGAAAAGTTGATCTCTATTTTTTCCTTTTGTAGTTGGTAGCGAAGCAGCCCATGCTATTTTCTAGAATTTCACATGTGAATATCAACTTGCTGCTCACTCGTGCAATTGCTTTCTTGATATCATTTTCCGGGTAGAAACACAGATTGTTCATCGTAAATCGAAATTCATGTAACGAGATAAACACACAGCAATTAGACATTCTAACAAAATACCCATGTTACATCTTTCAATGTGTTTAATGTAGAGTGGAATAAAAAATGGTCTCCGAACAAATTCGCCATGGTTTACTGATTGTGTGCAAAGTCAGCGACCAGAGAATCAACCTATTTTTCTTCATTGACAATGTCTATCAGCGTCGCTAAAAGGACCAGTTCACTGCCGCCAAGCATCCCAAGTATGATGGAGCCTTTTTCATACCAATGAAAATGAAGAGCATAAGCTGTTATCGATATTCTTCTCCTTCTCGTCTCACATCTCTGACGTTTCCATTCTTGCCCATCCCCCGGTAATTGTATTTGTAGGAATACTATCTCCCCTTTTTCCAAAGTTCATCAATTTCTTCTTCGACTTTGTCAATCAGTTTGCTTTTTTATTTTGTCACCGAGAACAAGTTTCTTGACGCGACAGAAGGGCGACAATGGAATGCAAAACCAATGTTCATGCTTCGCCCAGATGTGGACCGTGACAATTACCTTTCTCCATCAACCCAGAGCTGATGCTGGGGCGAAGCTGTCTCAAACGCTACTCATCGCATTTTTCCTATGTTCAGAGCTTTTGCACTTCGTGTATGTTTTGAAACCCTTTTATTGAGAAAAATAAAACAAGATACGCCGTCGGACGTCTCAATTGAAGTAGTGGACGGATGAACGACAAACAAAATAAAAAGGTCTATCCTGTTGTATGTCTTTCTAAGCTAAGCTAGTCGTCTTTTTTTTTTCGGCCGGACCATTTTCTTGGCTTAACAAACCGCTTTTAAAGTCGCTTGGAAAGCAAGTGAAAACGACCGTAGTGCGAATGAGGCAGTGTATCTTAGGTTAACAAGCCGTACACGCGCTGTGCAATGGATGCCGCCTGCCACCGGAGACCGCCCTCTTACATTGAGCGACTTTCGTCAGACAAAAAGCCTAACGCATACACGGCATAACTTGGGCGAGAACTCTTGACGGACTTTGGTATATTAATGACAACCTTATGGCAATACCATGCAACGCGAGTTGTTTCTGAACACGCGCAAAGCAGCACTGGTTCCCTCCCCTCAGTTCCATCCCGCCCAGGCTATGATAGGTCTAGAAAGATGTGTGGGTATGTTGCGTATTTAAAAAAAATGAGTTAGTAAGCTCTTTGATTGATTCAAACTTCGTTAAGATATTTTACCTTTGTTATTTGAGTTTTCAATAGCCATTGATCGCTGACATGACTTGGATTATATGACATTGAAGAATGTTGAACTAGTATACGTTCATTACATCATAGCAAAGGAAAAGAAATTGGACTTGCCTTTAAATGGTGTACCCAAAAAAAAAAAAAAAAAAAAAAAAAAAAAACCGATGAATACGAACCGCCAGGTAAGCTTCTTCTTCGATGCGAAAAATAAAATTGCTTCCAGGAACAGTTAAGCGATGGATCGGTGGTGTCAGCTTGAGCAGGCAAAAAATATTGACGTGGCCAGAAGTGACGGTAACTTCGAGTTGGATTCCAGATGTCGAGAGTCCCCAAGTCTGTTTTGCCGGAGCAAAATCGATGGTAGACCACTCGACGCTTACCTTTTTGAGGATGATGGTCGATTTAACCAAGTTAGATACACGGCATAAGAATGGTCTGGATGATGGATGCGGATGGGATCTTGAACAATCATATCGAGAGTTTTCCAGGTAAACAGAAAGAGAGAGAGAAAATCAAGATAAAATTGAAGACCATGATTTCCAAGGATGAAACAATAGTCACCCTTCTGATGCATGAATTCATAGTTCGAAGCACGTCTGCTTATGTATTATTTGATTCATTGAAAATTGAAAGAGAATAAAAGGACATATACAGTATAAATGACAAAAAAAAAAAACAAATTGAATGATGCTACAGAAGAACGCCAGTCGTATTATCAACCACTTCTCTTCAAAAAGAGCTCTGCTCACATTTTTATTCGAAAGACGACGATGCTCTGTTTGACCACAACTGGCGCAAACGGCATCTTGCTGCTGATTGTTTCGCCTATTATCGTGAAAGTGGGCGGCGAATCATGTTGAAAGATAAAAAAAAAAGTTTAACAGGTCTTGATAACTTAGTGTAGATCATGTGATTTACAAATCGCTAATTTCCCAAAGATTTTATATGGTGGCATAGTTCGTCCACAGGACATTAAGCTCACTTTTTTATTACATTATTCAACCCACAAAGGGTTGAGAAATAAGACAAAAGCCTCTTCTTTTTTTCATTTACCTTTGTTGCGATTAAAAAGCAAACCCACCGACATACCTTCCAACAGTGAGCGCGTTGATGACTAGTCAGGCGCCCAAAGAGAAGAGCCGACAGGAACGAAAACAACCTTCTTCAAAGGATGGCCAATCCTATCATTAGAAGATGGTTTTCGGATTTTTATGCCATACCCCGAATGCTTTACCAAAAACCGGAGCGTTCATCATTACCAGTAACCACCAGCCTAGCAGCCCCTGATTCTGAACTGGCGCACAAAAGAAAAAAAGAAATGAGAACAAACTCCCTTCTTTTATATCTTTTGCGGACCTTCATTTGTGACCCTGTTTTATGACCGCGAATGCACCTCATTGGACGGATTCTCGCAACAAAAACTGGCGAACTCTGCCGCCTTTTCTTCGCTTTCGCGTAAAGCGCTGCAAAGGAGGGCTGCGCCATGTCACTCATGCTGTCATCAGTAAGCATGTCCACTACGGTCACTCTATAACTTGCAGTGTAGCCTATGGTTGACTCCTGATTGCGATATGCGACATGCCTCAAGCTTTACGCGCCTTCTTTCTATCTTGTTGTAAGTTAGAAAGTTTGCCCACTTTTGCCCTGCCCCTTTGTATGATGGAACACCGACAATCATTTTGAGAACTTGCTCAAGATGATTTTTAGGCTGCGCCACCGAGTTCTCACTTTATACATATCAATGTTAGCGCATAGACGATGCACGCCAACCGCCTTGGCATCATGCTTGAGTTGTTGCTATTGTGAGTTGTGTTGTATTGTCGCATTACTTTGATTTGTAGGACTGTGCAAAACGGAGTTTTTGAGTTGGATGCTGCAAAAACGGGAACTCCAGATGGCTTTTTGTACGGTTTATGTTTTGCTGTCTCTATTTCTACAACGCTTCCTCATTCCATTGTGGCATATCAAAAGTTCTTTTCTTCGCATTTTTTGGGGGAGTTCAAATGCAGACATTTTATGTAAAAAAAGATAATGGAGATAATCTAATGGATGATGCGCTATTTTTTTTTTCTTGATGAATGATTAAAATCGACCTTTCTTGCCTTTTCTTGGAGCTCGACCGGTCTTTTCTCTTCGCTTTTCTTTGATGATACGCTGCTTTCGGATCTGGCCTGCATTCTTCAATTCGCTTCGCACATTCTTGCCACCGACACGTTTCTGTCCCAAAGCGGCCTTCTTATTCTTATCCTGCTTGCCGGTATCGTCCTCGTCACGCTTTCGTTTCTTCATCTTCTTTTCATAATCAATAGCCAAAGGATCCAATGCTTTGCCCTCTTCCACACGATTATGACGGAACCGTTTCTGCTGCATCGACTTGGCGGAATTCAATTCCAGTTCACCAACTCGAGGCATTGAAATACGTGTTTTCTTGGCCCATTCATCGAAACGACCACTCTTGAAGGAAGCAGAAATAAGAGCACCGCTTTCTGTACGAATCATCTTCTTGTTGTCGCTGCCAATACCCGTGCCCTTGACAAACTTTCGCTTCTTGGAATCCCATCGTAACAGATTCTTAGTGGATCGCATGGTATCATTGTCATCACCAATCAAGTCCAATTGAGCTTTGCCTGCTTGCTCCACAAAGTTACCCGAGGTGTTCATGGAATAGCCTCGTTCAGTGTTGAAATCCTTTTGTTGATATGACAGGTAGAATTCTTCATCACGATAACTCTTCTTCTCTTTGGCGGCAGGGATCTTGAATGTGTTTGCTAATTCCGATTCATCCACATCGCCACCCAGATCGGTCACAGGGGCCGCTTCAATTACCGCAGGTGCCTCTTGAGACTGTTCCAATATTTGCGATTTATGAGCGTGAATGATTTTGCCCACGGTCTGTCGACGTTGGCGCATAATCACTGTAGCGTCGCTAATCTTTTTTGTTCCTCGTTGTCCCACCTCAAAAATAGTCTACAAATCCAATAAACAGTAAGCCTTTTCGTTCTGCATTCGAATTATTGAAAATCAACAAAAACTGATTTACCTCGTTTGGTCGGAAACCGGAAATCTTGCTGATTAAATCCAAACGTTGCTGCTCCATTTCATTACTATTATCTTCGTTCACTACGAAAAAAATAAATAAAAAAAATCACGGTAACAATCAAATACAACCATGTGTCGGATTCCAAGCTTACCTAGCAATGGGTGGAGAGCCGTCCAAGAAGGCTGCTTGATCACCTCTTTGGCTCTTGTATAACTTTCGGGAGCAGCACGGGGTTTGGTGCGGTTATATAGTTTATATGCGTTCATGGCGGTTTTGTAAAGACCTTCCAAAGAGGCATCGTCTTGGATTTTCTGTTGCAACCAGGCAATATCGTCACCCAAACCATCCTTGGGTAATGTACCCACCACCAATTCCGAGGTGTAATCCAGTTCCTTCTTGGTAGAACCGACAACTAATGGGCGCGTCAAGAATAACTCCAGATCGACTAGGTATGGCAGTTCCTCGGCTGTCATGAGTGAATAAGCCCAACCGCGACGGCCCGCACGAGCAGCACGACCGACGCGATGGACAAACACTTTGGAAGAGGCACAGAAATCGTAATTGATCACATTCTCCAAAATAGGGATATCGATACCACGGGCAGCCACATCCGTGACAACAAGCAAGTTGGTCATACCCGTTCGGAAGCGATTAATCTGGATGATACGAGCAGTCTGATCGAGAGAACCATATACGTACGATACTTGATATCCGACCATGCTCAAGAGAGTAGCGAGATATTCGACGTGATGCTTTGTCGCTGCGAAAAGAATGGTCTGTCGATCCGCTTCGGTAGCCGCGCGTTTCATCGTCTTCTTCTTCTTTTTCTTGTCATTCGGCGTATCGGTATTCTGAGTCGTCTTTGGTAACTTGATCACATGTCGTAAAAGGTAAAGCAATGCGGCTTCTTTTTCCACCTCTTTCACAGAGAAAAAGGCCATCTGTTGCAATAGGGAGAGAGTCAGTGGAACCGGGATTATCTTTTTCCGTGTTCGTGTTCAATCTTACCTCCAAATCCTTGCTAATCTTGGTATCGGCATCCAGACGGATAAGGGTAGGTTCTTGCAAACCGGCTTTGGCGAAATCGACCAACATTTTGGGAAGGGTAGCTGAGAAAAGAAGGGTCTGTCTGTTGGGTGGCAGACGGGACAAGATTTCGTGCAACTGAACAGCAAAACCCATTTCGAACAAACGATCGGCTTCATCAAAAACGACATATTCCACGGTACGCAAGTCCAATTCCATTTCCACGGCCAAATGCAGCAGACGACCAGGAGTGGCAATCAGAATATCGGGATTGCTGGCAAGCATGTTGAACTGATCATCCATATTATCACCACCTACCAAGGAACAACTGCGCAAATCGGTGTATTTGCCCATTTCTTTGCACACTTTTTGCGTCTGCATAGCCAATTCACGAGAAGGCGATAGAATAAGGGCACGTGCACCGACTTTGGCCGAATGGGTCTTTAACTTTTCCAACATGGGAATCAAAAAGGCGGCGGTTTTGCCGGAACCCGTGCGGGCCATTCCGACGACATCGTTGCCTTGCATGACAAGAGGAATACATTTGCGCTGAATAGGTGTAGGGACTTTGAAACCCTTGTGAAGTACAGCCTTGAAGATGGGATGACTCAATCCTAAATAGATCAGAAAACATACAAGTGTCAATCACCGACATTCACTGGCTTGCATTGACCCCAATGGGCTCTGACTTACCCATCGACTGGAATCCTCCTGATTTCTTATTTTTTCGATTAGCTGCAATATTCTCGTTGGCAATAAACTTTTCTTCCTGTTCGGAATCGTCATTATCGCTGTCGTCCATGGTAATGGGCTTCATGGCAGGGGCAGTCTTTGCAGGAGTGGTAGATTGAATCTGGGGTTTGCTCTTCAGCGAACTAAACATATCCATTTCCAGATCCATTTCATTTTCGCTCTCGTCGTCGCTCAATTCGATCGTATTACTCGTGGTGGTTGAGGAAGGAACAATTTCAAAATCGCTGTCGTCGTCTTCTTTCTTTTCCTTGTTGTACTTTTTCTTCTGAAACTCTTTACGCTTGAGCTTGGACTTTGATACAGGTTTCTCCTTCTTTTCGTTATCCGGACGTCCATTCTTAGTCTTTGTCGACGCAGAGGTACCCTTCATTCCTTTTTTGGGTCCCGGACGGGCAGCGGCTGTCAATGCTTTCTTTGCTGCCATGACTATGATCTGAACTGTAGAAAGTAGATGATCGCCCTTTTTTTTTTTTTTTTTCTCGAAACCACTTTGCAGCCGCTGGGGCCCGCTTTTGTGTGGCTTGTCTGTGACGGAGTTTCAAACGAATTCCGATTTGGCTGGCAGCTTTTTTGGATTTTCCAAAAATGGATTTCTTGACACTCTCTCACTCCTTTGCTTCACGAATTGGCGCATCATGACGGTAGAAGAATACTCCAAGGACGGGGAAATCCTAGAAGAAGAACAGAAAGGAAGTAACGGAGGTTTATCCGACGCAAGTCACTGCTCAAAGGATGTCTTGACACAGTTGACGGACTTGGATGTAAAGTATATATATATATGCGCTTCTTCGCGCTTTTTCGTCCATTGTCTCAATGCAGACAGACTTACCAGGCAATTGTGCATTTTCTTGTAGAATGGATTTCAATGCCTGTTGGATAAAGTCAAAGAAGATATGCAAGCTGCAAAAGTAAGATAAAAGATTGATCGCAGGTGGGAATAGATAAATGGCTCATAGCTGAAACGCGTTTGGATGCTCTTTAGGATGCCATGACGTTCCTGAAAAAGCGAGCCATTATTGAAGAGGAGTACGGCAAACAAATGGTCAAATTAGCTCAAAGTATGGCGGAAACTTTTGACAAGTCACATCCTAGATCGGGGTAAGTGCATGATCGAGGACTCTCCTGAACGATCAACTTAACATGATGTCTCTTTCCTTCTCTTAAAAGCACTTATGGTGATGCGTGGACGTCAATGTTAAAGGTGCACGAAACAGTGGGGGAACAGCGTATCAAGTTTTCGGCCGATATTTCAGAAGTAGCCGATGATTTGCAATTATTATACAAGGATACCGAAAAGGGAAGAAAGCAGGCAAGTATTTTAAAAAAAAGAAAGATCAGATGCAATTACGGGGAATTCACCTTTCATTAGGTGAAGGATGTTGGTTTGAAACATGAAAAGAATTTGATGGAGGCCGATGCGTCGCTTGAAAAGGTACTGTGACATTCTGTATGATGACGGTCATTAATATCTCATATAAATGGGGGAGAATAGTGTAAGCAGAGGTACGAGCTTCAGAGCGAAGATTGGGAACGAGCCATTCTGCAGAAAAACAATGATCCACTTCACGTTCCCAAAAAGGGACTGTTCAAAAACAACCGCACGCAAGCACAGGTAGGACAATAAACAACTGTGTAACCATTCATATGTGAGAAACAGAGCAAGGTAACATGTGAGAGTTCAGCTCAATCGAATGGAAGAAGATGCACGGATCAAAGCAACAATGGCCGATCAGAATTACAGACAACAATTGCAGACCACTAATGCGTCGCGGGTTGAATATTTTCACGTTCATTTGCCGAAAATCTTAATGGTAGGTAAAAAAAGGCGCTTTGCCAAAGACGAGATGCACCCAAATCTTGCACCCCCCCAAAAAAAGGACAATGTCTCATCTACAACCAAATTTTTAAGGATTTAAAAGCAGTGGGTGATGAATGCAGTGTTGCTCTACGGTATCAGTTGGCCCGCTATGCCTACATCTTTGAACAAGCCCTTACAGCTGATGGTATTGCTCTGGATAACGATGATGGTAACTCGAATATTTTTCAGTTTCAGATCAGCCTGTCAGCAGCGGTCATTGATCTTACTTTTCAATTTTTCTTCTTGCAGGTCTTGGTTTACGTTCCTTGACAGAAAAGATTGACAAGGACGCTGATCTGAACGATTACATCAAATCTTACAGTAGTCGTTCGACCAAGGTCCAAAAGAGCGAAATTCCTTACAAAGAATACAGCATGTCCACTACAGCCCTCAGCGTATTAAATCCTAACCCAGTATTTGGTATCGATCTGGATGCTTTGATGGAACGAGACCGAGAAGAAGTCCCGCTTGTCCTAAGAAAATGTGCAGAAGCGGTCGAAACCTTTGGTTTAAACACCGTCGGCATTTATCGTCTTTCCGGCACCAACAGTCAAATTCAAAAACTGAAAGCGGCCTTTGATCGCGGTAAGATAAATGGATCTTGTCCTTTTATTGCCGCCATGGTTATTGATGCTTTCGACGTGTATTAGATTGTGCTGGTGTTAATCTTTTGCAAGAGGAATTTGTTGCGGACATCAACAACGTAACGAGTGTCCTGAAACTCTGGTTCCGTGAACTGCCTGACCCACTGTTCCCTCGTTCTTCGTATACACATTTTCTCAATGCAGCAAGTAAGTTATTGAAATCACCATGGTATCATCAATTCATTTTTTTCTGATGTTACAATTTTTTCATCACACAGAAATTGAAGATGAACGTATGCGTATTCTCGGTCTACATACGGTCATTAACGATTTATCAGACGCTCACTATGCTACACTGAAATATCTGATGGCTCATCTTGACAGGTAAAAATATCGGAATATCATGGAAAAGTTCATGTGTCAAGGGAGGCTGACATGGTAGCACGTAGGGTTCAACAGCATCAACGTCATAATAAGATGGGATCCGCCAACTTGGCCACCATTTTTGGACTGACATTGATGGGCAATGACAGCAGTAACATGCTTGCTTCTGCGGCTGTGGGAGAAAATCAAAGATTGGCTGAAACGCAGTGGCAAGTCAAGGTGGTGCAGACAATTCTGGACAACTATGCTCTTATTTTCGAGACAGACGATGCGTAGAATCTCTCTCATTTTGCACTCACCCACGATTACCACAAAAGGAAGAACAACGCTATTTACTTATTGATACCCTTATGAAACCTATCTATTAACAGTGTCGTTACTGAATAAAACCATATTGTCCCAAGATGTGTACATCATCAGAATTTTTCGTTTTTTATACATATTTTTTAATCTTCCTCCATAGCCTCTCCTTCTTGCTGATGCTGTCTACGATTTGCTTCATCTTCCATCATTGTAAGGAAGGAATAGACATCTAGAATAGCGTTAGTTCAAGTGATACTCATACAAAATGCACCCAATCATCTTACCATGTATGGACACCCAATCCAAATCATCCAATAGAGAGCTGAGCTTTCCTTCTGAAATAGCTGTATGCAATCGTTGCAAAGCATTTTTGAATTCCGAGGATCTTGTCAATTCATGGATTTCTTCCTGCGAACGTTCGGCGGGTTCCACAAAAGGGAAAAGCGCCTGTAAAATATCGCCATTGTTCAATAATGGACCGATAGATTCTGGGGCTAAAACATCTTCCAGATCCTCGAGTGCTTCAAAAGATGCGTCGGGTGATACAGTCACCGACTGTAAACTGTCCTTCAACTGATTCAACTGGTCACTGGTCATCATGGGCTGCTGTCGTTCTAAATCGTCTAGAGATCCAATGGGTCCACTCAATTCTCCAGCCGACTGTAGAAACTGAAGCAGGTTCTCTTGTGTGATTTCGTCACTGTCTCCCAGAATCTGCATCAAATCGGATGATGCCGCGTCGCCATCGAACACCAAGTTTGAACCGCGATTACGGCTGGATTCCTCAATAGCGGCTTGAGGATTGTTGATCAGTTTATTCACACGTTCCACGAGTTGGTCGTCCTTGTCTGTATTGGCATTTTGCATCCAGAAAAACATTCGTTGACTGGACGATTTGAACTTTAGCAAATAAACACGACCCGTCGTACATTCGGGTACTCGGACAAGTTCTGCTTCGTCAGGAAAGATGATGAGATCCTGTCCAAAGAAGAATATTAGAAAATCACAGGCAAGTCTCCTCGGAACTGTTCTACACCCAAAGCCCGCTTTTCAAACACCCCATACCTCTTCAGGTTGTGAAGCTTTACGCTCTTTCCAGTAAAAGTGCATAAGCTGATCGTTGCTCTAGATAAACCATTTATCGCATTAGTCAAAACCTACATCACCATGTTTCACGTTTCTGTTGCTGCGCATACTTGATCCATATATACAAGTCTATTAGGTTGAAAAGTTGAGTGTCATCACTACGGGCTGGTATCGACTAAAACAACTTACCCTTTTCGCAAGTCGGGCTTTAACATATTGCCTTCACGAATGCATTTGCCAGCATTGAATTGAACCAAATGGCTCGGTCGACGATCGGTAGGGAATAAACTCATTTTTATCTAGTGGGATACAAAGTGACGTTCGTGGCCATACCCGAAAGCTGGACTTTTTGTCCAACTTAAGCCCATCCGAAAAAGGACTGCTTTTCGCGAAAATCGGGCCATTGTTACCCTCGGGTGTGCATTTTTCGAAACAGGAAAATTCACTCACCGTAATCTGCTCAACCTTGGAGATGGCATTTATCCTCTAGAAACCCTTTTTCTTTTTGTTTTGGTACTGGGAAGTTCATTATTTTGGGAATCCAACAATTAGTGGCATGAATGATCGCCCCTATACTGGTGCCAGTAACAAGTGTCAGAGTCGCCTACCAATGTATGGAGTAATATCCGCGATATGCAGTCCTTTTATTTGATAGGTCCATGTCAAATGCAGTGTATCCTTGACAATAGCCTCCATATTTACTTGAAACAAAAAGGTAATCACACACTATGTAAGCGCAGCATCAACGATGACACGACTACTGTCATAAAGCTTCCTCGGAAGTTGTCCTAGTTTTACCCAAACCGTTTAGTTACTAAAAAGTTTATAGTCTACAGAAAAAGTAATAATGTAATAAGAAATAGAAAGGAATAGAAGAAGAGAAAAAAAAAAGGGTTTGCAATCGTATTTTTTTTAAACGCCAAAATTGTTGAGAGAATCCCAGACACCCCGTCCATCCACTGCTGCCGAAGTCAGTCCAGCTGACCCATCCGATAGTCCCATCATATCCATTGAATTGGTAAGAGGCGAAAGATCATCATCATCTTTCCTCTTGATCTTCCTTGCTTCCGAATTCCCATACGAGCCTGATGACAAGGTCGGATTCGAACCCCAAAAATATTGAGATTCAAGCCCAAAATCTTGATGATGCAGAGACGGTGCTGCGGACTGACTTGTGTATCCGAACAACGATGAAGAGGAAGGTCGATTGGATTCGTCCTTATTCAGTGTTGATGAGGCCCCCGTCATACCTATGTAATGCAAAAGTCAGTCTACGTCAAAAATTCTGAGTGAAATCACGAATGTACCTAGTGATGGGAAAGGGGCAGCAAACGAGGAAGAGTCTCGGGGAAAAGCTGACATGTTTTCCGCGTTGGATGTCAATGCGTAAGCGGATCTTCTCATGTCAGCTGATGCCATGAGATACGGGGAGGGAGAGAATAAATCGATGGAGGATGGATCAAGTGAGAAGCGTGTGTCGTCGGTTCGTGGGTAAGAGGAAAGCGGTGGAGGCGGTAAAAAGGCTGTGGCAGAAGGCGGGGCGGGAACGGCGGATGACGGCGTGGTGATGGTTGTTGGCTGAGGAGGCATTCGCATGTAGATTTCTTTCAGGTTATCCAATGCTGCTTGGTCGTAAGTTGGATACATGCTCATATTCGGTAACATGGACGTATATTGCAATGAAGATGCGGACGGTGGGGCAAATTTATCAAAATGAACACGCAGTTGCCGTCCGTGAAATTCGTACTTGTCGTACATGGCTGCCACAGCAATCGCCCATTTAGTTAACTGTTTTTCATCAGCCAATAACCCAATGACCTTACCTATTGCCTTCTTTGCTGAATCATGTGTAGCAAAAAGAACGGTTCCAAAACCTCGACTTCGACCATCGGGCCCTTGAGCCACATCTGCACGCAAGATATTACCTGCATTGCGGAACAGATCTTTCACATCTTGCCACTGACAATGGAACGGCAACTAGAAGAAAACAAAAATGTCAATGAGAATATGAGAATTGGGGTTTTCCGCTTGTAGTAGGCAGTACTTACATTTCCCACAAATAGTTGACGTGCTACGTTCACGGTTGGCTAGGACAAAGCTTATCTTTAGTGGATTTGCGTTGATGGACAATACAACATGCTCGATTTACCTCTTTATAACCGTATAACCGGTGATGATTTGACGCCGACGATGAGAATAGATGCTCTTGTGGAGGAGGATGCATGGATAATGGCAGTCCTGATTCCACGAATCCTCGATCTTCGCGGACTTCCAAAACCCGACCCTGCCATTTGTAGTTGTGCAATATGTCTGGATTCCAAAATGTTAATTTTATCAATGGGGAATGGACGAATGGGCCATGGAGGGCTGACGAGTTACCTATTGCATGTTGGGCTTCTTCTACGGTAGCAAATAGCACCGTACCATGACCTTTGCTACGGTTATCGTAACTTAAAGCCACATCGGTACGTATAACATTTCCGGCCTTCCGGAAAAGATCTTTGAGGTCTTGCCAACGCACACGGAAAGGCAACTGCAAGAACAATAAGAAAAAAAATGGGTGAGTGACTCGTTATTGGATAGCAACGACTAGGGAAATTTAAAAAAACGAAGCGATACGCACATTACCAACAAATAGCTGTCTAACGTGAGTCACCCTTTTGGGTGCTTCGTGCATCATTGGTGCAAGTGGGGTTGACATTGAGGAGTTCAAGTCGAGCGATTCGGGGTTTTCGCTGGAATGCACCAGAGCCGAGCTAGATAAAGTCATTGGTACAGTGTAGGAGTGGCTCGACCTGGTAGACTGAGCTGTTATCTCTGTAGTAGGTTGAGAGGAAGACGGTGCGTTTGGATCAAGCATAGGATTGTTGCAGTGGTGGACGTTTTGATTGGCGGACAAGACGAATGGGTTGGTGAGTTAGTCAATTCAGGTCCAGAGGTAAATACTACCAAAGGTGCACTGCGATAGGGCAGTAACGAAGGAATAGGCTGAAAATGGAGTAAAAAAGTAGACTGCAAGGACTCGTCTCTTGAGTGCAATGAAAAACTTATTACAGGAAAGGAATGGGAAGGAGATAACGGTAAAACGTTAAATGGCTATTCGTTCAAAAAGAGAAAAATGGATAGGTCCAAAAAAAAGACCACATTGCCCAATTTTCGATAGGCGCTTGGAATTTCCACACAATAAATCCGCTGTCGTCGCATGCCCGTATTTTTCGAGTTCACGTCCAAAATTACTAAATTGGCACCGCAACAATTTCCTTTTTCAATCACAGCTTACCAGGCATGTAAAAACAGGGCCTAACGGAAGGCTAGTTGACGATACTTTGCTCGCTGAGCGCAGATTGTGCGCCGTGGGACCGTCGAAGAGCTGCCGGACGGGAATCGAGACGATAACCTGATTCTATGTAGGCCTGTAGACTTCGTCTCATGTTTACGCCAGCATTAATGTCCCTGTTCCAGATCTAGTTTCTAAAGTTAGTGTGATCTTGCAAGTGATGCCATACTGTTCCTCCTTACCAAGGGCTTGGAAACATAGTTTTCAGAAACCTAATGGGGCCACATTCGTACCGGATAAACAATGCTCAAATACCCTTGACCTTAAACTTCACTGTCAGATATGTACGTTAAAGCGGTGGATAATGCTGCTTACCGGGTCGTCTCGCTCCACAGTCAGAGCTGTATCCAATGATGTCGTTGTTTTCGTCAAGACATATTGTCAATTTCTCGCACTCGTTTCTTCTTTTTTCTAGGTATAATTGCGTGAATATCGATCTGGATATCTACCCGGGCTTTTGATAACTTAAATCGTGTTTGCAAACAGCTGATTGTTGTCTCGGACTTCGATCGTCGCGGTATCACAACTGCTACAAATTTTACTCGTCTTATACTCATCTACACAGAGCACAAGAGAAGAACTTGTCGGAATTTCTATCCGTTCATCTTAAGTTATCTCCTCGTACGAATTACATTTCCTTTCTTCTGTCACACCTTGACGGGAACTGGCGGATTGCCTTTCAATGAATGCAAATCGGCATCGCTAAATGCAACTACAGCCGCACCTTGGGGCCTCTCCCGCCCGCGACGGGCTCTCTGTCGTCCTCGCTTGCGGTATCGTCTGGACTGCTTGTAGACCCACAATGGTTTCTATAGCGTAGAATGAGCCGCTATCACTTTTACGTACGATAACACAAAACTCACTTGCAAATTCTTTTCTGCTGGGTCTCCTAACAAACTATCGGCCATTTTGTGCATGGTCATTTGCCGCTGTCTCTCGACTAAAGCACGTTTCTCTCGGTGACGATACGATCGATTGAAATTGTACAGCCTGTTCTTGAAGTCTTAAGTCCTGAGAATCGATCTGACTATATGCAATTACCTGTTGTGCAAACTTGCCAAAGTTCTTAAATGGTCTCGGAATTCTGCGACCGTACCACATTTGGCAGTGTTCTCGCCCAATCGGTCATATACATCCTCAATGCTCGCAGATCTTCTATTGTTCAGTTCGATCTGATGACTCCAATAGAACATGCTGCTTCGTCTGTATTTCAAAGGATGCCAAATAAGTAAATACATTTTTTTTTCTTGCCCAATTGAACTTCTACTTACTGATATGCTGCATTTGAGTCGACCATGATGTGGCATTCCTATGACCAGATCGCTCACGCCCTCTATTGCAAAAGTGATTATTGCTCAACGTCTTAAAGAATATGATTTGATTGAGAAAACGTGCCTATATCGTTCCTCAGGCATATGTAGATTTTCATTTGAATCTACCGCTGTTATAACAGATCGTAAACCCATTGATGCGGATATTCATAAGTTTAACATCTTGATGTATTTCCGACGGATAGCAAAGTTTACCCGGATCTATGCCAATGATTCTTGCATTGGGGTCAATTCCAGTTGGTTCTTTCTTCAAGTGGTATAAAACACGACGCCAACCAGTCCTGTCCGGCTCACGCGGAAGGAAATCAAATTCTCTCTTTAATGAAGGGAATGGGACGACCATTTACAAGTGTGGCAAGACGCAAGTATTTAATATTCCACTTTGAATTACAAAAAGGGATTACCAAGGTCATAGCGCTCGCAGAATTTTAGCGCCGCTGTCACTCCGTCGGTTTCGAGTCCGTAGGCGAATTGATACTTTTTGGCATTATCGGCTTTTGAGGCCTGGTGTATCGAAAAAAAAATGAGCGATTATGTAAATGGTGACTTACCAGCCTCGATAAGCCCAGCTCTGAATCTATTGGGCATGATTTTATCAAAGTCAAATATCGTCTCCCACATGGCTTGTTTGAAAATTTGATCATCTCGACAGGACCGATGAAAAACTTGAAGTCCAATAAATCGTTCTGTCGCCTCAATCTCGTAAAGATCCCTCCTCATTATTTATATTGGAGTAAAATACATTGTCACAAAAAAAAGTGAACGTTAGCTGATCTATTGCTTACTTTCATTTCATTAGGCACGATGTGCCATTTGTTGTAGGCGTGCTAACAGAAATAATGAAAGCATACACCACTCAATGGGAGATAGCCTGGGAACCCAATGTAAATAGCAATATAGATGGCTTATAATCTTTGATACATACCTATTTGATGAGAGCCAAAGGCAGAACGGACCATATACGTCCATTATAAAGTTTGGCTTGCGAAAGCAGCCAGGTAGAAAATTGAATCAATTGAACGCTCCCTGAGGTGCCTGCAAGGGCTTCGATGGCGTCACTGTTGTGATCCCTAGAGTGTTGATTATACGTTTGCTGTAATTCACTATAAGCAAGCATAAGAATATATTATTTTACATTCCATATATTGTGATCACCACACCGGTAGAGTGTCTGTGTTTGTAGCCAGTCTCCTGGCAGAGTATTCCATTCTTCTTGGTTGAAAAGCTCGTGTTTCTGGACCGCTTTAACAACTTTTTTCCTGGAAAAACATGCTTGAGTTTTATATTATACTATATCAATTGATCAAAAGGTATTACTGAGCGTTTTGGCTGTCTGTGACAGAGTGACGCCATGGTGTTCACTGTAGGTTCGGAAAAAAGCCTCACAAACATGAAGAATAAATTTGAAGATATTTGATGACAGATGCCGTGTGGCGTCTGAAACGATCTAGTTAAAGACTCAGTGGCTTCAATCAGATATATCTCGACTTACTGGTTAGAGCTTTTGTTGAATATGGATCTGCCCAGCTATTGTATAGCTGAATCCATCTCAGATAGCGGTATCCTGTACATAAATAGACAGAGATGACAACTGTGAGTCTCTCGAGATACCGAAGAAAAACGAAACAAAATAACCTTCGCTACTGGGAATGAAGAAATTTTGGAATGTATCCCAAGGTTTGTGCTCCCAAGGATGTCGGAAAGATCTCTAAAATGCGGGAAGTATCAGTTTGAATTATTGTTCGGACTGGAGATAATTATTTCGTACCAAATCTCTAGCTCCCAGGCATAAACTGCTAACAAAGAGGAAGCATTTCGCCCAGAATGACTCCGTATGCACAGGTGGAAAAGGAAGTAAGGTAGTCTGTTCAGTCCATTGCAACATATGCATTAGAGCCAAGTTGTTTGCATCGCGTCTCAGCAGGGTGTAATTTTCTGCACAAGTTGGAAAAAGTTCCTGTTCCATTGAGATTAATTAGTGCTACTATGCGTCATATCATTGGCATCTTCATCCTTACCCTGTAACTTTATATTCTTGCTTTAAAATACTCAACAACTTGATCTGTAGGGTCACAGCATTTCTAAGATCGGTAATATGGAAAGTTCTGAACTGCCGTCCTGGCGCAGCGTTCGCCATAGCGCTTAATACGCGACCGAGGTTTAAGAGAAAAGTGAAGAACAGGAGATAATCAGAACGAAAATAAAGAAAGTAGTTAACGTGTTGACAGTAGAAAGAGGTGGGTAAGTATTCAGCAGACGTGGAAAAATAAAGAAACAGATTACTGATCAGTAGATGTGAAAAGTGATAGATAAATAATCAGCAAATGTGAAAAAATAAAGAAACAGATGGAAGTGAGAGCAAGAAGTGCTCAAATGCTTTTTATTGCAAGTGCCTCACGAGCTTGGTTTCAGTTTCAAGGGCTGCGCCATTTGTTCAACGCGCCAATATGCAGAAGCATGATCGACAAGTGTTCTGACGACATTTTTCTAGTCACGTAAATCCGGTGATTGCATGAAAATGATTACTATCATTGACGACATGGTCCAATAAAAACCTGATAATATAAGCACCATTAGTATTGTAATTCGAAGTGTGGCCAACAGCAATATTTTAACGCTGTATTCAAGTGTGTGATCGCCGCTCTCTTACATTTTCACACTTTTCGACCACTTCTGTGACTATTCGCAAGCTGTCCATGCGTGCTTTTAAATCCCGACGGTTGCATTGCGAGCAACGTCTTCAGTTAGCTTCGCGAACGAGACTCTGGATCTACTATATTGGGGCAGGAAGCGATCCGATCCTGCAAACATTTTGCAATGGTATCTTCAGGAACGACAAGGTACGGGTCTGACCCAAGGAAAAGGGTGTATTGCGATTAATGGTAGAACAGGACGGAGTAGGAGGAGCGACATAGAATGGATTCCGCTGATCTAGCTACCATCATTATCGATCATAACTGCTTGGATTTGACCCATGACCGTGTTTCAACCAGCATTTGCGATGGGGTACATTAAAAGGATACTAGCATCCATATCAACGGCATACCTTCCAGTCCCGGGCATTTGAGCCGCAATGGTATAAAATGCTTTCTTGCCACTGAGGAATTTGGAGGTGTCATGTGTAGATTCATACACAAATAAAAATGAACTGTTTTTGAGAAGCTGTATTTGGACATATATTTATTTCGAAGACGCTGCTGTTATAAAGAAATGACCCATCTATACACTCACCCCAACCCGCCATTAACTCACGAAAACAATTATCGACCGTCAAATAGGGAGGAAATCATCGTGACCGGTCTTCTGCGGCCACAAAGCTAAACTCACATAAACGTTTTAAGCTTAATTTCTTCTTCCAGGTTCGTTGCATCATGTTGTATCGTGCGTGTAGCTGATCGAAAAGCTTTCTGAGACAAAAGCTCATCATTCAAAATCACATGGAAAATTATTTACCCTCGTCAACGTAGCGTTGTTCATACGAAGCATCTCATTCATTTTAGCCCAGTAAAGTTGTACTGTACCTGCTCGTCATATAATCGATCTAGAAGGTCGGGGCTGAGCGAACTAGTAAGCACGTCCTCCCAGTACCAGGGTTATGGCTGTTGTCCTTCCAATGATAGGTCACCTTCATACGAGCATGAATTCAGTCGATCTTGTTCAAGAAAAATAACCAGCACTGTCTTGGCATCATCTCATATATTAAAAAGTTTGCAAAAAACCAGAAGTCCGATCGCCATCTTGGAGACCGATTTCTACATGCGACGTCGTTTTTTTTTCCTTTTTATTTTAGGCGACAAACAAAAAAAAAAGACAGCATTATATATATTGAATATTCAGATTTGCGTTTCTTAAAGTAAAGAGGGTTCTTCCGCAATGGTTCGCTTGATGCGAAGAAGCATTGTCGTTTTCCAGTTATCCAGTTTTGTCAACTGATCAAATTCATAGACTTTATGAGTGAAGATTTCCACTTCACCATTTTCCACACACTCCAAGATACTCTACACAAGCTGTTTAGATCCGTGATCCTTGTTGTATGCATACCACTGATCGGGCTTACCTGCAAAAATTGGTATTCACGTGTACTTTCAAATGATAAATCCATGCTCACATATTTATCCAGGGCTTGCCGTGTTCGAACCGTATCCTGAAAAACCGTATGCTTCGTCAATCAATGATGTGACATCACACCATCTCTCGGCTTACATTACCTGAGTACACAAATAGCACAGACCCGCTTTCAAGAAATACTCCTTTAAAGACCACTTGGTCAGTTGATTATCGACAGAATTCGTTGCCACCGTTTCGAACTTTTCAATGGCCGAGTCATACTGTTCCAATTGGGCAGCGAAATGAGCAACTTTTAGCAAACATTTGTTGACCATGCTACCAAAAAAATAAAAAAGAATGGTTTATATCTTTTCATGAATTTGTGACGCTTCCGACCGAGAAGGAGAGAGAGAGAGAACGAACTTACGCTTGAGAATCATCGGCCATGTACAGATGGGCAGCCGCATCCCAGTTATCCATTGCTCCTTGCAAATCAATCACGTCGGATTCGTATATTTCTGCTATTTCTTGATGGTGTTTTGCTGCGTTTCGAAAGTTGGCTCCATCTTTATCAATCGTAATTGCTTCTTGCAATGCTTTTACTGCACCTGGAAGATCACGCACCATCAGTTTTTTCCAACTTATTTTTTTTGGATCATGCTATTTTTTGCTGTTCACCTTCTGCATCATTCCTTTTTAGGCATTTTGCTGCATTTTCGAACGCTTTGGACGCCTCATATCGTTCGTCGGGAATCTTCTTGTATAACTCGGCCGCTTTCATAAACGCATCAGCAGCTTCCGGCCCTAGCGTAATATTTGATAAGAAAGAAACGGACTTTCTCTCGCCTGTCTACATTGCTTCATTACATCGTTGCGCGAGTTTGAATGTATTGCCAGCCTTTTCATAAATTTCAGCTGCTTCTTCCTCTTTGTTGCCACCACCAAACCATGACCATCCATTAAGCTTCTTCTCAGCTTGTTGTAGTAATTCTTGAGCCTGACGTTCCGACATTGACAACCACGACACGAAGTAACGAAAATTTCAACCAAGGATTCAAAGAGTGGAACGTCGGAACTTTGACTCGTTCTTTTTTTTTCGTTCGCCTCAAGATAACCCCACCCCCATTGGTGTAATGCCCTTTTTTTTCCCTTGTGACCATTTTCTGTTCGACATCCGAACCAGGCAAAATTTCTGCTCTGCAAAGGACTAAAATATCCCATGGCGCTTGAAAGTTCATGCAAATAACAAAAACCCACAAAGTGATCCATACCAAGTATTTGAAAGAGGAATCTAAATACAAAGCTAGATTGATCATGAAACTGTATCTAAGGGTTACAGCGGATATTCTATAACACAGCTGCAAACAAAAAATATTTTGCAAAAGAAGTGTGGAGTGATGTAACAGGAGATCTGCGTTGGTCATTATTTGCGATTGCTGTTCGCTGAATCGATAAGGTTCTTCACCAGTCGCTCCAATTCAAATAAATGATCATCATTTGCTTCGGGACAAATTTCTCTCAGAGCTTCCGCCAAGTTTAACAGATACTCCGCGTTCCATCCAGAGGGGCCTAATAGGATCAATTAAGTGATACTGCATTATCATGTGCTTCTTTACAAAATTTCGTACCGTAAGTCTCATAGATCTGTTGAGCAATTTGCTCCATGGGCGCTGGTCCGACGTATTGTTCGTTGTCCATCGTGCCAATATACACCAGTGCCTGATAAAATGACAGACCTGTCAACCATCGTGTCTCACAAAGTCCATACTCAAAAACAGATCGCCTACATTTTTCACTGCCGGTACTTCAGCGCTTTCGGCCGTGTAAACATCAACTGCATGCACAGTATAACCATTCTAAAATACGGCATAAGTTCGGCATAGCTGAGAATGGTTGTGCCTGGGTACCTTTTCCCGATGATCCAAATAAGCTCGTGTAGCCTCGACATCAGTAGACGGAATCTTAAAAGCAACTCCCCAGGTTACATCATCGTGTCCGTGCTAAAGAGTAACTCATCAATATCAGGCGCCCATGATCATGCTTCAGAGTATTACTTACTGGATCTTCAATATTTTTCCATTCATCATATGGGATCAAAGTCACCACTCGACCGGGTTTCTCAGGGGTCCCGCGGTGATCTTCACTGTGCTGTGAAAAAAGGCAAGGAACCGCATTAATGACGGTCAATGAAAACGGATGTTGATCGTGGATCTCGTCTCATACCTGCCAAAATCTTCGTACGTAGTTTTTAATGTATCCAATCACTCTGTCGCATAAGTGTGAGTCAATCGTTTAGTCGTGTGGAGGCGGAGTGAATTGAGAGTATTACTTTGACTCGTAATGAATCGGAGGTTTCCAAATAAGCGATCCGTAACCAAACACCCAAATGCCCGCTTGATCGCTTGTTTCAAAGTGGTCTGGAGCTGCCATAGAAGTCAATTAGTTTTTGCGTATAATTCGAGGGAGAAAGATAGACAACAAAAAGAGCGCGCCCTTATTAATAAAATAAGCAAAGTCACATTACCTATTTGGGGTCATTGCCACACACTGTAAAGAATATAGTCTGTAACATTGCCTTTTTTGGGCCATTGCCACATACTGTTTCGTAAAAAAACTAAATCTACCCAAAAAGGGACGTTGCCTACACACTGTCCGACAGTATATAAAAGAGAAAGATTGCTTTTTGATTTTTAATTTAGTTGTATCTTGTCACAACTAAAAAATAATCTACAATATGCCTTGCCGTTGTGGAAGTACGGATCATCGAAGAATTACGAGCTCGCTATGTCCGCTGAACTCCAGAAATACAATCACTGAGCGGGCACATGTTCAGCCGTTTATTCATTTCTCTCCACAATGTATACAAATCTCTCTTGAAGTAATTTTTCGAAAAAGGCATTTTTTTAAGAGATTTTTCGAATCCGGATAGACCTTACCAGACGCTGTCAATGTGGACGTACGGATCACCAAAGAATGACGAGTTCACGTTGTCCGTTGAATCGCACGAATACAGCTGCTGAGCTTTCAAGTCACCCAACAAGGTATTTTGCATATTCTCTTGGCAGTAGTTGCTCAAAATTATGCCGCATTGTATTTCTGAGATCCCGATAGATTTACTTTGCAAATGTGGCGGTACTACAGACCATCAAAACGTGTCAAGCTCGCTCTGTCCCTTAAATCCTAGAAACATGACAGCCGAGGTTGAGGATGTCGCTCCACCTGCGCCAGTGCCTTCAACTATGGAAGGTATGTATTTTTTTTTCAAAGCTCTTCTGACATTGCACGCATTAAGTTTATATTTTCCCATTATGTGCCTATCAGCTGAGCCAGCCGATGTTGAGGATACCGTCCCACTTGCTCCCATGTCTTCAACTACGGAAGGTATATATTCTCTTCAAAGCTCCTCTAACACTGCATGCATTGAGAGCTTATATTTTCCATTTACGTTGTTTTATGAGCAGGACCATCCCACAATATCGCCCGTATCTCAATTCGTGCTCGAAATGTCAACGCCGAAGGAGTAATGGACAACGGGAGCATGACCTTGATCTGTGTCTCCTGTGGAGCAAAAGGCCGGGAGGACGAGAAAGTAGCTGGAAGCTGATAAGAACCTCGGTTTGCCATTTGCTGCAACCAGGGAAAGGTCCAGTTGACTGCATAAAGCGATCAAATCTGTTGGCGCAAACGGCATTATCTTCTTTATTCCTCTTCCCTCGATCACAAAATGTTGTTTAAAGACCGCCTTTACCTCATCCTCAAAGCCATCTACGAACGGAAGAAACGCGAAGAAGAGGAAAACGGTATTTATTTTATGTTACGGTAGCATATTATACGACTCATGAAATATGATGTAGCTGTGCACTGCAAGGACTGCGGCAAGGCCAGACACAGGACAAAAAGACACAGTAAATGCGAGAAGCATCAAGCGCCCTCCACATCAGGCATAGACACTTGAATATAGGTAACAAGTCGTCACGACTAACCTCTATTGCCTTAATAGTTGGCAGCAAGCGTAAGCGACTAAGCGATCCAGAGAAAGAAAAACTGAAAACTGCCAAAAACGGGCTCGATTGGCCACAAGCAATGACGATGACACTCTACCCATTTGCTCGAGTTGCGAGCAACCTGGCCACAAGTCTGCACGGCACAATGATTGTCCGAGTTATAAACCGACAAAGCATCAAGAATTTCAACGCTTGATGGGGACCACTCCGCGACCTGCCGCAAGATCAAACTGTCCACCCTTTTGAGACCGCATTATCAAACACTCATGCTGCAGAAAATCACTCGAACCTGCGAAGATTTGCGAAACATTGTCATCAGGGCCCACCTCTTTATGAACTATTACATTCTCACAACTGAAACAATTCATAAAAAGGTGTTCACGCAAGGCTGTTTCTATCGCGTTGCGCAACTTGTCATCAAGAAAACTCCAACGAACATCAATGCCATGCCCGACGACCTCCTGACCAGTTGGCAGGCCTTTCGTCAACAATTCGAGTGACGTATGAAGCCGAGCTCGTACCAGGCTACAGTCAATGCTTAACGTTCAGCTGTATCTAATTAGCGACCACATATACTAACATGATCGTGGAGAAGTTCGAACATAGACTTTCGGTTTATTTGAAACGCTTGGTTCGATCGGTTCTCAACGAGGTTAGTACGTCTTTGATTTTTATTCTGATGCCGTCTTCTAATTTAAATGATGCAGTCAAATCGCAAATACACCAATTCAATTGTGGAGAAATACTGCTATCAAACTGTTTGCGGCGGTGATCCAGTGTGGCCCGATTGTGTTACGAAGAACGAGCGGCAATCGACAAAGTTTGTCAATAAACCAACGCTGTTGAAATGCCCAAACCCGTCACGCCTGTGAGCCTGTCATCTAATCCGGGCGCTTAATCCTAATGCTGAAAATGATTCTCTCACAATACGAACTTGAACATTCCCAGCACAACCAGCAAGAAGCGGGACAAGACGAACATGCTGCTCTTCCCCGCCTGTTTTCACTGTTTCCGCTCTCGACGTTTAAATGGCGATACATTACAATCAATCCGAATGTCCTTGCCGCCTTTCTGGGCAGAAGTATATCAGGAAGATTTGAAGAAAATATGAACATGTTTTACTGCGTTTTTAATTTTCAGAGGCTGAAGCTGGACAGGTGAGTATCGAAATCATACGGAAAATACTATGAATCCCTCTAACACCTTCTGATTATATAGCTTTGAACAATTGCAAGATCCGGATCGAAGAAGAAAATTGGCTTTTGCAAACTTGATCAGAACCGATGGCTTCGGGGTCGACGTGATGTTGTTCAAAAGTTCTTTAGTGTCCCAAAATGAGTTCTGTTTCTACTCTGACCTGGTTTCCGATGTTCGCTACATCAGTCGTGAGGTCCAAGGGGCAGCCCTCACCAATATCTCTTTATGCGGTCTTGATCCGGGACGTACACACGTGTTTACAGCCTCATTAATCAGGGCGAAAAACGTCATCAAGTGAGGAAGATGTTCCACCAAGGAATACTATACGCGTACCGGGTCTGTCAGACATGCTAAAGAAGAAAGAAGACGGATGGACCGAGCCCAGGTGACCGACCTATTCTTGAACATTCCAACGGCGAAAACCGTTTCGACTTAGTTTATCATCGGTACCTCACGTACATCCTTGAAAGTCTGCCACGTATTTTGCGGTTCAACGGACCAAATACTGCCGAATCTGTTCCAAGGCGTGGAGAGGGCGAGAGCCGAGATGGGCAACATCATCATCAACGGTTGTAGAAAATACAACAAAGAAAAAAGGAAGCATACCAAACAAAACAGAAAGAAGAGAAGAAAAAGACGTGAGCGAAATAGAGGTCCGGGACAGAAAGGCAAACGAAAGAAAAACAAAGGTGGGATATGGAAAATCGACATTTATTGACAGTGGTGTCCAAAAGGTACTTCATAGGTAGACGTCGAGCGGACAAGATGGCCAAAATAGATGACAAATATTGGAAACCTCGGGCGTTTGCTCACCAAAATTGGTTGCTGCCTGTAGTGGGTTTCGCTGCCGGCATGTTCGGCAATGACAGCATATGATTCAAGGGACATCGAGTTGGTTTGACCGGAGTCCTTCACGACGAACTCAAACGCCGACAAAAGGGCGGAGAGCTACTGGTCGTCACGGTCGACGAATTCAGAACGTCAATGATATGTCATGGTTGTCAACAGGCCAACGTAACTCACACTCTTTCAGATTTCCATGCGGTTCTCGCTTGCCAAAGTTGTGGAATTGTATGGAACCATGATATGAACGCAGCGAAAAATATTCTCAAAATCCCCAACGAAGTCATCAATGGTGGCGGACGACCTGCAGTTTTCAGACGGGAAACTTAGTTTATTTTTTTCTTTTTATTTTCAAAATGGCCGTATGGAACACGGTTTTCTTTTCTTAGGAGAAGAATTCAGATTTTTACTGCCTTTGGGCTAGTAACCGCAAAAAAGGGCCTTGGACGATCATGCACGTCACTGTGCTCGGATTTGATTGGTGGAAATGAAAATCCCTAGATTTTTTTGTTTTTTCTGTTTCAAAAAAAAAGTTCCATTGAACGGACGAAACTCTCCATCTGTTTAAATACCATGTCAACTGCCGCACCTGTCAACATCCGTTTAGCAGCTCCAGACGCATCGCTTCCTTCGGAGTATTCTACCACACCTCACGGAACTATTTACAGCTCCACCCCTGGAGGTAAATGCTCGTTTTTATCCTTTCAAAATCCCATGGTGACAAGCATCGTGAAGGGGGAAGGAAAAAAAAAGGAATCATATGCATTGGGCATGAAAATTTACTTTTGTGTGTGGGATGGTACATTTCAGTTAAAAAAATTGACGCTAAAACTCTCCATTGGGTAGGTACTCGCGTTATCTATGATCGCGATACACTTTTAGCTCTTGCCAACAGCGAGCTTGCTCAGACGCCTCCCAGCAAAATGGCATTTGTGGCTGGTGTGACCCGCCCCAACGCGGATCATCCTGCGTTCCGCAAGACAGTTGAACAGAAAAAGAAGGAAGAAGCAAAGAAACAAACTTGTGAGTACACAAAAACGTACAAGTATATATACATGAAGTAACTCATTTATCGACGATATTTTATCCAATAGTCAATCCTTTTGCTCTCCTCAACGACGACGACGATGGCATGTTTGATATGGACGAGTAAATTAAAAAAAGACCAGTCGATTACGACTCCAAAGCGTGCGTATTCTGTCGAATCAACTGCGCCCTACTCTCCTTTTTTTGTACATGTTATCTTGAAGAAATAGTTGTTATTCCGTGTCTGTCCACCTGCTTTGTCATTCAACTCATGATCGTACCAAACTAGATGGCTCTGGAAGCAACACGTCAATCTGTATACCTACTTTTAATATTGGCGATAACGTGTCATCTTTGCCAACGTAAGAGAAATTCAAGTTGGATGGATTCCTGCCATCTGCATGGGTTTTATAGTTTTTGCTGTTGGAGGTTAAATCACGTGGCATGACGGATGGTCACTCTGTATGCCTTTGAAAGCCGCAGCAATCTGTACCGTGTGTGTCAGAATAGGAAGAATGATATGTTGCACTTGTTGGAACGTTATTTTGTTTGATCGACGACATTTTCACCATTCCCAATTTCCATTTTGAGAATTCTGTTCAATTTCTGTTCTTTTTCATCAGAAAATTGAGCTGGGTTGAGTTTGGCATGGCTGATGTTTCGCTTGAGAGTATGCCTTTTGTAAAAGAGAAACGCTTGCTCTTAATTTTTGTTGTATTTTTGAATGTTGAGTCGCATGTAACGGCATGAAAGCGATTCTACGCTTGCGTCATAAGGAAAGGCTTCGTGTTCAAGGGGCACTTTCATTTTCTCGTAGTAATAATAGCAGTTGAGTATCTTTGATATTGGAAAAATAGTATTACCAATGCAAAAGCTTTTGTTCTTTCTTCGTCATATGTATTTGAGTCATTGCATCCAGAAAAAAACTGGCATTTTTGCAGTCGATGCCTGTTCTGAATAACCGAGACAGCACTCATGAGAACGTCGGAGTTTGGAAGGTTGGAAACACCGGTTTTGCAGGACGATTCAAAGCGCTCGCATCACTTAACCTTGAGCATTTGTACCAATGAATGTAAGTATTTCCTTGTGCAGCTTATTATAAGTGCAATTGTGTTAAAAAATTCTTAAAAGAGTTTATTTGCTTTGCCCTCTCCTGTGGAGCTGGACATTGTCTTTGACGATGAATCTCAGCGGCAACGAGCCATGGTCAAAATGGACCCATCTCATCGTATATCGTGTCCTGTATACGCAGACGGTGAAGCTATCGCTGGAAAGGTGGAATTTCTATCTCTTATCATTGATGACTCTTACGCGGTTTTTAACGAGATATTGGTAGGTGACGATTCGTTTGAAAGACGGGCGGAGAACGGAACATGCGGGGATCAAAGTTGATGTCATTGGCAGCATAGGTGAGTTGTGACGAAGCGGTCGACTTTTTTTCTTTTCAGCACAAGCCTAAGACGTTAGTGCAATGGATGGTAGACTTTATGAAAAATCGAAAGAGGTCCTCTGAGTTTCTTCATCGTTCTCAGGAACTGGCAGCTCCAGGAGAACTATCGCAATCAGCATCGTTCAAATTTGAGTTTAAAAATGTGGAAAAAACCTTTGAGTGTTACCGAGGCGCGAACGTGAGATTAAGGTAAAAAGATCGCACTAAATGATTAAACACAGCTCCAATGATCGTAACGCGAGAAAAGGTACTTTGTTCGTGTCACCGTGGCTCGTCGATTGGCAGACATCGTGCAGGAAAGAGATCTCTGGGTTTACTCTTACGATATACCAAATGTGGAGAAGAAATTGGTGAAGATGGAAATCGGTATTGAGGATTGCTTGCATCTGGAATTTGAATATAACAAATCCAGGTAAAGTACTTCGGTCGTCATTCATACAGAAAACGGGTACTGACATTGTAGCGGTAGTTACCATCTGAAAGATGTCATTGTTGGGAAAATATACTTTCTATTGGTGCGTATCAAGATCAAGAATATGGACTTGTCCGTGATCCGACGTGAAATTACCGGAACAGGTATGATTGTATCCATCGTCTTTGCCTCACTGATATTTGGGCATATGAAGGATTAACAGTCTTTTGGTCAAAGCGCCCAATGTATACAAAGAAAGCCAAACCTTAACAAAGTTTGAAATCATGGACGGCGCTCCCGTGCGAGGTACTGTTATTTTTTCTTCATCGTCCCTGCAACCTTATTATTCACTTAATGAACCTGCCTCCACCAAAAAACCAACCCCACTAGGCGAAGCAATTCCTATCAGATTGTTCCTTGGAGGCTTTGAATTAGGTCCAACATTCAATGGTCAGTCTTTTCATTATGTTTTTCAGATTAGATAAAAAAATAGCTTATTTCTCTATTATTTCTTTTAATAGATGTCAACAAAAAGTTCTCTGTACGATATTATCTCAATCTGGTGCTTACAGATGACGAAAATCGGCGTTACTTTAAACAGCAGGAAATCACGATGTATAGGTCCATAGGTAAGCCGTTTACTTAGGTCAGTAAAATCAATTTTCTAATCAAAGACGTGAATTTTTTAGACAGTGAATAGTCGTGTTATTTTCTGAAAGATAAGGATCGTTGATTTGATTGAAGATCATGAATGATGATTGTCCGCCTTTTTTTCCCTTTTTTAAAACTGCGCTGAAAAGACTTTTGTCAATAAGATATCCTTTTTTGGGGGACACAAAATGAGTCACACCAATCACACTCTCAAATGAGCCCAGCGGAGGTGTAGGAGGTGTATGCACACAGTGAGATAAGAAATGAAAAGGCGATGATTGGCCACATTCGCCATGAATACACTTGAGCTCACTTCGTCCAAAAAGTCACGAACAATAGATATAAGTACCAGAGAAAAATGCCATCTTTACCCTTTCTTCATCTTTTTTCTTCTTTTTCCCATTTTTCCGCCTACTATCATGGCTTCTCGTGCATTTACTACCGCTCTCCGTGTCGCTTCTCGTGCAGCTGTCCGTCCTGCTGTGTCTCGATCCATCTCGATGATGGCCGTCAGACCCGCTGCCCTCAAAGCCTCGGTAAGCCAATAAATTAACGGAAGAATCCATAGCATCAACTCGTCGACTTAACTTTGGATTCAATTAATTTAGATCGCTCCCATGCAAACTCGTGGCATGAAAACTCTCAACTTTGGCGGAACCGAGGAAACCGTCTATGAACGTTCCGATGTTCCCAGAGAGAAGTTGTTGGAAACCTTCAAGGACGATACTATTGCCGTTCTCGGTTATGGTCCTCAAGGCCGTGGCCAAGCTTTGAACTTGCGCGATAACGGTGTTAATGTGATCATTGGTCAGCGTGAAGGCAAGACTTATCAACAGGCCATTGAAGAAGGCTGGGTTCCCGGCAAGAACTTGTTCCCTGTGTTGGATGCCGTTGACAAGGGTACCGTCGTCATGAACTTGCTCTCGGATGCTTACCAAAAGGAAATCTGGCCTCAAATGGCTCCCCTTTTGACTCCCGGAAAGACGCTCTACTTCTCTCACGGTTTCTCCATTGTTTACAAAGATCAGACCAATATCGTTGCTCCCAAGGGTAAGTGATCCATCAATCGTGGACAAAAAAGTAAAATGGGTGACCGTACGAAAAACTAAATTGTGGACGGTGGATGCTTAGATATTGACGTTGTGCTTGTTGCACCCAAGGGTTCCGGCTTCACTGTGCGTCGTCTCTTCCAGGAAGGTCGCGGTATCAACTCTTCGTTTGCCGTTTACCAGGATGCCAGTGGTAAGGCCAAGGAACGTACCGTTGCTTTGGGTATTGGTATCGGTTCTGGTTACATGTACGAAACCACATTTGAAAAGGAAGTGTACTCGGACTTGTTCGGTGAACGTGGTGTGTTGATGGGTGCTATCCAGGGTCTCTTCCAAGCCCAATACGAGGTGTTGCGTGCCAACGGCCACTCCCCCTCGGAAGCTTTCAACGAAACCGTCGAAGAAGCTACTCAGTCTCTTTATCCCTTGATCGGTGAACGTGGTATGGACTGGATGTACTCCAACTGCTCTACCACCGCTCAGCGTGGTGCTCTTGATTGGTGGAGACCTTTCCACAAGGCTTCCAAACCCGTTTTCGAGCAATTGTACAAGTCTGTCAAGGATGGTGACGAAACCGCTCGTTCCCTCGACCGCAACTCTCAAGCCGATTACCGTGAAAAGTTGGAGGAAGAACTCAGAGAAATCCGCGAATCCGAATTATGGAGAGCCGGTCAAACTGTGCGTCAACTTCGACCTGAAAACGTTGGCAAATAATCATCTTCCCTCCTATCTATAAGAGAAACACATTCCAATTTTCACCGTCCTTGTTGTATTTCCATTTACCCCTCATTATTCATTCTAGTTTCTTATCATCATGTGCAAAGAAATCGATTTTATAATAGACAAATAAAAATCTATCGCTACCCAGAACCACTACATTGTTCATCTTTAGATTCAGCAAACTTTTTGCGTTTTATAGAGCAACCAAAAGATATTTACAGTATCAAATGTGCCAAAAAACTAGGTGCAGTCATTCTCAAACGTTGGGAACTGCCAGGAAATGAAAGTTAAAAAAAAGACCCTGGATGGTGGACCGAATTTCAATGACCGCCGTGCAATTTTTTTTTGACTTTTTGGTTCATAACCAGTCAGGCTTAGCCTTTGTTTCACTGCGAGAAGCGATCTACCATGACCACCGAGGAACGTGCCACCAAACGTACCAAGATCGACAGCGTCAAGTCCAAATTCCAGGAGGACCTTTTGGAATCGTCCAATGTGGAACGCCTGTCCAAAGCCTTCAAGGAGTCCAAGCCATATTTGCACTGCAAGATTGATAAGCTTGTCACCGACGACTTGCTGAGAAAAGTGCGCAAAGAGATCTTTGACAATCTTCACTTCACTGTCAAGGAAACTGATATCTACAAGGTTCATCAAACGGGCGACTTGGCCAACTTGGATGGTCTACCGTCCCACGAGCTTGCGCAACTGTCGAGTCTCTTTGAGTTGCGCAACGCCATCTATTCTGAAGAGTTCCGCAACTTTATCTCGAGTGTCATGGGCTGTGGTCCGTTGTCAGGCTCAAAGATGGATATGAGCATTAATAACTACAAGGAAGGATGCCATTTATTGAACCATGACGATGTGATTGGTAGCCGTCGTGTGTCGTATATCTTGTACTTGACCGATCCCGATAAAGCCTGGAACCCTAAATTTGGAGGCGCTCTCGAACTGTATCCTGTGATTGAAAAGGGCATTCCCGCCACTGAGCCCACAGTGGTCATTCCTCCTCAATGGAACCAGTTTGTTATGTTCACCGTTCAGCCTGGTCACTCGTTCCATTCCGTCGAAGAAGTGGTACCAGAAGGAGAACCTCGTCTCAGCATTTCTGGATGGTTCCATCGCCCTCAAGTGGGTGAGCCCGGTTACTCTGAAAAGAAGGATGCAGTGGATGAAGCGAAATCATCTCTTGAGCAGCTCCAGGAAGAGGTACATATTCTGCTGTACAAACAATATTTGTTCGTTGATTTAACCTGTGCCCTATAGTCCGATTCACATGCTAAATTCGCAGAATACAGTACCACTTTAGACGATGATGCTACGGAGGGTTTGACCGAGTCGGATTTGCTCGCTCTCGCTGAATGGATGAATCCTCACTATTTGGATATGACGATCATGAGCCAAATGTCCGATCGATTCTTGGACGAATCGGCAGTGCAATGCAAAGAAATCATCAATAAGGATTTGTTTGCCAAATTGCAGGCCGCGACCACTGAAGCTGATAAGCGGGATCATTTCACAACACAGACAATGGCAACGCACGGTACAGGCGTCGGTGGACAATGGACGGCTCACGGACCTCCTCATCGATGCCGGTATTTGACAGTGGATGCATCCAAGGACAATGGCGACGAAACCAGTTCATTATTTTTGGATCTTCAAAAGAAGTTCGAGAGCGAATCGTTCCGACGCTGGTTAGCTGTAGTTACCCAGTGTATCCCTAACGGTTATCGTGGCGAAGCTCGCCGGTTCCGACCGGGCCACGATTACACTTTAGCGACCACTAATACCCGTGGCCAAGGCGTTTTGGACGTGACCCTTTGTATTGCCAATACACCCGACAAAATTAGCGCTAGTCATTGGGAAAGTGGCGAATATGGTGGCTACGAATGCTATATGGCGCCTCACAATGAAGAAGAAGACGCTGCCGTGTACAGAGCAGCGGATGATGATGGTGCTTTACTGACATTGGCAGCCGGGTGCAACGAATTATCGATCGTCCTTCGTGACGAAGGTGTCATGCGGTTCATCAAATATGTAAGCGCTCGCGCACCAGGCTCACGTTGGGACGTATCTTACGAGTATGATTTACCGGAAGAAGATGAGGAAGACAATGATGATGAAGAAGAAGAAGAAGATAAAGACAACAAATGAAGTGATTTGTACATAAGAACGACATGGAAACCACATCAAAAATCATTTACTCCCAAATCAAGTTAGATATTCATTCAGGAAAAAAGAAGAGAAAAAGAAAATCAATAGAACAAGTTACATTACCCTACCATTGATTCTCTATTTTGTAAAATTCTGCATTGAGCAAACACTAGTATTCTTATGGCAGATTAGAATGACAAGGGTTTTCACGATTCTGTGAAGAAGCGACGGGAACTTCTATTCCAAGATACTGATGGACGTGCGCCTATTGAATGAAATATTAATAGTGCACATGCTACGTAGTCCTATGTCACCTCATTCCCATAGCCGTCCTTCATCTGTAGGTCCAGTTTGGCAATTCTGCACATATTATTGTGATCATCACCTGAAAAAATGATCTCATCACCCCAGCAGCCAAAAAAAAAAAAAAAAAAAAAATCCATGCAAAAGAAAAAGCCCTAAGTTTTATTGGATCCGAAGTCTTACTGTATGCAATTAACCAAAGACCTTTATGCTAAAGACCAACCATGCATTCATACCATTGCAAGCCATGCAAGTCCTCTACAACACCTTTTTGGGGTTCGCCATTGAATGCATAAATTCTGTCCAAATAACCAGTGCGGTTGGGCAAGGGGGGGGGATCAACCGTCACCCCACCGCGAGCGGAAAATAAAAACTGATTTAGTCCCAAAGTCCGCTCGAAAGCTTATCCCTTTCTTTAACTTCTTCGACCATGGCCAATCTTGGACACAGACGACGCTCCTCGTCCGTGGCTCCCTTGCCGGTACCACCCTCACCGCAGCATACCAATCTACCTGTTCCCCGCCATCACCGGGACTCGCAGATCAGCCTGTCATCGAGTGCTCCATCCGTTGGATCGCTACTGATGGCGGGCGTGAATTTAGACGCTCGTCGCTTATCGCAACCCAATATTAGCTTATCGCAACTTACCACAACCCTTACTATTGAATTTGACGGTGGAACGCATGTCATTGTACGCCCCAATCGAGTCATTCGAGGTTTGGTTTTTTTGATTTACTTTTTCTTTTGCTTTAGCATGAAGCGGACTCTGAAACTACCATTTTTGGTTCTCTTCAAATTTTTGATAGGCAAAGTCGTTTTGGATGCTGTGGAACCAATGAATGTGAGCAGGATCAAAATCAAGGTAAAAAACTACTTTTAATGTGGGCCATACTCGATCGACTTAAAAGACTAAACTGTGTTCAAAAGTTTCGAGCAGAAGAGACAGCAACGGTAAAAGTGGAAGAGGGCGGAGGAGAAGGCAAAGGCGAATGGATCCATCAAGTCATTACGACATTTTTCACCACAGAATTCCGACTATTTGGCGCCGAAAATTGCGGTAACTTTGGAGAGTCCATATAAATTGTCGTTTGCAGACATCAAAAAAACTAATTCTGTCCATGGTATTTTGCAGCGTACTCTCAGTGTGCATGGGAGGAGCTAGGTCCCGGTCACTACGAATTTCCATTTGCATTAAAGGTAATCAACCGTATTTTCGTCATGTTCAGGTACTTTTCAAATTCTAAGCGTTATTTATTGCACAGTTCCCGAATATAAATTATCCACCATCGATGGAAGAGCCACCGGGGTTCGGTATACGATACATCTGGACAGCTCAAGCAGAAGGTCCGGCTTTGCAGTCTGGTTTGAAGAGTAGAGAGTACATCACACCGTATCGTCCCATTATTATATCGACGACAGGTGAATGGAGATCATTGATTTCTTTGCGACAATTTTTTTCTGATCGTTACGCTGCTGTAGACAAGGAATGGAATTACAAAACCACTCTAGTTCGTGACAAGAAGCAAGCGCTTGCAGAAGTGCGATGCAAAGTGAATAAGCAATCTTATTGTCCAGGTAAATGGGCTTTCCGTTTTTGAAACCTCTTGGCTACCAAAATGCTGACATTCAAGGGAAAGATGAACCATTCAGTATGCAACTGAACATCGCCATGTTACACAGTGATGCGAAAATTTCTGGCATCAGTTTCCAGTTCCGAAAACATCATGAAGGCAAAATGCTCGTTCAACAAGGTACTGCTTTTCGCGAGTATGTTCGCAACGTGATTCAAGGTACAGTTCCCATTACTACGGGTGAATCAGGGACTATAAGCGAACCTGTGCAGTTCGATATACCAACACGGCTCGTTTCACCGTCATTCGCTTCACGCCATACCCGAATTCATTATGATGTTCATTTCAATATCACCATTGAGCTTGGTCACCTGTTCAAGACAACCCATATTGCCCAATTTGCTATTCCAGTATCCATTGCCAACCTTCCTCATGATCAATTACTGCGCATTACTGAGCTGACATCGGTGCGATCTTATCGTGATTCTCTCGAATGCCCCATATTCTTTGACTCGAATCTAGACGAACCACCTACTCCGCAGGGATTACCCAACGAGATCCTGGGTTCACTGTCAGCCGCTCTAAGGACGCCACCAAATGCTGAAGAACCTCCCAGTTATTTCAGCTTACCTTCTTTACCGCCGCAATTTGAAGGACGAAAAGAACGTACCGAACGAACCGTCTATTTAACACGTTCAGCCAAAGGCGCATTCCATGCCGCCGAACTTGGAGATACGGTCATTATACCTGGATTATTTGATGAAGACTGGTAATCGCTCATTTTTATTTCGTTCCTTTGAACAATCCAGCGCGGTCACTCTATATTCAGCAGATCGTTTGTATAAGATATTTCATAAGAATAAACTAGCCACATAAATTGCTACACCGAGTGCACAGCACCGGCTCCGTTTTGTTTTGGTTTTTTCGCTGTAAAGCAATGTGATTCTCTGTAAAGAGTCATCGTCATGATTTAAAGGGAACAAATTACAGCTTTATTGTCAATCATTAGTTTTATGTAGTAAATAAAAAGTTTGCCATACGATAATGTAGCTATTTTATGCCATCACATAGACGGATAGAGCACCCATCATTGCGAAAAGACCGGAGGAAACTGCCATCAATTTGGTACCTGCGCTGTCTACTCCGGTGCCTTTTAGTCCCGACTTGGGTTGAGATACTGCGGCCTTGCACACAAAGGAGTTTCCTTTGATGACCCCATTCTTGAGCTGATCCATGCTTTCACAGCTGAAATGATTGCTGGACGTTTGCACATTCAAACCTCCACGAACCTAATCCGCCATTATATATGAACAGGATTGGTTAAGTTAGCAAGGCAAAAGAATACCGTAATTATGGGGTGTGAAACTTACGTCGTTCAACATGGGAAGTTCAACTTCGTCAAAAGCGCCAGTAATATCCAAAGTGCCATCGATACCTTCCAAAGCAGGGAATGCATTGACGGTCGTGAGCTGAGCATTGTTGCCTACAGATAAGGCGCCTCCCAAATGTCGCAAGTTGGGTAGCGACAAGTTGTTCAGCTGTTTGTTATTGGACACGACCAGGGTTCCTGCGATATCGGTGGTCTGTGGCAGCGCCAATGTAGTGAAGCTGTTGGAGATGAAGGATACGTCGCCAATAATTTTCTTTAAACCGTCGAGTTTGACGCCGGCTAAATTCCAAAAGGAGCCTTGATTAAGTGTCTCCAAGGAAGAAACCTACGGAGAGAATCGTCAGCCAAATTGGGGTTATTTTCGCTGGGGGTGAGGGACTCAGCTTACTTACGTCAATCTTCAAGGCGGGCGAATTGGCAGACACGGTCAGTTCGCCTGTCAAGCGTGTAAGGTTGCCGAGATCCAAATTCTTTAAATAGATGTTGTTGGTGACCACGAGGTTTTTCATTTGGGACATTTTAAATCCACTGATGGCGGTCACTGTGGTGTCAGCAACAGACACTTCGTCGGTTTGTTGGAGACCGCCTGGGAAATTGAGCGAATTTAAGGCTGGATGAACCGCGAGTTGGAACGACCGGACCACCGTCAACGACTGAAGATCCAAAGCATTGAGTAGCTTGTTGTTACTCAACTTGAGAATCCCATTGACACCTTGAACCGAGGGCATGCTGAACGATTGCAGAGCATCGTTATTGGTCACGGTGAGATCACCTTCGATCATTTGCAAGCCTTCGATCTTGAGTTTTTGAGCGCCCGTATTTTCGACGATCACTGAACCTTTGTAAACCTGGCATTTTTTGAGGATATCCAAGTCTTGCTGTGACGAAGCTTTGAGATTGCCACTGCAACTCGCCCGCACCGTAGCCACCATGCTCACTATCAGCATCAAACTTTCGGTAACGCTTTTCACTTTCATCTCGTTTACAACTGTCAAACACGGAAAAAGAAACTTGCCGTGCTTTATGGTCACAAACTACTTTTATATGATCGGAAACATAATGCTATCTAACAAACAGTGGAGAACCCGCTTTTCTTTATTTATTTGTTCGTTGCCGGATGATTTGTGAACAACCTTTGTGAACGGGTGCTCAAACGAAAGAGAAGGCGTGTATGGTAGTCGGAGTTTGCCGCGCTGCCCAAAAGGTCGCCTCACAGCCGAGCCACGGTTGTTTAAACAATGACGGCCAGCAAAGCGAGATAAATGTATCACTGTAGACAAGACTCATTTTTTTTTTATTTTTTCCTCAGGTGTTCCCATGGATGCTTCAAGGAAATGGTCCGATATCACCGACCTCAATTTCCCAAATCCGCGGGGGAGCATTTCAGTAGGCAAGGGGATGTGTTTCGCGTAAGCTTTATCTAGTAAACAGGAAAACAATGGCAACAGCTGTCAAAAAATTCAATTGACTACAGTATAAAGCTTATCTTGGTAGAAAGTATTTCCCCCTTGATAAATGTGATTGTGTCCGCCCTACAGTATCTGTACGCTTTGATGAACCCTCCCTCCCCCCCAGCGCGGAAGCCGACACCATCTGCATGTTTGTTATTTTTTTCTTTTACTCTCTAATAATTGCACTCGGCAAAACATCAACGGATCATGGCAATTTGATTCCTTTTTATGTCTTGATCTCATCAAATGATCGTACATATTGCACACAAACAATGGTAAAAGGTCTCATTTTCAATTTATGGCGTGTGGTGTCCTTAGTACAGTGCTTGATGATAAAAAATAATGAAAAACCAAATAAACTTACCATTTCTGCTGCGACTAACCAAAATTACCCAGGATCATATCAAAAACACCACATGGTAACAAGATGGATCAGAATGTTCCATCGGTATCGCCAATGGGGAATCAAACAATCAGCCACAACAGGAATCGGATGTGCATTATTTTGGAGTCATTTGAAAGATTGGCAAATCATGCAGATTTGTGCACCACAGGTCTTATCAATATAACTAATGATGCACACGTTCAAGGCATTTATTGTTTTACAATCCATGCTTGGCATCTGTGAAAAAGACAACTTGACAATCATTCTGCGTATTGCTTTGCCATTAATACTTATTTACTTTGTGAGGATTTTTACACTCTTTGTTAATGAATTAATCAATGAACAGTCGTGGCTAAAAACAGAATTTATGGTCATGATGATTTTCCTTTTTATTTCCTTTCGAGTCTTGGCAGCATAGGGGGTTAGGGAACCATCCTAGCAAAAATGATGATCCAAGAAATTACACTTCAAAGCCTGATTCAAAAGCCATCCCGTCCAAAAGAAACTACAGCATGCATCCGATGGAACGAAGGATTTTTATCAAGCGAACCAACGCCATATACAAGGGGTTATTTTCATTTTTAGCTGGCGTGATGTTAGCAATCATTTAGCCCTTGCTTTTTTTTTCTGTTGGAATAATACACGTCGTTACTCAATGATCTTGTACCGGGATTATCTATTGCATAATAGACGATGATCAATATTTGATCTTTGATGAACCCACAGGTTGTCGTTCATACGAACATTTTTGCAAGCCTTTCAGGAAGAATCAGTGTCGGTGTTTTGAATTGCACGCTAATGAGGATTCACCCTAATCCAGCACCGTTAGGTCTCTCAGGATGGGAAATTAACGTCTTTTATAAACGCCAATACAAGACATCGACAGGGTGCAATTTCTGTTTTTGAACTGTCATCTACTAAATACGGTCTATAAATAATCAGTGATTGGAATAAGAAAGGGGAACTTATTTGTAAGCTGGAAATATCAAAGATAGTAAAGAACATCGGGAAAATGGAACCACATGCAGATAAACATTGCCTTTTTTGAGCGATGCATGAAAAAAGTGTCAAGTACATCCATAATCTTTAATGCTGTATGAATTAGATATTTTATTTTTTACTCGGCTGTAACGTAATTACTAGGAATAAGACCTCGTTGTCTTCTGTTCGGATCGGCGATTTCAGCTTCCCACCAACCATCCGGCTGTTTGCGGATCACCGCCAGCAGATCGTTCGCCAAAAACGACATTTCTGAAGGGATCTAAAAGAGGATAGTGAGTTGTTTTTTCCCTTACTGCCTAATGGCGCAATCTTGAATTAGTTTTGTTGATATCTTACCTTGGCTTGGAATCCCCAAATGGCACGCACTAAACAAATCGAAACAAACATAATTTAATTCAACGGATCCGTCTGAGCCTGATTTTGTTCATTACCATAGTGTAGTACAGGTACGCCGTCAGCCAGTACGTATTGATCTTGAGGAGTATAAGAGGATGCAAAATTGGGTGTGGAAGAGGTTGACGAAGTGGTGGAGGAAATGGAGGGTTGTGGCGTTCCTGAATGCTTCTCTTTATGTTTGAAGATCCCTAGTGAAAATCGACTGTTTCGCTCCCGTTGCTGTTCAGTCTCCATGACGGATAATCGAGGACGCGAAGCTCCCTTATGCATTCGTTGCTGTTGCTGTTGCTGTTGCTGTTGCTGTGGTGATGATAGTGAAGGACTGTGGTCAGCATATTCGTTCCCATTACCCATCGGCCATGCCGATATGGCGCCATTTGGTGAGAACGGATGATGCAATCCCTGTTCATAACCCTGTTGTGGCGACATGGGTTGCTGAAGTTGAGCTCTCACATTGGCCATGATATTGTGAGCCTTCAAGGGCGTGCCATTAGTAGGAGGAACAGCATCCGGCGGAACGTGAGCAATAAACTGATTTGGTGATCCCATTTGTGGACTGTAGATATGAGCATTCTGTGCCAGCACAGGCAACTGTTGAGGACTTCGTCTCGTTGATACTTTCCATTTTTCTTCTTTGGGTGGTGGAGGAGGTACTTGCTCATCATCAGAATCGTGACCTTTAACGTTGGAATCCGTCGTCACGGCTGCCATGGCCGAAGCTAATGGTTGCTGGTGATCATGAGAAGGTGAAGACTTGGGGACCGGTTGCGGCGATGGCTGGACGGCCGGTTGAGTCACCGTTGAAGAGAATGGTGAAGCAAGTGGTCCATTCGTTGAACCGGATTGCTTGGGCACCGGCGAGCGCCTTACTGCAGGAATATAGGCTGGATTGGGAACCGGTTTGTATTTGCTATTATCTTTTAATGAGCTGTTGCTCCTTGACTTTTCCAATTGGCTCATAAAATGATCGGTGCAAGAAAGAAAGAGGAAGAAGAAGCGTTAAATCTCGATTGAACCATCCAATCCCCTCAAATTGGAATTCTAGCCAATGTCACGAAAAAAAAAAAAAAAAAAGCGGTGAATCTGTGAAATTCCTGGTGTGACCGAAACAAGGCCCGTCAGCTGTCTGGGAAAGGATGCAGAAACTTACCAACCTCTATTGAATTGTTTTTCCTTTTCACATTTTAAGCCTGAACTATTTTTATCTTTGTTTCATTACGCGATGTTTTTTATCCCAGCCAACTGAACAATCAAATAAAAGCCGTAAGCTTACAAGCAGACAAGACATAAAGGCATTTTATTTGGATGTGATATGAATGTGATTTTTTGATCGCAGGGGAAAAAAATAGGAGATCAATATGTGTTTAGAAAAAGGTGTCAGACTCAATTCATTTGAATATCTTCGTTCTAACACAATGATGAGTATTTTTGAAGACGAGAAACATCCGACGGATCAATTATGGGATACTCACAGCGGTGTTCATATAGCTATCCATTTCGGCATCAAGATCAGCCTCAGAGGGCTTTGGTCGGTTTTCACGACGTTGACGAGGACCACCACGCATACCTCGTCGACGATCATTGACATTGCTGCCACGCATAGGTCGCCGTTCTCTTACAGGAGCAACAACAGTGGCGGGAACAGCATTACCAACGCTGATACGCATAGGTCGACCTATATTCAGTTCAACAAATCAGTCACCGCTATGTCAAGGATAACGAGTTATGGCTTTTTTTCAGTCGCCTGTGCTTACCATCAAGTTCGACATTATTGTATGTTGTGCGGGCTCTATCAGCATCATTTGAACGGACAAAGATAACATCGGCAACACCAGAAGATTTGCCAGAGGGTGCGAGGTGAAGGAAGGCTCGCTTCAATGGTCCAATTTGGCCAAAAAGGTCCTAAAAAAAAAGGTCATGATGATCAATCGTCTATTCAGGAGATTCGGCCATGTATCAAAAAGGGAAAAAAATTTGCTCCTTACATAGAGATCTTTTTCTGTGACGTTGTAATGCAAGTTTGAGACCACGAGCGTATTTCGGGAACCTTGTGGGGCGATCTGTGATTGGACTGTACGGCGAGCAGGTCTTCCGCTGTAAGGCTGTTGGCCACAAAAGGGTGGGAAAAAGGAACAAACAAGTGGAACTTTTTCAGTGATACGTTCATCAACGGGTGATCCACACACAAAATGGAAACGCAAAACAAAAAAGGGAGGGCAAAAAGCGAAAAAAAAGAAGAAAAAAAAACCAATAAAAAAAAGGGCATAAAAACAAACACGCTTTGAGCTGAACATCCAGTACGGCCAACGGAGAGAAGCAGTTTTCTTTTCCTCCAAACTGATCAAAATCAAGTCTTTTTTTTCCGTCCTCGCGAAAAGTCATATCATCATCATCATCATCATCATCATTCGACCATGAAGTCATCCAGAGGCCAGGATATTTTTTTTGGCGCTGTCATTTGCGTCGCTCGTACTTGTTTCTCCTTCCCAAATTTCGTGCGTGTGTGTGTGTGTGTGTGTGTGTGTGTGTGTATGGGAGTGTGCACAATGGCGGTGTAGAATAGAGTTTTTTTAACATACCAAAGAGGAGTTGTTTCTGCCGAATGATCGAGCACCGGTTTGTCTTTTGTTGATTCCACCACGCTGGGTTTTGCCACGACCGGAAGACTTCTTCTCCGTAATGATGTCGTCAAGCGCCATATCAAGGAATCCTGCAGTAGCCATTTTTGAACAGATTTTTTGGTGATGAGTTGGTAAAGTAAAAATAGGGAAAGTCGAACAAAGGAAAAAAGTTGGGTTGTTTGGTTGGAGTTGAAACAAGAGAAAAGAAAAATGGAAGCGAAAAAAGAGAAAAAAAACCGAACCACCCCAACGTAAACCGCTTTGGTGATGTCAGCAATTTTTGAATCTCCGAATAACGTTAATGACGTAATTTTTATTTCAAAATTCACTTCACCAACGAAATAAGTTACGCCTAGAATAACATATGGGCTAGTTCACCTAGTCTCATCAGGAAAGTCACATTATAACAGTGAATGTCTTTACTGAATTTAGAGCTGGTATTTGAAGTACGGAAGAACTTTACTTGATACAGAGATGAGAAGGAACAAAAGACAAACTTCTTGCGGACATTCAAAAACATGTGGACACCCGGCTCAATTAGAAGGAAGCTGGAAAACCATGGAAATGGTAGCAGGTACACAAAAAAGTTTTACTCTAATGGTGTGAGTACAACAAATAATAAGAAAGCATGCAAAAGGGGTACGATCACATAAAAAGTAAAAAAAAAAAAAAAAAAATGGATATCAATCGTATGCATCCTCTTTACAAAATACCACAGTCCTACTCACCGTGTATTCCCTTGGAAGATTAGGAACATTTTGGCTATGAGCTATGTAAAACAAATCTGGGATCTTGGGCGCTCAGTGTACCCTTATTTTTTCTTGCATGCATTGATTATTATCGGTACAGCGCCGTCAGGATTGTAAACGGCCGCCATCATAGAGGATCTTCCTCTCAGGGAGTGTAAGAAAATTTAAAATTTGCAAACCGTCTTAAATTTGGTATGCAGTAACCACTCCATCCGATGATTTGATTTGAACGGTGTTACCACGCCAAAGAACAACCTATGACTAGCACTCTAGACAATAATTCCATTGCATAATAAAAGGTCCAACACCACTTTCGCTGTCCACAATGCATTATGAATACAGGGCAAATGTGGTGCGATCCCATCCTTTTATCGTTGACTCACGGCATGCCACCCAATGTTGCGAGCAAAAATCGATCAATGAGATTTATGGTCTCCAAAAACCGATACGTACAAGCTGTAATAAGGTTGATCTTTTTGGATCAAAAGTTTGTTCTCGTCACATTGTTATATGTGGCAATTTATATATGACTATGGATAACGACAGGGTAATCCTATTTCTTAAGATTTGGGTGGCTGAAAAATGAAAGGTTTTCTGATTTCATGGTATTGTATTCTAAAACTCTTGAAATGAATGTCAATAGTCTAATAATGGGGAATAAACATAAGATATATCTAGTATGTGTGCGGCAAAGTACGGATGAAAAAAAAGGAAAGACTGTGATAAGGGAATGAATTGAGTAGTGAGTGAAAAAAAATAGGACTAAGTAGTGTCGTCGTCTTCTTGTGCATCATCGATGAACAATTTCTTTTCCATATATTCCGATATCTTCAGCTCGATGGGTGGGCGTGTTGGAAGCGATCGTCTAGCCATATCAACGTCCTGGCGCAGTTCACGAATGACGCAATCGCAAAAAATGGTCACTGCTTTCAATAACTGCCATAACATGATGAGATTGACATTCAGCATGAAATCACGCCAAATCCATAGAATGTGTTTTTACCTGATGAAGTCCTTTATCGGTTTTACGAGCTACTTCTGCTGGATCAAATGGGTCAAAGACGAGTTCGAACCTAAATTTGCAAGCTCTATGTGTACGGTTTTCACTTTAATTCACAAGCTAAGCGGCTTCCTCTTGGAACCTTACGCGGCAAAGAATCGTAAGTTTTCGATCGCTCGATAAGTCCGGCGTGTATCTTGATGGATCTTGCTGATAAAACCAAACGGGCGTCGAGATCGTTTGACAATATTGTTATATACATTACACAGTATAATGCCGTCCCTGCAAGTACGAAAACAAATGAGACTGGATTCATTCGGCCAGGATACATCTTGCCGATACCTACGCAAGAAATTGCAAGAAATCATCCTCATTTTCCTCCGGTGACGGAATATCAACTTGCGCATTTGCGGAGCCATCGGAATCGATCCGTCTGTAATCACTCAATAATGCATGATACCGAGCTAATTATCCATTTGTCAGTCAGATCACTCAATGATCACCACCTTCACCGACTGAATGACATGGAGCTCGGTTCCTGAATCCTACCTAAATCATTATCAAGAAAAGCACCCCTTTCAAGCCAAACCGGGATGGCAGAGTGTTGTGGTGTGTGTACTCCTTCGTTTGTAGGCGTCGATGTTCCGGTGATCGACGTTCTGGCCATCAATGCTTTGATTTCGGGAGTGAAGACGGCCGGAGGACTTCCGATGTGATGCGGCGGATTGAATGCACATTGCTCCACAATACATAAATAATCAAGAATGGCTTGGCGTTCCTTTTCCAGCATATTGAAATCGGATGTGCGATAGATATATCCGTCTTCACTTCGAGCATCGTCATCCTCATCGACACGGTGTTGATTCTCCAGTATCTTCATCGCTTCCAAAAGATGAAGTGCTGACTGACGAAGCTTCGATAGCGATGTATCCGGAAGATCATGTCGATGCAGAGTATAATTCTTGACAGAATTCAGCATTTTCGTGACGGAATGCAACAGCGGTAGAATCTGAAACACTCCACTTTCCGAATCTGAATCCGATTCAGTGGCGGATGAAGCATGGCCAGGGCCGGTTACCATGGCCCAAGTGGCCAGTGTGCTTTGAATATCTTGGAAACAATAACCCAGCAATACATCCAGATCCGTTTCGACATCCAAATCAATCCAAGTTGGTGGCGGTGCTTTGGGCGTAGGTAGTTGATCCAGGTCATCTGGTTCCTCCGTAAGAGCCGTGGCGCTAAAACCGAGTGTGCCTACTCTTATTTTTTTTTTGGATGAAAACAGGTTTAATATATAAGAGAGAAAATTTTTGCATACGCGGACGCTTACTTGTTTGTTTTCAATTCCTTTTTAGCGTAAAAGTGCTGCAAGCGTTCAATCGAACCCAAGGTCAACACGGAAGATCGCCGTTGTGCTAAAAAGAAAAGAACAGAGGCGATTCAAAAGTCAACGCATTGCACATTGGCCGGATCGATGGCTGGCTCAAGTGACGAACCTGATCGTGCAAACCCTTTGGTTTGAATCCCGTTGATTGGTTTCAAATATCGGCGTCCAAAAGGACTGGCTGCGCGGACAATTGTATCTGGAGAAGGAGAAGATACACGAGGAGGAATATGAGTCGGGCCTTCTTCAACATGAGACACAGTGGTAAAAGAGTCTAAAGCCTCAGCTGGATGGGGCGCAGGATCCAGAGGATGCTGCAACATGAGTCAGTGGCAGATTGTGAAAAGAAAGGAGAAAAAAGAAAGAAAGAAAGAAAGACAAGGCACACCTGCGTATGAGAAGAAGAAAAAAAAGAGGGAAAGAATAAATAAGGAAGGTGGAAAAAAGAAAAAAGTAGTGTGAGCTGCAAAGAATTGAATGGAACTCTCTTTTTGGCTGTTACACTTGCTCATCCATACGGAGCATGCACTGAAGCCAAAATAGCCACCTCGTGTGCCCAGTGGCACTTTGCGCGTTATGACAAACCAAAATGCCACCGCCATACAAACTATGTAGTACAAAATCTTGGTGCCACTCGGGTCATTTACAGGCGTGGAAGCCGTTTCGTGATCGACATGCATGTTGCTTCGTTGTTTTCCCTCAGGGCGTCCATCCTTTTTTTTTCTTTTTTCATTCGCATGTGATGAATATCTGTCCGCCAGTTTACAGGAAATGATGAATGCAATGTTTGTTCTTTATTACTATCTACAGCTGTAATGTTAAAAAAAATTCTATGGTTATTGTCCAGTGTATTTGTGGTCTTCCTTCCAGTTGGTGTAGAATGTTTTGAAAAGTGTCTTGCCAGGTGCGTTCAAGCACGTCATGATCAACGTGCGGTCATTTTCGTTGCACATATCCATAATATCATACAATCCGGAAACCAGCGCGGCTTTGATTTCAGGACGACTGATACTCATGGTCACATTGGTCTGAATTGTGAAATATTCCAGAAGCAGGTATGGCATGTGTTTGGATAAAGACCGATAGATTGTCTGCGTATTGCTCTTGGTCGTTTTATCGGATTTACGTGGTATTGTCTTGAGCGTACGTGAATAGATGTGTGCCGATGATTCATCCAGAGGCGCGTATTCGAAAAGAAGTGGAATGACTCGTGCGTGACGCATGGATTCTTGAGTATCACCAGACTTCTTCTTGGACTTATTGCTGACAAGCGCCATATGTGTGGATTTGAAACAATGGAGTAAAGATTGTAAAAGTGCCATGTACGGTGTCATGTTGTTGATAAGCTGATCGCGGTGAAAGACAGCAAGACTCATCAGACTGGAGCACACCTTGTTGAATAACTCATGCGCTATAGTACGAGTCATCTGCGATCGGAAACGGTCCAAAGCCGATTCGCTGCCAATCTGCACAAGACAAGCAAGCACCAACGATAAATCATAGCGTGAAAATTCGAGGGACTACACCATCAAGTGATAAATGAATAATTTGTTAAGCTGTGGTTTTTGTCAAAAAGACGTGTGCGTTTCATTCTTACCGGATCACTCGCCATGCAGTTTAACAAGTCCATGATTCGACAGAAAAGATCAAGAGAGGTTGTGGTTTCCGCCAGTTTCATCAAAGATAAACCGATTCGACTTGTTAATTTGCGCAACTGGAACTTTTGGCCTGAAGACAAAAAAAAAGATTCATTATCAGACATGATCCAAGACCAATTCTTGTTTGCGCTACTCACTTGATGTGCTCTTTTTGATCAGGGATACCAATAGTGATATGCAAATCTTACGATGACCTTCCCGTTCAACATCCAGTCGACGTTCAGTCTCTTCTTCAATTTGCTCAAGGAAGCTCTGTACCAGAACTTCGAATTGATGTTTCGGCAACGATTCAAACCATGAGGTGAATGTATCATCAAGAGCTTGCACCGCAACACGATTTCCTAAAATGTCCTCCGTTAGTCATTCTGTGATGCCGCAGATTGCAGGATGACAGCCTACCTGATTCCGCAATGAGACCATAGACAAACCAGATAGTAGCCAGAATTCGTTTGGTTGCATCAATTTCTTGATATCGCGACAAGGTGACACATAAAGCTCCCACAAAAGCAATGGTAGACTCGGCCAGTGCGTTGGTGAACAGTACATCGTCAGATATGCGAGCCAGATAGGCCTGCAAAAATTGCATAAAAGGCGACGCTACTGCGATCAAGCTGTCGGACAGTTCTTTTGCTTGTACAACTATGGAATACAACCTTGGTTCATAAACAACCCTCTTGAGGATCCAGTCGTACCTATTTCTCTCTTTACCTTGGTCACCATGAGGTATAAGAATCTGCGCATATTCCTGCAGCCATCGGGTAGCTTCCAAAACTGGTCTAAACAGAGCAACATTCAAGGCACAGCGCATGACGTCCTCATTTTGTGCGCCCTCGCCGCTTTCCGTGACCTTTTGCGCCAGCATCACTATCACGGATGTGAATTCTTGCAACGATTCATTCACGTAGCCAGCTATATAGCTCATGAAATCAGATGCATAGATGGCATGAGTCAAATCAATCGTCTCTTGACTGAGAACATAAAAAATAAAAATGTGAGTGGTGAACCGTGGTGCCTGAATTATTTGGCTAACTTACCGTTTGACATGAACTTTGAGATTGTTATTTAACACTTCCAGTGCGTTTAAGATGGAATCAAAGTTGATCATCTCAAAGACCACCTTGCTATCGCGAAGCGATTGCATGCGTTGATTGAGGGTATCCTTGAATAAGACAATATGGTTTTCGTCTTTTACTTTTGCACTCGCCATTGTGCACAGGATGCTGCAAAAGGGATGAGAGGTAGATCCCTTCAATGCTACGATTATTTAAGTCCTTACCTTAGGTTCTGCTGATCCAAATTTTTACTGACTGATTTCCACGAATGCAAAAGTTCCGAATCCAGTTCCTGATTGAGAGATCGCTGTAGGCAATCGTAGGATCGCACAAACCAGTTGACGAATTTCGGACGTTGATTCTAATGTGATACATTCATTTTGAGTGAGTAGGCAGTGCAAGGGACTGACTCATCACCCAATGGATAAAACATACCAAAAAGCCAAGTGTGTGAGTAAACTGAGTAATACGTGCATTCAGTGCTCGGCAAATGGACGATGTCTTCAATTTGCAGTTTAAATCCGCCCCGCCAAGAGAAAAGGTCCACACATCCACCAAGCAAACCAGGACTAAAATGTTTTGACGTTCTTGGCGACTGTAGTAGTCCATGGGCATCAACAGGAGCAAGTTGATTAAGGTCGCTACTTTGTCCAACTTTGTGGTCTCCTCCTGCTTGATATCTTCATTCATTTGCGTAAATGTTTCATCCATGACACTTTCGATCTCGGCCATGATGTCGGACGATAACACCACAGGCTTGGACGATGAAATGTGCGAGATAAAACTGATCAGCACTGTGCTGTGTGTTTCTTTTGATGATAATGTACGAAAGTGATCGGCAATTGCTTGAACAATAATACTGACAGCGCATTCTAGCAAACGCAAAATTCATTAGGTAACGCAAACGCGCATCAGAGTTTCACACTCCTTCCGATGGTTACCTTTGAAGCAGCGCGCTTCATAGAAATTGGCGGAACGAAGCAATGTTTTGCTGAGTGACTGAAGCGATACTGTGTTCACGCCATTGATAACCGACGATGGACTTTCGCTTGTGGAAAGAAAGAGCACCGTCGCCAATTTTTCCGCGCGTGAAGAATCGATAAATCGACTAGACATTTGTTTAATATAACTCGTTACATCCAATTGTAATGCTCAATACATACCAAATTACGTCGAACCAATTTGTCAACAAAATCTGATAACATGCAATGTTGACCATTTCCTTGCTTTGGAGATTGAGTAGACGACCATCCCATACAACTGCTTGGTCCGCGGAAGACGGGTATTTGTTATCAATGACAGCACCCAATACCATGCCGACAGTGTCTTTCCAAATGTCCGTGGATTGGTCAGAAGAGGGTGCTTCTATATTGGCTAGCAGACATGTGTAGTAAACATGTTGAAGTAAAGCATTGGCCTGATAATTATTCCATGAGTCTATCATCTGTTCCTCTTTTAGCGCTTTATCCGTTACTTACAGAGATAACCACGGCAATACGAGAGCTTAAGGATTCACAAGACAAATGTTGGGTAAAAATCGTCTCAATCGACTTTGAAATCGCCTGTCGTGTGGTGACATCCATCCGTTGCCAGTAAACTCGAAACAATGCATTGGTGAGTGTGAAATGAATTTGCAGCGCCGGTAATACAGCGTCATCCAAATTTTGGTTTTCTTGCTGCAAACTGGCTTGAATATATTCGCTAAACAGGTTGGCAATGGCCGGTTGTAGGGCATCTTCTTGAGAGTGAGTCAGATGCAATGCGGAAATAAACTCAGCCATGTAGGTCGAGATCAAACGAGCCGAGCTGTGTTTACGTGGCGTCGACTTCTTGGCGTGTTTTCGCTTTTTGGTAGCAGGAGCATCGCTGGCTGTATCCTTCGCAGTGCGAAGTTCGTCTGCAAATCGCTGAAAGATAATCGAAGCTTGAGCTGCTGGCATTTGCTTTGAAACACAAGTGGAGAATCTGTAAATAAACATGATCAATTAACATATCCCTTATCATCCCACGTGGTTTCGCTGAATTTACTCTTTCAAGAATTCCCGAGAGAAAAGAGGTTTCGACAGTGTCGCATTGATGTCGTCCACAGTGACGGTGTCAATTGCGGTCAGGATATCGCGGACGAAATCATCCAATTGTCTTGAAGCTGAATAGGTACGTAAAATCGAAAATGCTAATCGCAAACAGCTTGCTTCAGCGTTCTTGTCGGCCGTCAACATGATCGGCCACAAAGTATACATGTGTGATTCAACGAACGCAAAGTCAATTTGCAAAACCGTATTTGCAAGATTGAATACGAGTGCTTGAGCGTATTTTTGGCTGTCTTGTAAATATTTGACAATGTCGGTGGCAATGGATTGAAGCACTTGTTGCTGAGTTTTCGAAATGGTATCATTGCGAGTGCTGTATACATTGAAATCCACTAGGCATTTTAACATGTCGTCGTAGGATGATAAATTGACCGAAGGATCGGTGCATTTAACTGTTGAAGCGATGTGATAAGCTTCGCTGAAGAATCCAAATTCCACTTGCCGACTCTGATCTTGCAATGCGGCAGTGTTAACTGATCTCTTCTTGCGATACGACGATAAAAAGGATCTCAGCAGTACAGGAAGTACGTACAACACTAATCATGGAGAAGAATCCATTCAGTTTTTATCACAAGTGCCTATTGCCTGTATCGCAGATCACGCCACCTACCGTTCAGTTTCTGATCTTCGTCTTTGGTTGACTGAACCATTGCCGTGAGTTCCTCAAATAAGTTGACAACATAGCTCGTTTGCTTGACCGATTTTTGGATACCACCGGCCGCCGCACCCTTCAAGATTGGGATATACTCAAGAACCATATCACGATGGAACAACGCATGCGATAGAATGTCGGCAATTTGTCGGGTCACGGCCTGAAATTTTGCATCGTCCTCGATTTGAAGATGGCGGAAAATGAACAAATACTTGGAGAAAGATTTGCCGAGAATCGCAGTAAACATCTATCCAACCCACAAGTCAGTTTCCAATTGTTAGCACTCTATACTGTCGGTCGAGATCCACTGACCTTTTTCTGATTAGCTGCCTGCACCAACTGGAGATCGTAGCGATGCAAAAGAATCAGTGCAATATCAATCATGTCGTCCAGTGCCTGACGTTCTATCGCATTATCTGCTTCATATTGTTCGATTTGCGTGCAAAGAGCGTCCAGTAAATGTTCTACCGCGATACTCATATGCTCGGACGCTGCGCGGTAAGACAGGGCAAATGCGTCTGAAAAGAGATCCTCGAGACAGGCGTGTACAGTCTGCAAAAATTCGCTCCGTTGTTGTACATTTCCTTGAGTGATTGTTTGTAAATGTTGGAACAAGGTGGCAATAGCAACGATAAGGTGAACACGAACAACAGGTGGAGCCACTTTTAGCTTCGATTCAGCTTTGTTTCGATAATGGCGAAGAAGAATTTGCAAAAGACGCCAATAAGGAAGTTGCAATAAAGCAGCCTCTAAAACCCTAATGTTTCCGAGATTAGGTACTTTTGAACGATCAAGTTTGCAGCTGATAGTTTGCTAACCGTTTCTGATTGTATTTCGTCAACGAGGTACATAACCATTCGAACAAAAAGTCATCTTTATTTGGGAAAAAGATGGTTTCATTCTGCCATGCTTCGGTAGCTGTAACGATCCGTTGTTCCGTAGTTAAACCGGACCCTTTCAGCGCTTTGGCGATTTGTTCAGACGTGAGATCGCTCATAACACGTCAATACAGCACACTCGATTCCAGCAGAAGCAGAAAACAAAAAAAAAGATCGAATTGCTGTTTTTGGAGATTTCATGGAACAGTCACAACCGCCCGACCGAAGGAAGCGAGCCAAAAAAAGGCTCCCACTTGAATTCCCGCTTTCTTTTCAAGCACACGCAACTTGTTTTTGCGCCATGACTTATCAAGTTCCTGTCAAACGCATTGTCACCAAAGAGCACTTGGATGAATTCCTCAATTCTTCCTCCTACTCAGAGTTCATGGATTATATTGTGCGACTCAATGATTCGGTGAAGAACCTGAAGATTGATTGCGATCTTGACATTTCAAAGGTAATACCTCTCTTCTCGATAGCTTGTTGCTTGATAATACTCACATACTCGTAATGGGTATTTGTGTTGACAACGATTGACACAGAATGTACAAATTATTCTTGACATGCTGGATACTTTATCGCAGTGGGTGGTGGAAATTCCTCCTGCAGAAAACTCAAAATCCCGCTTTGGCAACCCTTCATTCCAGGTGTTTTACGATAAAGTGAAGGAGGTACGTTCATCATTGAGAATCGCAACAGGCATAAACGTGCGTTGAGATTTGGGTTATGCTGAAATGTTTCAATACTTAGAATTCACATGAATTGATGTGCCGTTTAGTGCCTGAAGCTGCGGCAGAAGAAGTCGGTCGTTATTTTGTTGAAAGTTTCGGCAACCGACGACGCATTGATTACGGTACTGGTCACGAAGCGAATTTTATGGCGTGGCTGTAAGTGTTAAAAAATTGACGTGCGTGTTTGGGTCACAGTGCTGACGCTTTGCTTCATAGTTTATGTCTGGAGAAACTGGGAGCACTTACCGCAGATGACGATAAAGCAGTGGTGTTGCGGGTATTTGTCAAGTAAGTCAATTTCATATTTACTGGACGCTAAAATTACGCTGAAAAATGCTGAACCACTGGGTTGCTTAGATATATAGCATTGATGCGGAAACTACAGTTTGACTATTGGCTGGAACCTGCTGGTTCCCATGGTGTATGGGGATTGGACGATTATCACTTTTTACCCTTCATGTTCGGATCCGCACAACTCTTGGGTAGGTTATACTTCACGGATACAACGCTTTTGACCTGAACAACACTTAATAACCAGCAATTTTTCTGTAACAGATCACAAATATATCAAGCCCAAGTCTATCCACGATCTAGAGATTGTGGAAGAATTTTCAAAATCGTACATGTATTTGGCTTGCATTCATTTCATCAACACCGTCAAGACCACGGCATCATTGCGATGGCATTCCCCAATGCTTGACGATATATCAGCTTGCAAACTGTGGAGCAAAGTGAATCAAGGCATGATTAAGATGTACAAAGCGGAAGTGATGGGCAAACTGCCGATCATGCAACACTTTATGTTTGGAAGCCTTATTCGGTTTGACGGTGGATTAGCGGATGCGGAGACTTTGCAGGATAGCTGTGGCCATGTCCACGGACATGGCAATGGTGACACGGTGCAAGCTCATGGAAGTCAAGATGTATTTGCTTTGGGACAAGAATATCCCGATTGCTGTGGGATTCCTGTCCCCAGTGCGATCGCCGCGGCCGCCGCCCAAAAGAGTCGAGCACCTAGACCCATTCCCTTTGATTAATGTTTAACGCTTCATGTATCATAAATAAACTACGCATAGAACAAATACACAAGGAAAGAAATCGAGTCATGGCTTGAATAGGGGCCTCACATAGTGACAGCAAATGTAGATGATGCACAGGGGATTACCGTTTTCGCTCGTGTTCGGACAATCCTCGCTTTTTGCGTGCAAACCGAGTGAAAACATCCCAAAAAAAGGAGAAGAGCAATTACGCTTCAAACGGCGATTCCATCTTTGATTAATGTTGTATCACTGTTTAGCGACGATGTAAGCATGAGTACAACAATCGGAACACCAAAACCATGGTTGCACTGGCAAGGATTCAATTTATATGCTTTGATGCTCAGAAGTTCGTTTTGGATCGTAAAACGGTTTCCGCGTCTCGAATGCTGTATTCTATTTCTGGGAGCCTATTGGAAGAACAAGTTGGATGTCCTCATATCAGCTATTGCAATATTGTAAGGGATCAAGTGTGAATCATTCGGTCAGCAGAGTCGATAAGTTGCTTAAGGCAACCAAAATTATGAATCTATCATTCATTTGCCCGCAAATTGTTTATCTGTTCCTTCTACTTCCTCATCCCGCAAGCTTTTTGGGTCGACTTTCAGTCAGCAATACGATTCTCGCGTGATTTGGACATTTCAACTATTAGCTCAATTAATATTTTTCGTGCACTTTTTCAATTGCTTGAAACATGGGCAACAGAAATCGTTTTCCAATGGACATCGTTCAGCAAGAGCAACTGGTCTTTTTGCTACCGATAATAAATGGATGATGCTGAACTTATAATAAAGCATTCATGTTCATTTCAAAGCCAACAAAAATTCAGGGGGACCAATTTGATGTGACTTGTCGTTATCTATTTCCGATTTTGATAAAAAAAAAAAAGAGACTGGGCAAGATAATAACGCAGGCGACGGTTACTTGATGATTCTAGGGATCGGCATTGACCTTGTACATGTGCCTCGAATTGCCTCGCTCATTGCAAGACGAGGATTTGAGGGTCTTGCTCGGCGGGTACTGAGTGACGAAGAAATGAGCGTATATAGAAAGCAGTTTATTATTGATGGCAGCAAAGTCAGCATGGACAAACAAAATGCGCTACATCAAAAGCAGATCATGTTTCTCGCTTCACGGTAATCACTTGAAACGTTTACCTAACAAAGTATGAAGCGACTAAAATAAAAACGGGGCATGTAGATGGTCAATGAAAGAAGCTGTTTATAAGGCTCTTTACCCGGTTCACAAGCTGGAATGGAAGCAGGTCACGATCAGAAAAGAGCAAGGTAATGTTCAGTGCATGTTGCATAAAAAGTGTGGGCATCCACGCATTGACTGAATAAGAAACTGGTTTGGTTTTCTTCTTCAGGTAAACCCACGCTTCACGTGATGCATGGCGAAAAGTTTGGCATCCGACGGTCGCACGTTTCTTTATCGCATGATGGAGAGTATATCGTGGCTCAAGTGATTCTGGAAAGCTGAAAAAAAATTTGAAGAACCGAACAAAACCAAGATGGGTGCAAACCTATTAATAGTCAAAGCAATGCGGCTTTCCCGTATCCTTTTTTTTTCCTCTCTCCCTTTCTGTACTTGTATCTTTCAGAAGCCCCCAACTCCTTTCTCCCCGTCACTTTTTCCCCCTCCTCTTTTAGTCCCTCTTATCCTCTTTCTGCTGGGCTCTCTCACTGATATACTCTATCTACATCGTTATCTTCATACTTCCAAATCCGCTATTGCTCTGTGAGTCCTTGACACACGACAATAAAAAAAAAGAAAAGGATAGAAAAGACACTTACACACACACCACCACCACTACCACCACCACCACACCAGGAGCGAGCGAGCGAGAGAAAGAGGAACCATACCCAACATTGAGTGATCTACCCCATCCTAGTTTTTCACTCTCTCCAATGAACAATAGTGACACCTCCATCATAAAACCACCTTCAACATGCTTCAGATGTCACGCAGCATTAGGCACTCAAGTAGTACGAGCCCTACAGGGAACTTTTCATCCTGAATGCTTCACCTGCCCTGTAAGTTCCTCTTCATTCTACCTCCATCAACCACTTTAAAAAACGGCGGAAACCAAAAAAAAAAAAAAAAAAAAAAGAAAACCAGAGGAAAAATGAGGGTGCGTGTACAATACGGGACCATTGACCATGAACGCCGCTTATAGGATTGCAACACGCCTGTGGCAGCCAAATTTTTTCCTTTCACAACCGACGATGGACACACATTTCCATTATGCGAGCGCGATTATTTTCGACGTCTCGGACTTGTCTGCAATCATTGTGACGAACCGTTGCTTGGATCTTATATTATCGCTCTCGACAAGAAATTCCATACCGACCATTTCACATGCAGTGTTTGTTCCACCACGTTTGGCCACGACGATTCTTACTACGAACAGAATGGACAAATCTTTTGTCACTTTCACTATTCGACTCAATTCGCTGTTTCATGCGCCGGATGTCAGATGGCCATTCTTAAACAATATGTGGAGATTGAACGGAGTGACATGATTGAACATTGGCATTCCGAATGTTACATGATTTACAAGGTTCGCTCAACCCATGCGCGATGCACACCGCCAACGATGGACAACAAGTATTTTATTGATGTTAACATTTGGATCGAATACTAGTACTGGAATGTCAAGATGGCCAACTTCTCGTCATCTGCTTTGACGGATAAGCAACACGGTACCTGAAAAAAAAAAAAAAAAATTCACCACATTTTCTAAATATGGTCTATCCTTTTTTTGTACAGATCCAACTCCGAACCCAGCAGAATTAATTGAAAAACAGCACGAGACGGAAGAGAAAGTGTTCCGCATTTGGTCGGTCTTATCGGCTTTTGAAGGCAAGCGTTCGTCGTCATGGTTTCCTGTTATAGGCGGTAGTCTTGCTTTTATTGACATTGATGGATATTTACAGAATCTTCGGCCGTATGTATTTCTGAAATGTTACTCCATGTGTCCAATGGAGCCTATGTGGAAGGTATTTGTCTTTCCGAACGCTTCCTCATCCACGTGGAAGCCTTGTTTTCTGGCGTCGATGAATTGCTGGCTATTCATCAACAATACCGACAACCCGGTGAGTACAATAAAATAAAACTAAAAAAAGGGGGGAACAGTATAATCCACATACTCATCATGATCATTATAATCCTTCACGCCTTTTCATTGCAGAGTTCAAATATACGGGCGAAGCCAAAATGCTGTGTCAAAAGATCATCAACTTCTTCTCTTTACTATCTCGCACACAAGAAATGGACAAGAAGAAACTGGGAATTACTCAGGAGTTACTATCGTTGGTCACCGGTCTCGCCCATTTCCTAAAGAATCTCATTCGGGTCGCATTAACTGCAGCTTTGCGGTTGGTATGTATAACAGAGAATCCAAAACGGATCACTCCCAGACAGAAGAAAGCTCAATAGGAGAAAAAAAATGATTGCTAGGAACTTCAAATTGGCACGCCTATTGCGGTCACTCGTCTTTTAGCGAAACTGATGGAAGTGGCGGGGAAGGAACGACACAGTCGAGACAGTCAGCGATTATTCAAGGCGAAACAAGCTTCCGATTACTGTCACTTTTGTAAAAGTACAATTGAAGATCACTGTTGGAAATACGGCAACTATCGATGGCATCTGAAATGTTTTCACTGTCGCCAATGTAAACGAAAGTTACATGCTGATAACCAAGAGGATGCTGTTTTCAGTTCCGCAGCGCTTTCCGTGCTGTGCACTCAATGCGCTGGTGTGGATGGGACGCGTTTCGAGTATGTTACCAAGTTGACTCAGTTTGCATTTTTGCTACGCATTGCATTAAGTCGACTTTGTGGCATATTGCAGGTCACAGGTAAGCGCGGCAGGGCATCCTATGGGAACCCAAATTTAGCCTTTTTGTTTGTTTATTTACTCTCTTATTATTTTATCGTCGCTGGTGGCGATTGTCTACAGATAATCAGTTGTCTACTGTGGATATCTCCATCAAATCCAAGCCGTATTTACCGAAAGACGTGCCTTTAACGCCTGGCGTCGAAAGCAAATCGGTGCTTTCATCGGTTCTCGATGAAAAAACGATCCATTACCCAACACACATTGCTGATGCACAAAGCGTTTCTTCCGCCAGACTTGACCGCAAAATATCACGTTCCTTCAAAACGGCGAAACGATCGACGATTATGGGCAATGCACAGATGAACCCATTAACAGAGGAACCAGGCGATACAACAGCGACAGCAACAGCAACTACAACAGCTGCAGCAAAAGAACCATCCAAGCCTGCGCCGGCGCGGTTAGATAGTTTGTTGCGCCGTATGGATCAGCACAAGGAATTACCACCGTTACCGAAAAACAAAAATAATACGAGACATAAGGCTACCCGCAGTGTTAATTTAGATGACATTCCTCACATGGCTGCCGAAGCCGTGTCGCATCAGAAGCCCTATCATCCGCCATCGGTTCAGCCCACCATGCTCAGCGATACCGCGGGATCCGGTTCAGCTTCGTCTCGCATTTATCTATCGGAATTATCCGCTTTACAGCATATGATAATACGTCATGTGGCCGTGGTTCATATTGAACCGTACGTTCGAGAGTTCTTCTCCTTTAGCGAACTGTTGAATCTTATTGAACACAAGAAGACGTCCATTTGGGGCAAGTTCTTCACCTCGCTCAAAAAACCTGGTGTGAACAAACGAAACCAAAAAGGGAAAGAAGAAGGCACATTTGGTGTCTTGCTGGATGCATTAACCGAGAAAACCGGAGTAGAATCCAATCTTGGCGCCGGACCATCGCCTCTGAAGATCGCCGCTTTCGTAGACGATGCCATTACTGCAATGCGACAAATGGGTTAGTTGTTAATTAGTATCGAATATGATGGGGTATCATATCTGACGGAGGTATTTACTTCTTTCTTTTTACGTAGATATGTCAGTGGAAGGCGTATTCCGTAAAAACGGCAATATTCGTCGCTTGAAGGAAGTCAGCGAGCAACTGGATAAGAATCCGCACGACGTCAACCTATCATCAGAAAATGCCGTTCAAGTGGCTGCTTTGCTGAAGAAATTCTTACGTGAACTTCCCGAGCCCTTATTGACCTACAAACTTCATGGTCTTTTTTGCTACGCTCAACGTAAGTTACTTTTTTTTGGTCTTTGCTACTGTGAAAAGAAAAATGTCTTGTCGTAATGCTTACCTTTTTTATTAGGATTGGAGGACTCCAAAGTACGGAAACGGGTTCTTCATTTGGCATGCTGTATGCTTCCTCGTTGTAATCGTGACACCATGGAAGTGCTGTTCCTGTTTTTCAGATGGGTTGCCAGCTTTTCTCATGTTACTACGGATGTCGGCAGCCGCATGGATATTCCGAACCTTGCTCGCGTGATTGCGCCTAATATTCTGACGACCAACAACAAGGATCCTGTCAAGGATGATTCATTTGCTGCCATTCACGTTGTGGAAACGCTTCTCGAATGCTACGAGGAGTTTTGTCTTGTAAGTGACAAAAATCATGCAGGAGAATTGTTTATCGTGGAAAGCTCATTTTCTGAGCTTTTGTGTCTACCTGTAGGTACCTGAAGATCTGGAACCGTTTTTGCAAGACCCGCAGTTCCTGGATAATCGAGCTGATCTATCGTCCAAAGACTTTTTGAAAAAGGTGGAACAGTTAAGGAAACACAGGAAACCGCAGTCGCCGTCAGCTGGTATGATTTCTTCCTACCCAAGTCCGTCAAACGATCTGCGATTGTTTGATGGTGCAGTAACCGATGGCCGTGCTCATCCTCCGACCTCCATCTATGCGCAACAACAATATCTACCTTATCCAAATCACCATCCTTCATCTGATTTTTATCCTTATCAACTGAATCAACGACAACCCGCGATCGATAATTCTGGCCATTCATCGTCATATCATCTTTCAATGTCTCAGGATGCATCCCCCATGTATAGCTCCGCTTCCTTGAAAGCGGCCGCACCATCACAAGAACTTCATTCATCATAATATATAAATATATATAGTGATCGGCTGGACGAGCCATGGCCCTAGTTGGCCCTAGTTTGGATGCTTTTCTTTTTTTTATTCGAATATTGCTTTCCTTTATCTGTAAAATATAATAATAACCGCATACTACATCATACTGATATAGTGCCATTCCCAGTGCTGGTTACTCGCACTTCAAACTTTGGCTTTGATTGTGCTTTTTGCATGGAGAAAATTTTGTGTGGCCTATGGATAAACTACAGTAAAGGTCAAATAATAGCTAACACATCTTCGCGCTACAGAAGGCGAAGCCAAAGCCTCTACTACTATCCTTTTCTATATGATATATTGTAACCGCTAGTCAAGGACTAAAAAAATGTCATGGAAACCAACATTCATAAAGTAAGGCACGATCTGCTGCCAGTACTCATTTAGTTTTCACAATATCAAAGCAATGACAGTAACCAGAAAGGCCGATATAAGCTCATTCGACGGAAATATGCAAGACTATTTCCCAACAAATCACATAATAATTGTGCGAGCGTCCAATCAAGAGTACAGACGAAGCGAATAATACGAAAAACCAGAAAAGCCCCGGACAAGGAAGCATAGGGCACGAGTGATATATCTCTCTGGAAAAGCAACCTACTACCCGAAATATGAAAAACTCCGGTCACTCATAACCGTAACGCAGTGGCGCGCCCTACGAACGCAAGTCGAGTTCAAAGAAATAAGAAAGAAAAGGTTGTTCGCCCAGCTCTCCAAAACGAAATTTGCCATCTGATGGAGACGTTAAGCAGCACTGTGAACCAGTCAAATGGCAAAGTTGGTGAACTCGGTGCCAAAATGTGAGAACCAATGCTCCAATACGCTTCATCAACAGGAAGCGCAGGCTTTGCCTTGGTGTCTATCCTTCCACTCGCAGCAGTTCGTACAACAGTTCCTTTAATCATGCAAGCCGTTTACCTGTCGACCCTCTGTTAATTCCTGTTGGAAACAGCACTGGATGCGATTTGCATCATCCGCATTCTGTAAGCAGTCAACCTCGTCAAAGCAAAACCATCTTAGCACGGAAAAATCCACACCAACGAATTGCACAATGTTCTTAAGAATCCAAAAGCTTACCGCAAACAATCGGTATTCCAGTAACGGTACTTGAAAGAAATACTGTAAAGACGTTGAGCCTCACTATCAATCCAGCAGCTGAAGAATTGAGAAAAGCCCACTTGGAGGGAACAAATGCCAAAGTTAAGTGAGAAGGTCATTGCAGACCTTGCACCATATTGGATACTACAATCAGCAGGATAAATATAAAATGCGTCTATGAGTTGTGAATTTACCTATTAATAATTGTCCCTACATCGAATATGAATAAAGTAATCGTAAAATTTTAGATCATGCATCGGCAGTGTTGGTCCTCGCGTTCTCGCATATTTTATCAAATGTAAGACTCTTGATGAAAAATTCTCTAAATGGTAGCGGGGAGACGAGCGAGGTAATACAATTTTTGATACAATCAGAGGAATCATCGCGGTCTGTCCAGAGGAGTAGCATCGTCTTTGCCAGCTTTAAGAGCCAGGTGACGGAAGGTTGCGGTATATTCAGGCGCAAGAGATGACGACTGTCGGCATCAGATTAAGGCAGTTTCAAACACAATCATTTCATTTATTCCGCCAAAAGCAGCGCGGAGTTCCTTAAGGAATGCAATGTTGGAGACCACGCAGTAATCGAGTTCATTAATACCCAAACTTCTAGATGTAAAGCCGAACCCAAGAAACAGCAACAAAATCAAACCGAAAGTGACTCAAGGGCATAGACTTGCTGATTTCCATAGGAATAATAGCTGAGACCTTTGGGGTTATTTATTTTGACGTGAACAGGGGACCATAAAAAATGGTGGGTTATTAACGGGAGCAGAACCTGAGCTTTGCTTGATGTATTTTGTAACAGGAACAATTGAGGTGACGGGGAACGGTAGGTGAAGCAAGCTGAGTGAGTTCCCCGAATTGAGAGCAACTTACGCAAGTATGTGGAGGAAAACAGGATGGGGACATGGAACGACATTGGCACCGTTTTGTCCACAACTAAATTCTACCGACGATCCGGGCTCTAGGCGATCCAAAAAAAAGAGAGAAAGATCATGGATGCAGTTTTCCAAATACCAACAGAGCATATTATTACAGGGAAGCGGTTGAATGCAATTCTCTGGCGTAAACATAGGCCAAAAATTTCAAGAGACATGTACAAGAAGGAAATCCCCAAGTTTCTGCATGCTGAAAAACCACGCAATGTCAAAAGATGGGAATCTGAAGCGTCTCGATTTTAGAATACGCGACAGAGTGATCTATTTTTAAGTGGCCAGATGAGGAACTAAAAGTCATTTCTCGCGAGCTTAGTCGTCTATTCAAAATGCTTCAAGGTCCTTGGGCTCAGAAATTAATAATGTATTACAAATGGATCGGCCTGCTACAGCCAAGCATAGGGAACTGCATAAAGCATGCTGCAAATTTAAAAGATTTATTGACTGTGCTACCAAACAAAAATGACAAGAAACAGGGATGAGCATCCAAAGAGAAGGCGACACAAGATGTGAGGTGGAAACCCAACGGACGAACCATCGTCAACAAGCTATTGTTGGCATGACGCGGTGAGTGCGGAAGCTAGTATATCTGTATGGGATACTTAGATTGAATCGTCCGGTCAAATAGAGAATGATCAGACCTAACTCGAAATTGCGATCCTGTACAGATCATATTGGTGTACGAGCATCCACTGTCTGTTGTACTTAACAGAACATGCAGTCTTAGAAACGCGATATCGAAGCAGCAGCATGTTGCTCTTCCTGATGCTAGCCTGGGCTCGATCTAAACTGTTTTGCATCTGTCTTCAAGAATTCATCCGGAGGTCATACGTTGATTAGGTTAGTCCTGATCTTGCAGCCTGGTAATGTTTAACGTAAACATAACCAACAGTTTAGTTCAATTGCTTCGGAAGCTTGTTCCCATGGGAATGGAAATATACAGTTTCTTGCTTGGTGACTATAACGTATTATATAATAACCGTTCATCGAAGAAGTCGACAGACATACAGTATATTCCAGAGTCTGGTAAGTTCAAGGCTGATGCGAATTTTAATATGTCATTCTCATCAGAATGCAGTTTATCTGCGCAGCGTTATGCTCTGGGCCTTTGGTTGTCAGCTTTTTTCAGAAAAACTCCTGTAAGACTGATTTTTTGATTTTCCCTCTGACGAAGATCGTGACCATGGACACAAAAGGGATGACTGCAACAGTTGAAACCAAATTCTCCCAAATGTCTGAATATCCTTCAGTTCACGGCTCACTGCATACTGTATCGTTACCATGAAGACAGTTTCTCGTTCGAGCTTAATGGATCTACAATTTTCGCAGTCAGACTTCATTCTAAAGTGGTGCATGATACATATGAAGCGAAAAAACGACTTCTAAGAGATCAGTGAAAGATACAAAATTTTTGCGCACCAATAGCTCAAAAAGTTAATCTAGGCATGATAGTCTCCTGATTGCTCCATTTCCACACCGAATTGCTCGTAGGTGACCTTGTATCTCAATCTTAAAGGTTCCTGTTTGCAGAGATTAGCTGTGTGTACGCAATTTATATGATAGGTTGTGTGGTGGTATTTACTTTGTTTGGATTGTTGAGTTTGATGATTTGCGTCACGGTTTTCTCCGTCTTAGAAGGTATGGTTTGGGAGGATTGGGATTCCATCTTCAGCTGCATAGACTACAAATCAAGCATACAAATGAGAAACCGTTTTCATGAGTTTAGAGAGCGAGGAATAAGTAACATACCTTGGGGGCAGCCAAACGTAAAGTCAAGTTCTCCATCGGTGCAGTGGATCGGTTGGAGAACAATGCCTTCAATGTCCAAATAGTATCGCGCTGCTGCACTTCCAGTTCGATATGTAATCCATTTTTGTTGACCAAAATAACTAACACCATGCTTAGATTCCGCATACATCATGACGACGTTAAACCTGTCAGAAACTTACTTGTGTCGTGTGCAACCGACTGCGCACTCCCAGTAGAATTCAATGAGAAGGTACTAGGAGTGCCAGGATTTGAGAGTGATAACGTGGTATTCAATCCTGCCGATAACATGGTGTTTGAGAATACAGGTGAAGCAGCCGCTGGTGCAGAACTTGCGGAACGAGTAGTGGATGTCGCTGGCACCGGCTGAGACAAAAAGTCCAAAGGAGCCACAGGCGAAGCCGTTTGTTGAGCCGCGGGTGAACCCAAAGACGTCGCTGTTGTTGTGATGGCTGCGCTTTGCCCAAAGAGATCGCTGAGTTCGTCAAGCACGCTGGTGGAAGATGATTGAGCGGGAGTGACAGGGCCGGAGGATTGCGTGGATGGCATATCGTCTAAATCGATCAGACTAATGGCTTGTGTCGGAGCTTCAGACGCGTTGGTCTGTGTTGGCGGTTTGCCACTGATTTCATACGACGTATTAAACAATCCCTTTTGTATATCGGCAAATTTGGCCATGGCGTTATTGATCATATCGTTTAATGTCAGCAATTTCTCTGCCAGAAGAAAACAAAAAGAATGAATGAATGAATGCCACGCACCTAAGTGACATGCATATTGAAAATGAATTTCTTTACTTACCGATCATTTCATGGTCTTCAACTTCCGTGATCATCTTTTGTAGTTTGGGTTGAGCGCCCGAGCACGCATTTTTCAGTTCCTGGTTTTCCATGACAATGGTCAATCAGCAATTGGAATGCCCATAAGAAGAATACTGCATATTTCCTTACCATGATCGTGTCGTTCTGTTTCAACTTTTCTCCAGCCTTTATATTTTCCAGCATTTCATAAAACAAAATTGTTTTGTCTTGGATTTTGTGCAGCTCCTCTTCGAATTTTTGCTTGTAATTTGGCTTTGATCGTTGGTCCTACAATCAATTCTCTTTTGTAAGAGGCTGATGTTTTCATTATCGTTTCCCAAAGTCCAAAAAAGTCAGTACTCACGTAGCCAGACATTATTTTCATTAAATGATTAGCCTCTACAAGATCCTGTGGTCTGCCTCGTCGAATCAACTCTTGCAATTTCTAATACCAGTCAAACATCATTTTTTTTAGTCACTACATTACAAATATCTCACGTGAGCGTGTACTTACTGCCGACTGTGCTAGTCTGTCTTCCTCTTCGAGTTCTTCTGCAGATTTTAAAGACTGTGAAAATAATAATCGTGTTAAATCCTGCTACAACCTAAGATAGATAGCTCCCTGTTGTTACCTCAGATGGAGCCAAGGCTGCTACTGAGGAGTCGCGCAATTCCGGAAATCGATATCCTATAAGTCACTCAGTAAAAACTCTCGTTTCAGATTCTACCGCACAAAGAGGCAGACGTATGCTCTGGTTAATATACCTTTAAATCGTAGCAATCGATACATATCCTTGATGTGAACAAGATCGTCCTTGTGACGCGACATATCCGTTAATGCAACTTTCCACTCTTTTATCAGATATAGAATACGTTGCACAATTTGATTTGGAAATGGCTGTAATTTTTACAGTGAGACGATTGTGGTCGCAGCTTTGCACATAAGAGGGACAGCAAAAATACTTACAGCTGGACGTTCAGGAAATTTGCGAACAAGTTCGTTGAGAAATTCTTTTGTTGCAATTTGGAGGTGAAAAGGATAACCGCAGTTCTTTACACAGTTATCCAGAAGCTGAGGTGCTGTATGATGAGAGGTGTGAAGGTCGGTTGAGGTCGATGATGGTTTACCGTAAGAGCCAGTAAGGCTTCATTCAGATTTCGGCTGTTCACGAGTCGCACAATAGTTTTCGCTGCTTCTCTGGGACTATAAAAATACGTGAGTTATATTATCTTAAAGTATATGTGAGGCCAATCCGTACGCGTTGCCTTGCTTCTTGTTGATCATCTCGCAAATCTCGAGGTTGAGAGCCAAGTCAGGTTCATAGCGTACAGGGCTACAAGCTCCCTCTAACAAGATGGGTGTTATATCGAAGAGTAGCCTGGAAATGAATTAGAAGTTCAACATACCGATAAATTCCTGCAATGGTACAGACATGGCTTTATCGAGAGTGAAATTATGAAGAAGAATGGCCGAAAGAAACCTTTGCAAGATAGATTTTCCCTCGTGTTGCGGCGTTTGAAAACCGCTCAGTCTCTGCAAGAACTCACAAAATGCAACCACCATGGCTCTTTCCGCTCCCCACAGGTCCCAATCAGTGGAGGCGGGAAATCAACCTTCTCCTCACTCACACCTACCTCGCTAAAGTAGCAAGTAAGCAAGCAAAATGCACTTGTTAATACCTCAAGACTATGACTTCTAGTCATCCTAAGGTCATTAGTCTAAAATTTGGTAAACACCTTGTACTCACAGCGCTCTTATCTGATATTAGCATGCTACCAAAAACGCTTGTTACTGGATGGTTGTTTCTGTCTATTCAGAATCAAAATTTCTCATTTTTTGGTGCAAAAGACATCAGAGATAAAAAAAAAAAGATGACAAACTCTACCTGGAAACCTATATTGATAATGACCGAGATCAATCTACTCTTGGAAAAGGGCTCACTTTTGAGACTTTCAATGGTGTCTACCAAATTCTACCGTGTAAAGCTCCAGACGATGATAGTGACATATTCAACTATCTTTGAGCAACTTACATTTCCTGCCAAAAAGGACGCTAATTCCAGGAATTCAAGCTAGCTTACATCTTGATGGTAGAGGTTACGATATTTCACTGTATCAGAACTTAGGGTTCCTTAACGGGTCGCCGGGTCATTGACCCGAACCGACTTGAACCGATAAAAACCAGGTCAGATCGACTATTTCTGAACTGGTAGACAGCTCGGGTCAGCCTCTGACCCGAACCGGCGACCCGATAGCGACCTGACATCTGATTCAGCTTGTAATGTGTGAAGTGCAATGTGTCATGCAGAAGAAAAATAGGATGCGAAATTGGAACCTGTAATTGTGGTATCCCAACATGATCAATTACATATCCGACACGGACATCATCAATCCGACCTCTCATTTGACATGGAGTGCTCCCTTCTATAAATCTGGATATTCTTTCTATCGTTTATCAACTCCTCCTCAGACCAAGACATCGTTCTTTCTATCGGAAACTCACCTGTTTGGACCATTTTTTCGAGTAAATCTGAAAATAAAAAAAGCGTCTGTTCACCCGTTTTTCTTCCTTGCTGATATGACAAACGCTGGCGAAATAAAAATATCTTTATGGCAACGTCCTCTAAAAAATATACACGAAGCATTCTGGGCAGGATTGTATGATTCAGGAGCTCCATTAGTTCCATATTGTATTTAGTGTATAATGGGCGGATCTGGAGATTGCTATCACCCTGCATCTTTTTTTGAGGACGTTTTTCATAGTACCGCGACCTCATAAAAAAAAGAGAATTCTTTTTTCTCTATGCTGTGCCGAGATCCCAAGCATTTTACTCTAATTCATCCTAATGCCATTGCCAATTCCGCATGTGATCTTCATTTAAGAATGGTGCTCAAATGGCGCGAAAAAAAAGCAACTGAAAAGCATGTGAAATAATGTTGCGGTGATCAAAGACCGTGCTGGCAAGCCTTTTATAGTATCGTAGATGATGTTCAATTTGACAGAAACGTGGAAGTATAAAAGCGGTTGTGCCATGTGGTCCTGATCAACCTCATCCTCTGTGATAACCTCATTCTTCTCACCTCACTAACATGCCATCAATCAACTTACCGCTGACAAGCTCAACAACCTCCGGGTGCGCCTTTCACGAGGTGAGAGCTATAAAAAAATCGCCGTTACCTTGAGACTGTCTCCCAGTACTGTTTCCAAGTATGCAAAGAAGTGCTTCCCGGAACGTGACAATATGCAAGCTGGACGACCTTCGTTGTTTTCACCAACAACCATTGCCTCAGTGCACCGGAAGGTTTTCTGGTGAGCTTACCACTGCCGTTGCCGTTCAGAAATATTTGAGGAAGCTGAGGACATCGTGCACACATAAAACAGTGTGCAATCCGTTGAAGCAACTTGGTTCCAAGCTTGCATAAAAATCAAGAAACCATTACTTACCAAGAGACACATAAAGGCGCGATTGGATTGGGCCAAAGCTCATCAACACTGGACAGTCGACGATTGGAAACAGGTGGTGTGGTCTGATGAGACCAAGGTCAAGTCTGGGGCTCGGATGGAGTCAAATACTGCTGGGTTAAGCTGTGTGATCCCTTGAAGCCGCATCATCTGGATCTGACTGTCAAGCACGGAAACGGCAATATCATGCTATGGGGCTGCATGACCTATGAAGGCCTCGGTTATGTGTGTCAGATTTTCGACGGCACAATGAAGAAGGAGGATTACATAGAGATTTTGAAGACCACTCTGCATAATTCAATCGAGCATTACGACCTGGACGAAGATGCAATGATCTTCCAACATGATAGCGATCCCAAGCATACCGCCAAGTATACGGAGGACTACCTGAACTCGTGCCGTTTTTCTGTTCTGCCTTGGCTGGCCCAGTCGCCGGATCTGAACTCCATTGAGCATATACATATGGCATCACCTTAAGCTCAAATTGAGCAATTACAGTGGTGATAAAAATGGTTCCTGAGATTGTGATTTTTTGATGTTTTTATGGCTGGGCGGATTTTCCACATAAAAATCTGCAATTTTTTTTTCATTCCCATAATCAGCGACCACTTTTTTACTATAGTGCGAATTTTCAGTCGTGTCATGTCAGTTCTTCTCATCCTCCTTTCTTTACTTCGTGGAGGCATCTCGAGAGCCATTCTTGTCTTTGGTGGAGATGCAAATATCATTGCAGAAATATGCACACAAAACACACGAACGTTTTCTAAAAATGGATAAACAACAATACCTTGATATAGTAAGCAAAACAGAAGTCTTTAAAAAGTATCCTCATACTAGCATTTTTGAATCCGCCTTTCTCTAATCACCATTTCATAATCACGACCATAACATGCACCAAAACTGACTGAAGATAAGCTTAACAGCATCAAAGTGCATTTTTTGAACGGCAAAAGCTTAAAGAAAACTGCGGCTGCTTTGCACTTGTCTGTTAGTGTTGTTTCAAAGTATGCGAAACAGCTACTCCCTGATCGTACTAATGGTGATGCTGGGTGGCCATCACTTTTCTCGAAGACCACGGCCGCCTCTATTCGTAGAAAAGTCCTCACAGGGGAACTCAAGACCGCTGTTGAGGTACACAAGTACTGCCTTGGTCTCGGCATTGATTGCCGCTACTCATCCATCCGTAATCTGATGAAGAGATTAGACTTCGAATCCCACTTTAAGATAAAGAAGCCTCTCCTTACTGCCAGGCACAAGAAGGCAAGACTGGAGTGGGCGAAAGCCCACCAAAATTGGACTATTGACGACTGGGAAGCGAGTTGTTTGGTCAGACGAGACCAAGATCAACGTCTGGCGTTCCCAAGTACTGCTGGTCACGTCCTGGTGATCCCTTGAAACCCCATCATCTTGATCTCACTGTCAAGCATGGCAAAGGTGGATCATGATGTGGGGTTGCCTCACTTATGAAGGGCTTGGATATGGCTCCCAGATTTTTGATGGTACTACTGTATGAAAAAGGAGGACTATGTCCATATCTTGGATACTACTTTGCAGCGCATGATCAACCATTTCGGCTTTGATGAAGATGCCATGATATTCCAGCAAGACAATGATCCGAAGCATACCAGCAAGTACACCAAGGCGTACCTTGAGTCGCAACGCTATTCTGTTTTGCCTTGGCCTGCTCAGTCGCCGGATCTTAACCCGATTGAGCACATCTGGCACCACTTAAAGTTGAAATTGAGTGCTTACGATCGCCAGGTTAAAGGTATCCATGAATTGTGGGATCGCATAGAAGTAGAGTGGCAAACTTTTTCTGTGGAGACCTGCCGCAATTATATTGAGAGTATGCCTGCGCAGGTTGAAGCTGTAATAAAGGCTAAGGGTGGACATACCCGTTATTAGTTTGGATTTAACCAAAGACAAGAATGGTTCTCGAGATGCCTCCATGAAGTAATTGAAATGAGGATGAGAAGAACTGACATGAGATGAGATGACTGACAATGCGCACTATAGTAAAAAAGTGGTCGCTGATTATGGAAATGGAAAAAAAAATCGCAGATTTTATGTGGAAAATCCGCCCAGCCATAAAAACGTCAAAAAGTCACAATCTCGAGAACCATTTTTACCACCACTGTATATGATTGCCAGGGCTTCCAAATGCGTGGCTGCAATTTTTCTTCAGTGAGCTTCAGGGTTCGCGAGGCATACACAATGACCGTTTTGTTCTCGTCACTACCATCTGGTAATTGTGAAAGGATGGCTCCTAAACCTTGACCTGAGGCGTCTGTTGTCAAAATTTGCACTTGTTTGCGATCCGGATAGCTCAGGATTGGCGGCTTCGTCAAACATTTCTTCAGATATTCGAAAGCATTCTTCTGCTCTTTATTCTACTGTACTCGAAAATCGTCTTATCCTTCGTTAGCTTGCTCAGAGGCTTGGCGTGCTTTGCATATTCCAATATGAATCTGCGGTAGTAACCTGTGGTTTCTAGGAAGGAGCGCACCTAACTTTGTTGCGGGGAGCTGCTAGTTCTAACGCCTTCTATACATTTCATTCTGTGGGTGCAATCCCTTTGTCAGAGACGATGTGGCCCAAATATTCCACTCATCAGGCGGCAAATTGACATTTTGCTTTCTTCAATCTTAGGTTGTACTGCTTGCAAGTTTCAAACATCAACGTCAAGTGTTTTGTGTGCTCTTCTACTGTTGCTGAATAAACAATAATATCATCGATATATATGAAT